GAGAGAGATATTAGCGGATTGTTGGTCTACCAGCTAAATCGTGGACCGGACTGCCAAGCGCTCCTCGGCATTATTAGCCCGGGGTTTGAGAACAGTGCCACATCTTTACCAGACTGTGGGTTTCCTGTTAGGGAGTGGAAAGCGGTTATACCCAGGGGCTGCAGAGTGTGTGACGTATGAAGCGGTATAAATATTATTATTATTATTATTAAATACGCCGTAGGCTCGAAGCCCCCGGTACCTCTACTAGTACTCCCGTATGTCAAACCGTGCCCTAATGGCTGGACTAAATACATACGCTGCGTCGTCGGTTCGCCCTATTGGCGACTGCGTTGCGTTCACTACCATACTACGTTGGTTCTCAACCTACCAACAAAGTCCCCCCTGAGAAGATCGATGCTATCTGGGCCTTGAAGCTGTCCGACCCGTCCCTAGCAGCCATCTTACAATAGTCCCACTAACTACTGGTTCTCCTGTTGCCGTTGCGAGGTCTCTGCGAGAGTATAGTGGCCGTGGTGCGATGGCGGCCCGTAATCGTTCCCTCGGTCCTTCCAACAGCCCGCAAAAGAGGATTACGTGCTCTGCCGTCTCAGGGGCATCGCCACAGCGGCATAGCGGCGAGTACACGCCAAAAGCCCCTGTCTTGAATAAGAAGGCTGCTAGTCCTATTTTTTCCGTCCTGATCTGGCACAGCGTAGACGCCTCCAGTCGGTTCAGGCCGAAATACTTGCCCCCTTTCGGTATCTGCATCGAAGGGCCCTCCGGTTCCTCAGCGATAGCGCGTCGCTGGCGATCGTGATGCTCTGCTCCGGTGAGCCATCTCTTCCTCCAGTGGCCGAGGAGGGCAGCCGGGACCTCCTTTTCCTCACTCATCCACTCGGAGCCCCGGGCCTCCTTCTCCATAGTGTACCCTGCCGGTCGGAGTAGCTGCGACGCCTGCTTCCTCTTCGCCGGCCTATCCTGCCGGAGTATATGTGACGCTTTAGCGCTCGCGCTGCGAAGCAGATTTCTCTTCCCGCTAAGCCGTAGCCGTTCTTCAAACTTAGCAGCCCGGGCACTAAGATAGAGGTCTAGTGGCGGGATTGCTGCTTCTGCTTCCAGGTGGCGAACCGGCGTCGCTTTGTGGGCACCACAGACTACCCGGAGGCACTCGTTCTGTATCCCCATCAGGCTCTTAGCTGGCCCTGCCGGTTCCTCACTTATAGTATGCCACGCAGTCGCCCCGAAGGCAATCGCGCTACGGATAACCACCGTATATAACAGCCTCGCCCGTATAAGATCGCAGCCCCACGACATATTGACTAGCTTTGTCAGGGCTAGCTTTTGAGTTGCCATTTTTGTTTTAACACGCTCAACATGGGCGTGCCACGTCAGTTTGCGGTCGAACCAGACTCCTAGGAACCTGGCTGAGACTACCGGCGACACTGTGGCGTCCCCAAGGCGAATACTTTGCGGCAAGGGCTCTCGGGCCCTAGTAAAGTGCATTAGCTCACTCTTGTCAGGAGCGAACTCCATCCCGTGCCTCACTGCCCACCGCTGACACGTAGCCCATGCGCTCTCCAACCGGCGGCAGGTCGTGTCTGGATCGGTGCCGACGCTTAGCAGGTTCGTGTCGTCCGCGAACCCGACTACTAAAAGTAGTGGATGCTGCTCCGCTAGCTCCTCGTACAGCGTTGAAATGTATAATATAAACAGTATCGGGGATAGCGGTGACCCCTGGGGGACGCCAGCTCGTAGGGGGATTGGCTCTGACTCCTTGCCATCGAACCGGAGGCGTACCGTTCTATCCTCCACGAAGCTGCGTACCCACTCCTGAACCCACTCCGGGTAGCCTTTCCGGGCTAATATGGAAATCAGCCGTCTGTAATTGACCGTATCGAATGCCCCCTTGATGTCTAGCTGTAGCAGCGAGGCGATGCCCCCGCGTCTCCACGCCGTATAGAGGTATAAATAAAAAATGCACGTTATTTTGGTAGCACTTCTAGATGAAAGCGTTATTGAATTAACTGCTACGACCGTTAAAACAAGGATTTGAGCGTTATCCGGATTATGTGGCATAGTTTGAAGGAGGAGGCACTTACACAGCTGTTTCAGTGCGACGTTGTTCGAAATCCAATCATTTCTTGACCTCGCTACATACCAGCGACGCCATAACCGTCAGAAATGAGCTTTTATTGAAAATATCAGGTTTTTATAGTTTTTTCTTTAAGAATAATACATGGTATCATAACTTGGTCGGACCACTCCGGTTTGTATTTTGCTGTATACGGGCGCCATTCCGGCTGGCAAGGCTGTTGTCGATGAGGGATAGCATGAAACTGCTGTATTTTCACTATTATCACTACATACAAAATTCGCAGTGGGGCAGATACACTTATAAGTCCCGAGGGAGTTGTATACATATACTTATAACTGAAGTTGATGACTTTGTGTGGAAAAGTTGTGCGGAATGGATATGACGCATATTACTAATGTCCATGCAGGTTTCGAATTTCTCGAAATCCAATCGCCAAGGAGGCACAGCGATATAAAACTCGGTTCAATGAGTAGATAATATCAGGCTTCCAAATTAAACGTGATTGATATCTCGACATAGCTTCCATTGCGGCTCAGTCGTGTTGGCATATTAGACGTCGGTTGGCATAGTCGAATGCTGCTCCATCATTGGTCAGCACAATTTTACATACCTCGGCTCGCACTGTTTTGAGAAGTTCTTACTCAGACCACCCAAACAACTGAAAAGCGGGAGCAAGCTACCGTAAACCTCCTTGCCCACTCCCATGCCGCTGCCTTGCGTTCAGCTCTTCCAGGCTGTCAGGTATAGATAAGCCACAGTGGCTTGCCGGGCCCTGTCCTATGCGAGGATTGGAAATGCATACTTATGCTGCTGTGATCCCCCTCTCTTCAGGAGGGGCAGCTGTTAACTTGTCATTATTGAGTCCCATATACTACACCGCTAGTACCCGCGTGATGACTGGCAACCGACTTTTCTCTAGTACTCTCGTCCTTCCCTCTGTACTTGAAATACCAGTGACACAGACGAGGCTGACAGCGTTGATCAGAAACGATCTGTAGGCTAGGAGTTATTTGCCAATATTTTGTGAACACCGAAACCATCACAGCATGCTTTCGTGATTTGAGAACATGGCACTGTTGTTGGCTTCTTGCCTCGGCTATTGTGAGTAATGGGATGGAAGTCTGAACACTATCGTTGAGGTACAAACTAGAACGGAATCTTTAGCGACGCAGCTCAATATACAGATATAGAAAGATGTAGACGCCGGACAAGGCAGCGTAAGGCAGACTAAGTCGTAATCTTGTCGATGGTTTCTGGAAAACATATCTGATGTAGAAGTTACGATTGGAGCAAGTACGGCTCCAGAGCACAGTTCTATGAGCTAACAAAGTGTCTGGTTCCTACCCAGACACCGTCTCCGCTCAAACCAAAAGGGCAGGGTTTCTTGCAATGGGAGCCGGAAATCCTCGAGGGATGACCTGTTAGCCGCCCTTGGCTCCCCTCATCATGTCCCCAGATCCTCCCTCTTCAACAAGTCCAAAAAGGAGCAGCTTCTGGACCTCAAAGATAACCTCCCGCCTGAAACCGACATTAACGTACAACCCCACCTTTCCGGCCACCTAATCTGCCAACTACAACAACCTTCGGCACAACAGATTATCGTCGGTATTGGCTATTATTATACAATGCCTCGATATTCACAAAATTCGATTCAAGGCGCTCTCAACGATATCAATCAAGGGATATCCCAGCGCCAGGCTTCCCTCCGATGGGGCCTATAACTTCGTTACGCCCCAAGCCACGTAAGAAGGTACGATTAGGGCCTGATGAACGATTTGGTAACATTGTACAGATTAAGGAAGCGATGGATCGAGCCCTTGAAGTAGAACGGCAACGAGACCAGGTACAACGTCGGAATCAGGTAATACTGGACCCAGCTAAGGCGTCAGAATCTATCAGATCTATACCTCAGGAAGCCCTAGAGCACAGCTTTCTATTAGAGCTGGTTGTACCTGAATAGCTATAATAGTACGTTGAATACACTGTTTCGAATACCTTCAATTGGATTGCAATATGTGGCCGGAAAGGTGGGGTTGTACGTTATGTCTTTCGTGGGTCGTAATTGCCTGATGATCCATCATCCGATCCATGAACTTCGTCACATCCTAGCCAGCAAACTCAACACCTCCCTTCCTACTTCATCGGATAGCTCGAAATCGCGGGCCACGACGGCGATTTGCAGCTATGAAATTTTCGAGCATGTTGGCTTCCGCATGTGAAATCTTGGCAGCGATCATGATCTCGGTTGCCAGCAGAGAATCGAAATGAGGTGTTTACACACGAGTTGCTTACATCCTATGACAATGCGCCAAGGAGCCTAGAGGAGGATACGGTCGTATTTAAAGGAGGATTAACCTGGGAACGAGGGCACGAGGAGAGCTACATGGGTTCATTGATATTGACGGCCGTGATAATGTTGCAAACAGCCTTTTCGAGAAGATTGCACAGCTAGATATTGTACAAGTTGCTTTCAAATATGAGTTGATTGAATTTTGACGGGGATGAATATGCACCATGAAACGGGGTGAAATTCTAAGTCTTCCGTTCAGTTTCCGGTGAGTATAATGCCGACGAATTGCCCTTCCGTGATTCGCTTGCCGGCAGACGGCCAAAACGCATTACACCGTGGACAAGAAGTAGCATAAACATGCCTCGAAACCAAATAAAACAAGACATGCTTCGTTCAAGTATGATTTTTCCAAGCCTAAATGTTAATACGGTTTGAATTATTGCAAATTTCTAATTATAGTCGTGGCATCTGAAGCCAGTTGGGCAAGCACCGTCGAGCTTTGAGTTTGGGTGTCCGGTAGATACATATTACGGCAAAGCCAATATTCCTATAAACATGCTCTGGGCGCCGAGATTTTACGCGGGCTGGGCGATTTTCATTCGCCTTGGCTGCTTCACGATGTCAGCGAATTATGTGGCGTTCTCACACCGTTGATCCTAACATTAAAAGGTTAATGATATTGATCTTACGCTTACCGTCGATCCCCTTTGTTGAAATCTCGCAGGAAGCCACCAATTACAAATACCTCAACTTCCTTCCCGCTTGTCCACTCCGTACAATGCATTTGGGCAGCTCCTTCTCCCTCTCATCGACGAGAACTGCATATTTCAGGGCTAGGTGCAGGAGGACCCCACCACCACTACCGGCCTTCTCGGGATCTCATCACGCACCACAGCAAACACCTTACATCTTCACCTCCGCCCTCAACCCCACCCCCACCTACACCACCACCACCATCTTGACTCGTTCCTACAGCAGCACCACCAAACCTTCATCCACCATCCCTTCAGCAGCAGCATCGGAAGCAGACCATTTCGACTGGCGCAAAATGGCCGAACTCAACCGCGAGCACCTTAAGAAGGACCACAAAAAAGTGTTCGAGCACAACCGCGCCTGGGCCGCGCACCAAACCACCCAAGACCCCGACTTCTTCACCAAGCTGTCCGCAGGGCAAAGTCCTGAGTACCTGTGGATCGGCTGCAGCGATTCACGCATCCCCGCGGAGCAAATCACGGGCATGTCACCCGGGGAGGCCTTCGTGCACCGAAACATTGCCAACCTCGTCTGCAACACGGACCTCAATGTCATGAGCGTTATCAATTATGCTGTGCGCCACCTCCAGGTGAAGCACATTGTCATTTGTGGACACTACGGATGTGGCGGCGTCAAGGCCGCTATGACGCCTAAGGATATGGGTCTGCTTAATCCGTGGTTGAGGAATATACGTGATGTGTACCGATTGCATGAGGAGGAGCTCGATGGTATTCCCGACGGGCCGGAGCGGTATGACCGGCTGGTCGAGTTGAATGTCGTGGAGCAGTGTAGGAATATCGTCAAGACGGCAGCGATTCAGCAGTCGTATGCCCGTAATGGGTTTCCCATCGTGCATGGATGGGTTTTCGGGTTCAATGATGGATTGCTCAAGGATTTGGAGGTCGATTTTGAGTCTATGCTGCGTAAGGTGCAGAAGATTTACGACTTGTCTGAGAGCCATGAGCATTGAGCAAGCAGGCTTGAAAAGAGGGCTTGGCGGGTTCAGACGCATTCAGGCCGGCGAACATGGTGCGACGGATTAGGATTTGGGCGAGTAAGCCGGCTTGGCTTGGCGGGATCGTTGAGGACGGACGAGCATCCGACCCGGGGTACAAACTGTGGGGGAGGTGGGAACGGAACAGGGGTCAGAGAACGGATATGAATGAATTTTCTTGTTGAGAAAACTTGTTGAGAAAACGGAATGAATATGTTATAGAGCGGGTTACACCCATGGATTCGGCAAGAGGGGCGTTAAAGATTGCCAATCGGAGTCAGTATGTCGGTTCGTTGGAGTGCGTTCATTACTCGAGTATACATTCACCCTCAGAGCAACTGTAGTTAATATGGCTAACAAAACGTCATTAACGTCTTCGTGCCGCGTCGTAGAATTCTAAGGCTGGCATGTCTCACAGTCTTGACTACCTAAAACCAGCTGGATACCAAGTAGCACGGCAAGAAAGTGACGCCAGGCCCTCCAATCATTCTGGTACTATACTTTGTGAGCAACTGCAGCACGGACAAATGCGTCAAGTTCTTCAAAGGCTCTCATTATTCCCTATAACTAATTCGTCACCAAAATGTCCGATAATCCATTCTTGAAAGCTATCCAGCGGAGTAATTGCTATACCGATCAAGTGTTACCCTTCACAGGTCGCAGCTTCCCGTCGCTGCTACAACGACTCTTTGCGCTGGCTCATCCATCCCTACTGGCCCAACACTACTGTTGCGGTGGTCAATTGGCCTGATTGTAACACCTGCACTGTCCAGATATCTAGCATGAACTACTCCCCATCACTCTAGCTATTGCTGCCGAATTACCACCACCACCTCTGCGACTGGAACTCGGAAATTTCCTATTGGGAATTTTTATTTCTGGGCTCTTCGGGGTAGAGAAAACTGGGAGCACCGAGACGGTTGAAGTTTAACTTACGATCCCGCTAGTAACCCCCGCCCCTCCTACACCAGCAATGGCTTGGCCGACAACAAGGCTCTACCTGTTTGGGGCTGCCCCCCGACACAGCGGATCCAGTCTCTACGAGGAAGATAGCGATCAGGTAAGTGGCCGTGGTGCTGTAGAAGAAGCAGTAGACCTCCCCGTGTAGCAGCTGGAAGGCACATGTCGTCAAGAGGTAAGCAGAGTTGTCGTAGCCAGTACCGGTGGCGGGCCCAAAGTCGTCTGTGATCTGTGGAATTGCCTTTATCAAGATCATGCGGTCCTGTTGTTATACTGATGTTATTCTTTGGGCCTTGTAGAAAATACTGGAATAGGGGCCAGATATGCTGACCAGAGATACTAAGAACATGGTGATGATCAAGTCCAGCCTCAGTTCGGAGGGGTACTCAATATCCGCAGTTGCAGTTGACTGAGAAGACGCAAGAGTTTGGCCCTCTTTTTTGTTTGCATCACTGGTGATCAGTTCTGGTCCTGGAATTGTCCTAGCTTCGGCGTCTTCGAGGCACGTAGCGGCAGCTGGCTCCGGTCCGGTGTCACTGAAGAGCATTACTATTCCGCTCGCGTTGCAACAAAGGACGCTGAAGCGTGAAGTAATTTAGTTGAAGAGCGTGGTGATGTAAATAAATCGTTGAAGTGTCAGGCCCGCTCAACCCGAACAATAACGATCCCGAAACCCCAGTCTCGATAATATCTCTAACCAGTCATCCCGACGAAGACCTGCACGTCAGAGAATACCACAGTCCTCCACTGGCTAAGGTCTTCGCCCAAGGCCGCTAGGGTCTTTCATAATGTCATCCAGGGCCCCGCCTCGAGAGGAGGCAATGATAAAGGTATGTTATTAACGGTGGAAGACGAGATCATCGACAAGGTAGACGCTGTGTTTCAACAGAAAAGTTAGCTCCGCAATTGGAAACAGTACAGTCGCCATATTCATCGTGTTGCGCATGTCCCACCTCCGGAGCCGCGGCCGACAATGATAGCGAGGTGCACATGACACGGGACGCGTGGGAGGAGCGGAGGCGCGGAGGTTCGGAGGAGGCTAAAGGCATGCGGCAATTCATACAGTTGCTAGGGGACAAAAGAGAGAACGGGGATGAGGAATGTGTGCAAGTTTCTACTGCCGTCCCGGATGCTCGTCGCCTTGATGGCCTCGCGTGGACGGACGACAGCTGTTTGAAATGAGATTGCTGGATCGATGCCTCAAGGAAATAGTTCACAGAAAGTACTGTGGGTACAAGGCACCGAGGCACGAATTAGACCCCTCCCCGCAGAGTATCCGTCTTGGAAACGCTACAGTAACACCGAAGGTCTCGGCAAGGTTCCTAGGGGTCTGGTTTGACCGCAAATTAACGTGGCACGCCCATACCGAACGGGTTAAATCAAAAATGGCGACTCAGAAGCTAGCCCTAACAAAGCTAGTGAACATGGCGTGGGGCTGCGATCTCATACGGACGAGACTACTGTACACGTCGGTTATTCGCAGCGCGATCGCCTTCGGGGCGGCTGCGTGGCACACTATAAGCGAGGAACCAGCGGGACCAGCTAAGAGCCTAGTCGGGATACAGAATGAGTGCCTCCGAATAGTCTGTGGCGCCTACAAAGCGACACCGGTTCGACACCTAGAAATAGAGGCAGCTATCCCGCCACTAGACCTATATCTCAGTGCCCGGGCGGCGAAATTTGAAGAACGGCTACGGAATAACGGCAAAAGGAGCCTGCTTCGGAGCGCGAGCGCGAGAGCGTCACACATACTCCGACAGGACACGCCGGCGAGACGGAAGCGGGCGTCACAATCGCTCAGACCAGCGGGGTACACGATAGAGAAGGAGGCTAGGGGCTCCGAGTGGATAGGCAAGGCGAAGGAAGTCCCGGCCACCCTCCTAGACCACTGGGAGAAGAGATGGCTCTCCGGGGCAGCACAACACGACCACCAGCGACGCGCTATCGCCGAGGAGCAGGAGGGCCCCTCGATGCGAATGCCGAAACAGGGCAAGTACTCAGACCTAAACCGACCGGAGGCGTCTACCCTATGCCAGATCAGGACCGGAAAAATAGGACTATCAGCTTTCTTATTTAAGATAGGAGCCTTCGGTGTGTACTCGCCGTTATGCCGCTGATACGTGACCCCATGGGGGGTTACCCTATAGCTATAGATAAGATAGATAAGAGCTATAAAAGAGCTCTGCCAGGCCAGAATAGCTGACCTGGCATCCTTTTCCAATACAACAATTCACACCCCATATGCACTCGCATCAGCCGCTGTGGAGAGGCCCCCGAGACGGCAGAGCACGTAATCCTCTTTTGCGGCCTGCTGGAAGAATCGAGAGAGCGCCTACGGGCCACTATCGCACCATGGCCGCTGCATACACGTAGAGACCTGGCAACGGCGATGGGGAAACCAGTAGTCAGCGGGACTATCACAAGGTGGCTACTCAGAACTGGCCGGATAGCGCTTAGGCCCGGATAATATCGATCTTCTCAGGGGGACTTTGTTAGTAGGGTGAGAACTAACATAGTATTGTGGTGGACGTAACGCAGTCGCTAATAGAGCGAACCTACGTAGCAGCGTATGTATTTAGTCCAGCCATTAGGGCACGGTTTGACATACGGGAGCACTTGTAGAGGTACCGGGGGCTTCGAGCCTACGGCGTATTTAATAATAATAATAGTTCACAGATACAGGCAAGATGTGTTGCCCGACTTTGACAGAATTTCTTTGGATTACACCATTCATTAATTAGATGAATGCCAAATTCGCTGTTTATTTTCATGACGTTCGGGCGAGCCCTTGCATCTGCAACTTTGGAGTATGTTGGGATAGTTCCATATACCTGTCATTTCGTCCTCTAACTATAGCGTAGCAATATTTGTGGTCTAATGGCATCCACTTCATGATTTCGTGATTTCGTTGTGCATATACAGTGAAAGTATTTGTAGTTGCATCATGATAACTTGGGATATTCTGTAGAGCTTGTTGTATACAAGAGGGTTTTTTAACCCATGAAGATTACATCTCGAACAAGCAGCAAACGTTAACTGAGTTAGATTCTTGCTAGAGCTGTTGGTTTTTAGCCGACAGCAAGAAGCAGTCTTACATAAGTACTGTGGGTACAAGGCACCGAGGCACGAATTAGGGTGTTTAGGGACACACGCACCTGCGTAGTGCCAATACAGGCCCCGATGCTCGGGATCCGACAAGCACGATAATAAACGATTGGCCAATTACATTGTGTTTGAATATAAGCTGATGTAGCTCCATTGAATCTGGCCTAAATGTAGCATCTGTTTGGGTAGAGATGGATACTTTATTGGGACTTCGAACTTCTAACTGTAGAGTAGAGTAGAGTCTAGCAGTATCTCCATTCGCTGTTCATTTCAGTGCTGCATGCCAGACTGCTACGGTATTTCTTCTTGCAGTCACATGTTAGGCATTCTGGTTCACCAATGAAGATAGCGTGACTGCCCGGTTTGGCTTATGATTACCAGTGGAATTAAGTACCGAGAGGATAATGGGACGAACACCATCCCCATTACCAAGCAAGCCCTTTGACATCGATCCGAGCAACTCGAAAAGAAGAAGAAAAAGACCGTCACCATATTTTCGGTCAACTCAGTCAACCCGCCTATCTGGTATGCTGGTTCGGTCGTACCTACTCGTTTACACTTTCTGGTAGAGACAGCCTGCCCCACTTGGAGTGCTTCTTCAAACCTTGTACCACTGCCAACACAGCGAGCCAGAGGTAAGGGCAGGCAGGTAAGGCAAGAAGGTACTTCGCAAAGGACTCTTCCATACCACTCTTTGGTTCATGACCGTACTTTTTATTCACCCCTGCGATTGTCAATTCTCCAACTAAGTCTCTTCCGACTCATGACCGTATGTAAGGAAAGGTCGTATTATCGATGAATTTCTTTACTTTCACCCCAGTTGGTGCCAACTGCTCCTCAAGTCTTCAGGTATTCTTTTTACCTTGACGAGAACCACCACCGCAATCAGATAGAAGCAATTCTTAATCGCGACGCACGGACCAGTACAAGACGATCACGCCTCGCTAGTCTACTCAACTGCCATCGACGACCGCATTCCGACTAATTTGACTTCACTCATAAAGATAAACACAACCACATTTTCGTGGTTATTGTACTTCGATTATTACCGCCTTTTACGATTCCCATTCCCGCACGTTGTCTGGTCGAAGTCGTATTTATTTATGGTGCTGTGATCCCCAGAGTCGGAATCCATCGTCGTGGGGTGACCGACCTGTCTATCTGTCACCTGCCAATCTGGAGTCCTGGACGACTACGAGCCACGTGATCTAAGCATGGCACCCACACATCACCCTACTTCAGATGCAATGGACGTCGACACACAAACCCTCGGCCAGAAGCAGGAGCCCTGCATCATTTGCAGCAAGCCAGATCGCATTGCCAACCTCGAGAAATTCGTGCAAAACAATGTGTACTATCACGACGCCTGCCTCCACCCCACAGAGCCCGAGGCATCTGAATCCAAAGAGCAGTGCGTCATATGCCGAGATAATGACTCCGTCGCAAACCTCGTCAGCTTGCAATGCGACCATTTCTACCATCTCCGCTGCCTGGTTCCCTGGTGGGAGCATCGGATGGTTGCCATAGGCTCACCTGCCGAGACCCAAACACAGCTGCAACCACCTCCCGCCCTGGTTCACCCACCCATCTTTCACCATGCTGGCCAGTTCCCATCTCAGGAGCAGGCCACGCATTTTCTACCGCCGCATGTTCCGATACCAGTATTCTTCGGCCCTGAGGATATCGAGGACGCCGCAGCTTTCGGACTCCTTCTACAGCAACAGCCTGCTCACTTGCCCGTCCCACCAGCTCTACCTCTGCCCCCGCCTCCGGTGCCCCATTTAACCTTCGATGCCATGGAAAACCCGAATCAGAATCCGTTTCTTGCATCTTTCTTACAGCGGCGATACCGTACCAGGAACATAGAGCCGAATTGCTGTTACTGCACCCAGGTCACCACGAGCTTCACCTGTGCTGCGGCGTGTGGTCACAAGACCACGGTGGAACTGAGCAAGACAAGTATGATGGAATTGACCGAAATGGCGGCCCAAACGGAGTCTGAGCCCAAAGGCGATGCGACTGTACTATGCTACACATGTCGCATTGGTCGGTTTCTGAAACGCTGGATTGACGCATCTCCCATTCTGCTGCGCGACATGCTCAGCCCGGAGGATCAAGAAGAGTATGACAACATCACTTTCGTACCACCTGTAGGTGCGCACCATGGGGAATGGCTCCGAGCTTGCCTCAAAGCTGGAGAGATGGCAAAGGCCATGATCGCCTGGATAGTCGACAACCGATTTTTACACCAATTTGCTCCCAACAAGAAGATCTTCGAGTCCCTCGAGCAGAAGTTGTCTGTGCGTTCTCGCTTCAGCCTTGGCACACCGCAAGCCGAAGATATGGCAGACGAGGTAGCCGCTTTGTGGCAAGAGTTGGATCTGATGCTGGCACGATACAAGGATTGTCATGCGCGCGCCGAAGCGGAGAACCCAGTCAACCGTTATGACCTGCACAAGGATGACTCGTACGAGTGGCTGGAGTACGCGAAGGAAACGGAGCCTCGAGGGGAGGCCCACAGAATCTGCCATGCGTTTCAGATGTTGTGGCCAAGAATCGCTGACCTGCAGAAGGTCGTGGATGTGCAGCCCGTAGCGACCGGAAGAAACGTCGTCTTCCGCTGGTCTAGCTCCGCCGAGGGCCTAACACAGGAGGACTGGTTGCTATTAGGATGAAGTGGGAGATCATGATTATGGATGTTACGATATTAGTACGAGCTGAGGGACATGTGGTAGCAACCTGGATCATGTAAAGGCCAACAACAGACACACTACACTACTTCTTTGCAGAGTCCTATAGAGCGACTTAGGACAGTATACCCCCATCGGGTAACAATTACTCCTATAATGAAACAAATGAATCAATAAAAACGGTCAAAAATAATGTATCCTTGATACCTCTGCTGCCGAAGTCGTTCCTCGGTAAAGGGTGTGTGCACTTGCCGGCCGGTGACGGTCATGTTTACCTGTCCTTGTTTGACCTTGCCCAGGGAAGTTCAACACGCGACAAACTCGATGTATGTCAACCCATGTTTCAAAACCGGGCTCCAGATCCCCGTCTGATTGCATGTTTTTTGCCCAGCTCAATATGTCTATTTGGAAGTTATCGTAGCAGGCTTGCCAGGTAGCACATCTGCCCATCTGCCGACAGAATTGCATCATCCGTTTTTGTGTCTGAACAGTAGCCGCGCAGCGGCTGCCATAGTCTGCTTACTTAGTTACCTATACCCCGTGAGAAGCGAGGTATCGCATAAGCAGGTGATGCGCTGCCGGCAACGGATGATTTATCTGCTAGGTGTCAGATCCCGAGTATTGGGGACGGTATTGGTACTACGGTGCTCCGAAGGTGCGTGGGGAACAACTGCCCAATCGGGCCTCAAGGGTAGTACGTGCCTGGGTGCTTTGCACCCCTCTATCCTCTATATCTGGGAGCACACTTAGGCAATCTGTTTCCGCGCAAAGGTTCCCAGGGTTTTCGCTTTTCTGCTAGGTGCCGGTGCTGGCTGGGCGACAGGTGCTGGAAGAACTTGAAACGCAAGGGTCATATTGTCAATCAGAGGCAAAAGCTGAAGATATCGGTTGTCGGTGCTGTTATAGGACTCTGTTTAGCCTCTCGAGAAATTATGCGTTACTTGCTTGGTATACCATGTTTATTTTGCCGTTTGGGGAGTTGCCTTCTAGATGTTGTGCTCGAAACCCGCAAGATGCAGACTTTTTACTACTTCTTTTGTCCTTGTGCGTTCCTATTCTTCTTCTATCCGCTTCAACAAGGCGTGACACGTAAAGTATCTACCCATCGACTTCTGAAGGAGATGCTGGTGATCAGGGCCAGCTAATATGATGTTACCACGCTTCTTCTGGCTGTTACGCGGTTCTGCTATCCAATCACGTCAATATGAGATATTTCTCAAGGACATTGAATCATATTTTACCAGGACCGCATTGCTTTGTAGGAATACCTTTACTAGCGTTGATATGTTGCATTATGGCACCCCATCCACACTCAAAAAAGAAAACTACTTTCAAACACTTAAATTATCGGGATGGCACAAATATATAATTCTTGAACTGATGCACGATCCATATTCAACTTGGCCGACTGAGCTCCTTTATAGTGTCAGGTCGACGCTTTCTTAACATCGAGATTCGGACAGCGTAAGATGGAAAAGACAAAAGCAAACTCGAAATGACGATGCTGTAACCAAAATTTAGCAACATATCGTTCATTTCTTCTCACGACTACAAAGCTCCGAAAAGGGATCCCTATCGATATATGTTACTACATGGGCCGATTCGTGGGTGCCCTTGCGCACGAGACGAGGATGCCATGAATGATGGTTTATTGCTCCTCATTTGGTATTTCATGTCAACCATGGTATGTATAGGGATAGATATCAACGTTATGTTGAATCAGATGTATATTAATCGCAACCTTGTCAGGCTCGATTCTATAGAAACAAATGCTACTCTTCGGGTATCAATTGTAAACTACTGGTATCTGCATACCTATGGTGTGTATGCATAGTTTCAGCTCATCGACTGGCCTATTGACCCGCTTGTGACACCCCAGACAGATCCCTGAGCTCATCATGCAGAGTGACAGCATCGGTGGATCTACCACGAAGTCAGCCGTACAGGGACTATCCGGGTAACGCGTCAGCCACCCGATGCATCTAGATCATCTGAATGTTCATGGTCACTTGCGTCACCAGCCTGATCTTGATATGCTCCTCCAGACATGAGAGTGTCTCGCACTCTGCAGAGACACGCGATACGATGTAATTTCCGTTTCTCCTCAGGTCCTTGACTAGGCGCTGGCTGTAAAGTAACGTTGGCACAATTTGCCACAAAGTACCTACTCAGCGTAAGCACGTTCTAATCACACTGGTCAATATTGATAAGAAATATTACGTCGTATTACTGAATTTAATCCCACGCGTAACGTGATGTTTCCAAAACACTGCCTGTTATGTGCTGCTGAGCGTTTCTCCCACCGAATGACAAAATCCCAAACAGCAACTATACTCCTTGTGGTATTCTCCCCAATTTCCCGCTGCGCCCCAAACGCCTTATCCTCATTTCTCCATGTCACCTATTTGCTGCCGCCCAGTCCGGGAATGCTCGACAGCCCAGACGGGATATACCCTCCCTTATCATCCTTCCCACCGCGCTCGGCACGGTTAATACCCTCCTTGGAAGCGATATCGCCGACAGGCTGTAGTAGTCCTCCCTGTCCGACTTGACCAGAGACGAGGTTGTGGACGCCATCTTGTAAGGTGTCGACTTGCTTGACGCCCGTTACTTTGGATTTGTCGAGAGTGTCTGTTCAATAATCCGTCAATACCAGCTACCGAGTCTTTCATAGAAGGAAAGATTAGGTGGACATACCCTTGGTGGCATAACTGGCCTTGTTGTCCTTGGTAAAGTACTTGAGGAAGTTGTCCTCGATCCAGGGCATCCAAACCTCGTACTGCTGGTTGTACTTCTCCTTTGCCCACTCTATGTACGTTTGCTTCTTCTCGTGGTCGCTCATCTTGTTGAAATTCTCTGGTGGCTGGAAGGAGTCGGACATTTTGATAGGTATTTGATTGGGTTACTTCCTGCGGTAATGGGAAGTTAGTACAGCAAATACCAGAGTCTCACGGCGCCAGGCGATGCGACTCACAATAAGCCTACAACTTGAAGGATTACAGCTTCTGTTCAGGTTCAATAGTTCAACAAGTGAAGGTGATAAAGAACATCAACAACATAAGAAATCGCACTCGGAATGGCAGATGCGTTCAGCCGCTCGTTTTAAACTTCCCCCCAAATTATTGCCTACCTCATTCCAGCGCCGTCACTGCTCCAGCTTTATCCTGTTTTCTGTCTGCGTCACTCGCGAGGTGTATGTGGCTGCCCTTTACGTCATGCCACCCAGCTTGTTCCAGTCTTGAGTTGATTCGCCAACATCCTTGAAACGCGCTAGATAGGACATCCCAGTTCTTTTCGGCCGGCCCTGTGCTTCTGAGTGGACATGGGGAAGACAGGGGTCCGACATGCCTCCGATCGATCGCTCGGGGCACCTGATCCAACTTTCGTGATGGACATGGGGGCCGGGATTAATTAGTGGCCTTACGCCTTGTTTTGCTGGGGTTTTGCTGGGGTTCGATGAATATGGATGTGATTGTGGATCGAGCTTTCCGGTCATCTTGCAACAGCCAGGCAGCTGGAGGTTGTTAGCCTTGGGCAGCTGCCTTGGGCAATCTGCATGCAGTATCGCCCAAGGCCAAGTCCATCGCTGTTGGTCGTACGTATTATCCTAGATATTTAGAATCGGCGACAACGGCTGAAGGTCCCACACTGGTGCCTCGAATCATCCGCACCTCTCCTATGTTTCGCCAGGTAAGAGCGAAAGCTCAACAGCATTGTTATACCTACGAGACGTTCGTGCCTGCTATACATATATATATGTCTAAGTCCATTACGGGGTGCACGGCTATCTGATGTAGGGCCTGTATGGTCCGCGCCCTGTGAAAGCACCAGGATAACAATATTAATTTGTGGGGGAGGGGAAAGATATGAAGAGAAGACAAACAGCGGCGGGGTAAATTCATGAGGCAGATAATACATCATCGTCTTCACATGATGTTCTAGTCTTAGAATGAGATCCTGGTGAAGCAATCTTATCCTTATTCCTCGCCTCTATATCATGTCTACACAGGCGAAGTCGTCGTCAACCACCCCTGACTCCTAAACTCCAAATCCACATCCAGATTCCTTGTCCCAACCGCCCCCGTCTCCATCTCTGTACCCCTGTCCCTATCCCTTTCCCTATGCTCCTCAACATCAATATCACACGTAACCTCCGTTGTAATCATAATCCCCTCCAGCTCCGGCTCCCCTTCTGTCCCTGACACTATCCACTTACCGCGTGTACCCGGCGGACACACCTCAACCCGACACGTCGTTCCGATCTCACTAGCACTGAACTTGTTGCTATTAGTAATATCACCATCACCACTACCACCACTACTGCCACTACCGCCAATATCACCATTACCACCAATACTGCCACTACCGCCATTATCACCACTATCGCCACTATCGCCACTATCGCCACTATCGCCAATAACAACACCACACGGAAACGACCGCGTAATTGTGAGCCAAGCCTGCCGATCCTCGTCGCCGAGTGTGGGTTTCGTGGGTACTGATCGTGATCCCAGAGGCGTGTTCTGGTAGTTGCTGGGGACGTGACGGACGAGCTGTCGGAGGGAGGGGAGGCAGGAACACATTATCAGAGTACTGACTTCGGTTTGGGACCAGATCATGGGTTCAGCTAGGTCATCTTTGAAGGCAGTGTGTCAGTCTTTTGATTACGACTGGTTCGTACTAGTGTTCCTCTTTGTTTCTTCTCCAATGTGGATGATTGGTGTTAGCCGAACAGCAGTCGTACTTACGAAAGTGATCGTGGCCGAGGTGCATGACCAAGGAAATTCGAAGGCCTGAGGTGATGACGACGCTGCAATGGGTGTTAGCGAAGACCCCTAACTTGAGGCGGGTATGGAGGGGGACTCCACGCACAGCAGACCCAGAGACATCATGCCAATCAACCCCAACCGTTTTTCCAAGGGCAGATGCAGACGCCACATCCATGGAATCGGCTCGACGAATAGTATGAGATCAAACACCAGGTTCAGCGTAAACTATCAAGGTAACGTCTGGTTAATACCGCAATGCGGACGAAGAAGGACAGCGGCCTGTTGATTGGGTCAAACGGCATGGGCAATGACCTACCCCCGTATACCAAATAGGCTGCAGTGGGATACAGCTCCCCGGGACCGTTGGGGCCCATGCTTTCTTCATGGGTCGACATTGGAAGACGACGAAAAACGTCTCCTCCACGGCCTGAATAGCCAGCAAGACAAGAATTGACTTGTTTAGTATGACTAGAAACCGAGGGCCAACTGGATTGAGAAGACGGAGGTAGAGGACGGCGAAGGAGGCTTTGGCGAGGGTGATGGAGCAGCTGTACGTGATGGACATGACCATGATGAGCTTGGTTCAGGCATCGTCAGTAAGAGTAAAAGATAGTTCGTGCTGGATGTCAAATTCGGGAACAACATATATACCTGTGACAAATAGGGAAGATTGGCTTCGTCAAAATTCTCGTAAGACAGACCAAAGCCTACGTGAGTCGCTGGGCAAGAGCAAGATCAGTATACCTGCGCCTTGCTATCCGCGGAGGCGGAGAGCATCGCCTACCCGAGATCACAGTAACATTGAACGCCAATGCGAAAGCCTTTCATGTAGTTCAGCTCAAAGTCGGCGATCGCCATAACATATCAAGACGGGTAGGGCGTTTTACCCAACTGAGAGTAATGAGTCCTGTTATGCTGTCAACTGATACCATTCATCATAGAGCCCCAAATGAAGGCATACCATCCTCCCATCCGACATTCCTCAGGACCCCCAAGCGTACCCGTAACCTTCCTACAATTGAGATGGTGGTGCCAACGATCAGCAAAACCGACACTACGTATAGCGCTTCCGGGAGTTTATCTTTCCTAATCATGTTTCCTAATCATGGTGGTGCGTTGGCAAGATGGCTAGAACTTTGCGCAGCAACGCACAAGGAAAACACAAAGGAAAGACAAGGGAACGAACAGACCAAATGAAGGTAGATTCAGCCGAAGTCCTCGAGCCCACTTCGAATGGTCACCGCAAGTGATCTCATACTCCAGTCGAGTTATTCTTGGCCCAGCGGATGAAAATTCAACCCAGGTCATGCAATCTGCCACCCCGGGGCAACAGTCGTATTACAAACCAATGACGGCTCCATAGAGGCCGCTCGCTGTACGAGATCGGATCTATACTGGAGACGGACTCGTCTGAACCAGCATATAATACTCGGCAGATGTCCGTCATGGTAAGATACAGTAGCCAGGACTTACTTGTGTTCTACGTTCGTATTCGACCCCCGCAATCCGCCATGACTGGTAACGCGCCACATGCTGCCACCGACCCACAAATTATCTTGTGTGAAAGGCGGAGCTAATGCGACGGAACATACCTCGATTCGCGAGCCGATTCGGCCCAGCACCCTATCTTCGCGACACCGTTGATATGTAAACCTCATATCCTCTCGCGTTTGATCGCTGTAGGAATAGAGTTTGGACTCCGGCACTTTCGAATGTTCTCGGCTCCCGCGGATGTCAGTCTCGAGTCATATAACTTGGAGATAACTAGTCTCACTGCAGTCGCGAGTCATACATCGAGGAAAAGATGGCGGCCGATGTTCCTCATCACTCTATTGGATATTGGGGAAAAAAAGTCAGACTCACCGCATCGCTATTACATATTTTCTCCCATATCGACTCAGCATCGAGGAATTCTACATTAGGCCAGAGGAACTGGTGGCTTGGAATCCAGGGTCACTGTACCGGCTGATCCGTGAAACAAGAACCGACGTCGGGAGGTAAAAGGCGGGATTCTTCCCGAAATCAACTAGGCGTGCGATACGCGACGTCATGAGGTGCTAGGAAGGCCTTTTCGAAATCAGTTCGAAGGACGAGCACCCTCACTTCCCCCACTTCCCCCCCCCCCCCGGGGCAGACTACACAGAGTCCTGCTGGCTCCCCAAATGGCAACCACTCGCTACAATGGCATCGAACATGACCAAGATCATCAAATTGCGACGGAACCATAAGTATATAATCGAAAATATATGGCAAAAGAAATCAAACTTTCAATCCGGACAAACACTAAGAATCGAACACTCCGTACGTCCAATGATGCTCATTGCGATGTAGAATCTAGGAGCAATATATCCAAGAAGATCTAGGACAGATCTCTAATTCTAGGTTCGAGATTCGATGGCGGATTTAATGGCTGTGTTCGAGTCAGTACAAGTGGCTTTGGCGCTTACATTCAAAGAACGACAACATACCATCACAAGTAATTTTAGCATCGCCGAACAGCATCTTGGTCCCCGGCATGTAAAACATGGGGTTTGGCACATCAGCTATGTCCACATTAACCGCCGATTCAAGAATCCAGGAGTTTAGGGCTTACCGTAGCCACTAGCCATACCGCGCTTCATCACGATAACCTGCTTGGACTTCCACGCATGCAGCACGGGCATACCCGCGATGGGACTCCCCGGCTCCAGTGCGATGGGATTGACCGTGTCATTAGCTCCAATGACAAGAACAAGATCGGTTTCCGAGAAGTCATCATTGATCTCTTCCATTTCCAGAACGATGTCGTATGGCACGCTTGCCTCGGCGAGGAGCACGTTACACTGGCCAGGCATGCGTCCGGCAACGGGGTGGATGGCGAAGCGGACATTGATGCCTTTTGCACGCAAAGTGCTGGTAATCTCGCTGATGGCATACTGTGCCTTGGCAACGGCCATGCCATAACCCACGACAATGATGACGCTCTCCGCAGTAGTGAGCGCGTCAGCTGTGTCTTCGATATTGGTCTGAGTTACCGAGCCCTCAATCTTGTATTCGCTTGCCGTCGGTGCAGCTATACCGCCGAAAAGGACGTTGGTCAGAGATCGATTCATTGCCACGCACATTACGTAGGAGAGAATGGAACCGGAGACTCCGATCAATGCGCCCACTGTCGTTAGAAGCGGATTTTCAAGCATGAAGCCTTCGGCCACCAGGGCAAAGCCGCTGTATGCATTCAACACGGTAATAACGACGGGCATGTCAGCTCCTCCAATGGCAGCCGTCGTGGTGAAGCCCTTTGCGAATGAGAGGATTGTGTTTGCGCTCAGAGCAACAGCAGCGATCATGGGCGAGCCGGGAGCCATGGTAACGAAAGCCCCCATGGTGGCCACGTTGGTGGCGAACATGCCCGAGTTGATGAAGTGGCGGCCAGGAAGATACAGCGGTCGAGAGGACATCCTGCCTGCCAGTTTCATGAAGGCGACAATTGATCCGGTGAATGTAATGCCACCAATCAAGACACCTAGATACGCAGTCACAAGATGAAGTGTAGAGACGTCGGGCAGATGGCCCATAACACTGCCTATGCTTGTGAGCACGGCAGCCAGGCCCACAACCGAGTGAAGGGCTGCAACAGTCTGTGGGAGATCAGTGGGCGTGATGCGCTTTCCAATAAGGAAGCCCGCAATACTGCCAATGGCAGCGAGGCCACCGAACTGGGCGAGGACTTCAGGAGAGAAGCCGACGGCAAGCAAGGATGCGAGAACACCGGAGCCAACGCCGAGGATTCCCATAAAGTTGCCCATACGAGCTGTGGCTTGCGATGCCAGACTCGAGATGGAACTAATGCAAAGCACTGAGCTGACCAGGTAGCCGGCTTGGACAAGACCAGCAGCACCTGTTGAGGCAGCTGCCAGGAATCCACCGCCGAATAAAACACCAGGGATAGCGTAGAGCCAGGGATACTCTGGGGGGTCGGTAGGGCCTACGAATCATGAGCAAATGATGTACTTCACGTCAGGGGCAACTCACGCTTGAACATGTGCAGCATTCGCTTGGTAATAACAAAGCCACCCGAGACATTCACAAAAGCAAGAAGAACGGACGCTGCCCCAAGTGTTTGCGGGAATGTATCGGGTAGATAGCCACCGCCCATCACGAAGAATCCACCAATGCCAACCATTCCTGGCCATTGTTAGTGAGATGATAGCAGCATCGACAAACTCGGAATCATACCAGAAATAGCATTGGTAACACTCATCAGGGGGGAGTGTAGGGCGGGTTGGACACCCCAAACCACCCTGTAACCGATCAGCGAAGCCAAAGCAAAAGTGAATGCGTTGCCCATGAACATAGGACCAGTCAGTTTGCCAAGAGCAAGGACAGAACCCATCCCAGCCGCAACTCCAGCGACTTCGCGGGAAGTCTTCTGAAAGGGCGAAAGTGCAACGACTTCCGCTTCTTTCACTGCTGGCTTGGCTGCTGGAGCTGGCGGGGGTGCAGGTCGCGAGGCTGGAGGTAGGATGTCCCCCTTGAGTGTTACAATCGCGCCGCGAACCACCTCGTCAGAGAGGTCAACACCGAATGATTTCTCCTGGGGGGCCATGGACAGAAGGAACTTGACGATGTTATTCGAGTACAGGGTCGATGATTGGGTAGGGAGCCTCGAGGGAAGATCAGTGTAACCTTCATTTGGTCAGCAATGTGGTATATGTGGGGTTGAGATAAGCTTACCGATGATTTTCACGTCCTTATAATTGACAAGCTTGCCAGGTTCGGTCTTCTCACAATTGCCACCAGCTTCAGCAGCTAGGTCAACGATGACTGAGCCAGGTTTCATTATCTCAACCATCTGCTTCGTAATGAGTTTGGGCGCAGGCTTGCCAGGAATTAGCGCAGTGGTTATGATGATGTCAACATCGCGGGCTTGCTCGGTGAAGAGCTTCATCTCAGCGGCAATGAATTCTGGTGACATCTCCTTCGCATAGCCTCCGGCACCTGAACCGTCCTCTTGGATTTCGACCTCGACGAATTCAGCTCCGAGGGACTGGACCTGCTCCCGAGCAGCTGATCGTGTGTCAAATCCGCGAACAATTGCTCCCATGCGGCGCGCCGTCGCAATCGCGCTCAACCCGGCCACGCCAGCACCAATGACGAGGACTTTGGTGGGAGGAATCTTGCCCGCGGCGGTAACTTGGCCTGTTAAAAACCGCCCGAAGACGTTGGAAGCTTCCAGCACAGCTTTGTAGCCAGCAATGTTGGCCATTGAGCTGAGGGCATCAAACACCTGCGCACGTGAGATACGCGGGATCATGTCCATCGCAAACGCTGTCACCTTTCGGGCGGCGAGACGCTGGACAATGTCCCTGTTTTGGGCCGGTTGGAGGAACGATATGATTGTCGCGCCCTCCTTCAGCCGGTCGATCTCAGTGAGGTTCGGTCCACGGACCTTGAGCACAATGTCGGCGGCGGACCACACTCCGCCGGCGTCGACCAGTTCGGCCCCGGCCTTGTCGTAAGCCTCATCAAGGAAGTCTGCCTGCGCACCGGCACCTCGCTCGACGATGACCCTTCCGAAGCCCTTCTTTTTCAAGAGGGCGACATTCTGCGGTGAGATAGCGACTCGCCGCTCGTTGGCAAAGGTCTCACGCGGTACCCCGACAGTGAGATCTGCATAGGGCCGTGAGGGAGTCTCGGCAGCAGTCGAATATGCTGTCGTGGGAATCGTGACTGGCGCCGCGTTTTGGTGAGCCCGGTCGCACTTAGCGATGGCGGGCAACACGGTTGGCTTCCTCACTCGGGTGCTGTGCCATTGCTTTTGGCATGTAACCGCGACTCTAGTGATTGGCGGCGAGTCTACGAGAGCTTGCTTAGCACCAGAAATCGCGAGCTCCAAACAAACTTGGGGGAAGTAACAAACCTAAAACTCGCAATAGGGCGCCCCTCACAAGGGACTCAGAGGGGCGGGAAAGTACTTGGCCAGCAGCCAGAGACGGCCGCAGAATCGAGGGCGACATCGTGTCGGCAGAGCACAACGACGGCCTGCCAGACAGAGGAGAAGTCTGTGGTCATCCGTCATCCGCAATATCTCCTGGGGATATTCGGATAGCCTCGTCTTGGTCATGAGAGGGGAGAACTCAAAATGGAGGAAATTTGTAGGCTCGCGTGGTAATGGATGGCTGGGATCGGATCAGGCTAGATCTTCCCCTCCCGCTCGTCGCTCGAACGGTCCGGCGCAATGTGTCGCAGAATCACCTGCACAACCGTGGCAGACTTACACCAACAAGCCTGATGAAGCGTGGGCTAATGAAACACTTAGGCACCGTCCCCCGCGTTGATGGTTGGCTCGGGGTTAAAACAGCCGGGAAAGTTATGACGGCAGTAGCGAATTTGCCTCAGTGGAGGCCGAGTCAAGGACATCACATATGGTGGGAATGGCACGTGCGCTGACTTATTTGTGGGGTGCAGCCAGCCAACGCTGGCTGCGGGGAAAACGTGGTTTGTCCGGCGATCACCTCGTCCCACCTTCCTCTCGTCAAGCTCAAAGTCTCACACCAAACATCCTATTTTCCACCATTTGGGTGCTGATGCGATGAAGTCGGGCAAGGGGGGTGGGGGCCGTAATAAGCATGTGAATGGCCGGCTGTGGGAGACAAGAGCAATGCCAAAGGATTATTGATAGTTTCATCTGATGTGCTTGACAGCTCCGTGACATTCAGAAAATCGCCATTCAGTGCTGAAACTGATGGATTTATTGGTTCATCATCCATTATCTTGGGATAATTGGCTAGCCGCTTATGTGATCGCCTGCAACCCATGATTTGCTCCCCAGCGTGATATACATAGGCAGATGTGTGTAAGTATTTAGAGTACAGGGGTTCCTAGCCAATTGACAATACTTATTCCCTACGTCATGTTCTTCCGGTTGCAATTATTATCACTCCCCTGTCAATAGTATCCTGATTTGACACCAGGGTACTTTTTGAAAAGGGTTTCCCTAGTCATGCACTAAATGTTTCGAATCAATGCAGTCCAATCTATAAACTACTTGAGTTGCTTTTGGGACGCAGCAATATCACAACTCCGTATTTCTGAATCATTTATACCTAAAGGGGATGGCTCAGTAGGTGTTTACCGAAAGGTGAACTTCGCTATCTATACTCACATTTGTGTCTAAGGTACAATCATAGAATCTGCCACTAGAAGTTACCCGACAGCAAGGCAGATGCTTGTGGAACAGAATCGTGTATAATTGTGAATATATCATTGCCACAATCACCTGTTCATTCATTTTAAACAGTGACAGTGGCATGGGAACGACGGGCACATATTCATAAATATGTTGGATCTTCTGGCCTATGATCGTACCAGCAACCTCGACCTTTGCCAGAAATGAAGAAAACATCCATCCTCTGTAACGATCCGAAACGACGCATACATACCATCGTAAAAACATAAAGGAGCCCCAATGAATGCCGCCTGCCTCGAAAAGCTTCCTCTCGAGCTTCTGAAAAAGATTGCCGATTATCTTCCTCCATGTTCTGTTGCTGCCGCAGGTATAGCAAACAAAGAGATGCAAGAGCGAGTAGGTTCCGAGTTCTACCAAAGCATGGCAAACGAAGACCGAGCCGATTTTGCAAAGCTGCTAGACCGGGACTTCGAGAATATCTGGTGCCACTGGTGCGAAACCCGGCACTCTCCTATCCTTTCGGTTCTCGCCATCAAAGGTGGGGTATGCAAATCGCCCAGCGATCTCACCGGATTTGGATCTACTGGTCTCCCTAGAAACTGGCATCCGAATCTGTTGGTCGGTCTAGCTAAGTACTGCCGAGAAGGCCGCGATACTGCGGAGTTGGAAGCCTTGCTCTCCGTACCCCGCAAGTCACAGGAGAATCATGGTGTCGGTTCAAACATATCATGGGAATCTATTGTCACTAATGAGCATGGCATGTTTGCCAGAAGGGTAGAGGTGTTGTTTCCACTGACCAAGCGCTGCAGAGCCGTGGCTGCCTTTAAACAGTGCTGCCATCGATACGTTCGCCTAAGATTTGAGCTAATAATGAAATGGGACGCCAGGGGTATTCAGTTCCGGCGTGGCCCAACTGCCCTTATTGAACCAGAGGGATGGAGAGTTGGTCCCGTCGTGAGCGAAGTTGATGGATGCCCAGAATGCCATCGGGATTTCCGCGTCATGCTGCGGACACCTGGAGAGAGCAATGCTCCTTGTGTCTACCTCACAATCTGGTATTATCTGGGATCGGGCGACTTTGCTCTTGATATTGTGAACCGAATGCAGAGACCACTGAGAAGAAGGTTGGGACCGGGGGTTGGACATGTTTGTCGGGAGTCAGGAATGTTTACCGAGGAGAATATCTCGGTAAGACCACTGGCCAGTGATTTGGAAGACGCTGCTTCAGAAATAGAGGAATGAGTGACTTGACTTGATCTACTCACTATAGTAAGCGTTAACAATGGAGTTATCTCGGAATTTCATCGTTTAACTTTGGTATGAATACCTCAGGGTAAAAGTAGTGAGTTGAGGCCATACAGATAGTATCAAGTGACTGAGGCTTGTGTACCCTGTCCTATTGGGTCACTTCGGTAACTTTTTGACCTAGTTAATGGCTAGTTTGTGAGGAAGATAGGTTCTCACTGAGAATGTGCTTTAAAACGGCACAAGTGATGGTGGTTTTGGACGATGACAGAAGCTTAGATAAATCTTCATCATCCTGTGATTAACTGCTACAACGCTCCAAAACTTTCGAGATTTCATATGGAAGCGCATTGTTCACGATGGAGCAAGGTGTTTCTTCGACCCTCCATTTGCGCGAACGATGAGACTCGTGAATTTTGTCAAGCGATCGAGACCTGGACGATACAGAACTGCCGTGGAGCAAGGAAAAAGGAGGGGGTAAAAAAGAAAAGAAGAAGAAAAAGAAGAAAAAATTGATCAGGAATTTGACACAGACTCGGATCTCCAAAAAGTCATGTTGCGTGCGCAGAGGTCGAAGATCCCCAAACCATGCAGCGGAAGTTTTGCCGGTCTGTCAAGGGCGATGCACATCAATGAAGTCGCCTAGCGTGACGCTTGCACAGACTGGCCCGTCTCCTAATCACTTTTCAACGAATATGCAAGGCAGTAAAGCTTGTGAACTTGCGGTGGCACTTTCCAACTTCCGAGTTGACTTTAGTGTAAGCGTCGTGGTTGCGGCTAAATTCGTTCGAGCGAGTCACCTGATGGCGCGATTAGAAGACGCGTGTGAGATTCGCAGCTGCTGTTTTTAGCGTCCTCCGTCCCATGCAAGTCTCATCCACGGATCTCGAATTTCTTGACGCAGTCAGCTTCAACCTTTCCACTCTCCCCAGACTCCTCAAATCATCCAACGGCAATATGAGGACAAGCAGACGATAATGGCACCGCGCAAGCCCCTCAAAACCCTTGGGAAGGCAGAAGGATGCGCATACAGCGGTTGCAATGAGAGCCAAGATACACAAGAGAAGTTCACTGAATGCTATCTTGAACATGGTATCCGCGTGGTAAGGTGGGCCTGATCGGCGACATGCCCCTGCCCGCCACCATTGTCAGCACTGACCATTTCGTGAAGTACAGCAGTTCAACGGGACCAGAACAACGCGTACCATTGCCAGGACATGGTATTATTTCTAACCTGAAGAGCTACTCAGTTGTCACTGACTGAAGTTCTTGCAGGAGCAGCTAACACCCATGCTCGGTCTTCCGAATTTTGGAAGCCCGACGACCCCCGCCAGGTAAGGCTGCGCAAATATGTCGGTGGTTTGCAAGGATGTCACTGACCAGCAATGATGGAATGTTGTAGGTTCGAAACGCGCCCAAGAGATCGCGTCTGCTTCCAGCCGAAAAGTCAAAGCCGAAGGCTTCGTCGCCAGTCGCAGAGCCTCGCCGATCCAAGGGTAGCCAATGCCCGCTTCTCACCTCACTCAACTGGGCGACAAAAGAAACTGGCGCGAATGCATCTGCGAGCGATGCCGACGCACCTGATGCTTTGGTAACGAACGATGCATTGCCCCCAAGGCAAGCACCGCGGGCGACAGCACCGCTGAAGAAAAGGAAAATGGACAGCTCGCAGTCACCAACGCAGTCAAACGATGGCCGCAGCTACAGTCAGTATCAAGATAACGATTTTCCGTCTGACCATCCCGCGGGAGAAGATGGACACGAGACTCAGTCCACCCGCGGCGACTCTCCGCATCGGACCCTTTACGAAGACGACACTGGTGCTGTAAAGTTTAACCTACCTGCCTACCAAAACTTGCGTGCAGACTTCTCCCAAAATGACGGGGACGAAGATTCTCCAGAGTCGGCGCACCACTCTGCGATTACCCCGGAGACGCCGGCGGTGGGTCCACGGCTTACATTCCAGAATGGAGAAGCGTCAGTGCTGGGAGCATCACAGCTTTTCGCGCAAACGCAATTTACATCGGCTGTCAAGAGGGTCTCCCCTACTTCATCGAGGCCGTCACCCTTTGTTTTCAACGACAACACGATATCCCCCAACAATCTCGAGTCTCCCTTAGGAGGCCGCGGTCTACGAACTTCACCATCCCTCGGCGTGGCTTCGAGCCCCAACCTCCTGACCACCTCATCTAAGCCGATAGTCGATTCTCAAGATGCAATCACTGTTCCCGAGTCCCCGCGGCTCGGGCCTCGCAAAGCCAGGACCATTCCTGAACCAATTGGTTCATACAGTGGCTTTCTCAATGCGCAAAAGGTGCTGGAAGAGAGTGAAGATGATGATTTTGGAAGTGACGGCGAGATTCAACGACGCCGTTTGGCGAAAATGAGACAGGAGGAAGCAGTGAGGCGTTGCGCTTCTATCAGCGTCGCACGTTCCAGCAGCATTCCTCGCTCAAGTAGCAAGGGCCCCGAAAATGTTCATATCGAGGTCCCGTCCACAAATCATGAAACACATGAAAAGAAAGTGACCGAAAAGAAGGCAACAGAGGACTATCTTAAGCAGCGCTGTGGGAAGTATGAGGCCGATAAGGACGACTCGGAAGAAACTGAAGAACATGCTGAAATTGTGGCCGACTCTCAAGAGCTCGCAGTTCCTACGCCGCCACAGCCACCGCTGCTCGAGATTCAGGAGAGCAACACCCTTCAACTTGACACGCCAAACGAGAAACACCCGGTCGAGGTCGCAGGCCAGCTCACTAATGACCCAGCGGATCCTATCTTATCCACGAACACGACCGGAACTAGTGGTACCAAGGAGGTAATCCCTGAGACTAGCCCGGCTGGCACATTCAACGAACCTGCACCACGGCTACCTGAGCATAGCATCACTCCTCTTGTAGCGTCGGGAGTGGCACGCCGAGGGTTGAAAATACTTGCCCCTCCAGCCTCAAGCCCGCGAGTATTTGAGGATTCGGATAAATTAGCTCCTACACAGAGCTTACCGGCACCGAGCACCATGCATTCATCTCCTCCACGACAATTATGTGCTAGCACACAACCGTCCTCTAAACCAGCCGGGCCTCGTCGCTCGTCACGTCAATCAAGCAGCATGAGGGTAGTCACACCTACAGCAGCTCCCAGCGCGTCGCATGCTCCCCCAAGTGCCACATCTACTCTCTCAGCACTTTCTACCACGCCGAATATGTCGTCTAGCACAACACCGAATACGGAGGTTGGGCATGCAAGTAAGATGCATTCGTCACCGTCAGTGACCAAAGCGAAAACGTGCTCATCCGCTTCGAAGGCTGTCCAAGCGACAGCCAAGCAGTCAGTTCCTGATGGTAATGAGACTCATCCGCCTTCCCCAGCAAGTAACAGAATGATACATCGTTCTCCGCTTACAACTTATTCTTATCGCGCTAGACAGCGGATCAGGAGGGATTCGAGTAGAACAACACGTCATCGCTCCGCTTCGACTGATGAACTTGCCCCGTCGCCTTCAGAATCATCCACCCGGTCAAGGTCCTCAAGGTCATTCACTCAGAAAGCGACAAAACAGATGCATGAGGAGTCTGCAGATACCGGTGGTATCTTCCAAGGGATGGCGTTCGCCATATCCTTTCAATCGAAGCAGCCCCATGAAGCCTCTGAGAAGTACAACGAAAGGCTCGAGCAGAGCAAATCTGTCCAGCAGATGATTCTGCAAGGCGGAGGCAAGGTCCTTACTGGGGGTTTTAGTGAACTCTTCGAAGTTAGATCTTTGTCCTCGGGCCCATCGTCTGCATCAGTTCTATCCGGTGATTTGAAGCTGAAACGCCGTGTCATGGATACTGGGTTCACAGCCCTGATTGCCGATGGGCATTCGCGCAAGGTGAAGTACATGCAGGCTCTTGCTCTTGGGTTGCCCTGCCTAGCATGCAAGTGGATATTAACGTGCGTGGCGAAAAACTCTTTGGTGGATTGGTCTTCTTACGTTCTATGCGCAGGACAGAGCAAGATACTAGGAGATGCCATCCGGTCTCGTAATATATTAACATATGATGCTTCGAGTGCCAGGCTGGCGGAGGTCATAACTCGACGACCTATGCTGCTGGATAAGACCGAGATTTTGCTTGTTATGAAGAAGTCCAGGTCAGAAGACAAGCGGATGGAATACGTGTTCCTGGCTCAAGTCCTCGGAGCGGACCTTTTTAGAGTCTTTACTGTGGACGAGGCTAGAGTTAAGCTTCGTGAGAGGGAAGACAAAGATAACTCTCGACCTTTCGACTGGGTCTACGTTGATGACCACATGGCTAATGTTGAGGGTATTTTTGGAGCCGGCAAGGACGGATCTGGGCCGGCTCAATCAAAGAAACGCAAGCGCCCGAGCACAGGCAGATCGGCTGTTCACGACGACGGCCGACTACCGAAACGAATTAGGACTCTGACTGACGAGCTTGTGGTCCAAAGTCTGATTTTAGGCAGGATGATCGAAGACGGGGAAATGGAGGAGTGATGAAATGCTGGATCAAAGGTTACGATTCACGCTATTATACCAAGTGGCATGGCGTCCTGGGGAAAGCATATGAGATGCCATTATTCTGTTTGCTGTCATTAGCGGCGTTAAAGGCCAATGGAACATGTGTAGAGTCAGCATGCAAGGTTAATAATTATCGGCATTCATATGTCGATCAACGTGATCGCATTGCGGCACATATCGACCAACTGAAATGACCCCTAACTTTGGATATATCTAGTACTGTCCTATACAACCCTTGCAGTACATTCATACTTGCAACTGCAGTCACTCGCCTTGCCAACCGCTTGGAACGTTTCAACTTGATATGGATTTGGGCCATCTTAAGGGTCATGTCTCATACGAAACCAATTGAAGACAGAAACCTGTTCCCCAAGACCGGCCAGCCGGCATATCGATAGTAACCGAGTCAAATGTCGGCCCGGCTTAAGTCCACGGACACCAGTGACTATTCCTCGTTTTTGCTTCCCGGGGAGGGGGAGTGGGAGCGGGCCGTGCACCACCATGTCATGCCGGTTTGTGATCTCCGGCTTGTTGACCCTGTCCCAGTACACTGTGGTCCTGCTGCACTCTGTTCACGAGTCGAAAACAAGGAAATCCAATCTGTCGAATGTTCTGACCTGTACGTCAGTGGCACTCGGAAGGGTTGTTATCTACTGCATGCGCCGCTGCCGGAGACATGCCCGTGTTTATGGGGTCTCGGCCGGGGTGGGAACGAGTTGTGGGATGGAACTGAAGAATTTGTGACGCGATCGAGTAATTGCTGGCTTCATCGGAAAGGTCTGGGGTCAACGGCATTTTCCTGGCTTGTCACCTTATAATTGCGATCGATACTGATATCTGAATGGTTCACGAGTGTGACAGCAAAGGAAGAAGGAGCAAAAGCCTGGAAAAAGTTGGAACGGACGTTGGATTTCCCGGTTTTTGACAGAGGTTGATAAGATGGCATTGAATGAAACGCCTCGAAAGGCGAGGTGAAGTCAAAACAGAGGAGCTAGGTGTATGTTCGTGCGGAAGTGCAGGTATGTCTAGCACTGGTGTCAAAGTGCGAGCGAACGGATCAGGCGGGAGTGAAACGAAAGAGCGTGGAGAGGAACTGTTTCAAGACTTTCGAAAATAGTTTCTAGTGATGAGTTGGTGCTAGCTACGGTAGCTATTTGACATTGTCAGAGAACTATGGCCTCTAGCGTCGCCACTATTGTCCCGTCTATGCGCTATCTGAGGGGCATGCAGCACTACTGTAGCTGGTTTCGAGATCTCAGATGGAGAAAAAGCTTGGTCTAGTACGATTTCAACGTCGCACCAAGGGGTGTTACAGACGAACCGAATTGACTCTTCTGCGACATATGGTCACAGAGAGGTTGGTGCTGTTGTGTCATGGCACTTCGTACCTCTAGTGCCTGTCAATGAGCTCACAATCTCGACCAGCATCTGGATTCAGGACTACGGCACAGACAAAAGCCAAGTAACTCCACGGCAGCCCCTTGGTGACTGGGTATGTAGGCTATCAGACGATTTCGTATGTACCCATTGGGATGCCGCGTATCGAGGTTCATTTCGCGTCGAGCAATTGCGACCATCAGCCTCCTCGCTCATGATAGGAACGCGGGGCAGCCGGTTTGGACATGCATGGTCCCATCGTGAGGTTGGATGTGCCCTTGATAGGACGAAACATGCAGCATGGATCTGGTATTGGCCCTTGGCCCTTGGGGGATTTGCAGTGCATCGGCGAGTTTCTTGATGTGTGAACTCAGCAAGCGTTGTCTGAGAGCGTATGTACCCAACTTGCATAGACCAATATGCGATGATAGTTATATGAAGTCTGACCTTGGACCTTGACCGCTCGCTCACCCGCATCGATTGAGCTCACTGTCGTGACTCCTTGAGGTCGCTTTTTCTGGCCTGCTGTGGCCCGCGCCAATACTTATCAGCGCAAGGCGTCCATGCATGTGTAGGCGGTGTCATCGGTCAACACCCGGTGCCCACTTCAACCAAGTCGGTTTCGGTGACACCGACTTTGTCTGTTCAGGACAGCAGCAGGCTGAGAATTGCTCAACACCACAAATTAAGCTGTGGTCCGACGGCACCTTGCAAGTTGAGCTCGCACGCCTCTCGGTGATCTGTAGTAGGCTATGAGGTCAAGTGGAGGGATTTTGGGTTGCAGCGCTAGCTTGATGGACTATAACTCGTAGCTAGTATAGCCTTTCGTCATGGGGAGCCAGATAGGGTTTGGAAAGTGTTAGAGGGACCCCAGTTACCCTTTCGGGCCGTGGACCTGGCACCAGAGGCTTAATAGCAGTTTGATATACCTCTTCCACTCAATTCTCTGTGACCCATAATGACGTGAGTTAGCGGAATCGAGTCTCGAGTCGCGACTCCTTCCAAGGTTTTACGACGAAATACTGTCGAAACGTGGTCACATCCTGACCAGCGATGGAAGCAGGAGACCGACCAGTCGTGGCACCAAACGAAGCGAACGAGATTTCAGAAACTGCGATAGGAAATTGAATCAGGAAGAGATGCGATGCAATCCGATAGATGACAACTCTAGACTCATAGGTATTGGGTCCTTGGTCGCCAAGTGTTGAAAAATGCGATGACCGCTTTTCCGGTCGAGACATGTGGCACTTGAGATAATGCTCTTTCCGGGATTTTCTCTGCGTTGCACCGAATCATTCGGCTCTCATCCAGCCTTCTCAAGCCCAAATGAATTATGGAGTTCTTGTTTTATTGCTGCTATCGGTCGCCTTGTTTGGTTGACCCCTCATCCCCGAAGCGCCCCAACCAGTACTGATTCAGTGTTGATCTCAGACCGAAAGCGGCAGAGGCTTGGTTAGACGCGCAGGGTATCGTGAACTCTACTTGGCTACGGAGTCGCCAACTCGACGGGGGGAATACGGATAAGGAAAAAAATAAAATAAAAAAAGAAGGGCCCGCAATATTGCAGCAGCGGCTGGATATGCAGTAGCCATCAGGGCAGTATTCCTTTGCATAAGGCCGAAAGCCCTCAAAACAAACTGCAACATTCCCCGCTTCGCGAGTATTGGCTCATTGCCGTAACGATTGTCATTCGGAGAGCTCTCGAGGTTGACAGCTTCAAAACCTCCATTCAACAAGAATCATCTCCGTCTTTTCCTCGGCTTCGAGGAACTCTCCGGGCGGGTCTCTCGTTCCTAGGCTCCAGCGCCTATCAAAAGTCTGTCGGTGGGTGTGGAAACACATTTAGCAACAGGGTGGGCAAGTCTGGATAGGTACGTTGCGTGCTGATCTCTTGTAATGGCGGACGCATATCGATGCAAGTACTTCTCACCCTGTCACCGTGCCAAAGTGGATATCATAGCTTCACCTGAACGTCGCAAAGTTGGAACGGGATCTAGCAGCCCCAGCTTAAGCCGGTCGCACCTTTGTGAATAGCGATCGTCAGTTTCCATGGCCTGTCATGTATGAAATCACCGACGTTCGTGACTCGAGCATGTCCTTTGCGGTCGAGATAGAGTGTATGAACCCGGGTTGTCACAAAATCTGTGGAGAGACAATTCACTCTCATCTTGTTTAGTCATTAGAATAATAATCACCAAGCAGAAAGATCACTTGAGGGGGAGCCCTGGGTTGACAAGGATACAATAGGACAGGTCGTTTTGCTCGCAGCTTGTTAGCCAGCCGCCGACCGCTTCAGGTGCTTCGGCAAGCGCATAATCGGCAAGAAAAAAAGGGCACAGTCGTCGAATCGGAAATCCCATGTCGACCACGACATTCCCATAAAGCATCGAAACCTTGGCATTTCGTCTTCCTTCCATCGGCCCCGCTTAGCACTTTGCGCTATTTGGCGCATAAGCTGACAGAAGGCCCGACGGACGATTCGACCAGTATCTAATATCGTACCAGACAACCAGAGACCAGTCGGCAAGACGGACAAGTATCTCCTTCGCTCCAGCACACCCTCACGAGCCTGTCTGGATCTGCCTGTGCAGCAGCAGATCTGTTGCATTCCCCCTTATCAGCCCTCGTCTATCTGCTCCCGCTTTCTCCTCAATCGTAATTCAGGGACCGTCTTTTTTTGTTGAAATTCAGGGTCCGCGGTCGTCTCTAAGCCTACCCAACGACAACACCAATTGTCCCAATCTCGATCCCTATACATTTTGTCGTCAGCCGAGCGCGCCTTCCTAATCCATCCGGCTCCTGCCAATCCAAGGAAAGCGGAGTGATCAACGCTGCGAACACCCCGCAACGGCAGTCGGCTGGCTGTCTGCGAACAAACCTGTCGCAAATTTACCAAACAAACAAGGCAATTGCAATCAACAACAGTCGTCATCGAGATCAATGCTGGCGATTACATCAATTCGCATTTACTACAGTGTTTGCGACATTGGTTGGCCGCCCAGCTTTACAAGCTGCTTAGTGGATCCAAGGATCATCCACACGGCGTTTTCGCGCTTTTCTCAACGCTAGCGCTCTGGAAAGCTTAGGAATTTCTGCGCTCTCAGCTTCCGCTGCCCTGTGCAGCCTGCCCTGGCTCTTGGCTTCGCAGCGCGCTACCATAGTACGGAATAGCGGCACCCATCTCGTCGCAGAAAGCAGGCACACAATCAGCACCAGCAAGCATCACCCCGAGTTCAGGTCTCCGTCTCAAGTTGATAGTTGGCGAACTATCTTCTCGGACCCCACTGCTCCGTGTGGTTTTGGTTTCCCTCTGCACCTGTCCCGCCCTCATCCCGGCTGCACCATCATCACCGTTCCGACAGGGGTTCGGTAGCAGTAGCAACAAGCTCGCGAGCACATCCCAACGAACCCGAGGAATTGGGCTTGTATCTGCACTCGGCTGGGTCCTGCGCTACATGAAATGACGCGCTACTCGGCCACTACATCATATCCACACCATTGAGCACAATTTGCAATTCGCACTTCTCTCATATCATACGAGCCTCCCAGTGACGAGAACGGACGGACCTTTTTTATTGTTCAAAGTCACAGGCAGGGCATGCAACGTGGGCAGCCGATTTCAGCTACCCTTCAAACCGCCTTAGCCACCTCGCATCTTTTTTTCTTTCCATTGTTCTTGTGAAACGAAGCCCTCTGCAGCAATTCGAGCATTTGGTGCCGGGGACTCGCCGTAGTCGCCTCTATTTTTGTTCACGGTCATAATTTGTTTATTCCAGCGTCGCAGCGTGCATTGTCTTGATTGTTCTGCCATTCCGTCCAACCGACCATCGTTTGGCTTGCCCCTCCAGTCAAACATTCATCTCCCTCCCAAGACACTATCGATTTGCCAACATTACATTACTTCCGAGATACATCATTGTGGTGGTAGCACAATCGTCACCATCCGGCACGTTCCTTGAAGATCGCCATTCAGCTCCTGTCCACCCAACGCTGGAAGAAAGGGCGGTCGGCAGGCAAACAACACGATGTTGGGCGAGAGGCGGAGACCTCTGGACCCCTCCCCTCAAATATATTCACATTCGCGCACGAGAACGACTTCGTCCAATGTCTTCCCCGTACAACAACCCACACCGATGCATCTCCAACAACCGTCCATGGGCCACTCGCGGCGATCTCCCTCCGTCAATACCTTCAGCACCGTATCTTCTAATACACCTCCCGCCGCCTTCCGTACCTCCCCCACCACCGAACTTCGTCGCAGTACCTCGTCCCGATCCGGTGGCCAGGCCACTAGCTATGTCGCCCTGCTGAGAAAGCAAAAGGCCACCGTCTGGTGCGATCGAGCACAATACGAAGATCCCAGGATAGCAGCACAACAAAGGGCGGCTAAACAACGAGCACACATGGAAGTGCTCGGCGGTACTGCCCCAGGTCGAACATCGACTGGCATCAGCAGCGCCGGAAAGGTGGCGGCCAAGATACGGCACCACGGCAAGCCTGGCGTCGTTGGCTATGCCCCAGAGAACAACTATGTTGGCGTTGGCGGCGTGCCCATGCGACTCAGTGCCACCGAAGTCGAAGGCGAGGACAGCGATGACGACGACGTGGCTGCTCAGCGCTTGCACCACCGTAGGACGGGGAGCAGCGGACGCAGCAGTACCGCCAGTGGTCGGCGCGTCGTCTCATATCGCTCATCTGGCGGCGTAGGACCGGGTAAGAGGTGGAGTCCAGGCGATACGCCCGAGCGGGCGGGCAGTCTGGTCGAGGATAAGGCAGAGTACGAGATCGGAGACGAGCGCAACTTTGGCCGGGCCCAAAGCACTCGCAGTGGCAGCAGTGGGGAGCGCGCAGATGCCCTACCTGAAATGGGTGGCCCCAGTGCGGCCAAGTTAGCGAGTAACAGCTTGCTGAACGCGGCTCTGACGCGAGAGAAGAGCGTGAAGAACCCGGAGGATCTGCGGAGGCGCGGCAGTGTCGACGAACGGACTATGACCCTCACCGCTGGCCGGCTCTACATCGCCAACCCTGATTAAGGACTCCTGGATTGTGGAGTCTCCAGGACGAGCAAGGACTGGGGGTCGAAGGGGTTTAAAACCAAAAATAGTGGGAGTGCGGTGGTTTGATATGATTCTTTTATGTTCTGGATACCTGAGTTCCCTCGATGCCAGGTCTATCTGCCAAACCATACAGGTTATCGGCTGGCCTGGGGGGCTCAACTGCATTCACGGCGTATACAAAGGGGCTTGGTTGGATTTTAAATGTTTTGGGGACTGGAATACAAAGCCAGCACTACACACGGTCGTTCAAGGATGATTTCTCGGTGGCCAGCTACGGCTGGTCGGGCGGCGTACACGGATTATGTGATATTGAGCAGAATTGCAGCTTTAGTAATACCAGCGAGTTGAGACATTGGTTCCCGCCAGTTTGTCCCTTCTATGCTCTCGTTGCGTTGTTTTCAAAGTATACATCTGAACCACCTTGACTTGTTTCTTAATCTTTGTTCCTATCGATTCGTGTCATGCTCACATATAGCAAGCGACTCCGTACTTTGACGTTACGACATTCGATTCCTCATTTCCCTCGATGATTCGCACCTATCTATTAAGAAATGTCGTCGCCACACTCAAGCCAGAAACGCAGCTCCAACCAGACTCGGATACTCTTATTACAGCAGGCTTGACCACATTCGAAATCCTGCTATCTAATCGGGCAGCCACAACACGCACAGTAGAGCGGGAGATCGACGAAACCCGAGGCCTCACAAGCTTTAGAGGTTAGGTTTGAAACTTTGCTAGACTGTGTCCCGAACACTGGCCTAACGGCTCAAGTACTGGATGATTCTCATTGAGGGGAAGCTTTCGAGCCCCCGCGAACTGCCAAGTCCGAAACCCACAGACGTTAGGCAGATATTAGCGGTGCATAGAAGAGGTTGAGGGAAGAGACACAATCCAGCCTTACGCTTTTGTCCCACATGGGAGGCTCTAAAGCGTATACTTGAAATTCATCTGAAATATGAAACCAGGGAGAAGGGGAGGGAGGGCTGAGGGGAGGGGGCAAGTCGTCAGCTCGGCTGGGAGGCAAGGTTGCAAGTAGAATGAGAAGCACGTCCGTGGATGGGCTATGATGCGGGAATTTGGAGTACCTAGATTATGGTATCTGAGGGTTAGGGGCGCTGAGTAGTGGTGATTTGGGGTGCTAGCGTTTGGTGTGTATGGATTCGGAACTTGTTTGGGGGGGTGGGGGTTGGGAGGGTGGCAGTCGTCTGGCAGACTGATGATGTGATCGCCGAGGGGGTTTAAGGACGAGTTGCAGGGGTTGGTATGTGGAGAACAGGACGATATGTAGGTCGATGGTGGTTATGGCACTTCTAAAACTTGATATGAAATGCATTCTTTGTTAGACCGATAAGACGCATCGCGATCTCGGTCTATCTCTGTGCGCGGTTGGGGATGAAGGTTTGGCAGCTACTGCTTGAGCCTCTTTGGACCACTCATGCAACTAGATTGGGATTGCAGCACCTCGGTGTCGAGCTGTGGAAGAATTTGGAACAGAGAGTTTGCTTTTGAAACGGACGGGCTAGTGTCTTTACTGCATGCAAGGTTGAGGGTTCGCGCTTGTGGGAATAATGCCGGAGATACCTTTGTCAACGGCGAACAGATCATGCGTGTATGAGCGATCAGGTGTGCATTGACCTGATAGCATCAGATGGATTGGCTAAGCTTGGAAGTGTCATGGGCCGATGCCATGTTCACTGAGGCAGATGTGTTGGGGCCACAAATTCCTGTCTACAACAAGGCGATTTAGATATCCTCTTTCCTTAATCACCCTATTCCTAAATCGCCCTATATATGCAGCGTCATTTTCATCAAGCAGTATCGTGATTCGATATTACTGCGTTCTCTTATAGCTCCTCGTCATCTTGCTCGAAGAGCTCGATGCCATCCACGGACACTTCAAAGTCTAGCATCGGGGTGTTAGCACGAGGTTGCACAATGTCTGAAGTAATCGAGGATATTTGGCGAAATCCTACCTTCTTTGCCAGTTGATCCAAATGTAATCGTGTTCACGTCGCCCGGCTTGAGAGTCAACTGCACGGGAATGGAGTTGTGGTATCCCGCGCGCGAATTCAGGCTGGAGATGTTGATGGCTGGCTCATCGTTAACGAGGATGTGGGCCTCGCCAGCTACAGGAATCGGGCAAAGCATTAGTGTTTTACTCTTTCAAGGCTTGCGGTAGGTGGAATTTGGCGCAGGGGTTAAGTAATTACCTTCGGGGTTCGATACACGGTAGTGGAATGAGAGCCACTGCTTAGAACCGGTGCCAGTTACGTTGCGGAAGGTAACTTCGCTGGAACTCGTCACTATAAAGACGGTCAGTTTCAAAGTGTGAAATAAACAGGTGGAAACTAGCCTTGGTGGACGGAGCGTTTGCTCAGGCAGTGATCGCAGCCCTTGACGACTATTCGTTGTGAGCATATCCCTCCAAGCCTCCAGATGTGCGATATGGGAGCATACCTGACCTGCCAGACAAATCTGCATCCTCTGCTTCATATCGCTTCTTCGTAGCAGGATAGCTCACGACTCCGGTGTTGACATCAACCTTCCACATCGCGTGGTACTGCAGCTGAATAGTCTTGGCCCTGTTGCGGAAATTTCCCGTCAATTTGATTGCACACACACATGCCACCAAACCCGATGGCTCAGCTTACCCAGTATTGATATTCATCGGCAACCACACGTAGTTCGAGCTTGCGCCGCCCGTAGAATCCCACGCATCACCCATATATATGTAAGTCGTGGCTTGGGACCCCTTGATCGTCAACTCGAAGGTGTTCTGTGACCCGTACGTATTTTCGGCCGCGGGCGCAATATCCGAGCCTCCAGTCCAGGGACCATTTATGGAGCTGGATGAAAATACTTTGTTGGGGTTGGAGCGCCAGCCGGTCTTGCCCGAGACGATGAGGAAGTAGACGTTATCCGCCTTGACGATGCCGGGGGCTTCGTATGCACCGGCGACTTTCCGGCGTCAGTTTTGCTGCTAATCGTGAAATTCTGGAGCCACTCACTGAGGTTTGATACTTGATCGCCGACTGCGCCATCGGCGTTGAGGCGGTTGATTTGGACGACGTTGTGGTCGGCACTTGTGAGGAGGTACCAAGTCTCTGATATACAAGCCGAGTCAGTGGTTGTTGCCGTCTATAGGGTGACCTGGACTCTTGCCTGAACTCTCATCATAGAACATGCCGGTGTCGGAATAGGAATAATCGTTTGGTGGTAGGTGGACCTTTGCCGACTGGCTATATCCTCCCAGGAATTGTGCCGATTTGAGAGAGAGAACATAGCGATCCTGTTGACCGTAGAGCTGGCACATGAAATTTCGAGTCAGCTCCCGAAAACCTCGATCACGACATCATGACCGGCATACCCAGAATGATCCATTCGGCTTCGCAATCTTGGGCCTCCACATCCCTGTCACAGAACTGGCTTGGCTCCCGAGATTCTTCCAGTTGAGGAGGTCGGTGGAGGAATACATTTGCGGGCTTTGGTCTTGAAAGAAAGGCATCAGTATCAACTACCCCCCAGAGCATATAATGATTTCCCAGGACAAGATATGGACTTACTGCTGGCTGCTTGACCGACCCAGTAAAAGGTATCTCCACGCTTCACGACGCCACCACCATGAGCATCGATTTTGTTGCCGTCAGTGTCCTGCCAGACGGCGCCTGGTGCGATCCAGGACGCACCCAGGGCGCTAGAGGCGAGACTGAGACACAAGGCAACGAGGGCCAACATGTTTGGCAGAATAGCCTTGCTCGCTTGAATTCCATTCACCAAGATTCACAAATTACTTCATGTTTCTACAGTTTTTATATACAAAAGCTTGCGAAGAATGTGACCGGTTTGCAACCTAGAAGCCCGGTACATTTAATAGCGAGATTTTCCGGTCCAAGATCCCTTTACCATCTTTCTGGACGGCAATACTACCAAGGGTTCGGTACAATACCATTACGAGAGGATGTGTTAGGGGGAAGGTTCAATTAGCCGCCGTATATGTGCCGGCTTCTATGCCATAGCCGCAATGTTGTTCCAGGGGTCGGAGCTACATAAATAGCAGCAATTGCCGTTTCCGGAACGGATAATGCGGGGATGCCGCTTCTCAACGAACCATACGGAATTGTGGATACAATAGTCTGAAAGGTTGTAACCCCTAGCCCGGGTTGGGTGTCATTTCCAGATAATAGTAAGAGTAATAACCACCATCATAGCCCTGACCTGACCATCCGAGACGACCCGGCTCGGGGATATGATGTGGAATGGTTCCCTAGGGCAGAGGTCATTGGAGCGATTTTAGACAGGTATCTTGAAGGCAAATCATTGTCATGCAGTACCTTCAGATTCGTGGGTCTCGTAACACATAATAGAGGCAAGAGGGTGTCCTCAGAAGCTGAGTTTATTTCATGGAATTCGATAAGGTTTCTAGAAAAACCTCTCACTTTGTTCACTTAATAAGCACATGGTACGCTGAGTCGCAAGAAAGGTTATCAATGAAACTTGAACAGAATCTGCAAAGTCGACCAGGGAGTGATGATCAATCATGCTGTAAAACTTGTATAACAGATTCACAGAGACTAAACATACGACGTTGCGGCGGAAATACGATGATGACGTAGTACCAAGCCAACTCCACACCGTCTATATGTGACATCACTATCCACCAGTTCAGTCGTCAACCCACTTCCCGCTTACCTATCCACTACAATCAAACACCTCCCGGCAGCCCACTCTATAGTATTCGGGGGTTTAAACACGCCAGTATGTCTCTCAGCGCGTATCCGAGTCGGAATACGATATGTAGCCCCGCGGGCGACTATGATCGTCAATATACGGATCCATGTAGTTGTCAAGGGTGCCCTTGGGGGTAAGCTTTGGGTTCAGCGCCCAACATAAAGCAGATGCTTGGCAAGCATATCAAACATTCCTCGCCGGTATATTTGCAAATCCATACGATATGGTTCGATTTGTTTGATAGACTTGAATTCCAAAGTTCGTCGAACCATGGTTTTCGGCCCGCAGGTGGTCTTCCGGTAACGCCGGAATGAGCTGGATCGAATGTTTCTACGGTTAGCAACAATTTCGCAGGGGAAGGAGGTAAGATGAAGCTGTCCCTGATCGATATTATTCTGGGGATCAAACAAATGCAAGTGGGGCGCAGACCTCAATAGAGTAACTGTACTTACTGGACACTAGAGGCGACGTAGCCTTCAGCCTTCTGTAACTCCACGTATAAACTTTTGCACCCATAGCGGACTGTACCATGCGATAGCCCTCGATTACGCCAGTCTAGAGATGTAGAAGAAACCAAATTTCTTCATATACGGTATGGTTGTGGCATCGCGAAGTTAGTTAGGGTGGTTTATAGGGGCTGGTGGCGTTGATTGTGGCTGTGGGGTCCGCTGCCTTACCGTATCATTGTACTCGTCAAGGAGGCGGGTCTGGTCCGTTACATCAGCTAATGTACAGGGGGCTTCAAAGCGGCTGAATCGCACAATAACGCATGCTCCAGAATAAAGCTACTTTCCTCCGACAACTTTGCGTTGACTCTTCGAATGCATCCAGACTCGCTCAGAAACGTACTTTGGGCCAGATGGCCGCTGCGTTTCTATGTAGTATGATCCAGCTGACTCATCGGTCTTGTCCATCTTGCTATTTTCACAAGCTTTTATCCTTATTTTCGCCCTATAACGCCTTCACTTGCCGAAATGCGTGCTGCTAGCGGTGCCGTTAACTATAGCGACTCTGGTAGTAGTAGCGGTAGTAGTACTGCGGTGCCGAGCAGCTGTTTAATTACCGGTAAGAACCCGCTGCGCTCTGTTGCTGAAAACTTGAGGGAATCGATCTTAGCCACTTTTTGAAAACTTCTGTCGATATTAAGGACCTCCCTAAGCTGGCATCTCCAGGGTGCTCCTTCAAGTACGTACTGGAGAGTTGGCTTCACCGCCGTAAGCAGCGCCATTCGTAGATCGCTGAGCATGGTGAATTTGTAGTCCGGTACGCCAGTTGTCATAGGATTATCGGTAGTGGAACCTTTTAGTACTGCCGGTACTGCAATAACCACGGGAAGATCAGCATGTGTGCCGTGCTGGGCCTGCTTCGTTATTCGATAGGCCTTATCACCCGTAAGTAGTGACCTTTAGCGCATCGGAGATAGTAGGGCGCTCAGCCAGCGATCTACACCATCGTAATGAGTATAGTTTTTAACGGACTTGGCTGCTGTGGGCTTGTGGTATCCTGGCGTTTCTTCCCAAAAGTTATAGGAGTTGCATCAATCAAGTCTCCTTGCAATGGAGTACGTCATTGCAACCATTTGAACTATGGATAGCTGAAAGTCCTTCCATTCCCATTTATCTGGTGGACTATAATTTGCCTACAAGTCGATGGTCAGTTCTCGGATTTGGGACGCATAAGTCATGTTGAAAGGACTAGAAAAAGTTGTTTCACACCATCTGACTCCTTGTTGCTCTAGTTTAATTATCTGCCTCAGGAGAGGTGCTTATATCGGTGTTTGGATTCTTGGCCATGTCTTTAAGAGTCCCATCTTTTCTCTTGTGTGTCAGGTTAGCTTACTAATTGGCAAGAAGGATGCTTGCAATCTCGGTGGAGGGACAGGCCAATGTCGAACTAGATTAAATGCAGATATTTTTAGTCTTTCGGGGCTTGTCGTGACACTTGTGGTTGTGGTGTTCAGATACGAAGGAAAAGAAGCTCGCTCGTTGGTGAGGACATTCTGCATTCCTTTAATGCGATATTGCTGCATATGGCAGTTAGCGCCACCATCTACCTCAGCTAATAAAGCATCCAAGTCTTCTGCAACAGGCATGGACTTGAATATAGCTACACGTATATCAATGTCGCTGAGGGCTGTGGTTGTATAATAGTGTCTCGAACACCGCCCTGGGGGCCGACCTTACAAATTAAACACCCAATTTTGATTATGCAATTATAGCACGAGGGTAGTGCAAGCGCATAGAATAGGCTCGAGTCGTATGATTATATTTGCACGAGGACGCTGAACCTTAACGCACAACGACACGACCGCAGCCCGCAGGTAAAGAAACCAGTCAGTTGGATTGATGGCTGTGTTATGGTTACAACCAGTTATTCTCTATGGTGCCCGGCTGCGGAAGAGGTGTTTCTATTTGGAAAAGCCAGGACAAGGGTCAAGTGGCCGAATATATCTTCTCATAAACATGGTCATTACCAAAAGATCCAACCACGATCACTCCATAGAATAGCAGTATATAACTTCAAGAAGTGACTACATTATCTCTGCTTCGCTATTTGAGCCATTATGAAAGCTGCCATCTCCTCGTTAGCTTAGATACAATTGTTCCTTGTGGAATATTTTCGTCTCCTTCCACTTCTAGTAGCCACGACTTAGCAGCTATTGTGGACTATAACGTCACGTCAGTACATATTACCCCCTCTAATAGAGGTACTGCTACTAATGTATGTCTTCTCGCTCGAACTATCCGCTGCAGATGACCGTGAATAGAACTGTATCCCTGAGAGATTACTCCAACCCATTCTGAGCCCCGACGCGGAAAGACAGCAATTTCGCCCCCGTTATCTATCCTTGGTCTTAGGACAAAGGTAAGTTTTTATACCCCATCTCAGAGGTAATTAGCTTAAGTTAAGGGTGAATTGTTAACGATTGGTCAACCACAGTCGACCCAATACTTGCTGGAGATAAAGATCGTTAAGAAGTCATCGGTGTAGGGCCTAGGTGGCATGGCCATCTGGGGGATAGTCTGCGACTGTAAACACCACGACGACCCGAATGGGCCGCCTAGGATGAATGATGCGTCGGTTCTATCAGCACAGCCATTGCTATCATCTCTTACTATCATAAAATAGTGGACTTCTTTATCGAATTTCCCACGGATATCAAGCTCTATATAATTGGTTACGGGGTTACTACGCCGCCGAAATCTTCTCTAGTGCGGCTAGGGCTAGGCCCCTTCATTAGTCCAGCATAAGGAGGCACCAACCCTATCGGGAGTAGAGATGGCAGTATTATAAAACGGGCTTAGGAGCAACTGTCCAAGACATCTGCACAGAGGTTAGACACATCGGCCTCGAGAACGGAACCGCTCCCGAGAAGCAACCACCGACGGAGGCGAAGCGGGACGAGTCGGAGTTAATCCCCGACCCTGCCTCAAACGTGGAAGACCAGAAGTAGTTGTGGGACGAAGTCATTTGCGAAATGGGCGCCCAACATAACGTCCACAGCGACCATCTCGATGGGCCGGGCATGCGGTTTCAAATCTACGTCAAGGACTCCCTGGGCATACTTTCGGCTGGTTCCATTGCTCCCTTATCGGCTATCACGTAGTCTATTATTCAGTGGTTGGTACCGTCGGGCAGCCTCGAGGTCACCAACGCTTGTGTTCAACACGACGAACTATAGAGGGCATGGGTTTAAATTATATAATTCGTATGGTGTGTGGTTGAAGTTACTGCGGGATTATAAAAAAGATAAATTCAAAGATAATACGATTATTTATAAGTCGCTCGCTATACATGTCTGCGACATTAGAGCCGGTGGTAACGTTCAATATCCGTAAAGATAGCTAGTAATCCCTTAGGTGCTGGACCTAGGGAGGAACAGCTGTATTGATCGACTCACACTGGAAAACTAAACCCATCTATTTGTGGGATAGAGCGCCACAGTTATGCCCTAGGCCGAAGGCGTTGTAGCGGCAAGTGTAGCTAGTGGGTCCGACCCTTCCTTCTAACCTACGTAGTAGATAGAGAGGAACACGCTTCCGGCAACCAATGCAGCACCAGGCGTAGAGCAGATATAGTTATCAACACGAAATCCACACAGAGTCATTAACAGAGGGCCGAGTCCCTTACTATTTACCTATTTCTGCAGCTAATACAGGTCGATCGATTTCAAAGCGGATAAATTAACTTATATGAGTCCAAGTGACTGTCATTAGAACTGCCACACCTATTACTTTTGCAACGTCAAATATTTTCACAGGGGATAAAGAGCTCCAATTCAAGAAACAGGCCAGAATTCCCCGTCATCCATCCTCAATTCAACAACATCCTTACAAGCCAACCTCAACGCAGCAATCCGAGCCTCGAAGCACTCCTTCGGTATCTCCTCATCCTCCGTAACCCTCTCCTCATCCTTGCCATACGACTCCTTTAAGCGGCCGTCCGCCCACCATACGCCCAATGTTTCCACTTCTACACGATACACACCACCCTCTTGTGCCCATTTCTCCATCCTCTACCTCTGAACGAGATCTCGTATATCAACATACCGCCTAACCGGTACATTTGGTTCGAGAACAACGAGTTGTCGCTTCTTAGGCCTCGACTTGGAGCTACCGCCCAGCGGACCACACACGGGAAGCCGGAAACGATGGAGCACTTGCTTGGCATCATCGACGCTGGTAACGACTAGACTCGTTCTACCTATCCTTGCGCTCTTTTTTCCTTTGTTCTCGTCGTCATTGTCGACACCGGAACATCCCTCCGCAACGGGAATAGCCAGGAGCCTGTCTCGACTATCCTCCCCATGTTCGGGCTGATACGGTCCCCATTCCGTCAGGAAGTGCTGATGCCCATTCGACTGGACGGTGATGGGGGTTGAGCCAAGGTTCGTGAAGGTGAACTCTATTGTCGCGTTGTGGTTTTGGGCGTGTCCTGGTATCACTTGCATATGCATCGATACGGGGGGAGGCAGTGATACGGACGTAAATGCCCGGAAAGCAGCTCGTCCTGTGGATCTTTTACCACATACCAGCTTTGCGGATTCTCCCTCGTTCTCCCGCCGGGATGGGCGGTTTTCATTGCCGCCGTCATCGAATGCCCACCACTTGACGCCCAAGTCAGCACTAGCGAGTTCCACCGAGTACCAGATCCCAGTCTTGAAGAGTTTTGCGAGCTCACTGTCGATAGTGATGGGACAAAGATACTTATCGTACGTGTATATCGCGGAGCCGGTAGGTCTCGCATGTATCGTCACGATGTTGTATTTCCCGGGTGGCCAGTCGAAGCGACTCAGATCGATTTGTTGACGCTCGGCATTTGCGGCTTGGCTCTCGTATAGATGCATCAGGCAGTGAGTGAGAGCGTAGGGGACATCGAATACCGAGCCAGACGTGTCGATCAGAAGGGACGGGCTGGGGTCGGAACGGGAACGGCCTCGGTAGCGCGGACCGTAGACGATGTGGAAAGGGAGACCACCCGAGAGATCCAGGACGCGATACTGGCTGTCAATGCGCAGATTTAGTCGAAGATTGTCCTGGGAAGTGGCATTTGCGTCTTCGCGAGACGGGCCCATGGCACTGAGAGGTATCGGGTCTCTTGGCTCTGACAGGCTGTCGAATGTGTGAAGTGGACGGGGATTATGTAGCATGTAGAAATACGAATGAATGGATGAAATTGATTCCCAAAGATCTTGTCGTTCCGTGCGTTACCATTCTACAATTGTGTTGAGTCACCCTTTCAGACTATAACCTTAACTCCTTGGTTGGACTGTGACTGTAAGGGTCGCCACTACGTCATCGTGGCTTAGCACGGCAAATTGACCTACACATAGAAATCGCAGTATAATCAAGGGGTAATGGTAGAGATCGACGGGTCTGTATAATTTTTAGAAAGGGCGTATTACGTATACAGCACAAAAGTCCGCCACAGATAATCTTTAACACACTCTATACCAGCTGTCATATCTGACTTGAAAAACACGGTGTATTGGTACGCAATGGCCTTTGTGCTGGGTATAGACACAGTTGTTCCCGAGTACAATGACAAACGCGATGTTTTGCGACCAAACCATGGCTGCCAGCTTCTGCTGCTCAAGCAACGCTGATCCTCATTACTCCTGGCCACTTGTTATGTCGTACGATTGCGGAATCGCTGCTTGAGAGGCCTCCTGTGTCGCCTCTTGGACGTTTGGACGTGTGGATTGCTTATCGACCCGCTGAGTCGTCTCCTCGTTATCTTGTTAAGTACCGTCGGGTCGGGGCTCCTCATCCTCGTAGGTATTCACTTGAGCACGCTTTTGAGAACCATTCTCAATACGGTCCTGAACGTCATCCTCAGAACCATCTTGCGCAATATCTCCAGTATCCTGAGTATCCTCAGTATCCTCCTGGCGACTTGCCGGGTGGCTTCCTGAGCATTCTCTTGAGCTGCCTCCTGCTTATGGATAGTGATGAAGCGGTTGTATTTGTCCACAACAGACTATCTTGTCTGTGAGGAAAAATCCAAGACAAGTTGCTCAATTCAGCGTGAGCCCACTTGAGGATCTTGGGTAGATACGTTGGGCTCACGGAACAATCATGAATATGTCCTTCTGTGATGTGTCACAGGTGGGGTTTTCAATGTTCAAAATGCAGGGACTGGGATCAGCAGCTCAAGCGAGCTTGTCGTACCCATCTCCAGGAATATGATCGTTATCGACAGGTCCCCATCAATAAACACTTGTCATTGTGTCGAATTCCACCACAATGTGAATTCCATTCGTGAATATCCGGACAGTGTTGCGGTGAAGGATATCAAGAATGCGCCACCAGTTCCGAGAGGAGTCGCGATTATGGTACATGAATAACCAAGCGTACTCGAAACTGATGTAGACCATCTTGCTCAGCATCCCGTCTTGTTCGAAGGCAGGATCTATGAGCCAGTGATACTGTGATGTGCAACGTGGCCGTGTCTTCGGAGACACAGTTATTGTTTGAACCCTCATTTGGAAACGAGAGAGCGTGAAATTGTCAACACCGAATATATAGAGCCAGCGATTCGAAGCTCGCCTGATACAGATGGGAAGAAAGCAGAACACATTCATTGTCAAGAGTCCAACAGCTGTGGCAGACTTGGTACAGTGTGTTAGACTGAGCTATTAGTTCCCCGTGTGCTCCTCATTACGGCTGGTGTGTACACCTTTATATCGTCCCTGACTCGGATGCCGCCTGAACTATGGAAATAGGGTCCCGCAATATGCCCGTCCCCTAGGTCGTCATGAATCGTGAATGTCTGTGTGGAACGGCCTCCAATTTCATACCATAACTCATCGTCAAAGTTTTTGCCGGAACCATCTCTGCTGTCCGGTACTTGCAAGTCGTGCTTGTAGGTTCTGTCACTGTCTTGACCCTCATTCTTGTATTATGGCTCAGAAAGACTAGAAATCCACGGTCTGAAGACGCGTTCGTAAAGTGGCCGTATATGTGGAATCCCAATGCAGATCAAGCTCACAGCTTCGCCTATAGCAGACAAGGTGTTGAGAGGGACAGTGTCCTCTGGGAAAAGAGAAGTTAGGGAGACAATCCCGTCTTTTCCGTCGCCCAGCTGCGACAGTGAACAGTCGGGAGAATCTTACTCGTATAGTTTGTTGACGCCAATCCTCCCACGTTAATGCATCGGAATATACCGCAAACACCAGCACTACACATATGTTGAGCGATGCATGGATGCGCACCGGGTTGGGCTGCTTACAAGCAACCTAAGCTCAGGCTCCCAGCAATTGTGACTTTTCGGCTCTGCTTCATGTTGAGGTTCCAGATAAAGATCATAGGAAACAAAGCAAATGCGAAATCAGACGTGACACACAGCACTGAGGCGATGTGTCAGCCAGGAGGGTCTAACACTGGTCGCAGTACAATCGATGAAAACCACGCACCTCCTAAGTAGGTGGCAAAGGGTCTCAGATGGAAGTTGCAATTTCCTTTGACTCTGACATCGTAAATCGCCGCCGTTGGCGTGCACTTTCTCATGCGTCAGATGAAAGCCTGGCTCATAAAAGGTGGTAGGAAGGCTTACCTGGATCCAGATGATGACAACAGTAAACAGTGCCGAGAGCGTCACGGCTGCCATAACAGTCCAGATGAAGACGTGGTGCCATGGCTTCACCACAAGCCGGAGGAGGAAGAGCCCGATCGAGTCTTTCGCTACCATCGTACCGAGGACCGAGAAGGTTTGCCCTATCATTATACTGAAGATTGCATGAGCGGCATCATCGAGGCTCAAGTCAGTCACATTCTGCCCGTACCCATGGATGACCGCCACATTGGTGCTTATCGAGTATAAGAGAAGGAATATCTATGCGTGATGAGCATATATTAGGTTAGAAACGACGAATGAACAACATAATACGAGATCAATGGACGAGTTCAACGGAAACATACCCAGGCCAAGAAATAGACATGATCATCAATTCCAACAGCACTCACGACGTATTTCCTCGTGTAGTATCTCAATATAACAAATGGCCAGGTGATGCCAACAGCACCCCACAAGATCGCTATAGTTTTCGGTCCGTCACCGCCAAGCATTTTGGAAGTATTACGAATCGGCATTTAAAGGTGGCAGAAGAGTGGAATAAACAAGTGGTGGGTTACATATGATTCACATATGGATTTAAGTGTTATTGTCTGTATTTATTTTATATGTTAAACTTTTCCCCCTCTTTTTTCCCCAAAATGTTTTATCTTTTTAATTCTCGTTTATTATACTGTCCCACGCAAGCCTACAGCTTATGAAGACAGTAGCCCAAGACATACTGAGTAGTAACGTACATGATCCCCTCTGAGACGGCTATCAAATCATCCTTTCCTCGTATATTTTGTCTTCTGAACTAACAGTTCCCTCTCGATCTTCTTTCCTAGCTACCTATCAGATAGATAACTACTACTTACCACACTAAGTTACTTTTCCTTCCCCTTAGAGATTAAGGGCACTAGTTCATCCCTCCTGCTTCTCAACAACTGACTCGTATAAATCGGTAATTGGTGAAACCCCCCACCTGAAACTCGGTGGGGAAAAAAGTTGGAAAAGCCGGCGGGGTCGAAGAGTCTGAAAACCTTAAGGACTAGTAGTCAAAGACGGTAGGGTCTGACGTCAGGAGGTTTGAGGATGCTTTGGCCTGTTCAACGGGATGAAAGTTGGACGGAAATTCGGCAGTTCGGCGACGAAACGTCGAGGTCTACGAAGTCGATCATAATAGCCTTTTGGTTCAAGGCCGTTTGGTACAGTATAACTAACTTGCCAATGCTGGTGGTTCCATAGCGACGGCGAGAACTGGAGCCTCGTTACTCACATCGCCGGAACGGTTGCTTCCAACATCTCTCGCCTCCAAATAGACGAAGTTAGTGCTTGCCAGCGACTTGTTCTTAGCTCAAGAGTTCGCTTTGGACGAGTGGACATGGAGGTCCCAAACTGCGGCTTGAGGTGCCCAGATTCTCATAGGGGCATCGCATAGACCGCTGAGCACACGGCACTGCAGCAATTACGGCGCATAATAACTTTTACACATAACAACCAATATATGAATATGACCTAAGTTGACTACAACTGAACTAACTGTTGTTATTCTCACTTCAAATTCATCTCTAGCGATTCAACTGAATATTAGCATGATACTCTGTACCATATGAGAACCTAGCTCGCAGAATCGGACTTATTGCAAGCTATAACAACGCATGAATTGAACATGCTTCTTACCTGTTAAACCAAAGAGAGTGAAGTAGCCATGAGGGCCTTGAGTACCGAAGAATAAGCCACTTGTCTGTGCGTTTTGAGAGTGCTGATCACATCTGAGCATAACAGTGGCTGATACACCAGAGGCTTTGGGGGTCAGAGGCTGGTGTGGTCCAACACGCAATGCGCCAGTAACCTGTCAAGTTGGGGTCGTTCCAACCCACCGATGCGCATAATGAACAGAACCCTCGCCCAGAATGATACGAAATGTTCCTCGGTGTGTGCAAATTTGTCAACTTTCATTAGTCACCTTGCATTGTCACACCACTCCCAAATATGCGAGGGAGCCGCGTGTTCTTGGTATAACTCCTCTACCCCCACCCCAAACCTTTTTTTTGCATCGTAACACCGCGATGGACGGTCACGTTCATATTATCATACCCGTTCAGGTCACTATGGAGAACGTCATCTCGCGATTGTTACTGCTCCTCCAGATGTATTCCTTGTGCTGAAAAATCTAGAAATATCTGAAGTTGCCTCTTCGAAAGTATCCTGGGCTATTCCTTACAGGTGACCTTTGGCTTGTGTGAGTGGAAGCGTAACGAACTTTTTCCAGGGTGGGCAAACCCGTAGCGCCTGTATATTGTGTGGTGAGGAGAATCCCAGTTGGTCGTCCGTATTGGGCCCAGCGTCCTGGACCTCGACTTGATCAAGCAATCTACAGTATCAAAGGAGACTGGGAAAGGGGTGCAATTCCATTGCGCTACAGCCAGCATCTCCAAACTTTGATGTACATTTTGCTAACTACTAACCAGACTAAGTTCTAACATGGAAACAAGTCGAAAGTCGGAGGTGAGATTATTCACAATCTTTTCAGTGATACCAACAACAAAGGCTAGACGAGGAAACGATAGGCGGTCTCGAAACTCTATTCTATGACCAGTGTTCTGGCTCTGGAACCACATATCGACATGGTCATGGACCAGCTTTGCGACTAACTGAACGCTCGTTTCGTCAACACTGACAAGTCATGAGATCTGGTTGAGTGGATTACATATTGTCAGTATCTCTTTCTTGCTTGTCATGTTCCGTTGCCCCATTCTCCGCTATCGTATCGTGCAGTGACCTTCAGCCATGCTAACGACTGTCTCGAGCAGGGTTGCGACTTCGACGGATCCCTGCGCACATCAGAGAAAGCATTGGAACATGTTGCCGCCATTAAACAGATTCAAAATTTGGACTCTGCTGGCTACGGATGGATACGGCCGATTGGTCTAAAGAGTTTTCAGCTTCTTGTCCTTCACTGTCAAATGTCTGATCGATCGGCATCGGGGCGCCGATCAAGGGCACCATAACCCCGACACCCAGACTATCTGAACCGGTTGAGGCATGAATCCCTACGTCACCGCGCTCGACCGGCCTATCTTTGGCGAGGATATCGAAGTTTTCCGGCCGGAACGATGGCTGCGTGGGGAGGGGGAGGGAGAGGGTGAGTTTGAAAAGAGGTCAATGGCGATGAATGCGGCGAATTTGACGTTTGGAGCTGGGAGTCGAGTTGTGTACAGCATCAAGCTGTGCTGCAGGTGTATAAGGTTATTGCTACTTAGTGGAGAGTTATGAGATTAAGCTTGTGGATCCGGGGAGGGAGTGGAAATTTGTTAATAGTTGGTTTGTGATGCAGAAGGACTGGGATGTGAAGATTACTCAAAGGAGTTGATACCGGCTGTCAGGATGCTGGAGTATAATACTATCTTGTTCGATCGAGAAGACAGATTCGTTTTGCATTGGCTGTGAGCAGAGAGCCTGCGAAGCTGTCGAGATGGAGCTAACAAGCTATTGCTAAAGCGCCCTCACCTAACAATCCAATGTAGAACTCTGAAGACACAGCGAATCAAGTAAAAAGTTATGTTGCTTATTATATACACCAGTTCTCGCCGAGCCCACAAATAGTGTGCATAGCTTCTTTGACCCATCCCGACCCCGAGTTGCACATCCATCAACCCCTTATTCCCTCGGCCTCGGCATCCCCCTAATCGTCCCAACCACCTCCCTCGTCCGCGCGTTATCCACAAAGCTCAATCCAATTAAATCCACCACCTCTTCAACAGTGTAGTGTAAACTTAAATCTCCTTCGCACCACAGATACTTGACCTCGTTAAGATTGCTCTGCAGCACCTCGGACAGGAGCTTGAGTCGAAGCCAATTAGCCGCGTACTTGGCCGTGGTCAGGATCGCATCCTCGGTGTTTTCTGCGCCGGGCGGTAGGAATAAGTTGTCTAACGAGGTAATGGTGGATATGAGAGATGCGATCGTATATGCCTCATCTTGCCCGATGCCGGCCATGTCCATGACATCGGAGACTAGTTTCGAGGCGACGGTATCAGCCAGTCCGCCAACGGCTTGGCACCATGCGGATCTCGAGAGTATCTGGGACCAAATGTTTGCCAAAGACCTCACGTGGGTTGTCGCTGAATCGACCTGCGCTTCCACAGCGGTCATGTCGGAGAAGTCTTGCTGCAACATGTTCTGGGTGCCGCCGAGAAGGTCACGTAAAACGGTACGCTGGGTAGTCATCTCGGTCGCATAGGCACGGGCAGCGAAGGATTGCAGCGTTTTGATGTCATTGTCGAGACGAAGCATGTTCACTGCCCGTGGAGCGAGGTCCGGACGGGACTTCCAGTCTGTAGCGAGGTCGGAAAGGCGCTCAGAGAGGTAGGTCGCGTCGTTGTAGAGGAACATATTGCCACTGCCGCCGGGGTCGAGGGCGTAGTAGTAGGGCGAGACGGCACGAAACATGGCTAGTATCAGGGTAGGCAAAGAAAAGAGGCCTGCCGCCGCCGCCGCTACTGGGTGTCTCTCGGACCTGTATCTTTTGGTTAGCAGGAAGACTCAGGCAGGCAAAGGGACTTGCTTACCCAACTAATGACGCCCCGTCTTCAAGGATGGCTGAGACACGTTTGAGGACGGGGTCGGGCATTGAAGAGATGTTATATGTCTCCTTCAATGTCATCTCTCGGGTTTGTGGCTTGTGAGACGAGGTCGTCGGTTTTGCGGACGTCGCTTCTGGATGAACATCGTCTGTCACATCATCGTCGCCCCAACCCCAAGCAGCTGCAGCATCGTCGTCTTCAGCTGGTTCAATCATTAGGGCTTCTGTAGATTCCTTGGGATTTTCTTCCATAACGTCTTCCTCACCCCACCCCCAAGCATCAGCCCCATCCTCTTCCGTGTTACCCCGGGCAGGACTCCCAGATGGGTCTTCGTCGGGTTGCTCGTCGTTACCCCATGCGGTACCCCAATCGTCGTCATCGCCTGCAAGGGCTGCTCCGTTGGATACCAATTCCTTTCCTTCTGATCGAGATACTTGTTGCGTTTCAACGCGTTCGACTTGCTTCGCACCTCCTAGCCCTTGAGCGAGCTGGGAGCGGATCGAGTCGAGTGCCGTCTCTCTATATTTCGCCAGCCATACTCGCGGTGCACCATCCACCCAATCCTGCAACTCATCAAACCCAGAATAATCCAGTTTTCTCAACGCATTGCAAAACGTTTTCACGACACTAATCACTTCCTGAAACTCTTCCATGTCCTTCAGGGAAACGGGAATCACGGGATCAAGCCAAAGATTGATGATTCTCGGTACAAGGTCGGGCATCATCACATTGGACAGTGAACGAACAAGCTCTTCTGGTAATCGTTTAGAGAAGTAACCCATGACTTGTTCAAGATCCGAGAACAGGGAAGGAAGGCTTCGATCTGCCTGACCAGCAATACTCAAAGTATGCTGCCGGTCATTAGTCAATGTTTTGATAGAAGACTGTTCACTCACATTTTCGGTTTTTATGGCTGGCAAGGTCTTATTTTCGGGGTTCGTCCGTGGCCCAACAATGGCTGCGTCTACACTGTGCCATAGAAGCGCCATTCTTTGGTCAACCTCCTTGTATGCTTGCAGGCCAATTACAGCTTCGGACAAACTCATTTGCTCCTCTGTACTCAGTCAGTATGGGTTTCCTGACTATATATGTGATTTAGCCTACCTTCACGGGTTTCGTGGATCGCCAGTTCGCCCTTCTCAATATCCACCCGCACCAGAGAGCTCCAAACGTGATCGAAAACGTCATGTACTGCCGACTTCAACTCGAAAGCCCGCATGTCTAGCAACCTCATGATGCGGCGAGACTTGGTGGCAGGTATTTGGTCGAGCGCAGTCCATGATTCTACCACATCGTTAAGCGCCTTCTCATATAACAGCCTTTTGGGTGTTTCTTACTCTCCAAAAGGTGTAGGGATTCCAGTATCCTCCGATCGTCTCTCGCTTGCTCCACCTGGTCCAACAACTCATTGACGTGCCTGATACTAGTCAATGCACCAAGGACTTGCTGGTTATAATTGGCTTCGCGATTGAGAAAATCAACCGTGTCTTCTGCTTCCCTTATCGTCTGTCCAGAAGCTTCGGGGGCCTCTGACCGTCGCACTATCTCGTGGGCCAAGCTTCGCGATCGGTTGATGTCGTCCTCAAGCGTCTTCGCATTTGCGACCCATGATTGTACGTCGGGGGCGGTCTCTTCGTTGATGGTACGGACTTCAGACTGAGGAACTGTTAGTCTCAACCATCCACTCCGGTAACTAAGCAAGGCTTGCCTCCAGTTTAGACTTGGCAACTGCGAGAGCTTCCAATGCTGGGCCGAAGTCTTCTTTGCGAACATGTCGAGACGATAGCTCATCCTCAGGGAAGCCTCCGTACAAGGCGAAATCGACCAGCGCCTGGCCTACAGCTGCAGATTCGGAAGCTGTCATCGCGTGTTGCCTCTGCTGGCGTCCTCCTCTTAGACCAAAACTCTCTAAACTGTCGTTTCCGAGATGCCAGCCTGGCCCGACGACCTCAAGTGAGGTACAGGCAAACTTGCAAACTACCGCACTGGTTTGAGTTGTCGCTCGAGTAGTCTGGTATGTTCAAATGGGCCCGTTAATAGTGATCAGTTGGTTTCGGGTCTCACAAGAGCGTGATATTGCTGCCGCGAAGCTCCGACTTCGTGGACATGTCACCTAGAACACTTCCAAGGAAGCTCCAACTGTGGCTGGTGACGTGGCTGAACGAACAGGGATCATGCTCCATGCTAGTTCAGGCCGTCACTTCCCCGGATGTCATCATCAGATCATAACAATGGGTATTTAAACTAGCTAGTTCCGACTACGTGTGGTGAATAAAAACAGATTCATCAAGGTAGCTATAATATGTACCGTTTTATGTTATGTTTAAGCCTAACCTGCAATTGATTCTTACGAAGACCGCCGTGAAGCCCACTTACCCCTCCAATTTTTGGACATGTAGTTTGCGCTGGCGCTTACTGGCGGCAATGGCCCCAATCGGGTACCAGCACCTTTTGGTGGGGTTTGCGTGCTTCTACGAGAATCCTTCGGCAAACCCTTGATGGTAAGGGAACCCGCATAGATTCCCAGGCTATTCCATGTGCCACAGACCCATCTAGAAATCTCAAAAGCAGTAGGTTTCACCTGCCAGATTTATCACATTCCTTGTCGTGCATCTCCTCGTGCCTTGCCTCGCCTCAACTTGCCACGCTGCAGCTGAAGAATTCTTCATTAAGGCAGGCGTCTCTTCCCTCGCCTGGTACAATTTTCCGACCGCCAAGCTGTCTTCTCATATTTCCAGCTGGTACCTTACGAGCGCCAGGCTACAGCAGTTTTCACTATCAGCTTCAGCCGCGAGATATTCTCCCCATTGGTCTGCGGTGCGCCCACACCTCAGTCGGTATGTAGGCCCCCAACGTCCAAATCCCGAACGGTGCGCGCACCAAACCCGTTGCTTCTCAATTGTTTTCTTCGCCATCCTCATCATCTTCATCTGGAACATTTGCAAGTTCTCCAAAGTCGTCAATTGGGCCAGGGCTTAGCTCTACGTCATCACATTTACCATGACTAGTATGGTTGGTCTAACTACGGCCCGCACACTGTTTTACGCCAGTCTTGTCTCACTCGTAGCTGTCATCCTCTATCAGATTGAACATGACTCTGGGTACGCCTTTACCTTGCCTGTCTCTCGATAAGATTGCCGTGGCTCTGCCTAGTGGCTTCTCTAGTTGTGCTGGTGCTTGATTGGTATCATAGTTGACCAGTCGGTGTTGATCGATATCATGAATTTTGATATCCCAATATATTCAGTGGAATTTACATGCCAGCCGACGACACCAAGTGGACACACAGCTGAGAGGCCTGAACACCGCTTATGTAGCTTACGCGTTATCTCCCAGAATTCCTTGTAGGGTCTGTAGTACCTTTCATCCCCTTGCCAAGCAGAAAGGAAACATCGCCGCAATGATAAAAATCATCTCGAAAGATCCTGTCCCCTCTCGCTCCTTCCTCCCTGTGCCCATTCTTCACCCACTTCAGACTTGCTCTTTATTCCCACGTCCCCGAGGACATTATTTATGAAAGCTCTCCGGCCTAGTGCCAAAGAAGCATAGCTAACGGGAAGTCCAGATACCTCCAGAACACAGTCGCGAGACTCCATCGGATCAGCACCATGGGCTCGCAAGGGCCAACACCGCCGCGGTTTCGTAAGATCCAGAGCTTCAACACAGACTACGCGCCAGCCACCATCACGCAGTATGAGTCCGAAAGGAGTGGCATGCAGGTCATCGTGACCGATCGCAAGGGGCCCAAGGTAAACGGTTACTTCACCTTGGCAACCGAGATCTTTGATGATTCTGGGGCACCTCACACGCTCGAGCACTTGGTTTTCATGGGATCCAAGAGCTACCAGTACAAGGGCCTGCTTGACAAGTTGGCATCGAGGGCATACGGATCGACGAATGCTTGGACCGCTACCGATCACACAGCATATACTCTCGAGACGGCCGGATGGGAAGGATTCGCGCAAACCCTGCCGATATATCTGGAGCATCTTGTTGCACCGACAATTACGGACGCAGCATGCCTCACTGAGGTCCACCACATTGACGGCGAAGGCAATGACGCAGGTGTGGTCTACTCTGAGATGCAGGGAGTACAGTACACCAGTACCGAGCTCATGGATATCAAGGCTCGAAGATTACTATACCCAGAAAATGTCGGCTTTCGGTATGAGACTGGTGGGATGATGGATGCCCTTCGGGTCCTCACCCCCAAGAGGATTAGAGACTTCCACAAGGAAATGTATCAACCGCGCAACATGTGCATCATCATTATCGGCGAGGTCGACCACCAAAACCTTCTGGAGATTCTAGACGAATTCGAAGAGAGTGTCAAGGCTGATATTCCCCCCCTTGATGCCCCTTTCAAACGGCCTTGGATCGACTCGGCACAGCCTCCTGCGCTGAACGAAACGGTGATAGAGACGGTTGAGTTTCCAGAAGAGGACGAGTCGACAGGTGACATGGTAGTTGCTTTCTTCGGACCAAACTGCAGAGACGTTGTCGCGACGACAGCATTAAGCGTCCTCCTAACCTATCTCTGTGGATCTTCGGTGGCCGTTCTAGAGAATATCATGGTGGAGAAGGAAGAACTCGCAAGCTCCGTTGGGAACTGGTGGGATGCTCGGCCTAACACTGTCATATGGTTCCAGCCTACAGGCGTTGCCACAGATAAACTCGCTTTTGTCGAACAGCGCCTCATCTCCCTTCTCAAGGAGGTCGCCTCGAAGCCTCTTGATATGACGTACCTGAAAGAGTGTATTCAACGCGAGAGACGGCAAGTGAAGTCGCAGGCCGAGGCATCTGAATCTTTCTATTCAACCAACATTATCACAGATTACCTCTTTGGAGCACGAGATGGATCCACTTTGAAGGATCTCGAGACCCTCAGTGAGTACGACGACCTAGAGAAGTGGACTGAAGAGCAGTGGAGAGACTTCCTGAAGAAGTGGATATCAGATGCTCATCACGTTTCCGTCCTGGGCAAGCCTTCTCTGAAGCTGGCAACAAAACTGAAGGAAGACGAAACCAAGAGAATAGAGAAGCGAAAGCAAGAGCTTGGTCCAGATGGCATCGAGAAACGTCGCAAGCTACTCGATGAAGCGAAAAGCCAAAACGATGTGGAGATTCCCACATCTGTTCTCGAGAGATGGCCTGTCCCTCCTACGGACTCGATTCACTTCATCGAGTCTCAAACCGCACGGTCTGGCCTTGCTCGAAAGCTCGGGCTGGAGGATAATCCTGCGCAGAAAGCCATTGATGCCGCCCAACCAGGCAACCCGCTGTTTGTACAGTTCGAGAGTGTGCCGACTAACTTTGCGCACATTACCGTACACATCGGCACAGCGACACTTCCTGAGAAATACAAGCCCCTCATGCCGATTTTCACAGATAACTTCTTTAACACGCCCATCACCCGCGATGGTAAACGTGTTGACTTTGAGCAAGTCGTCATGGAGCTCGAAAGGGATACCATCAGCTACGGCATGGAGTCTGGCAGTCGTGTTGGCGACACGGAGAGCACGCTGATCAGAATGCAAGTCGAGCCCGACAAATACGCAACAGCGGTTGAGTGGATCCGCACCATGATGTTTGACAGCGTCTTTGATGTAACTCGCCTCAAGGCGGCAATCGTCAAGCAACTTGCCGACATCCCCGAAGCGAAGCGGGAGGGCAGAACGATGGCTAATGAAATCGAGATGGCAATCCACAACAAACACTCGTCACTACTGGCTGCCAAGCGGACGTTAGTCAAGGCCGTATACCTGCGTCGGCTCAAGAAGCTGCTGGAAAAGGAGCCTGACACCGTGATTTCCTGGTTCGAGGAACTGCGCAAGTTACTGTTTACTTTCTCAAATATCCGTACGTTGGTCACAGCCGACATTGGGAACTCAAAGTTACCCGATCCTGTCAAGACCTGGGATATTCTTGCCCAATCTCTCGATAAAGCCGATTCGATCAACCCCATCCTGAAGCCTTACACCCTTCTCAACGAGGAAGGTAACAACCCTGGGTCGATCGGCGCCATCCTGGTCCCCATGACCACCATCGACTCGTCATATTCTGTCAGTACGGCCAAGGGACTGACTTCATTCAACGATCCCGATGTGCCCGCCCTCATGGTCGCTGCTGCCTATTTGGAAACCGTCGAGGGCCCACTATGGAACGCGGTCCGTGGCAATGGACTCGCGTATGGCGTTTATTTTGCCAAGGAAGTCGATGGTGGCTATGTGCATTTCAAGGTGAGTGATGCCCGTGGCCCTGATTTTCGCAGTTCTTATTGTTACTAACAATGTTATAGGTATATCGCTCGCCCCTAGCATCCAAGGCCATCTCTGCCGCCCGCGATGCCATATCGTCCCTAGCCAACGGCACCATCGCCTTGGAAAAGCCGATGATCGAAGGCGCCATCAGCCAGTTGGTCATGGCACTGGCTGACGAGCAAGCCACTATGTCCGCGGCAGCAGTACAGAACTACGTCGTTGGTGCCGTGCGAGGACTGGACCGCGACTTTAATGCCAGAATTCTCGCCAAAGTGCGGAACGTTACGGAGCAAGAGATCAGAGAAGCTATGACCAAATGGCTTCTGCCCGCGTTCAACCCCGGCACTAGCAACGTGGTTGTCTGCTGTGCGCCTATCATGGTCGAGGTGAGTACTTTCTTGACTCTTTCAATTAACTGGTCACATGAGGCTAATTTTTGTGAACAGAACCTCGAGAAGGAGCTCAAGGGTATGGGCTACAAGACTCAAGTCAAGCAACTGGCTGACTTCCACGATGCGTATGGACTTGAGGCTCCTGAGGGCGAGGACGAAGAAGAGGATGAGGATGGCTCAGAGGGATCTGAATCAGACGGTTCGGAGGAGTCGGATGAAGAGGAATAGTAGAGTAGACTAGTCGAGTGCTGGCCAAATATTTTAGAGTCGCTACGCACAGCGGATTGAGACTCATGGACCATATATGCGCAATGCAGAATATTTGACGACGACCGCCGTGACCGCTTGTCCTTGGAACCCTGCAACGAATGCGCGACTTCGTAGACTAACCCGCTATCGGTCCCTCCAAAGTCTAATCACAGAGAGTGAAGATAGCAGGCTGGAGACCCACAGGAGGTAGATATGAAGATATCAGCGCTGCATCATCGACAAGCCATCGCGGTCAATATACCTGGCTATTTTCCTCAAGCCAGCAAATCTCCCTTCCCCTGCTCCCTCAACACCTCATGCACCGTCTTCAAAACATCCGCATGCAACGCCCTCGGCGCCGCCACAAACCCATAGTTACTAGTCATCTTCCTGCCGACGCTCAAATCGATACCCCTCCCATCCACATCCGTGATCTTTCCCCCAACCTCCTCAAACAACAGCATCGCCCCGGCGTGATCCCACACCTTGCCGTGCCGCGCCCGCGTCTTGTACACCCACGTCGTCATATTGGCCAGTCCCAGCGCGAGCACCACCCACCGCGGTACCCAGCCCAGTAGATCGCAGCCCGGGAAAGAGACGCCAAGTCGCGCGGCGACTTCTTCGTGGGCGGTGTCTATACCGGATTCGAGGAGGTGCACGCACGACACTGAGCGTAGATCCGACTTACTTGCCGTGAGGGCATGCGCCGGTACCCTCTTCGGCTCATGGTCATCCGCCCCACCCTTCTTCTTCAAAACCCGCACCCATGTCCCATGCCCCCTTGCAGCGAATACAATACACCCCTCCCCCTTGGGATCAAGCGTATCATTCCGCACCGGCGCAGTGGCTTCAATGGACAGAGTAGGACATCCGACTATGGAGAGAACTTGCTGACCTCCCGACAGCAAGGCAACGTTAATCGCGTACATCTCGCCACGGACGAAGGTTTTGGTTCCGTCAATGGGGTCGAATACCCATTTCCTCCCTGCGTCCAGACCACCGGGGACGCCCGTGCCGCAGAGGTCGATTAGGTCGCACATTTCTTCGGGTGTGGTGGGTAGGATGCATTTTGGCTGGTCCACATCCACAGCCTGATTCTGCGGACGCAGGGTAAGTGTTTGGAGTAATTCCCACACCCGTGTCCTCAGGACTTCATTACTGCGCAGTTCATCGGCGGATTCTTCACCTACGAAGCCATCGTTGGGGAAGGCAGCGTGTAAGGTAGAAGTGAGCAGGGCTTGAATGGCGAAGTCGGCTACGGTCACGGGACTTAGGTCATCTTTGGAGATTGTGCCTTTGTCGCTGGAGGTGAGAATGCCTTGGGACAGTTGGGCGGCGGATTGGATGGCGATGATGGCCGTTTTGATTTCCTGGGCGTAGGGGCTATCCATAGTGGTGGTGGTGGTGGTGGTGATGAGGTGGGGTAATGCAGTTAAAGGGCAAAGGAGGGGAGAGGAGGAAGGGTACGGTCTGTGCGGTGCTCCACTTACCGTTGAAAATTAGGCGATTCTTTTTAACTAACAAGAGGGACAAAGAAATTGAGGGGGGGCCTCGATTAGTAGCGTAGTCTGAATCGATAACAGAGTTAAGGGGTTAACCCCTTATATAGTTAAAACTTCACTTAATAACAAATTATATTTACATTTTATAGCTCAAGCTACCAGGTGAGTTATACTGCTTAATAACAACAGATCATATAACCTCAATAGTAAGCTAGAATAGATTATTATTATTAAATACGCTGTAGGCTCGAAGCCCCCGGTACCTCTGCTAGTACTCCCGTATGTCAAACCGTGCCCTAATGGCTGGACTAAATACATACGCTGCGTCGTCGGTTCGCCCTATTGGCGACTGCGTTGCGTCCACTACCATACTACGTTGGTTCTCAACCTACCAACAAAGTCCCCCCTGAGAAGATCGATGCTATGCTAGAATAGAAAATAGTGGGTTTAGTGATTTATATAGCCAACACAGGTGGATATTATGTTTTGGGGAGTGAAAAGCCCATGGAGGATCAATTCTGGAAGGGTATCAAGACCAATACTAACTAGTTATGGATAGAATGAAGTGGTATGTCTGCATGTGCTGCAAGGGGGACAAAGGCTCAAAGGACCTTTGGTCTCATAGACTATGGTTTGCTATGTTCTGCTTTACCAGAAAACCTGTATATCCCCAAATTCACCCCTGGAGCAGTCTCCCAACCTGCCCAACTCAAACGCATCAAGCAATCCCAGAAGAACGTAAAAATGGCGCCCAAGGCTAAGCCTACCAACCTCGGCCCGACACCTGTTTCAGGCATACACAAATAGGAAACCACTCTCCCAGCTGACCCTCGTCCACAAACCACAGCACAAGTCTTAGATGACCAGAGTTTAAGACATGCCGAAATTGAATGATTAATTGATCGAGGGTTGAAAGATAGAGTTAGGTAGTTGTCCACACACTAGACAAAGTACGTAGCAGTGTCAGGGTACGGCTAGGCCGAAGGCAATAGTACAGAGTGATGGGGAGTAACGGGCGTCCCTCCTACGTAGCACCGGGTGGTCACTGGCGGTCTCAGGTAGGGGTGCCCACGGTGATGCATTGATCTCTGCTCCTTCCCTATCCTACTTCGAGATGGTCCTTATATAGATAGCTAGGCCGCCGCTTGGACCCGGCATAACAGCAGGGTCGGCGATGCCAAGGATCTTGACTCTCGTCATCCCAAAGCTTCACATAGATTGTAATCATGACTCGGGAGTCTTTTGTCCGAAACACCCCTCCGGCGCCCCACCGGTGTCTTGCGTTCAGTGTCCTGACACCCACTGGTGCCTATGGCATTCTGTTCTCTGACAAGCAGTCAGGCAATGTAGAGAGTTTGTGCAGAGGATATCACAACATCCAATAAAGCCACAACGTATGGTAACATTCAAGTTTACATAACAAAACAACACCTTGCATATAAATAAGTATTGGGAATCTTCATTGATTATTTAATCTTGAATAGACAGACCTAAATTTTTCAAACAGTAATCTGGGTCTTAGCGCATACTGGGCTTGAACCAACGGCCAGTCAAATTTATGCATAGCTCGGGAAGGAGTTTATTAGACACCACCTGAAAACCAGAGGAAACCAGCAAATATTTGGCATTGTAGCCTCTCGTGCCGGCTACATCTACTCAAGGTAACAAACACGCTACCACATCGTCAAGTTCCAATTCGTCAAGTTCCAATTTACTAAAGAGAGAACACGGCACGTGGGAGAAATTGCAATTGGTCCCTGGAATGCTTTCTGTTTCGAGGACTGAGTTGATGGGCCAGTAGACATGCCTTATACGAAGTAATCTGCTTCCAATCCCACGGCTCGCTGGTGCACACCAAAACAACGTTATATACCATTGATACTAATTATAGGAGTCGAATGTCTCAAGGCACGTACTAAAACTTCGAATATTTTCCATCGAGCCAATCAAAGGCCCAGACCCCTCCCAACAAGGATACCTATACAAACAGCACCCACAATGCGGCGCCAAATACCACCATAGCAACAATATTGGACGAGATTGCTTCTTAAATAGCCTACATATTTGCCTCATAGCCAGGGTAGGGCACAGAGTTCTGCGAAAGAAAGTAGTGGTTGGACTCTTCCGAAATCATCTCACCAACGTACACTCGCTGCCACTCGGGATTCTGGTTGCTGCCCGTTTCGAAAATTATAGCGTCGCTAGAATATCCAGGAGTGCTTTGAACGCCCGTCATGTTGTGGGAAGCCATATCCGCGTTGGGAATCGACGCTACTATTATGAGACACAGTGCCATTGCCATCAGACGACGGGTTGGCGTTGGCGCCTGGCATGGAATTAATCCCGGCAGTCACAGTAATGTTGGGATGTTGGGGCCCACCATGGGAACGTTGCTGTTCGCCACGGTACGGTTGCCCTGCGACATGGGAATGTTGCCGTCAGACATGGTGGTGTTAACTGAGAGAGGTTAGTCAAAAGTGACACAAGACGCAAACGTACATTCTTGGGGATAATCACATCGGCGCATAACCGAGCAATAGACCATTAAACTTAGTAAGAGTATGGCGTCTTTAATGAAGCCAAAGATAAGTGGTGGAGGTGGCTTGTGCCGCAAGGCGTTGGTTGCAATGGGAAATACGATTTTTGTCAAAAACGACGGGTCACATGGTATTGGAGCATAGAAGCACCATATCGTTAGTTCTAGCTTTGTCTAGACTATTGTTTGATATTAAATGTGGGATTGAGCACCACAGTGATTCCTAAGGTTGAAAGGCGCTTTATGTTTAGAATAAAAGCGCTTTGTGCTTCAGGATAAAGGCGGGATAGAGGTAGCCTAGTAAGGCTGGTCCCTTCAGATTACTTAAAGGCAATGCACACAGCCAACAGAACAGATAGAGGGGATCGAGCATGGAAAAAACGGTGACCTAACCATAACCACCAAATTATTCTTTTCATATAACCGTCATATCACGGTCATACTGTAAGATACGTGAATATCTAACAATTTTCCAGCATTAATCACGCTCAATGAAATTAATCATGCTTTACGAATGGTTACGGGTACTAATAACTGTCTAGCTATTCTATCTTGAGAGAAAATATAGTCGCAACACGTTGAATCGCAACGGATGGAAGATATTGGCGTTCGAAAGCTAGCAGAAGACATTGGTAGCTTCTAGAAACCAGTCCTTTAGTTGTTCTCTGGAAGATACGCCATGGGTTTTTGCGACTAGTTTGTGGCCTGTGCTGTTGAGATCTACCCATCTCGGCTACATAAACATAAGCTTTGTTACCCTCTCCCATAGGATCAACGACGCCAACGACGCAAGCATCCCTCCTTATTTTTTACAGTCGCAATTTTAGTTCAGTACCGTACTCATTGCACACCGACTGTGCCAAAATACCGGTCAAAATACCAGGTTACGGTCTTGGACTTCGTACAACCAACGTAACTATACAAGAACTACATCGCTGTATTCTGACGTTGTAAAAATCTAATCATAACACACAATCCATCCAACCAATACAAAGGAATCTAATACCTAGACCAATACCAAGCGACTTTTTTTCGTACTAGATTTGCTCTTGTCCTTGTCTTTGTCTTTGCTTTTCTTCTTGTCCTAGTAAGTCGTTAGCTATGCGGAGGTTCAATACATTCACGGTATAACCCTGTACAATATCTAGGTGGCTGAGTGGTGGTGAATGGTACCAATTCAACTTACATCTTTTTTCTCATCTCGCTTCTTCTTATCGCTCTTGTCGCTCCTCCTCCTATCGCTGTGACTCGATTCTGTCTTGCTCGATCTGCTTCGCCTATCTCTAGTCCTCTCGGTATCTCTCGAATCAATACTGCCAGAAGCGCGGCTGGACTTCGTCGTATCTGGAACAATTTGTCAATGCTGTCACCATACCGACGAACTTTTTCTAGAGGAAAAATATTACTCACCTTCTCTCGTGAAGGCTGGATAATGGGAATGAGAATGTGAATGTGAATGTGGGTGGCCCATGTAATATCTGTCATGCGGGTAGTAGTACCGCCTGTCATACCCATCGTCGACTAAGAAGTCGTTGACATGGTACTCTCGACCCCCGAGACCATCGCTATGAACGGTGATCTAGTTCGCATTAGATTGAATCACTATAAGGATGTCTGATCGCACTTACCACTTCGGCATCTTCTGCTTTCTTTTCTGCTTTTACTGCTTTTACCTCTTCTTTCTTCTCTTCCTTGGCGGACGTCTCCTTTTTGTCTTCGATGATTGTAACCCTCTCTTTTTCTTTACCTTTTTCCTTCTTCTTTTCCTCCGCCTGAGTGGCTGCGGACGCAGCGGCGAAAGCTTTCCAAACTAGTGCGAGATATCTTCCTGTGAAGCTAAATGCCATTATAAGCTCCCTGCCTCAATATTCAGAAGCAGGCACTGGAAGATCGCCAATGCCCTTCAACGCAGCTTGCAAGCCATGACTAGTCACCAAAGTCTCAAAAGGAGCGCGACTCACCAGCTAGCATTCCACAACCAAATCGCCGTAATCGCTGTGTATTTCCACACAAACAAAGAATGCTTCTTCCACTCAACCGACCATATCGCCGCGCGAGTCGCCTCAAAATGTCTAAACCACTCGACCCCACACAAAAATGACCACACGGTTGTCCGTATCCGAAACGCCTTTTTCCACGTCTCGGTCCACCACTCCGGAGGATCTACCGGTTGGGGAGGTGGTGGTGGTGGCGGTGGTGATTTGTATGAATAAGAGGGTTCGTAGCGGCTATAGTAGCGAGAAGACATTCCTTGAACTAGACCTGTCGTGAAATTTCGTAGTGGTTTCGAGTCGTTGATGTGTTCTCTCAAGGTACTTAGTTTATGATTGAGGATGCGTGGTGCATATAAGACTTCTAGGCACGGACCTGCATTGCGAAATATCGTGGGATCCAGGAAGCTTCCTCTGTGCGCCAGAGGATGTCCGGATCGCAGAGTATATCGGTCCTCCGTAAGCCCGGCGCGCAAAGCACAATGTTGGATCTCAGCGCTTCAACAACAAAAAATCATCTCAACAATTATTAACTTCAACTTTGATGGGGAGGATGGCGTGGCCACTCATGGCTACGCCGGCGCCATAGTCTTGTAAAACAATTGGGTGTAGTTGAATCGACTCCAAGATATCATTACCAGCTAGATGAGTGTTTATCCAAACTAAAGTAATCTTGGTGGTTTTCACTTGTTAATGTACTAGATATTTCTTTCATGGTGCGTGTTGATATTGCCTTCTGGGATCTATTGATACTTCCGTGATGCTTCCACACGTATTCACGATGGCATTGTTGGAACACAGGGCCTGCTATTCGAGCTAAGATTTGTACATCTCGCGATAGAAACCCATGCTATTTCTCGTGGACCCACTGCAAATGAGCCAGGAATGACAAGTACCATCTCTTCGCATCCGGACGTGTTGAGGTAAATAGTCAAGGTAAGCAGCGGGTAGCCTACGATCACCAGCAATCTAACTACTAGATGCGCATCCTTGTCCTCAGGTATAAGCAATGGTTCCGCACTGTCTATTGGCCTTTTGCCTTTCCCTGTCCGTCCTCGTAGTTGAATAACTTTCAGTAGCTCGACATTTTATTAATACCCTCGTCGCACTTCTCCTTGGCCTCCACAACAGCTTTTCATGAATAACTCAGTTGGTCACTGCCGATAATATTGTGTGGATTACCGTCGAAGCCCGGATATTTGCGACTTCGAAGGTCTTCACCATGTCGAGAAAACCCGGACGGCGACATTTAGCGTGTTTACCCGGGCTTTATTCGATTTATAGGCGTGCTGCGGAGGCTTGAAGGATTCGTCCAATCCGTGGCGGCATGCGAGGGTACTAAAGCGAGCAGAGTAGTGATACCATACCTTGATGCAGTGATTGTTTCAAGGGAGACCTACAAGTAGTTAAAACCCTCATCAAAATGCTTCGATCGTATTTCGATATATTGCGTCCTTGATTCCGCCGAGGGTGCATTCCCAGACGCCTGCGCCTTGGCAGCATCATCTACCAGGTTCACTAGTTTTCTCGTGTGATCCATCACGTGTTCCATCGAGTTGTCAAGTTGTTTCCTTTCCTCCGCATCAAGGGGCACTGGATCACTGAAAGAACTAAGCACGACTGGTGGGACAGTAGGCGCATTTCTGGGGGTGTCCTGAATTGAGCCAGAATGAGGTCTAGTATCGCGAGACGCAGCTGAAGCATTCCGGGGTTGTTCCGACTTTGGGGTACTTAGATCAAATTTGGGGTACTTAGACCAAAGACCATATTACGATATATTCCAAAAGATGGATATCAGGGGGAGAACACAAAACATCGTAAGAATAAGTCAGAAATTCGACCATCGTGAAAGTCATATTGGTACTTATGGAGGGGCGATGCCAGGAATCTCGAGAGGCTGATCTGGCCACTCAACACCCAACCAATTTTAGCGTTAGATGAACGCGATGCACTATGGATACCCAAAAGGCCAACATTCGCTGGCTTCTATATACCAGAAGGTCGTTAGTTGGGGCGGCTGGCTAATTTACACGGAGCTAGAACCAATATCTTCGAATGAAAGAAGAAAACCCCATTCTACACATGTAACACAGCACATGCCAGACCAGCACATTTGTCGTGGTATAGGGTGGAGTTTCAACTTATTGACTGTGACGACGACCTTTGGATCTCGTACGGTATCGATAGGACAAATATATGGCACAGAAATGACTATTCAGTTATTATATTTGTTTTACGCTTATCCAGGGACGGCTAGGTCTACCTTGGGTGGCGTTGGTCCATCAGCTTCAACAGAAGCTGGCTGGTATACTGGAACCAGAGCCATCCTGCTCTTGCTTTTCACGTACCGGCGATGACGCCGCCCATTGATGTGTTTCTGCCACCCATCCTCTGTTGTGAGAGTCATGTTGCAAATCTCGCAAAGCTTCGCCTCGAAGTTCTGCTTGGGGGCCGAACTCCCTTCCAGTGCTGAGAGAACATCCTTAGCAGTTTCCGAGATGTCTACCGGGCGGGGCATCTCCACGCCATCAAGGAACTTCCGCGTAATGTCCGCTGCGGGCGACAGGACGTCGCACGAGAAGGCCTCCGCATCTGAGCTATCTAGTAAGTAGAGATATTTTGTGGCGTCTTTCTCTTCGAGAGTGGGAATCGTCTTGGTTCGAAGCCACCTTAGCTGCTGTCGGGCATACTGCCTTGTTGCGATCTTCATGGCGTCCAAACTGAGGTTCTTCAGTTTATCGAGCTCAGCTGTTGGTCGCCCATCTCGCTCCGCGTCCAGAAATGCTTCAAACTGCTTGAAGCCTATCGATTGCCAAATTCCTCGAGTACGATCGACTTCTTCCCCGCTTTCTGTCCGTATTCGCAGCTGATGGTGCAGGTTCCTGACCTCTTCCATCAGGCCAACTCTTTCCATCTTGTCTACACGCTTGTCAAGGCGCTCCTTGAGCACATCCGGTTTCGAGTAGACCCAGAACATCAGCGATTGCCAGGGACTGTCTGAAGGGCCCGTGTTGGACTTTGTCTGCTGCTGCTCGCCATATATATCAGAAGCGCGTTTGCCCGTAGTCAGGAATATCTCCAGAGAGCGCTTGATCTTGCGTCTATCGTCGGGATGCCAGCGGGAGGCCATAGCGGGGTCTACCTCACGCAGTCGTTGCAGCATCAAATCCGTGGGACCATCTAATATGGGGTGCTGCTTCTCGATATCCGTCTGGGTTACATACTTGGACTCGGCATCATCAAGATCACGAGAGTCGACAAGACTGTTCTCAAAGAGGAGGGAAGAGACGTAGTAGTGTGTACCGCCAACCACAATCGGCAGCTTTCCTCTACTCCGAATCTCCCGAATGAGCTTAGACGCTTCTCGTGCAAACACCCCGACAGTCCACGTGGGTTGGTCAAGCTTTACTGTGGCAAGGAGATGATGTGGTACACCGCGCTGTTCCTCAGCCGTGATCTGGTTCGTGATCACAGGCAAACCATTGTACATTTGCATCGCATCGGCATTTATGATCTCGCCGTCGAAGCACACGGCCAGGTCGACTGCCAACTACACATGCGTCAACACTAGCCCTGCATCGCTCTGAAATTCCTCCTCCGGCTTACGTCTGACTTGCCAGTGCCTGTGGTGCCCATGATGGCCACCAGGGGCTGGGTTGGTCGCTGAGCATATGCCATCGCGGCAGCATTGCGGACAAATGACTGGGAGAGCAGTCGCGTTGAAGTCATGGGACTCCTATCCTTTTAGGCCTCCAATGAGTCAGCTGTGAATTCCCAGAAACTCTCATCTGGCTCATGGAAGGAGGGTCCCTGTATGCTTTTAGCTGCATGAGCTGGACAGAAGCGCTCGGACCACTGCTAATTCCAGCCCTCTTAGTCTCGGCGCGGAATAAAGTTCGGATCTCTTCTGGAAGAAACCCAATCCTGGATTGATTGGGGCTCTCCACATTGGATTTTGGACACGTTCGCGTTGGGGCAATAATTTTGATGCCAGATCTTGGGCAGCTCGACCCCATATTGCGACGTAGCCCCTTCACGCCTCTCATTCTCTCCTTTAAACATCAATCGCGACATCCCAACGTCCTGGGCCATTTGTCGCTCCTCATTGACCTTTTCTCTCCCTCTTTTCTTTCCCTTTTATTGTGCCATAGCACACACCCATCATGAGTAGCTGTAAGTTCGCTCCTTCCTGTCCGGGTTCTATCCGCACCTCGTCGTCCTAGCCAATGCACCTGACTCGAAGTTATTGACTGGGCTTGCGACGCGACCGTCTCCATCGTTTGGTGTCCTTGATCAACAGAGGAAGCTAATGCGTGATTTTCTCGCGATGCAGTACGATTCCTTGACCTGGTCAAGCCCTTCGTGGCGTTCTTGCCCGAGGTTCAGCAGCCAGAGACCAAGGTGCCCTTCAACCAAAAGTTGATGTGGACGTCTCTCACGCTGCTGATCTTCTTGGTCATGAGCCAGATGCCCCTGTACGGCATTGTATCCTCCGACACATCGGATCCTTTATACTGGTTGCGTATGATGATGGCGAGTAATCGAGGAACGCTGATGGAGCTTGGTATCACGCCCATCATTACCTCTGGCATGGTCTTCCAGCTCTTGGCTGGCACCCACATGATCGACGTCAACCTCGACCTCAAGGCCGACCGCGAACTCTACCAGACAGCCCAGAAGCTGTTCGCCTTCATCCTGTCGGCCGGTACCGCCACCGTCTACGTCTTCTCTGGCCTCTACGGCCCCCCGTCTGAGCTCGGTGCCGGCATCGTCTTCTTGCTCATCCTCCAACTCGTCGTTGCAGGCATGATTGTCATTCTCCTCGACGAGCTTCTGCAGAAGGGATACGGTCTTGGCAGCGGTATTTCCCTCTTCATTGCCACCAACATCTGCGAGTCCATCATGTGGAAGGCTTTCTCCCCGACCTCGATCAACACTGGCCGTGGCCCTGAGTTCGAGGGTGCTGTCATTGCGCTCTTCCACCTCTTGATGACCTGGCCCAACAAGCAGCGTGCTCTGCAGGAGGCTTTCTACCGCCAGAACCTCCCCAACATCATGAACCTGTTAGCTACTCTGGCTGTCTTCGCCGCCGTCATCTACCTGCAGGGTTTCCGCGTGGAGATCCCCGTCAAGTCTTCGCGCCAACGTGGTGCCCGCGGCTCTTATCCCGTCCGTCTCTTCTACACGTCCAACATGCCCATCATGCTGCAGTCCGCCCTGTCATCCAACATCTTCCTCATCAGCCAAATGCTGTACTCGCGCTTCTCCGAGAACCTTCTCGTTCAGCTCTTCGGTGTCTGGGAAGCCAAGGAAGGATCCGCCCAACTCTCAGCTGTTTCCGGTCTCGCCTACTACATGTCTCCTCCCTTGAACTTCAAGGATGCCCTTCTCGATCCTATCCACACGGCGGTCTACATCGCCTACATGCTCACGGCATGCGCCATCTTCTCCAAGACTTGGATCGAGGTTTCCGGCTCTAGCCCCCGCGATGTCGCCAAGCAATTGAAGGATCAGGGTCTCGTTATGGCCGGTCACCGTGACCAGAGCATGTACAAGGAGCTCAAGCGCATCATCCCAACTGCTGCCGCTTTTGGTGGTGCTTGTATTGGTGCTTTGTCGGTCGCCAGTGACCTTATGGGAGCTCTCGGCTCCGGCACCGGTACTCTTCTTGCCGTGACGTAAGTTCGACAACTCTGATCCCTGGCTCACTTGTTGCTAACACGACTATAGCATCATTTACGGTTATTTTGAAATTGCGGCAAAGGAGGGCGATCTCGCAGGTATGAAGGGAATGATTATGGGCTAATGACCTTGAATCGATATCCTATATGGCCCCAGTTTGGGTTGTGGTTCACCAAGCTGGCAGGGGAGTGCCGTTGTAACATTTGAAGGAGAATAAAAGTTTCATGGACAGGGTTTGCCTGGGCAGCGAGGCTTGGAAAAATGCATTAAAGGGTGATTTGGCGTTAAGCCTACTCGAACTCGTCGAACAATGCCCTGGTGGGCAACGTGTATCTACACGAAGAATTAGGCATGAGGAAGGATCACCTGTATAATACACCTTTTCGTCTGAAATGCTACGTTCTCCCTCATCTTGAGAAGACTGACAATCCGGCTCTCGTGATGCCAAGAGTTGGATCTCAAGGCCTAAATTGCGGCCCAAAGAGACGAGTGGACATTAAACTTGCTTCCCACCCCCCAAGGCAATAAAAATAAGTAGTTGCTCCCGAAACTATCCTGCGGGATTTTAGGAGCTGTCCCGTATTATTCCCATCATGCCATTGCCTCTTATTTCGGCAAGAACGAAATGTTGCTGAGCTAGCCTCTGCATTATACCATTTAGAAAAGTATTTAACCCAACGGGTGTAACCAGGCAGTATCTATAACCTGCAGAATGTACAGCAACCTCTCGCCCCTGAATTCCAGGCATGATGGCCGAGCGTTTTGCATTGGAAAGATTGGCATATCACTGCTTGTTTACTAAGCATAAAGCAGCAATTCCAATGTTGTGGAAAGGCTGTTCGACGACTTATTTGGCCCGACTCAACTGCACCGCAGTATCATGATAGCCACCTATACTGAGAGTTGCTCAATCTTGGGAGCCGATCGCTCAAAGTGGAATACGAGGGTGCGGCTATCGACTTAATGGTCAGATATATTCCTCGTCTCTTGAAGGATGGTCCCCTCCTCGACTTCGCTACCCCTTGAAACTATCTCTCCATCCTTGAAACTATGGCCCGGTGCATACGGCTTGACTTCCAAACGTGCCTTTGTGTGTTCTACAGGTTCTATCTGTGTGTTGTTTTGTCTGTACTGCGCCATCCACGGGATCAGGGTACACTAGGGTTCTATAGACAGCCCATGCGGAAGTTCCAAGTTGCAGAGACTGTCTTTGCATGCTGTCAGCCGTTTGGGAGGAAGGGGACTGCCAACACCAGTCTGCACTGGATTCCGACGAAATGGATATCTATTGTACTTCAACTATACCAATAGAAGGTATCTATTTGAAGTTGTCTCTGAGGACCTGTGCTAGATCCGAATGAAGATGACCATTAGGACCTTAAGTACAGGGTGATGAGCGGGTTGCTCCCTATTCGAGAGATACTGACTCAAGTAGGCTTTGTCAATGAAAGTCCAACCCTACTGACGTTTCAGCATGCAGGGGTTATGTCAGTATTAAGATTGTTGAAGAGTCGGCAGTCCGACAATATCTCCGTTGTTTCTGGAAGTTGTAGGTTGCTCATTTAAAGGCTATAAATATTTGTTGTGCATGGCCCTTCCTTAATGGCAATGGCTCAGTGAGAACACAATCTGCATGTAAACAACGCACAGTGAGGAGTAAGTTCGAGCGGTCAGTGTCTCTATTGTGCGGGCTCGAAGACAGCATCGTACAATACATTGCTTAGCAATAGCATGTATTTAGCAAAGCTTATAACCAGCTAGAGTTTCCGTCAGTTACGCAGTGGTATCAAGGCACTGCTGAGTATTTTTCGATTAGTGCCATCATAAAGGACCGAAAGTCGACCAATATTCACCATAGATACATAGTCTCTGAGCGGAATGCTGTCATATTGACTTTTATATTCAAAGAGAGGCAATGATGTCAGCCTTAGCCAGATTTGGCAAAATCTATGTTGGTTGAGCTGCAGCATTGATGTATTGTGATCTCTGATCCGCCGACTGTCTCAATGTATGGTATATCTATTAGATACCAAATTTCGAAATAGACTATGCCTCATCACGGTTTATGAGGGGTCTGTCGCCTGCCGGGATTCTTGCGACATTGGCCCTATACAGACAAAAGCGACAATAGACGGATCATGTATAAATGACGTTCCTCAACCCCCAAAATGTGGCAGTTTGGCAAAGACTACCATCCCAATACTCCACCTTGGCTAAACCAAAGTTCCACAACTGGAGTAGTCTTTCAATGTCCCGCCGGATTGGCACAGTCTTGGTCTTTGGGGAAATTGCAGCTATTCCAGTCTAACTGGGGAATACTTTCAACTGGCATACGGTAATCTTCAGCCTGATGGCTACGCTGCAGTGTTCTTGGTGCAGAAAAGCTGGAATATTGTAGGATCAGCAATAACCAACCCTTGGAGACTAGACTCCAGTAATAAATTTATTGGGATTTATTGCTTCCCAATATTGATCCCTGGTAATCTCAAAGAAAAGTGCCACTCTCCCTCTGGCCACGCATCGGGAGCACTCCGCCCTCCTACACCCTCGAAGGCTACGCCAAAGACAACCCCCTAGGCCCAACGGTAACCGTCTCCAACGTCGCGGACCTGAATGCGGCCCTCACAAGTGATGATTCCCGGCCCGTGTTTTCAAATGGCAGTCAAACTCGTTGCTGCTTAGATAGTAGTACGGTCAAGTCGTCATAATCCCCGCTTCAGACTGGATAGCCGTATCCTGGAACTGCTTCCACAAGCACTGGAGATTCAGTCTCGCCGGGAACAGCGATGCCCTCCGGTCAGCCGACCAAGGCCAGCTCCACGTAACATAACATCACAACCACTGGCCCCATATGGGACACGCGGTCCGGCGGGGCGCTTCGGCCATCAGCACATCTACAACCACCTATACACCGACTTCCTGCACCAAACGATCCATTGCCGAGCGGCAACCTGGCACTGGTGGAAGAAAGCATGTTCGAAGCAAACACGGGCGAGGAACTTAGTACGGTTTCCCATGGATAGCCGTAATAGGTGTGCTTGTGGTGATGAGGAGCTGGTTGAGCTGAGAATTTCGGGGGGAGAAATGGATTCGGAGGAGCGGAAGTGAATATCACGCGCATGGGAATTTTATTCATGCGAAGTATAAATACCAATTGACGTTGTTGGCGCTGGTGAAGCTTGGGGGCGCGGGTGAGGAAACCATTGCCGTAGTGTTATGTGGCGGTTTCGGATGTAAACCATAATGATGGCTTTGAAAGCGTCGGCCTATAGAATTCCTTCATCGATGAAACTCGATGTCAGGGGCTCTGTCTGCTACATTGGCTTCTCTCCCAATGTTATTCATGCGCTCTACAGATCACCAGGTGTTTTTGTGGCAGAGTGGCTTGGTCGGGGTCGTTCAAGTAGTTTTGAGAAATTAGAATCCGCAACAGCAACACATATATTGACGAAAAGGAAACTAGTATGCTGCTCTGTAGAGCGGTACATGTACATATAAAAAGCGAGGCGAGCAATCGGCGGTACTCTAGCAACATCGCAGCGGTCCCGCCATAGTCTTACCCAAAATATTAAATATGATGAGTTTTTTCCCAGTACCTAGTTGGAATGGCTAGTGTCGTATTCCATTAAAACAGTGCCGCACAAGCTCAGAATGGCTGTAAAGTTTATTTCATTCCACTAGGACTTTGGCGATTATGCCGTTATGATTATAAGGGGCCCCCCTCCTCTTCGGGCGACTCCTCGTCGGAACCAATACAGGTGGAGGTCTGACGGTCCTACTCATCGTCCACAAGCCGTTTGGCCTCGTACGCCTTTTTCGCCGCCTTCAAGAGAGAATCCAGATCGCCGCTCGTCTCGCACATGCTCCTGAAGCTGCCCTTCTCATTCTTGAGAAGTTCCCATGGATGCGCATACTCTACCACCGCACCATGATCCAGTACTAGCACCTTGTCGTAGTCCACAATGGTTGCCAGACGGTGGGCGATGGTGATAATGGTGCCGTTGATTTCACGGATGGTATCCTGGATCTTCGAATCCGTCGCGTAATCGATAGATGCTGTGGCTTCATCCATAATAAGGACTTTGGGGCTTTTCAGCATTGCACGAGCAAGACATAAGAGTTGTCTTTGGCCTTGCGACAGGTTTGAGCCGGATTCAGCAACGGGGGAGGAAAGGTCAAGAAAAATGTTTTTATTGTTGGCAGTTGGCGTTGATGTGCCAGTAGAAAGCTGTTCGTCTCCTTCGGTGGGTTTGGAAGGACTATCTGGAAGGAGTAGTCGGGTAGCGGTAGGGGTTACAGGAGTTGCAGGAGTCTCGTCGGGGCCAATAAGGTGGACGCGACGGAGAGCGTTGAAAACCTCCTCGTCGGTGTAAAGGTTAAAGGGATCGAGGTTGGTTCGGATAGTACCTGTGAACAAAGTTGGATCTTGAGGAACCATAGTCATGGCCTCTCGAAGATCGCGCAGCCCAATCATGCCGATGTCGATATCATCGATAAGGATCTTGCCAGTATTCGCCTCGAGAGCTCGGAATATTGCCAAGGTCAAGGAGCTTTTTCCGGCACCGGTGCGACCAACGATTCCGACTTTCTCAAAAGGCTTAATCTTAAACGTAACGTTGCGGAGAACTGGTTCGAGATCTGCTCGATAACTCGTAGAGTATCCGATGAACTCGACGGTACCCTGCGCAGGCCAGTTCTTAGGAGGTCGGTTTTTCTCGTTAATAGGTTCGGCTTCTTGCTCAACGTCGAGATATTCCTTCACGCGTTCAACCGAGTTCATATTCTGCTCATTCATCGCATAGAGTCGTACAAGCCAGAGAATATTGTCCGAAAAACTGATCGCGTAGCTGAGGGATATACCAGCATCACCCGCGTTGATCTTTCCAATGCTAAGGATAACGAAAACACCAGCGAAGAAGGCTACGAAATCGCCAAGTAGGTCCGTTCGGAACGCCAGCCATCTGTTAGCAGCCCACAAATAGATAAACGGACGCGCCTGGGTGTTGACCTTTGCCAGGTTTTCACGAATAAAACGTCGCTCATCACCATAGGCGCGGATTGTAGTGACACCGGAAAGAGTCTCACCAAACTGTTGGAACAATGGACTCCTGTTGACCGACTCGAGCCGCTTGAGATCTCTCGAAGCTCGGAGGTAGAACATGCCCACAAATATATACATGATGGTGATGAAGACACCGGCGATGAGGAATCCGGGGGTGATGGCTGCGATCAAGATCACGGTCACTATGACACCCAATGCACAGGTCATAACTCCGATGGCGACTGGAGCCACTTCTTGATCCACAGCCTCGAGGTCCTTGCTGAACCTGTTCATGAGCTGTCCCAGAGGTGTGACGTCGAAGAACTTGAATTTAGCTCTCGCAACTGATGCCATCAGCTGATTGTGCAGTTTCCAAGACGCCGTCAAGGAGCCAAAGAACAGCCACAAATCTCGGAACAAGGCAAAGATAGCACCCGCAATGCCGATTAATGCGAGTACGGTGAGATAGTAGTCAACATCGACTTCCTGCGCCGCGCCGGGTGCGTGCTGGGCCGGGCTAAATGTCGCACGATCCTTAGCGTGATTGAGGATCGAGGCGAAGTAGGCTGGAGAGACGGAGGTGCTCATGGAATTCTGGGATAGTGCACTGAACTCCGTCTTGGTGATATATTCCGCGCTGGTGGTGTACTGGTTGGCCCACTGCCTGATCCATACGTTCGAAGCAACACCAGAAAGTTGTTGAGCAGTGAAGACAAACACGGTTATGACCCAAAACCACCATTGACCCATAGCGCTGAGGTAAAGTTTCAGAACCGACCACTTTACCGAGCCGACTGCTTTGGCTTCGTCCATGGCACGTTTCTTCTTGTCCTTCTTGCCAAAATGACCGTTGGTGGCATTATTGCCACCATCGTCTATCAGGGTCTCTCCACTTTCTTCCCCAACGCTGGAGGGTACACGAGATGGGACGCGGGACACATGTGCCGAGCTTGGTCGAGACTTGTTTCGAAGGTCTTCACCAAGCGCACCCGATGCCATCACCTCCAGAGAAGGCCCTTGCGTGGCAACTCTACCATTTTCCAGGAGCACAACATACTCGGAAGAGGGCACACAAAGGGAGACATTGTGTGTGACCATGATGCAAGTTCGGTCCTTCATCAACGGCCCCTTGATACAGTTGTTAAAAATCCATTGGGCCGTGTGGGAATCAACAGCGCTGAGGCAGTCGTCGAGAAGCAGGTGGCGTGAGTTCGAGTAGACGGCTCGAGCGAGCGAAATTCGTTGCTTTTGGCCACCAGAGAGGGTAATACCCTTCTCTCCAACTACAGTTTCATCGCCATCGTCCAAAATGTCGAGATCGCGCTCGAGAGCACATGCCACAATGACGTCCCTGTACCGTTTCTCGTCATACGGAGCAGCGAACAAAATATTCTCCCTGATGTCCCCGTTGATCAGCCAGGCGCCCTGGGCGACATATGCGCACGTCTCGGCAAGTCCAGTTTCGGGATCGACGCGGACGTCCTCGCGGCTGCGAGAACCCGGCAGGTATACTTTTCCTTTAACCATCGTCATCTCACCGAGCAAAGCCATGAGCAAGGAGCTCTTCCCGGAGCCTGTGGGGCCAGCAATGATGTTCAGCTTGCCAATATTGAAATCAGTGGTTAGGTCAAGTAGGCGGAAGGCCATCGAGCCATCAGCAGCAACGGTCTCCTTGTTACCCCAGATAAACGTTGCATGGCGGAAGCCAATGAGCTTATTACCATTTTCGTCGACGTTGTCAGGCCCAAGCTGCTTGTATTTCTCGGTCTCCTCTTCTTCCAAGAACTCCTCAACACGATCGATGGAAACTTTGGCTTCTTGGACGTGGGCGATCATGTCGCCTAACTGGTCCAGAGGAACGCGGAGTAGTAGGAAAAGGGAGATTGCCGTAAACGCAATGGACGGGTAGAGAGGCTTGCCTTCGATCTTCGTGTACACGAGGAAAGAAAAGAAGGATATAAGAACGGGGACGGTGTTCCAAATAGCAACAGCGACAGCCCATATCATATACCGACTTCGCAACGCCTTCAGCTCCGCCGCTCGTTTCTCGTCAACAATGGTGCTGAAACGCTGTTCCCAGGCGAAATATTTGATGATGCGGATATTTTGGAGAACCTCATTTGTCGTATTAATCCGCTTGTCCGTGGCTGCCATAATTCTCTTCTGTGTGCGGTGAAAGCCCTTGGCCAGAATGATGTTGATTGGAAGGAGGAACACAATCACGACAAGTCCTGGAACTGCGCTAAGTCCCATAACTTGGTAGAGCAACGCAATGCATACAATCAACTGGGATGGTGCTGCCGCAAACAAGAAATGCAAATAGGCCGTTACTTCGGAGATTTTGAAACTGTCGACAGACATTAAGTTGATGATGGTCCCAAGATTCGCCTGGTCATCAACGTCCTTAGTAGGGTCGGCTTTGGCTGCATCACCATTCGACTCCGAGGATTGGTTGTCCGTGTTTGGCTTCTTCTTGAGCCCGACCATCTTCTTCACCTTGTCCCATTTGGTTTCTTTGGGCGTCTCGGCCTTCTTCGTCATCTCTTTGCCGCTGGCAGCCTTGCGGCGTAGCGCTTTGGCGTAGATCTCGCCAATGATGATGGCACGAATGCGAATGCTGATCTTCCGACCAATCCAGAGTCCCTGACCATCGGCAACCGAACGTATCACATCGGTAACAGGGAGCAAAATGACGAATAACCACAGTACGTTCCTTGGAGTCGCGTCAGGCGCCTCCACATATTCCAGTATGGCCTTGAGAAGTAGAGTCGGAGCGAAGGTGAGGACACCAGCGACGAGCGCCCAGATGGCTTGAATGATGAGCATGGTCTTGAAGTACATGGCTAAGTGCCAAGCCAGAGTGGTGGTCTTCTTGACTTGGCGGTAGTCGGCAAGAACAGCGGCGGCTTTGTCTCGAGGAAGAAGGTTCCATACGGTGCCAATTTCGAGGGGCTCCTTGTAGCCTTTCCAGAGCATACTTTCGACCCAGGAGAAGGTCAGAAGCGAGAAGACAGAGGCCAGGGGCTCCCGTGTAGGTTCGATGTCGCCTTCCCATTCCAAGATGACGGTCTTATTCCCCTTTCTAGTGGTCATTGCCATGGTGAACAGTACCGTCGTCAGACAAAAGTCGGCAATGACGAGGGTTTGGGCGAGCTGGGAACTCGGATGGATGAGTACGGATCGAAATATGAAGATGGAAAATAGCCATTGGCATCCATAGATGGTCGCCGTGTGGCTCCATAGCTGGGGCACTCGCCATTTCGTGTGTTCCAAGAAGAGCCGCAGGGTCGCGAGTACGAGGACGTAGAGCCAGGTGACGGTTCCGACAATAGCGGTGAGTTGACCATGGCCACCGTAGGTGCCGGTGACGAGAGCAACGACATTCAAAGCCACAAGTCCAACGATTGTAAGCTCTTCCACAATGACTGACAGCTGTTGTCCCGATGGGGTGTCGGCTTGGACAATGGAGCCCTTGGTGGTCGTTTTGACCAGCGCCAGTCGGCCACCGCCATTGATGGTGAGTTCCTCTTCATCGGCTTCGATGTCCAAAAACCCATCCTCCTCGCGAGGCAGTTCGGTATGATGGTGGTGGTTGGGTACTTGCTCGTATGCGCTCGCTCGTTTGGTTTTGACGTGCCGGCAGACGCTTTGTAGGACGAGATGCACGAATGACAGGCAAACCACGATCAGGGGGAACACGGTTTTGAGGTAGCTGTAGTACAAACATGTGTATCAGTAACTGAGACACAAAGACCGATAGGACCGAAGCACATGCAAGACTTACATGGATTGGAAACAAGTGGTGAAGTCGTCAGTCCGCCATATCGGCCACCCACACGAACCAAAACCTCCCATCGTTCTGGGAGGATGGCACCTGTGTGCACCCCACTCGGCTGGTGAAGATGATATCACCAATGAGACGCACGGGATAATGTATGCTGCCCAGGGTTGCACAAATAGACTCCAAAGCAAATCGCCTCTAAGGGAGGATCGATCTTCGCATCAAATGGACTGGAAGCTCAAACTTCGCAGGAAATGGAGGTGGTAGAAAGCAGCGACGTAGTTGTGGACTGAAAGGTGCAAAGAGAAATAATCAGAACCGTTGACGAAGGTGGGGAGTAGAGACAACATAAAGTTAGCTGATGCCGCGGACTGCAACTTAGAAACTTCCGAGTGGAGCTCGTGCGGTGGGCTATTGCGAATTTACGTTGCTCATCTGGCGGTACCTGGGTGGATCCTTCTAGCACAACGACCTTCTTAGCATTCAAATTGATTGATGGACGGGACGGCAGCTTCGAGTGGTGACCTTGTCTCGAGTCTAGACTTGAATGGTTGTGCTGTTCAGTTGCACGGTAGTAGCGCCCGGATTGCATTGTGCTTGCAGAATGGCAGGGGGGAGGAAGTCAGATATTGCATCAGAACGGTGACTGTTGGCGAGCATGGCGCCGCCAGCCAGGGGATTAGACGGGATGGCACCTGTTTCCTTACATTGAACTCTGGGGCGTCCATGCTGTCGGTGAAAAATCAGATTGACGAAATGGGACAGTGAGGAAGGGCACTGGAAACGTGTTGTTTGTCCTTTCTCGGGCTAGCGACACGCGACTTTTGGTAACGAATTCGTCATACTGATCGATGGTCCTTCCGACTTTCGGCAAGCCGAGCGCCCGCCCATAGCGTTGTGTAACTCGAGGAATTCCCCAATCATAGCAGGAACACTTGAACCTCCAAATGCTACGGAACCTACGGAACTCAAAGACGACCCTCGACTATTGCCAGTGGGCGTACCATGAAATGAAATGCGCTGCGATAAATTCGAAAGCGTGGGTGGATGTCCACTTGGTTCACCGCCCTCAAATACGGTATCCACTTCATCAAGCAAAGTGCATGCAGGATTCCCTGCTGCAGGGCTGTAAGCTCTCCGAGGTTTTAGATCAACCTTCTATCAGCACTTTCTGCTTGGACAAGCGCCAGTCCCAATGCAAACAAGTGCGCAGAAACATTATACGCAGAGTCAGAAGAGGCACATCCGCAGCCAACGACTGACTCAGGCAACTCCGAACCACACCCATTTTTGCTCTTGTTTTGACGGAGTGCAAGCAAGTTTTGTGGAGGACGCGGTAGGAGGAACCTTGCGATCCGACATGGCGGTATACTTTCCCGCCCCGCTGTTACGACCTTCCAGTTCCAGCGCCCGCGATGAGCATTGGCATCCGGCATCCGGCATCCAGTATCCGGACCTGTGTTATGACGAAGGCGTTCTAGGGGTGGTGACTCGTCCGGCGTGACTCCTCCTGAGGCCGCAGCCCGCTCACTAGATAAGCTTGTTTGTGTGATGCATGTCAAGACAACCGGGAATTGATTCCAAGTATGTGGGATTGTAGCCTCCCACAAAGTCGCGTCCATCAAATGCAGGCAAGTGGGACACCACGGGGTCGGCTCTGGAGACGGGAGACACATGGCGACAGCTCAATTCAGCCCAGCAATTGGTGCATTTGATTGGTTTAGCGGGCAGGATCTGATAACGAACCCCTGAGACCAAAGCAAAACGGACTTAGAACCCATGGGGAAAGTACGTGTCATGGCACGTACTTGATGCTTTTATAATTGTTTGACGGATTCTCTATCCCAAGACACAGTCCGCTTTCAACAACTGCGAAAACTTGTCGGGGCGTCGAGATATATCCTAAAATAAACCCGTACTCTTTGGTTGCCAAGAAAACTTATCTGATCGTTCTTGCTGGGTGCAGACAGGACTTGGGTCTGCTCATGTTATTTTATGTCTGTGCCACAATTTCCCAATCCGGCCTTTACACCAACATAACAACTCGTTTCAACCTCGAATTACAGCCGAAATACGTGCTTTTGGGACTGAATGGTCTGAAATTCGAAGGATACATGGGGAAATTAGCTCCGACTTGCGCGCCGCGAATCGCGTACGAACCTTGCTGACTCGTTCGGCACATGCAGGTGCCAAGTGTCACAAGAGGAGGACCAAGCCCCTAGGCCAATAGACCAAAAGATCTAGAAATGTCAGTGTTACTGACATTCGGTCCCACTAACTTCTATATACAGCACTATGTGGCTCTGTAATCGCCAGCGCTGTGACACCAAGCTATCCGTCCGAACCCATACCTCGAATCCGGGCTACTAAACGCTCCAGGGCGGACCTTATCGACCACCGCAGTTATATAAAGATCCCGGATCTGTATTACAGTTTGGGCAATCTAGGTAAGAGTAAGGAGGAAGGGGGGAGGGGGTGACGCCGGCGTATCAAAACCGTCTTCTATACAGGGGACCTGGATCTTTATTATAGTTTAGGTAATCTAGGTAAGAGTAAGGAGGAAGGGGGTGACTCTGGCGTATCGGAACCGTCTTCTATACTGGGGATCCGGATCTTTTATTATAGTTTGGGTAATCTAGGTAAGAGTAAGGAGGAAGGCGGTGACGCTGGCGTATCAAACCCGTCTTCTATTGTAAGGTGACAGCAAGCCTAGATTATCACGTCACATAGACCAAAAGATCTAGTAATTCTGTCACTTAGTGACAGAATTGAGGCTTAACCCTGCTTATAGCTCTGTATTCCCTTACATCTATACAGGGGACCCGGCTGCCCCGCGTCGAGGGGTGTCGGTGAAGCGATACCTGTCAGATAGGACACCTGGTTCCTAGGTTCAGAAATAATATGGCACTAGAGAAGACTAGTGTCACTTGAAGTTCAGACGGCGAAATGAACCCCTCTTCCCGAAAGTAACTCCGAAGTTCGGGGTCAGACACCTGAACAATGCACCTCCGACATTTCCGAAAGAATCTATAAAGGGCAGAGCAACGGGAGTTCGCGAGAATAGAACACAGACAAGAACACACCTCATTCATATACAATCTTATGCACTTCTGACTACTCGATTGGACACACGTGATATTCGACAATACCAACAAGCGCTCGAGCAAGGTCTTCGTCTATTCTTAGACTTAGTAGACCCTTTATGCAGTAGTCTACACCTATTCACACTACAGGGGACTCGAAGGAGTGGCTGGAAGACCATGGGTTTAGACGATCGAATGGCCACCCTATTCGATGGATCTTACTCATATTAAGCTTTACATGGAGGGCTTTGAAGGACAAAACCCATGAATTCCAGCCTGCTTTCTCTACATTGAAGAAAAACATCGCCAATAACGAATAAAGTGTACGCTCGGGAGCTTATCAAGTTGGCGCGGTCCGAGGTAGATATGGGCCCTGTCTAGAAGTTGATGGAATGTTCCCATGCGATTTGATTGTTGGCTGAGAAATCACATTGCCGTTTGGCTGGGTAGGGGTGGGGTCAAAATGCCTTGGCACAGGCTTCAAATGCCACGTTTCGATATACATGGGACGATGCAGAGCATGCACAGATCCTAGAATGAGCCAGCCTCTGAGGGGTTATCGAGCTAGCATCGTTGCCCTAGACGTCGTATTCAACCTCGTGTATAGATACAACCCATTGTTCAGGACTCGGAGCATCAATCCGGGGGGGACACGGCCTTAACCTGATAGAGAATAGCACAGCCTTGTATGATTCACTTGCTTGAATGTATCGGTTACTATGGTGTTATGGGTAAGTTTTCAATTGTGTGTTTGTACCGTGCCCCACCTTGGCACGCGCTAACTCTGGGCATATGCATCGAATACATTTTACTAGTACTTTGTATGCATTCCGTTGGCCGCGATCACCGCTTCGCACCTCTCTGGCATTGATTTCAAAAGCTCCTGTAAGTAGCTCTCAGGTAATTCATCCCAAGCCTCCTTTACCCATATCCAAAGACGATCATAGCTAGGCTTTTCAGTAATACCGTATTTATCTTCAATGTAGTCCTTCATCCAGTTCCAGCACATCTCTATCGGGTTTAGATCAGGGGAATAAGGTGGCCACTGGACTATATTAATGCCCCTATCCGTAAGATCTGTGACTGTATCAATTGCCGAGTGAGCGGGAGCGCCGTCCTGCATTAATGTAAGGTGTGTACCGAGGTCTCGTTGACAGAGTTGTATCCAGCCATCGATAATAGGAATTGTGTGGGATCGATATGTCTCGGCAGTAATAGAACCCCAATCCTTTTCCCAGAAGATTCCCGGTCCTTTTCCAAGGCCTGAGAAACAGCCCCAGAACATCCAGCTTTGTTTATGTTGGTGTCGTTCGATAATACAGGTCGGGTCCCATTCCTCTCCTGTGTAACGAGGATACCACACGTCTCACAATATAATAGTCAGGTAGTGCAAAGGGTAGCTAGTGTGACGGCCGGTGTCACGATGCCACGAAACCCACTAGCTGTGGACCCGTAGGAGCACTGGCCATCTGAAGGCGGGATTGAAGATCCTCAGATGTGAGCCAGCCTGTTTTAGTTTCTCTTTCTTTCCTTGTCGAGAATCGTTAAGTCAATACAGTGCATTAGAGTGTTTTGACTCTTCAATTGTGCTCACCGCGACAGCTAGAAGTGGGCCAGTGTATGGGTGCGTATATTGCAAGACTGATTCTTGAAGAATCTAAACTAGGTGCGAGCGTCTCGAGTTCTCCTCTTAAGCCGGGCGGTTCCGGGGTTCTACCGGATCGGGGGCGAATCCCTCCCGACTCAGCTTGTCAGCTGAGACCGGCCCGCCACAACGGCTCTTTCCTTACATAACGATAGTCTAATCAAACAAATCATTATCACAGTATCAGAGAAAATCTTAAACACGGAGTAAATATATAGGGCTAAACTATCCAATTTGCATATATAACGTATATATACAGGTTAGCTTTAGGAAACATCTATACGATTATACTCCTATATATAAAGTGATCTTTGGTTACGTATATCTATAGATCCGGATACTACTACGTTTATATAGCATATGCTAAGCTTAAGTTAGCTTCCGATTAGACTACTTAGTATAAGCGATACATATGTTACATATATGCTGCACATATACTCGGTACTTAAAAGAGAAACTTGAACGATATTATATTATAGCTGTCACGGTCTATGACCGCTATGTGGCCTCTGCGACGCCTTCGGCCAGAAAGACCCACAGAAGATTCTCGACAGCACTTGGACCCACAGAAATCTCCGAATAAGCTTTACTCCTCGAAGATTCCTGAAACGACGAGACGGGAGGACAGAAGGATAAAAGGGAGAAGGGTTCACCACGCAGAGTGTGTGTAACGTTTTTCTCTTCATAGATGGATAGTACTCGTAGAGTAGGTTAGGCTAATTGCATCGACATTACCCTTGACCCTTACACTTTCCACGACCTAGATAGACTTTCCTTCTCTTCTCTATCGTAGCAATTCCAATATATTCGTTACTAGCACTGAGAGCCTACTTATTAGTAAACCATGACAAGCGCTACTTTTACGAAGATGGAAAGTTAAGTAAGTAGGACCGGTAATAGAAGTAGTCGCTATTGTAAGGGTCAAGGGTAATGTCGATGCAATTAGCCTAGCCTACTCTACGAGTACTATCCATCTATGAAGAGAGAAACTTTACACACACTCTGCGTGGTGAACCCTTCTCCCTTTTATCCTTCTGTCCTCCCGTCTCGTCGTTTCAGGAATCTTCGAGGAGTAAAGCTTATTCGGAGATTTCTGTGGGTCCAAGTGCTGTCGAGAATCTTCTGTGGGTCTTTCTGGCCGAAGGCGTCGCAGAGGCCACATAGCGGTCATAGACCGTGACAGAAAGGGGTGCCGCCACTTATAGTGCGGCACCCGCAGTTAGGGCCATTAGGTTGAATGTGGCCCGAGCACCCAGGTTGTAGGAGGAGGGGCCGTAACTTGTAGTGCGGCACCCGCAGTTAGAACCGCTGGATTGAATGTGGCCCGATGTTACGAACCGTTGGCCCTGTCACGCCGCGCCAGGGGTTGCAATCCTTGCCACTACGCCACCGTACCAGGTGTTTTTACCAAAAGAGACCAATACCAAAGTCAGGGACTTTGGTATCTGCAACCACTTATCAATCTGTTCAGACCACTGTGGGTCAATCACGTGACAACCGTTACAGGCCCGTCGGCAGGCCAGGTGGATACAGACGCTAGGATCATGGGACCCCGCATCGGAGGAAGGAAAGGACGACAGGTCACGTGACCTACAGGGGTGGATATGCTGGATATGTTGGATATGTTGGACAACCAACATATCCAAGTGGGGATCAGTGAAGGAGAGATGGGTATATAAGGGACAGGACTCCCAGGCATTTCATAGATAGACAGTCTCTACTTCAGTGATCAATCTAAGCATCAATCTAACCCATTGGTGAGGCAAACTGCCTTGACGACTCTATTCCCAGTTACTGTGACGGGCTCACTGCGAAACTATACAGCTCAACATGGCCAAATACTGTTAATTATCTAACTGAGGAGGAAAGTAAAATATGCGAGTTGTCCCGGGAACACGGACTATGTTTTGTGTGCCCTCGATGGTTCCTTTGGTGGATCCGGACGCACGGTCCTTGCAGCTCCGGATCCCATATCAGGCACAGCCTGTCACAGTTACCCTACTTGAATACTTCAGTTACCCAGTGTAACGAGGCAGAGGCACATAGGTACGAATCAAGGTTGCATATCAGTGCATCTCTATTGTTGAATACTAAACTAGGGAAGAAAGAGAAGGAAAGGGTTACAAGTATGTCTGGCCGTTCTCCTATTATAAGGGGAACGCGCTCGTCCAGATCAGGGCAGGCCATGTCAGGATGTCCCTGCTTATCGTCCATGTGTCAGTCGTCACACCCAGAGCCCTATACTCCATACGTCAGACCCCGATATTATTGCTAAAGGACTCCGCAGCAGGACTTACTTACTAGCACAAACCCTTACAGACTCTTTAGTGGTTTACGCAGCTAGACTATTAGAGGTTTCGTTACACCCGAGCGCCACATTAGCACAAAGTGGGCTAGCCCCGTGACAGCGCTTATTATCTTCTAAAGATATATTTAGTATATCAACCCTATATATAGTATATATAACCGTAATATGATAGATATATATGTTTTTCATATGAGATACTATGCTTTATACCTAATTTGGTAAGCTATCCTTGGCAAAAACTTGGCCAGGGTTAGACATATTTCTGTCCCTTCCCTGATCAACTTTGCTGCGCCCTGGTCGACTTTTTCTGACCCTGGTCAACTGTACGTCACGGGACACTATTCTGTCATGATTCAAGCTGCCTCAACTCCGGGTTAGGGGACCCTCAATCAGTCGGATAAAGCAAGCTTGAACATTTCTAGCAAGTTTACAAGCTTGGTAGATGGCTGACAAGATTAAAAATTGCCTGCCAAGCTGCAAGGCACATTTGGAATAATGGGGCACAAATCAATAAGCAGCACGACTGGGTAGACGACTTGCCGAGGTAATGCGTATATCACGAACACTTCTTCGCGACCTCGCCAAAGACAGCATACGCATGCGCTTCAGCGTCAAAATTCAACAGCCATGCTTCCCTCAACAGATGCAACTGTTCCGGGTTCTTCTTCACCTCCTCCCAGTCGGCCTTATGCCACCTCTCCCTCGTCCTCACCCCCTGCGCCTGCGCATCACGCACCCTGTCATACCGAATCGACTCGTATGCCTTGAGCGCCAAGGGTATCTTGTCCTTACCGCTCTTCTCCAAGCAAACCGCCAGCGTGACGCCATCCTCGAGCGCCTGTCCCGCCCCCTGGATACTCGTGGGTAAGAAAGGATGCGCGGCATCCCCAATGAGCGCGATGCGTGCTTTGGGCGACGTGAAGGTGGGCAGCGTGTCCCGGTAAACAAGCTTATGGTCAATGAGCCGCCCCTCGGGCGTTGCCTTGACAATCTCTCTCACGACGGGCGCCCAGCCGTCGAGGTTCTTCAACGCCTCCTGAACGGTTCCGGGGAATTGCCAACTCTCATCGATGTCGTCCACATCCTTGTGCGTGTACGCCCAATTGAAATCTTTCCCGTCCTTGAGACACGACGCAAGGAAATGCAGGTCCGGCCCGATCCAGCCGCCCAGCCAGTCGCCGTTGCAAACGAGATGCTTGGCAATTTCATTATCGGCCAGCCGTGACGCCGGGAACCACGCTCGGTAAACGGCGTATCCGGACGACTTGGGGTGATCCTCAAATCCGAGCACGATCTTTCGCCCGGGGGACCGCACGCCCTCGGCCGCGAAGACGACATTGGCTTCGATGCGCTCCCCATTGGCCACCACACCCGCCGACTCGTCCGTCTCGAAGTAATCCGTCACCCGCTGTCCGAGCCGGATGTCAATGCCACGCGCCTTGGCATGCTGGTACACAATGGCGTGTATTTCACCGCGGTGCCCGCTCACTCGGGATCCCCAGTGTGCCTCCTCCCACGCGAACGACTGCTGCGTCATCAGCTCGCCCGTCCAGGCGCGGTGGTCCCAGAGCTCCGAATGGCGCGTGATAGGGTACAGAGCGTCCCATACCCCTGGCCAGCGCTTCAGGAGCTTGGAGCTGTTGGGGTCGAAGCTGATGATGTCTCCTATTCTCTCGAGGTCTTCCATGTTTTCCGTTTTCTCCAGTAGGATGACACTATGGCCTTTGCGGTCACATTCGATTGCCGCGCCTAAACCTGCGAAGCCAGCCCCTACGACGATCACCTTGATGCCCGAGGGTGGGAGTCTGGCGAATTCGGCCATTGTGAATGCTCGTCCGCTGATCTCTCTCAGTAATGTCTGCGGTTGCTCTTCTGTAGGACGTTGGAACATGGAGCGTCAATGAAAATGAGGAAACCCGCTCTCATAAGTATAGGAGTGTGCCGGCTAATGTAACGTGATCCATACCGGCTGAATGCATGCATGACCTGATTCGCGCAGTACCCCATCAAGCGGTTTCCCCAACTCCGATGATCTGGGTACAGACTGCCATGGGGGTTGGTGGGCGATTTTGACTGGGCGGATATAGATCAACGGTTGATTGGTCGGCATTTGTGTCTGCAGAGCCGCGTGGGTGAACCTTCACAGTGGCATCCACTGAGCCTCGTGAGCATCGACAAAGATCTTCATTAGCGATCAATCCCTTGGCCAACCTCACTTATGCGAAAACCTGGGGAGTAAGAATAGATCTATATCAGATCTCTGTCAGAATGTGAGAAATATTTTATTTTTGACTTCTAAGATGCTAGACAGCGACGAATACCCCGATCCCGTTCCGCCCACCATAGGCCTTGTATTTCTGACGTTGGTCTCATCGACTTGAGCAACTCAATTCCGTAACCGATCTCATCCCCACCATAATCTCACATTCCCGAGACACCACAACATTGTCTATTTCTTTTCGCATCCGTAGAGAAACTCTCATTTTAAACCTCCCCGTCAAAACGGCCCAGCGTGAATCACGCTGGGCTGTCGGGCTGTCTGTCACCATATCCTACAGGTTCTAATAAAAAGGATATTCAGAGGCAGCTCGAACCGGCGGCATTTCGCCGCTGAGCTTGCGGCACGGGCGAAGCTTGGCGAACCGCAATTGTGGTGACAGTGGCATCGTAGCTGGGGCTGGGATCAGCAGTCCGTACGGCGATGGTGAGGGTGGTATTCAGTTCATCGTCGAAGTCAAGGTGGCCATGGGCGAGAACGAGAGTGAAGGTCAGGGGGCAGAGGAGTAGTGATTGGAGTCTCATGGTGATGGTAGAGTTGTGGGTGTTGGATTTACTCGTTTGGGAGGTAGGGGGTTTGGGATTGGTCTTAGGTAAGAGTAACGGATGGGATTTGATGTGGTCGATTGTATCGTTACTGAGCTTGTGGTTTGTTAAGAGACTGAAGAATACATCGCCATATAAACTTGGAGCAAGATGCGTCCTTAAGTAATCGGTGCTTAGAACTGAGTATTTCAAGTGAATCCTTCCGTGAGGCTATTCGGCCGGCCCCTGCATAGTGTTCCTGCGCAACCACAAGCCAGGCACTCAATTATTGCTGTAGCCATCTGGTTCGTAAGCCTTAGTCGAGAGGCGCATTTACTCAGCACCAATAATCCCCATAGGTGCAGGTATGTTCGCGACTTTCATTCGTTGAAAACCCTATGACAATGGCCATAGTGGTATGATGAGGACCAATCCCCTGGTTTAGGCTTCCATGTCCAAGGTTCGAATCTGTAAATACTTGCAGATGGATGTTCATCCACAAAAGAATCGTCTGCACGGAATCGGCTGACATGCATATCAGCCGCACGCGGTTTTCACCAGAGCCAACTCTGTGGATTGCTAACAACGAAATTAGCATAACCTTGTTAGCAGCCCTGCCTGGTGCGAATGAATAACTAGGTTGCAGCTCCTACAAAAAGCGATTATGCCTCAGATCCAAGCATTTCGGGCTAAGTGCTTACTTGTTCTCACCGAAGTGACCCGCTCTTTTAGGGCGATGAAGATGCCTCGCCCTGTTCCAAAGGATTGGATATGGGGTAACATTTTCCGACAAAGAATGATGATGTAAGCCTTGGATAGCCTGTTGAGAGATTACTGTTCCCGTATGATATCTGACTCATTGGTCGCAAATAATAAAGAATTGAATTGAATTGACCTCTCATGAGTCCGAAATATTAAGTGAGCGGACTTGGCTATAAGGGCCCTAACCACATGAAGGAATGACCAGTGCCTCTGGATTCAATATTAATACATGTAGTAAACTGGAAATCTGTACATTCCGTCACATGTCATCGTGGGTGAGAAATGGGGTCAAGCGGTCCAGCGGGTTGGAAAAAGTGGAAACGAAGGCATTAACGGTAAATTGGCTGTCAAGTCCGAAATATGAGCCGCATGCAGTTATGTCAAGTCATGAGGACCATCACACATCTGACGGGCTCTAGTGGCTGAGCGGTATGACCAAGGGATCAATCACGAGAAGGAACGTTGTATTGGGGGCTATAGGTGCCTCCAGTAGCGGTCTTGAATGGAATCTGCCTGGGACTATCGGTGGCTTTGAGGCGTTGATGATTGGCATGAGTCTTACATTGCCTGTACGTAGTATGGCCTACCCCGGTGCGGCGGTTCAATAAGACTGGTGAAGACGTGAACAATGAGAAGATATGAGACACGCTTTCGGGAGCATTTCCCGCTCTGGTGTCATCTCCGTAGCACCAGCTCGTCTGTGAAGGACATTAGACTCTAGGACAAGAGAAATATCTCATTGATTTTATTGAATCGGTCTGTGATTTCCTAGAGTTTCGCTGCGCGTTTACCATATCTGGGCTGGATTTGTCTAGACAAGCAGAGAAATAGTTAAAAACGAGCTTCAACCTTTCTAGAAGAGTTGAACCCGAGTTCATACTAGGCTTCCAGTCAATACCGTCATAATGTCGAAATGAAAAGGCGTGTCCCAATGGCTCCCATTGCCGAGATTCTTCGACTCAACTATAGAATCATATCCAGTCACATAAAGGATTTTACAACATAAATCTCCGCTGATTGATCTTTCCGCAGCATGCCCGAGCATTCTGCATGCCTCACCGAGTCACCCATCACTGACACTCTCTGTTATAACCGCAGAGATACCGTAGTTAGCGAGACGCATCTGAGTAACAGAACTTCCCACGATTGGTTACGCGGCAGCCTCCATAAGGACATGCGGGTACTATCAGTAAGCGAACCAGCTACTGGAAAGTATATATTGTCTTTCTCTTCGAAGTGAGAGTCCGGAAATAATGACAAGTGTAGAAGCTTCGGAGTATTACCTAGTAGCAAATTGCAATGCAACCACAGCTCCAAAGTTCTACACTTGCCCTGGCCACAAATGCCAGCTCTAATCTACATTTTACGGTAGATGAGATCAAAAGGATAGAAATTTGGCAGCACAAGGTCTGCCGCGCCCAGCCAAACTACATGCCTATTATACGCGAAAGGATCTATCAAACCCAGCAGCAAGACCATACAAGGTATAATAATAAAATAGGTACAGAGTTTTTCGATACTGGCACCTATTTATCTCGATGCGATGATCGTCGCAATTTACTAGACTAGCAAGTTCAAATGCTTATAAGTCCACGTACCATATATTGAGATTACTATCATATATCTAAGCATACCCATTCTGCGCCAGATCATACTTGCACATCATAACAAATCCCCATTACTCTCATAAACGAGAAAAGCAATGACTTTGCTCCGTCAGTTCATACGATCAATGTCTAAATCCGCCACTTTTAAGCTGTTGTCGCCGTAAATGATGCGCAACCAGCTGTAGAAGCGGCCGGCAGCCTTATCCATGATTGTCAGGCTAAACGGTGAATAGCCCAATGATGCTGCCTTCAGTCCCAAAAGACTTACCGGTCTTGCCCCCTTGAGAGGTGGGCTGTACCTCAATACCCAAGATGACATCTTCGTTGACTTCCGCACCGTTGATTTCTGCCCTGTTTGGGTTTGCACCGTTGGCACCCAGGTCCTTTTTCGCCTCAGATTTGGCCACTTCGACTTCGGTAGCTATGCCTTTGACACTGACTCCGTTGGTTTCTGCGACGTTGCTTTTTTTCACCTCTCCGATTGGTTCCGCGTCGACCTGTGCCTCCATAATACCGTTGGTCTTGACACCATTGATCAGCTTATACCCTAATTTCTTAACAGCTACTCCTTCAGGTTTGTCCTCTCCCCGCCACATAACCTCAATAATAGACAATGCCGAATGCGCCGGCGTAGTCACAGACGCGATCTCGAACCGCTCATCCGCCGCTGCAAGCAGCGAAACCCAATCCTCGCGACTGCGTTCCTTGCCGTTGGCACATAACTGCATCAGTATATCCGCGGAACTATCCCAGTACAATCATCAGCTACTGTATCTTTTCGCTGGAATTCCCTCTCGTCACAAGCGAGAGAGAACTGTGACTTACCTAGCAAACTGATCCCACACATGGCTCAAGCTCCCCGGCCTCCCCAAACACCGCTCATTAAACAGCAATCTCGCCCCCTTCTTGAGAGCAGGGATCTGGTTCCTTAACAGCGACACCGCATAGCTATCCGGCCAGTCATGCAGCACGCATCGCAATAGGTACACATCGGCACCCTTGACTGGCTGCTCAGTGAAGAAGTTATACGACTGGAATTTGAGCCGGCCTTTTATATCCTCTGGAACGTCCTGCGCGCCATGACCCTGAGAAGCTACTTCGGGCAAGTCCTGCACGATTGCCTTCTCGACACCCGGATATTTCCGCAGAATGTCTTTGCTGAGAATTCCCGTGCCGCCTCCGATGTCGACGATGGTCTTGGGACACCAGGCTTTTCCCCCTGCCCCGTTACCTTGTCCGTAGGTGGTCGAGGACCAGCCAAGGTTGTCAACCGTATAACTCGTCTCCATCCCCGGCACCCTCATACTCCAACTCATCGCATCCGCAAACCTCCCCATCCGCTCCGGCGGCGCCTCACTTACAATGGCGAACAGATCCTTTTCGCCTCCAAATCCATTCGCAATCGAAAAAGCGCTCTGGTTCGGCTCTTGCCCCTCGGGATACCGCTGTATCGACTCGGCTACTTTGAGTGCCGCGGGCGCTAATTCTTCAGAGGCCATGCCGAGCCATTCATGCAGCGTCGTCGTGGCGAGCACGGCGGACGCGGCGTTGTGTTGGATGAGCCCCGCTGCGGTCTCGCTAAAGATGCGCAGCGAGAGCGCGGAGCGGATATACCGTCGCGTGAAGAATTCGGAGAGCTTGCATCTGGACGCTAGCGAGGCGTAGGAGATGGGCTTGGTCAAGGGCACGTTTTTGGCGAGGTTGAATTTGTAGATCGCGTGGAGGGTGGCGGCTCGACCTGGCTGGGTTGATGGGAAATTTCGAATTAGTGTTTCTTTGTCTTATTTGCTGACTTTTTTATTTTTACTTTCCTGTCGTTTTTGGATTTGATGAGGGTAGGCAGTGAAAGGACTCTGTCCGTTTTACTTTACTTCTTAGAGGATGCGAGAACTTACACCCAAGAAAGACATGAAAAAGACATGGCCGACTGGACCTAGGATCAGGGACTGCAGCTCATCCATGGCTTCAAGAAGCTGCGCTCGGCTGTCTTCCAACTCTCTGCTGAAAGGTTCAGTACGGATTTCAGCCCCATAGTCGAAGGAAGGCTGAGGAAGATCATTGTTGTTCAAGTTGTCATATATGGCGTTGGCTCTGGAGGATATGATATGTGCCAGTTGAGGGAGACTTCTGGATTTGGCCATGATGTGAAGAGGCTGTTGGTTTGTGATTGTTCCTAGGGTTGGGTTGCCTTGAAAAACTTCTCTGTGCCCGCATTATTCTTTTTATATTGTGTGAATATGTGAATCTTGGAGGCACAGACGTCAAAGCGGAACGTACACAACTGGGGGCAAGCACAGGTATGCTTGCTTTACTTGAAGGATCAACTCTGCCTTGCATATTCGACTCATCCGTCAACCTATCCCCGCCACATACTTCACCAGTCCGACCAGGTTGTTGATTCAACGCCACAAAAATAGCATCCCCGAAGAAGGCGTGGAAAATCACGGAATCACGAGGCATACTCAATACTAATTTTGTCGCACTGCAACACCCACACCCTTGACTCTACCCTGCCGCCACTTTCCCCATACCCTACCGACCAGATTTGTGCAGCACAATCCTTGAGATGGTAACAATACCGAAGACAGAAACAGTATTCACGTAGGCTGCCGGCCGTTACCAAACTTCCGGGCCCCCACGGAAACGCAACGGGGACTATACCCTCCAGTCAGCGTTGTGCAAGGGGCACCAACCCTGCACGTGGCGCCCGGGCTGAAACCCCCTGAATGGTGGCTTCGTGTCGATAGTTCGGGCCAAAACATGCAACTTTGCGGATATTGATATGAAAACCGATAGTTTTGCAGGCCAAGAAAAGAACGCCGTCCCTGAAGGGATGGAGCATGACATGATGATGCAAGGAGATTAAACTATGGACTATCGGCTAGAGGATCAATTAGAGTAGCCCGAGTCTTGGCGTGGTACTTTCGGGTAAAAAGTAAGTGATGGGCAATGCAGACTGGATGCATTATTTCCATATCACTTGAACTGGTCTGTCATCTGAGTAGATATCCCGGTAGGAATATTGTACTCATGACGACCGATGACTAGTGGGGTCCGAATGCTGCTAATGAGTAGTTTCTGTGATAAACTGCCTTGTCTGGGGTGGCTTATAATTCCAATCCGTAGATTCCACAGGGGGAATACATAATGCTGAGCCATAGCACCCACCATGTCTATCGGTAGGGTTGCAACTACACCCTCGGGGACCGGGACGAACGGGGGACCATTGGCCATTCTTTGAACAACTATGTACTCGTCAGACACAACACAACACAACCTGAACAATCTCATTTCACCATCATCGAACCGTTTTCGAAAGGCCTGTCAGAGAGGTCTTGGAAATAGTCCGCATCCTGTGGAACATCTGAGATTAATAATCGAAATTGCAGTTTCAATCTCCCATCCGAGACATTTCAACATGGCTGCCTCGTTCTGAACCACTCGGAGATCGCGCACCCCAGTAGTGACGGAACTTGCGCAGAATCTCTGTGTAGCAGTGATGGATCGAATCTCTGTACCACACGCGCACGGGTCGCTGCAGAACAATGGTGTGTGAGCCCCGCTAAGCAGGCGAACAGGTAAGGATATGCCTGTCGGGTTGGAGCAATTTATCTTGTTTATTTCCTTGCATCATCGCTCGGAACGATCTCCGTGCGCCCGGCCCTCCACCTCGTCTGAGTTTGCCGATTGACAGGGGGCTTGCGGGGATATTGCGATCGAGCACGTAGCGAACCATATTTATACAGGGAGTATGGGATTGTGACGTACAAGGGCTTGCGTAATGACATGAGTACTATGTGCGTATACGCACATTATGCGTAAAATTGTCCTAAAGAATGGCCGGAATACCACTATGTCGCCACAGCATCAAGTCCCCATCCCGATCTCAAAAACCATCGTAGCTGAGAAGTTACCTCTGTCCTGCATTCTGAGTATTCCCCGTGAAAATCACATCATCCCAATACGTACGACAATTTGACCGTAGTAGCCAAAGCTGAATAATTGGAATTTCGTTGATCTCCATCCCCAAACTAGATGTTGTTGTAAACCCGCTTGAAAAATCCTTTGGTATTAACGTTAGACGCGGAACGGCAACGACACCTCTCCGGGTGCATGGTAAGTCGGGACCTTCATATCCAAGGCCTCGCCAGAGTATCCGAGGTCTTCAGCCGTGAGTACGGCACACTTCTCTCCTATTAGAAGAGCGGTAGAGTACCTACAAAGCGTCAACATGCGTTCAGTAGTAGAGTGGAGGACTTACGTATTGCAGCCGACGTTGTCGGGGCAGATACTCAGATCAGCGACCTTGAGTCCCTTGACTCCGTGGACGTTGAGACGCTCATCGAGCACACCGTGCTTTACGATGCTGTTGCCCTCTTTGGGCGCCATAGAGCAGGTCTATCACGGTTAGCTCATGACTCGTTCTAGGTGTTGGCGCTACTTACTCCCAAGCAATGCCAGGTACTTTCGACATGTCGCTTGACCCACTCCTCAATCGCCTCGATATCCCGCTTGGAGTACTTCAGATCTTCTCTGATATTTGTCTTGTTGCTGTTGAGAATGTTCGCCGCTGCTTGCTTAGTGGGTTGTGGGCAGAACTCGCTCCAACTTCCGTGCTGCAGGCCGGCTGTCAAGTTACCTGGTAGGGCATACTTCTTCGTAGTCTCAAGGTCCATGTCGTACGAACGGGCAGGGGAGTCGTAGTCAAAGAAGGGGTGCTTGTCCTGGACTTCGCCAGCATAGGCTTCCATGCGACGAGCTGTCTCACGTGATTTGATATAGCCCCAGACCATGGGAGCCATATCACGTTCATCGTTCATGAAGCCAGTGTCGAAGTCCGGTGTGTCGTATGGGTCTGCTGACTTGATGTGCGTGAAGCCACGCGAGAAAGGGTACTCCAAGAAATGAAACATTGTGAAGAAGTTTCCGGGTGGCCTACCTTGACGTGAGACTAGATTCGGGTAGCACGGGGGATGATGAGCTTACATGAGCATGTGGTCCCCGAACCAACCCGCAATGACAGAGTAGTGCATGACCGGCTTGTCAGGCTTCTTCTCGAAATACGACTTCCAGCCGTCTTTGAAATGTGGCGTCGGCCATGACTCAAACTCCTTGAGCTCTTCTTCAGTTGGGCGAATCTTGACACCTGCATCAATGCCATTGGTGGCAAGCGGCCCAGTGCCTTTGAGAGCCCACTCGTCGTAGATCCCTACGTTTAGTCAGCTTCGGAACGCGGGCATCATCATAGTGGTACGGTATTCATACTCTTCTGTACTTCGGGGACGCCTCGAGCAAAGTCATCAAAACTCTCCGTCTCCGGCTTTGCTCTGTAGGTGGAGAATGTCAAGTAGTGATCTTGAAAGTTCAGTCCTACTCCTGGAAGGTCAACAATCGGCTTGACTCCAGCTTTTCTTAGTTTCTCGGGGTCGCCTATTTGTTGTTAACAAGAATCTTGCTGTGTGTAGTTGGGCATGGGCATACCGATTCCAGATCGCTGAAGAATCAATGGGGAAGACAGAGTGCCGCCCGAGACGACGATTTGCTTTCTCGCCTTGAATATACGCGTCTTGTTTTGGCTGGGATGAAGAGGCTTGGTTGGGCTGTGGAAAGGTCAGAATCATCCGTGTGGAGTCATGGTGTAGACTTACACAGTCTGAACTCCAACTGCACGGCCATCCTCGATGATTATCTTGTCAACCTTGGTGTTGCAAGCGAGGTATAAATTCGAATGGACAGCGCGAGTAGAGTGAACGTAGGCGTGGGCGCTGTCACTGCGTCTGCCGGTGTCTCGATTGATCCATTTGAGCCAATGCTCAGCGCCATGGCCCGTGCTAAGGTCTTGCAGGTCATCGACAAATGGGATGTCCTGTGACTCCGCTGCTCTGAGGAAGTCATCCTTAATGGGGTACGTGCTTTAATTCAGATCAACACGATGTAATCGTTATGAAGAGATGAATACTCACTAGTTGCCAAAAGAAACTTTGATTGGTCCCTCAAAGCCGTGGATATCCCTGAAATAATCAGCTGAGAACTTTGAGATTGTTCTTGAAATGCCTCACTTGTTGTTGCATGCTCTTTGATAGGTCTCGTGTTTCTTCATCAGAGGTAACAACTCTTTCGTAGTCCAGCCCTCCGCTTGAAAGTCGTCGTAGTCGGACGCAGAAGCTCTGGTGTACATCTTGACGTAATTAGTATGCGACCATACAGATTGTAGTTTGAACTCACCAAGAAGTTGATGGACGACCCACCGCCGAGAATGTGAGCACATGGTACTACCGCCTTTCTGCCAGCTAGCCATTTGGATGGGCGAGACTCATAGAATGATGCCCTTATCGTATATGTTAGTGATGTCGGGGTCGACGCGGTTGAGAACGTACGTTTTTGAGTCGAGTTTCATGTTACGGGGATAGACACCAGGCCGGAACACCCATGGATTGTTGAGGTTACTCTCTCCAGCCTCAATGAGGAGGACCTTCAGGTTATGGTCCAAGTTGGCCAGTCTATAACCGTGAGTTACAAAGTGCCACTTAGTGGATGGTGTTCATGACCAATACTGACCTTCCGGCCACCACGCAGCCACAGCTGCCTCCACCGCACACGATAATGTCATATTCCTCGGGAAGTGGGCTCATATTGGCAATGCTTTGGTCCTGATCTCTGGCCCAGAATCTGGAAAACATATCAACAGCGTCTTTAGGGATGAATATTAGGTTCCTTTTGTATCACAGAGGGCATGAAGGGTGTGCAGGACGAGATTCCGGAAACAGATTCTCGCATAAAGATGGAGCATTATTACATCCATCCACCTGTATCTGGGTTCGTATTTTAATCCAATAGAGCCCTTCACTAGCGCCGATACAATGGCAAGATGAAATTTTCCATCTTAAACCCCTCATCAGGGATTAAGCCTGCCAATCGACAGTGCCTTGAATAGTCATCTGATATCTAACTTGCATATTCTCCGCATTTGTGGGAGCATGCCAAGTTTACCACAGACGAAGCCCCGAGAGATGACCGACATGCGAATACGATCAGACCAAGGAAGTCTTTTGCTAGATAGCTTCACGTTACGCCGCGAGAGGCGCAGCCGATGCCCCGGAGAGATGGAAGTTGGAAAAAGAAGGGAGTGGAGGGAAGGGAGTGGAGGGGGGGGGGGGGGAGGGGCATATGCTATCGAAGACACCTTGGAATTTGACATATTCCACGAAACGGCAGAAGTTATTCGGCAAAGTCAAGCCGCATACAACAACGGTAGAGTAGTTGCACCAATACTTAGGACCGGCCAGGTGCACGTTGACGTCGTTGGGGTGGTGTATGCACCTGATGAATTAGGTTTTATCTCGGCAAGGCTCGGACTGTTCGCAACTTCATAGCTTGGGAGCTTCATGCGCCCAGATACTTCAAAAAATTCGTGTAATGTGGTTGGCTCAAAGAATGCTAGCACTTGCAGCTTGTTAGTACCAGTAGACATGGATGTCTGAGAAGAATGCGGGGGTGGAGCAAGTAGTGGTCAATACATACCAATTAGCCGTTAAGGGTCTTTTACTTCACGCTTCTCCGCATTATCTATATCCACATCATGACATGGCTGGGCACACATCATGAGGTGCCCCCACTCATTGACGGATACGTGAACGGTCGGCTCCTCGAGGCGCGCCAGTAGGGCAGCGATGTTTCCAAAACGAAGGATCCTGATGAACTTGTATTTTCCCTGATGGGTGTTCGGCAGTTGCCGTAGTTCGTCTTGATCCGTCTGAACGAGATAGAGCAGACTGGTACGCTGTGATTCGGCCCAAAAGTGCTGAATTGTCACAAATCCGAGACATCCATACGTTACCATCTGCGTAGGCAACTTCGGACTATGTGTTCCTCATTGGGGGTCTCCTAAGCCACGGTATGCTGCTGAATCCTGCCAGCTCAAACAATCGCGGTATCATCAATGAGACGTACAGAACATCTGCCGAATCGGTTGGCATTGAAAACACCCAAGACTGCAATGTAACGTGTTTGGATGCACTGTGATGATCGCAGTCTGTTCGTGGCCATGCAGCTGGTAGGGAGAGACATGACGTTGTGACTGCGCCTCTATTACCGATGCAAACCCGATCCAATGCTGAACAATTCCAGACCACCTTCCAGGGATCCAGACTTCACCGGGGAATCCTTAGGCTGCAACAAGCTCCCTGCAGCGCAGCTTTCCTGGAACGCCGCGTCTGTCAGTGGCTCTTTGAACGTCCAACGGTCTTCCAAGGGGCTAGACCAGCCTACGATGACGACGCAGACGATTTCTCCGCATTACTGAAGCGCCTCTGGAGATACAGCGAGTCTTTCCGTGCGGGGCAAAGGCAGATGTGAAACGCAGGCGGCAGTGATCAAGCTTGCTGCTTGCCAATTGCTTATACAAACTTCGAAGGAGTAGCCGTCGTCTCGGGTCAGAGAGTGGTCCGTAACAACTTGCAGTGATCCGGAGGTGTGCCAGGTCTGTGAGCAGACGGATAACAGCATGAAATTGCAAGGACAACCCTAGGAAGTTGGAAGTTTCATACTTTTCCAGAACATGCACAGCGTCAGTCCACGACGGAGTGTAGTTCTTCGATCGACATCAGTTTTGCCTAGACTGTGCTAGCGTATTGTGGGGTAATTAGGACGCTAGTCCGTGCTTCTTTCCAAGCTTGCGGAGAGGACTTCATCCTTGAGGCAATCATTGAGGGCGTCTGGAAATGATTCCCGTCTCATCAGAACAAATGAGGGTTCTCTCATCTCAAATTCGGCATCCCTGTTCCGTTCACCACGTACCCTAGGGCACTGACCACGTCTGTGGTAGAGTCTATGGGATCGGGACGCATCGATACAGGCAGCGGCGCGGCACCTCAGTCGTCATATGCGGGATTCAAGCTAGGAGAAAGAACAAAACACCAAATACAGCTACAAACCACCCGTACATGTATAGAGTATTAAAATCAAGTGCTTATCTTATACAGTATGTATATATATTAATCATCCGCTTACTTCTGTACGTGACCTACGATTAATTAAGACCCCGTTAATAGAGCTTTACTAAGTAGTACCCTTGCAAAATTTCTTAGAAGTGTCAAAGTGCCGAGTGCAAGACACCGGTTGGGTGCCGGTGGGGCACCGGTATAGGGACTCGCGAGTCATGACCTAATATGGAAGTCTTGGTATACGGAGGAAGCGGAGGAACTAGTGCTCTGCTGCTGCTCCGATATACAGGCTCTGGTTATTTATGGAAGGAAGGGAGGTATCTTGCAGGAAGATAGGAACGAGGTTAGAGATGAATGAACTACTCCGGGTACCACTCCCTGAGACCACCAGTGACCACCAGTGACCACCCGGTGATGACCAGGATGGACGCCTAATACTCTCCTCACTCTGTACTATTGCCTTCGGCCTAGCCGTACTCTGGCAAGAAACTAGACCGAATACAAGGTCCACTATACTAGATTTATTAATTTAGACTAATTTTAGACCTTCACATAATGAGGTAGCTTCAACTTATATAAATGTCCTATTTAGATATCGAATCTAAAAAGGTTAATTGTTACGATTAGTTCTGACTTAGTAGGCCGGTTAGTAGGTCAGACGACCGTACAAGGAAACCAGGAGCTAAAGAAAACTAGGAATAGATTAATATGCATCCGAGGTTACGTAACTATATTACTAGTTCTTAAGGGAATCGGCTTTCTGTTCATAACTCTCTACGGATATCGTATTCACCTCTATGCCTACTCTACGCTTTGTGCTACGTAGGTTAGTCTCACAAGGCTCTATAAGGTACTCTTACTCTCTGTTTAGCGAAGGAAGAGTCTAATCTATTATCTATATGAGTGATTGAAAACTGAGGCAGTATGGAAGTGATACCGTGCTGGTTAAGGCACTGAGATTGAATTGACTAGAAGCTATCAACATTAACATGTGTGTTGTCAGTTTCCTCCAGAGAAAGAGTCTCAGTCCTATGAATTCTCTTTGTCGGCGTTGTGCATAGTCTGTGATGTGAGTGCATATGGGGTGTGAATTGTTGTATTGGGAAAGGATGGCCATGGGATTCACCTAACCAGTGGGTCCCCCTACCTTTTCGTGTCAGTCTGGCAGGGGATCAGTCGTCCGACTGGGCAGTCTTTAACTCCATGGTCAAGTTCGCTACAAAGGAAGCACTCCCTTTTTCTCTAAGGTTTATCGTTCGATTATGAGCTCTGGCGGCGGTGCTTCTTCTGTTTATCTTGCCTGCTGTAGCTGCTAGTCCTGCGTCGTCGCCCCCTGCTTTCTCCATGGTTTCTCCTTCGATCGAAGAATATCCAGCTTTCGCTCGATATACAGGGAGTCTTCGGCGTCGATAGTGTCTCGAGTGGTCGTATATGTTGATAGTAGTGCCGAGAGCAGGTAGCTAAACATGTCGGTTTCGGTTAGAGTAGTAGCAAGATCGGCCTTACCCTGGACAGCAATATGTCGCAGTATTATCCGCTTTCCTAAGGAACTTATCTCTGCTCTGCCGGATCGTGAAGTCGACTTCTTTCTCTTAGAAATGCAGGCCTTCCTCGACGGCATATTTATAGCAACAGACGCTACCGCGACCTCTGAATAGAAGCTTAAATAAAATCAAAAGCAGATTCACGCTATGTCGCTGCTGACTTTGAGTGTCATCGAAGTCCACGAAAAGCTGGAATCTGCTGGCTGGGACATGTTTGCTGAGAAGGATCCACCTACCCTCTATAATCTGATCCTAAAAACCATCCATAAAGAACCCGAAGAGTCCAAGAATAGCGTACCAGCAATGTTCTACAAGCTCATTGGCCTGATAAAGATTCCAGAAGGCCAGAAGCTTGATAAATGGTCTTCTCGGCTTAATTTTGATATTCCTGACAAAGCTCTTACACTGATCGCGCTTAAAGCACTTCAACCACGTTACCCATTGGTTCATGACTTTCTAATCAGATCATTTGAGGAAGGGACTCTAACGTAAAAGAAGATGAAGAAGGAGATCACTCGCAAGGCAAACAAGGAAGTACACAACCCCAAGATATTATTCCAGCTCAAGAATAAAGGTACTTAGACTCCAGTTTCACAGCCACGTCAAGGATAGGACAAGAGCGAAGATATTCAAGACGGTAACAAGAAATTCAACAGGAATATTATGAGTTTTGCAAGCACAGGTATCCTAAAAGTTAACCTCTGCAGTTACTGCAAGCTACACCACGCAGGCGACTGTTTTCGACAATTTCCGGAGAAGGCGTCTAAGCAACTGCAAAAGCATAATAACAGACTGGAAGGCTTCCTCGAATACGACTACCTTCAAAGGTGCCCTTGACGTTTTCACAGATCTTAACGAGCTCAACCTACAACCAAATTAGGTGGCGAAGCGTATAATCAATTTCTTCAGCAATCTTATGTGATTGCTAGCTAATACCATCGCGACTCACGACGACGGTACTGATTACTTGGCTTGCAATAGCTTCATCAACGACTCCGGTGCTGGAGATCATGTGCTTCAACTCACTACGTCAACTTCCTGAGCCTATTTACATGGACACGGCCAACGGTACTATAGCCGTCGGCGCTGTTAACATTCACACTCAACGAACTAACAGCTAACAACTTAAATGGACTATCAGTAGTGTTCTCTGAGGCATATTTGTAGATATCCAGCTATTCGTCCGTCCAGACCGCTCTAGATCATCTATTTCGATACTATTCATTACCAACCGCTAGGCCCCACTGTCTGGCGTTACGGCGTCCATTTCACAGATCGCTTCACCGATATGCAGTGGAATCGCTTCGCTCGCAAATTGACGGAAATACACGCAGAGAACTGCCTACATTGCCTTCGTTGCCCAGTTGAAGATACTGGGTTTTCACTCGGATAACGGGACTGAATTCCTTAGCGATGCTAAGCAAATGGAGATCTTGGTTTCTGAGAAGGGCTTCTAATGGCATGGATCTACTGCTAATACTCACGGACCTAACGGACATGCAGACTGTTTGGTCCAGACTCTTAAGAATCTTACCACTCCAGCACGTAGTGGTATTAGTAGTGGCAACACACATAAATTTTCTAACCCTAGGCCGAAGAGACTGCAGATACCCTATACAATCTACTGCCAAACGGAAAAGACGGTATGCCACACCGACAGCGCCTTGGAATCTACCTTGATATGCCAGCTGAGGTTACCGACGGTACCATTCCAAACCTCATCAAATATGGAGCTATGGACTTTGTCCACAAGCAAATGACAGCTGACCTTACCATGGCTGACGAGGTTGAGTAGATAATCTTGTCGGCTATGATGTCTTTCGTAGCAAACTCGACAGGATCTGGGTCCAGAGAAGCACCGTATTATGCGACTGTGTGATGTTCGTTTCAACGAGACGTGGGAGGATACACAAGGCGAAGAACCTGACGCTTATTTCATTATCGAATTTGAAGATGGCACTGCTGAAATTGAATTTTCTGATCTCGTTGCTAACCCGTTGACTACAGAGGTGTTACCCACACGATAACCGAAGAATCTACTGCCTCACCCTCCGAACCGATGACGAGGAGAATCGAGAGACAAAGGCAAATAAAAATGGATACTATGGGAATAACCGATCATATCCTAAACCAAACCCTAAACATGCTAATTTTGATAATATCGATGCCGAAAATCCCCTTGGTCCATCCCCAGACTACCAAGCCAAAGTCAGAGCCGGAGCAAGCCATCAACCCAGAGCCGGTTGTCCCAGAGCCAATCGAGCCAGAGGAAGCCTCAAACCAGCTAATCCAATCAAAGGCCACGATAACCTCAAGTCTGTTGACATCAAGCCCGATGTCATCAAGACAAACAATAGCATGTACGTTAATAGCCAAACCGACGGCGTCAAGTATAACAAGTATCACTTTGATATTGTGGAGCAGTACTGGACCCTTACAACCGAAGTTACTACACTGTGGCCGCCGGCCAAGCCGAAGATAGTACTGATTTGTTACCAAATAAGCCAAAATCGATCTTCGGCAACGTGCTTCTACCAAGGAAAACATCTCGAGTTGGTAAGTCAAATCCGTCTGTCATCGTGTCCTTGGCAGCTTTGCTTGAACAGCGGTGTCAAGTAGCCAAATCATACATGACTTTGACGCACGCAAATTTGAAGTTGAATGGATATTCTGTACGTGTACGCAGTTCTTTAGACAGCTAGTCCTGTTGGCTCAGTGGGCCGTGCGTAGCCATTACTACTCGGATCCAGTCCACCAGCACTAGCCTAGATCTCCTATCCACACCATACTACACTCTCTATCTCTGTATATCCCAACGGTAATTATCCGTCGTAGCGGCAGATCTGACCCCTATCCATGAGTATAACTGCCGAATGAGCATACAAGTCTCAAATCTCGAAGCAAGGAGGTGAACAGCCAGTTTCTTGGATTAGCCCGACCATTCATGTAGGTATTGGTTCGTTAGCATGTTGGATCTACCTTGAAGTTGTATACCCGCCGTTCTTAGCAGAATCAGCAAGACTTACCAGTCGTTTCGCTCCCCCTTCTTTGGTTCTCAGATCGAACCCCCAAATTCTGCGTTTCCTTATTGTTTCGCTGGCAAACCGCATACCTGTTCCCTTTTTAGGTTTATTTAAGAAATGAAAGCATTTCTTGAGAGCAACGAATGCGTACAAGGTCTCGCAAACACACTATGTATAACCCAACATATTAGATGGAATCCGGTAGGAAACCAGAGACATCTGTGGTTCTTTCGCTTTGGTGTTGAGTGAGGGTATTAACTGGTCAGCCGCCCCCGAGAAGAACACCTACTCTGCCGAAGACCTACATGAGATCCCTAAAGTGACTTAAGGCATCGATATATGGTCACTGGGCTGCGTGTTATCCGTTGCGGCGACTTATGTCGTTTGCGGGAAAGAAGGCATCAAACAGTATCAGCTTCTTCGACCACACACCATCTCCAATCTCAACGGGGGAATCGGGGATGCCTTCCACGATAAGGAAAAAGTATTGCCACAAGTAACACAGTGGCATGAGTACCTCAGGTCAGGCGTTAGGAAAAACGATGTCTACACTTCCAAAGTGCTTGACATTGTTGACACGCGCATACTGATTGTACCTGGAGAAAAGCGAATTACAGGGATAGAACTAAGCAACGCTCTCGGCAGGATCGCTGATGAGGCCCTTGAGCCAAAGACTGATGCCCCAGAGGCGATCCTCGGGTTCATTGATCGAATACCGAGGGCGACCAGAGACTAATCTGCGTCTGCTCATGAAGACTTCTCGCAGAATATTTGGGAGAGTGACGCGAACTTGTTTCATGAGGAGTTTGTCTTTCGGTCAGGTCGCTCAGATGGCCACCCGGCCGTATCCAAACCTGCCAAGGATGTCACTGTCATGGGGTTCGGTGGTCACACGCAGTCAGGCGCACCATCATCGGAGTTGCATCGAACACAGCTGCCGCCAGAAAACTCCTCAGAAAACCCCCCTACAACATTCTGGGAAGTTGAGGCATACCTAGAGGAGCATGGAGTCAAGAAGTACGGCTTGAAGAAGATCGGGTTGTCTGAAAACAAGGGTATTTATGGCAAGCCTCTGAATGGCCAAGAAGATCAACTTGGGTAGCATTTCGCGATTCGGGATATCGTGGGTGTTTCTTCCAGTTATGTAGGGGACCGAAGATGACTTTTTCAATTAGATCTATGTTGTCGACAACGCATCGTCCATGTCAAGCTTCTAGAAACATGTAACCTATGTCCTAGGAGTTCTGGTGTGGAGATCATTGGGGTATGACAACGACGGCATGGAACTGATATTTACGAAAGGAGACGAGTCTCTTGGACTCAAGCCGAAGAAGGATCAAAAACAAAATAATTTCTTGAAGAAGATGGTCCTGACTGACGGCCTGTGGGAGGAAAATGGCGAGGAAGACCTCGACAGCTACCTCGCCAGTCTCATCAACGGGGATAAGGCGAGCTGGCAGGGTAACCAAACCGACCGCCGAGCGAGATGACGCCCCATAAGTATCCAATTCATCCGCTTCGGTCATCACCCAAAAGCTATTAGCCGGCTTTATCGCCTGGACAACCATCTCAGTCGGAGACCCGATCTGGTGGATAAGCCCATCTCGTAGGCGTTCCTCAAATCTGGCTGTAGAGGCATTCTAGCATTTATCCACTAACTCGTCCGTGCAGAGACATAATTGACACCAATCATGCCGATGGGGATGTCTACAAAATGTTCCTGGCAAGTTTCCTCGAGGATTACGATGAAAAGCGCATCCAAGGCGCGCCGTTTGTCGACCCTGTACCCGCGCTGTCCCCAAGCATAGTGGGCGGTGGTGCCTTGTCTAGCTACAATTCGCGACCTGCATCTACGGTGATGTTTGACCTGTCTGTGGCCCAATCTAACGCATCTACGAGTCGTCCGCATTCGCAACAGTCACCGACAACGGGACCGACTTACAGCGCGGTCGCCCGCCGAGAGTTCGTTTCACGACAGCGCATCTCAGCCCCAGCCGCGGAGGGATGACAGTCCTGCTGCCTTTGCACGGAACCATCACGTATCAACAGGGGCCGCGGGGCCCTCCGGCACGCGAACTCGCCCCGGGGCGTTATTGAAAGAACTATGATATATGTAATGTATCGGATGTAGAAGGAATATGATGGATTGGCGTAAGTTGATTGTTACGTGGCTGATACCCAATGAGTTTTGAGTTGCGGTGTGTATAGAGATAAAATATATTGTTTAATTATGTATTGTTCTCCAAAGAAGCCCAGTTGAAGCTTTGCACTAGCGTAGCCGTTGTTGATGACTTATGAAGGTCGCGCTATTAATCGCACCGAGCTATTGCTGCCCGCAACTTTCCTAGATGTCTAGCAATAATAGAGGTAGAAAATATAAAAATAGATGCTAATGATCTACTCCTACCCTGAGCCCCATTTCTCCCAGTAGTCACCAAGGCAAGCCCCTGGCTTTGCCTACTCCGCCAAATCTGCGCTGTGGACCAAGGTATTGGTAGGTCGTGAGTAAGGTGCAGATTGGCCGTTGAGAGGTTGGGTCAACGGCAAGGCTCCGTCCTGGCATCTGGCTCGATACCAGACAATGCTGGTGCAGAAGCCTATATGTAAAATACGGGTGCGTAAATAGGAAATGTGTCTTAAGCGTGGGCGGTTTACTGTGAGTTCGTTCCGTCACTTCACTCAAGGATATCATCATCTTGGCCCAGCAACGCTTTTTCATCAGTCTCAATTCATCCACAACTACTGTCTGTCTATCACTCACATCCCTCTATCCCTGCCTTTCTCTGCCTTTCTTTCCTTCCTTCCTCACGATCAATCGATCTTTCTTGCTTCTTTCCTCCACCCCCGCCAAGGCAGATGAGACCAACTTCCAAGAAAAAAAAACCACCAGAGGAACAACTATGGCAGTGACTTATTCCACTACTTCGTCGGGGGGCTAAGTTTAGTAATTACACTTTCTTCTGATCAGGTAGTACTCTGACACACAAAAATCCGCAAAAGTCCGAGTTCCCAGCCCCTTGCTCAAATCAAATAGAAAACTACAATTTGGGATTGGTTCCCCGAGAAAGGGAACTTCTTTCTCTCAGCACGCCTGAACGTCCGTATTTCCATTCCGAGGAGGGGAGATGATATGCCCTGTAGGAGAAGAACAGAAGCTCGAGGAAGGAAAATACCAAATTGCCCTTTCTCCCCTTTGTCTCGTCTCAAAATATTGTGGGGGTGAAACTTCAACCCCCTGAGTGCTCGCAGATGATGCAAATTCGCAATGGTATGTCGACGTGTAGCAGGTCGATGTATGGTGAATGACAAAGGAAAATGGTGTGTATTGATTCGGGTTTGTTGTATGTGTTTAATATTAGCTACAGGGGTAGTAGCTCCAGGCCGGGTGACGGTTCCGGCTGCATGAAAATGCAAAGGGGTGGAGATGGTGTTGTCATAAACGGCCGTCAGTTCGTAAGGTACGTCAATGTAGTCTATGGTGGGCAAAGTGGGCTTGCATAAGCTCAGAGTTGCGCAACGGCCAATTATTGAGTGTCGGAAGCGTGCGAGTGATCAGCAGGACTGGTAAAGTAACAAAGGCTCGCCGACATTCTCGATTTCCGGAATGGTGCACTTCAGATCGAATGCTTTCGATAGCACGATCTTGAAGATCTACAACACAAGGTCAGTATGGCGCGCGGGGGTGCAGTGCAGACAGACAAATATATACCTTCTGGACGTTGATGCTGTGGCTGGTGCTGCTGAATATCAATGCAGCTCGCATCGCCTTGGCAAAACGTCGAGCCTGCCGTGCAATTAGCTTTCGAACCCAACTCAGATTGCCCAGGCGCAAAACATACTTGATTTGAGATCTCTTCCTGGTCCTCCCGCGGGAAGTTGACAAAGTGGTCGTATTTGGTGCCCACCAATATCGGAATGGCCGTCTTGTTGAAGCCTCGTCCTTGGCGATACCACTCCTTGATGCTATTCAATGTACTCTTTCGCGTCAGGTCGAACATGAACAGGATGGCGACTGCATCGTTGCACACCAGCGGCAGCATGTTGACGAACTCTCTCTGACCTCCCAAGTCCCAGATGCTGAAGGTAATCTCCGTGTTCCGTATGCTGATGGTCTTCTCCATGAAGTTTACGCCGAGCGTCTGGATGTAGTCTTCGTCCCAGCTTCCCTCGACGTATTTAACCATCAGAGACGTCTTGCCAATCTGCGCATCGCCAACCATTCCAACCTTGATGACCACGTGGTTCCGTCCATTCTGCTGTTCTGCGCCGTTGCCGGCTGATCGAGGTGCGTGTTCGGTGTAGTGGCGTTCGCCGCCGGCGCCCGAGGGTGGCCTTGAGATGCTTTGCGGCGGCTGCGTGGACATCGGAGGGGTTTCGTATCGCGCATTGGGGTCCATTTCATCTAGGTTGGGGCTCATCGTGCCCGGGTCGCTCATCATACCTTGGTCGAATGTCTGCGCTTCTTGATGCTGAATGTCATGGCCATTTTGACCAGATGCGGAGGCGACGTTGGGTGAACCCTCAATACCGCCGAGGGTGTCGTCATGAGCATCTTGCGGCAGCGGCGGCGGCGGTTGTATGGCTTGGTCTTGATCCATTGTGTCTGCGGCGTCGTGGAACTGGCCCGACCCCGCGATGAAGGTTGACGAATCCAGAATTGTGAGTCGAGGGGCTCTTGCTTGAGTAAGACGGAGAAGAGAGGGGGGAGATTGATTGCGGTTGAGTCGGGTCGGGAGTAGGTCGCTTAAGGTTGTGGAGGTCTCGGATCAGGAATGTCAGATTGGGCCGGGTTCTCGACTGTGCGTAGGGTGTGTCAGTGAGGTCCACGGGTGGAAAGATATCGAGGTCCGGACGCGCCCAAGAGCTGAGCCTCGTCACATTGAAATTTGTGGATGTTCTTCGGAGAAGCCGTCAACAGGAACACAGCGAAAGAAAAGGACGTGTGGGGATCGATGGATCGATGTGGATAGAGAACGCACTTAGGCGGACTGGTGCCTGGCCTGTGTCTAAGAATCAATGCAGCATACCTTAGATCAACGAAACGTCGTTGCGGTAGTGCGCAGTAATGCGATTGTGAGATGCAGCGTCCCAGCGGACCAAGGGTGGAGAGAGAGCCACCAAAAATACGCTTCTAGGCAAATCGTTGCATCTGGCTGAGATGTGTTACCCGTTTTAGCCCGTTACGCTTCTGCGCTTCTACGTTGCTGGCTGGAGACGCGCAGTGTAATATTGGACGAATGAGATCGTGAAGTGAGGCTATGGGACAGCTCACACGCGACGCGAATTCCCATGAAATTGACTTTGAGTGGCTAGCTCACCGACCTGTTTTGAAACACGGCCAACGACTTGGTCTGCCCGCAAGGCATGCAGGACGCTACGGCAGCATGGGAGATCACATAGAAACAGGGCATTGGACTGACCAGTTGTCAATTTCAGGATATGCGGATATGAAAGCTGGGGAGGGTGGGGAAGTTGAGGGAACAGCTACCAGAGGTTCGTTCGAAAGTCAACACTTGGATGTCCCGCGGTTGTTGTTGACAGCAACTGGATTGGAGAGGCTCTCCGCTCTGTTGAGTTCGCTGCAGTGGGGTATTCCAGCTTAGCACCATCAAGAACGCACTGGACCTGGACTCACAGTGACAAATTGCAATCTCTTGCCCATCAATGCTTTGATGTTGACAACACATCGAGTCCTTTAGGTCACCTACCCGCCATGGTCATCCCGAATAATATAAGTAAGCTGAACATAGCTGATTCGAAGGCATGTGATTGGACATCGAGTGTTGACTGTAGCCCAACCAGACAAGGCCATTCCTCGAAGACGCGTTGTGGCAATTGGACGTGGACAATCAAAAATATACCTGGGGCATACTTGTGTTTAATTGCTCCAGGAACCAAGTATACGAAATTATTTGGACCGGAGCGGAGGAAGATGATTAGAAGTAGCGGTTTGTAAGTTCAGCGATCCAGCAAGATATGGCCAATACAGTGCTCAAGCTCCATTCAAACTGCCAAATCAGCCCACCTGCCCGCCGCCACCACAGTGCCCGTGACTATGCCAATGGGGTTCCAGCGTAATGATTGAGCCCGAACTCGGGGAGCTCCACTGCATCATTGATAACGACCAATCCTAAAAGCTTAGTTGAATCGAACCACGGCTTCAATCACTGCTCCCGCCAAACACTCGTATCAAAGCCATGGCTACCTCAGTCGCCCGATGCCTACGGGCAGCATGCCCTTCGACGCTATCCCGCCTCACCAGAAATCCCTCCGTGCGCACGAGTTGGCAGCCCTCGATCCGCGCATTTTCCGCGACATCGTTCAGTAAGTCGAGACCGACCGCTTCGTCCCCCTCCGCCACCCCTCTTCCCCCTCTGCTCTTTACAAGTTCCCCTAACGGTAAGCCTTCAACAGGAGGAATCCGTAAATACACCAAAGACCACGAGTGGATCGACCTCAACGCGGATAAGACCTCAGGCGTGATTGGCATCAGCGAGTACGCCGCCGAGGAGCTGGGCGACGTCGTCTACGTGGAGCTGCCCGAAGATGGCAAGGTGGTGGGGGCGGGCGACGCCATCGGGGCCGTCGAGTCGGTCAAGAGTGCGGCCGACATCAACGCGCCCATCTCCTGCAAGGTAACCGCGATCAACATGGTGCTCGAAGAGAAGCCCGGTACTATCAACCTGGTGCCTGAGGACGACTCCCACGGCGGCGGTTGGATTTGCAAGGTGTCTGTTGACGAGCAGGGCGTCAAGGACTTTGAGGCTCTTATGGATGCTGAGGCGTACAAGGTTTTTACTGGCTCGGAGCACTGAGCGGTTCCATTGCGATCGAGGTGTGTGTGGTGGGAGTGCAGCATTAGGGACCAGGGTAAGGGTTGGTTCAACATCATGAAAGACCCAGACGAGTGCGCATACTGGACGAGCTCAACCTTGTATCATAGACGGAACGTGGGTATATTGATTCAGCGCAAGCTCAGCAAACACGTATGTCGCAGCCAGATCTATGGACACTCGTACATGCCTCATCCATTTTTCTGACATCTACGCCGGTACCCACTTCTCCGTATTTGGATTCGCTGCCCTCGCCGCATTTATGACGTCCAAAATCTTCTGAGCGCCATTTTCTGTTAGTTGCTTAGCGATCTTAAGACCGAACTCGACAGCCTCTTCTCGCGTCTTCACCTCTGTCTCATGCTCGGCATCGGCTCCTTCTGTCCCATCGACGCTCACAACCGTGGCGGTCATGCGCAGCTTGTTCTCGCTCACCCATTGCGTCTCGACGCCGATAGGTATACTGCACCCTCCCTCCAATGTTCGCATGACACTCCTCTCGGCCTCAGCTGCCAACATCGCCTCCTTATTCTCCAAAGCCTTCAGCAGCTCCAGCGTCTTCTCGTCGTCAGCTCTTGCTTCAATGCCCAGACCTCCTTGTCCAACAGCATGCAACATGCCGCCCCCTTTCGTGCCGCTCTCCAAGTACTGAGAGACACGACCTGTCAAGCCCATGCGCGAAAGCCCAGCCGCAGCCAATATCAACACCGAGTACTCGCTATCCTCGGCATCCAGCTTCTTCAACCTCGTGTCAATATTGCCCCGCATATCCTTAAACTCCAACCCAGGGTATCGTCGTCGAACCTGCGCCATGCGCCTCACACTACTCGTCCCCACCACACTACCCTCTGGCAAATCCGCCAATGTCTTGTACTTTTCCTCCAGACTCTTCTTAACTACCACCACATCGCGGGGGTCCTCCCTTTGGGTAACGCAGGCCAACACGCAGCCCTCGGGTAAGCCAGTGGGCATGTCCTTGAGTGAGTGCACAATCATGTCGAGCTCGCCGCCCATGAGCTCCGCCTCGAGCTCATTGGTCCAGAGCCCCTTCCCGCCGAACTTGTAGAGTGCGGTAACTTTATCCTTGTCGGCTGCTGAGTGCATGCCCTTAATTTCGAAGTTGATGGTGGGGTGGAGGCGCTGCAGGGAGGTGACGACGAAGTCGGCTTGCTTGAGTGCGAGGGCCGACTTGCGCGTGCCGACGCGGATCGTGGTTGATTTGGAGTCCGAAGGCGTTATGACGGGTTGGGTGGCGGAGGTCGACATTGTGCAATTGGAAGGGAAGACAAGGTGACGCTGAGACAGATTGTTGATTTAGGAGGGCTCAATGGGCGAGCCTATTAAATTATGTCCCCAAGGTGAGACTTGCGATGTTGGTTGTCAATGGGTTAAGTGAACCTGTCAAAATTCCCGCGGGGTCGTTCAGCTCAAGTCGCCTGCAGACCGGGGGCAAAACCATGCCTACGTCGGAGCTCGCGGGTAGCTTCATTCCCCCTTGCAGAAGTCGCAACCCAAAATTGTTAACGCAGCCCAAAAATATGAGTGTGGTTTCCTCCCCTGCCAAGTTTTGTTCGTTACCCAAAGTCGCGGTCTTCCTTCTCCTCATGATCATCTAGATCCATCTTGGACATATGGTTGCGTAGAATCAGTGTCCCATTCCACTTCGGCAATTAGTCGAGTCAAAATTGAGACTGTCTCATTCTTCCTCCGCATTCTCTCCTATTTCCCGAAGGGCACTCTTGTGCCTTACAAAGTTGGGCTTTCACGCCAAAACTTAACGAAATACTCGACCACACTGCCAGCCTGGCTGCGTACAAGTGTACCATTCCCTTGTCTCGATCCTTTCCATCTCACACTTGTGGTCTGTTATGACTATAGCGGAACCTGTCGTGATTCGCCAAAAGATGGCAGTCGGGCCTGTTGAAGGCGGCAGCGTCTTCCCCATGGGGAGGGCACCCATTGAACCAGTTAAGGACCGCGTCATCTCTCACAACTTGGAAGGGGTGGCATCAGCTGTGACGATGCACAGGTCTATAGCAGGGGAACCCGATGCACAATTCGCCAAGGCGGTTGTCACGCTCTGCCACGATGCAACCATGGCAGATGTCGGCAAGTTGCTTCTCAAAATCTCGTTGCATGCCATGTTCCTTCCTTGTCGGTTTCAACAGGTTCAGAGCGGTCTATCGCTTCTGGAACGACGAGTGTGACCTCTGCTGGGTTTTACAGCTTCTCGATGACGCCGGAATAGTGTCACGATATATCGAGTCCTGCCTTGGGCACTACCAAAGCGTGACGTTGACGGATATCATCGTTAGAGCGGCCGGTAATAACAGAGTGAGTGAAAGGACAACTTCTCCTCCGCAAGCCTAACCTTCAGCATGGGTGCGGTAAGAACAAGCCGGGTTGTCCTTTGCGTCGCCTTTCTTATCCGCATCGGGTTCGAATCCAGATCTTAGAGGTGTGGCACGAAGACGTGTCATGCTCCCAGGAGTTAGGTCGGAGGATGCAACATGTTACGAGTAGGTGTTAGGCGAGAAGCAGTGGCAACACGCTGCCACGGTCTCGTCAAGGCTTCGAGCATATAAGGCTCTAGATAGTCGCCTTCTTCACGGACCATTAGGTCAATCACGCCATCTCGCAACCACATCGCAACATCAAGCAGTGCACTCTACAAAACACATCATATCGACATCCGGATTGACTATTGAGGATGAAGTTCCAAGCCACCCTAGGTAGTCTGCTTATCCTCGCTGGTGCTGTCCAGGGTGAGCACGAAGCGCCCTGGAACAGGCGGCTTAAACGACAAGTCACAGTCACAGTCTCAGGTCCAGCTGCTGTTCCTTCTAGCTCAGCAACTGCTCCTGCGCCCATCAGTGCTACTTCTTCGGGTCCCGTACCGGCTGGCACTGGTGCAAACTGCGGAAAGGGCTACACCTACTGTGGCTACATGCTACAGACTGGCGGACACAGTGCCTATCCCCTTTCTCCATCTACTATTTCCAACTGGCGGCGGACTAACTCATCGTCTAGACTTCGCGCAGGACATCGTTCACAAAGCATACTGTGATGCCCTTCCTAGCGGTTGCACCAACGGCGTGCCCAAGACGGATGCCAACCAAGCTGTCTACCTCTGTATGCAGGATAGCCCTGCCAGCATCCAATTAATGTGTGCTTGCAGCGGCAAGTGCCTCAATGAGAAGGCGAGCAACAACATTGCGCATTGCGACAAGGCTTGCAACAACGGCGACAAGTGCTTGTAGAAAGCGAGCGGACAACGGAATGGCTGAGAAATAAGGTCAGCTTCGAGTCTGACAGATGGAATCGAGATGCTGTGGACACCACGTTCATTTTAGCCTGGGTGGTAGACTTGACAGACGAGCATGTCTCGTAACATTCTCGACACTCATTTTCAACACCTTTGTACCTACCATTTCTCCCAGCCTCTTTTTTTTCTTTTATTCTCACGGACTGGGCACAGAATCAAAAAGCAGCGCATCAGAGGTAACATCGAGTTTGTAGGCCTTGACAGGGCCCCGTATGGTTGAATTGGGCACAATGCAGATCTCTGCCATCTCTACTCAATCCCCCTGACTAGTGAGCCGACTGAATCGCTAAAATGAATATCATTTTATGTCCGTGCTGAGCCATTTCTCTCGCAATGCCATTTCTCGGCCATTTTGCACCCAAATTGCACAAGACCTCGTGCAAACAAATTTTTATTCAATAGAGCGTAAACTTGCGTTGGGCTTTTCGCACCGCCTTCAGCCAGCTAGGGATGAACTCCATCAACTTCCATACGCGGTCTAAATCGATCTTTAACCGCGCTAGTTCGATTAACTCGCAATGTTCTTTAATTTAGCAAAAGCAGGCTCGACTTAATAAATCTTATCCTTGAGAGCATTCTCAACGTGCTTAAGATCCGGTGAATAGGGTGGCTATTTTATAGTCCTCTAGCTATGCCTTCGAGGCTGTAGAAGTGTATATTGACTTAGGGATGGGGGTTTTAGAGGTGATTCTCGCATGGTTTACCCGATCAGTTTGCTTCTCGAGGGATCTATAAGGGCCTGTACTGTCAACATACACACTCCAGGAGACATGAGAAATGAATAGGTTTAAGAAGGAGAGCAAGACTCTTTTTCTTTCTGTTCTTTTCGTTTCTCGTGCCCTGTACACCTGTTCTGTTGACCTGATGGGAGCGACAAGACTCTTATTTTCTGTTTTTATCCGCCTGGGCAGCAGATCTTATTGAAGGTTTATTTTCCACCTCTATCCTCTTCACCTTTACAGTACGGGTTTCTTCCCCGTCGTCGATATTCCGGCGTGATCCTATATAAAAGAGACCCTAGCCTCGTAGAATAGAATTAGGTCTTCGTCCCAGGCCTATTGGTAGCACAGTAAAGATGTGTAACGAAACCTCTAATAGTCTAGCTGCGTAAACCACTAAAGAGTCTGTAAAGGTTTGTGCTAGTAAGTAAGTCCTGCTGCGGAGTCCTCAAGCAATAATATCGGGGTTTGACGTATGGAGTAGAGTGCTTTGGGTAACTGAAGTATTCAAGTAGGGTAATCGGGAATAGAGTCGTTAAGGCAGTTTGCCTCACCAATGGGTTAGATTGATGCTTAGATTGATCACTGAAGTAGAGACTGTCTATCTATGAAATGCCTGGGAGTCCTGTCCCTTATATATCCATCTCTCCTTCACTGATCTCGTTGGATCACTTGGATCACGTGACCTTTTCCTTTAGTCGGGGGCCTAGTTGTTCCTTTCCGTCCTTATGGGGCTTTGTTCCTGCGGGGTTCCGTCATGGCCTATTGTAGGCCTGTCGGGTTGGTTTTGGCCAGGTTAGAACCAACGGTTCGTAACACACGCCCCTCGGCCAATAGACCAAAAGATCTTCAATGCTAGTGGATCGTTGGCATTTGGTCCTACTGTATACAGCACTCTGTGGCTATGCCATCGTCAAGCATCGTGACACAGCCGTCGCTATGACCGCGCGAGCCTCAGAGGTGAGTCGCCCTTGAGCTTTCTATTTGCCGATAATTTGGTGCTAACAGCGCCCAATTCGGCCGTGATTGGGGATTGCAATCGTTGTTGATCGGATTGGGGAACTCTGGCACGGACACCGACACAAAAGTCCACTTAGTGTACCAGACTGTTGATACGCAACTAAGGTTAGCGCTTTGTATTCGAATCACTCGAGCTCAATCGCAAATGCCTTCTAGCAGCAGTAGTCGCTGACTCTGCAATTACAAACCTGACTCATGTACATCCTAACTCCCCTGGCTGGGCCATGATGTTACATTGACTAGCGGTGAATTCATCACAAATAAGCCGTCCCGTTGCGTAAACTTGGGGTACGGAGTTGGATGCCTCCATATTCTGCATGGCGGCCCCACTGTAGTGGAAGATTCTTCACTACCGTGGCCCGATTACGGGAGCAAGGCCGATGATGTGATCACCTGAAGTCCTGCAACACCCGGTAGTGAGCCGCAAGTGGCGTAGTCTAGGAAGAGAAAATGGAGATGTAAAAAATAATATTAAATACGCCGTAGGTGTTAACCCTCGGTACCTCTACAAGTACTCCCTTAAGGGGCTATAGATGATATAGCGGGCCCTTAAGCCGCGTCGGGCGGTTATACAGGTAAACTTGTAGTCAAACGACTACTAAACCTCCTGTCCCTCCCTAAGTCTGTGCTACAACCCCTGCCTGAACTACCGATAAGTGTGGTAATGTGGCACTTAAATTCGTCCTCAGGGGTGGGATGCTGCTGATGTGCAGAAGATGCTCCACTATTTTTTGTCGCGACAAGTCGTAGTATCTGCTAATTGGGGTTCTCGTCGAGCGTATACATCTCAACCATACGCTCAAGTGGATAGACCGTAACGTGGTCTAGACGCTCGCAAGAATCGCGGCGAGAGGGCGTGCTGCGCGCCTTCTATCGGGCAGCGCGCCGTAAGGGTTGACTAAACCCCCTTGTGTGTGGAGATGTAATAACAACAGTGAAAATTTGGAGGGATGAAGTTGGAGGATTTTTACTTAATTTATAAGGGGGCCCTCTCAGGCGCTGTGGAACCAGTTGTTAAGATGCGAAAAGAACGACGCTCGTAGTCCTTCCTCTCCACGACCTCGAAGTCCGTCGTATTGTAGACAGGCAGCAGATCTAGATGGGTTGCTAGGACTAGGTCGTGAGCTCCTTGCCATTTGGCCGTCACATCCACATCAACTTAAGCAATTGAGTCCTTACCCCGGGTTTTCCTGAACAGACTCGGGCGTTACAGAGTCGCAGACTCGCGACGTTACCATAATGCATCACTTCCCCTCCTCCTCCCTTAACGGGAACGACGAAATCCACACCATCCAACAAGATGTCGACGTCGAAAAACGCGGCCATCACGATGTCAATAACAGCAACAATGATGCGCCGCCAGCCGTCGACGATGACAAGCCGATCCTTGAAACACAACTCAATGTCGGCGGGCAGGGCGCAACGCAGCGCCATCTGAGGAACTACCAGGTGACCATGATTGGGTTCTGCAGCGGCATTGGGACAGGTCTGTTCATCGGTACTGGGTCAGCGTACGCGAAGGCCGGGCCGGCGGGGTTATTGTTGGCCTATGCCATCGTGGGAGGCGTGTTGTGGTGTGTTATGCAGAGTATTGCTGAGATGGCTACTTTGGTGGGTTTCTCATTCTTCAAGTAACAACTTGAAGTTGATATGTTAAGGGAGTGTTTGGCTAACGAATACGTCTAGATCCCCACCGCAGGCTCCTTCCCCCACTGGGCAACCCGCTTCATCGACCCAGCCGTAGGCTTCTCCCTGGCCATCAGCTACGGCTACTGCTACACCGTCGCCATTGCGTCAGAATGCTCCGCAGCTGCGATTCTCGTGTCCTATTGGACCGATATCTCCGTCGCCATGGTGATCAGCATCAGTCTCGCCCTCATCCTCTTCATTAACCTCCTCAACGTCCGCTATTTTGGCGAGACAGAAGTCGTCGGCGGTGCTATCAAAGTGCTTTGCTTCCTCGGGTTAATTCTGGTGTCCATCGTCATCACCGCCGGCGGCGCCCCGACACACGATCACATTGGTTTCCGGTACTGGCACAACCCAGGCCCCTGGATGGATTACAACGGCATTGGCGGTCCCACAGGGCACTTCCTGGGTTTCCTGTCTGCTTTTGTAAATGCCAGTTTCTCCTTCATCGGCGTCGAAACCGTCGTCATCACCGCGGCCGAGAGTATCAACCCGCACCGCGCCATCCCGAGGGCCGCTTCCAACGTGACCTACCGCATCGGACTCTTCTACGTGCTAGGCGCCCTGTTGATCGGGCTCATCGTGGACCCCACCAACCCCGGCCTAGTTTCCGACACGGGGAACGCGAATAGCTCGCCCTGGGTAATCGCCATCCGCCAGGCCGGTATCAACGTCCTACCGTCTATCGTCAACGCCTGTATCCTCGTATCGGCCTGGTCAGCGGGCAACTCCTACTGCTGGGTCGGCTCGCGCATGATTGTCGCCATGACGACCGACCACCAACTCCCGCAAATCTTCGGCCGCACCTGGGAAAACGGCGTGCCGTACGTAGCCGTCATAACCGCGTGGCTGTTCGGCCCACTCGCATACTTGAGTCTGGGCTCCGGCGGGGCCTCGCAGGCGTTTACGTGGTTGTTGAATTTGAGTACCGTTGCTGGGCTCATTGCGTGGGCTACGCTGTGTTTTTGCTATATCCGGTTTCATCGCGCGATGAAGGTCCAGGGTGTGAGTCGCGATACGTTGCCGTGGAAGGCGCCATTGCAGCCGTATGCTGCTTGGGTTGGTTTTGTAGGCTCAACCATTATTACATTGGTTTGTGGGTTTCCCGTGTTTTTAAGGGGGAATTGGTCCGCGGCTGATTTTGTGGCTGCGTATGTGGGGATACCGATCTTTATTGTGCCGATTGTTGCCTGGAAGATTGTGCATCGTACCAAGGTAAGTTTTGTTGTTTCTCCTCCGACTTAGATTGTATACTGACTAGATGTGTCTTCGCAGTTCATGCGCGCAAATACTATCGATCTTTGGTCTGGTCGTTTTACATAATAGATGAACGTGGTGAACTTTAGCTCCGTCAGATTAGATCGGGGCTCCCTCTTCAGAATCCTTCAAGGGTATCCATAATAATTGAAGTTTTTGATGCATGTCGATCTTGGGCCGATGATGCCTGCGAGTAAAGGCTGTATTTCACGGTGGTTGCTTCAGTAATGTTTGAGCGAGACGGGTGCGGCTGTATATTGTATTGAATGCTTGGGCTCCTCAGGTGTTCAACTCCTTGTGAAAATGTTCTCGAAGCTTCTTAATGTCGCTCGCACTTGCCTTGCAACATCCACCAACGAGGAAGGATTTGAAGCAACCCCTTGCTTGTGCACTTTGGACTGCGCTGGCGAGTTGGGCACCCCAGGATTCCTGGCGTACGAACGTTAGCCGTGTCGTCGTAATCGAAGGAGTGGGGAAACGTACCTTTGCTCCATCGCTGTCCACCTTTCCTTCCGGCTTCTCCCAAATCTTCGTCGTAGTATTATAGACCTCCCCGTTCGTCCCATCCGGATACAACACCAACGCCGGCATGCCTTCAACGCCCACAACCCCCATCTTCTCCAGCGCCTCCTCAAACTTCCCAATCAATCCCGGAACCTTATGGATCTTCGTACAATTAAGCCCCACCCCCCACGGTCTCCCCGCCCCCTCCAAATCCCCCACCATCGCCTGCACCACCTCCTCAACACTACTCCCATCCGGCAATCCCTCCCCCTCCCCAGGAAACACACATGAAACCCAAAACTTCGTCTCCATCCCCGCGGCCCAGATCGCCCGTCTCACGGCCCGTACTTCGTCTAACCTCGGCAGCGTCTCGAAGGCAACGTACTTCACTCGCGACATCAGGCCCTCGACCGCAGTGAATAGCCTGAGGCGCTCTAAATGCCACTGAAACAACTCCTCCTCTGTACTGTGCGCCGCGTCGTACTGACCGCTGTATTCCTGCCCGGGGATCATGCTTGCGCCGTACGGTCCTAAACTAAGCGCCAATTTAGCCGCCTCCTCGCGGACGGAAGCATTCTCAGCGATGTCAACTGCGGCTACGAGATACTTTCCGATGACATCTTTTGGGATGCCATCGGGAAAATCATCCGTTTTGGTCCGCGCGAAGCCTTCGATGGAGGTTTGGTAAGTAGCTGTGAGAAGCACGTCGGCGCCGGCGATTGAAAAGTCTCGCTGGCAAGCTAGCAGGGTAGATTGGTTGGTGAGCAGGAAGTGTGTAGACCAGAGGGGATTTGTGTGGTCGAATTTCACGCCGTAGGAGTCCTCCAAGGAAGTTCCTAGGCCGCCGTCGAGGATTTGGATGGAGGTCATGTTGATAGATCAGATTGAGAGGTGGTGATATGTCGTGGGGCCAGGGTAGAGACTTCTGATGAGTCAGCGTTGAGTCAAGTTTGAGTTTGAGGAGGAATTTTGACCGATTGCGGAGCGAAGGGTAGTTTCCAATATCAGCCGTCTTGAAGCACTACTTCCATGCTCCAGGTCATTTTTCGGGAGAAGTGAAAGAAGTCTTGGGGTTTTTCTGCACCTGAGCTTCGAATATTTGCGGTATTACAAGCACCAGCCGCTATACTTCTGCCACGAACACCTGCAAACTAGTAGAGCAATTATGAGACCGAAGGTTCAGCATGTGAGAAATCGAATTACCGGAATAGGCAGTCCGGTAAAATTTCGGTCGGATCTACCTAGGCGTGATAGAGTTAACTCCAGTCCAATCAGCTACCTTGTCGGTCCCGAGTATACAAGTATACAAACCTGGAGCACTGGTAAGTAGGAGATACAACGAGAACTGATTTCTGCGGAATTGGTGGCTTGAGGTCATAGTGAGGTATGCCTGAGATACATTAGTGCCCCTGTGCGGCTTGGGACCCCCACCTGTACTTCCCTTCACCTCCGTATGTAGCCGGAATGCCAGTACCAGTGCGATGCTACAGGTTCTGAGAAAAGGAAATGTCAAATATTAGATTTTCCAGAGATTTCACACCAATGGTATCGAGTGATTGCCTGGAAAATCACCATCCATGGGCCGTTGGTTTGTGATGGATTAGGGACATTGTGAGATCCATGTGACTGCCCCATGATGGTTTACCAGAAATAAGTGTTTGTACGGCTGAAAGAAAAGGACTTAAAAGGCATAAACCCTCGGTGCCAAAATCAGAGCTCTCAAATACCCCGGTAAGATCCAGCTTGCAGTCCAATTATATCATTCACAGGCACGTCACATGCTAGCAGCAGAAGTGAATTACCTTATTTTGTTTTTCCTCGAGTCTTGAAATTAGCCTGCATGTTCTTGCCAGTCGTCACCCCCCATGAAACCATTAGTCACTGCCTACGAAGGCTGCCCATCACCACCCATTGGAGTCTCATCTCGCCACCGCCCAAGAACAAAGGTCCTAGGTCCTTACTATACATTTTGCCATCGAGCTTTTGACCCTGGAATGAGAGCATTATTTCATTGCCAACGATTTGACATACGGGAGTACTAGTAGAGGTACCGGGGACTTCGAGCCTACGGCGTATTTAATAATAATAATAATATTTCATTGCCGAATAGACTGGGGAATAATAACAGTGACTCCAATCAACACAAATGTCAACTCAATATTGCCTTAAGCTCACAGACAAGGGTAGATCTCACCTATGGGGAATCCACTTTACGTCCCTAGTCTACTTCAACGCTTTGATTCGACCATACTCCTCCATGGAGGACTCAACTCGGTCCGGACCGCAGACAGCATTACAATGCTACACTCCAATTCTGGTGCTGACACCAGACCGTTAGAAGAGAAGGGTGGGCGGTTTCTATTTACCTTTATAAATAAGACTTGGGCCACATCGTAGGGCGTAAATGCCTTTTGCTTCTCCATATTCTGTATTTCAAATTTACCTTTGACTTCCCAACGACAACAGCCTTCAGATCTAAGGTTACACTTCTCCACGCCTTGTCTCAGCCGATTCCAGATACACTTTTGACACTCCCGATTCTTTATTTAGCCACTCTGACTCGGTTCATGCCAACCAGGGCAGTATTTTCGAAGTTGAATTCGTCCATTCGGGCTTTCTTAAGGAAGCCCTCCGCTGCTACCTTGAACCTGTTCACGTAAACCATCGGGCAATACTTTCCGATGGTGAATTCACGCATTTGGGCTTTCTTAAGAATGTGTTCTGTTGCTACCATTACACGACGGTTTATATGAACCATTGGGCAGGACTTTTAACGTTTTACTCGGCGCTGAACTCGGCTTGTGCGTGATCAGTATAGTCTCATCTCGGAATTTGGCGATAAGGTTGGTATTCATCCACCGGTGAATGTATCATGGTATAATCTGATTGCTCTGCTTCTCGTTGAGGCACCAGAAGTTTTCTTAACAAAGTTTGATTGTATCTTCACTGAAAATAGGGCCATAAGTGCAGAAATGCTGGCCTCTGCTCCCAAATATAGATTGTACTAAGCAAATATCTCCGCCGTATGCTCACACCCTATACAGAGACATAACTAACGCAGATCTGAAGCAACACTTGCCCCCACATAATGGACACATGATATACCAACTTTCATCTAGCCTGCGGAAATTCTGAAAAGTATAGATCGCAAGTTGGCGTCTGAATGCTGATAATTCTGAGCCTTCTGGCTCAATCTGCACCCCTTTAGGAAGTGAATGACATATCATATCATATCAAGACACCATGCTTCGACATGCCTTCACCTTGTGTTTTTGTAGTGAACGTAGAGGAAACTTCAATGTGCTTGTTGTTTCCAATTGCTTAAATTTAATTCCGAGTATTATGTTGGAGAAGAACGGTATGTTCTGTCATGTCTAGGAAGACATCATGCATCTGAGAATATGTGAGGGCGCTCCGAGCAGGACCAAGTCAGGCCGGCGTTGATGAGAGCAAGACCATTTCAAGTTGGAGATTGTAATAATATGGTCTCCAACTATGAAAGTAGGAATTGGGCAATACGATAAGTTGAGAGTGGGTATGTCGCAATTAGATCAAGACGCATATACACACTCATGGCTAGAGCTACGCCGGCCCTTTCGCGCTTCTTCATATGGAGACGCGTTGTGAAATTCACAGAAAGAGGGCGAGGATGAAATCGGAGATGGCGGACTAAGGCTGGAAGCAGCGAATGAGTAGATACGTACGAGTTCCAAAGATGTCCATGTAGACCCCATTAATGCCATTCCAGCACGGCAACGAAATAGGGTCTTCAACCCCACAATTCGCCTTCCACACGAGCACAGCATGATTCATCAATACCAGATCCATCGAGACGATCAGTTACAAGATGAGGTACCTAGGCCATCCAACCACAAACTTCAACAGTGTAACAGCAAAATATGTCTTCGACAATCCCACCCGACCTTGTGCAGCACGTCGGCGATGCGCGTAATCATCGTGACGAGTTACCCGAAGAACACCGTCTTAGCGTATCCGAGGCGCATAATCTCTGTGAGAACCGCCGTTGACGCCAGCGTGAAGACCCAGCCCGTCAAAAGCAGCCAGCCATCCCAACACATCTTGCCGGCGTGGGAGATACGACAGTAGAGCCGCAGGCCGAGGATGATCCCGGAGACGGACAGCATGGATCAGGTGGTGACGTCGATTGTGACGGCCACGTCGCTGTGGGTGGCTAGGCCGGCTTGTGGGACTCCGGACATTGGATGATGGGTTGATAGGGAGGATTGAGAGTGGCAGTATGCTCAAACTACGGGGATCATTGCGTTCTACATAGTCTGGGTGGATGGAGGTAGATAGGTCTTACGTGAAATAATGTAGGTTTGACGTGCTAGCTCCTGAGAGACGATGTTCTTATGGATTGGTCTAACAAACCGAGGTTTGAGGCGTGTGGCCCTTCGGGTACAGCACTGCTGCCCTATCTTCATTTCATAAAGACTTGTCAGTTTTGAAGGACGACGAGATGTGTTCGAGGGGCAACAGCCGCGCCCAGAAGTGTGCAGCGTAGCATTTTTCCTGCCAAGTCCCCGGTTATACCTGCGGGATAAAGTCTGCTTTCAGTAATTCTTGATTACTAGACATGGTTGTCGACTTGTATTAATGTTTCGGACCAGTTGGCATTAGTGCCACACGATATATGTGCATAAAAGTCGACATACAGCTTAGAGTATTTACAATTTGAAATGGTTACGGGGAGGGAACCCAGGTGCTTTCCATTATCCATAACCACGTAAATACATGTCTTGACTCTGTTGTCAGAAAGATATCCACGTTGGGAGTCTGCCTTATTCGGTTACTTATCCCGAGACCTCTTGTGCGGCACAGCAACAAGCAATTTCTTCAGTTCAAGCTGCAAGACCGCTTGCCGCCATGTCTTCTAGATAATCGCAGTCAAAAGGAGCAGGTGCTCCTTCCAAGAGATAATATATAAATGCCGAGATTGTCAATACTGGATGCGACCACAGCACCGTTACTTACATTCCTGCCGTGACCCGATAACCCGGAAAAGGCTCCCTGGTCCGCACCATCGGGACAAATAACTTCTAATAAGTGGCCAGTTACGGTGTGCGTGGAAATATCGAGACTGGTCCCTATGTGCGAAGGGCGTGACAATATAGCTCAGCGAATACGACCCGACTGGATTTTATACACAGGGCGAAGCAGTTCCTGATGCAACTGACTGAAATTTACGTGCATTCAAGCCCGCATAAAATTCAAGCTATGGTTGTCGCAAAAATGAACCGACAAATTGTTTCTTGATAGCAGAACTTTATCTCAAGTCCCCTATTATTGAAATCCGCATGACAACAGCTGCGCCCTACTGCTAACAATCGGTGTTGTTGGTTTGAAGCATCCCTATACGCTAAAACCAAACATGCCCTGATTTTCAATTCATTCAGGTTCGCCGAAGAGGTCGGATCTTGGTAATTAACCCGTCCACCGAAGACGCTGCCTCCGCTGAGGACCTGATCCGTATTTACATGCATAGGAACTCTTGAAACTCCTGTGTAGCAAGATGCTAGACAATGAAAGGAATCCCCGGACCTTGTCGCGCGCTCTCCAATAGAAATGCCAATATTGTTAACGCAGTCTTGAGCGCCTCGTTCGAATACTTGATTCCAATCATAGGAGATTCATAGTATCAACTTGGACCAAATCAATCCATTCATGAGCCCCTGCGACCTTGGCTACGCAACCGATTGATGATTCATATTAATTAGACTTGTTTGTTACGACAGCGCATTACCAACGAGGTACAAAAGAGGATAAGTCTTGATGACTTCGCGCCGTGACGTTCTCATCACCAGCCATCAACCAAGTGGAGTCCCATTATACACCACTCAAATTCAGCCACTATCTGCAGAAGTGACGGTGGTTTTTGCATTGCCGCCACCATTGTAAATCTAATCCACATTATCAACAATCCCGATATCGCTCGAATGCACATCATCTACCAATGATATCGCCCCTATGGCACAGTGGTAATGCGTCGCACTCGTAACACAGTGACATGCGAAGATCCTCGGTTCAATTCCGAGTGGGGGCACTCTTTTTGCTGCTGACCGTGTTCGTAACTCGTCAATGTCATTTTAAGGAAGGATGACTGGCTTGGTTTTTGCTCCGGTTTTCTATGTTGCACTTCGATATCAAGTTTATGACAGCATGATGTATGTACTCTTTTGCTCCAATGAAAGAACACTCGCTCCAAATATGTTTTGTAATTAATCTATAAAAAACTGTCAAGTTAAGATATCCTATCACCGACGCTGCTCACTCAGTATATCCTGTAGGTAAACAAATACTTGCCCCTAATTTCACAGCCGGAATATGTACAGGCCTCCAGGATGTGTGACAACGAGGACCTTCTCATACGAAATAAAGACGAACCAACAGCCATACCAACAGCCACACCAGTGTCGTTGAAGAAATTAGTTCGCCTACGATGTTAAACAATTTGCTCTTGAGGTTATACCCTCGTCTTTCCAGATACGTGATAATACAGCTCACCAACAAACCGTGCCCTACGTATTTTAACCAAAAGCCTCGGGTTTGATATAAAACGTCGTACGAATATATATTATTGGAAACAAAATAACGTAGTCCACAAGCGAACGGGTCACCCAACCGAACGGGTCACGCCAACTAGCAAAACATGGAATTCAACACGATTTCGCAACCACAACGCCGTAAATCAATTAAAACTACTCAGAATACTCTTTCCCAGATGATTCTATCTCTACCTGACAGGTTCGCGCATTATGCCCGGTCTTCCCGCATACGCCACAGCGCCGTTGCCGTGGCTGGCCATGATTTGATCCAGCGCTATTTCCACGCATTTCCTGCTGTACTTGCTGCGCAACGTCCTTTTGATCTTGAATATCTTAAACGTCTTGTGAATTAAGTGATCCTCCAAGCCGTACTCGTGTTTTTTTGGCCCTGCGCCGCTTGCTAATTAGAGAATTTGCCTCTCGAAGTTCGGCGACCTCAGCTTGGAGTAAAGCCATCTTATGCATAATACTCCGCGCTCCTTTCGAAAACTGATCGATAGCATCGTAAATTGACGTCGGGGAGCTATTTTTATGCCTGGAAATTCGAGATTTAATAAATTCGGATTGCGAAGTAGCCTCGGTTGGGTTGTTTGGCGTCCGAGAAGCCCAAGGAAGGGTTTCCCGCGTAGGGGGCCGGGAGGACGTTGGAGTCTGTAATTTCACATCCAGCTTCTCAATAACAATATCTGGGCTTAAAGGCACAAGCCCAGCCCCTTGAAAGCCTGCACGAATATTGCTTTCGGTCAGGCTCTTCTTGAACGCGTCGCAAAATGCCGGAAGAAAGTCCTCCTTTGTGATATGCGAGTCGCGTAGCAGTCGGTTTGCCATATCTTCAACAGCACTTAGCCGGGGAGGAAATGCTTGCGAATATAGCTCAATTATCCTTTGAATAATCGTATTTTCTTCTAGTTTTGTTAAATTCCGACCGTTGGCTTCGATATTGCGACGTGATTGACGTTTTTGAAGACGCGCCTGGAGAGTAGTATTCGAGACTTTGTAGATTGTTGCAGCACGTCGGATACTAAGTGTTGAGTCATTTCTGATAGCCTGAGTTGCAAGGAGTAATTGAGATTCTTTTTGAGCAGAATCCATCGAGAATTAGTTGCGTGGTAAAGTTAGAAAGTTTAGTTCTATTTTTTGCTATGGGCGTGACCCGTTCGCTTGTGGACTACGTTATTTCGATATATTTTCAAACTCTATAAAATAAATCCTGGCATCTGCTGGCCATTTCCCAAGGCTCCCTCATACGTTAGCGAATCTGCCCCTGATTATCCCCCTTTGTTGTCGACTACTAAGCCTTACTTGGTGGATTAGCTTCGAATCTCGTCTGACCTTATCATACCCTTTCACATGCCTCAAGTTCCATTACAATGTGTATGGATATCTTCATTGTCGAAGTCTACAAGAATACTGATGGGCATCACTCGAAGCAAGCTCTGGAGCAGTTAGCCATTCTGAGTGCGCGCCGAATGAGCGGCCCGAGGCTGAGGGAATTCCTAGACCAAAATCATACCCTCCTGGGCGTTTAAATATCCCGTCCAGTCGAAAACTTCAAGTTGAGACACGGAATGAGAAAAGGGGTACGGAGTAGTACTTGGAGATGAAGCATTTTGCACTAAGTAGGTTTTATTCACGTCACTCTTTCGCATTGATTAGAGTCTGAGTTGATCGGGGTTCTTTGAGAGGCTAGTTTGAATCGCTAAAGACTCTCGTGTACGTCTAGAGAGAAGCCTTTTGCTTCAGAGAACCTGCCCACGATAACCTCGTAGAGAGTGGAAGGACATAGAACCGGTATTTGTCAATGAATTAGACAACCGGACAGCGGAAGGAAATTCATTCCTTGAAATAATTTGTCAGAACTTGCTCAGAAGCTCTAGTAAACAGTCAACATTCTAAAGCGAGGGGCGGGTAATATACCACCCTGTGAATGATGGCTCGTAGGCACTGCGGATCTTCAATAATAGAAACCGAGGAAAAGCTGGAGGTAAATGATACTCAACTGGCAGATCAGCTTAGCATCTATACTAGAGACTATAAATATCTAGGTTAAAGCAAGGATTTCCTCAACGGCTATTTAAGGTAATCGTATAAATAGGTCATATTTAGAAGTGGCACCTCTCTTATGTGAGTATTTTCATTGGGAAACACATGTAAAAATACTTTATGGACCATAGAACTGGATGTGACCAAGTCAGAAGAAGCCTTACTATGGGAAATATCTAGAACCACACCCTTCGAAGGAACTCACAAGTCCTTGCTCCAATATTTTCCAAGTAGTTTCATCTGTTTAAGGATCCATTGTAGCCTTTGTATCTATACATGAGCTTCTCGCTCTCTCAGATCTCCTGAACCGTCCTGCTTCAAAGTCAACATCTACCTTCTGACACTTATATATACCGTTATCCATTAGCCAACTGCATTCTGCACCGCCTTTATGGTCTACACTAAAGTTTTCGTTCCCCTCAATTCCATCATTGGAGTCATTGCCCTTCTTTGCAAGAATTGGCAGCTCAAGAAAGCGTCCTCGTGAAGGACAATCCCACCACTCTGACGACATGGCGCCAAATCAGACCAGTATGTGTACTGCCTGGTTGGAAGTGTTTAATAAACACCAAGTAATCCCAGCCGCCACATCCATTGGTGTTTCGATAAGTATGAAGATGTAGCAAATCGATAAACTCTTCTGAAGCTGGGAAAGTGGAACTGGTTTGGAGGTGCTTATGGATAGTCTCAACTGCTAATTGGCTAGCTTTCAAACCTATAAACTACTTTAGCGCTCTAAATCAAGTTCAATCATTGAATTTACACTCATATTATATCCTTAGCGATAGTATCGATGCAATATGAGGGACGCGGTTCGATGGAGAAGCAGGGCAAGGTGAAGGTGGTTTCTAGCCCCAGTTTGACATCTGATACGTTGCATACCATGCCTGTCAGACGGCCCCATGCCCGATCGTTGGATCGGCACCATTTGAAGAGAAATTTGTAGGGGAAATCGTCGCCTGATACACTACCGTGGCTACCCTAAGCGGTGACATTGGTCTCACTGTAAAACAGCGGTGTTCTTTTTGGCAGTACGACAGTATGGCAGCTCTGACATTCCTCATGCTATCCGTTCAAGCTGTGAAGTTCCAGCCGAGACAGTTTGTCTTTTTATACTCAATAATCCATATATCCAACTACGTAGACTTTCTTGTAGTAAGCGATTATGCCCTAGTATAGGTGAGCGTGCAGAGGATGCCGCTCGAGGAATTCTTCCCATTTGCAAGAACATCCACGAATCTAGCGGAGATCTTAGAGAATGCGGACCCGCAGTGTGGCTTATAACATCAACCTGGTCGGTATCCAGTATGTCGTAGTATCGTCAAGATAGTCTAGTAAATATTTGTGGTAGTCAGGACGAGGATATCAAACTAATACTAAATAGTAAAACGGAAATATCGAAGCAACTGTTGGAAGTACTTCTACTTATTCATTCGTCCGGGCCCGAGAGATCAACAACAAGAAAGGGAACAAAACTCCCGGAGCCTTGTGGTCTCTTAGCTCACAATACCCTTAACCTAGCCCCTGACGAGCTGAACGTCGTCCGGCCTAGTCAACATGGCCTCTAGCTTGCAGGAGCTGCGTCTTGAAAAAGCAAGCAGATGTGGGCAAGGGTTCATCCATTCAGTTCTTTTTGTCAGGTCTTGGTTCGTGGGGATGTCAATCTGAAACTGATGTATCGTCATGGAGGATTGTGATGTTCATTGAGCTAAGTTAACCTACGGCAGGTGTAACGGCAGAATGTTACCTATCTAACTAGTGTACATTGTTACGGAGTAACTAGGGCTCCGCCAGTGGACTGTGTGCCACCAGTCCTCTGTTATATCGCACCGATAAGCCAATCCCGCACTTGTGATTGTGTGCCCAACTTTGACAGTCAAACCGTTAAAAGGGGGAAGGGATACGCCTGCAGTATCCATTCCCTTTCAGTAAACGTACCTGCCACATTGAACTTCGTACAAGCTATGACAATGACGTTAATTTACTACACACGGGTTATGGGGTTAGAGGAGAGGCGACGGGTAGGATTAGGGTTAGTAATAAGGGCCGGCACGACACTCTTCACACTCGACTGGTCGGAGAAAGCCTCCAGCTGCTGGCCAAATTCTCCCCGTTGCGCGAGTGCGTCGACTGGGATACTCGGTTTGAGTGGGCCGCTAAGCGTAGAGTCGATGCCTCGGTTCCGGGGCCTTGGTCCATTCGCAGAGAGGTGAGCAGGTCATCTTGCTTACTTTCAGTGGACGGGGTTCTGCTCAGGTGATGTAGATGAGATGCTAACCTTGTGAGTTGAACAGGCGCGGTGTTTCCGGACGGAAAAGCGCTCCAGATTGGGCTTGTTCAAGATCAAAGTCCGGTTATAACTACATAAGACAGCAATTTCTGCTTCTGCTTTTGAATTACTACGGAAAATTTGGGTTCTTCTGTTGTAACACACGGCATGGGAATTGCGGCATTTTACGACGAATAGAGACTGCTATCTTTTCTCCCAAGATAAAACGTAGGGCTATGGGAACGTAGCAAATCAAGTCCGCGGCATTCATTACATGCAATATTCAAAATATGTTAAACCCCTCTACACATGTCACTGTGCATTATTCTGGTATAAATGGCTCCGTGTTCCCTAATTTTCTAAAATTCACTCCCATTGAACTCATTTGCCCGACTTGAGTATCGTGATCAAGTTCTCAATTCAGATAGTATACGTGTATAGAAAGTCAAACCCAGAGCATGGATGATCTGCCTGCAAATAGGCACCAGTCCTCGTAAGTCTAGCTAAGGAGACAACTCATCCAGAACTCGCCATGTTGACGAGATGGCCGTCACAGGTCTCATTCATACTTATCACCCAGGCCCAACTCGTTGATAATAATATCGGCTCCCTTCTCCCCAACAACAAACGCAGTGTTGTTCGTGTTCGATCCAACGTTCTCGGGCACGATACTTATATCAACGACTTTAAGACCCGAAACCCCATACACATTCAAGTCGGCATCAACAGCCCCCATTTTCTCCCGCGGGGCCATCTTGACCGTTCCCAATGAGTGCCAAGTCGTGTTTATGTTCTCACGCAGAAATTTCAGGATAGCCTGATCATCTTCCGCCGAGTACTCTATATCCGACACATTCTCACCATGTACCTCTGTCCAATCCTCGACGCAGGCTGCCTTGGACCCGGGAGGGAACTCGGCATGGCCCCACGCCACCTCGCCGCGATACATGGCCGTCCGGCGCATGATCTCGCGTCCCTTTTTGTAGGCCCATAGCTGCTTCTTGGCGTCGATATCATCCTTATCACTGAAGAATCCGACGTCAAAATCAAGTGGGTCGGCCAGCTCCGGCCCGGTGATGTGGATGTATCCCCGTGAATAGGGGTAGGCAGTATACAGCGCCACGGAGACGTATTGACCGGGCTCTGGCACCACTCCTGGAGGGGGTACAAGGGATTGAATAAGCCCCAAGAGCATCAGTGGTCGGTTTGGTTTGTCCCGGAAGTTTGCATCCCAGGCTCGTTGAAATTCGGGACCTAAAGCTGAGACCTCGGCATCGCTGGGACGGAGCTTGCCCAGCAAATTGCAGGCGTTCCAGCCGAGTAGTGGGTTCTTGTTTGCGACTGCATCTGAAAATGACAGCCGACCTGTGTTTATCGCGTCCAGTGTCTCATTGTGGTCGAGCGAGGTTCTGTAGGGGTACAATATCAGGTGGTGATCTTGGTAGTCACGCCCAACCCCCGGTAGATCTTCCACAACAGGGACGCCGGCACGTTTAAGTACTTCAGCGCTTCCGATGCCGGATCTTTCAAGTACGAGAGGTGAGCCGCATGTGCCGCAAGACAGAACAACCAGTTTTCGAGCCGTGACCGTCTGCTTAGGAAGCTGTCCAGATTGAAGCGGCTGGTGGTCAGGATTCAGCACGTACTCAACGCCACACGCCTTATTTTTCGCATCAAACAAGACGCGTAAAACTTTGGATTCGACAAGTACATGCAGATTAGGATGCTTACCATCTCGGAGTAGCGGGTGAATATAGGCATGGGCGGCATCTGACCGTCGTCCATCGGGCGAGACGTAACGTAGCCAGCGTTCGAAGCCATTATTGGTATCCAGATCTTGCAGATCCTGAACCTCGGGATACCCTACGATGCGGGCTGCTTGGAGCCAGTCGTCCTCCACTCTCGGCGTACACCAGGTCCCATGGGAGACCTGCACGGGCCCGCTGAACCCATGAGTTTCACGTTTGCCTGGGCCATGGTATGTCTCGATCTGAGTGGAAGCAAGTGGTTAGTCATTTTGCTGCCGGTTCAAAGGATCAGACCACAAACCTTTTTGAGATATGGCAGGAGCTCATCGGCAGACCAACCAGGGGTTTGCCACGAATCAAAGTCATCACGCTGGGCGCGTGTATACCTAAGGTACTGTCAGCTTTTATTGCAATCGAACTTGTAGGGGAGAGCTTGTAGCACTCCTACAGCGCTTACACCATGAAGTTGATCGAGGAACCGCCTCCGAGGGTGCCTCCAGCGGGGACAACGCATTCTCTGTCGGCCAGCCACTTTGATTTAATCGCCTTGTAGAAGATAGTAGTCTTAGACGACGGGTTGAGGTGAGAAAGAAAAACGGCCGGGTTGACAATGCTGGGGACGTTGTAATTGTTGGCGCCACCCTCGATGAGTAGAATCTCAAGGCTGGGGTCCGCCTCTGCAAGTCTACCAGCTACAACGCAGCCAGCAGTACCGCCTAGACAGCTATGTGAGTTCAAATTCCAGTCCTCGATGTATAGATTTCAGGAAAGAGAAGCAATTTCCTGTGTCCACCTATCTCCAGCGATAACCCTAATGCCGCCGCACTGCAGGAGCTGAAACTGGGTGATTGGTTACGTGGCGCCCACAGGTGTCATATAACTGCAGAAATTACCCGATATCATGCAGTGCACTTGCGGATAACCATATCCGATCTTCAGAGATCGGAACTATACCATCCGTGTAGCCAAAGATAGCTACCCCAATAGCCAAGGGTTTCGCTGGCTGCAACTACATTCGGGTAGCTCCAACAGCCAATCCCCGACATATCGACCTTCCAATGAGTCCAATCCATGCCTGTACTTATTAGTCACCTGAGTATCTTACTACCTTTACGATGCCTAGAGTCTCTGTGTGATCAACGATGTCACCGATCTGCAAGACTATCGTAAAAGCGTGGGAGCTGAGCAATGCATGGCACGCTCACGTTTCGCAATGTCTATCAGCAATGGGTATACAGTGGTCCACTACATTTCTTGTGATCTCGGATTGGTGTGTAAGGCTTCTTAGCTTTATCTCGGAGCCTGTGATGGAATTTTGATCCTTGGCCAATGTCACACGCACTTATTCTGGGTTCGGAAACAGTTTTCAGTGAGCCTCTCCTCGTTATGTGAAGACTTTGAACATTGGAACAAAACAAGACTTCCTTGACTCAGCACAGCCTGAAGTGGCGTATATGGTTTTGCGTATTCCTCCGCTACAAGTTTTGAGACAATTATCTTTGCCGGAATGGTATCAGATGCTGGAAGCTATGCGATTTTATTCTTCCTCACTTCAAATAGGAGTAATTGGATGTTATTTTTGGATCCCGAGTATCGGAGGCCATCTCGGTACTACGAAGGTGTGAAGAACTCCCCAATCGGCCCCTGGAGGGCTCCTAAATACAATAGTTCGTGCCTGGGTGCCTTGAAACCCTCTATGTCCGAGGCCACACTTGCCCACGTTATTTGCACAAGTTCTGTGGCTGATGTTTATCTTATCCGACTAAATTGTATTCAAGGCGACCTCTAGGAACCAACGGAGACTGTTGTCCAGTGGACCTTCCTTCAATCCTTCTGAGATGTCCCCAACATCCATCATACGAAAAAGCTATTGTCTGGAGCTGAAGTCGGAGCTCAATAACAACGAAACTCCTGAAACCATGCCTCGGGGAATAAATATAGACGATACCAGGTCATTATTAGGTGGACGAGCCGGTCAACATATTTACAAATATCCCCTGTCTTGTGCCGCCGCCGTGTCGGCTGGTGTAGTTGGTCACTTCGCTGGTAGATAAGTCCCGATTTGAGCCTCGCCCACTTGGGTCGGTGACGAGTCGCGGGTTCGAATCCCGCAGCTGACACACAAGGGGGTTTAGTCAACCCTTACGGCGCGCTGCCCACCTTGTTGACTTCGCCTACCTAGCGATAATAGGGAGATTGGTGCAGTTTAGGATTACGAGCATCCTAGCCAGTCAACCGTCAAGCACTACGTCGGCGGAATATAACTCGACAGCCGGTCCAGAATTCGAATCGTTAATCCGACCCCTTATCGGACCTCGCCTTTCCGATAACGCTCGTCGGCGAACCCGTCCCCTCACGATAGAAGGCGCGCAGCACGCCCTCTCGCCGTGATTCTTGCGAGCGTCTAGACCACGTTACGGTCTATCCACTTGAGCGTATGGTTTAGATGTATATGCTCGACGAGAACCCCAATTAGCAGATACTACGACTTGTCGCGACAAAAAATAGTCGAGCATCTTCTGCACATCAGCAGTATCCCACCCCTGAGGACGAATTTAAGTGCCACATTACCACACTTATCGGTAGTTCAGGCAGGGGTTGTAGCACAGACTTAGGGAGGGACAGGAGGTTTAGTAGTCGTTTGACTACAAGTTTACCTGTATAACCGCCCGACGCGGCTTAAGGGCCCGCTATATCATCTATAGCCCCTTAAGGGAGTACTTGTAGAGGTACCGAGGGTTAACACCTACGGCGTATTTAATATTTTTTTTTATTTACAAATAAAAACTGGTGTTGTTAGCCCCCAAGCTGCTTACATAGGTGAAGGATTGTAATGCAATTCAACACATTGATACGTCATTTTCCTTATTTGGAAATCCACCCAAACCCAATCAAATCTGTTGCATTACGCAGACTTAAGGATATTGGGTGCTGGAATAACTGGAAAGCCAGAGACGCACAATCGACTGTGAGCAAGACAATTCCCAATACACTGAAATGGCGACTATGTGGAAGAACCGACAGTAACTTTACACAAACCAGACCTCAATGCAAACTTTGCATACTTTCCCAAGCCATCTGTATTGGGCAGTTTGACAGAGTTCAGACAAACATTCACATCTACTTACCGGGTGCAGGGTACGATCTCGGCTCATCCCGAACCGAGCCAAGACATCTGCAGCCCTGTCGCAAAAAATCCCGTCTGATCTCCGGCTTGTACTTTCGCGTCATTGTCAGTCCAACCTTATCACCGAAGCCCATTGACTCGAGTTCGGCCACAGTGCCGCAAAGGACGTCAGCAGCATGAATCCCCTGTCTTGTGCCGCCGCCGCCCGGCTCTCCCTCCTCCGCAGAGCAGCACCGCAGCGCCTACCTCAACGGCAAACCGCCTGTCCCTACTCCTCCTCTAGTAGCCGCGTCCCTCTCGCATTCGAACACCATAAGCCGCCGAAAGACGGCAGACATCACCAGGATGCGCCGATAATATTCATGCATGGCCTGTTTGGGTCGAAGAAGAACAATAGGAGCGTAAGCAAGTGAGTGGATTCGGTCTGCTAGATCGAGGAGGGAATTAGTAGTTGACGGCGTATTCAAGAGTGTTGGCGAGGGACCTCAAGCGGCATGTATACACGCTGGTAAGAAGGACTGTCGCATTACAGGTCAAAACAGCTGTTGAAGATCCACCAGGACCTGCGCAACCACGGCGACTCTCCCCACGCGCCCAAGCACGACTACCTCGCCATGTCTGGCGACGTTGCCGGCTTCATTGAGCAGCATGGGCTGAAATCCACTACACTGATCGGGCATTCCATGTGAGCAAACCTAACTATCCATGTCTAAAGCTTTACCCTATCCTACCCTCTACCATACCAAATCACACCACCAATAGACACACACGTACTTACCATCACCATCTACCCAGGGGCGCAAAAACAGCCATGACCCTCGCCCTCACCGAACCCTCCCTAATCGCCAACCTAGTCTCCGTGGACAATGCCCCCGTCGACGCCGCCCTCGGCACCGACTTCGCCAAGTATGTGCACGGCATGCGCAAGATCGACGAGTCCGACGTCACGAAGCAGACCGAAGCGGATAAGATCCTGCAGGAATACGAAAGTGTTAGTTATTTGAACAGTTAGGCACACAAACAGAAGAGCTTGCGGGATCATCGGGCTGACAAAACCCCGGGCTTCAACAGGAAATCGGCATCCGCCAATTCCTCCTCGGTAACCTGCACCGGCCTGATGGAGGCAAGGTTTTAAAATATAAAGTCCCCCTCGACATACTGGCAAAGACACTCAACGGCCTAGGCGACTTTCCCTTTAAGGACCCCGGGCAGGTGCGCTTTGAGAAGCCGGCGCTGTTCGTCCGGGGCACGCATTCGAAATACGTGCCCGACGAGGTGATCCCCTTAATCGGGCAATTTTTTCCTCGATTTTCGATGGTCGACATCGATGCTGGGCATTGGGTGATATCTGAAAAACCTCAGCTGTTCTTAGAAGGTAAGCAAGAACTGATAATGTGCCAACAACTGAAAGTGCAAGACACGAGAAACTGACTGGCATTGTAATGCAGCTGTGATAGACTTTCTTAGCCCCAAGGAGTAGATGTATCTGAAGGAGGCGCCTCAGAAACCGGCTGTATAAAGTAGAACGCTCGCGAGCAAAGGGGGATATCAGTTGCTACTAATAATATGTACATAATGCCACCACCAGCTATTCCCTCCCGCCGCATGTGTAATCAATTCACATGTTCCATACAATCTAACCAACCAACCCGTTCGCAGCGAGACTGCTAGCAAGGACAAGCCGAGGAGTAATCAGTCCCCAAATTTCCAATATTCAGCGCGGTTCCGTTGAAGCCTCCTGGCGATGACGCCGTTAAAAGTTGTGGCGTCTGCACAATCCGATCAACCACATCAACGAACGGCTTCCTCACATTCTCGCGCGTCTTGGAGCTGACCTCGCAAAACCCAGCTCCATGCGATTCCGCAAACGCCTTCCCTTCGTCGAATGAGATGGCGCGGCCACCGCTTGATACTTTGTCTAGTTTACTCCCAACCTTTGATACGGAATACGTCAGTTCAGTTGTTTCTTGAGTGATTATAAAATGGTGAGCAGGTAGGTGAATTTATTGGTTACCAAATATAGCGCAGCATCCGGCGCAGCATTCGCCCTCGCCTCGTCGATCCACCTCTCCATGCTCAGGAAGCTCTTTCGGCTTGCGATGTCATAGACTAAGATGACGCCGTGGGCACCGCGGTAGTAGCTCGTCGACAGGGTGCGGAAACGCTCTTGGCCAGCCTTTTGTTTTTCGCAAGATTAGTTCAAAACGTTTAACACTTGGTTGGATATTCACATAGAATTCAGTATGAAGCAGGACATCGTACCGTATCGAATACATTGAGTCGATATGCCTTGCCGCGCACAGCGAGCTTTTTAGACTGTTGGTTGCGCAAGAGTCGCGGTCAGCGATATGCTCTGTGTGTGGCGCCCCAATGGCTTGGAACGGAAGAGCATAGGTAGTTAGGTAACCAACTTTGAAGTCGATGCCTATCGTAGCCGTGGACGATTCTGGATCGAACTGGTCGTCACAATATCGTAATAATACTGTATTCACGAAGAAAAGAAAGAGAAGCGTCAGTAAACGCTTCCTTCTTAAAGAGAGGATGCACGCTCAAAGCTGAGTACTTACAGGCCGACTTGCCGGCACCTGACGGGCCGATGATGAGTACTTTGAGGACCGGTAGAGAGTCCTCGGAGGTCATGGTGGACGAGTGTTTGGTAATTAGGGATTAAGATAAAGTATGTAGGTATCCAAGAAGCATATATGTAGGTAAGAAGCACTAGGCACGACGTGGAATGTAGCAAGAAAAACACCACTGGAGGGTATGAAGGTAAGGCGAGGTGGTTAGGAAGGGTTTGGAGAAGAAGATCAGACAATACGCGCGATCTGATGACAGAGGTCCGTCAGGTCAGGCACGGTTGCGTTGGCAGAACGTCTGGTGCGTGTGCGCGTGAGGTAACGTGCTGCTCCCTTCCTTTTGGTCACTCATGTATGGACGTTGGGGATGGCGGCGGCGGCGGCTTGGACGCGGTATTCTAGCGCGGGGACATGGCCATATGTGTGGGAAAGAGAAGGGATTCTGCAAGAAATTGGGATGACGGTCTTGGGACCCGTGCTACAGGCAGGCGGCCAAAACCTTAGGAAATCTTGGGAACTAGAGGTAAAAGGCAAGAAACGGGCTTGCACCGGTCGAAGACAAGTTGGGCGCACCGCTCGACCAAGTCGTAGAGTTTAACAAGCGGTCTCGAGAGAGCTTCTGGATATTCTGGAAATCTGGAAAGCAACAAATGTCAAGTCCGTGCAGATGTGGCTATCGCGCTTCCCAACAAAAATAAAATTTGAGAATGTGGATGCTAGAGCTGGAGAAACTTTGATGTTGAACAGCTGTAAAAGCTCTCAGAAATTCGACGAGTTGGAGAATTTGGATGTCTCCTTCATGCGAGGCTGCCGAGGCAGTCACTAGTTATGACGTACAGGGGGGAAGGGAGAGGGGGACACAGCTAAAGCTGCTGTACCGACGTATTAAAACATCATCTCGCAGAACCATCATTCCTCGGTCGCAAGCAACGCCAGTGCCGACCTTTTCGCGAGAGCCTAACTACGAGAAGTTCGTTGTGGGATATCTACGTTGGTGCTTATGTAGCTACTAGACACTTTGTAGTTAGCATGCCATTCAAGCCCTTTCCAAACGCCTGGTTGGCTTGAATGGATAGACGCGGTGTAGTACACTGCTCCGAAATCACCAAGTCCATCCTTCCTGTACTCCGCATGACGAATGACGCCAAAAAGCCCGAAGAGTAACACAGCAACGAGTATCACAATAATCCATACTGATTGTGGAAAAAATCAAACACTTCTTTTCATGAAGCTAAGCATCCCATTCATCTGTTCTGAGAGGCTCTTTTATTTGCGGCTGCCGTAGCCGCACCAAATGCAACCAGAAGTGAGACCATATGCCGTTGCGAAAAACCTCACGCCGTACCATGTTCCAAAGAGCTCGTCACCATTAGACCTCTTCGAGAACCCGCTCCTTGAACTCCCGCTCAACCTTCTGGCCGTCCTCATTCGTCGTGGACTCGCCGTGCAGTGCAAGCAGGGCACCAAGCTCGAACTTGGGCGACTTGAGGAGCTTGACCTTGCGGATGTGAACCTGGGATGGAAGTTAACACAAAATACCACCTTGAAATTAAACATCATGTACGCACGTTTTGGAGGGGGTAGATGCCCTGGGTGGCTTTCTCGATCTCACGACCGATAACCTCGGGGATGAGCTTGGCGGTGAGTTGCTGCAGAGTGCAGGTAGCGGCCTCACGTTGGATGATCTCGGTCATCTTCTTGCGGATGGCACGGATTTGAGATGAGGCGGCGTAGGTGGTCTTCTTGACCTGGTTGGGGCGGCGCTTGGTGAAGGCAATGGCGAAGAGGCGGAGGAGGTAGTCGTCGGTGGTCTTGACCGTGATATTGGCCTCAATCAGGGACTGCCACTTTCGCACCAAAGATCGCAGCTTATCGGAGGTGAAGTCAAGACCGTGGAAGTTGGTCAGGCAATTCTTGCCCTGAACTTCGTCCACACGGAGCTTGATCTTGCGGAATGCGTGGTCCTCATCTTTCTGCAGATCGGCCAGCGAAACCTCGACGACACGGCCCTTCAACGCATCGTTGGCGTTCTTGAGACCAGTAGTTCGGTTGACGAGAGTCTTGCCGACACTGTTAATCCACCGTGTTAGAATATCTGCCTCGTTAGGTGTGGAATATCGGGAAATTCGTACTCTCGGATGTTGAAGGGCGCAGGCGCCTGCAAAATAAATCGAGTCAGTTCTTGAAGTTCCTAGGCGGCCTGCCATCATTGAGGCCATTTTCATCGCTAGTGCCAACTGACCTTGATCTGGAACCAATCCTTGCGGGCGAAGGGGTCCTGAGTCTTCTTCTTGAGACCCTTCTTGCCCTTGGACAATCTCTTGTTCCTGAAAAATGTATGTGGTCAGCATATGCTTTTCGTTCCGTTTCCATCGTCATCAACATAGTCGCGCGGGGTGGGTAAAGTGTTCGAGATTGCACGCCTTGACAATCGGTCGGTCGGCTTTCTTGATCGGTATTGGATGTCCAGGAAATGGGCAACAGGCGGTGCAGTATTGACAGTCGACATCAGGGTACTCACTTTCCTACAGCCATATTTGCGACCGGTCGATTTCCGCGCAAGAATGGACAGTACCGAACGTGGAAGGGTTGGTTGGTGGGAATAGGTGTTGTTGCGAGATGATGGTCAATTCCGCGAAAAAAGTCCACCCGCAAAAATAGGTCGATGTGTGCTAAAAAATCCAAAGCGGCAAGGGCTCAAGGTCTTTGCCAATCTGAGGCGTAGGCGCTTGGGGCAGGAGCGATCGGTTAAATAGCGGTTAAATATGTGCAAGTGGCTGAAGTATGGTCTATGCGGCGAGCCAAATTGCTTCATGGTGATAGGTCAAATGGCTATTAAACCGGTCATGTTGATGTTGTGTGAATCTGTTACACTAATTTGAAGCATTGAGGAGCAATGGAGAAGATGCAGATCGTTCACGTACTCGAGCATTCAAATTCTTGGTTCCTTCTCCATCTTCTTGTTTTTGATATCTACAGGCGAAAGCCTTAAACCTTTGCCCTCCTCTTGCTTTCGATTTCCACGAGCCAAGCTTTAATTGTTGCTCCTCTCGTTCTGAAGTTCGCTTTTCAAAGGTCATCCACCACCAATACTTTCAGCCTCGGTTTCTGAAGAGGAGAAAGGTCGACTCTATAATTCCAGCTCTCATCCCACCACCGTCTCCGGAAATAATTCTTATAGCTACGATAGCCAGATTAACAATACGATGGATATCACTTCAAGAAGAATCTCAGATTCTCAATGTGGTAGGTGTTTGGAGGTATTATTATTACTGTTTTCTGGTACTCAAGGCCAAACAATTAAGGCCTCTCTGTCGTATGTTGAAGTATGCACAACTGCTACAAGCAGCCATTGGTACGTAATACATTATTTCCTTTCCTTGAATTGGCCATGTCCAGTTAGTACTCCTATTTGTGTAAATGCCCAATGACTCCTTGACTCCAGTCCATCCTGTTGTGATGCAACATGGTATCATGCATCGTAATCCTTCTCTTTCTTTTCGTCATCCGACGAAGAACTCCATCTCCCGAGCGACAATACCCATCCAGGCTTTTGACCACCGGTCGCCAATGCCACCGCAGACATGCCGTGTGGTCATACCACGATTGCCACAGACTCGAATGTGTCGTTGAATGACTGATCAGTTCACTGGATTCCCTCTCTCAGGTCGGTCCCTCCAGTGACTTCTCCCCCCCTTCAGCCTCGCCTTCCCAGGTATCGGGACTAGGAAAGCTGAAATAGCACGCCGAGTCTGCAATGCCGAGTTAGCGGAACAACTCATCGGCCACCTCGCAAGCAGGGAAGACCAACAGGCTTTGTTACTCTGCATCATCTCCCTCCTGGCAGCCTCCGTCATATGATGTCCCGTCTCACTCCCTGGATCCATCCCATAACTCCTCGTCGACGACACCGAGGACCTCAGGCTGTCCGCAGCGGCATTGTTGACAGCCACGCGATTAAGCAGTTCCGTCGCCCTTCGACTCGAGTTTGGACTCGCCAGAACCCCCTTGCAAGCGCTCGAGGTGGTGATGGATGGTTCCGTGGCGCAGGCGCGAAGTAAACGTGGACGGCGCCTGCTGCTATTCCTTGACGCTCTCGGGGAGGAGTCTCTGCGGGTGAGGCGATGGGCCTCGGTGGTTGGCGAAGCCATCATCCTGATTTCCCCCTCCTTCTTCTTCTTCTTCTTCTTTTGCTTTCTCTGTTCGATGGGTGGTAGTATGAGTGGAGTGAGTGGGTAAGTGAGTGAGTAGGTTCGTTGCTGGTAAACTTTCGATTACGAAGATTCGATAACGTTTGATGGACGACGATCAAGATCAGCGAAGGGATGAATGGATGTATGGATGGACGGGTCTGGCCCAAGTTCTAAGAAAGGGAGAACAAGAGCCAGAACCTGCCCCGAGTTTAAAGGGCAGCAGCAACAGCAGGCACGCAATCGGCCGGCTCTCGGCAGTCCCAACCCGTCCAAGAGCTTTACTTCCCATAGAAGTTCTATTTTACTTTTTCCCTTTCTGCAGTGCCACATGTCATCCCCCTTGACGAGGATTTCGACTTATGTGTTTTCCGCTGTGTGGTTCTCCCGGGACTTTTGGGCGTACATACCTTGCCTGCAGAAAGACACTGGCGGCCCAACTTGTCCCGCACTTCCAGCTTCGTTCCAGCCCTTTTGCAAGGTGGGGTGGTAAAGAGTACGCTGACGGAGGCGGCTCGACCACTCACGTCCCTGTGCGAGTGGGCGCAACCCCAAATGGCCCTTGCAACCACCCATGCGTTGCTGCACGCCTGCCTACCTTATACACTACTATTATTGCATATGTTGCTTTCTGGGCTCCAGTTTTCTGCCGTGGTCAACTGGAACCACCAGACCAAGAGCTCTCAACCAGCTAACTGAGGGGTGACCGCCGAGCGCTGCAAATAACCGGGCGAGTTTTCTCAATGGTCGCCACGGCCCCCACGGGCGGGGAATACTACTCACGATAAGATCCACTCTTACTTGCGGGTGATCATGCCCGAAAGGTTACAAGCCGTTATGTCTAAGAAGCGGTGTTGATAGCGGACCAGCTGGTAATGAATGGGAATGGCATTGTCGCAGTGAGATACTAGATGGCCACGCGCGGGCGGGAAGTAAGTGTCAAAGTATTGCATGCAGATAGCATGCGCGAATTCCAAGGTAACGACGGGGTCCTCCTGCCTACGGCTGCTTGTCCGAAACATACACGTACCATGCTGACTGCTGTTAGTTAGCCACAACGTGCTGCAATCACGATTTGCTAGCACTACAGCAAGTCGTGGTGTTACAGAATCGCACTAGTGATCGTAAGATATGCAAGAACTTGCAGGAGCTTCGGGAGATGTCAAAGTATCGAAACACCAATTGACATATTACCTAAATGTATCCAAATAGGCACGCAAGGGAGATATCTAGATCGGTGGAATGGTGTGCTAGTTGCTTTGATTTCTAACAAAGTGCTACGCGTAATACAAGTATTGTCTAACATCGTTCAACTCCAATTTCCAGCGCCCTTTCCGGTAAATTCTCAGTGGTCGATGCTACTTTGGCGTCAATATCACGCTGCATGTCTCCGAGAACGGGAGGTTACTTACTCTTCCCACATACGGCCCTTGACGGCTTTCAACTCGTCTTCGGTCATTCTGTGTCCGGTAGTGAAGTATCCTACTGCGGAGTCAGTTCTCACATCCACGCTCCCCCCCGCAACCTTGGGACCTGCGTGACTGACCAGCAGTAATCTTGGCGTCAATCTCTACCCGCGAGTCCTGGGGGATCCATTCCTCCGGTAGCTCGACCCGCTCGTGGATGGGAATGCTTTTCCTGGATTAGACGGAACTGTAGTTTTAAACTGTGGTTCACTTACCCCTGGCCCACGATGGCGTCGTGCTTCATGCTGCAGGTTCCAATGATTAGTCACATGTCTTCGCATTGCGATGCGATGCGATGCGACTCACTTGCTCATGCTCAACATTCGATCAATCTTCTTGATTCCAAGCCAATGCAGGATGTCAGGCATCAGGGCCTGGAACCGCATATCCTTTACACCGGCAATGTTCTCGGTTCTCTTAAAGTAATCCGAAGCTCGATCTTCGCCTCGTTTTCTGGCATTGTAGACGACTGTGAAAAATTGTCAGCTTATTCGCTGGACTTAAGATACTCGGCATGGCGAAGACCGAGTATGGCTGATACCAAGTCTGGAAAACTGTTGGGAATGCATCAAGGGTGCATAACATACGGTACTATAAATGTGCTGTCAGCATGCGTTTGGGTCGGGTTTCTTCGGAGACCTACCTTGGTGACCTCTCCCAGAGCTCTCCCCTCCTTTCTGAAGTAGATGACGACGCCACTTCCGCCATTTTGTGCTTCCTTGACAGCCTCTTCAATGCCGTAGATGAGATAGGGTCTGCAGGTGCAGATATCGGAGCCAAACACGTCGCTACCATTGCACTATTTCCAACCATTCAGCGTTTATCTTAACAGCCTGGAGGGTGCATGCAGTTAATCTAACCTCGTCATGAATTCGAAGAGCCAAGCGCACTTTCTCGTCCGACATCTTCGCTGGATCACCAAAACAATACACCGTCAAGCCACCTATTTCACGTCAGTCATACGGTTTCCCATGGACCAGTCTTGCGGTTATACCAATTGGTGGCAAGAAGACCTTTATATCTCCGCGAGTAATCAACTAAAAAGGCGTTAGAGAATCCAGTCGTGTTGAATAACTTCTGGACGGTGAATACCTCGGGATAACTCCCGCCTGTATGCTCAAACAGCGAGCGACGTAGCACACCCTCGTCTTTAGACGTCAGCGGATGCGACTCAGCCATGGCATGACTAGCACCTACCTATGCCAAATCTCTCTGCGACACCTGGCAGGTACCATACCTGATCAAATTTAGTTGCCTTTATTCATTGGCCAATACGATGTTGGAAATCTCACCGGTTCGACTGCAAACTTGGTTACAGCAAGCTCACCGGCCGAGTTCAGACAGATTTTGCCATCAGGAACACTAGATTGGGGTCAGTTTTGCGATTGCTTCATGCTCGACTATGATACTGACAGTCTTCCGGCGCGGACGCTTTCTTCCAATTCGGGGAGCTAGTCAAATGTGAACACATAGCTACGACGAGAAGTCACCGACACGCCTCATTTGTTACCTTCATGTGTGCCTTCGTTATGGCGATGGTGGGTCTAATGTCGACTAGTGGGTCTGCATCAGCATCTCCAAAACTACCGCAAGTTTTGGTCACTGACCATTCTCGTTCTTGATCGTGTCTGCGAATAGCCACGGTGCCAGGTGACCCCATGGGTCCATAGCCACAATCTTCTTTGGGTCTCCCCATTGGGGGAATGGGCCAATGTTGGCGGCCGGCTCGGTATTGGTGAAGTCGGGTCTAGTGGTCCACTCAGCAACTTCAGATCGCCCCTGGATCAAATTGCTAGCTTACTTATGGTTGATATCGAGTTGCTTGCTTGCAAGAGCAAGGGCGAAGTATATTGAGTACGAACCCCCGTGAGCTGGTTCAAAACATGAGAATTCTGTGCCTCATCTCGAGCTGCTTATTTTCTTACCTCCGATGGCTGTTTAAGACAAAATTGGTCAATACTTGTACGTATGAAAAGAGGAGTCATGGAAACTAACCATTGCGTCTTCCGATGGTCGACGAGGATCGAGACACCACAACCGGACCTCTCTCAGCAGGCTCAGGGGCTCCCCATTTGAAGGGAAGAGGAACGATACCGATCTGCTTGGGATACGTCCTGTTCATAATCTCAGTTCAGGGTCAAAGTGTGGAGAAATCATGAGTCTCGTAAACTTACGTGAGGATGATTCGTGAGGTAAACCCCGACTTCTGGGCTTGAATGGCAGTTTCCGTGGATGCAGTTGGGGTTGTTGTCGATTCAACCGTAGCTGTTGAAGCAACGGCAGTCTTGGTAACTTGGGACCCCTTCTCTGCCATATCGTCGTCGGTGCTGGACACGGGCGGTGCAACTTGGTCCATACGTTGTGATAGGGACACGAAACCTTCTTGCAATTGAATTTGGGATTCTTGAATGGACTTCAGAGCCTGAAGAACAGCTGCCATATCGGCAACGGACCCTGAATTTGCCATCTTAAACAACGGAATGAAGTCAAACGAAAGCTACGGATGTAAACACCTGGGTGATGTAAACAAGCAGTTTGAAGCGTTTGCTGAAAGTGTGCGCAGCGGGGGAACAGGAAGTGAAGCAAGGCGAGACTGCAGATGAACGATGTGTTGAGATCTGAATGAGCGACGGCGAACCCCTTGGCTATTGAAAGCTAGACCCGCAATACTGGGACGTCGCATGCCTATCGGACACTCAGGGCCAGTTGGCATTAAGTTTGGACCGGATGTAATCCGACGTGACTAAGATCCGTCCAGTTGTCGTATCATGTCTAGGGAAGCTCCTAGGTTGAGCACTGCGGCTGCTCACCTTGATAGATGCATACTTCAGTAGTGTAAGCCGTCTGAATCCGTCGGTTGTACAGCATGGGTGTCGAGTACGAGAACCCGAACCAATGAGGACGGGGAACTCCGCGCTTTTCGCAACAAAGCGACACCGGTATCACTATGGGGCTTTCTTATGTTGCAGGACATTAAGAACAGTTCTTTCATATTTCTCGGTCTTCAGCATCCATACTACTTAAGGGCAGGTGTTTATATGTTGTCGGCTCGTCTTTTAGTTGCTATCTGTGACTTCACCTCGACACAGAAAGACATTCCAATTAATGCATATCTCGACCCCTCCCCCGCCTTCCTAGGTTACGATAAAGAGTTGTGGCTGATGTCAATCGTCGCTTCCGCAAAGTAGCGGTGGGGTTTTTTAGTGGATCAGCTGAAACCAAAGCTCCCAGCTAGCTTGATCTGGCTTCAATGTTTTATCAAAACAGCAAGATATTCCCAAACCACCTGCATCTTCCATACTTGCAGTTCAGGGACGTTATGATTAGGCCATCTGTGATGTACTCGAGGCGTATTTGTTTGTAATATGAAGTGAAATAATGAACCGTTTAATATTTTTTGGAGATTGAGGAATTTCGCAAGGTTAGCCATCAGCCAATGACGTCTTATCACTGATTGTGACCGAAACCGCCAGTGCTTTCAATCTCAACCCATTGTGATCGAATTCGCTGCATCCTTTCTACATTCCGCAGCCAACCATCTTGCGCGCACCCATAAACACCACAAGAACTTGCACTGCTCCCAGAAATCAGCGTACATGTGATTGCGATCAACCCATACACAAACATAGGCCATCACCCAGGTCTTTTGATCACAAATTCCTCAACTTGGACCGCAGAGCCGCAGCGTCACAATGGTGGGTACTTAAGAGACGCGACCGCGTTTGGAATGCGCCGAACAGTACTGATGTGCACTGAACTACACAGGGCAAGAGAAAGAAGAGTTCCCGCAAGCCGGCGGGCCCTAAGAAGGTACGCGACCGTTCTGAACTGTCTGCGCCCTTAAAAGCAAAACTAACAGGATTGTCTGCTCTTCAGAACGATCCCCTGCCGACCCAGTTCACATGCTTATTCTGCAACCACGAAAAGTCTGTTGAAGTCAAGCTGGAGAAGAAGATGGGAACTGGCGATCTCGAGTGCAAAGTCTGCGGGCAGAAGTTCCAGTGTGGCATCAACTGTTAGTCCCAAGATTTACCCCGTCGTGGTAGCGAGCCGAATGCTAACCTATATCTAGATCTATCCGCGCCGATCGACGTCTATAGCGAATGGGTTGATGCAGCAGGTAGGCTTGCCTTCCTCGAATGCCCCACACGAAACACTAACAATACCCAGACGCGGTGGCAAAGGAGGCAGGAGGCTCCAGGGGCGGACCCTCAACGTCCTCAGCGCGACCTGGAGCCAGACAGTCCGCGGCCGACCGATATGCCAACGATGATGAGGACGACCGCAGATATGCAGGTGAGGGCATTGTGGAGGATGACGACGAATATTAGGTCTCTCTTCATTGATGCTATTTGCCTGATGCGAAATGGGACGTATCCCTGACCTACGTCTCTACGCGGGCTCTTTCCATCTAATTACGCACTGGTTGGGCACGACCACGCCACGCGAGCATTGCTGTACCTAGAGAAGTAACAAATTCGTTGGAATGCCTAGGACATCCTTGATTTACCTGGGTGTTGCCCCATAACGGACTGCCTCCCTTACATGGTGTAGTACCTATCGCCGAAATCCCCAAGACCGGGGACGATGTAGCTATAATAGTTAGCAACGTTCAGATAGAAGTCAGGCCAGGCAACGTACTTCTTTTCGTCAAGTTTCTGTGGACATGCAATGCTTAGCAACTGGTTGTCTCCAAGGTGTTCAGAACTGCGATCATACCTGGTCAACAAAGGCTGTAACAACCCTGAGTTTGGGGAACTTGGTGGCGAAGTTCTTGATGCCCTGGGGGCTGGCAATCAGGTTCAGGAACAGAATTCTCTCCTCTGGGACGCCCCGAGACTTCAGAACATCTACAGCCATTATTGCAGAGCCGCCTAGTTGCGGTTTAGCATGTCTTTCCAATCTGCTGGAGGAGAATTCAGGCAAACCGACCCGTGGCGAACATGGGATCGAGGAGTAGAACCCATCTGTCGGCAATATCCTCTGGTAGCTTGTCGTAAAAGAGCTTAGGCAGAGAAGTTTCCTCGTCTCTCTGAATGAGGATTTTACCAATCCTTACGGATCGACAGCAATCCCTCAGGCCCTGCTCCATGGCCTCGCCCGCACGCATAATAGACACACCGCAAATCTTGCCCTGGAACATGAGTCCTGCATACGTCCGTCCAACCGGTGTGGTCACCGTCTGTTCAACCACGGGCAGATGATTGAGACCCTCCTCAACGAGCAGACGAATGATACGGTTCGAGTAGAAGATGAAGTCTGCGCGCTCCGTATTCTTGGATCGGATCATCCTAAGCAGTAGGTCAATGATGCGCGCGAGTAGACAAAGAGACTGCATGACAGGACAGGTTTGTTCTGGATCTGAGACTGAAACCCCAAGATGCACTCCATTTTTCTTGAAATCAAGCTAGACATAAGGACCAGGCAGGCCCAATAATTTGTCCCTGTGTAGCACACCGGATTGGGGCAAGACTCACGTGAGCAGTGCTATGAGCTGTGGTGTCTGCGGGAGAGTGATGACATTATCAAATTGCACCTCAGTCGAGACCGTAGCAATCGGCTTCTGACTCTCGGCGCGGTAGTCGGGTCCCACGCATTGCGTAGGTCCAACTTGTGGCGAGTCCTTGCCAGACATGTTGGGATGCTGTGAGCGCTGGGGGGGGTCTTTACTGTGGTTTCGGAGCTGGCCGTGAGGGACTGAAAGAAGAACAATGTTAGCCGCCCAGTTGCCGAATTTTCGTATCTGACAGGTTATACTTATTGAAATGTCAAGGGACGCAGCGTCGTACCTCTACGAAACGCTTTAGAGGCAATTTATTATTCACGAAGATTTGTGACGCCAGTCAAAATCGGTGAAAAGCCACTCAGAGTCAGTTTCAAGTGACGGGGCCAGGCGGGGATAAGAAGACGGGCCAATCGAGTGAGTGGTGTAAGTGGCGGTTCGTGAAAGATAAACCTTTTGGGCCAGGTCCTGGAGTCAAAATCAAGATAAACCGGCCATCAGAATAGGACGTACGAGATGTAATAGAACCCCTGAAAGCCAGGGCAATTCCAAAGCCAAGAAGATTAGAAGGGCACGAGGGCTTCGTGGCAGAGTTAATGAGACCAGTCGCCATCTGCGGCTCTCGAAATGATAATAGCATTGAATTATGTAGTCCCATCAGATAATCGATTACACGATATAGCGGGCAATGCAATGTTCCAGGGTTAAAGTAAAGTTGCGATGGCGTACATCAAGTGGCATGTAACTGCTTCAGAAGGGAATTAGGTTGCACAATCTATTTAAAGCCTCTGGCCCCCAAGATAGTTCGACAACATCTCAAACGTAACAGAGAAGTAAAATACTCTCTGTGTCTCATGGTGTCTTCTGCAGCCGCATCAAGTTTGCTATATTCTGTAACTGGAGTGAGTATTCAATGCAGGGCCCGCGAACGGCGCTGACAAAGCCCCGATTTGCCGAAGGACGCACTTGCAGGAGGGTAAAAGGAAGTAGCGTCTTACCACTTGTCCTGCCCAACTCCACTTCACATCGGTAGTGCTAGACCAGTTTGATATGGATGAGACGGTTCCGTCAACACCAACCAGACATATTCCCGTCCCTGCACTCCCTCCCTTGAGCAGGCAAATCAACAAATCGCACTTGCACCGTAACAGATCTGCTTGACTTGACTGCGCGCAAATTTCAAAGCTTGTCCCAGACACTTCACGCGGGAACGACAAACTTCCCCGGAGTTTGCCTGCCGTCCAAACACATTCATTACCCTGGGGCTTTGCGAACATCTTGCGCCATCGTGTTCCCTGGCCGGCATCACCAGCACGGCTCCCTTTATTTACTCTCATCTCTAGCAAACAGCTCAGCTTTCGCCAGTCGCGTCGCTTGTCGCATTACGAGCACATTACAAGTTCCTCGACTACACACTTCCGACATGGTCATCTAGCTGGCTTGTCATCCAGCCACTTTCAATTCCATCTCTGTTCCACCGACCAAACGAGACACAAGCATGGCGGCAAGGCACGATCTTGGTCTTCGGCAGAAGAGGACCGTCACAAAAACCTACGGCAGAACGACAACAAGACAGCGACCAAAAAGCACAATCTCGGGCTTGCCTACAGCAGAGAAGACAAATGCGAACAAGGTTGCCGGTCCCGCTGGCGGATCGACGCGTCAACAAATCACAACAAGATCACCCAGTCTTGACTCATCTTCACCCGAACCGCTTGCACTGGGAAGTCCCACTGATTCGAGCGGAAAGAAAAGGAAACTCGAAGTCGCCAATCTGTACTCCTCACCTGACAAGGGAAGAGACGAGCTGCAGCCGCAGTCTAGCGACGAGAGTTCTCCTTCCGCGCCAAACCCGCGACGCTCTCGGAGAACCTCCCCACAAAGGTCTCGCGTGGCAAGAGCAGGTCGGAATAACTCGAGCAGGCGTTTACGTTCGAATTCCGCGGACATGGATATTGACCCAGTAGATGGCAGGCTGCCGTCCAGCCCGCCGCCGACACCCCCAGCCCCCGAGGAAAGAAGATTGGAGACAAGAGAAGTGCCGAAGCAGCAATTTCCATTCTCCCCAGGCACAATGGAGGCATTCGATAGGTTGCCCAACACCGTCGGACAGCAACCGCAAATCCAACAGATTGTCGTTCGTTTGGCCCCTAAGAGGCAGCCAAACCCGAAATCCCCGGATTCCTACGAAATTCCCCCAGATAGCCCACTAAGAAGCGTGCGGGAAGCGCGAGGTAGACCGGTAACTTTGGCGTCGAAAGCATCAAACAAACCTCGCTTGGTCGACCGCTTGAAGCAGCAGGCGGAGGAGCATGATGAGCCGACTGGCAGTGAGAAGTCGGATAGTCAGGTCAGCTGGGGTGAGCCTGTTGTGTTGAGCCAGACGAGCGAAACATCTGCGGTTGCATCGCCGGCGTCGCCACAGTCACCAGGTGCGCGCCGGTTGCAGAAGTCCACCAAAACTAGGACAACCTTTGCCCGCTCTACCAGTGGATTGAAAAGAGTATATGGACAAGATAGAATTACGCTACTTGAAGAGGAGGATCCTTATGCCGCCATCGGAATGGCGGAGGACCTGCCACCAGTAAGCAAGGGCAGAAGCCTGGAATTGGTAACCCACAAGGCCAAGTCAAGCCTGAATCTCGAAGACGACCCGGTTGAAAGCGGTTCTCCCGGCAAAGCAAGGATCCGCGACATTCATGAGCTGCGCCAGGCCGGCGCCAACAGTCGGGCCGCTGATGAAATGCATGACTTTTCGATTCAGATAGGATCGCCAGGGTCGAAGCCATCATCTTCGCGCAGAGCCGCCCTGCTTCAAATATCTGATAAAGTACGTGAGAAAGAGTTTCGCAGGCTCCTTCGTGACCACGGCGTTGACGCCATGGTGCTCAAGGATGCTGGAAAGGAATCAGACATTATATCGGGCTATCTGATCGCGGCAATCTTGGTTCATCTTCTAGCTACGTCTCCTTCAGCGCACATTGCCCGACTCCTTCGTGCTGAAGAGGTTGGAAGCCTGTTTGGCCGTCTGCTTGGCGTGGATCATGATATGAAGAAGATAGCTCGGGAGCGGAAAACCAATCTCTCCAAACGTAGCCAAGCTTCGCTTGCTGCTATACAGACCGCCCTTATGGAACTTCCTATCTGGAATGCCTCGAAACCTACCAATGTGTCCCCAAGAAAGGTCACACTGGCATGCCTAAACCTCCTAGTCGCTGAGGATGTCACCTTGGCTGGCGACTTGGCGATCTTCCCGTCAAGCGTTACGGATCAGCTGTTCACATTCTTATCTGTTGCACGGAATGACGACTTTTGGGACAGTACCGACGTCTCCTCCGAGGGGTTCGATGCCCGCTACGCTGGATCAGTACTTGAACTCCATGCACTGAAATCCATGGAGTCTCAAGTTGATAGTGACAAGTGGATGACGGACTATATCCCAACCGTGGCGGACGCATTCGGTGCCACATTGCAGAAGCCTGCAGCAAGCAACAGCAAGCTCGAGCATTCATTGTTGAAGCTTGTGGTAGACATGACCAATTTCAATCCCAACGCCCTCGAAGTTTTCGTTTCACGGAACATCCTGCCTGCTTTAGCAAGGTCGGTCTGCGGCAGCTTTGCTCAGGCCCTAGCTTTGGTATTAGAAGACGAATGGACTAGCGAGGTCAGTGACCGGCTTGTCCTCAAGCTTGCTGCCTTGATCAATTTTGTTGAACAGAGCATGCCAGCTCGGCGCGCGTTCTACGAATCGCATAGTGAGAGCAATTCCCCTATGAGGGAACTGATCCGAATTTTCTTAGACAATCACCGCGCACTAGCCGAGGTAAGTGAACCTGCACGTATAAGCAGAGTATGATGGGGAACTAACACTCGTCAGGCTGATTCGGAAGCGAAAGGTCACCTGAATGTGGCATTCGGATACCTCTCGGTGTTTCTAGGGTATTTGTCACTATACCCTCCAGTCCGCCAAGTGTTCCGATCGAGTCACCGGGCTAAGAACTTGAGACCAATGCTCGACTCCATCCAAGAATTCACCAATGTCCACAGAACTGCCGGAGTGCATGCTGGCTATGCGGAAAGATTGCAAGATCTCGTGGACAAACTGGAAAATGATTCGACTTACGACTAGGCTCCTACTATGATCTCAGCACTGGAGATCATAGCGAGCTTGAGCATCGCACATTACGCTCATTGATCCTATAATCAGGAGCCATAGCCATTACCAGGAAACGCTCTTGGGAAGCATCTTGTACTTTTGCAGCTCCCCCCCCGCCCTTTTGACATCACGATTCGTCTCATCTGCGTTGCTTTGCAGTGCCGCTTTACTTTCACCTTCAAGGAGAAATTCAGTGACTGCAGCATTATCTGACGTTTGCCTTGACTGCCTACGACCTTCGGACTCAAAATACTCGCACCCGCAACTGAAACTTGTCTTCCCAAATCCATAGACGACTTTTGAGAGCATCATGACCTTCGGAATTGATGAAAACATGACTTTTGAGATGAGACATTGGACTCTCGATGTAGTAGCCGACTACCGATTGTCTTCTTGTTTTATGAGTGGTACGAACATCACGTCCCGGAAATATTGGAGGATACGCAATGGTTGCATGACATGGCTTTTGAGCCAAGGCCGCTTTTGGCAGATACCCAACTCCGTGCTTACGAAGAAAGCAGTTTACCTGCTGACTTAAGAGCTGGCTAGTCAAGGTGGAATTGTATCACAAGCTCACGGACAAGCTGCCTTCAAAATGTGAACAAAGACGTGGACAATATCAAGTCAAGTGGTATGGTTAATAAGTGACATGTTGAGTGGTGCTGTTCAGCCTTGAATCAAGTGGTGACACACTTGAGGCAAAAAGCATGTGAAATGGACTGACAACGAGAACCCCCCACCTTGACTGTACCGGGGAGAGTGCAGCGGTATCAGGGAAATATGACAGCATGGTCTAAGCTTCAGAACGCGCAGGCAGAAATTAATGGCCTAGTTGCTTTGCAAGTTCAACGGAGGAGACTGAAGTAGACCCTTTCAAGTAAACGCTCATATGCACCGCTGGCTTGCTTGCTTAACACGAGCAGTACTTAGTTAATAGGTAAACAAGAATGTGAAGCTCTGATCCGTCCCGCTCCTGCATAGGCGCTTCAAAGTCCAAGGTCTTTAATACCCCACCCCCTCCAACTGGCTGGTTCAGTGTGTGGTATCTGCAACCCCTATCCCTGATGCATACTTGGGGTCTAGGCCTAGTGGGAACTTTTATCTCACCATCAAGTGCGATTTCAACTGTGTTGTTTCGTACAAGTTTGTCCACAGCATCTTTGTCTTATCACAACTGCACAGCAACATTGTGTAGCTGGATCCAACTTGCCACTTTACTGGATTATTGGATCCGCCGACCCGGCTGTCTGTCTCTTTTTTTTAGCGAATTGTTCACTACGTCATAGTTGCTTTAGTTGTGAAGTAATCCTTCTTTGACCCGCAGTGTCACCAATACGGACGCGCGTTTCGTCCACATCCAATCCTATCCATCACGACCAACGACGACGTCGTCGTCGTCGTCGTCCCTCCTGTCACTTAATTAACTACTTCACTGTCAAGAAGTCAATCCATTCACTCATCTTCAATGCCGCCCCCTGCCAAGCAGAGAAAGGTTGCCATAGTGGGCAGCCGCTCTGTCGGTAAGTTGTCTTGCCCAGGGCGTCGTTCTGTGAAAAATAGACAGATGGAACAAATGCTGACTTCGCATGTTACTTACCATAGGCAAGTCGTCGCTTGCAGTCCAGTTCGTCGACGGACACTTCGTCGAGAGCTACTACCCTACCATCGAGAATACGTTCAGCAAGGTGATCCGGTATAAGGGACAGGATTACGCGACCGAGATTGTTGATACGGCGGGTCAGGTACGTTTGTTTGTCTAGCAACGCAACCCTCGCGAACATGCAAGCCGCATTCTGGCTTACCGGGTCCATGCAAAAACCTATACCAATTGACACAAGCTGACCCTGGCAATCGCGCGCCCCCCCACAACAGGATGAATACAGCATCCTCAATTCGAAGCACTTTATTGGCATCCACGGGTACATGCTCGTCTACTCGGTGTCCTCACTCCCTTCATTCGAGATGGTTCAGGTGATCCGCGAGAAGATCTTGAACCACCTGGGCAGCGATTGGGTGCCCATTGTCATCGTGGGCAACAAGAGCGACCTGCGCCCCGAGCAGCGCCAGGTCTCCATCGAGGACGGCAAGAAGCTGGCGGAGAAGTACAATTGCGGGTTCTCCGAGGCAAGCGCGAGATACAACGAGAACGTGGGTAAGGCCTTCGAGGTTCTCATCGCGCAGATCGAGAAGTCGCAGAATCCGAATGAAGCACCGGCTGGGGGGAAGTGCAGTTTGATGTGATGTGAGGGTGGAAGGTGGATGCGGATATGTGCTACGACTGCGAGGGATGACCGACACGAACTGCGACAAAGGACATGGCGTCTCAAGACGGTGGCGAGCAATACCAATTGTTGGTTGGTTTTTGTAAATTTTGCGTCACAGAGCTTTTGGCTTGACAGAGAGGAAGGGTTGGATTGCCCGATGTAATTTCCTGGTCTACGTTCTTGAGAGACCATCGAAGGGATGGCATGGATCGTACATACTGTGCTTGCTCAATGGATACGACAATCTCCATCTTCGCTGCTTCTACAATATGTTTTCGTAATTGAGGCGACGACGACGACGTTATTGCAACTTCGTACACCGCATGATGCGGTTCTGCGGTTCTGCACCTGATGTTCAAAGTACATCTAGATCCTACAGGCTCGTTCTGTGAAACCAATGGCAGACTGAAGAAGAGAACTAACTTCAACGTAACGCAAATCCACAAGGGCATTGGCAAGACTATAGTGAGTCAACCGGTAAATGACTCGACTTTTGCTGCAGCTCTCAAGAACCCTCGAAGTGGGATGATAAAACAACCCCGCCAACCCGCTGATGGCCGATCCCCTTTTTTCTCATCTCGAAGTGTCCCAATTTGTCGGTGCCCCTCGATTTCCGATTGAGCAACCCCACCAAAAAAGCCTCCCCCGCGAAGACAACCTGTCAATATTGGCTGTTTGACTCACCAGATAGACCATCTTCGTCGAGCTCTCTACCTCCTACGGTCTCCCGGACGCATGCTCTGATACCCAAAATGCTCGACGTGAACGACTTTATCAAGGAGCGCGGCGGCGACCCTGAGAAGATTCGGGAGTCACAGCGACGCCGCTATGCGCCGGTCGAGGTTGTGGACGAGATCATTGAAATGTTCGAGGACCACCGGAAAAGTAAGCACTGACACGCCATTGAAACTTTGGGCAGCGCATTCTAACATAAAGCGACTCACTCGTGTAGCTCAGTATGCCGCCACGCAGATGAACGGCAAGATCAACGAAGTGAACAAGCTGATCGGAACGAAGAAGAAGGTCAGGAACAACAGCGCCAATGTCACCTCGGGTCAACTAATTGAGCTTCAGTAGGCCAAGGAGAATGCCGACGAGCTGCTGCAACAGAGAGCTGCCCTCGACAAGGAGAAGAAGGATCTGCTGGACTTAGCCGCCGAGAAGGACGTGGCCCTGAAGAAGAAGGTCAAGACGATCGGGAACATTGTCCACGACTCGGTGCCCATTAGCGACAACGAGGATAACAACGCCTGTCTGCGAAAATGGGCCCCCGAGGGCGTCACGGTTGAGAAGAAAGACGTGCTTTCCCACCACGAGGTGCTCACACGTCTGGACGGCTACGACCCCGAGCGAGGAGTCAAGGTGGTCGGGCACCGAGGATACTTCTTGAAGCGATGGGGTGTGTTCCTAAACCAGGCCCTTATCAACTACGGTCTTGAATATCTCACCGAGAAGGGCTTCACACCATTGCAGACGCCGCAATTCATGTTGAAGGATTACATGGGAAAGACCGCCCAGCTGGAAGCATTCGATGAGGAGCTATACAAGGTGATCGACGGCGAGGCCCAGAACGACAAGTATCTCATCGCCACCTCAGAACAGCCCATCTCTGCCTTCCATGCCGACGAGTGGATCCAGGCCAAGGAGTTGCCCATCAAATACGCAGGCTTCTCCACGTGCTACCGCCGAGAGGCAGGCTCGCACGGTCGTGATGCATGGGGCATCTTCCGTGTCCACCAGTTCGAAAAGGTCGAGCAGTTCGTTCTGACAGACCCCGAGAAGTCGTGGGAGGTATTTGACGAGATGTTCTCCACCTCGGAGGGCTTCTACCAGTCTCTTGGGCTGCCCTACCGAGTCGTCGCCATTGTCTCGGGAGCGCTGAACAATGCCGCGGCCAAGAAGTTCGATCTGGAAGCATGGTTCCCCTTCCAAGGAGAGTACAAGGAGCTGGTGTCGTGCTCAAACTGCACTGACTACCAGTCTCGAGCCCTCGAGATTCGCTTTGGTGTCAAGACGCAGACCGACACCAAGAAGAAATACGTCCACGCCCTCAACTCCACCTTGTGTGCCACAGAACGAGCTCTATGCTGCATTTTGGAGAACTACCAGACCGAAGATGTAAGTTGCTCCTCTTGGGTCATTGAATACGCAATCAAGAATGCTAATTTGCACAGGGTTTCCGTGTACCCGAAGTTCTGCGAAAGTACCTGCCTGGAGCACCCGACTACATCCCCTTCACCAAGGAGCTGCCCAAGGACACAACCTCAGCAAAGGCGAAGAAGGCAGACAAGGGTGGTGCAAAGCAAAAGGTTCAAGCTGCAGTGGCAGAAGCTGGTGAGAAGCTGAAGAACGTGATGGTCTAGATGGTTGCCTGGGGTGGAGGGTTAGAGATATGCATCATTTGGTGTCAACGACATGGTTTGATGATGACCACCTATAGACGAGAAATGAGAATCACGGAACAACCCAAATCTGGCTGCCCCTGAGTAGGTGAAGTTGGACAATGCTTTGCTGGACCCCCTGTCCGGAGACTTGGAGTTGAGAGGCATGTGCTCCATTCAGAAAGTGAGACACGATGGACAAAGCCCACTGCGGTTGCGTAACGATTACTATACGAGCATTACTTTGACATAACATAACCCATAGCAGCTTCCAGTTCTGCAATTATTTAATTATATTGGACTTGGGAAATCACTCACAAAAGGCAGCTGGATGTAAGTGTGTTTTAAGGGGTCACGCATTGTTACCTCAAACCGCACTAGTGCGTTGTTCAACTACCCGCAACACCGCAACTTCCGCCTTTTAGTTACTCACCAATGTGGTGCGAGACAGACAGCGCTTCAGCTCGCACCAAAAAGCGGCAGGTTGCCTACAGTGGCTCACCTTACAGCTTGCCCTACCTCATAAATCGACAGGACCCAACCACAAGTTGACGCATTTTGACGTGACCGCTGCCCAAAGCTGACTGTTGACTACAGGCGGGATGATAGCCGCCTGACTGACACCTTTTGGAAACCTTGATCCTGGACGTCCGGAAAGGCCTTCATACACAACACACAACTCACTGCTGCGGCATCCACCGACGAGCCGAGCATTCAGCCTCGTGGTCGTTTGCACAACCGATCAGGCCGCTTCGCTAACAAAGCTCTTGCGCAAAGCTGCATCTTCATGAGAGGGACCTGATTAAGGACGAGAAAGTGGGATCGCTGAGCAGCCAGTTTGCAGGGGAAATCCTTGCGGCGAAACGAGCCCCACGACAGGATCATCAGGAGGACTCGGGAGACAACACAGCCTAGTTTGGACGGAGCGATGATATGAAATGAAGGGACACCAAGATTAACCTTGACGACACGACATATTTGTTTTTGTCTCGATATTTTTTTCTGCGTCGCAAGCTTGACCTGTACTGAATGGGAAACGTACACGAGTTCTCTTCTTTCCACCATGTCGTCGGAAACTGCTAAGAGCATGAAGTGCCCGTTTTGCGGGTATAGCAGCGGCGAGGAGTATGCGATGATGCTGGTAAGATGTTCCTCCCCGGTCCGTCTATAAAAAGTCTTGGCAGCCCTTCCACGACAACTTTCATGAATTTATGACCTGACTTGACTTGATATACTGACACGCGAGGTCTCAAGCACATAGAGACGCGCCATGCTGAGGGCAAGTCGCCGTTCGTGGTAGATAGAGAGCAGAATGATGCACCAGGCCCAGAGGATGAGACATCAGCGGCCACAGTATCGGAGCCAAGCCCGGACGATGAGCAATACGTCGAGTGCCCCATCGACGGGTGCGGCGAGGTTGTAACCTTAACTGAGCTGGACGACCACATTGAGCTGCACGCCGCTGAGGAGAATGGTGCGATCACGCCCGAGGACAGGGAGACGCCGGCGAAAGATGGAAGCAGACAGGAGTACCAGTCGCCCTACTCACAGCCTGGCAACCGCAACACGAATGCGGACAGCAGCAGCAGTCGTAGAAAGGAAAATTCTACATGTCGGCGGCTGGAGGAAACTGTGAATGACCGCCAAGGTGACGCTATTCAGAAGTGGAAGCAGATATTCCACATGCCTGCTGTGAAAGTACCGCGGACGGAATCCCATGCCGGCGGGCCGGCACAGAAGAAACGTCTCGGTGTAAGTGATCTCAATGTCTTGGCGCCCAGCCGCGTTCACTCGATTTCATGAAGTTGAAAGTTGACTTCGGTTCGCGTATAGAAAGCAGAGCTCGGCAAATACGCCCACGAAGACAAGATGCCGCAGTCTCTAGTGGATCTGCTGCGCAGGGACGGACAAGTCACAAGTTCGGGTGCGTACGGATTGCCATCATATATGCACTAATACCGGCCCTGTAGACCGTGACTTACATCAAGTATTCACAGGTGTCATCCCCGTACTAGAACAAATCCTGGACCAGAACTCGAGAACGGCATGGGCATACCTGTGCCATCCATGTGTCTGGCATGTCTCCAAACTTAAGGGGGAAGGTAAGGAGCTCACCCCTAGCCTCTGTTCTGGCATAGCATCTAGTATGGCACATATCTTACTAACGCGGAAAAAGGGGGCTTCTGCGGATACAGGAATATCCAGATGATGTCTTCCTTCATTATTGGCAGCCGGTCCACGGGGGCGACGCACTTCCGTGGTAGACTGCCGAGCATCTTCAGGATTCAGGACTACATTGAGCATGCGTGGGATGTTGGCATCAACGCCCAGGGCCGGGTGGAGACGGGAGGCGTTAAGGGGACACGGAAGTATATTGGCACGCCTGAGGTGAGTTTACCGTCTGCATTCTGGTTTTCGCTTACAATACTCACAATAAGTGAAGGCCCAGGCCATGTTTACGGTTCTTGATATACCGTCAGTTACATGACCAACTGGAGATGTATGCATGTATGTATCCGTGAGCTAATGGTAATTCAGATGCGAGGCACAGGGGTTCAAAGACACCCGTCCTGGCTCCGCCGAGATGAAACTCCTGCGGTATGTCCAGGACTATTTCGAGTCGGCCGACTTCGACCCCCGGGATAAGGTACGGCGCACGACACTGCCGCCTATCTACTTCCAACACAGGGGTGTGTACTTCTCTTGTTCATAACTCTTCACTTAAGACCACGTACTAAAGCCAGGGGCTATCAAGGTCATTCCCTTACAATCGTCGGCTTAGAAAAACGACACGACGGAGAAACAGAGCTATTAGTGTTCGACCCCATGTTCGGTGACCCTCGGACGATAACCAAATATATTGGTCGTACGTTTGAGGGAAGCACGGACAAGGCGTTGAAGCTCTACCGGAGGGGGAACAAGTATCTGAGGAAGTACTATGAGTTTGAGGTGCTTACGTATGTCCAACTGGATGAATAACCCCTCCTGGAGTATTGCTGGATATACTGACTCTTATTCGGTAGACTGGCAAGGCCTCATCGGGCCCAGGCCCCAGAGTTAGAAGCCCGAAGCATCAGAGCCAGTCGTAAATGAGGGCAGGTCGGAGAACAGGCGGTTTGCAGGTGGATGAACGGACGGACCTGCTATAGTTTTTCCACGACACGGTGCACACTTTGGACTTGACGATTTGATGACAGGCATTCATAGACGGCGTTGCGCTTATATTCGGGTTATACTACGTCCTCACTTTACTCCTTCGTCATCTGGTTCGGGTCGTAAAAATGGACCAGAGAACAAACAATATTTAAGCATCATGATCGTGATTTCTTTCCCAAACCTATTCATTCATCCCCCCTTCAACCCACACTCGGACTTTCTCGAGGGCCTTGTAGCGATGCGAGATCTTGTTTTTCTTGGCTTTGTCCATCTCGGCGTACCTTCGACCGTGTTAACTCAGGGACTGTTTAGGGCTAATGGTCAAGATGTCCTGGGTACTCACGTCTCGCCCTCGTACTCAAATATGGGGTCCCAACCTGTCGTTGGAGTTAGCCACCATCCGGTTTTCTCGGGATAGCATAGCCTATCATGCAGATTAGAACACACCGAAAAAGGTCGGGCCTCGCGCGGGCACTATCTTCCCCTGCAGTGGAATTAGCAGTCGCACAGATCGGGATATGCAGAACTTACATCCGTCTTCCCTTGGAACAGCAACGGCTCATGGCCCGGGCCCTTGGAAAAGGCAAAGGTGCACACGGCCTGGGCCGACTTGTCGTCGTACGCGGCTAAAAGATTGTTGAGGCCTTCGTGGCCGATGGACTGCATGAACCATTTGCTGTCCAACGCATCATATCAGTCATTTGACATCACCCAACCATCCAGATTCTTCTCACATCCCCTTCCTCGTACCCCAACCAACCAAAGAATGCCAAGATAGACGGAGAAGCAGCAGTAGCAGCAGAAGAGGAGAAACTAACATATAAGGCCCCGGCAACCCATTCAAAGCATTGAAGCACAAACACGTATCCTCGACCAACACCGGCCCGCCGACTTTTTGGGCAGCCACGCGACACTTCTCAAGCGTAACCTCCTCAAGGGTGCCCTGCAGCTCGGGCAAGTCCAACGATTGGCTGTTGACCGTGATGGCCGGCTCGAGGATGGCTTTCACCTCGGTCAGCTTGTTGGCGTTGCCCGTGATGAAGTTTACCACTGGAGGGGTTGGTGGGGCCATGATCACTGTTTGCTGTTTGGAAGCCAGAGAGGGATGAGACGGATGAACGAGAATTTTGGGGGTTGGAAGTGGAGATTAAATTTTTGTGTGTTGGTTCAATAGCTTGATCAATGCAGTTTGTCGGCCGCGAGAACGAGGCAAGACCGAATATGAGGACGGCTATGAGAAGTCGATCGAGTGTGGATTTGGCGGCAAAGATGTGACACATCCGGCAAACTGCAACGAGGACGGCTTTATTTCCGTACGACGCACGCTGTGGGTGGTTGGATATTCGGCGGACTTGGCACGGGGGTCGCCGAGGTGGGAATATGCAAGGTGGAAAACCTCAAAACTTCAACTCTCAGCGCCCAGGAAACTAAACAAATAAGGAAGGAGGTAATCTTTTGACATAGTTAGGATCTCAAGACGGGTTGCTTCTATAGAAAATGAGATGAGTACACGGCCTTGGCGGCTATTGCCCTGTGAACATCTCATGATCGTCAGCCCTGGTTCTCGCATCTATACCGGCATCGATTCGTGCTTAATCCCAACCAGTTTCTGTACGGGATATCGCACGTCGGAATTCAGGTCATATACATGACCTTATGTAGCAAATTGCAATATTGGCAATGTCCTTAGGTACCGCCATCATGATCACGGCGCCTCTATCGCTTCCTCTCCCTCTCCATGCCGTATCATAGCGGCCAGGTCATACCCTTTTACGGTATCCTGCATCGCCACTTTTCTGCCCCTCAGGCAGCATTGGGCACTTACGGGCAGACAGCGAGCCCATGCCGTAGACCTCGCAACGTTGCCTTCGCTCCCCATGCAATTCCAAAAGAAATTCTCCAGCTCCAGCGTGTCGTCGGCCTATTCACCACCATGGTCCTTCTTCCACTGCACGAGCCACGCTTCAACCCGCTCTACATTACTCTCCATCTCATCGGCCGTGTTGCTGGTCAACTCCACCACAATCTCCTCGTCGTAGGAGTCCCGTGCCTCTTGGAGCAGCACCTCCATGATTTCCGAGTCGAGGTTCTCTTGGAGCTTTGCCTCGGGATATTTTCTATTTCGTCTCGTCAATATCATCATGAGACTTTCTAACGGGGTGAACTTTGCATTGGGGCGGAAGTAGGGGAGGTGGTCCTAGGGGTAAAATGGGAAAAGTAGGGAAGGTAGGGAGGCAGGGGAGGCAGGGAAAAGGGCCATACCTCGCCGAAAGCCGATCATAGAGCGTCGAGCTATCCACCCTCAGCACAACAACCAGATCGATCCAGCTCTTGGGGAACAAATCACAGGCGTGCCAATCTATGATACAACCGCCTTCCTTGGCTTCGTCTTCCAGAGCATCGAGTAACTGATTTCATTGTTTCTCGTCAGCCAGCCATCCTCTTCACTCTGTTGCCTCAGCCACATTATTCCTTCGTCTTCCAAGCGGAGGAGGACAGTGGAGGAGGGCAGTAGAGCAATATACACCTACCTTATCCTCATCCACAATCCAACACAAGTACTCCTCGTCCCACCCCTCGTGGCACTGCTTATCCTTGACCACCTGGTTGACCGACACGTGCCTCAGCCCCGTCTTCTCGGCCAGTGCCTCACAATGCGTCGTTTTGCCCACGCCGGGCGTGCCCGTGACGATGATGTTTGGTGAAGTGCGTGCCATTTTCAGAACTAGGTGGGGGGAAGGGGGGAAAGGGGGGTTCGTCACGCTTTTCTTCCCTCTACGATTTCCACTTGACGATTTGAAATTCCGCAGGTGCTTCACAAATGTGGTCAGGGCTGAGTTTGGGTTTGCAGTTGTGAAGTTGAAGATTTTCGCGACATTGAATAACTTTTTGATGTTTTTTCGCCCCAGTTGATGTAGGGGAGTCACGTGGGGCCAAATTCGTCCGAAAGACCCCAAACCTCCAAGTGATTGCTAACTATGTACACCAACTTGTGCAACAAGGAAATCGCAGTCGTGACTCACTGAAGATGCCACTTTCTAATGGTATTTACACCCCACGGGCCTCTGCTAATGCGCATGGATAGTTGTCTTCATATCACAGATAGATAGCGTCTCGCGTCGTTAACTCGCAAGCACCATCTCCATCAATACTCCCTCAATCCCACCCGCTTGACGGACCACATGAACTTCACAATACAGCTACAAATAAGCATGTCTCTGAAAAGACAGAGTCACCTCACAATCTCCGGTTGTAGAATTTCGCATGTACAGTTGCGTACACCCAGATACTACACATAGCCTTTTGATACACTCCTTCCCTCCTCCCTCCTCCCACCGTCTCTCTTCTCCGCGACACTCGAAACACAAAAACCACAACGTCATAAAAACGCCATCCCTATAGTTCCGCATGAGCTTTCTAGTTCAATTCCTTGTTATCCATTCAGACAGACATCTCATTATGCACGTAAAAGCTCCCTGGTCAACAAGGATGTTTTTTTTTTCACCGTTTCTCCGACTTTGTTCTCGCACGTGGTCTTTCCCAACCGGTTATATCTTATCATATAGGCGGAATAGGTAGGGACTGTCTGTGCAACCGTCAGAAATGCCATCACCCTCTTTTCAGAACCGCCGCGCTGCGGTGGCGGACTGTTTCGGGGGCGGCACCAATCGAATCAAAATCCAGCCTGACTCTGATGGATAGATATGGACACGTAGTCCGAGGCCGCTCTTTACGCGCCATCGACCTCGACCTCCTCATCCATCTCATTCAGATCGTTCTCGCCGTCGTACTCGTCGTCCCCATCCAGCTTCTCCTGCTGGGCGATTGCCTGTGCGGATACTATCTCAGCTAGACGCTTGAGACGAGGAGTTTGGAGCCCTGGTTTGTTCATGTTAGTTGGACAACTCTCATTGTGGGTAGATAGATCGACTTACATGACGGTGTATAAGTCTCCAGCGCAGTAATGACTCGTGGCTCGGCAATCTCATACGGACCACTGTCGTCCATGTCAACAGCTTGCAACAGCAGTACGTCGCTCTTCTCTGTGACCCGAGAAGCAACAGCCTTCATGATCTCCCCGTTGATGGGTTGTTCGTAATCTGCTACGAGGTACTGGTTCAGTAGCTTCTGGATCTGGTTGGGCGAGAGCCTATAGACCAAGTCAGTTTCGGCACAGCTTCTAGTCAGGGTGGCAGGGGCCACTCACATCCAGCAGATATCTTGGATAATCTCGATATCGTTCAAAGTCGCCTTCTTGAGTTGGAGTAGCTTTGTTGCTTGCTGTGGCACCAATTAATATTTTCTCATGCCAATGACCATTGAAAACGGGATCAGGGAAACACTTACCATCAAATGCTCAAGCTGCAGCGTACCCTCGGGCATGTCGTGGCTCTTGCACCATTCCTCGATACGAGTAATGTTGTAGTTGATCTGCAGACCTCGCTTCCAGGACAGGAAGTTTCGGCGCATGAGAAGATCGTTGAAGGCAGTGACGCCGACCAAGCGGAGAAGCTCAGTCACGGTCTGCGTGATGATAGAATCCTCCAGATAGTACGCCTTCATCGCCCTGAAAACGTTGTTCAAGAGACTCAGAAGGTTGTCCATGCTGTAGGCTGGTGCTGAGTTCGACTGCAGCAGCTTGCCAAGGAACCTATTACTTTCATTCGTGACAAAGCCGGGCAGCGATTGGGATTCGATGATGGCGGGTATAACCATCTTCTGAAGCTTCTTCTTCAGGACCTTCATCCACGTGTGGTAGATGTTGAACTCGAGGCTCTCGAGGTCGTGCTTGACAATCTCGAGCAGGCGGTCGTACTCATAGTTGTCCGTCTTTTGCGCCTCATACCAGTCCTCGGCAAGGAAGACGAACGAAAGCATCTCGTGCACGTTGGACAGCCAGAAGGCACCGGGATTGATGGCCTCCTCGCCGTCGTGCTGCATCACTTCCTGTTGGATGGACTGCATGACATTGGCCAGGAACCTCTCCGACTCCTTGACGAAACCATTGTTCCACATCTCCGAAGTCACCAGATTGATGAGGTAAGAGGGGAACAGGACCTCCTTGTCGGACGGAGGTGGGGTGTTGTTGGGCGATGGGATCTTCAGATTCCTGATGAGACCCACAGTCACTTCCTCGTTCAGGCCATCCTCGTCGGCAAGGAGGCTCTCCAACTCCATCTCGATACTGTCCACACCAGGCGTGAAAGCCGGCGGCTTGCTATATCCCGTAACCGCCATGGAAACAGGACGAGGGTTAAAGGTGGAACTGAACCGGTCGATATCTCGTTGCTCCATGCCAGCACTCCGTCTCTTGGCAGTGGGCTTCTTGGACGAGACGAGGTTGATAAGCCCATTGAGTGGGGGAGCAGCGGCATTGCCGTTGGTGAGCTCCCCGTTGACAGGGCCAGCACGCTTGGCCATTTCGAGCTGATCTTGGAGCTCGGCAAGTTGTTGGCGTAACGTCACCTTCTCGCTTTCGTGGACCGTGGTCTCCTCCCGTATCCGCTCCAATTCCGACTCGGTGGTCCTCAGGTTGTCCCTGAGCTCCTTTTCCAGCTCTCCCAGCCTCTTGGCGTTGGCGTTGGAGTCTTCGTACTTCTGCACCATGGTCTTCAACTCCTCCTCCATGGCCTGCAACTTGGCAGTGGCGATACCAGCCTGGTTGGCCTCGACCTGGAGATCCTTTGTACGCTTCTCCAACTCGTTGTGACGCATCTTCCACGAGTTGATCTGGTTCTCGTAGTTGTCCACACGGCTCTTGAGGTCCTTGTTTTGCGACTTCATGGTACCAAGCGACTGAGTCAACTCGACGACCTTGTTTTCCAGCTTGTAGGATATCTGTTTCAAGTCGCGGGCCTCCTCGCGGACCTTCTTGTACTGTTTCCTTGCCGTCTTTCCACGCCAAAGGCTCTGGATCAAAACCACTTTCTTGCGATAGCTCCTCCACTGCGCCAATTGACGCCTGTTTCGCCACACGCGCTGGATCAGGACAGCAGCATTGCCCATGCGCGTCTCCATGATCTCCTTCCTGCGCAAGTAACCCTTGGCTGCGGCTTGGGCGAGAATAACATTGTTGCGAATGCGCAAAAACGCTCTTCGCTGCTTTTGTCCTCTCCACACTCTCTGGATGGTAGTTGCAGCCTTAACGGTCCGCAACTCTTGCGCCTTGCGGCGGGTGAGATACGCTCTTGTGAGTGCCTGAAAGCGAACGATGGCGCTGCGCGCCTCCAGATATCTGTTGCGGTAGTACCTAGCCTTGAGGTTCTTCTGAATCATGATGGCACACGAGTTGAGACGCTCGGTGCGTAGGTTCTCCATGAAAGCAAGCATGCCAGCCCGGAAGAAAATCTTGGTGAGACCCAACTGGTACTTGTCCTGTCCCTTTCCGGTGCTTTCACCCAGGGCTTGGCTGAGAATGAAGTTTGCCATTGGCCGAATTTCGGAAGTCCATTGAGCGGAGGGCACAAGCATATAGTACCTGAGGGCGAATTCTTCGTAGGTCCAGCGCGTCGGATAACCCGCACAACTAATGCGGACCGTCTCGAGTACACCACAAGCTCTCAGTTGACTGAGGACCATGGGACCTTCGAACTTCCATGCTTCCTTAGCCTCGTTGGGCTTGATGCATCGAATGTAGTGCACGTCTGTGTTGTTGATGGTGCTCATAAGCTCGATGAGCGACGAGCGGAAGATACCTCCAAGAGTTGGCTTGCGGTTAACAGCAACTCCAATCTTCCTTCCAGGTGTTGGCTTGGCCACGTTGGACGCGGCCGACGCAACATCCTTCTCGCGTACAGCCAACGCGGCGTTCAGAACTTGCCCAAGGAACATGTTGCTACTGGCTCGAAGAACCTCCATATGCTCGTCGGGGACGGTATCACGGTTCTTCTCAATGAAGCCCTCCGACTCGTAAGTAACATCTATGGCGTAGTGGCAAACCGTGAAAGCCGACTTTCCAAAACGAGGCTTCTTGAAGAATTTGTTCTTGTCGGCAGAAAAGTTGTGATGGAGCTTGGTGACGAATTGCTCGTCTGAGCCCATGGGGAGACGAGATTCCTCATCCAAAAGAGACAGAATACCCAGCTTATTCTCAATCAGATCGATACAAGGTTGGTTGTCGGAGAAATCGATAAAGGTCCAATCAATCTGCTCCCGGAGATACTCTTCCTGTTCAAGCTTGAAGACATGCGCGTTGAACTCTTGCTGCAGCTTCTCGTTGGCGTAGTTAATACAAAATTGTTCGAATGAGTTCTTGGCAAAGTGCTCGAAACCGTAAATATCAAGCACGCCGATGAAGGAAGAAACGCGGTTCAGCACCTCGTCAGTAGCGAGACTGCGGTTGATGACTTCCACGAGCCAGTCGAAGAGACTTGAGTAGATGTACTTGGCAACTGAATCTCGCACCACAATGGCTTGCTGCTGGGTCAGGTTGGAAACGATCTTCTCTCCTCTGGTAATGAGTTGTTTCTTCACAATCCACTTGGCAAAATTGGTAGCATCGATCCCCAAAATGGAACAAGCACGAGCCAAAGCCGGCTCATTGCCATCCAGCACGCTGTCGTTCCTCGAAGCACCGATCTTAACGTTTCCGAGGTGCAACAGACCGGCCAGAAGCCTGAAGATACCCTGTTGTTGGGTCTCGTCAACTCCGATCGTTTTGAGCGAGGCCTTGGTAGCAATAAACTCGGCCTTGTCGTCCACGCCGTCGATGACTGGAGCATTGCCTTGGTTCAGGTAGTCGAACTGGTCCACGGGAAGAAGGCTCAGCTCTTTCCGCTCAGCATCCGAGGCTCCGGCCACCAGCTGGTAAAAAATATGGTAATTCCTTTCCTTCAGGGGCTGGAAGACCAATCTTGACCGTTCGAGAAGGTATGTGCGGATCTTGGCACCGATAATGTTGGTCTGGTCGTCAAACATGATCTCAATATACTTGCCGAAACGTGACGAGTTGTCGTTCCTCGTAGTCTTTGCGTTACCGAACGCTTCCATGATAGGATTGGTAGCCAGGATCTGCTCTTCCGTCTCACTCATGCTCTCGGCACCCTTTTTAGACTTGGCCCCGGGGTTGTCCGGAGACTCTCTTGTAGCAAAGTATCGCATAATATACTTTGCACTGACCGTTTTTCCAGCTCCCGATTCTCCTGAAACGACAATGGTCTGGTTCTTGCGATCTCTCAACATGTCGCTGCATTTTCTTGTTAGCCAACTGCCCATGTCCAGACGAATCGAGGTACGGGTGGTGTATTTACGCAAAGGCCTCTTCCGCAATGGCAAACAGATGCGGCGCTTGTGTTGCTCTCTGCTTGCCAGCGTAGACTTGAACCATGCCCGGTACATAGAGGGAATCTACCCGAGCGAAGGGATTCGTAGCTATCAAGACGATACCACTATATGTGTAGATTTCCTTTTGCAGGTACCGGAGGCGAATAGCTTGTAGAACTGCCAAGACATGAATCATCAGCAACCCGAACTTTAAAGCTTCATATGCCCGACTGCTCCTGCACGACCATAGGGCAGCAGCAGCGGCTATGGTGGTTGGTTTCAAGCATACCGGCTGGCTCATTCAGATAGGACAAGTTCGTCAAGTCGTCGCTGGCCTCGAGCATTGCCGGGTTCATCAGTGGCGGCAAGGAAGGATCGCTGGAATCCGACAGGGCCGCGAGCGAGAGCTCGACTGTCTTGGTCTGTAGAACAATTCCATGGTCAGCATGGTGTTGTTTGAGGCCGATATCTGCTGCTGGTGGTGGTAGTGATTCTCCGTTTGCTTACCTCTTCATTCTCGAGCTTGAACACCAGCGTCACCTTGGAGCCATCGACCGACTTCTTGACAACCTCGGATGCCACCCAGCCCTCTGTGGCATCGGGCTGCCAAGCTCTGGTGCCAACATCGTAGCTACTCGACATGGGTACGGCAGCTTCTCTAGCTGAAGATTCGAATAGCGTGCGGTGTGGGAGAGAAGAGAAAGTTCGTGGTCACGTCAGGTCGGCGTCGGTCGAGATGGGGGTGGTATTGTCGGAGGATGCAAAGGCCGCTTTAAGGGGCTAGGTAGCGACAGGAGACATTCGTAAGGGAGTAATTAAATCAAAAGGGCAAAAGGCATTCAACTGCATACGGGCATGGAAGGAGAAGAATGGCCGCCGTGGAGAGAGGATGATGGGAATGAGTTGAGGCTTCTTGTTGTCTTTCGCAGGGGACGGGGCTTGACGAAAATCTGTCTTGCAGGTACCAGGTCGTAATGCAGCAGATTCACAAGTTATTACGGGAGCACGTACTACAAACTTTGGGGACAGGAGCAAAAGTTGACAGGGGTGACTGTGATCTGGAAAAGGGTCGTGGCTCAATGTTGTCCATTTCGCATTGGCGCGACAGTGCAAGTGCGGATCCCAGGAGGTCTGTCTTGTTAGGTACCGATACCGCTGATCACGGCTGAGACCGGTGTGGAATGGAAGTGAGTGGTACCAGCCACCACTAAGCTGGCGGGAGCTGGGCCTGAGAGGCTGGTGGTCCACTGTCCAGTTGTTTCTTCTACTGCAGGCCCTTCTCCTTTCTGCATCTGCACGGGCATCAACAGTTCATAGAGGCGCTTTGCCCTCAGTCCGATCAGTCATTTACAGGCCGTATTAGTGTAAATAATTTGAGGTTAGTAGTCGCAACATGATGCAAATCAACAACATGTCGGTTATGCCTGAGGTTGAGAGTTTCGCCTAGAGTACAGGGAGGACCCGACGACTTGATGTTGAAGTCCATTTTGCACGTGGATTTTCCTTTATAATTCAAGACTTGCCTAACATGGATCGGTTGACGGGCAGAAGCACTACAAACTTCGGGCGATAGAACCGTGGACAGCAGTGATCAGAGTTAATCTTGAAGACACGCAGATTTCGCCTTCAACGGAGATCTTTAGATGCCAGGTTATTTAGACGGCTTTCATCATCCAGCAAAACCATGTTAAAGCCTACTTAAGATGGTAGGCAAAGTACACCTGATGCAACCGCGCGGTCCCTTGATGGCACCCTTTTGGGCAGACCGACTAATAACCCCCGACCTTTCCTGATTCCGCGAGCTTTAGGTTAGTGGGTAGTTGCACTGGACGCCCCGAAGCCTGTGCAGGAACGCGCCACCCAAGACGAACTGGTCTTGCCGGCTCTGCAGGGGTGGTCTGTAGAGTTGTTGGGATACATTCTCACCTCTGCGAACCCAGTTGATACATCTTCATAGGATTTTTAAAGTCTTTGTCTACGTTCGTGAATTTTTGGGCATAGAGGGTAGGGTAGTGATAGAGATACTCGTACAGCCCACAGTAGATACCACAGAGAGCCATTGACCGTCGACTCAGTAAATAAGACCTAAAACAGTAGAGTCGCATCGGCATCGACTCCCCGGATCTGTGCAAGGGGTGTGGAGAACCTTCAATCGGCAAACCCGACGCATTCTCAAAGCCATCCACCCATTTCGATCAACCCGCAGGCTGGCTTTTCCAAGTACAGCCAACAAAAAGAGATTGTGTACACATGCAGATACATTTCATCCTACCGAGTTTCAAAACATACCTAGTAGCCTGCGCTTTTCTTTGGTCGGCCCGCGGCGGTTAGCAAACCCAACTCTACGTATCTGTCAACTCATCAATAGGTGGTAGATCATGCGATGGTTCTAGTGTCTTGCGTGTCTTCGCCGCCCTGTCTCAGAGAACTTCTACAAAACTTGAGATGGTTGCACCACCAAGTATGACAAGGCAATCAAATGATTTGATTAAAGGCATCAACAAACCCAGGTCCGCAGTCCAGGAATGACCCGGTCGCAAGTTATGCCAATCATGCTCCCAAAGCATGTCACAGGGTGGGTATACAAGCATCCAAGCACGTGGTTTTGTGGCATGGTATAACAGCATAACATGTAAGATCCAAGCCCCTATATCGGAATTCATCTCCAGCATGTATACACCTCTTCAAGGGCTTTTTGCGCTGTTGTCATGCCACATCAAAACCGAGCTGTCCCTTTGGTGAAAACCTTCGAGAAATCAATTTTCTGTACCGCCTGTTGAATTGTACATTTTCCGACCATCACTGCCAAGTTTCTTTCAACGCTGCCGGGCGCCTCTAATCCTCGAGTTGATATTTCCAACGGTCTCGCGATGCCGATTCCTTCTTGCCTGAGCAACTTAATACAGGACACGAACCATGATTTTTGCTGTTGGAGTTAGATCGGTACCCACAGAAGGATTTGTACAGTTAAACTTACAGCTCAGTGCCTCAAGTGCATCGAAGAGCTCCTTCATGTCGCCAAGGTTCACATCGCTTACATCGGCCATCAAATAAGCAACCTAAATGTGTTAGATCAAATTCCAGATTCCTATCATAACCATATAGACTTACGTCACCCCTGCTGTCACTAATCTGTTTGTCAACGTTGTGGTTGCCAAAGATCTCGTTCACTGTTCACTTAAATCAGCAGCTGCACATAGAAGTTGACCTCTGCTTCTCTTACCCTTGCGGAGAACACCTGGAACGTTGTGGTGGACGTAGATAACCTGTGTTCAAGTTAGCAACTTACAGTCCCAGCTTCCGTGGAACGTACCCGAGCGTAGTTAGGTTCATCCAGTGTCAGAGAACGCAGGTTGACTTCAGGCAGGTTCACGCTGCCCAGTGTCACTCCCTGGTTGATGTATCTGACTAAAGCATCACTGACTGGATGGTAACACAGGTTAGAGAAAGCCACTTGCAGTGTCGGTTGACGTGTGAGCTTATACCTTCAACTCCGATTGCCCTTTGTGCCTCCTCCGTGCTGCCGCCAATGTGAGGTGTGAGGATAATATTCTTCACGCTGCGGAGATCCTCGCCCCATTGGTTGAGTTGACGGTTGAAGTAGTCGCCATTCGCTGAGGGCTCGTTTGGGTAGACGTCCAAGGCCGCACCTGCGATCTTACCGCTGCGCATTGCGTTGATGAGAGCCTGGATGTCTACCACAGTTCCACGACTGGCGTTGATTAGGTAGGACCCCTCCTTCATTTTCTCCAGCTGTGCCGTGGAAATCATGTTCTTTGTCTCCGGCAGCTCGGGTACGTGGAGAGTAACGAAGTCGGCTTCCGTCAGGAGGGCTTCCAGGGTTGGCACTTGGCGGGCTGTACCTAGACCCATTAAGGTCACAACATCATAGTAGATGACAGTCATGCCCATAGCTTCTGCCAGCACTGAGAGTTGGGAGCCGATGTGTCCATATCCAACAATGCCTGCATTTCATGAGGTTAGAAGCACCCGCAAAAGAAGCTTGTTGCAGGATACACCCACCCAGCGTTTTCCCGCGAATCTCCCAGCACTTGGCGCTGACCTTGTTCCAAGTACCCTGGTGCATCTCATTGGACCGATCCCCAAGCTGACGCGCGAGAGAGATGATTTCTCCAATCACCAATTCGGCAACACTGCGGGAGTTGGCAAAAGGCGAGTTGAACACAGCAATACCATGCTTAGCAGCATACTCGAGGTCAACCTGGTTAGTGCCGATACAGAAGCAACCGATTACGAGCAGATTCTTAGCCTCCCGAAGCACCTTCTCCGTTAACTTGGTCTTGGATCGGATGCCAATGACTTGAACATCTCTATACATAGTAGTGGTAAGCAACTTATGCGCGATTCTGTTAATGAATTTGCTAGAACTAACTTGATCTTCTCGATGAGCTGGTCCTCGGGTAACGAGGTCTTCAAGGCTTCAACTTGATAACCCTGGCCCGTAAGAATGTTCCTCCCGCTCTGGTTCACATTCTCCAGAAGAAGAATCTTGATATCTTTGCTGTTGAAGGGCTTCAATTGCTTTGTCAATCCTCGCTGGGGAAGTTTGCTGCTAAAGCTTGATGGCGGGGAATGGAACGCGGCTGTCATACGTTTAGGAGTCAGTAACTTCACGACGGTGCAATCTCCAAGATTGTAAGTCCAATATCAGAGGACCAGAAGGACTCCTAGAAGAGCTTGGTTGAGGGGAATTGTGTTCCCGAGCCGAGTTAGAAGAGAGACTGTTGACACTAAAGGCTCACCTGAGGGTGAAGTTGAGACACTCATCCGAGTAGCGAAGTCGGGTTGTGTGGACAGAGCAATATCTTTGGGCTGCGCCATTGTGTTGGGGTTTTCCTCGGAATGGCAAAGAAGCTTTGGAATAATTGAGTATTTGCTACGTTGAATAGTCCAAGTTTGAGGTTCTATTTGAGTTTAAGGAACTTGAGAAATCGACGTTGAGTCACTCGAATGTTGCACGTGTAGACGTCGAAAGTCGATCGATGCACACTAAGCTTCCCCACAGCGTTACGTAGACAGGGAAAAGTTTTGTAAGCACTCGCGGGCAGCCCAAGGTGCCAATCATGAAGTAGCTATAGTCATATTTATGCCTCCCGAAAATCCCAAAACTGGGCACTCGGAAGTCTTATAGTGAGTTGTCACTGGCCAGACTCAAATTCGGGAGCTTCAACACTGTAGGAAATGCAGGAAATCCTGCCATTACACAAATAATCAATGAATGCTCGGAAGTGCCTCGCTCCGTCATCGGATTGCATCATCACACAAAATATGGGGACATTGGAAACATAAACCGACCTATATGTTTGCAAGCGATTTATCCACCACGACCTCAAGTAGCTGTGGTTCAGTTTTCTATCATGGTGTTTCCTACGTCAGTCACATTCATCCTGGGTAACATGGGAGAACCACGACAAACTCAAGGCCCTAAATCTTGAATATTGCCAAAATTAATAATTATAGAATTAAGTCAATTTCATGTCAACCAAAGGATTTCAATCAAGGCCGGGGTTGCGTGATGATTAGGTCCATGTGCTAGTCATGTACATATATGCGACCTCTAAAGGAGTAAGCCACTTCCACGGGCTTCCTCTGACTGCTCCTTATCTCGAGACTCTGTATGAATAGCCCTGCTGCGTCTGCATTGACATCCTGAGCCTAAAAATTCGCCTGTCTCTATGCATCATATTGCCCACCAAGAGCGGACCGCTAGCCCCTCCTCTGCTGACCAGCAAGCTCAGACAAACGTAGAAAAAACCACGGCAACATAACATAAGATTCCGAAAGCAACCTGAACCTATTAGGAATGCCAGTCTATTTTGGGGGACCAGCTGCAAAGTCATGCTCTCTGCATCCTGTCCATATGGTCACGGGTGAGGCCCGTAAAAGTGGGGTACAAGTCGGGTACGGGTACTGGGCGAGGGCCACCAATACAGGCCACCCAATGAATATGACAGCTGACCAAACCCTGTGCGGTCTGGCCAGCAATTCTGTCGAGATGTCTTCGGATTGATGAAGGGGTCCGGTAGTTTAGCTCTGCTTGCACTCAGCCGCCTCCTTGTTAGGCTTGGCGGCGTCGTCCTTTTTAAAACGTTAGCAATTTTGATCAGGTTGTTGGGCCAAGGTATGGGAGACAAACATCTTCCTCAGATTCCTCCTCGTCCTCATCACGGTCGTCGCTGAGGTCGTCATCCTCTTCATCGTCGTCCTCGTCGAATGCATCCTCATCAAGGTCCTCCAGCTCCTCGAAAGCCAAGGCCTCACCGGTGAACCAGTCAATGGCTCGGGGAATCAACTTCTCCTTGATATCTTCGCCGAGCTGATAGTCCAGCTCCAAGCGCTCTTCGATGTCAGACGCGGCATCATCGTCGTCATCATCAGTGGGAGCCTTGGGAGGGGAGAAGAAGTTGAAGAATGACTCAGTGGGGACGGTCTTCTTGACAATGCGGGTTTGTTTGGTGTCTGGCAATCATTTAGTACTAGCATCCGAGAAAATTGAAGACGAATCACTTACTCTTGTTTCGCTGCTTCTTGCTCTCAACACGGACGGTCAGATCTTCACCTTCCTTCCAGTTGATCTTGTCTCCCTCCGCGTGGTCGTAGATGAAGTCACCGCCGTATCCACTCTCGTTCTGGTAGTAGTAGGTCTTGGTAATAGACTTGTTGGTGAAGTAGTTGTTGTCATCGAAGTCGAAGATCAGGCGAAATCCGGGCTTATCGAGATACTCCATGCGGATATCGACCAGATGCTTGAGGGCGGCCTCATCGCGATCAGTGATCATCTCAGCAAGAGAGATCTGGTTCTTCATGGCAGAAAGCCAGAACTCGGGAATGCCAGAGACGCTCTCCGTAGACTCTGCGGGCTTCACTTCCGTCTTCTCTGCCTCTGCCTCTTCCTTCTCATTTTCATCATCCTCGAGCTCCTCCTCTCCAATCTTGACCTGCTCCTCGGTTGGCTCAGCAGAGCCAGTGACGATCTTGGCACGCTCTTGGTAGAGCGGGGTGAACTTGGCGAAGTACTTCTTTTCAAGCTGCAGAACCTCCTCCTGGAACTCGGCCTCAAGCTTCGAGTGCTCCTTCTGGATGCCCTTCAAGCCAGCGACACGGCGACGGACCGGGGCAGGTAGCGACTCAATGTAGCCAGATGAGCGGCCAACCAGAGATCCGAGGCGGCCCTGAATCATCTGGACGAGCTGGGGGTTCCCGGCGAAGATAGACGCAGCAGCAGCGCGCTCGGCGAGATCATCTATCAGAAAAAAAATATAGGTGAGCAAAAGATACCATGGTAACGTGGCGTGGAGATTTCCTGCACTTACCTTCCTTGATGCTGGCGACGCCGGGCTGTTGGGCATGGGAGGAGATGGGAGCGTTGTTGGCCGGGGTGTTCTGCGGGGTCCTATTTGATGACAATATAATCAGCAACATGATACTTGAAACGTATTCCAGCGAGTTTGGGGGTTGGGGAACATACGGTGCAGTCGGCTCATTGCGTCTGTTCTTGATGGGTTCGGCCATGGCTGATGTTGTGTGTATCACAGTCGAGCTCACCGATTTTGGTTGGGGAAAGTTAGTCTGGTAGGCTGGGTCACAGCAAAGTGTGCTGTGCGGCAGTAGACAATTGAAAGAACGTGGATATAAAAGATTGAGGAAGAGTGCAGTCAGCGTTACGTCACAAAGACACGAGGTTGGACCGGTAAGAACGGGTCGAAAAGGACCTGCGGAAGTGTGCGATCCAAATGTGATGGGGATTTGAGAGTTGGGAGTTGGGGGAGTCGACAGGAAAAGTTGATCGGGCGAAGTCCAACTCGAAGTGGAGGTGAACAATCGAACTGACTTAAGCCACAAGCGCGATGGTCAATCTGGTGGGAGGCGAATGGAAGTGGGGGAAAGAGCAGAGCAGCAGTGATGAGCCTTCCCCTCCACGCACGACAAGCCGGGGTTCGTCCTGATTTTTTTTTTCCCCTTTGTTGGGTCCTGGAATTTTGGAGGCGCATTTGACGTGTCTCGGCGAATTTACGATTCACTGCCCAGGTGCCCATGGGCAAAAAAAAAAAAACGGGCAGCGGGTCTAGTCGCTTTGCACCTCAGGTGCCCTAAACTTTCTACACTGCACCTCGTCAAATCTAGAGCACATTACTAGTACATCGATCCATTCATTCGCATGTATCTTGTAAAGTTGTTACCGAGTGGTCACTATCTTGGGCAGCTTGCGCAATGAATAAAATATGTGCATCCAATACCCAAAGTCCCCTAGGCTCTATCCTCGATATTCTCTAAACATTTCTATTCTATTCCTCCTTACTTGGTGTCATATTTGACCTGACCGTACATAAGGCTGGGAGGACCTTGAGGACACAAGGAAGCAGCTACATATTATGTGATTTATGTTGCAACTTCGACTAGAAGTATGATAGCGGGGCATTGTCACATTGGGCTTGTATATTTGTGCATCTCCTAACGATTGGAATATCTTGGGGAAGGGGGGTTGATCAACTTATATCTCAGTTGAAGAAACCTGTACAACAGAGCGACATGTCTTTCATTTAAGGGGCTTTCTTTAACCAGTATTCGATGAAGCCTCAAACTTCCCTTCTTAGTGTTGTTGTCTTATTCGAGAAGCGCCTTCCCCGCAATCTTTAATTATTCTATAGAAGTGGCTGATACAAGCAACTTGGCCACAAAACACGTCGATATAGGTCAAAGACATCAGTCTAATCAGTCTGGTTCAAATAAATCGCCTCAGTACATAGTCTGTATTTCTGTACAGCTATATTTAGGTTCTGTTGGGATAGTTATGTTCGAGTCAGAGTATGTCATTATATAACCGGGATTTTTGGGGTTGGTCGTTAATCGGGATGTCCGTTTCAGGGTTTGCCGAAGCCAAGTTAAAGTTTCTTATCGTTATCAGCGTGCGTGCGCTGACAGGCATCGGAAACAAGGCTCGAAGCTCCGACTGCCAGGTAACAAGTACACGAAACGGATTGATGCAGATTGAGCTCTCCAGCTTCGTCGACTATGCGGAACACATCCCGCATTGAATGTGATCACGCGGTATAATCATCACTCGGAGAAAGCTCTTCAGAACAGGAAGATGTCTAGATCATAGACCAAGAGAAAACAGGTAGATACTCAATCTACGCCTGTTCAGTCACAGGATCTTGCATTTATTTTCATTCCTCCCTGTGGATGGATATGCACAATTAAACGCTTTGAATTACTTGAAACTAAACTTTTGTCACAAGCTCGGGCGTTGAGAGCGAATACCGACGACCAAAAGCCCAGAAAAAAATGCCTGGCAAATTCTGTACGTACACTTCGCTCAACTCGCAATGAACGGCGAAGCCGACAGAGGCCAAGATGGCCGGGCAAACGGGAATGGGAATGGGAATGGGCATGGTGACAGGAACAGGAGTAGAAGCAGGAGCAGGAGCAGTCGTGGGATGCTGTATCGACTCCATTCCAACCAAAGTTCCTCCAGCGTCTTCGAAGATGTCGAAATGGCCGACGACGAGATGTTCTCTGGCCCGATGGCCGAGAGCCTGCCCACGAGTGTATCCGCCTTCGCCCATCGCCGAGAACGAGCGGACTCAACGACGAGCTTTGCCTACTACAACGAAGATGAAGCAGAAGATGAGACTATCGTGTATGGTGACGAAGGATCTGTGGTGCTTGACATTGATGACATCCCATTCGGTCTCGATGCCGATGAAGATCAAGAAAGCTCTGAGCTCTCAATGGAAAATGACGATGGCCGGGATGACTATTCCATGCGCAGGCAGTCCTCGATCCACTCGAGGAACTCGATTCATGATCGATTGCTTCGAACCGACAGTGGTCTCACAGAAGCCAGCGGCCGAGGAAACGGTCGAGTCAGTCAGAAGTTGTACATGGTGAACGAGGATCTCACCATTGTCGTTGCCGGCTTTCGCACAAGCCGGATCGGCTACGCCGCCTACATCTTGCTCTGTGCCGCAACACTAGGCCTCGCATGGCTACTCATGAGATGGCTTCCGCGTTGGCGGGTGCGGTTGATAGGCGAGCCATGTCCATTGCGCGAAAGCCAGTGGGTGGTGCTTGAGAACCAATGGGGTGAATTCTCCATCCTTAACATTTCCGCTCAACCCTACGAGCAACCCATATCATCTGTTTTTGGGGCACCCGAGAAGATGTATGCGCAAATGTTTGATGAAGACGCAGACCCGGTACTCTCGGAGCTTCGCGTGTTGAGCTACAGATACGTCAGGCTGTTCTTCCACCCCTTGAAGGACAAGTTCGTCATTTCCAATGGTTGGAAGGACCCTTCTTGGAAACGCGTGAGAAATATTCGTGGAGGAATAGATGGAAGCGAAAAGGAGCTCCGCGAGTGTGTCTTTGGGAATAACCTTATTGATATTGAGCAAAAGTCCATATCTCAGCTACTGGTTGACGAGGTAAGCAACTGCTTTGTCCTTAATTATCTCTGACATAATGGCGATTTCGATCTATCATGCACTGGCATGACGATTCAAACAGCCGTTTATGTCGTCTTGTTCTAGTGGAATGTAGGTCGTAAAGACGCTAACTCTGTTCCAGGTTTTTCACCCTTTCTATGTGTTCCAGATAGCAAGTTTAATCTTGTGGTCTATGGACGAGTACTATTACTATGCCATATGCATATTCGTCATGTCGGCGGGCAGTATCATAGCTACACTTGTCGAGACGCGCTCGACGATGAAAAGGCTACGCGAGATTTCGCGCTTCGAATGTGACGTTCGAGTTCTACGCAACGGTTTTTGGACCACCGTTCCGTCGAGCGACCTCGTCCCTGGTGATGTATACGAAGTCAGCGATCCCGGTCTCACGCAGTTCCCCAGCGACAGCTTACTACTCACTGGAGACTGTATCGTCAACGAGAGCATGCTGACTGGCGAGTCGGTGCCGGTATCCAAGCTTCCGGCCACAGACGAGACGCTTAACGGGATGAACTTGAGCAGCTCTACTGTTGCCCCTGAAGCCGCCCGTCACTTTTTATTTTGTGGCACAAGAATTGTACGGGTAAGGAGGCCGCAGGATAGCGGAGATGATGCCGTGGCGCTTGCCATGGTTGTCAGGACCGGCTTCAACACCACCAAAGGATCTCTAGTTCGCTCAATGTTGTTCCCGAAGCCATCTGGTTTCAAATTTTACCGCGACTCCTTCCGCTACATCGGCGTCATGGGTTGCGTGGCTATGCTGGGCTTCATTGTGTCCTTCATCAACTTCTTACGTCTCGGCCTCACCTGGCACCTCATCGTTGTACGAGCTCTTGACCTAATCACGATTGTGGTGCCTCCAGCTCTTCCCGCAACGCTCACCATCGGCACCAACTTCGCTCTCAGCCGTCTTCGGAAGAAGCAGATCTTCTGCATCAGCCCGCAAAGAGTCAACGTCGGTGGCAAACTTGACATAATGTGTTTCGACAAGACCGGCACTCTCACTGAAGAAGGCCTGGACGTCCTTGGTGTGCGTCTTGTGTCTCGCAGTACAAATCATTTTGGGGAGGTTATTTCGAAGGCGACGTCATTAGTCCCTCGATCCAACCTCCAAACCAACCAAGAGAATCAAAATGACACCACTCGAGCCGCGCTCTTCACCATGGCCACTTGCCACACCCTCCGGTGTGTCGATGGGGAGCTCGTGGGAGACCCGCTAGACCTCAAGATGTTCGAATTCACTGGATGGACCTTCGAAGAGGGCAATCAAGGAGGTGGTGAGCAAGATGATGATGAACAAGGCGGTCTTTCGCCATCCGTGGCGCGGCCTCCACCAGCAACTCTCTATGATATAAACGAGTACGGTTCCGCCCAAGGACATAATGCTCCTATTGAGCTTGGTGTTCTTAAATCCTTTGAGTTTGCCTCCAACTTGCGCCGAGCCAGCGTCATCGTTAGAGCCTTTGGCCAACAAAGTGGCGATGTATTTGTCAAGGGTGCCCCCGAAAGCATGAGGGAGATCTGCCGACCAGACTCCTTCCCAACCGATTATGAAGAGCTCCTGACATATTATACCCATAAGGGCTACCGTGTCATTGCCTGTGCCACGAAGCACATGAAGAAGCTGTCCTGGGTCAAGTCACAGAAGATGAAAAGGGATGAAGCTGAATCCGACCTCGAATTCGTGGGCTTCATCATTTTCGAGAATAAACTCAAGCCCACAACCGCGGCGGTACTCAAGGAGCTCACAGAATCCAACATCGGTTCCATTATGGTGACTGGCGACAACATTCTCACCGCTATCAGTGTGTCGAGAAACTGCGGCCTGGTCCAAAAGGATGCGCACTGCTTCGTACCCCATTTCGCCAAGGGGCACTGTGAAGATCCTAATGCTCTCCTGGAGTGGGAAAGCATCGACGACAACAGGCTAAAATTGGATAACCGTACTCTTCTACCGCTTCCAGTTCCGTCTAATAGCGATGTCTCCCTGCCATATGATATTACAAACTTAAGAAATTACTCGCTTGCTGTTAGCGGTGATGTATTCCGATGGGTGGTGGACTATGCACCTGCCGAGGTTCTCCAGAGGATGCTCCTCCGCGGAAAGATCTTTGCCCGCATGTCCCCTGACGAGAAATGTGAGCTTGTCGAGAAGCTCCAGAGCATCGATTATTGCTGCGGTTTCTGTGGAGATGGTGCCAATGACTGCGGTGCCTTGAAGGCAGCAGATGTCGGCATTTCTCTCTCAGAAGCTGAAGCATCGGTTGCAGCTCCATTTACATCGCGAGTTTTCGATATCCGCTGTGTGCCGGACGTCATCAGGGAGGGCCGCGCGGCACTTGTCACCAGCTTCAGCTGCTTCAAGTTCATGAGTCTCTATTCGGCCATACAGTTCTGCTCCGTGAGCTTCTTGTACGCCTCGGCGTCCAATCTTGGGGATTTTCAGTTCCTCTTGATTGACGTCCTTCTCATCCTGCCGATTGCTGTTTTCATGGGCTGGTCTGGACCATTCCCAGTACTGAGTCGCAAGAAGCCGACAGCAGACTTGGTATCGCGCAAGGTTCTGACTCCATTGCTGGGCCAAATCATCATATGCATTCTTATCCAGGCAGTGGCCTTCCTGCTCGTGCGACAACAACCCTGGTTCATCCCACCGCACTTCAACCCTGACAAGTCCAACATCAAGAACTCGGAAAACACAGCTTTGTTCCTGGTATCCTGCTTTGAGTACACCTCCATCGGGGTCGTCATGAGTGCCGGCAAGCCCTTCCGCCAACCATTGACGCAGAACTGTAAGTTGATTATCCTCCAAGTAATCCGACTCCATAAGGATTGACCGTACTAATCTTAAACCAGGGCCTTTCATGAGTACCATCGTCGCGGCCTTAGCTCTGACTACGTACATGACCCTGGCACCCGCCCACTGGGTAAAGCATCTCATGCAGTTGACTAAGATCAGCTCGTCCTTCAAGATCACGATTCTGGTGTTGGGCGTTACTTACTTCGTCTTGTCGTGGACCGCAGAGAGCTATGTGTTCCAGCGACTTGCCCGGGAGCTGGGCAAGGTCAAGTTGGCGTTGACTAAGACGCCGAAGAAGAGGAAGGAGTATAAGGTCATTGCGGAGCGCATGCAGAGCTAGGGCGGCATGGGATTGAGATGATTGGGATAACAAGAGTGGATACATACCAAATCGAACTCTTCGTCCACTAAGGTTGACTGTCGATCCGAAACTCTTTTATTTGTGAACTTTCTCAAGGAAGCTGGCTGTAACAGAACCGTCATGCTCCACACAGGCTACTTCCTCGTCGAAATGCGACACCATAAGTTGTGAAATGATGTTGCCTATAGAAAAACAAATCATCGGGGTAGGACAATGACTACTGAGACCCACATAGTTATGGTGCATATGTCTGGGATTATTTGAGTCAAAGTATGTGGTAAGATTGATGCCAAAACAACCACGATCATGGCTAGGTGAATTGCTCCAGACCATTGCTTCCTCTTTGAGTTTGTGACCGTATTTTACCACCTGTTACACACCTCCAGCTTTGTTCACATGCAGGAACGTCGTTCCAATACTAGGTCCAGCTTCCTCCCTGGCGGCAACCTCTAGGGTGGCGTCGCTTGTATTGAGCCCCCCACAACGACCCATTTAAGATGTAACAATATGAAATATTTATTCTGATAAGAATGCTTAATTTGATGGCCACGAGTTCAGACTACTATTTAAATGCGTGGAGAGCTAGCCACGACATCGGAGCGGGAGTGGAAAGGCAAAGGTACGTTACATCTGCCTCAATCTAAACGGATAGGCGAGATCGATCTGATTGGACGGAGCCTAATCAAGCATACTATGGTATCATGGGTAAGTTTTCTATTGCGTGTTTGTACCGTGCCCCACCTAGGCACGCGCCAACTCTTCGCTACCTGGCTTGAAGGGACCTTCATAGCTGTCTGAATATGATTAAGAGAAAACGTTGTAGTAGTGCGAATTTCGGCTTTCGATTTACCACCGTCGAAATATAGGGTTCGAATTCGTTGGCGATCCGCTTCTGTAAGGTGTTTAGTCGCCATTGTAGTTGCTGAATACGCGATAATTAGGACGCGTTAACAGCAAGTTGGAATCAGAGGTGGAAGTACCTTTTCGTTACCATGAGTAGGCTAGGCAAGAATCAGTATAGCGTTACCTTGACAGTGGTCCACTGGTACTTGTGAAGGGGGTGAAAACTTTGGCCTGATACCGTAGTACTACTTCCTTGAGCTCAACCACAAATTGTATCGTTCGTGTTATTTCACCTGATTCTCACATCCTGCTATGATATCCTCGAGCTTCAGCCATAAAAGTCATCGATAAACTGCTTTGGAGAAGCAATCGGTATTGCACGTGGAAGGGAGATCTTGTCGGTCACGGGTAAACCAATACAACATACAGACTGTCGGATATATATGTACTTGTGAAGACATCATCGCTGCTAATTATACAATGTCAAGAGTTGACCCACAGCTGTAACATTCCTGAGCCTAATATAATGCAGAACAAGGTTTCACTCAGCGATGTTGACAATGTGCGAAGACAGGAATTGCCCCGGTCCACAGCCGTTTTGTAATAGATGATCTAGTTTGAACAGAAGCCACCATATATGGCTATTGAGATTGAGTAGTGGTATCAGGTTCAGTCATGCAACATCCCAACTAAGCCCGTCTATATCTTTGCCTCATCTTCTGCTCCTATACGGCCCGGCTCTAATTTAGGAACCTCAAATACAACCGCACCGTTTCGTCCACCGGCCACCTTCAACCAGCGACCCAGCCGGTGCTCCTTGCCCACACCAATCACCACGCAAAGACCGTCTTTACCCCTATCACCCCTCTCAAACAACGAGATATCGTTCACAACGCCCTTGACTGACCAAGATGCCTGACTCTCGGTCACTTTGCCGTTGACCTTCGGCTCGTCATCTGCATCGGCATCCGCCATTACCACATCCGTAGACTCCAATTCATGCGGGAGTAATGGCTCGCCGAGCATGCCGGCAGGCTCAATCTTCCTCTTGTCATCGCTGAGTTTCCAAACTCGGACGTGCCCGTCCCAGCTGCCGCTCAGAATCACATCGGAGTATGGCACCGTACAAAGAGCGGTGATCCATCGCGGCTGCGGCGGTGGCACTACCTTGGGGTCTGGGACCTGTTCGGCGGAGGCTTGGGTGGGAGGTAATGGTGGATCTAATCCATGGGCGCGAGGCAGAACGAAAAGCGGTTTCTTCTTCTGTATTGACCACAGAGCGATTGATCCATTGTCGCTGCCTGTCACGAATAGCTCCTCGTCAATCATGGCGATGCGGTCCATGCTGCCCTCATGGGCCATGGATCTTGGATCCAAGTCTGGCTTGTGTTTCTTATCGACTGTGCCTCCGCGGAAGACCAGCTGGGTCTCCTCGGCCACTTTCCATAGACGTGCCGTGCGGTCACGAGAGCCCTGTTCAAACCTCGTTGTTAGTTGCTGATCAAAGCTCAATTAAAAGAGTCAAGTTGTATCTTAAGGAGTGTTTGCACCCCTAAGACACAACAAGCCCAGGAGTCCACAACTTCAAGGTTTACTTACCACACTGATACATCGCTCCTGCGTGAGAGCGTCTACGTCCACTACCTGGTCCTGATGTCCAAACAGCGTTTCTGTACAGGTCGCCTTGTCAGTATTGATCATTATAGCCAGTTATAGGAGATCAAGTCATTACTTAGTAGGACCGATTCATCTCTGCAGCACAGCGAAAGGATATGGTTATTGCTTACCGACATAGGCCCCCTCGTCAAGGCTCCATACTTTGACGGTTCTGTCTTTGGATGCTGAATATAGTTGGTTTGTCCCCCTCCGGAAAGCAAGTCCCGTCACGGCATCACGATGGTTGTTGGGGCCATTGGCGAACATCTTCACTGGCTTCAGCGTCTTTGCGTCATGGACGATTAAACGCCTATCCGCGCCAGCAGTGACCACGAATTTGCCGTCTTGGGATGCTGCAACAGAGAGAATTTCGTCTACGTGTCCCTGGTAGTTCTTGTCTTTGGCCTTGCTCCTGTTGCCCTTCACTATGACAACCTTTTCTGGCTGTCGTTTCGGAGGAGCTGGTGGCTTCTTCGGCTTCTTCTTTGTGGTTTGCGGCCATTGGTATTGCGGCAGGTCTTGAAGCTTCCATTTTATGAGGCAGCGGTCCTTAGTGACAGTATATGCGTAAGGGGCACATGTGGCAACGGACGTAGTGCTGCAATTATTACTCCGAAAAAGTGTGTGAGATGCTCGTTCGAAATCCAGGGTATCGGCAAGTTTCCGGTAGACTTTGCCCTTGGATTCGGCAACATCTTCGCGTAAACGTTCTGCGATAATGTCTCGGTCGATGTCCACCGCATCGAATCCTGTCTCGTCGACTTCCTGTCGGATGTTGTCGAGATAGCGCTCAGCAAGTCGCAAGCGCTTCTCTGCGGCAGTTTCTCCTTCATTTTCCGAGTCAGAATCAGAATCTTCAGGAGCTTCTTCCTCTACAACGTCTTCGCTCTCGGATCCACTCCCGGATATTGACTCGTCGTCGTCGGTCTGTCCCTTCGAGGCCGGTGCTGCGCTCGCTGGTTTGGCCGTTCTTGAAGAACCTTTGCCGGCGAATCTGGGCGTGGCTACGCGCTTCTTTGGGCCATCGGTAATTGACGCTCTCTTCCGCTTTTTCTGGGCACCAGGTATGGTAAAGAAAGACGACATGTTTGGCGATTGTCGTTTCGGTGTTTCTCACACGCCCAAGAGCATCTCAACCAAATTGCTGCCTTCAAAAAGGTTCCTCTCGAAAAAAAAGTTGCAGTATGACAGGGATCTTCGTAGCATTAGTGGGGTGTTTTTGTGGCTCCCTGTGGCTCAACCGCCGAACATCCGATGCAGCTGTACCCTGAAGCTGTGACGATTCGCAAGGCATTTGAGGCTGACGGCCAGGCTGTAGCTTGCCTGCGCGTCAACGGTAGGAAAGCTCAACCTCCATCTCAAGACGGCGGCGACCAGCACTAGACACGGGAAATATCACGACACACACTCTTCTTCCCCACTAGACAACTTGGTGGACGATCAGCACGAACCCAGATCCTTTTCTGAATTTCTTGCAGTTGGGCATCTCAACTTGCTACTTCGCGCCATCCCACGATTGAGACTTCGCTGTTCAACCAACCCACCACGCCGCAAAGATGGAGGTTCTTCTGGGTATCACCGGCAAAGACTTTGTGCTCATTGCGGCATCGAAGGCTGCCATGCGAGGAGCAACGATTTTGAAGACTTCGGACGACAAGACCCGGCAGCTGAACAAGCACACTCTTACTGCTTTCTCTGGAGAGGCCGGCGATACTAGTGAGCTATTCCGATGCGATGACAGCTGAACAGCTCAAGCCATGCTAACTCGTAATAGTCCAGTTCTCGGAGTATATCCAAGCCAATGCCCAGCTCTACTCAATGCGCAACGAGACCGATCTGTCGCCGAAGGCCCTGGCCAACTACGTTCGAGGTGAACTCGCATCCAGCCTGCGGTCGCGCAAGCCCTACAACGTGAACCTCCTGCTGGGAGGTGTCGACCCCATCACAAACAAGCCCAGCTTGTTCTGGCTCGACTACTTAGCGGCGCTAGCACCCGTACCCTACGCAGCTCACGGCTATGCACAATACTACTGCCTATCGATCCTGGACAAGCACCATCAACCCGACATCAGCCTGGAGGAAGGAATCAAGCTTCTAGTGCTCTGCACCGATGAATTGAAGAGACGGATGCCCATCGATTTCAAAGGCATGACGGTGAAGGCAGTGACGAAGGACGGCGTCCAAGTGATTCCTTTTGACGATGACAAAATTGTGAAGAGCGCTTAAGGATGCTGCAGCGGTGGGCTGTGAATACTTGCCGTGTATATTACGAAACAGGGAAAGATGGCACCACGACCGGCTCAATAGATGTCATGGAATGAACAGGCACTATTTCGTTGTTGAACTACTGCATTGCACTGACACATACCTATGGGTTTCCCATCTGACAGTTGCCTATAATCAAGTTCTGATCTAATTCTGATGCTTTACTGACTGCCTAAGTATTCAATTCAAGCTAATATCCAGATTCAACGTACCCTTCTGCGAGATTGCCGAATCTGAACAGAATCTGTTAAATATGATATTGCGCAAAGACCACTGCTTTGCATACCACATCAAGTTGACCGGGATGCTCATTGTTACAACCCCAAGTGCACTACTATGTAACTTTCAAGGATGTCTATAAGTTTCGATTTGGCAAGAGAACAATACTCTATCTTTTGGTCTTTGTTTCTGATTTGATCACTAGTGACGAAACTGCAACAATACATTCGTCAAGTAATAGTATACTGGTAGCGGTGAGCCTAAATGCAGAGAAGAGTACAATGCGATTCAATATCACTGGAATTTGTCTGTATGTTCTCCTTCTCCTAGTTGGGCGGTGAGACCGTGCATGTTCAAACGCTCCCAAATCACACCTGTGGCAGGTCACCAGTTCCCGGCAGGCTTCCTATTGGATCAAGCCCTGCAAAAAGTCTAGGCAAGTTGCCTTCAGACGTCAGGGTCCACCACACAGACAAGGCTAAGAATAATGAGGACCGGATTCTGTAGGTCACTCTAAATGGGCCAGATGACAACCGCATGAATGAAGATTTGGAAGATTTGGCAACTTCACTTTAGGGCGCATCACTGTTGATAGATACCTTCATGCGTCACAAATGAACAAAGACAGCCTGATGCTTGGGCCTGTCAAGGTAGACCGACCAACACGTCAAAAACGTGGGGGATAGATTCCACGCCTTGATGACATGCTCTTCCCAGCATAAAATCAGGAGAACAATGATTTCGCCACGCAGCTTGTGTGTACTTTATCTACATACCAACCTTTGGTCAAATTGCCATCAGCATCTGCATTTGAATGATAAGACAAAATAGATAGGGGACTTGATTGATTCAAGGTTATAAAGATTGCAGACGTGCCACATCCATGATGACTCGTTCCCTGAAAGCCAAACACAGCCTAACGCATCATCACAGTAGAATTTTCAAGTGGTCATTGGCAGGTCACACCAATTGCGGTGGCCATTTTGCTGGGCAGAGGACAGACTAGTTTGAGTGTGCGCAGCTGCGTTTGATGCAAGACCAGGGGATGAGGATTTGGGGGACGCACTTGCCTCACAAATTTTTTAGTGCACTTTGAAACCGTCTACTCTCCCGTCATTATTAAACCTCCCCCACCACTTCCCATTTTCCATAAACATAACATCCATCATCCTTCTCCCCCTTGGACTGGAATATTTCGTCCATCCGCACTGCATTTGGTCTCTTGTCTTCTTTTCCTTTGAATTCTTTCATTTAGAGGATCTTGAAGACTTCTAGACGTGATCCTGAGCAGCATCTGCCCAGAGTCGCCAACAGACGCACCTGCCTAATAATTTCGACAGAGAAGACAGCAACAGCCTGCCTTGTTCTCTTTTTCTGCAACACCCTCTGGTCCGATTTTCTTTCTACTCAAGGAAATCAAATCTAATCAGGATTCTTCCTGCATTATCTGCCCACTCATTCGACATCCGTTTGACAATAATCGGCCGGATCCCGCAACGCGAAAAATTCTTTTCTGCCAACTACTTCGTCACATCAAAACCACGCACTCCACGCGATCAACCAGTCAACAACAACACAAAAGATGGCTGAACAACTGAACATGGGCGGCTTGAGCCTTGCCGAGCAGCAGAATGCTCCCCGCTCCTACATCCCTCCTCACATGCGAGGCAAGATGGGAGGTGCACCTGTACCTGCGCCTGGACCTGGTCCTGCACCTGGTGCCAACCCTGCTGTCAACGGTGGCCTGAACAACAGCGCCTGGGCTGGGTAAGTTGACGGTTTTCTCCCTCCCTCGCTTTTCACCATGGAGCACCTTCCGTCTGCATTATCCACGTACGTTCGAGACCATTTTATTGACTATTCACGTCTATAGTAACAACAGCTACGATGCTCGTCCCGCTCCTGGTGGGTGGGGAGGTGCTCCCGACTTCCCTCCTCCCGGTCAGGCTGCTCCCCCGCCTCCTGGCCCCCCGCGTACGGCACCCCAGAACTGGAATAACAATCGTCCTGGTTTCGACCGCAACGCCTACGGCAACCCTGGTCAAGGCGGCCAAGGTGGTGGCCAGGGTGGCGGTTACGCTGGCGGCTCTGCCCGTGGCGCCGGTGACGGATCTTGGAAGGATGGAAAGCACATTGCCGGCCCCGCCAACCCAAGAGTCGAACGAGAGCTGTTCGGTACCCCAGACGACTCGTCCAAGCAGCACACGGGTATCAACTTCGACAAGTACGATGACATCCCCGTCGAGGCTTCCGGCCAGAACGTTCCCGAGCCCGTCCTGACTTTCACCAACCCTCCTCTGGATGACCACCTCATCCGTAACATCGGCCTCGCCCGTTACACCATTCCCACTCCCGTCCAGAAGTACTCGATTCCCATTGTCATGGGTGGACGTGACTTGATGGCCTGTGCCCAGACTGGTTCCGGCAAGACGGGTGGTTTCCTCTTCCCCATCCTGTCTCAGGCTTTCCAGACTGGTCCCTCTGTCGCTCCTGCCGGTGCTGGCGGATTTGGTCGTCAACGCAAGGCATACCCTACCTCTCTCATTCTCGCCCCGACACGTGAGCTTGTCTCCCAGATCTATGAAGAGGCCCGCAAGTTTGCCTACCGCTCCTGGGTTCGCCCCTGTGTGGTCTACGGTGGAGCCGACATTGGCTCTCAGCTTCGTCAAATCGAGCGCGGCTGTGATCTTCTTGTTGCCACCCCCGGACGTCTTGTCGATCTCATAGAGCGAGGCCGCATTTCGCTCGTCAACATCAAGTACCTTGTCCTTGATGAGGCTGATCGTATGCTTGACATGGGTTTCGAACCCCAAATTCGCCGAATCGTTGAGGGCGAGGACATGCCCGGCGTCCAGAACCGCCAGACTCTTATGTTCTCCGCCACCTTCCCCCGAGACATCCAGATGCTCGCCCGTGATTTCCTGAAGGACTACGTCTTCCTGTCGGTTGGACGAGTTGGATCCACTTCGGAGAACATCACCCAGAAGGTCGAGTACGTCGAAGACGTCGACAAGCGCTCTGTCTTGCTAGACATCCTGCACACCCATGGTGCGGGCCTTACTCTCATCTTTGTTGAGACAAAGCGCATGGCCGACTCTCTGTCCGACTTCCTCATCAATCAGAACTTCCCCGCTACATCAATTCACGGTGACCGCACTCAACGCGAGCGTGAACGTGCATTGGAGATGTTCCGCAACGCTCGGTGCCCCATCCTCGTTGCTACCGCCGTTGCCGCGCGTGGTTTGGATATCCCCAACGTCACCCACGTTGTCAACTATGATCTCCCAACTGACATTGACGACTACGTTCACCGAATCGGTCGTACTGGTCGTGCTGGAAACACTGGTCACTCCACGGCCTTCTTCAACCGTGGTAATCGTGGTGTTGTCCGTGATCTCCTGGAGCTCCTGAAGGAGGCCAATCAAGAGGTTCCTGCTTTCCTCGAGACCATTGCCCGCGAGAGCTCATTTGGTGGCGGCGGTGGCCGAGGTGGTCGTGGAGGAGGTGGCCGTGGCCGTGGGCAAGGTGCCAATCGCGATTTCCGAAAGTTCGGTGGTGGTGGTGGTGGTGGCGGCGGCGGCAGCGGAGGTGCTGGCTTTGGCGGTGGCTTCAACGGTGGCCCACCTCAGGGAGGTGCTGGCTTCGGCGGTAGCTACGGTGGAGGTGCGCCCCCTGCTGGAGGATACGGTGGTGGTGGCGGCGGTTACGGAGGTGGCGGCTATGGAGGAGGCAGCTACGGCAACCCAAGCGGACCGGGCGGCCAGGCCTCCTGGTGGTAAACTTGCCGCACACCCCAAGCCCCTGTTCTTTTCCGGCATTTCACTTCTGGCAGCCGTTCACCGCGGCGGACATGGGCGGGTGATTTCATCCCGCGGTACATACACTTCCGATATTCGTCTTTTCCCACGTTGACGCTTGCTTTTACGGCAGTTATTGGCATTTCTTCGACACTCCGACGCAGCACACTCCCTTCTACTTTGCGGAACTGAGTTCCAGCCTTCCCACGATTGGCACGGCACAGAACTCTGACTCACGATAGACGGCATTTGACTTTATTTCGGCTGCAACCCCCCCCCAATGCATGATACCCATAGAAGACGCAGGGGAACATTTACGAGCAGCTGCATGAGACGCGTGAAGGTCACACACGCAACTTCATCACGCAAGACTTTTCCAGGGACATTTGACGGTACATGTCCTGGAACCGAGTCATACGGACGCATCATGAGCGCGTCTGGTCTGCTTCGATGTTACCTGATTTCGCCTTTGCAGGGGGCGTCTAGAAAGCTTCCCGCTTCCTCATAGAATGGGGTTATGCTCCGTTGCATGGCCGCTGATTTTGTTGATGACACATTCATAGACGAAAGTGGATTTCTCGGTTCTCTGGTCGGCAGGCTCACATGGGGGCACGCCCACGGCAAGGGAACATAGAGGGCTTATGAACATAGAACGGTACTTCCGAGGGTCCAGCAACGGAAAAACTTCAGGCGTCTCGGCAAGCAGGCAGATGGTTCCAGACCTCTCTTGAGGATTCTCCTTGGCATGTGAGAGAATCTTCGACTACGAGTTCAATTTGGAATTCCTGCTCTTTCGATAATGGCATATGGATCAGACTAGACTTCCATCTGCCTGCAAGATAACTGGCAAAATGGACGACAGTGGCTTTGCAAGATATCGGCTGAGATGGTTTCGGCCCTTTCGGTTTTCAAGCTGTGGTGGACCAACACATTGATCCATCGACGGACTGAGAAACTCCCAAATAAAAAAGTTTCATACTTCTGACTGATTTTCGTCGACTTCACTATGTTTGTGGATGTTTGCTCCATTTCTCAATTGATTGTTGTGTGCAAGTTGCGTGTCTTTTTGAGATATTCCTGCTGTCTTCTACAACCGTCCAGTGACTGGTGTGCTAGCTGCTTGTCAGGTTGAGGGCAGCTTTGATTCACCGTTGAAGTTGAAGACTTGGTGTAGTAAAAGACTCTTATAATAATACTGTACTGCTGAAGACCTAACCGCGTTGGCCACCATTTTGAATGCACCCCCATTTTCTCGAGCAAATATTAATACGCAACTCCTCAACATGCGATTTCCACAACTATATACAAAATGAATAATCTATCGAAATAAGAATCCTGAAAATTTTTAGCAGCATATCGAATAAGCTATCCTATTTATCTATAGTGGAAATACGTACAATTCGGCGGCCGCGTGACGAGGCAGAGGTACTGCGAGTACGAATCAAGGGTACGATATTGGTGTATCTCTGTTGACGAGTACTGCACTAAAGAAGAGAGAGCAAAGGTTACAATTCCAGGTGCCCGTTCCTCCGTTATTAGGAGAACGCGCGTATACGGGTGGGACAGCCCAGGGTGTCCAGGTGATAGGCGTCACACGACGGGATTCGCCCTTTAACCCTCTCGTACCAACTTCACGAGACAAAATCGTATTGCAACGCTACCATTGACCAGACCAGTAGAAGCCTTACTAGAGAATAAGAGGTGATTGTCGTCAACTAGATTATACATGAAGAATCTACAGGAGACCTCCTAGTTAGGTTTCGTTACCGATTTCGCCTAGGAAATATCAAAGGCCGAGAAGACTGTACGTTACTAGGTCTATACTAGATCAACTACTTCTTTAAGCTTTATCTAGATGTAGATACTCTGTTAAACCAGCGGACGGGTAGATCGATCGCGAATTTGAGTACGCGATTCGAAAGTCTCGGACTTCTATGTTATTCTTTGAAAGCTACGATCTAAGTATAATATAGAGGAAACTAGTATTTGCAAGAGCGAGAACGAGTAGGGTATAGTAATTAAAACGTCCTCTTTTTTAATAAAAGAATCTCGTTTGTTATACTGTCCTATGGAAGCCGACGGCTTATGAAGATAGTAGGTCCGAAGACCTGAGGTATAGCGGGCTAAACTACCTCGTCCTATATACAAGTATGTAACAAAACCTCTAATAGTCTAGCTGCGTAAACCACTAAAGAGTCTTGTAAGGGTTTGTGCTAGTAAGTGCGTCCTGCTACGGAGTCGTTTGATCCTTGTACCTTTGTGTCCACCTGGCCTGCCAGCGGGCCTTCTGTGTTGTGTAAGGGTCAAGGGCCGGTCATAGACCGTGACAATTGGTTAGAGCCAACGGTTCGTAACAAAGTATAACCTTGTACTACGAATTTGTATCTTCTATAACTATTGTTTTTCCCTCGCACTATCAGTTTTCTGAACTTAACACGGAGATTAAGTTCAATATCGGTGTAGGGCTGTGGGTTCTTTCTAGTAGGACGCCGAACTCTACTAAATTCTTTCCCTTATCATTTTCGCAGTAGGCATGCGTAGTCCCTATAACCGCCGTGGACCTAGGCATTAGTACATGTTACAGCAGCTTATACACTAGCTAAGCTTAGGACCACTAAATTTCCTCTTTATACCGCGCATGCGTAGTAAAATTAGACGCGTTAACGTAGTACTTATAGATCGAATATATTGACTTAGGGATAGGATTTTTCGGTGTCGGTTTTCAGACGAATTATATAAGCGTGTTCTTGACGGTATTGAAGGATCTGTGTAGATAGACACTCTCTTGACGGAAAAATCAAGCGGCCCAAGTCTGTAATTAATGATATTGTCGCCCGTTGAAGAACTAGTTGTTATGATGACCTGTTGAGGTACTTTTACTGTTCCAATAGATCTTGATACAAAAAGGTAGGGGGACCCACTGGTTAGGTGAATCCCATTCAATTAGATACTATAACGTTGCGCACTGCTGCATTATAGCATCCTTCCCCCTAGGTGCACGCATCAGATCTGCTTGTGCCTGTTGAGGCCATCATTCCTCTGCTCACCTGCTGAGGTAATGCCGTCCTAGGACCTATTGAGACCCTATTTTCTTTGTGCCTGTTAAGGCATAGCCTGCGAGGCACCAGTTTTTAGTACCTGTTGAGGTACTTGTTGTTCTGATCGGAGCAAGAAGGCTTCGATTTTGTTGGTCTTTCCATCTCCCGGACAGTAAGGTCTTGTCGAAGATCTTGTCGTCTGTCGCCATCATCACAACACCTTGAACCTTCTGGCATTCACTGCCCGTCGTCAATATCGGCTATTAGTATAGATAGACTCTAGTTTATATATTTACGAATATTATACTATAGTATAGTTATTACTAGGCTAAAACATACTAGAAGGGCTAGAGTAATGTAACGAAAATCTCTACTGATCTAGCTGCGTAAAGCACTAAAGTGTCTGTAAGGTTTTGTGCTAGCAAGTAAGTCCTGCCGTCGGGGTCTGGAACAATATCAAAGGTACGTATGGAAAATTGTGCTTAGGTAACTGAGTAATGAAGTGTTATGTGCGAATAAGCCACAGTAGCTCATAAGCCTTGGGTAGCTGGTGGGCTCCAGTGGCGCACCGAGTCTTAGCCTATGCAAGGGTTGGAAAGGTACAAATAGGCTACTGTGACCCCCCTATCTTGAGGAGGAGCAGCGATTAACTTGTCGTAATTGAGCTCCCTACACTACACCGCCGGTGCCCACCAGGTGACCAGCACCCGACCTCTCTCTAGCACTCTCGTCCTTCACCAAGGGTAGTTCGAAATAGAGTCGTTAAGGCAACGTGCCTTAAAAGAGTTTCAAAAAAAGTAGTGCATATTAGAAGTCTACTAGAAGGCTTGTAAGGGGGTCTTTATAGTCTATAATACTAAATCTACTTAGTGATATAGCGGTATATAACTATTTAATCTAGAGATGCTAGTAGAAATATCGAGACCTACTAGAAAGATAATCCCTAAGCTAAAGGAGCTAATTAAGCGTGTTATACCGCCTTAGAGATCTCCGAAGAATACTATTGTAGTGGGGCCAGGCCGGTCATCAGGGAAAATGGGTGACAGGGGGCAGGAAGGACTCCCTTTTCTTCGCTTCAAGATGTACGCCGGGACTGAGGACCATCTTCCCTTAATCATCTCTTTCATTATCTTCTTCTCAACCTTCGTTTTATTTCAGTTAGTTAGTCAATCTTGAGCTTATTCATTTTCACATACACATGCATTCAGACGTAGCTTTCAACAATCCATTATTCTGCTCTTATCTCAGCCTTGACAACTACAGGAGCCTTCATATTGTGCTGACCAGATCAACCCAGTGCTAGTGACATCTTCAATTCGACTCCCAAAGGCAGGCGTCCTATTCTGTGAATTGTGCCGTCGTTAGTTGCAGAGGCACATCCGACCAACTTGCGCATAAGACCTGTAGAAGCTTTGCTCCTACAGCCAGCACCGCGATCTTCATCTGTTGTCACTGAAGCCGTCTTTTCAGTGTGTTAGTTGGTGGGTATATCCTACTGACCACTTAACCCCGTTTCACTATTTATACTTTAAGTAGTCACGCGACTTAGGGAAGATTTCTCGCGAGATACGATCGCTTTTAGAAAAGGTGTAAGGGTATGCAGGGCTTAAAAGCGTGGATAAGCTAGGATTCGAGCATGAAGTCCTTAAACTGTTGAATCTTCTAGTCTACGCGGGGCAGTTAATCACGGGCAGCTATTCCTTATAAAAGACTAGTAAGACTATTACTACTAGCGCTATAAATATAGCCTAGGAAAAACTTGAAATCTGGAATTTGAGAAAGAACTTAATAAAGCTACTATAGAAGTTCACTGGGCCGTTAAGCCTAGTTAAATAGAGCATTCACTAACTTTGTAGTGATTAGGAACAGCTAGAAAGTAACGCTTTTCTTAAAAGATCTTAAGCTGTAGTGTTACTTACTGATATCTCTTGAAAATAGGAGTGTATTCAAAATGGTAGTTAATGCGTTTACTACATTCGAATGAACAATTGTCCGACTTAGAGACTTGTCAGGGTAAATCCTTACTCGTCTTTACTCTCCTAGAAGAACTGATAAAATCCCGCCTTTATCCAATTTGACTTCGCTAGAAGAATTATAGAACAAGTAGCAATCCAACTTTACTTCGGTGGAAGAACTGTAGAATAACCTGTTTATACGGTTTAGCCTACTAGGAGATACGCTGAAGTAATGCAATTATTCAAGGCTATCCTAATTGGAAGACGTACCGAACTGAATTAGTTGTTCGAGGTTATCCCAGCCAAATACGGGATGATATTAGGAAGGGCGGGCGGCTTCTCACTTTAGGTCCTTGAACTTCTAGCTTCATGTCAGCATCAACTGCAATGTGCAGGAGCTCAGCGATCACAGTGACCGTCCCCGTATCTGTGTCAAGTACATGATATCTGATGACGAAGCTAGAAGATATTTGTCCAGTCTTTGCTGCCATAGAAGCTAGGTATAAGCTGCCACGACCGTGCCTGACTACGGCAAGAAAACACTCGCAATACCGTCCATCGTTGAACCAAACGCAAATTCTCTGTCCGCCCCTAACCATGACCATTCAGCATAAAGCACCAAGTAGAACGCCACACACCCTTCCTTTGCCCATTATACACTTTCCCTATATCCCCATCCAATTCGTATCAGTAGATGCTGTCGGGTGTGACAGAGGTGAGTCCAGGAAGACTTGTAGCTCTTCCTGCTGACACGATACCTGGTTCAGCGCTGCTGTATGAAGAAAAGATGGACTTGTACTCCAATAGAGCACCGAAATTCTACAGTGCCGAGCCATCGGAATCCTCATCATCGAGTCCCAACAAGGCCTTCTCGACATCGTTGAGCTCCTCATCTTCATCTTTTGCATCTTCGCCCCCGCTCACCATGCCAAGAAGCTCCTTACTGACGTCGTCGAGGTCATCAGCATCATCCATAGCAACATCACCGTTAACGTCCCCATTCAGTCTGTGCCCGCTAACTCCGTTGTCTCCCCCGTCAGATAGGTCACCAGACTCGCCTCTATCGAACGTTTCATCAGGCGAGACGGGTCGGTGTGATCGCTTCTTAGTCGCAGGTATTACGCCGAGCTCGGGACCGCCGCGCAAATCCCATCGTTCGAGGCGGCGGCCTGCCCGTCTCATGGCAGCTGAGTACGAGCTGAACTCTTCGCCGAAGTCGTCTACTTCGACGGTAAGTGGACATAACCCGCCAAAGCCCACATCCCGGAAGGGCAGCGCCGCTTGCTTCTGCATGGCATAGGGAACATGATCCTCGTCATCGCTGTCAATGAGCGGGTCCGGCATGAGATCCAGTCGATGCCTGGCGCGAATTATGGCGCCTTCTTGTCGACGTAACTTACGGGCCTTGCGATGCTCCTTCCGGAGCCCTCGGTCAAGGATGTACTCGACTCGTTGGTTGCGGTTGCGCTCAACGGCTAATTGGTGCGCGGTGGGCGGCCGCGGCTTGCGGGGAACAATGCCATCGAAGTGAGAGGAAGGGCCGGCGGGAGATGAAGCCTCAAATAGCTGGTGCTTAAGGGGAGCCCCACCCCTCCGTGCGGTGCTGTTGGCCCCAAGACGACCGAAAGCTCTCGGCGGAGGTGTGGACCTGGTGCTGTCAAGATCTGATTCGTGCTTGGATGGTCGAATTCGCGGGAGAATGGCAGCTGTAGGCCCATCTTCCAGGAGCCTGGCTTTGGAGCCTCGCTTCGTAGGTTGCTCTTGAGAAAAGACCTGATCGGCGGCGATGATCTTGGCTCTGTGAGCTTGTTTTTCGCGGCCAAACTCGAGCTCCAGTTCAGTATCAATATTCTCCGCCTCTTCCTCCTCCTTCGTCATTAGCTTCATCTCGGGGACACCTTGATTGGCTACATCTTTACCATAGTCGACGCCTGCTCCGAAGGGATTTTCCTCACACCCCTCTTCCGTGAAGTCGGACTCTAGGTAGAACCACATAAGCCATAGGAAGGCATTCGCTCGGGAGTGACTGGTATAATTCGTCTTCATGATCAAGTCGTGGAACTCGCCGTCGATGGGAAAATGCAGCTCGGCCACTTGTGGGGCCTGCTGGGCGATGAGGAAGATGAGGTTGACGGGATTGGTTCGCGGCATGGCTGCGTCCTTGAAGTCGTTGAGCGTCTTGGGCTCTGAGGGTCGGTCCTCAGCCGCCCCCTTCAAGATGGATTTCAATCTTGGAGCGTCTTGCAGCTGCTTGTAGGCAGAGGCATCTTGGTGAGCCTGCAGCGACGGAATGGCGTGGTACGTTCGCAGCTGGGCCCGCATCTCGGGGAAGACTGATGTACATTCTCGTTAGCTAGGGCCATATAACGCATGACGCAGAGCCGAAATGGCAGATGCAGGACTTACAGTTAAGAGTTGTGTTCATGCGGCCAACATTGACAAGGAGGCAGACCATGGCCATGCTCTTGGCGGCTTCATGATCACTAAGCAGTTTGTCGCGCAGAACCTTGCTGGTCTTGCTACTCCTCGCCATGGTATCGATGTAGAGCTCGGCAAAGTTCTGCTTCTCCGTCGGGTTGTGGTCGTAACTGTTGGTGAAGACCTTCATGTCGTTGTCGAAGACGGCCCTCAGGAAATCGTACTGAATGTCCTTCCGCCACAGAGGCTCGCCATCGTCTTTCTTGAGGTGTCTGATCTTGCCAACGGTGCCGAATTGCGCAGCCGCCGCCGCTGCGTTGGCCTGCGAGCGGCGTGATCCCTTCTTCGCAGGCCGACTTGGTCCCTCCACCATGCTGGAATCTGGTACGCCGCCTGTGTTGTCGCTGTCGTATGGGTTTCGACTTCTTGAGGCACTCGGCTCTGGGCTTGACCCTCGCGACGAAGCGCTTCGGAATCCGTTTTCGTCGCTCGCCATTGTGAATTAAGGTTGAGACCCACGTGTTTGCCTGATAAAAGGGTGATTTAATGAACAAACAACGGAAGCCACGATGCGACCGGATGCTTCAAGAAGGGCAATCACAACTGCTGGCTGGTCAAAGCGGAAACGACGATGCCTTGGCACTTAAGCCAGGGCAGGTGCTACCTGATTAATTTTGGGTTATAGGCGTGTCATCTCCAATGGAGAGAAATCTTATAGAAGCGAAGTTGATGTTTTATCGCCCCCGGGGAATTCGAAGCTTGATGTGGTCGCGTTACTCCCTCCCCATTTAGCATCATAAAGCCCGAGCCACATCTTATTTACTGTAACGAGAACGCCACAAAGGACGCAAACGTTGGCCTCCCGTCCTTCCAATGTCATCAAATTTGTCTGGCAATAAACAAAACTCAATCTGATTCCGCAACATACTTGGAGTTGTTCCATGGGATAATAATGGGGGTTTTTTCATGCAGTCACAGTGCCTGTTCCACGGGACAACGCTATAGGAATCTCTGATTGGTCTCGGAGCAGAGAGGCTACTCCTTGCTTCTATGCAATTGAGTTAGTTGATGGCTGTCATTGACTGGGCAAAGATGTACGAAGGAAACGTGCAATAGAACGTGCCTCTTCTTATATTCCTAGCACCACTCGCTCCTCCCGTTAATTCTAGCCATTATGCTAGTGGGTAAAGCTCTAAAATATATCAACTCCGCGGTTCTGAACAAGGAATGCATGCTATATTTTCAAAAAGAAGAATCAACACAGCTTCGAAATATTCTTCAATCTGCAGGTTCGATCACTTGAGCATTCGCTTGCAAAATACATATATGTATGCTGCATGCCTCTACCATGACAAGCAACGAGTGTAGCGTAGTTCCCCGACGTGTGTGCAAGTCGCATACCTATCAAGTTGGTGTCACGCGGACAAACCACCACCACATCTCACTTAGACACAACTGTACGCGCATGCTTGCCACTTCCCCAACGAACTCGTATTGCAAAGTAAAACAGTGATATAACACTACCGTTCCTCATAAAGCCGTACAATCTTGTACATACCAGGGGGTTCATGGGATTCTGGATAACTGACTCTCAACGTGCCCCCACCCCCTTCCCCATATTCTGCTTTGCACTACTCAGCTGCAACTTGGCTCCAACGGGCAGAAAACTTCTCCCAAGTTGCCCAGAGTCCAGTCTGACCAGCAAGCAGAAAAGGGTTTCCGCTTTCCAGATCCAGAACCTCCTCCCCGATTAAGAATATCTCTCGAGATGCAATGATTTCACGCCGCCCTATCCTCCTTTCTGCTCTGCAACACCATCCCCAACATCTCGAACTTGACTGAAATAAACTTGACGTCGCCCATGTCTACGTCCTCTCATCACCGTCACCGATACCATCACCACCACCAAAACGTCCTTCCAGAGCCGGAGGGCCCAACCAACCACTAGATTTTCCTATCCACAATTGCCAGGCCAGGGTTCCGGGTTCCGGATTTCGACTTTTCACGTTCAGAAAGTTCGTAATAGATACGTATATACGTTAGTGAGGGACATCGTGATCGTACTAATCATCCATAGGCGCATCCACCAGCTGGACGCCATGGGTAGCCGGGATTTTCTCCTCGCCCACGGTCGGCGTCGAGGGCGTTCCCGCAGCGGCAGGCGTCACCCGTCTTCCGCGCTCAAACCGCACGCTATTTCGGTTCAAGCTGTTCCGTTTCTCGGCGACACTGCTGCTGGCGGGAGATTCTCCGTCCGCCTTGACGTCGCCGTTCATACCGTTCACGTCGGAGTGCACGGGGACGGGGCCAGTGACATCAGGGACCTCTAGACTTGCACGTTTCGTGGGACCGCTAAAGCGGTTGCGTTCGGTGGTCGTCGTGGGGCTGGTCTGGATAGGGAATCTTGTCTCGGCGCCGCCTACGCTTCGGTCGCGCCTGTGCCTCGGGCTGGGCGCCGGACTAGTGGCTCTAGAACGTCCGCCGACTTTCTCCAGCAGAGCACGTTGGCGTTCCTCCATGTGCGCACGTCTGTTGCTCTCGTCGGTGCTGATGGCCCGAGGCCGGTTGTTCGAGGTTACGGATCCTGTGTGCGAGACCGATGACATGCGCTTCAACTCGGAGAAGATGGCGTCTTTGTGGGCGAAGAGGTCGCGGATAAGACGGTAGGCATGCTTCTCTTCGAGCGTGAGCGATGTTTCGGTACGCGGCCGCAGGATCGAGGGTGCCAGCGAGGTGGCCAACGCCGCAATATACTGCTCATCGGCTGAAGTGAGGTCGATGAGGCGGGTGAAGTGGTTCATGCATGCATCCAGTGTCGCAATATTAGTGAGGCGGAGTTGAGATAGTGTTTGTTGGAGGACGCTGATGCGGGCTGGTTCTGTTGCGTCTGCAGTGGGCGTGGTATAGATCGTTCTGATGATCTCATAGACGTGAGATGAGACCAACGAGTCTGGATTACGGTGGTTAGCAAAGTTTCTTGCCAATAGAACAGTTCGAACATACCAGGCAGTTCCAGAAGATAGAGCTTAAGCACGCTTGTAACCGTCGGGATATCAAAGTCAGATAGGACTTCAGGGGAGAATGGTTTGCCGTTATTGATCTTGGCCCTTAGCTTGTGGGTTTGCGCAAGCGGAACCTCTGCCAACCAGACGTTTCGTCGAGCCTCGTCGCCATCCAAGTTAGGGTAGTGGTTGTCGAGGTACGTCAAGAGGGTCGTGATGATGACAGGCACCCGCTTTTTGTCTGCCCTCGCGCGAGCCTCCAGGTCTACGCCGAACGTCTGCTCGTCCACCTTGTTGTAGTAGTTTTCGTACGTTACAACCTTGGGAGAAAAGCTTCCCGTGCGGTAATTCTCAAGTAGGTAACGCAAGTCACCCAGTGGCTGCACGGTCTCTTGATACAAGACCATGTGATCCACAGTTGCTTGCAGGCTGGGAATGACATTGCCAATGGTGCCCGAGAAATCGAGGATAACAGTCTTGATGGCCTTTAGTCTGTCCAACTCGCAACGCTCGAGGAACCTGAGGTGTACGAAGATGGCCTCTTCAAGCTCGCAGCGCATCTCGTCGAGCTTGCGGACGCCGTCCTTATACTTTTCATCAGCCTCCCTTGCCTCGCGGCGCAGACGCTCGGGGGGAGTCTCGTTGGGATGCTGATTGTTGAGAACGTTCCAGCCGGCTAAGTACTCGCTCATAACTCCGACAACAGGCGAGTTGTCTCCACTCTCGGTCGATGTAGGCAGGGAGAATGTCCTGGCCATGGGCGCCTTCTTCTCCGGTACGCCCGACAGTTGGAAAGCTTTTGGACGCCATTGGTAGAAAAGCTTGGAGCTGTTGGCGAAGTTATTGCCCACGTTACCAACCAGACGAAGAAACCCGTTTTGAACCAGATCCTGACCTATGCGCTCGGCATAGCTCACAGTCGTAGTGCCCATGTGCCGTTGCAGGTACTCGACAATGTCGGAGCCAGCTGAGGTGTTGAGGTAGGTTCCCAGAATGGGCACCTTGGTCTCGCCGATCTGGATGGTGTTGAGCATGTGAGCGAGTATCTTCTTGATCTGTTCCAGCTGGTATGTCTCGTCGCCGATCTCATACACTTCCTCGTCGTCTTCCTCGACTTCTTTATTCTCCGAGACCATTATCTCGGGGATGACCTGAGTGGCCGGCTTGGGACTGGTCTCAGGATCCTGGAAAGCGAGCTTGTTCTCCTCCTCGAGGTCTTCCACCAAACGGCACTTGTTGAAGTAGGTGCTGCGCAACTTCTTGATAGCCTCGGCTTGGCGGTCGTGGGCCTTGATACGCGCCTGCAGTTCATCTTGCGACTCCTGTATGCGAGATTCGTGAGCATCACACCATCTTGCAAACGGGTTCACCACGAGGTCTCGTATGCTCTGTGCAATCTTTCTATGACTCTTGGCTGCATCCTCCATCTCGGTCCGCACGCCATCGTAGGCTTTTCGTGTGCTGGCGCCATCGTCGCGCGAGAAGCCACCCGTGATCTTGTCCGCTGTGGGTGCGATATCTGCTAAACGCTGTCCATAGACCTCTTCTGCCTCGGCGCGCATTCGAGCGATGGTCATAACTTGTCGGTTCTCCTGCACACCCTGATGCAGCTTGCCAAACAGCACCCCCAGTCCTGCGAGCATGTGTCAATACTACCGCTCGTTAAGAGGGTATGGTGAAGCTGGTTTTGTTTATCCTTACCTGCGGCGTAGTCTGCCGACCAGAACGAATCTGCAAAGCCCGGCATCGTGAACAACGATTAACGCAATCCGAAAGACGGGATGTCCGTATAGGCGCTATGTGACTTGTTCAGTTGTCGCGTATCGATCGATTTAAGGAGTAAAGATGCATTCCCGTAGTCGGTCGGTCGGTGTAGGTTTGGCGTTTATGCGACGCACGAGGAAGGGGAGGTTCGATGGAGTGAATCCACAGCGATGCGCCACGGCCTTGGATCGACGTGGTACAATCGTCCTGCTCTGGAGTTGCACAAGGCAGGTGTGGTAAGAACGATTCAGCGACGTCTCGCAGTATTAGCAAAAAAGGAATTCAGGCACTTCAAAGGAGATAAAAGGCATGAAGTCCGATATGAAGATGTAGCAGCATTTCGGGATCCTTTGTTTCTGGCTCGGCAACGAGAATGGCCCTTTACTTGCTTGGGTAAAGTATTTGGTACTAGGGCCAAGGCTCAGCACTTGCAGCTGAAGAAACCGCCAGCAAGACGAACTCCATTGGTTCGTGGGAAGCTGACGAACAGGACCATCCTTGCCCACTGTAAAGACCCCGGCCGCGCCCCTGAGACGAAACCCAACCTGAAGCCGCCAACTGACAGGCGGCCTCGTCACGTAACAAAAAAGATCAGTTGGCCCATAAGCCCCAATTTCTAGGTCAATTTCTAGGTCGTGGAGTCCCCAGACCCGGCCGTGTTTCGTCCCAACTCTGCCCCTGTGCTAGTGCAGGTTCCATGAGAATGGCGGTCTATCTTGGGATTTCACAATACGAAAAGTAAACTGTGCTTTTCTTGACAAGGGGCAGCATGATCATAGGGCTATGCGAACTGGACACCAACCATACTTGGGAATCTGGAATGACGTATGGAGTCGTCGGCAGGGCCAGTGCAAGGTAACGAGTTAAGTGCAATGCTGGCCAGAATAATTTATTGCTAGCACCTTCCCAACATGAAAGATTTGACATTTGATATCTGTTGAGAATAATATGAGCACTCTCTCTCTTGATAGAGTGTGGATTCCACTTGGATTCCACTAGAGTGCCCTATTTTTAACATCATTCCCAGAAGGCTGAAAAACTTGCACTGATATTTTAAAGACGCAAGACATATCCCCGCCGAGGAACATTAGATAATGCGCCGACACGAGAACACGGTTCGGTTACCCCCGAGTGGGCCAAGCTAACAATGAACCTGCAATTTGGGAACCCGTGGGCTTGGTACAAGCAAAGATGTGAGCTACTACAGCACATACTCCGAATGCCTCTTCTCTTGCTTGGTGGTTGAGAGTTCTTAACGAGTTGGGGTGTCTGGATTGCCAGTGCACATCCGGTAAGAACTTTGACTGTAATAAGTAGTAACCCAAATCACTGCAAGCCACGATGCAGGAACACTCCAGTGCAGTTCCAGTGCAACGGAACAACTGCAACCGAGGAATCTCGAAATGTTAAGTTGTCACTCCGATGATCAATGTTACCATCAATACGAACAAGTCCTTCGCGGATCGAAAGTATTTGTCAATACAAAATCGGCGTGGGGAACACACTTGGAAAGTGAACCACGGAGCCGGGTACGGTGCCGTCCATCCGCATCTTATCTTCTACTAGCATCCAAGGTAAGACGTCAACAAGTAGATGGGTTGTGTCATAACCATCGCAATTGCACATCTAGAAACTCAATTGAATCCATCATTTATCGTCGATATTTCTCTCTACAGTTTCCCACATCGGAAGCAGGCTGCTGGTTACACAATATCCACACAGGCCGATTAAATCTAGCTCACAACCAGCAACATGGCGGACAAGGTGACCGCGTACAGCAAGGTTGACGCCATGGTAGCCATGGAAGATGCCCGCCCGCGACGGTCCTTCGCCCGGACTGCGGCTGTCGTACTCTTCTCGACCGTGTTTCTAGGCTCGCTTTTGCATTCCACAGGACGATCTTATCATCCAGCCTGCCAAGCCTACTCTCACTTCCGGCCCAAGTCAGTCGAAGAGCGGGTGTACAAGATTCTCTCGGAAACGCCGTTGATAGGTGAGACTATGCTTGTGCACATGCAAAAATAAAAGGATACATCTAATGAGTAAACACTAGATGGCCATAATGATCTGCCCATCCTTATCCGTATGCTGCATAATAACCATATCTACACGGAGAACTTCACGGTTCCCTTCGAGGAAGGAGGTATGCCGATGCATGTCGACCTACCCCGACTAAGAGCTGGTCAAAATGGTGGCGCATTCTGGAGCGTTTTTACTCCGTGTCCTAAGAACGGCTTGGATTTCTCGGATGAGAACTATGCCTCAAGTTAGTATTCATTCACTGTCTGCACATGTCATTATACTGCATTAATACCAATGACAACTGACTTATACGACCTAGGCGTTCAACTCACAATCCAGCAAATAGACCTCGTTACCAGGCTCACAAACGCGTACCCCGAGGACTTCTCCTCTGTGCTCGTCGACTCTAGATCAGCCATCGAAGCCTTCAAACAAGGCAGGCTGATCTCCCCCATCGGAGTCGAAGGCCTTCACCAAATCGGCAACTCGGTAGCAAACCTACGGCATTACCACGCCATGGGCGTTCGCTACGCAACGTTAACCCACAACTGCGGCAACATCTTCGCCGACGCGGCCATCCGGGAGACCCCCGAATTCAGCAAAGCCCCTCCCTACTGGCACGGCGTCTCTGCCCTAGGCAGAAAACTTGTCCACGAGATGAACCGCATCGGCATGATCGTCGATTTGTCCCACGTTTCTGTTGATACCATGATGGACATACTTGGCGGTCATAAGTGGGCTGGTAGCAAGGCCCCTATCATGTTTAGCCATAGCTCGGCTTACGCGCTTTGCCCGCACCCGCGCAATGTACCTAATGAGGTTTTGGGGCTTGTTAAGAAGACTAATTCGATTGTTATGGGTAAGAGTACTGGAAATATCTCATGAGCCATGCAATACTAACAGAAAACTCAAAGTCAACTTCGCCCCCGACTTCATAAGCTGCAAAGACGTAGGCAACAAAAACGGCATCCCGGAACACTACCCGGAGAACAACACGCTCGCCCAGGTCGCAAACCACATCACCTACATCGGCGACCTGATCGGGTACGACCACGTCGGGCTCGGGAGCGACTTCGACGGTATTGGGTCCACCCCTGTTGGCTTGGGTGATGTGTCCAAGTTCCCTGATCTGATGGCTGAGCTGCTGAGGCGAGGGGTGTCTGATAAGGACGCGGCGAAGATTGCGGGTGGGAATATACTGAGGGTATGGAGGGATGTGGAGGAGGTTGCGGCGAAGCTGCAGGCTGCTGGAGAGCCGCCATTGGAGGATGATTTGCCCAGCTTCAGGGCTGGGATGGTGGATATGTAGGATCTTGATGGTGTGGATATGACGTAGGTTTGGGGGCTGTTCCAGTGGTGAGATGAGAAGATCTGAGGTCAAGATATTTTATTATGGAATAAAATCCAATATGATAATTAGATTCGGCATCATTGATTGTGATAAGGGCAATGCTAATATGAAGATATCTCCCATCTATCACCGAAACATGAGTAGCTGCAGTGGTATCCCTGGGTGAGCTTACCCTGAGCAAGTGCGGCTTTGAATATTCATCGACCCGGCAGTCATTCAAGACCTCTTATATCCCAATATGCGCCTGATGTTATCACAATCGACAGCCCCTATCAAAATTGGGATGCTTGCCACATCCATCAGCTGCGTTGTGTGGCGTTGTGTGGCATAGTGGACCGGGAGTCTTTCGCCGACTGACATTATACTCGGCTTCGTATAGACTTGCAAACCATTGGCGGTGCTTTTGTAGGTTGGGTGACAACTACACACCATGATTCTATTCGATTCCCGCGACTGAGCCTTTCCCATCTTCTTCAACCATTTTGTTTGTCAGAGCTTTTTTTGCTTCTTGGCAACGATACCATCTTATCCCATTTTGTTGGCATCTTCAATTCTGTTGTTCCCCCTTTGTGGATTTGCATGTCGTGATTAATTTTGGCTAATCCTTAGCATTTCATTGTACAGCGGTTTCCTATTTCGCAATTCATGATACATATACAGCAAGGAACATCTCTAGGCCATGTGTGTGGTAGTAGGTTTCTGGTGCTCTACCCCTTTTGCCATACCTTGTCACTATCACTAGGCCCGTTCCTCACCTGCCTAACATCCGCACCCATTCGTTCAAATACCTAAATATGACAAGGCGCCGAATACCTTTAACTGTTCCTCACGCGATCTCCACCACCTCTCTCCAGCACATTGAGCTTGCGGGCCGTAGATATCTGGTTCCTCGTCCTCTGTCCACGTACAGGCAGACCCATGGCATGCCTTCGTCCTCTGTATGTTCCCATATCTCGCAAGCGCTTAATGTTCTCCTGTACCAGCCGCCGTGCGTCATTCTCAATGGTCATTGTGGATAGTTCGGCTGTCAGGGATGTAACCGTCTTTGCGGGAAGCGTGCCGAGCTTGGCCAGCGGGTGTATGCAGTACTTGGCCATGATGCGGGCTGATGTCTGGGGCCCTAGGGCGTAGAAACTCTCAAGTGCTTTCTGTGGTGGTTCGGTCAGGTGTTGCTAGTAGTGAAGGGTGTAAGGTAGGCTACCTTGACGAGCTTCTTCTCGTGAAAGTTGACCCCTAAAACGAAAGGCTGGGAAATGTCAGTGGAATAACCAAACAGTGTTTCTCCGTCCGAGTGAACCCACCATCTTGTCTCTTCCACCTGCTGTTGTCAAACTTTCCAATGTCAAATTCAATGTCGTTAATTCGCCCAAAGAGCTCGGGTCCGATATTCAACTTTGAACTCCAGAAAGTCGCGAAACGCACGGACTGCCATGATTCACTAGCATGAGTTCGCTATTCCTTATCGATACCGATGGACCCTCATCCGCCGCTGTCCCGCTCAGGGGATCAATGCAGCAACATCTCCCCAACCGGCTGAAACGTCGCCACATTATTGCAGCCGCCGACTGTTCTTTCCTTTCTACAACATTAACGTCTGGGGAACACAGCAGATTCTCTCCTGATCCTCGGCGACACTTCAATCATACCACTACGTAACACCTGGTCAATTTATCTCCAATCGTGCGAAAATGCTTTCCTTGCGTCGAGCTTTCATCAGCGGTCTGCTGCTCCTCGGAGTCTGCGTTGCCTTGTTCTCTTCGGGCGCCGAGGCTACCAAGGGACCCAAGATCACCCACAAGGTCTACTTCGAAATCACCCAGGGAGATGTGCCCCTTGGTAGAATTGTCATGGGTCTCTACGGCAAGACCGTCCCCAAGACGGTCGAGAACTTCCGAGCTTTGGCTACTGGCGAGAAGGGTTTCGGCTACGAGGGATCTAGCTTCCACCGTGTCATCAAGCAGTTCATGATCCAGGGCGGTGACTTCACTAAGGGCGATGGCACTGGTGGCAAGTCCAGTAAGTAGCTTATTCCAGGGCAATATCCCATCGGAAGGTCACAAGCTAACATTTCTTGCCAGTCTACGGCGACCGCTTCCCTGACGAGAACTTCAAGCTCAAGCACTCCAAGCCTGGCTTGTTGTCCATGGCCAACGCTGGAAAGGACACCAACGGCTCTCAATTCTTCATCACCACCGTTATCACCGGGTAAGTCCAACTGAGTGCCACCGTGGATAGAATCCGAACTGATATTCGGCATAGATGGCTCGATGGTCGCCACGTCGTCTTCGGCGAGGTTCTAGAGGGCATGGACATTGTCACCAAGATCGAGCAATCCCCGACCAAGCCTGGTGACAAGCCGGCGGAGGAGATCAAAATCGTCAAGAGCGGAGAGCTGGAGGTGCCCCCCGAAGGTATCCACGTGGAGCTATAAACCACCCCAACACACTCTGTTCATCTTCAGAAGCTTCTGTCTGGTTTTCTTCCGTCCATTCCCCCGTCTACTAGGCTGATGCGCATGTCCTCCTTCCAGACGACGTTTACGGATCTGCCCAATGGGCCGCGGGAATCTCCACCGAAGACGCTGGAAACCCCATCGAAGAGGCAGTCCCCTTAGCAGGATTCTCTGTTTTCCAGAAGGTCGCCCTCTTCGGTGTCGTCATTGCTATTATTGCAGTCGGCATCAGCCTGTGGAGGCGAAAGGCGAGCCCGGAGGATCAGGGCTACGTGAAGACATTGGCTTAAATGAACTGCATAAGGGGCCTAAGAAGCAATACATATATGGTCTAGCCTGGTGGTTCCATGTCTTGTTCTTGAATTGTGATCGTTGGTACTTGCGATGTGACTTGTGACGAGCTACCCTACCCTGGAGCCGCTCCTTGGACCAACCAGTTAAATCTTCAGCACCAAAAAATTTCAAGTCAACGATTCAAACTCAACTCTCATTTATCTTCATAACATAAAACCAACCACCAGCCCCAAAATGAAGATCTTAAGCCTAAACTTCCTTACCTGTGCGGTGAAGGCCTGCAAAAGCTCCTCAGCTTCGTACCCTCTGCACCCCAAAGACGCCGAGCTGGTACAAGATGACATCGAGCTCAACCCACAACTCTTGGTCAATCTGATGCCCCGCATTGATTGGTCTGCCTTGTCCACGACTGCTACTGAGGTGCGTACATGTATAGCCAATCTCCACACCCACCTTCGCCCAGATTGATATGTTCTGTGCCATTATTTTCTTTGTCAAAGGTGTATTATGGATATTAAAATGATATACACAGCTGGGCTTCCCAGCGCTCCCAGCTCAGCCCCCCACGCCGGAAGAGCTCGAGGCCGACGAGCAGAAGCTCAAGGACTTACACAACCTGCTCATGCAGACGCAGATCATGGAGGGAAAGCTGGTGTGTGGAAACTGCGGGCACGAGTATGCTGTTCGGGAGGGGATTGCAAATTTCTTGTTGCCCAGTCATTTGGTATGATGATCAATCTCTGCGGAGAACGAGATGTTGGTTGGGATGGATAACTGGATGAGCCTGGATTCTGCGAGGAAAAGCACGCTTAGCGAGGCTGTGAGGGATAGAGAGGCAGATGGAGGGTTCTATGGACGGCGTTTTGGCTTTGGGGAAGTTGGGTTGCATTGCAAGTATTCATGCCTGATAGCATTACTTCTGAAGAACCAGCACGGTCAGAAAAGTGTCATGAGGAAAAGACGTCATGCGAACCCGCAGTTACATGGATTGTGAGGTACTGTGCAGCCTTTGATTGCGAAGATTGAGAACATTGGAATTAATGCTAAACTACCTCGGAGCCTTCTTCCACCGAGTACATTAGCTCTATTCCACGAGGAATGAAACTTAGTCCATGAGCCTGATCAAACACTCCTCACATGCAGCGATTGCCGGCGACGTCGCCTCCTGTTTACATACTACCTACCCCGTCTACTGCTGCTTCTTCTGGGCCACCGGACCCACGTCCTTATCAAACGCACCGTAAGAGACTTCAAGGCTGCTGAGAGCCTTAACACCAACTCCCAAGATGGAGAAGAGCACGACGATGGCAACGAGGCCCATGAAGATGCCTGTCATTAGTTAGTATGATAATAACGAGAGGAACAATTCGGTATCCCGTACCAGGCGTAAAGAACTGGTACTTCTCGAAAAGAGGCAGGTTGGTGGTACTGTTAATAGGAGAAGCGTTCCTCGCAACCTGCTGCAGGTGTCTCTTCAGCTCCATGTGCACGGTATCTTGGAAACCAGCTTCGTAGATCTTCGGCTCGCCAGCCAGCGCCTCGGATCGGGGTCCGGACGTGTAGATAACGGTGTACGAGTCCTCCATGTCATACTGGTCCAGCACGATGCCGAGGTCATCATCGTTCTCCTGCACGGTCATGGTGCTGACGCCGGATGTAGGAATAGTCTCGAGGACGACCTGATCCACGGATGGGTTATGACCCTGGCAGGCCTTCTCAATGTAGCTTGTCAGCTCCTTGATGTCGAGCGATCCGGCGACCTCGGCCACGCTGAATCGGCCATCGATCTTGGTGCTTTCTAGTGCTTGTCGGAGTTTTGGTGCCGCGTCGCTGGATCTGAGGTGGCCGGCGTTGAGGTTGGGCTGTGTGATGACGAGGTAGCGGCTGCTTGGGCACGAGGAAAGGATCTTCTTGGCCGAGTCTAGAACGGAGGAGCTCGTCTGGAGCTGTGATTGACTAAGTTCAGGGAATCTGGAGAGCGTCAGTTCCTCGTTCGTCGACCGTAATGCAGACTACCATTCAGGACATACTTGGAAGTAGAGAACATGAGGAAAGGAGACGAGTCGGTGAATGCTTGTGCAGAAGTGCTGCAAGCAGCGAGAGTCGCTGCTACGGAGAGACGCATCGTGAATGTCGCTGGCGATGATCTAAACGGATGACGGTTTAAGATTTAAATACTTGGAGCTCCGTACGAGTAGCTGTCCATAGACGTCTATGTCGATTGAACGGAAAGTTCCGCCAAGGCTGCTAGGGAATCCACACGCACCTACCCTACTGAATCAAGAAGTTTAGCGCTGCAACGTCCCCTGGAAGCTGCTAGGATTAGCGGACCTTGAGCGCCAAAAAGTTTCGCTGCTAGCCTTGTGCGACAGCACTGTAGAAGTCCCAAACGCTTCAGACATCAAGACATCACAACTACAGAACCTGGAGAACTTTGAAAACTTTGCCTTCTCGACATTGAAACATATCGACATATTATCTGAGACAAAGGAGGAACGGGGAGTGACCCGATACCACTAGTCATGTTCGCCCGCCCTCGACCCAAGAAGAGCATTCTTCCGCCCCTCGAAAAGAAGCGAAAAGTCAACCATGCGATAGAGGAGATCTCCTTCGACAACGACGCCCGCGCCGACTACCTGACGGGGTTCCATAAGCGCAAGGTGCAGCGGATCAAGCACGCGCAGGAAGAGGCGGCGAAGAAGGCCAAGGAAGAGAAGATTTTAATAAGGAAGCATGTATGTATTCTTCTTGCCTAGCTTTGGGTGATACGAAGCAGCAAGGTTCTAACAGATTCTTGCAGATGCGAGAAGGGCGTAAAAAGGAAGTCGAGGAACATGTGCAACTGGTTGAGTCAATACTGAGGGAGGCGGAACGGGCTGGTGGGGTTAGCGATACTTCGGATGGAGAGGCTGAGGAATGGGACGGCATCCCCGATGCACCCATCGATGAGCCGGTGGATCATGAAGAGGAGTACATTGATGAGGACAGGTATACGACTGTAACCATCGAGTCTGTCAGTGTAGACAGAGATGGTTTGCATAAGCCCGCGGAGGAGATATCAGAGGAAGAAGCCGCAGAACGGAAAGCTCTAGAGGAGGCACGACAGGCAGCGGCGGCGGCGAAGAGCAAACCCACACATCCTCCGAAACAGAAGAAGCCCAAGTTCAGGTACGAGACGAAAGCGGAGAGGCTAGTCAACCGGCGGAAACTGCAAGCAAAGAAGAAGCAGATGTCTTCGAGAGATTAGATACCCAGATATGCCTACAAACTTGACGAATGCAAGACAGTCACGAAACACATTCGAGTTGACATGGGGGTAATTCATGATGTGACCTGAAATGTAAACCTCAACAATTCTGTGTGCCTAAAACACAACGGCGGTACGGCGGTCCGGCTCGCGAAACCCTGGTAGGTCGACATAACTCAATATTGGCCGAACAGAAAGTAGCCCCTGACTTCCCCCAACAATATATGCCCCCTCACAGCACCACCAAACCCTCGGATCCGTCCTCCTTTTCCAGGTGTTAGATGTTGCCAATCTCGGCCTGGAAGTCCTCAAGCTCCTTCTGCACCTGGGCATACTTCTTGGCCATCTCCTCGTACTTAGACTCCCACTGGTCTCGCTCGTTCTCGAGTGCCTGTACCTTGCGCTCAAAGTGGCCGGCTTTTACGTCAGTCTGGCGGAGCCTGTGAAGATTTGGGCAGCCCCGTTAGTCGTCACGTTCCTCTAGTAGTAGTCGGTAGTCAAACAGGAGCAGGGTGCACTCACTTCTCGTTGGCCTCACGAAGGGTCTTATCTGCTTCCTCGGCTTCTTCCTCGAGGAGCTGGAGTCTTCGCTGGAGGGTTTCGTTTTGCGTACCGTGTTGCTGGCCCTCATCGGCCGCCTTCTTCAGGTCCTTAACGGCCGTGTCCAGCTTCTCGTTGTCCGACTCCAGCAGGCCGTTCTTGTGCGAGAGCGATGTGATCTCCTGCTCCTTGGCCAGGTTCTCCTGCTCGAGCGCCTTGAGCTTGATCTGGAGCTCCTCGACTTTGGCAGCTGACTCATCTGCGTCCAGACGGAGCTGGTTCATTTTCTGCAGAGCAAGGACTACATGTCAGCTTTGACACGACAACTTGAAGTGTGGCGGTTATTGGGTTCAGTCTTGGATCGAGCAACACCCGTCGGGTGAGCATCTGTTTTGCTGTGCGCATGGCTGATGGTGGGGTAGTTGGGAGATGGGGTAATGGTAGGGAATGTTCGAGAGTCAGTGATACAACGTACCTCCTTAATCCGATCCATGATGGTTGATGCGTGTGTAATCTAAGGGAGATGTTTTAAGAAGTAATTGAACAAAAGAACAATGAACAAAGAGGTTCGGCTATGGTTGGTGGACGGTGAAAGGCGGTTGCGATTTGGTGAAAGAAAGAAGCGTCAAGATTATGGATCGGTCTTGGTGGAATCAAATCAATCAGACCAGACTGCGGCGGTAGGCGGTGGTACCGTGGTACCCCAGGTGTGGGATGGCTGTCAATCACAGGCGGTGCAGTGCTAATAATGGTCGGTCTGGTGTTTGGTGTCTGGTTGCCCCTCCCAAGGTCCCCTTCTGAGGGCGTCATTGGGTAACAATTGCAAGGGGCGTTGCATCGCTTTGGATCGCTCAGCGAGGCAAGCACCCCTCGGAAGCTCTGACCTCTGTTGTCCCATCAACCCAGATGAAAACGAACCAACACGAGTGCATCGTGCAGATTGCACCAAATTTGCGTGGAATGAGCAAGCCAACGATTTGATCATTTGCCGAAATTAGGAAGCCACGGTCTTTTTCAGCATTGGCCCAAAGGTGCACCGGAATATTCGACTGATCATCCCAATGGTTGTCAACAAGATCGTGTGAATAAACAGCATCCAGCACCAAAAGAGAGCAGCACAACGCGGGTGCATCAACAGAACCCCGATTTTATATGATTTGTCAACAACGACCGATTTCAAGATGCTTGTCGCTCGAGATCAGGAGAACCTGGTGGCTCACCACCATAACGGTGTGGCTCTAAAGCAACAGCAGGCCAGAACCCCAGGAGCGCGATATCCCAAGACGCCCGCGAAAATACCCCTCAATGACGAGAATGCCAACCACATGGTTGGGGGTGCTAAGAGCATCCTCGGTGGCCGGACAAAAGGAAATGAGAATGCCATGACTTCAAAGGGCTTGAAAGGGGCGGATAAGTCCAACTTTATCACTCCAATGGGTAGGATTGATACCCAGCACCCAGATACTTCCTAATGCAACAAGACTGACGAGACCACAACAGGACCTCGTACTCGAGCAGTCCTTGGAAACAAGACGACAAATGCAAAGGCCCAGCGGCAGGGCCAGGGGACCCTTAATGCCAAGAGCGCAATCAAGGAGATCGAGACGTCCAAAGTGGCGGGTCCCAGTACGGTTCGGCCAAAGCAAAAGGCACCACAAGCCGAGTTACAAAAGAAGTTGGAGGTCCACACCGAAGAGGCTGGCCCATTGAGCGAGGAGGAAGTCGAGTACTGCCCGCCAAAACCGAAGGATCTCCCTTACGAGTCTGACGTCTTTCCTGACGGTGCTTTGACTTTTGAAGCCCTGAAACCAGAGAATCTTTTTCAGGGATACTACCAACATTACTTCAATCCCGTTGATGAAAATGGTGTGTCACAATCGGACAGAGAGCTAGAAGAGAAGAACAGAAAAGTGGCGGAGGAGTGTGACAGGAGAGTGCAGCAGGATATGGATGAGTTCGACTGGTCCATCGGAGATATACCAGCGTCTAAGGACTTCTTCAAGAAAAAGCAAAACAAGCTGCCAGCTCCTGTAGCTGACCCCATCAAGGCGGCGAATGTGTCGGGGTTGCCGGCTCCTCGTAAGCCGTTGGCTACCATTGCATCGAGAAACGCAGCCAGTGCCCTCTCGATAAATGACGGCACCAGGTCTATTCAACGAAAAGCTCTCAAGACTGCGGCCCCCGACCCTGTCAAGAAGAAGACGACCTTTGGCATAGCTGGTTTGAAGACTGCACGGCATCCCACCCAGCAGCATGCTAGCATCCCCAGAAAGACATCAATGGAAATCAGAGCCATCGAGGCCAATTCGCGCAGCACCATCGGCCACAATAAGGGGAGAGTCATGGTTTCTGCTCTTTCCAAGGGCACAACTAGGCCAGTTATAAAGCCAAGTCAGTTCAAATCCAAGGTTGTCGGCTTGCCCCGTTCTGAGACCACCACCTCCATTGAATCGGACGCGACTATTACTCCTGCTCGCTATGCGCACCAGAGAGTGACTACTGCCACTGAAGATGAGCAGTGGAAGGAGCGAGTTCCGTTCCTTTCCATCTTCAATCCTGAGGATGACGATGAGTTGGATCTGGCAGGACCAGGGATGCCCCCGGTTCTCGACGAAGACGAGGAAGAATTCCAAATGACGCTTCCAGAGTAGATTTTATGACATTCGAAAGAGAACTCTTACGCGGCGTTGACTGTTGTACCTGAGTATCTAAATAGAAGGCACTCGGCGTTTCTGGTTAGGCACTTGCAGGATGGAAACTTGATTCCCACGATGATGGCGGCAGGGTTGACAACCGGGAGCACAATGCTATGCCTGGAAGGCTAATTTATTTATGTTGAGGTTTGGTTAATAGGGTTTGACTGGAACATCGCGCCTGAATACGGCTATGTTGCTGCTACTTGTATATCTAGGAGGCTCAGCTGACCCGGAAACCACCAGAGCAGACCATGAATGAAACTGAATGTACTCATTCTTATCCGATACAGACGAGTTTCTGGCGGGCCAACCAGCTAGATTCAATACATGCACGAGTTTGGCCAACAACACCTGGAAAGTCATTGATGCAGGTGATCATGACTACTAACAAGTCAGCACAGTATCCTAGGTACTTATTATTCCCGTTTGTTGTAATTATAGAGAGCGAGTGACCCTCAGCCAAGGCCAATACATCATTTTTGGGAGCACATTGGTCTTGAGACAATCTAGCATCGAGGCCGTTAGTCCTCGTTGTTTGTATGTATGCCGTTGGTAGTCAAACGTCTGAAAACAGAAAGTTTAGGTATGCCGAAAATCGATGTTGGCGTATTCGGGGTTTGTGAACCGCATGGTCACATCTAAGAGGAAATGGACGTTTGGACAAAGGCATGATGCAGATCTGGACGATGAGACGAGCCAAAACCAACTCTCTGGACAAAGCTCTCGAATGCACGAAAGTTTCGCAAGTTTGTGACCGACAGGGAATGTCAAGTGTGGCTGCAAACAACTAAAGATATCCGAAAACGTCTGGTTTCAGCGCACATCTCACCAGTCGAAGCTTACCATCACTGATCTGAGGAGCACATCAATCCGTTCGGTTATTGGTCTACTGAGTAGATACTCCAGAAAATCGTATCACCCATACATATAGTTATGCAAAGAATCAGACATTGAACTGTTACTGGTTGCTTCGCACAGCCTTTCAGCTGCTGACAATAATTTTGCAGAGTGACGTTGGCCTGCATGGGTTGAAGAATGGACACTGTAAGTGCAGGGGTAAAATAATTCAAGTTGCTCGGTCAAAACTTGGTGGCGCCTGGTTAACTGTGGCTTGTGGAAAGAGCAGGGAGTACATACTACATAGTAAGTGAGCGCAGTCCACCACTTCGAATGCCGATGTGGTGTTCTGGAGGAGTCGCGCTTCACGTCCCTGCCCCATTTTCGTGGGTCAAAGTACCTATATCTTAATGTATCTTCTCATAGTGAATTCACTGTCAAGGTACTTATGTGGGCCCCAGATGCTTCAGTTCATGCCAGCAAGCGAAAAGGATAGGCCCAAGATGAACCATCCCTGAATTCTGCTCCCGCGGCCCTCACTTCAGATTTGATTCTCATCCCCCATTAGACTTCCTCCGACCGCTGGATTTGCCATTCTTTCGTGTCGCCCGTCTTTGTTGGAAGTCGCGCCTCAATCGGACCTCGGGCAATTCTATTTTCTACATCTTTTACGCGGCTGCGCTCTGTTGGCAGGCCCTTTACCTTCTCCTTCCCAGGGTCGGTTTCCAGCCACCGCATTCACTCAGGTCCACACGTCACAACTCAAGTTTCTGTCGCGTGGACAGAGGGGACGAGTTCGCGCGTCAATTCTCCTTGCCTACATCTCCCAGCGATACACTCTACATCTCCAGACCGCCGCCTCGATGAATAGTGTCTTTTAACCTCGTCGCCCCGAGAAATGATGGTCGGTGGATAGTGGGCAACAGCAGATACCATATTCTCGAACTGCCATCATGGCTCCCAGCGCATCTGGCGCCAGTTTCGCCCAGTTTTTCCCTGCCGCCCCTCGCGCCGCCAGAGCCAAAGCTACTGAGCGGGAACGAGCCAAGTCGCGAGCATCCTCTGATGCTGCCGACCGCGATACGAGGACAGCAGCTTCATCAGCCGTTCCTCGCCGCGAAAGCATCCCGGACAAGGATGAGAACATCCACCCACCAATAGATGACACCGAGTCTCTGACGGGCGACATCCTCAATGGCGTCGGATCTGCCAGTTCTCATGCGAGCACCGCTTCTTCGGTCTTCAGTAGTTCTCATCCGTCGGCTGCTCTGAACGCCTCATCGCGCGCCTCCAACAGCAATCTCACACCTCTCACTAATGCTGATTCTCCTACCTATCCCCCAAGCTCAAGCTCACAGCATATCAAACAGTCACAAAACCAAGATATCAGCAAGTCTGATGGCCCGACTTCCCAATCGCCCACGGAAACCACATCAACATCGCACCGTCGCTCTGGTGTCGCAGACCGCATCCTGGCTCGCGATCCGGCTCGCCAGATAAAGGGACTCAAGTGCTCACACGATCCGTTATCCGACAAGAAGTTATCTTCGACCGAGAGGAAAACAATGAAGCCCACATATAAACCGTTCGGTTCGGTACGTAACCTATATAATATACATGTGTCTGGAGGGGGACGTCATCTGACTTTGAGTGAACTGAAAAATGGCTAATTCGAATTTGTTGAATAGGAAGATGACGTCCCCCCGGCAGATCCTAGGCTGGCCAAAGGCAGCTGGCTTGACTATATCAATGTCGATTTTCATCTGCCCAAGGCGAGATTGCGACAAACTCCCTACAATGTCAAGCCCTATGCCTATGACCCGGCGACATCAGTCGGTCCCGGGCCGCCAACGCAAATCGTAGTCAGTGGATTCAACCCTTTGGTCACTTTCTCCAAGGTGGCCACTGCTTTCAGCTCTTTTGGTGATATTGCAGAGAGTAGCAACAAGATGCATCCCGACACTGGCAGCTACCTAGGCTTCGCGACATTCCGCTATCGAGACTCCAAGCCGGGTCGCCGTGGGCCAGTACCAATATTTGCCATTGATGCTGCCAAGAGAGCACAGAAGCAAATGAACGGGCGCAAGATCGAGTCGTACCAAATCAAGGTCGACTTCGACCGCGATGGAAAGAAGAGTCGCACGATGTTGGAGAACATGATCAAGAAGGATCGTGAAGCAGAAACACGTCTACAGTCTCAACGTTCCGCGCAGCCAGCCACTCCAGCTGTCCCGACAGCGCCGCGGCTGAGGGCCATCGATGGTCTCACGCGAGCACCGCCTACTGCGCCGAGAGGCCCGGCTGCCTTCCGTCAAGTTGCGACACCTACCTCCGACCCAAACTCTACCTTTGCTATGCCCACGAAGCCGAGACCGTTGGTCGAGCCCCAGTTGATTGCGCCCCAGCTTACGGGCCAGCCCTACATCTTCGTCCCCGACAACTGTGTGCCAGTTATGCCAACTACTGTCGCCCACATGAAGAGACGACTAAAGTCATTCGCCATAGACGACGTTCGCGCTGATCGATTGGGCTACTATATCATATTTCCCAACAGTGCTATCGGTCGTGAAGAGGCCTACAGATGTTACAGGTCCGCTGACGGTAGTGCCTTTTTCACCTATACCATGCTTATGCAATTACACAATGGTTCAGCACCAACGGGACATGCTTACACTCCAAGCACCGTCAGAAGGAGAAGCGAGCCCGAGAGACTTCTGCCTGTTCCTCCCGTAGCAGTGGTACGGCAGAGGAGCGAACGGGAAATTCGTCGACGGGATGAAGAAGCCGTACTTGAGGAGGAGAAGAAGCAACGTGCTAAGGACTTCGACCCTGTTAACGAAGCTATCCAGTTGGTCCGTCGCGAAATGAGGGAGCATTTGATCCGGCACATTAGGACCAAGGTTGCGGCGCCTACGCTATATTCTTATCTTGACCCCGCCAATCATGTTTCGAAACGGCGCAGATTGAATATTGAGGGTCCTCCTGGCACGCCATTAGCCACCGTGCAGGCTGTTGACGAGCCTGAGACACCTGCTGCTACGCCTAATTCAAGAGCAGATCCCATCGAACGGCGTACGGCGCGGGTCGACGTTACTGCTCTGCCCCGAATCAGGAAGGCCAAAGGTTCAAGCGCTGCCCAACGCAACTATGGCTTCACCGACCCGTTCGCTCGCAAACGACCCACTGTTGTTCGCAACGCCTTCCGCTCACTACATCACCGTCTTGCACCTGACAGTGATGACGATGTTTCTGAAGACGAGACAGAGGAAACCCGCGACTCCGTAGCTCGCGACACCGAAGAGCCGGAGTCTCGACCTCGTAGCCGCATGAGCACGGACGAGGACGCTTTCATGAAGGATGGCTTCGTCGACGATGATTCTATGACTGAGGCTAGCTTCGTCGTCAATGACGGACCAATCCGATCCAAGAAGCGAAAACTGGATCTTCAAATTGATGCTGTCATCAAGCGACAGAAGAAGACGGATGAGGAGCTCTTTGGAGTCACCATTGACACTCTAGAGACCGAATTCCCTAGTGCTGATAATGTCGAGGATATCATCATTCCAGACGCAGATGGGAATAAGGAGAAGACACCGGGTCTCAACCAGCCGCCGAAGCCCGCACCCGCTGAAATACCAGTCAAGGGCAAGAAGAAGGCAGCAGCGACTAAGCCGAAGAAGAAAACCAAGAAGCAAATCTTCGAAGAGCGGGAGGCTCTCAAGAAGCAACAACAAGAAGCTTACGTCGAAGAGGCGCTTGAACAGACCGAGAAGGAAGAGACGATTGAACCGGACGACGCAGCCCAGAAGCCCGTGCCCGCCATCGTTGAAGATGTGCGGAAGCCCACACCCAGGGATGCCCGCTTTGCCGAGACGGTAGTTGCAGCCATGATTCTTCCTGACAAGTTCAAGTTGGGCGCCCAGTCTGTGGCGGAACTTCAACTCGAGGCAAAGGACCGGCCCGATATTGCAAAACTCAAGAAGAATTTCCCCGTCGGTGACATTGGTGACCCCCGACTTTGGACTTGGAGACGCAATCGTGTGCTGGAACTCAATGCCCCCCAGGGCCAGGTCGAAGAACCCTTACTTATTGAGGGCTACTACGTGCCAAACCCTACAGGCTGCGCTCGAACGGAGGGCGTGAAGAAGATCCTCAACTCTGAGAAGTCGAAATATCTGCCGCATCATCTCAAGATTCAGAGGGCTCGCGAAGAGCGGCAAGCGCGCGCAGCCAAGAAGGATGGAAAGGATGCTGTGGCCGCAGCGGCAGAAGCGGCAAGGCTTGCGGCAGAAAAGCTCCTTGCGAAGGGCAACTCCCGCGCAAACCGAGTCAACAACCGACGTTTTGTTGCCGATCTCAATGACCAGAAGAGAACGCTGGGTCAAGACTCGGACGTTCTGAGGTTCAACCAGCTTAAGAAGCGGAAGAAGCCCGTCAAGTTTGCTCGTTCAGCCATTCACAACTGGGGCTTGTATGCCATGGAAAACATCAACAAGGACGACATGATAATTGAGTATGTCGGTGAGCAAGTTCGGCAACAGATATCCGAAATCCGCGAGAACCGCTATCTCAAGAGTGGCATCGGCAGCAGTTATTTGTTCCGTATCGATGACAATACGGTTATCGATGCGACCAAGAAGGGAGGTATTGCTCGGTTTATCAACCATAGTTGCATGCCCAACTGCACCGCCAAGATCATCAAGGTTGAAGGTAGCAAGCGCATTGTCATCTATGCCCTTCGGGACATTGCTCAGAGTAAGTTGCTCCCACGATTTGTCCTTGGTAGATGCGTACGACTAATATGGTTACACAGACGAGGAGTTGACATACGACTACAAATTCGAGCGAGAAATCGGCAGCTTGGATCGCATTCCCTGTCTATGTGGCACCGCTGCTTGCAAAGGCTTCCTCAACTAAACCATTCAACACGTCCTTATGTCTTTCGCTTTCGACGGAATCTTTCAACACCAACCCGAATCGGAAATGGCGGCATACCATATACCCACGGGCTCTTCCTTCGACGCTCTCCTTTGGATCAGCTTCGATATATATGCATACAGGGTGGGTAAACCTTGACGCAGGCAAAAGGGACAGTACTGTTCAGTACCAACGGTTCTTCTATGTCCGCATACGGTGCGGACAATGGCGTTCATTGCATTTGTGGCCCTGATTTGGTCCTAGATACGGACGCAAGATTTTGAGCATGGAGTTGGTAGCAAATGTGTCCGCTGACTGAGCCCCCGTGGATCACTAGTCGGCCTAGATTTAATGGCTTTCTGCACACCCGGGCGAGGTTCGTGAGAGAAAACGAGTCAACGGCTGAGACAGTTGGCATGTATATATGGATTGATTGGTCCGGTCTTTGCCGTCTAAAGACCCAGGATATTAACCACAATGTTTATAAGCGGATCAATTATTGTCACGAAGCGTCTAAGTAACCTCAAACGATGCGTCTGCCAAATTCCACTTCTCTACAGTCACATCGTGATGGTATCAGCTGACGCCCGATACCATGCCGTGGTGCTAAATCCGCAACTACGCCTAGAACGCCGGTTTCCGTAGTCCCTTGTCCCTTTTTTCTGATGTCTAGCTTGAGCAGCCCCTTCGCGGAGTGGCCTTGCTAGATTGGAGCATCAGGCAGCTTCTCAATGACATACTTACCCCGCGCCACACTCATAATGGGCACACCGGGAATCTTCCTCACACGGTTCTTCAGGTCCTTGTCGTTGGTCGCCACAAGGTAGATGCGGTGCTTCATGACCCTGGGCGAACATGATTAGCAATACTGTGATCGGTGGTGATCCGGTGCCAACTTGGGCTTGCGAAAGAATTATTACTTACCGATCCACGATACAATCGTCTGCATAGAGCCCCCTTCACAGCGATTAGCATTTTTCGTTTCAAGAAGGGTTGACGGTGGCTCGGGAGTCCTAAGTCATGTCTTAAGAGCAGAACGACCTAACATAGCTCTGTTGGGCGGCTTCTGCTTCTGGGACAGCCTAGAAAGGGGGGAAGAAGTAACACCAGAATTTCATACTTATGGTCGCATGGTAACCTCGTCCAACGCTCATCTCTCGCGATCCGTAGCGCTAGTCGGTACTTGGGGCCCAACTTCTCCAACTCGCCCATGACGCAGTCGCTTATGATCGGCTGGCACTTGGCGTACAGGAGATCCATCATAGATTCCAACAGAGGTAGCTTCCGCTGCACCGTGTGAGATAAGAAGTTTGTGTCGACCAGCACCTGGTACGGCGGGACCAAGGCCTCGTTGTGCTGGAAGAAGAGGCTCGAGGGCAGCTGCGGGATCTCCTTGCGGAGCTCGCCTGAGGGATTCGAGGCGCCCGCTGCGGCTTTCGCCGCGTTGGCTTCTTCGGATTTGGTTACGTTTTCTTTGCGTCGGCTGTCGCGTTTGCTGAGGAGGCGTTTGGTCTGGTGAAGAGGGGAGGTGGTGTTAGTATGTTGAGTTCATGATCTTGCTTGGATAGATGCGCTTATCGATAAGGATGATGAAGTTTGTGGTGTTGAGGGATGCTGCGAACGAACCTGGCCAAATTTCCTTGTCTTCTTTGCGACGCCCATTTTGCCTAAGGTGTATGTGTGCTGTAGATTTTTACGACTGGAATCAAGCGGATTTACTGGCTCAGATGTGTACCAGGTGCGACTGGGGGGTTGCTTGAAAATGGCAGACGAGTAAAGTACTGGGCGCATCAAAACTGATCTTGAATCTGCCACTCTGAACATTTCAAAATCTTGACCGCCCTGGAAGCTGGAATTTCAATTTGGCCGGTACGTGTGAAGCTACCCTGCAGTAGCCTGGCCGAATTCCCATATCTCTGATGAAGTGGGCTGGGTCTTGGCTCCAGATTGCAGAGTCAAAGCTCAGCACCATACGTGGTTGTAGTTAAGGTGACCATAGACCCCCCTAGTTCAGCCGACCAACTCCCACTTTAATCAAATATTTATGGGGCGCTCGTGATAAAAGCCGACTATGGTCGGCTTTTGTCACCGACCACACTTTTCTTTTTAAATCCGTAGAGATTTTTCCTAGTAACTCTAGTCCAAATATAACGAAATTATTCTATGATTAGTTCTAAATCGATTCTACTATATTATCTTTACTATAGCTACTACAGATATCTTCCCTATTATCTAAAATACCCGCTCTATATTGTAACGGGGTAAGGCCGGACGGACATCAGGGAAACAGATTACGGGGCTAGGAGAAAGTTTATTTTCTCTTCTTTAAGAGGCACAGAGGCAGAGTAGGACACGAGTCCCTCATCTTCATATCATCATCTCCTTCTCATCTATATCTTCACCTTCGCTTTTCAGTCAGTTATTTAGTTATTTTAGTTATTCAGCTTATATTTACGTTCGAGATTGTCACGACCTGGGTTGCATCGCATTGGTAGAGACCTCGATTAGGTGCTATCGACGAAGATTCTACTCTAAGGAGCGAAGGAAAGAAGATGACAACTTAGGTTTGAGGGAGCGCGACTAAGTCATCCACGCTTGGCGGGGCTCCTACAAGGGTTATGATTGGCTTCCCATCTGACACTGCCATGGCAGGTGTTCCAGCAAGTCACCTGGTTGTAGTGAGTCTGCGAGGGTTGACCTTCACAGAGATCCTATTGTCACGATACGAGTATCAGAGACACATCCGACCAACTCGCGCACCAGACGTGTAAGAGCTTCGCTCTTATAACCAGTACCACGATCTTCGTCTGATAAGACTAACAGATGGAATCTGTTGGTACTGGAGCCGTCTGTTCAGTGTGTTAGGTGGTAGGTATATCCTACTGACCGCCTGACCCCGTTTCAATATTTAGAGGTACGTACTTATAGTTATATATATGCTACCGGAAGTAGTAGGTATACGGTAATAGAGCTTACTAATAGCTAGTACGACTTTATCTTCCTAGATTATATAGAATTATTTTAGAACCGATTTAGAAGTACTTATGTCGTTAAACTCGAATAGTAGTATACTAAGTAGCCAGTAGTGTGTGCCGTCGACGTAAGTAATACTATCCTTATAGAAGTAATATTAGGGCTAAAAAAGAATTAAATTAAAATCGATTCGAAGTTGATTTAGAAATATACTTACTATATCCTTGTATGACGGTATCGTTACGAAGAACGATTAGCTGAATGACGAGGAAATTCAATTCAAATTCGATTCTATGGTCAGCTAGACCCAATTTTCACATATTTTCAACTAATAAGAGTAGAGGGATGATCTACCCCACTATGGTCACCTGGACCCAGTGTTTTAACATCACGTGAGGTCATGGTCGGCTCAACTGGGGGGGTCTATGGTCACCTTAACTGTAGTCTCTACGTCAGGCGCATGACCTCGCATTAACATCAAAACAAAACTCTCAAAACTCCCCACAGTTGCTTGTTGATGGTAACGGGTCGATCTGTCGGTTATTGTGGAGTGCATCTTCGTACATGCAGTTTGATATCGAAGCGCAGCGCCTCATTATGGTACCTACTTGATATTCACTATACAATTATATTCATTTTTTGAGCCCAAACAGCCGGCCTGGAACGGCTGATTGGATGCCCAAAATCATTTTTGAAGTCACACCAATTGCCATAAAAAGAACGTCTCTTGATTTGTTGCTGCTGTGTCCCGTATTACGGCATGGCTGCCAACTGCCAAGTGCAACTAACCGGAGCGCCGGAGTCTCACTTCTCCAGACATGCAGATTATTCGCGGATGAGATCCCCCATTTTAAGCGATCAACGTCTACATACATATTGTGTGATAGGTCAGGTACCGGTTTGCCTAGAGAAGGGTATCATTACGCTTTACAACAACTAAAAACGAGGGATTATGGAGGTTGTACTACGCTAACAATCTGCATGCCTGGAGAGGTGTAGCAGCGGCGATTGCAACCTGGGGCTGCCCTGGCAGCACCGGGCTATGCTAGGGTGTTGGTGGTGTGGACACGAGCCTTCCCTGCCTGTCTGTTGGAAGAGGACCAAGTTGCCAAGGATGGATCCCCTCCGCTCTCCCTTTCAATGTGATGCTCTCACTCCGCTGGGTCGTTCGTGTAGGACCGTTTTCTCAATTGACCCAGCTGCATTCGTCTTCTTGTCGTCCACTCCTGCCGACGGGTTGATCGCAAAAGAGCATACAGCAATGCGATATTGAGCAATTTCCGTGCTTGGTTGTCGTCTATCCCTCTCTGTTGACGGCGCACTTGACTCTCTTTGTCTCGCGCTTTGTATCATTCCTCGCTAGGTATTGTGTGTCGCGCCCGCCTCTTGATTGAATGCAAGAGGGGCCGATCAAGCACCAACACCCAAATACAATACCACCGGTTCCAGGTCGGAGGAATTTGGTTCCAGATCACCAACCACCACCGCGCCCTCTCTGCGGTGCGTTCGGCTTGACTCACAAATACATCTTCAAACGAACTACACTTGCGCGAAAGGTCCACAGGCGGCTAGGTACCATGGGACGACAATATCTCTCAACGAAGCGGGCCCTGCTTCTGTGCACACTCGCTATATTCGCTACGACGACATTCGCTCAGACAACCACCGCCACTGAAGATGATGCGACATCCACGCAAATGCCGGCGCTGACAAGCGACGCCGACGATGGAACAACGGCTGCCGCGACTACAACTGCAGGTGGGACGACGGACGAAACGTCGATGCCCGCTGCGACAACATCTGATGGAAAAACAATGCCGACACTGCCTTCATCCTCAGGCTCGACCACTTACAGCTATCCTGCGCCTTCTGTTCCGCCGACACAGAATGCCCCTTTCATGCAGACGTCCAATCTGCCCGAGGGTACCGTCTTCATTGCCGTCGGCGCCATACTGGGTGCGTTTGGGCTGGGAGTTTTGATATGGCGTGCTGTCGTAGCATGTCTACTACACCGATCTGTCAAGAGGGCTGCGTTAGCTCAAGGCATAGCCAACGACAAGCCCTTGTTTCCTGGAAATGCGTCTGCGCCTTTTTACAAATACTCGGACCGCGCGTCGTCGGCATCGCTTGGTGGTGCTATCGACCCTGCCATCGGTCGTGGTGTGCGGAGGACATCGCGCGTGCCGGTCCCTTCATCAACGCCTAGTCAATCCAACCTGTTCTTCTCCCCAACCGCTCGAAGTGGGATGGACACAGCAGGCAATCGTTCTTCGACATTCCTTCCTTCGGGCTTCTATGCCGCTGGTCAAGGAGCTCCGCAACAAGGCCATGGTCATTCCATCAGCTTGACCAACCTGCGGCCCGATTCACGCGGTCAGCCCAAGTCGGATGGTCACAGCCCTCCTGATTCACCTGGTCTCCCACCACGTCATGAACTGTCACGTCGCAACTTGAGCGCCAGCACCATCAATCTCAACCAGCCCGCCAGTGGTCGGGCACCAAGTACTTACTTGGAAGACTTGCTGGGCGATCAGGTTCCTGGTCAATTCCCACCGCCAGGTCACAACCAAAACTGGCGTCAATCGCGAGACCGGTTCTAGCATGTTGTCATCAAGGCGTTGATGGTTTACTAATGGGAAGTCCACTTAGATTTCGTGGCTCATGCATTTCATCCCTAATCAAAGGAAGAACGGGGCTGCGAAAGGCAGAACGGGCTGATCCGCGGAAATCTGCAGGAACGGTGTCAATTGCTTTGGCAAAATTCGTGTGTACAGGCATTAGAGTTGGAGTTTACGGTTGATAGGCACCTGATTGAATTGGCTTTTTCGGCGTATGCTTACAATGTGTTTAATAGTCGTCGTCCCTTCCCGTAAATAATTCTCGAGTATTGGCATCAATGGGTATCATCATCAATCAATCCAGTATGTCTTCGAAGAAATTCTCACCTGTCCAAGCCCTCATACTGTTGCTGTGCCGGTAAGATCTGCGAATAGAAGCGTGCGAAATATGCATTGCGTGGATGTTGACTACTTTCGCTACATCTGACTACTTACATAGACCAGCCAGTCCAAAGCGCAATCAATCTATTAACTACTCCAGGTTATTCGGCTGTTGGCTTATGAGGATCTGCTGCTCAAATCCTTCCCGCAAACGAGCTTTGCGTGTTTTGGGGTTTTTATAGGCAGGCCATCCTCAGCCTTATTGAGCTGATGCCCCCTAAATAACAATTCTAATAATAACACCAATTGTCGCGTTGAGCCAGCCGGCCTACCAATGTGAGATCCCGATGCCGACAGCGGTATGCTGACACCTGCAGCGTGCTTTATGCAGATCAAAGCTTGTGAGGCGTAAGCTGCATGAGTCGAAACTCGCCGACTCGTGACTCGTGTATGATACTTCGTACAACAGTGGCTGTATGTGCGAACACCGAAGACTAAGGAAAACTTGTGACATTTTGTCTTCTCTGACCACGCGTACCCATGTTTATTTTGAGGTTTCTCTGCCTGCCGACTCTGGTACATCACTTTCACAGTAATCATTACGTCAAGCCCGTCTGCTGAGTCGCACCTTGTATGATCGATTCTCGTGACTCCGTACCGCCAACTGTCGAAACTCAGAAAAAGGCAAAACAAGTTTGTGTCATCATGGTAGGTTCCCGCTGTCTAGACTTCGATATCTGGGGTTGCGCAGTCACATTCGCCGTTTCCATGGTGCTGAGTTGGGTTGTCCCTTCCTATTTGAGCGAACAGTTTATCTACCTCTTTTCTCATGCGAGTGGCGTGATATCGTTTAGTTATTATCCCAAATCTACACATTCATTCAAACATCTGTCTAAATCTCATCCGCTCCTTTACTCCCGGATTTCTCAGGCTCGTCATCACTACTGCTACTACTACTACTATTACTTGTTGTTGTCCCTTTATTCAACTCCGCCACCGCCCCATGCATATCCTCAACCCGGATACCACTGCGGTCACACATACTCCTGAATATTCCTCCACGTCTCCAAAGATTCAATGGAGTATCAAGCTCCGCGATGCGGCCAGCGTCCATTACACAAATGCGATCATATCCAATAATGGTCCTTAACCGATGCGCAATGCACAGCAGCGTCCTACCCCTGAACCCCGTGGCAATGGTATTCTGGATTTTGTCGTCCGTATCCATGTCAACGCTGGATGTGGCCTCGTCGCAGACGATGATACGGCTGCCGCGAACGAGTGCGCGGGCTAGTGCCATGAGTTGTCTTTGCCCGAGGGAGAAGTTGAGCCCATCTTCTTCGACGACGGTGTCGAGGTGGATGCGATTTGCGTCTTTCTCGTCGATTTGGGCATCGTGGGGTACTAAATCGGCCTGTCGTAACGCTGAGAAGAGGGCGAGATCTGTGTGCTGGGAGAAAGGGTCAAGGTTACTACGGACAGTGCCGCGGAACAAAGTCGGATCCTGGGGAATGATTGCGAGGCGGGATCGGAGGTCATGCAAGCCGATGGTGGAAATATCAAGGCCGTCAATCGTGATGTGACCACCCGAGAGCTCTACAAGCCGGAACAGTGTCGACATGATGGAGGACTTGCCCGCCCCTGTACGGCCCACGATGCCGATCCTCTCGCCACCTTTCACGTGCATGCTCATGCCTTTGAGCACGAGTGGAAGGTTGGCACGGTAGCGCATCTGGACGTTATCGAAAACGATCTCACCCTTTTCCGGCCACGAGGGACAAACTTCGATGGTGTGTTCGGGCGCCTCTTCCTCGAGCTGTGTACCGTAGTACAAGATGCGTTCCACAGCATTCATGCCGTTCTCCACTTCGGCCAGCTGCCGCACCGTGAACTGCAGCATCTGGACGATTCCCAGGATATAAGACAACACGAGGCCCCCGATCGATGGTGCAACAGAAAACCGCGAGGTGACGACCAGGATACCCGTGGTAAACACCAGTGCGTTTCCGATGAGATCGACCCGCACGGATAGCCACCTCTGGTTTGAGAACGTGAGGTAGTATGCTGTTCGTTTTGTAGTCAGCTTTGCAGACTCAATTACCCATACTCAGGACAGGGGGGTTCGGAATGCGGATGAGCTCTTACCTGCGTTCATCTCGTCAATGGAATCACGAAGATCCTTGACAAAGCGCTCTTTCAGCCCATATGCCCTGATAGACGCAACACCACTCAGACCCTCTCCAAATTTAGCAAACACAACAGAACGCAGCACGGATTCGAAACGCTTCACTTCACGCGCCGAGGACCGGTAGTACAACGCAGCCAGCAAGAACATGACGGTCAGCGGTACCAACGCAATGGCGAAGTAGTGGAAGAAGGCGACGATAAGAGCGAAAACGGAAATGATGGTAGCCAGCGTAAAGAAGTACATCCTCATAGCATCAGTCAAATTGTTGTCCATTACATCGACGTCTCGCGAGAATCGATTCGTGATACGGCCTAGAGGGGTGGTGTCGAAAAAGCTCATAGGCGCTCGCAGGGTCCTCGTCACGGCCTTACGAAGAAGCGTTTTGCTGGCGTTTGTACCGAAAACTGACAGCAAGACGGAGAATCCGAACATGAGGAGCGCCTGCGTTGTGCCGAGAGCCGCGTATACCCCGATGTAGACGCCCGTCGTGTAGCCAAACTTGTCAGCCGTCCAGTACGAGAGCCAGAGCGACGTCGCCAGGTTAGCACCCTGGGCCAGGATGAGGATCAATAGAATAATGGGAGCGTTGAGCATGGTCCCCGAAGCCCGGACATAGGCGCCGTATACACTCCAGGGCACACTCGAGACCGCACGTTCTTCGGCTTGCATGAGCCCTTGACTGCGCTTCGTCTTCTTCTCGCCTTTCTTGTCCGCCGTCTGTTCCTCGACGGCAACTTTCTCGTCCTCCTTCTTTTCCTCAACAGCGGTTGTCTCCATCAGCTGCTGGAAGCCAGAGTGGTGCGTCATGAGGTTGTCAAAGGTATCGATGGCCTGGATCTTGCCGCCGTCCATCCATATGATCCGGTCGCAACGGTTAAGAACCCAAAGCTGGTGTGTTGCGAGGATCCGACACTTGTCTTTCAGAAGCCCCATAATCGCATTGTCGAAGATGTGCCTCCCAACATGCGCATCGACAGCACTCAACGGGTCATCCATGATCACGATATCGGCGTCGAAGTAAATAGCACGGGCTATGTTGAGTCTCTGTTTCTGACCACCTGAAATGGTTATTCCCCTTTCGCCGATCTCTGTGGCATCGCCGTTAGGCAGCATATCCATATCTGGCTGTAGAGCGCAGCTAGTAGAGAGGTCAGCAAATGTATATTAGCAATGGGAGGGATGAGCAGCCTCATGCTGTGTGGTACACAATGCTGCATTACGGATAGGACAGGAGTCCAGTTGGCAAGGGCTCTTACGCTCGAATAACCTCCTTGTACCGGGATCCGTTCATTGCCTTGCCAAAGAGGATGTTATTTCTGACAGTCGCATTCTGAATCCAGGCATATTGAGGACAGAAAGCCCTCGACGCACCCAACACAACTTCACCGGCAGTCTTCCGCATGTCTCCGGCCAGTGCAGCCAACAGGGACGTCTTTCCACTACCAACGGTGCCAATGACGGCAACGAGTTCATTGCGACCTATGGTGAAGTTGAGATCCCGTAGCTGGAAAGGCTCACGATCTTCGACAAGGGTGCTTGCCGTATCTTCGGAAGCCGATTGCTTGACCACCTTGGATTTCTTGGCTGTACCTGCAGCCGCTGCAGTCTCGGGGTCCTGTGTCGATGTTCGCTCCCATGTGAAGTCGGCATCGCTCATCTCAACGGCGTTGACATTCTCGGGTTTCCAGACGGCCTCGTCCTCTTGCTCCTCAGAGAGCATGAACTCTTGAATACGCTTGAGCGACGACCACGCATCGACCACTTGTCCGATGACCAGAGGCAGAAGGTTGAGCGGCATACGCAGAGCGTTGAACAATGCCAGAGAGGAGAAGACCTGCGCCGGTGCTAGATTGTGATGCGAAAGAGAGTATGTGATGAACGACAACATCGAAGCATAGATGGGCAGCGAGATGCTCACAGCATTGATGGCATTTCGAATAGCGAGAAGCACCTGAATCGCACTGATCTCGTCCTTTCGAATTTGATTCAGCCGTTCCAAGAAGGCGCTTTCCCACCCAAAGTACTTGACAAACCTCACGGACTGAAGAATCTCCTGCGTAAGTCCAACGCGTTGATCCGTCAGCTTGTTGATGCCCTTTCGACGTTTGAACAGGCTTCGGATGGCTCTCGTTAGAGCAGGCACCCCGATGACGAGCAGAGCGAAACCGGCTACTGCGCTGTACGTCAAATTGATGATGAGAACGACGAGGGTTAGTAGACAGGCGACGGGGGCAGTCCAGGTCAAATGGAACAGGGCCGACGCTTGATCGATACGGTAGGTATCGACGCTCATAAGGTTGACAATTTTTCCATTGCTCCATCCGGTGCCGTCGTTTTCGGGTCCATCGTTGGCATCCTTCTTGTTCTTTTTTTTGTTCTTGGACTCATTCTCACCCAAAGGTTTTTCAGCTGGGTTCTCTGTGGGTTTCTCTCCGCCAGCCCTTGCGCGTCCCGATATTACCATGGACTTTTCATAAATCAAGCTGATCAAGGTCGCTCGCGCCTGGCCACCAATCATCATACCTCGGTAGATAAAGTGATTGATCCCGAGACTCTGCAGTATCTGCATGATGGTGACACCGATGACAAGTCCGATTCCTCTATCGATGTGCGGCGGGGGTTGCCCGCTCAGCGACGCATCGTATGCGTCTTGGGCGAACTGAATGAGGTACCGGAGGGTAAAAGGAGACGTGACTTGCAAGATCGAGGCGCCCAGCTGGCAAACGCCGCCCAACCAGAATTCCCAAAAATAAGTCTCATGGAGCGCCCAAAGCAGCGGGTACTTCTCTCCCCTTTTCACTCTCTTCTCAAATGAGTCCCGGACTTTGGTGGTCATGATGTCGGCTGTCCTGTCGGGATTTACCAGCCATATATCCTTGGACTCAAGTGAGCGTTTATATCCAACCTGGCTTCCAATCAGTATTCTTTCTCTCACACGAACTCGAGCTCACGAACATTCATCAACGGTGCCATCCACTGAAACGTCAGTTTGCTAAAGAAGCCAGCCTTATACTCCCTGGACTCCTCACGCTTTTCGGGCACGGGGGGTATGCGTCCCCATCGCAACGGATTCGGTGTCTTGTACCAGGACTTCTTCGTTTCGCAGTTCTTGTCGAAGGCGGAGGTGGCGGCGCGAGTCACGGTACTGATATCGGTTGTATGGCTCTGCGTGCGCCGCACTTCTTCCCTCTCAGTGCGCTTCTCCTCGGATTCTTCCAGGTCTATCTCCTCATCCCCAGCGGCAGCCGAGACGGGCAAGGCTGACTCAGAATTACCTATCGCGTTGGCTTCTGTCAGGGGATCAGCAGGGCCTACAGTCTCCTGTTGGGCATCATGCTCGTGTGCCATGTCCTTGCACAACAAATAATGCAAGTCAGCTTTGCTGAAGAAAGCGCAGTGCTATCCTATCTAATCGTGTGTGGATCGATGGGCTCTCTCTATGGGATGCCAGGATTCCCCGAGGCGAAGACCGGAGCTCGGAGTTCAGAAATACTTCGAGGTATCGAATGTTGGACGCAAGAGCGAGGGAATGTTTGCTGTTGAGAACGTTTTAGGGTGACCCGAGGAAGTTATATCACTTCAGACGAGTATTGCCCAAAAATACAAGAGAAAGAGAAGTGGTTGACTACACTGGGTCAACCCAGGATAGACATGAAGAAGCGGCGAAAGGGCTCGAAGCCATTTGAAGGCACGCCGCCTGTGGGACTAATGACTGTTCAAAACTGATGAGTCTTATGGCGAACCCCACATCCAGACATGCAACACAGCCTTGCTTGCTTTCTTACGAGAGAGATACAGAGTCTGCAGCTAAAGAGAGCACGGCAAACGGTCCGGCGCCATCTCGATAGGGCAAGTCACGTACCGCAGGCAGGGGTATCAGGGACTAGGTAGCCCAGGAAATAAAGTAATGACCAGTTCATTCGCTGGTAATCATCGATAGATTATGTTCGGATGTGCCGACGGCGGAGATATCCAGCACATCGTGCAGGTACATATTTCCATATCTCTGAATGACCCATTGTGCTAGGTTCATGGCACATGCATTCGGTATATACGAGTGATACATTTGTAAGCGTACCGAGAGGGGCGCCTTCAAGTTCGGTAAAACGAGTTTTCACTATTCGTCAAGAGTTCTCCTTCAACAAGAGTTAATGACATCGGCTAGAATTATTTCAACGGTGGGGCGTACTCTACGTCCAAGTGGATGCATAGCGGGCAAAAATGATTCCTTCGCAAGGATTTGTGTTATCCCTAAAATCCACTCAAGGAAGCCAAGGAGGCTAGCCGTTGTCGTACCCGAACTGTCGGGGTGGGGATGCTGCGAGATCACGACCACTAGTTTATAGCGTAAAATAAAATATAGTCTCCGACCAAAAGTGTATGAACTAGCAGGGGCAGCCAGGTGGATAGATTACAATCACACGGTCTGAGATACTGAGGTTATTTCCTACCGTGGAAGCTGGTGCCTGCTAACACACCTGGAACAATCCCCTGTAGGGTGCCAAGGCCCTGGACAGATGAAAGGATTGTTTCGTTTCGTAGCCAGTGTTATCTGCGATAACCTTGGTTGTAAGCACGGCTGAAGGGGCCCTGCTAGTTCGCACACTTTGGGCCGGAGATTCTGTAAGGCACTGGATCAAGTGCAAAATGGCGGGCGAAGGACGGACGGACGGACTTAAGTTGATAGTGGTATGTCCGTCTGGTGTACTTACATAACCACTCGTTCATGTATCACCCCCCATCGCAATACTTCGTACAGGGGCTTGCTTGCAAGGTTTTCGGTTTTGCCGGGATTGGCACTGGGCACGTCAATTAACGAGGCCATGTCGCTCCCAGGTTGCACAGACGAATAGGGTTAGTCAAAGCGTCTGAACGATCGCAATAACTTATTTCTCACAGGAAGCAGAGTCGTCTGACTCGAGGGCAAGACGGGAAAAAAATGGTTTCCTGCAGGCTGTTGCCGCCCGTTTCGGAAAAGCTTGTCATTTGAAATTTGCCGTCTGTGTATGAGCTCCGCTTACAAATGCTGCTGGGCGAACACTTCGGACGCATTAAACCCGATGATGACAGCCTCAACAATTCCTCCAAATCTGGCCTTGACGACTTGAAACTAGACCCTGCCCTTGAAGACCTCGCCTGATTGATGATGCTTATCGTCGTCCCATCTTATCCCCAGAATCTGCTCTAGGTTTCGACTTCCCGTACCATTACGTGCCGATATGGGAGGCTGATGTTTGTAATATCAACTTGCAGCGACCACTTGGTGCGGATGTCACATTGAAGACTCGGCATCGTCATGCTGAAACTTAAAATTCTTTATTGTGGACCACGTGATATCAGGCCAAATGAAATCTCGATTTACAGTGCTACCCGACTGTAACGACACCTCTAATAGTCTAGCTGCGTAAACCACTAAAGAGTCTGTAAGGGTTTGTGCTAGTAAGTAAGTCCTGCTGCGGAGTCCTCAAGCAATAATATCGGGGTTTGACGTATGGAGTAGAGTACTTTGGGTAACTGAAGTATTCAAGTAGGGTAATCGGGAATAAAGTCGTTAAGGCAGTTTGCCTCACCAATGGGTTAGATTGATGCTTAGATTGATCACTGAAGTAGAGACTGTCTATCTATGAAATGCCTGGGAGTCCTGTCCCTTATATATCCGTCTCTCCTTCACTGATCCCCACTTGGATATGTTCTCTGCCAACATATCCTGTTGGTAGGATATGTAGTTGACCAACATATCCACCCCTGTAGGTCACGTGACCTATCGGTCTTTTCCTTTCTCCGATGCGGGGTCCCGTGATCCTAGCGTCTGTATCCACCTGGCCTGCGAACGGGCCTGTAATGTTGGTCTAGGGCCAACGGTTCGTAACACCGACGTTGACCCGACATTAGTTCCGCAATTAAATAGTCTTTTCCCGCTAACCGTAACTCTTCCTATAATCGAATGGTCCGTGCTTATTTCGCTACTAATTCAGCTTCGGTAATATCTAGTCCTGTAGGCGGGTATTGTCGAATATCACGTGTGTCCAATCGAGTAGTCAGAAGTGCATAAGATTGTATTATGAATGAGGTGTGTTCTTCTCTGTGTTCTATTCTCGCGAACTCCCGTTGCTCTGCCCTTTATAGATTCTTTCGGAAATGTCGGAGGTGCATTGTTCAGGTGTCTGACCCCGAACTTCGGAGTTACTTTCGGGAAGAGGGGTTCCTTTCGCCTTCTGAACTTTAAGTGACAATAGTCTTCTCTAGTGCCATATTATTTCTGAACCTAGGAACCAGGTGCCCTATCTGACAGGTATAAGTTAGAATCTTACCTAGCAGGTAAGGAGTTCGCGTATAGGCCCTTGTGTCAGATTGTAAGGAAAGAGCCGTCATGGCGGGCCGGTCTCAGCTGACCAGCTGAGTCGGGAGGGTTTCGCCCCCGATCCGGTAGAACTCCGGAACCGCTCAGCTGAAGAGAACTCGAGACGCTCACACCTAGCTTAGATTCCTCAAGAATCAGTCTTGCAATATACGCACCTATACACTGGCCTACTTCTAGCTACCCTTTGCACTACCTGACTATTATATTGTGAGACGTGTGGTATCCTCGTTACACAGATATTCATATGTCTTTCAAGTGTGACCACGAATTACTATAGTATAGGCTAGTTGTGACGGTTGTCACGTGATTGACCCACACTGGTCTGAACAGATTGATAAGTGGTTGCAGATAGAAGATTCTACTCTAAGGAGCGAAGGAAAGAAGATCACAAACTTAGGTTTGAGGGAGCGCGACTAAGTCGTCCACGCTTGGCGGGGCTCCTACAAGGGTTATGATTGGCTTCCCATCTGGCACTGCCATGGCAGGTGTTCCAGCTGTAAGTCACCTGGTTGTAGTGAGTCTGCGAGGGTTGACCTTCACACTACCCCCCTCCAAGCCTCGATCGTCGCGCAGCGGCGGTCGTACGGCTTTACCTGTTATTATCCCACGTTAGGTATGCCTAGTAGCATGCCTCCTCTTCTCTCTAATTCCTTGAGCGTTATGCTCTGCCACGTTGTCGTCGTCATGATCCTCAGCGAATTTGTCATCAGCAGCGTTTCTGATCCAGTTCTGTAACCGGACTGGGGGACCGGCTGCGTCGGGGTGTTGCTTATGGAACGCATCTAGTGCCGTAGCTGCATTTTTCAAATTTGACGCCGGGTACCATGTCTCGTCAGGATCGCATCCTCTCCAAGAGACCTGGTATTGTAACACTTGACGTTGACCAGACAACCTAGATGCCAGAATACGCTCGACTTCCCACTCGGGTTCGCCATTTATCTCTTCCGGGGGTTCAGGCTCGGGTATTTGCTGGGGCAACGGATCTGTGGCTGCCTTCCTCAGACGATCAGCGTGGAATAGCTTACTGCCCTTATACCATGTCAGGGTATCCAGCACGAAGCTATGTCCCCTTTCTTCGATAATGGTCCAGGGTCCCGCGTACTGTGAATCCAACTTGGTCGTAGGGGCTTCGGTTGAGAAGCCCTTTTTGCTGACGTATACTGAGTCGCCAATCGTAAAGTCTACCGGACGACGTTTCTTATTGGCTTGGGCTTCCTGCTGAGCCTGGGCTGCGACTGCATTCTGTCGGGCGAGATCTTGTACAGCCTTAGTCTGCTTGACGGTTTCTAAAGCTTTCCGAGCTTGGTCTGACGATACGTTAACGGCTGGTAAGGCGGTTGATAGCGGATTGCGAGGTTCGCAACCGAAAGCCACATGCAACGGTGCCATGCCGATTGATGAGTGATATGCCGTATTATGTGCCAAGTCGAGGGCCGGGAGGTTCTTTCGCCAATCCGTCTGGTATTTGTCGACATAGAAGCGAAGCTTCTGGTCTAGCTCGGCATTGGTGATTTCAATGCTTCCCTGACTCTGAGGGTGATGTGCGCTACCATGCCGATGTTTGGTGCCAGCGAGCTTGTTGAGCGTCTCCATGAATTCAGAGATGAACGGGCCGGCGTTGTCGCTAATCCAGACGTGAGGTACTCCTAGGAATCGGTAGATATATTGGTAGTATCTCATAGCCAGTGTCTCGGCGGTGTCATCTTTCTTTCCATATAGGGATGCTAGTATTTTACTAAATCGGCATACGAATGCCCAGACGTAGTCGTAGCCCTCAGGATCCTTCGGCATGTTTTTGCCGTCAACGGCGACATGTTCCCAGACTAGGTTCGGGACTGGTAGAGGATGCAGGAGACCTGGGGTCTTGCCGTGGCGGGTCTTGTTCCGTTGACAACCTCGGCAGTTATTGATATAGCGCTTGATCTCACGGGCGAAGTGAGGCCACCAATAATCTTGCTTGAGCAACTGAATCGTCTTGTTTTGTCCCGCGTGTGCGAAGATCTTAGGTTCATGAGCCTCGCGAATCAGGGCCGTACGCAGGAAGGTCTGTCCGTCTCGGGTTGTCTCGGGCACAATTAGTTTACCGTCTCTCGTGCCTAGGTTCTGGGCCTCGTTCTCAGTCTTGATCAGATCGACAAGATCCATACCCTGGGGCCAGTTATCTGCGGCGTACGTGGCAGCAATCTGGTGTTGGATCTTCTCGGGAGGTATCAGTGGAAATGTACGTTCCTGTAGCTCTCGAGCCTTAACGGTTGGATTGTCGATCGTCTTGCGTGAGAGTGCATCGGCGGCGACATTTTCTTTTCCAGGGCGGTATCGGTAAGTGATATCGAAGTTGGCGAGATAGTAAGACCAACGAATTTGGCGAGCGGATAAGAGGCGCTTGGTCGGCCAGTAGATAAGAGCTTGGTGATCTGTCTGAACGAAGAACTTGGTTCCCCAGAGGACGGGCTCAAAGTCCTTTAGAGTATTGACGACAGCCAGGAGTTCTTGGTCTTGTATAGGGTAGGTTTGCTGAGTCGGCGTCATCGTCTTAGACGAGTAACCGATGGGCTTTCATTCTCCATCTTCCTGTTGCTGCCAGATCACTCCTCCTGTAGATTTGCCGGAGGCGTCGGTATCTACCTTGATCGGACGGCCAGGCTTAAAGAAAGCGAGCACGGGGGCTTCTGTCGCGAGTTTCTTTAAGGTATTGAATACTTGCAACTGCTCAGGACCTTTTTCGAAGACGGCGTTATTCTTAAGTAACCGGGCCAGAGGTTCGCCGACGTCGCTGGCGTGGTAACAGAATACGCGTACGTAGTTGCAGAGCCCCAAAAATGAACGTACGGCGGACTTCGAGTTGATGTCTTCCCATTTCCAGTCACGGATAGCTTGCACGTTGGCAGGGTCGATGCGGACGCCTTTGCCCGTTTCGAGTACCATTCCCAAATAATCGATCTCGTAGACGTTGAAGCTTGACTTCTTGATGTCTCCCTGGAGGTCTGCCTTATGGAGGCGGTAGATCACCTCTTCGACATATTCGAAGTGAGTCTTATCGTCGTCGTCCGTATAGATCAGGACGTCATCAGCGTAGGCGCTGGCGAAGAGGTCGAGGAGCTCGTTTAGCTGTGCGTTGATGAAAGCTTGGAACCAGGCTGGGCCGACTTTGAGTCCAAAGGGTAGGACTTTCCACTGGAAAGTGCCTTGGCGGGTGGTGAAGGCTGTGAGATACCTAGAGTCTATATCTACTAATAGACGGTTGAAAGCACGAATAATATCGATCTTCGTAAACCTCTTGGCTTTCCCACATTTGGTGATCGTGATGAGATTCGTACTGCCTTGGCCGAAGGACGTCTTTGGACGATTGTAGGAAGGCCTATACCAACGACAGGACCTGCTTGAGTGTTGATGCCATAAGCTCGGGCGGTACTCGCCTGGATTGTATCGCAACTGTCCCCATCTCATGCTGAATAGTGACAAAGACACCCGCCGAGACCTAAACAAGAATAAAAACGAGGGTGATCCACCGAAGTATCCTCTCTATAAATACACCATATCCACGATACAGAAGGAGTCGAGCTCGATAAGTAATATCTCGACGAAATGGTGTTACCACTTCCCAAAGCTTTGCGAAAAGCCGATGGTTCCCCTAAATAATACCTATCCCTCGGACGAGTGCACATCTCGCTACGTAGTTGGCCCTTGTAACACCATGCAACTCGAAGTTGTCCTCGAACTGCACGCGACCAGTTGACTCCCGAATAGCACGCATTTGGAAGGCGCAGTTGAACTACAGACCTGTCGCCCGGAGCTAGCAAACCATCGTTAGCGTTCTGCAACCAGCATTGTCAAGCCTAGAAAGTTAGAACACAACACCAGTCCGCAGAAGGACGAGCTGGGCCAATACCTTATACCAGCCACCTGGCTTTTTGACTGCGGCAATTTGGCGTCGCATCGATTCGATCAGGTCCTTAACTAGGTTTTGATCGACTTCGGACCACGCGCGCTGAATTACCTCCCTTGCCTAGGCCTCGTGAGAAATACGCTTCTTCATTTCGTGAAAATCAAATTCTACTTGATAGATATTCTTCAGGGCGAGCCCGGCGTGCCAGACGTGCTTGATAGAGTTCAAACCAGGGCTGTGCGGCCAGTCAATACACCAAATACCAGTGTCCCTCCAGCCACTCGGAAGTGCCGTTACTCACGTGAATAGGAACTTTATATGGATAAAAAGATCTCTAGCCTCGTAAAGCGGTAGCATGCCTTCCTCGAGTGCATCACGATAAATTACAGCGCTCACCCCTTCAGCCGGAGCATCAGGGTCCCTGTGGTACATTACCAACGGCGATAGTCCTCCCTGCTCGCCGCGTTTCCATACCATTCCCCGGACCATAATCGAATTACTTGGTTTCCTATGACTCTCCAGGTCTATGTACTAGGTCCTGCCTAGAGAATTCGGAGGCAAGGCGAAATACCTATCCCATTGGCCTGGGGCCGCCGGCGAGTTCGTGATAGTGAATTCGTATGAGAACAGTGCCTTCAGAAGCTCCTCTAGCTTGGCCGGATCGAAATTTGCAGACTGATTCAATTCATCTTGGCTGAAACGGCCAGTATGGCATGAAATTTCACGTCCCCAAAACCAATGGTGCCCTACAAGCCTGCATTAAATTATGTGCTATGTGAGCAAAGTGTATGCGGGCTGGCTACCTCATTACATGCTGCCCTTGGACACCAAAAACCAAAGCCAAGGGTGGTAGTAGGTTTCTTCCTCCACTGGGCCAATGATAAGCAGCAAGTACTTCGCATGCCGGTCTTCTTGAGAGACGCTGTCGAAACAATCGGGAAGTAGCTTTACCCGCCGCGCCTTACAAAACTCCCACTACGCGGGGTACCATTCAGCCTGGCCCCAATCAATAATTGCAGCCACTTTGGATCAAGTCCAGATGACAATATGATATGATGTTACATGGAACCAAATCATCGTGCGTGGATACAGTAGCCACTTCGGAGTCAATGTCACTCCCGCAACCAGCTTGAACCGGTTGGACCGCGCCTGCGCCTTGGAAAGGCCCAGCAAGGGCCGGGTGATTTCTCAGAAATATCTCGTTCAGTGGTTGTCCCCCTAGACTGCCTTTGAAGTCGAACTCCGTGTCATTGATTCGCCTTCGATGCAGATATGGGTGGGCTTACCGATATAATGGCCTTGCCTACCATGTTCCAGTGTCCTCCAGGCATAGACCATTTGCCTGAGTTCTTCACATACATTTCGCCTCTCAGTTTAGTCCATGCCAGGCGATCTCTCTGCCAACGTATCGCCTTTTACAAGAGACATGTAGATGAATTCCCGAATGTGTAATATATGGGTCTGTCAAGCTCGTTGAGAGCAGAGAAACAGAGTTACAACAAACAGTTGCAACTGCGTAACAAACAAATTGACAGGGGTACCATCACCCATAATGTACGGCCTATTGGACTTTAGATTGAGTAGATTGAGTAGTATAGTAGGTGGTCGTGGTTGTCAAGCGACGCAGTCATGTTAAGTTGGCTGTGAGTTATGCTTTACACGTAGAATTATCGTATGGCATAATCGTTTGCTTCAAGAACATCAATGAGAATGGCCAGTCTACAAGCAGAGTATTAAGTTGTTTCCATGTCCATATGAACCCCGAACGCCAGCCATGCAATCGCAATCCACCGCATCAAATGAGCGCAGCTCCTGATGTCTGTCGTATATTCGTCCTCGCACGACGACCGCCCCTGAGCACAACCCGGAGCTAGCCCACAATGGTTCAAAATGGATCCATTGACACCCTCGACTATTCATAAACAGCGCAAACGTTGTGCCTCCTAAAAGCTTTAATGCCCCCTTTTGTGCAGTGGCGCCTCTTCCATCCGATATGGAGTCATGATTTTATTCTCATGCCGCGTCGCGACAGCGGGATATAGGTCGACGTAGAATGAAAAGACGTAAAACGAGAAGACAAATGCTATCGTCCACTCAAGTATGGCCGCAGTATTGTACATCTTAAGGAAATTGGTGGCGATGAAAGCGATGGCGAGCAGTAACTCGACTACTACAAACACGAGTTTAATCCAGAAGCTGATCCTCAAGACTCGATGCTCTCGGTGTTCTGTGAAGTCAATTGTTAGCCATGGACGGCCTGGAGTGAACGGCTGGTTTGAAAAGATCGGAGTACTCACTTATACCGAGACGCTGGTATTCCCAGCAGATGAAAATGGCAGACCCCAGATATCCGACAATGAATAACAGGAGAAAAACGTTGTGCAACATCGGGTGTCTCGCTGTGTCGAACCCAGACAGGAAACACAACCCAATGGTTCCGATAGCGGCAAAAACAATGACGAGCACTGACAGAATCTTCTCGCCTCTGGTGGTGTTTGGTACCAGGCGGCCTTTATGTCGTAGCCATCGATCGAATCCAAAGGAAAGGTCGAGGAACACAGTTGTAATAACGCAGCCAACAACAAACAATGGCTTCAGCTTTTGCGCGCCAACATCGGATATGTAAGCGATTGATTGGTTCCCTTGCATGGAAGCATATTTCGTTCTCTTCGTGTCAACTACCCAGTGTATGAGTAGCCCTAGCAGCGTGCCAAACCATACAAGGCCGGAGATGATGGGAAAGACCTGAAATCGAATTCAGCACATTTTCTGATGGTACGCGAAGGACAGCTTACCCAGTACGAGAGTTTCATGGCTGTCGTTTGAAATTTGAGCGAAATGTGCTGAGCGTAGGGTAGTGGCAACGATCAATATAAAAGAATAAAGCGCTTGCGATGACTTCAGCTCACACGTCTTTCGTCATAAGTACTGATAAAGGGCTGATTCGTTGCGCCAGCACCCGTCGTCTCACGGGTTCCTGTCGGGCCCGTAATTGCACTTAACTCCGTCCAAATCGCATCCAAGCCACAGCTGTACGTCAAGAAATTGCCAGAAATGGGGCTGTGCCCATCCAACTTGGAAATTTGTGCTGGCTACCGTGCTAGCATTGCCTGTTTTCGTGCTTCTAAATTAATGACGTCAATTAGAACAGGAACAAAGCCTAGAACCCGGTAAATGGGTTTCCCTGCACTGCAGCGTTTAGCCCCGAGCCCGCCTGAGCCGTACCCTAAAATTGTTCCTCGAAGGTGAGCTGACATGCATAAATAACCCATTCATATTTTGTGTCTCGACCATGCATCACACCAGACGGTAGATATACAGCAAAATAATTGTCCATTCCGTTTTTTATATCTACCTTGCACCGCATAAGCTGCGTGTCGTTGAAGTTCAACCGAGTGTGCTCCGGGATGGCCCCAGAGAGCTCCGGCCATGTCATGGAATATGCCTGGCAAGACCAGATAGAACTGTAAAGAAGAGACGTACGAGCTCCAACGAAGGCAAGCGCGGACTGGTGTGTCTCGCCCCAGACTGGCATGGATGCGAGCAGTGCAAACAGTACGACTTCCGACCAGTACAACATGCATAACAATACAGCTGTGAGCATACAGTACAGTTATGGACTGGGACGGTCGACGACTAGTATGGCTACAGAAACAGTACGGATCTTGACCAATACATAATACGGCTGCCTCCAGGGCGGGGCCCGCAAACGTCGTCCGATATTAGGCATCGGTCAAAAGTAGCCTGCCCAATGCAAGAAATCATTCTTGCGTTCGTTTCCTCGCGACCATATCGTTTCTCTTCATTCTCTTAGCTTATGTTATGGGAGTGCTAGGGTCTAGGTGGAATCAACGGAATGGAAGGACTTTGTCCGAACCAGGCAGCTAGGAAGAAGGTCGCATGATGACTCACCTACGGATCAATGATCCAGACGTGAGACTCACAATATGATTAGTGAGCCAGGTGTGAGGCTCACCAGGGATATTTTGTATTACACGTATATCTGACCAATGCGAATTCAAGTGATTGACACAATCGAGCAGCCAAGCCCTAGTACATCTAGCAAGTATACCTAGATATAACAGTGTCGACTTCGTAGTTAGTTTATTCCACACCGCTTAACCTATTGAAGCTGAAAATTTAAAAGAAAGAAAAGGAACACCTAACATCCTCCCGTAGTGCATATGGCCTCCATAGTGTAGGACTTTTGTTGTATGACACGTATATCTGACTAATGAGGGTTCAAAGTGATTGATTGATTGTATGACTGTTGAGGGATTCAACCCTCAGATGATGACTCTGTACAGATCCTGTATTGGTTACGATGCTCGATGCGCAGTGTGATGTGTGTATTGACTGCTCGGAGTCCTATGTAAGAAGTTACATCTAAGGTAGGTAGGCAGGTGTCGACCTTTTTATCTACACAAGCGATTTCACTGCCTTAGGCACCACCTCAGGCACCACCTCAGGCACCACCTCAGGCACACATATGGCGCTCAATCCCACAACTGTCTTGTTCCAGCCCACTCACTACTGCTGTGGCTTTATGTATGGGCGGGTAATTATACTTCTGATATGGCTGTAATCCAATAACTTTACGCTAACTACTCGTGTTGACACTGATTATCGTACAATTAGGAATTTGTATTGTTTCAAAGCCAGCCATCCAGCCACGTAGTTCGGTTGAATGGCAGTCCAGTTGGAGATAGGCTGCCAGAGATATGGGGCTCATTCTGCCGGCGGCTACTAGTCTTGATTTGGAAGCAGTGGGTACGGGTACACAACCGATCACTGTCGATCTTCAACTTACTACGCATACGCCACTTTAGCTCCACTCCTCGGACCACATATCATCTTGGCAACAGGGGGGAAGGGGGGAGCATAGCTGGTATACTATGTATACTCATTTTTGTTTTGTGTATTTATCCGATCGCTCCCATATCTCTTCTCCCGCCTCGGCTAGGTTCCACCTTGTCCGGAGGACGTGTAAATGGAATCAAACCCGATCAACGCTGGGCCCGTGGTCCTTCTCATCGTCAAGGCTAAGATGCAAAAATACCTGCCACAATTATGGAAACCTTCGACTGGTCTTCTATCCGTGTTCAAGTTTTGCATCAAGATCAAGCCGTAGGCAAGCCTGGCCGAGGCACACGCCATACAGTTTGTCGCCCAGCACACATCGATTCCAGTGCCGAAGGTATACTGCATGTTCGTCCACAAGGGAGCGGCATATACCGGCATGAGCCGGATTGATGGGCAAATGGCATAGCAGGGATGGCGCAACCGCCCAGGAAAGTCCAAGACACAGATCCTCAATCAGCTCCGCAGCATGGTTGCTGAGCCTCGCTCTATCAGCCCACCTGAAGGGATGGGCGTTGCTAACGTCAACGGCGGCCCCTTCTGCGATTGTTGATTATCTTCGGGGCTGTTCTGGGGCCCATTCGCTACGGCCTGTGACTTCCATGAGGCGCTTGCGAACGAGGAAGACACCGGGATACAGTACGAGAGCCTCCCTACCTCCCTCCCTCGACGAACTTTTTGGCTTCTACCGGCAGCTATGTGGTAGACCGGTTTTCACGCACGGCGACCTGAGCATCTTAAACATCCTTGTGCGGGCCAACGATGTTGTTAGCATCATAGATTGGGAAACGGAAGGCTGGTTCCCGTATTACTGGGAATACACTTGTGCGTGGAATGTCAATCTCCGGAATATATTTTGGCAGGAATAGGTCAACAAGTACTTGACGCCGATGCCGTACGAACTGAGGATGGAAAGCATCCGGCGCAAGTATCTTGGTGCTTTCTAAAGTGGGAACTAAATCGGTCTCCACAACTGAAGTACAGGTAAAAATGCTTATCTCCTAGCGTCATAATAATATGATCTTCCATGTCTATGGCACTAGTTCTCTATTCTCCAGCATGTCCTAAGTTGGTGCTTTGGTCGGGTCGTAATGCGCTTGTTCATCGAGTCTATGAGCAACCTTCTCCTCAACATGCCACGTTGCCCTATCTCGGACATACTGCCAGTCGGTGGCGGATGTGCCTAGGGCGCTGCTGGCTTGTATGGCTGTACCGAGGCCCTCCTTTACCCACTCAACGTAATTCTAGCCCTCCACCTCGGGTCGAAGTGGTGTACCCTGGAAAATAGACTGAAGCCTGCTCGTGCTATTCATCTTACCAACGACAACGCGAACCAGCAGCATCGACGTCGGCGCTAGGGGGATTTCCAGTTCGTCGTACTGCCATACTGACTGCGCGGTGGGAGGTTGGCCGACGAAAGTGATTTCTCCTTTGCATGAAAACGCCCCTCGGCTATTGGCCCAAAGATGAAGGCCCAGTGGTACACGAATGTGTTGGCCTTTGGGGTCAACTTTGACAGGCATGTAGAGACGATTCTTATCTGAAGGCATCGTCAACAGGGTTTCGATCGGGCAGAGCAACAGTAGAGGCGTAGCTATGACAGCTAATAAGAGTATGCTTTGGACAAGGCAATGATATGGACCGAGGATGCGGGACAAGATAGCCCGATTTGTATTAATAGTTATGCAGGGAAGCCCCAAAACAATGCCGCTGGAGAAGTTAGTGTTTTACTAGTCGAATCTATGTTACAGGGGACTGTCTTCATCTAACATTCCTGTTCAGTGCGATGGGCAGATCTCAGTAAAGAAATTGGTCTCCTCCGCCCATTGGCAAAAGCATTATCCAAACATTTGGGCGCTGTGCATAATTATGTGTATATGACGTCTTCCAGTCACGTGGCTGAATGGCAGGGTAGCCGAACCTGAGTAAGAGCGGCAAGGTAACACCGAAAACCAGGAACCTGGGTTGCCGCTCCGGTCAGTCTCCGTGGGGTCGAACCGAGCCGGGCGTTTCCGCGACAGCACTATCCACTCCAGTCTTGGCATTCGTAGCCTTGTTGCTGCAGGACGTTCCCAGTCGCTTTCAGCCGCTACGCATAACCAACCAATTGAAGGACTGCCCCCACCTTCTTTCTACTGGGAAGGCTGGCAATAGCGACTTGAACTTCGTTGGATCAGACATCTTTAGGTGTCTGGACGTCACGGTGAAATCCTGACCATGGCGGTCTCTCCTCTCGTTAAGCATCCTACGGATGCCCTTCAACAAGTCACCGCCCGAGCAGTGTCGTCGCCGCTCAAGAATGCGAATTCGGCGCAGGCATCTTCGAATGGGACGCCCTTGTCAGTGAGTGTTGTTCCAAATGCGTCCGCCGCGATGCAATCGGCCTCCCTCGATATTGCCGAGCGGATGAACGAGGATGAGAAACGCAAATACGTAAGAGGTACGTGAACCCGACCCTAAGGCACCAACTACTCTCGCTGACAGTCTATCATCAGGCAAGAAGCTCGGTGAAGGTACATATGCGAATGTCTACCTTGGCCACCTGCGCCATGATCCGTCGCAACTCGTTGCCATCAAGAAGATCAAGGTCCAAAAGGAGTACACCGAGGGTATGGCCCCCGATGCCGTACGTGAAATCAAACACCTCCAAGAACTCTCGCACCCGAACATCATAACCCTACACTCCATCTTCTCGTCCAAGGACCAGAACCTCAACCTCGTGCTCGAGTACCTTCCCCTCGGCGATCTAGAGATGCTGATTCGCGACACTGACCGAGTGCGTTATGGCGCGGCCGACATCAAAGCTTGGACTGGCATGCTGACGCGAGCCGTCTGGTTCTGTCACGAGAACTTCGTCCTCCATCGTGATATCAAGCCCAACAATTGCCTGATCGCAGCCGACGGCGAGGTCAAGCTGGCCGATTTTGGATTGGCCAGGAGCTTCGCGGATCCATACAAGCCAATGACCACCAACGTCATCACCAGATGGTACAGACCCCCCGAGCTGCTATTTGGCGCTAAGCATTACTCTGGCGCTGTGGATGTGTGGTCCGTCGGCCTTGTGCTTGCCGAAATGGTTACCCGAGCGGCGTATTTGCCCGGAAACTCGGAGATCGACCAGATCAACCTCATCTGCCAGGGCATCGGCACCCCGACGGAGGAGAATTGGGCTGGCGTGACGAAGCTGCCCGAATACACGGTGCCGAAAGAGGTCACGCCGCTCCACGGCAAGAACTACTACATCAGCAGGTTTGGGGTCATAGGGCACGAGGGCGTCGATCTGTTGATGAAAACCCTAATCCTCGATCCGAAGAAGCGCATTACGGCGCGAGACATGTTGAAGCACGAGTGGTGGCACAAGGATCCTAAGCCGACTTTGAAGAAGAACCTGCCCAAGAAGTCAGGTGGCGAGGAGAAATTGGGGGACGATCTCAAGAGGAGACCGGGGGTTGTGGAGGAGGATAGGGGCAACAAGGTGGCCCGAAAACTGGATTTCGGGGCTGCAAGATAGTAAGCGGCAATAGCATCGGGTGGTTGGTTCGGACAGCATAGTGGCATGGCGTTTGGTTCTCATGCACCACCGGCATATGTGGTGATTTGGGGTATTCTGGTTCACAAGCCCGAAACGGCAGGTATTGGTATACAGATTTGATACAATATTTGCACATCTGCTAATATTTTACACAATGACTCTCGATCTGACCTATTGGGAGTGCATCTACGGGATCTCGCCTCGTTCCCGCATCTCCCTACGCTCTTGGATGCGCTTCTTGTAGCGGACCTCCGTCCTTCTTCTCTCACCACCATCAATCTTGCGACCCCTCTTGTTCTCCCACATACCCTCCGTGATCTTAATCCGTACCCCCTCTCCCTGCTTCAGCGGCAACGCATACGGTCCCACAATCGTCCGAGCGCCCCTGACCTTGTACCCGGACACCCTCGCCAGCTCCTCCTGCGGTGTCTCTTTCACGCTCTTGCCCAGCGGCACGTTGACGACGTACTTCTTGGGGTTCAGGGGGTCCTTGGCGTACTCAAGAATCTTGAGGTCCGCCGTCCCGTCCTCGACGTACTTCAGGTCGCCCCCGATGCCAAACTGTCCACGTGCGAACCGAGACCGCCATTGGATCAGGTAGCGGCGCGTCCGCGGCGGCTCGATGCCCAGCTCGCGCAGTTGGTCAGACGTTAAGGAGAAGAGGGCCTCCCACGTCGGGAACTTGGATACGTGCGACTTGAGGCCCCGGCCGATGAGGGTTAGGAAGGTTGAGACGTCTGGGCAGAACGGCGTTGGGTCTGGGATTATGGGGGTTTTGGCCCGGCTGGAGGAGGCGCGGCTTATGCAGAAGGCGGCGGGGCGGATATTGGGTTGCGCTTGGGGTGTCTGATGAGAGAGGAGCGAGAGGGCGGAGCGCCATGGCCGAAGGTGAGGTCGAAAGATGGGCTAGCAGGTAGTTATTAGTGGTGTTGCTTCTTGGAACCATGAGATGCTTGGGAATTGGCCACCTTGAGATGCCCCATGACGGCGGAGGGAGGTCAGTCAGACGGTCTCGAGATGGGATCCTCAGCTTCAGAGATTGATCATATCGTGAGTGGTGCGAGTTTCGGCAGCGGCTTGATGTGCAATGCACCTCTTTGCAACCCGGTCCTTTGCTATCGTTTGGATAGCTACACGAAAATTCAAGACCAGGCACATCGGAAATTCATAAGCTCCGATGCTACAACACGCCTTCCGCGAGTGGCAGGGGTGGTTCGCAGTGCGATAGATGATTGGCTGAAGGCTAATCTATGGGGTGTGAGATTGTCTAGGTTGCAGCCTTGCCCCTCGGCGATCACTTGAAGCTCGCACCATCCTTTGACTTATACCTTCGGAAGCACATACTCGGCGTGCACACCCCTTCTGCCTGATAATTCCCCGTATCTTCCGCAGTTTCTCCTCTTCATCACCGTATATGCCTCCATTTGCATCCGTAACTATCGCTGCACAATTCGCGACATCTTGATGCCAGGGCCGCCGAGGATGCTAATACCTCGATCGGTTATCGGTCGATCCGAGATGCCAGCATCAATATCAACGAGAGATTTTTGTCGATTCGGAAACCCTTCTCCGGTCGGGGAGAATGTAAATTCCAATAGTAATTCCGCTCGATTACGATCCCCGTAAGTACCGAACTGCGCTTGCTAACCAAATACTTAGACCCCTTTCCCAATGAGCTACTGGGGTTTCTGTCTCGACTCCCTTCTGATACCGATGAATCAGAGGAGCGGCCCCAGAAGCGGTTGCGACAGGAAGAAGCAGACCCTATCGTAGTTGCACGAGATACTCTGGTTCTATTGAGACCGTGCCGGCCGGAAAACAAAAACATTTCTCTCTCCTTCAAAGCGTTCAACGTTGGCCAGTATATGAAGTTTAGATATTCAGCCAGGACACATTCCATAAATCTGGCCTCAAATTCGCAATCACCGGTGCGCTCGTTCAAGTCTGACATTCACCTTGGGAGAGCCAATCCCACGAAGTCCCTGGCCACAATCTTGCATGTTGCAACTAATACGCGAGATGGCATATCCTCACCTCATGGCATTTGGACTACCTTGCAAATTGAATTTGAGAGACAAGGCGATGAAGATTGTCTCAAGTTCATATTCGAGCTGAAATGGAATCAGTCTGGTATTGACCAGGGAGTGCGCAGCAAGGCACAGCGGACCCTGAGTCGCCAGGTCCAAGACACTTTTTTTCCAAATCAGACCACCGCAGCTGCCGGCGCATCTGAGGGTCTTTTGCCTCGAGCGTTCTACGAAGCAGCTTTCATTCCAAGAAAGGAGGAATACACGGATCTCTTGTCACTCTCTATACCTCATCTCACGTCAAAGCTCTATCCTTTCCAGCGCCGAGCATTACAATGGTTGTTGAGCCGCGAAGGTGTTCGTTGGATTGATCCTGGTTCTGACTGTTCAGCTGGAGCTGGACTCGAGTCTCACCCCATTCAACCCACTTCGGACCTTCCATTGTCTTTCACCGAAGCGAAAGATGCCGATAGTCGTACCTTCTATCTCAGCGATCTCTACCATGTAGTCACCCGAGACGTCGAACCCTTTCATGAGCTAGAAACGTCCATCAGAGGTGGCGTACTTGCCGAGGAGATGGGCCTCGGGAAAACAGTCGAGACTATCTCCATGATATTGTTGCATCAACGACCGCCACAACCGGCTCTGGTTTTTGACAACTACACTGGCTCAAAAGTGCGCCCGACCGGTGCGACTCTCATTGTTACTCCAGCAACCTTGAAAAATCAATGGATCTCCGAGTTCGATAAACACGCCCCTCACCTGCGTGTCGTCGAGTATCGCGGAATCAAAGCCTACAAAGGACGTGAGGATGAGCTCCTCACAGAGTTGGCTGAGCATGATGTTGTAGTCACCACGTACAACGTCCTACAATCTGAGATCCACTTTGCGGAAACCCCGCCAGAACGTTCAATGCGGCATGAAAGGAGACATCCTCGACCCAAGTCGCCATTGATGCAGCTCTCGTGGTGGAGAGTATGTCTCGATGAAGCTCAACTGGTTGAGAGCGGTGTGAGTGCCGCGGCCAAGGTCGCGAGGTTAATTCCTCGAGTAAACGCTTGGGGAATCACCGGTACGCCTGTCAAGGAAAATATCAAGGATCTATGGGGCTTGTTAGTTTTCCTTCGATATGAGCCCTTCGCCTCTTATCCAGCAGTCTGGGACGCCGTTACATCAACGCACAGGGCACTGTTCAAGACAATCTTTCATCGCATATCACTTCGCCATACCAAAAGAGCAGTGCGAAGTGAGCTCGCTCTGCCACCTCAGAAACGCTATGTCATCACGATGCCGTTCACAGCTGTCGAAGAGCAACACTACCAGTCGCAATTCCAAGAATTGACGCAGAGTTGCGGCCTGGACAAGCGGGGTGCTCCTTTACATGACGATTGGGACCCAGATGACCCAGCTATCCTCGAGTTGATGAAGCATGCTTTAGCACAGCTCCGACAAACAGTGTTGCATCCAGAACTCGGCCCTGGGAGGCTTCGTGCCGTAGCTCAAAAAAACAGGCCGCTTCGAACGATAGAAGAGGTCTTGGAGGCTATGATTGAGCAGTCGGAGTCTGCTATCAGGACAGACCAACGAAACTACCTCGTGAACAAGCTAAAGAGAGGTCAACTCTTGGAGAACTCGCCCAGGGTCCGAGAATCGCTTCAGATTTGGCAAGAAGTCTTGGACGAGGTGAAGGTGTCTGTAGCAGAAAGCCGCGAACAGCTTCAAGCTGAAGTTCTCCATGCGAAGCAAGCTGGAATCGACGAGCTAGATGACTCTCAGAGCAAGAGCTCCGAGAGCTTCAAAAATGCGGATGAGGAACAAATCCGTACTCGAGTTGGGGAGGCACGCCGAAAATTGCGGTCCGCCCTTGACATGGAACACCGCGCCGTCTTCTTCATCGCTAATGCTTATTACCAGATGAAGTCAAATGAGGATATGACGAAACCCGACTCTGACGAGTTTCGCCGCCTGGAGAAGTTGGAGGTTGATGGCTACGAATCGGCAAAGCAAATCCGAAAAGAAATCTTGCAAGAGGCATATGCGAAAGCCTCATCGTACATGAAAAGATTGGCGGAGAGCGCTGATACTCAGTCTTTCTCCGAAATTCCTGGGTTCAAGCCGGTTGAATATCGCGGCCTTGAGAGCAGGCGGATATCGGAAAATCTGGAGGCGCTTTGCTATCTTCTGGATAACCAAGCGGGCTTGATCGACGAATTTCGAGAGCAGGTTATTCAATTGCTTCTGCGCCCCCTGGTAGATGAGGACGAGGAAGTAGAGGCTACAGGCGAAGAGTACGAAAACTCGACAAAAATACAGGACTCTCTGATGGCGTACACACATGTCCTACGTGCGACTATCGCTGACCGACAAGATGCACTTAGTGGTATTGTCAACAATAGGATCCAGCACGAAACAAAAGTTGCCGAGCGCCTGGCAAAGGATGGAGAAGGTCCCGACCCGGAAAAGATGCTGGAGCTTCTGCAGGAGCGAAAAGCACGCAAGCCAACACCACAACAAGGATCGTTTCGAGGAATTATCTTGGAGATGAGAGAATTGGCCACACAGCTTCGCCACGAAGCCGCAAACGGCAGCAATCGTGCCCAGGTCGAACTGGACATCGTCCAGCAGCAGCTCAAGATGACACAAGACCAAGTTACGGACCAGAATAAAGCAGCTCTTGCTTTGGAAAAGGAGCTGGAGCTATTCACTGCCGCCATGAATGCGCGAGTGGAGTATTATAAACAACTCCAAGTAGTTTCTGATACGGTTGCGCCATTCGAAGTTCCTGAAGATCAAAACATCAGCGTCAAAACACTTATGGCTGGGCTTCTTGCGGAGGAGCAAGCTTTCCAACACAAAGTGGCAAGTGCCGAGTCCAAGCACCGTTATCGTAAGCTAGGTCTCCTAACCGGAATGGTTGCCCTGCGTTGCCAATAGCTACCCTACTAGGTGCACTGGAATCAGTGTAAATTTGTCCTCCAATACATCTTGCTGGGTTGTGAATTTGCTGCCAGTATACCTCTTATAGAATTTGGAACACCCTCTCCACGTTTTAGTATGCTAACTAGTGTTTAGTCCTTCACCTCAGAGACGCAGGTCAGAACTCGCAAGAACCCAAGTTCTGTGTCATTTGCCAGTCTTCGTTCACGCTTGGTGTTCTCACCATCTGTGGACACCAGTTCTGCAAAGAATGCATGACTTTGTGGTTTAAGGCACATCACAACTGCCCAATTTGCAAGAGAAAGCTGGATCTGAACATGCTGCACGACATTACGCTGAAGAAGCCGGAGTTCAAGCTCCACACCGAACACAACGCAATGCCAATCCCTGAATCATCACACAAAGCAAGGAACAAAAGGTCGGGCATCTATTCCGAGTTCAGTGACGAGAAGCTCCAAGCCATCAAAAACATTGACATTGATGGTCCTTCCTTTGCCACCAAGGTTGACACGCTGATCAAACACGTACTCTGGCTCAGAGGGGCAGACCCCGGTGCGAAGTCCATCATATTCTCCCAATTTAGAGAATTTCTCGATGTTGTTAGGCGAGCCTTCACTCACTATCGCATTGGTTTCACATCCTTCGACGCGAAGGATGGCATATCCCGTTTCAAAGAAGACCCGGGCGCGGAATGTTTCTTGATGGACGCAAGATCTCATGCTTCTGGCTTGGACCTCGTCAACGCTAACCACGTGTTCCTGTGCGAGCCATTGCTCAACACAGCGCTGGAACTTCAGGCCATTGCCAGAGTGGACCGAATTGGTCAAGAACATGAAACGACAGTGTGGCTTTACCTCGTCCAAGGGACGGTAGAGGAGTCAATCTACAACCTCAGCGTCCAGCGACGAATGGAACACATGGGTCGGAACAGCAAGGGCAAGTCAAGAGAGTCGACACCAGAGATATCGGACCTCAACTTGGAAGCCGCCAACTCATTGGAACTCGAGCAGGCGGCGCTGAAAAAGCTCATGAGTAAGGAGAAACAACTGGGGGAGGAGATTGACAAGAGCGATCTCTGGGAATGCTTGTTTGGGCACTTGTCGGACGGGAGACTCGGGCGGCAGGATTCGCAGGCCATGGATGAGCGGTTCAATAACGTGGCTGTGAGGGGATTCCTCGCTGCCGAGGCGGCCGATGCGAGGAGAGAGGCCCGAGAAGCGGGGGAGCCCTCCGGGTCCGCATTAGCCTAATGAAAACGAGGGCACGATATTCCGGAGAAGACGGTTTGGTTTTTGTTGATGTTATAAATAGAGTAACTGATCTGGCAACCGGGAAGTGATTCCCATGTTGCAGTGAATACGAGACACGACCTACATGTGAGAGGTGACCTTCCACCAAGCGCTCGCAACCGAACCATGACCGCATGCGTGTTTGTTTACTGCAGATTTCTAGAAGTGCATGATTTGTCCGTCAAACTACTCCGCGAAGTCGAATGCCATATCCGACGCCTGCTTCACTTAGGGGGTCATGTAGATAGACAGATATATGTCTACGGCCCGAAGTCATGAACGGTCGGTGTATGGTGGCTCATCCGCACTTGCTTAGCTTGCTTACTTCAATCCGCTCTCTGTTTCCCTCCTCCCACAGCAGCTAGCACCAACCAACTACGCCCCAAGCGTCTCAACTAACCTCCGCCTCTCCTCGGCCCCGAACTCAATCCCATCCAAGTACCCCTCGATCCCGCCAAACCTTCCGCGCACATGCTCATGAAACCTGTGCACAAAATCCGTCGGACAGTCTCCCCACTCGGCAGTAAGTCCAATTTCCTCGATCTCCTTGAGGCGCGACTCGCGTTCGGTTTCGAATCCTTGCCGTGTGAGCAGGTAGTCGTGGGCTATGGCTTCCTCGGGCACGTGTAGGACCATGAGGACCAGGCAGATGATTATGCCGGTCCGGTCTTTGCCGTGGGTGCAGTGGACTAGGAGGGGGACGGATGGAGGGGTTGTGGTGAAGGTGCGGAGGGCCTGGGGAGCATTTGGTTTCGTTAGTCCTGGGCGAGGTGAAAAAATTGGGACGGTGGTGAGAGGGGACGAACAATAGCTATCTCATCGCCCGAGTGGTCCAGCGAGTCCAAGCCGATGCCCACCAGGCCACGTGGGAGCATGACTTCCTTGCTCATCACCTTTATGGCGTCGGTGTGGCGGCCCGTTAGGTAGAGAAAGACTAATTTGCTGTTGTTCTCAGACTCGTCGGCTCAACTTCTTCTCACACTCACTTACTCGCTAGCCTACTCGCTCACTAATGCCAAAATATTTAGGTTTAGCACTTACAAGTAACTGAGCCAAGACAGCTGGCTCAGCATGAACTTCTCAAACTTGCCGCCCGTGATCTTGATCTCGAGGTACTTCATCCCGGGGATCTGCACCGGTTCCGCCAGTGCGGCGTTGGATTGCAGAAGGGCCGGGATTCTGAGGTCAGCTTGTCGCTTCTCGGCTTGTTTGAGGTGTTCTGTCCTGAAGTGTGTGTAATTAGTTGTAGCACATCTTCACCGCTTCGCCGGAACAGGTAGACAGGCGAGAACGTCTACGCACTTAGTCCGAAGATCCATAAGCGTCTTGACGCCCAGTTCATCTTTTAGCTTCCGTCTGTCTGCGAGCGACGCATCGTCTGTGGTGCAGTGTCTCCTCGTAAGCTCGGAGCCGGGGCGCCGGAAGATGGGAAGAGAGTCAAATTAGAGTTTACCTGGTCGTGCTGATCGGTAGAGCACACCTTCTTGGAGCATTCTATTTTGGGTTCAGCTCAAGTTGTGAGAGATGCGCAATAGTCGAACAGAGGTGCATGCGCATGGTCGTGTAAACCAGGAAATCAACTAGTCACTCACCTCTTGCCGAGGAAGGCATTGATCGTCTTTCCGACGTCGCGGAAATTTAGGATGTTGTCAAATTTGGACGCCATTGTGTCAGGACCACTGGGTTTGTCCAAAGTGAAGTCAATTGGAAGATGGCCCCGAGGACGAGTTTGGTTAATATTGTTGAGCAGGCGAGTTTGCTCCGTTGTTACGACTAAAACTTGACGAGATGAGAGTGTAACCTGTACAGTGGTCCGAGCTGCTTATCTCATGTTTGATAGAGAGCTAAGTTCATAGTGCAAACATTGTCGCCTATCACTAGACGGACAGGCATATGCACAACTCGCGGAATTGTCTTCGAATTCGGGTCTTTGCAGTGAGTTAGTTGACTGACTTAGGATGTCCGGAAGTGTTAGTCGGCAGAGAATAGGAACCCGGGTATCTCCTCGCATGCGTTTTGACGACTTCCGGCCCCGACATTGTTCAGCACCTATGAGAACCCGATGGGCACCCGCTTGCATTATTCCACTTCAAGTTGCATCATGTTCGGATGGCTAATTAACTGGCTCCTCTCCTTCGACTTTCCTTCTCAAGATATGTACAGAGAAGCTTCAGAAATTGCCATGCATGGACGCTTTCCCCCATATCCTGGCTGCCTGGGCAATTGCTGGTGAAGCAACAGAACATCAGGTATGAAAGAACACGGTAGCTCTAGACTCGGCCTTGTGGCTCCAGTTCAGAGAGCCCAGACCTAATGAGACAGGACCCCTGGCTGTCCGATCTTCCACTTATGGCCAGGATGGCGGATATGACAGACGGCTCCCCGCGTGTTGCCTCATTGGTGTCGAGCGAGTCGCAAGAGTATGCCGATTCCGACTGTATTGACTGTTAGAGCAATTCGATAGCTTGTTCCAGTCCTAACTTCGGACTCTAGCGGCCAACCGCAGGCTCAATAAAGTTTCTCTCTTATCTTCAGCACGAAAGATTGGGTTTAAAGCGAGGCCTGGTGGCGCCGAAGAGTTCGCTCATTCTGTACAAAAATGGAAAAATGGGACCAAGCAATGGGGGGGGGGGATGGGGGTGTGCAGGGCGCAATGATCGTCGCTTCCCGACGGCCCGGGTGCTACCTGACGTCATGTGCATCATGTTACCAGGACACAAATCTTCAGCCCAACCACGCCAGGTCAGCAACCTGGTGACTGATCACAGAACCGCTGTGGTCTGGTCTTCTGGTTCCTCTCTGGGTTCTCTTTGATACCCCACCATTATAGCTAGATCAATCAGTATTATGACTGTACCCAATGACCACCCTGTGACGCGGCTACGGCCAAAGAGCTGTCACGCATGTTCATGTCTGGATTGAGGTGTTTCCTTGCATCATGTCCTTCATTGAACACTCACCTTCTTTGTACGGTTTTCCCAGCAGATTCGGTAACATATTTGTCGCAACACCGACACCACCAACACCCCTATCCCTACCATTATCCATTCATCTTTGAACCCTTGAACCTAAAAGTGGACCTGAATAAGCGACAGCGACAACGACAGCGACACCAACGACAAGGAACATCATGGTGCAGCCCGGTCCTGTTGGTACCCCTCCACAGTCCGAGTGCCATGACGAAGCCCGCAATGTGCCCACAGGTGAGAGAACACATGATCGCTGCCTATGTCGCCGTCCCGCCGGCATAACCTTTAATTGACAGCTTTCCCAAGTCTATCCCATCACGTAGTCTTTTGTGTTGCCATCCATAGCTGATCTCTTGCCCAGCTCACTCCGGGCGACTTGTGTACGCCAGACCCCAAGACCTGCCCAGCTTCCCATCAGTAGGCCTGAAAGCGAATGGCTCCGCGGCCAGCGCTGCAGCGTCATTAGGTTGGGCCAACCAAAAGTCACCCGAGCCCTGGAAACCGAACAAGTCGGCTTCGGCTTCAGCGGCCGCCATACTGGCCAAAGATCACAAGATGGCTGCGGCATGGAAACCAACGCCAAGTAGTGAAGGCGCGCAAGCTGCCATGCTCGCGCACAAGGCATCGAGGACTTCCGAGAGCCGGAAACCATCTACGACCGACCATGGTCATTCGGCAGCCGCGCAAGCTTTTAATGCAGGCCGCAACTCTATGCCCAACTCCCGTGCTAACACCTTGGACCATCGAGGGTCTCTCATGGCAGCAAAAGGCGCCATGGCTACCCGCCCCAGGGCGAACACCGCGCCAGCTTCGAGGGAATCATATCCGGACAAGGCGAACGCGGCTGCTATTGCTCTCAAAGCCGCCACCAAAGCCCACCAGCCGAATCGTTCATCAGTACCAAGCAAAGAAGGCGGTGCGGCCCCGTACACCAACATGAATCGACAAATGTTCATTTCGCAGCCAGCCTTCAAGCTGGAAGCGAAAGACCAGACCCGGGAAGAAGAGTTGCATGCTTCGGCTGTGGCCATGGCCAAAAAGATGTTCAAGCAACAGCAAATACTCATCAACCAGGCAAAGAAGCTGAGCGCGAACGACCCTCAAATACCACGACGCCGCAGAAGCTCGAGTAGCCTAAGCGACGACGTGCAGCCAATGCAATTCAACACCCTACAGGACGCAGCCTACAAGCTTGCCCAGGAGCGACTGACCAAGCTCCATGAGGACAACATGAAGAATCGTGATTATCAAGACTACTACGGACAAGGCAAGGCACCGCGCAAATTCTCCGTCAGAGCCAAGCTTCGTAGGAGAGCCTCGAGCGACGGCGCTGTCATAGAGGATCGCCAACGGTCCCGGCAGATTAGGAAACAAATGTCCATCTTCTCCAACAAGCTTTCGGAAGTCGACCAGAAGAAGAGGCAACAAGACCGCGATGCGCTGCTTGCTGTCGCACAGAGAAACGTTCAAGCAAGACTCAAGGGCATGGATGATGCGGTTGCTGAAAAGACCGGCATGGTTCCTCCGTCGACCCTCAGTCAGTGGGAAGCGAAGGCATATTCCGCCGCCCAAGCTCGGAGTGACAATCGATTGAGCAAGCACGGAAAAGTTGATCTTGGTGCTGGCAAGTACATGGATCAGGACGATATCAATGCAATTGCGGCCCGCAGAGTGCAACCGGTCCTCGATGAGATCAACGACAAGGCCGACAGAGAACATGCGAGGCAATTTGAGGCGAGTCTCGAGGCAGAAAGAACGAAGGAGAAGGAAGAGATTGAGAACGCTCGTGAGAAGGAAGTGCAGGACATTTATAAAAAACTCAAAGGTGAGTCTCTTTGCTTCTGTCCACTACGGCTGGCCCGAATAAAATAGTGGATTTACATATGCCACAACGCACGATACATCTTCCAACTTTCATCTAACCACATTCATTCAGACCAAGAGAAGCAGGAGGCAAAAGCCGCCAAGGATGAAGAGCGAGCCGTGAGAGCGGAACAGAAACGCCTCGCCAAAGCGGCGAAGCACAGGTCTGCCCCGGCCTCTGTTCAGTATTTCTACCCAGAAGATGAGCCCGCGGTGGACGACACAACAGAGGTCGCATTGAATGATATTGGCCAGCCTGTAAAAGTCCTAACATCCCCCGCACCGGCGACAGGAACTGGAGATCAGGGCCGTATCAACATCGATGTCCCAGATGAGCACAAACAAAAACGACGAACCCGCTCAGGTAGCTCGTCTCCTAAGTCACCGACGGGCAAGGTTAAAACATGGTTCAAGTCCCGCTTTTCCCGGGGCTCAAAATCCGACGATGACAAGCCCAAGTCCAAAGACAAGGACAACAGCCAGAGGGGCTTCATCGGCGGAGCTGCCCTCACGGGCATGACATCCAACAACGACAGCTCCAGCAGCGTCGACAACCGTAGCGCCAGCGTGCGAGCGGTTGCCATGGCAGGAAGACGGCGAACCGACCTCTCGGACGACCTATCCAGGTCGCAGTTTCGGTCTCAAAGTGCCATCGATCCAAACGAGGTCTCCCCTATGAGCAGCAGTTCTAGCGAGGATGACTTCTTCGGCGATGAGGCTAGGGACCGGGTCGGTGTTGGGCTGTCGCCGCCGAAGCCAATACAGGACCCGGCGGAGAGGAAGAGCCTGAGTCCTGTTAGAGACTCTAGGTTCCATGAGATTATTTGAGCAGGGCGCTATTGCTTTCGTCTTGTTTTCGTACGTTGGTAGGCTGGTGTTTACAACACTTTCAACAAGGCAGTGGGGGCTGCTGAGTCTGACCGCTTCACGAAGATGACGCGGTTGGAGCATGGCCGAACAGTAGGAATTGTGTTTAGCAACGAGTTTTGTTTCGAGACATGGCTGCAGGAACACAGCAGGGGACGCATGATGGACTGACGGACTGCCAGACGGCGCTGAGCTAGGTAGGCACATATACAGGGCTCTCTTTCAAGACCCCAAACGAGGTTTTCAACTGATCAAAAATGGTCCTTCGCTACGTGTTCATGCCGTGGATTTGCCTCGTAACTAAAGTCATAATGGGCCGACTAGTCGCGAGTTCCAACATCCTCGACACCAACTTACTGCCACAGGGAAGACATGCGAATTACCTCGTACTAGACATTATTCTAACTCAACTTCCATGCATGGGATGCGGAGGGGCAATCATCGTCCGGGGTTATCAAGCCTTGCCTAGAGTCCTCTACACATGCGTGCATAGGCCTCAAGGGCTCTGCCCTTGTATCTGGCTGTAGCTTGCTGCCTGCTTATCTTTGTAGTAGAAACGGACTTGGAATGTGCCGGATGCCGGTATGTTGGCTGATACAGCATCTTATCTGGGCTTAGGATCTTGCCTGTAGACATTATTAAAATTTTCACCCTTCAGCCCATCGAGGAAGGAAGCAATGCTGAACAAAATGGCGAGACTAAACCCTAGTGGAGACTTGAGGAAGGAAGCGATCGATATCGCTTGCCAATACTCGCCAACAAAGGCAGCCGTGTTGCTTCCTCGGTACGGATCGCGGTACGGATCGCCTAATTAACCAGTATTTAGTCTGAGAATAATCCAATCAGTAAGCTCGAATAAGCATCTGTAACCCTCTGGCTTGTCCAAATGGCTGCCGGGTTTAGATGCTAAATGAAAAAGTTAGATACTGTGCAATTCTTTTATCCATATATCGGATCGTTTTCGTTGGCAAAGACAACCAAATTCGACGTTGATTGAACAAACTTCCGGACAATTTTGCAGAAGCTCATCCTGCCCCAGGACCTCATTATCATGTGCGCCAAGAGCTCAATACGATGGGATCGTTCCCTACGCGGTATGGACCACATCCGCGGGCAGAGTCTCGACACTTCTCAAATCCCAAGCTTTGGTCCATGTCAGACTGCTCTCAACTTTGGATCAACATTCAACGCAAGCCCAATTGGGGAATCCACGAAATGCGAGGGCATGACAACGAAGGGTCGTCTGTGAAGAACTACCCACACCCATTCACTCGGGCCTATACTCGCTTTCTACACCACTTCTCCAGGTCCTTTCACATGATATTCGGCCTCTCGTTGATTTGGTATGGCCCGGTCATCTTTCTTCGGACTGGATTAGCCCTGTCCCTCGGAGTCAAGCTCGACAGCCCCTTTGTGAAGCCGGGGTACCAGTCTCGGTTATCACCTTCCTGTTCCTGACGTTTGATACGGGCGAGCTCGAATCTTATTTGCTGACAAGATGGCCTTCCGTTTTGACCCTCTAAAGGGGCTGATCGAGATGCTCCCTTTCACTATCAAGCACCGACGCGCTACAGATGCCCGGGATAGGGTGAGTTTGAACATACGACTATCTCCAGTTGACTGTACCAAGATTGAGGGCCAATTGTTTGGCGAGTTCCACATTGACCTATTGGACTGGAGAAATCATCCCATCATCTTAGTGGATACTGGCATCACTGGCATGACGGACAAGCCGTCGTGGGCTCCCGACTGGAAAGCAGCATTGAAGAGATTGTGGCTCCTGAAAGACATATACACCAAGCAACTGCCCGTGTCATCTTCCGCATTAGAAGGGTGCGAACCCAACCGATCGTAGGCAGACTCCGGCACACTTCCCCTTCTTGGCCTGTCGTGGCTGTGCGACCCTTATGCAGCCGCCATGGGTAACGAATTGCGGGTGCGAAGTGCTGTGGTATGCAAAGTACTATTTGCTTCCGGGTCGTTGAAAGCTATTGACGAAACCGTGAGTCCTGTTGATCCCATGAAATGGCTATCTGACCCCATCTCAGAGAATATCTGGCGATTCATTGTCACCGGGCCAATCTAGCAAGACAAAACGCACCGGTGATCGAGTTTTATGATCCGAGCCAGCGAGCCATGCTTCAGGCGTAGCAGGCATGACCTATGCCAGCCTTCAGCATGAAGCATTTCGTGAACTCTCTCAATGCCTTGGCTGGAAAAACGCAGCTTGCTCATAACAGACAAAAGACCTCCTTGGTTCTGGCCCGCCCAAGACTCTGAGACGTCGTGACGTACATTGTTGAACTATCGTTTTGAATGACTGTTCGCCGTGGTACCGACTCCACAAGCTACGCGTTGATCGGTCCAACTTATATCTTCGGTTTGACGCAGGGAGAAGGGTTCAAAAAGCGTGTGGAAATCGCTACGCTGGTTTGAGAAGTCTGTAGTTGTTCGTTCAAGCCATTGTGCGGCTCTAGCTGTTGTGCCGCACATTGAGCTCAACAACGTGGAATTTGGTCTGCCTGAAGGTTCATGCCATGATGATGGTTCGGCATGAGGTACCCAACTTTGATTATCCATTGGACAGATTGTACGGTTTGGAGATGGATAAGACGGCAGCTTCTGGACGAGTTCATTTTTTTCTAAAGCGACCTTGCATCCAGCAACGATACATCTTTAGCTTCTTAGCCCTGTTGACCAAGAGTCTTCGATCAACCCCCAGATCTTCAATCTCGAAGCTGGGAATTTGTGCTCGCGCTTTCTTATCTGATGGAGTCTCATCTGATGTTTCTTCATTTTCAGAGAATATGTCGCCAGACCATATCTTGTGGAGTTCATCCTTGTCAAAGAAGTAGACGCGTGTGCCGTCTCCTCGGATGTAGAAGTTTTCGTCAAGGTACCGGCCCTTCCTAAACCGTACCTGAGCGAGGTCACCTCTTCCATAGTCGCGGAAGCAGACTTCGCCTCCTGGCTTCAGGACTCGGTATATGTTCTGGACTGCCTGTTTCCACTGCGAAGGGGACAAGGCAGAGAAGATGAAGACCATGAGAACGACATCGACTGAGCCCTCTTCCAAGCCCGGAGGGAGATCTTCACCGGCAGCGTCCCACACGTCTGCTTGCATTTGTTCAGTGTTGTATGCTTCGTGGCCACGCATAACCTCGACAGCCTTTTTGGAGAAGTCACAGGCATGGACCTTCAGTTTTGGGTTCTTATTGTTGGCCAGGATGGGGAATGCGGTGTTTCCAGCACCCGCTCCAACTTCTAGAATGGTCACGGGACCGGCATCTCCTTCGGTGATCTTACCCAGGATGGGGAACTCTTGTTGAAGCCACTTGCGGTTCTTGAAGAAGTTGGCAGTGTTATTCTTGTAGAAGAGGTTCCACCATTTTGCAGGGTCAGAGTTGAACCTCGCTGTCACCATATTAGCTAATGGTCTCACAAAAGTCTCATAAGAAGTAAAACGTAAAAGGCTAGTCAGATGGGGGTGAAAGACATTTTGATGGAAAAGTCTCATCATGATAATCAGATGAACTATGCATTTTCGATATCATCACAAAGCCTGTGGGGGACAATAAAAGAGGGACAACTCACTCTTGTCAAAGTCGGAGACTGGCGACTCGCGCTGCATCTGGATCTGCTGCTCGGCGTACTCCTTGTACGTGTCGTCAGTCTCCACATGATCCCACGCGTTGAACTCGAAGACGTTGTCCTGTTCTTGCAAGTAACGGGATCCAAATTGGAAAGGATCGCTTCGCTTCTGATTGTACTGAGGATCATGGCTGCGGTGAGCAGGCAACTCTTGCTCCTCGACCGTCGAGGAAGACGTCTTGTCCACGAGATTTTGCTCTGTCGGTTTCTCGATAGGCAGCTCTTCGGTGGTCGATGCCATTGTGTGGCAGAGATAGGAAGGAGAGAAGAGTTCTAGTGACGGTCAACCCAAACTTGTAAACTGTCACCGAAAATTTTTCAGTTGCATGTTTAAAGCGCGAAGTGGACCTAAACAAATCTTGTGAAAAGGAAGGAAGAGAGGATGGGAATCTGGTGGACAAGAAAATTGTTGAAGAGCATTTGAGCGAAGAAAATCGAGGTGGGGTACGAAAGTGGCTTGAGAAAGAGGCTTCATTGTGGCTGGTGCAGCTTCCGGGTAGCTCAACTCAATATCGAGTTCAGAGAGGATACGGTCAAACGGTCATGCCATCATACTATCGAGTCGGTTGGTGGTGGTGGACAAAATGCTTCCCACGGAAAGTTGTTGGATACAAGTTCTTGAATGAAGCCATTGAATCAAGCATGGAAATCCTAAATTAAATCCGACTCTCGAAAGTTTCCTTCGCGAGGTTCCATCACCTCCAGTCTGACGCAGCTCTCCAAAATGGCAACAAGAAGAACAGCAACCAGCCTTGTGCCCCTCGCCATTGCGCCTTTCAATCCTCTTGCAATACCCCGAACCAGCCACCGCGCCTTCTTCACCCTCCCCACCAGCGGCCCCAACACTGTAACCGCCTCGCGGACCCTCCCCTACGCGTCCTCACCGCTGTACGGCATAATCGCCGACGTCGACTCCTACACCTCTTTTCTGCCCTACTGTAGCGTATCACGGGTTACGCACTGGACCAGTCCCTCACACACCTCAAACTCCACCACTTCTTCCTCGCCGCTTCCAGAAGGAATCACCCGTCGCTGGCCCACCCGCGCCGACCTAACCGCCGGCTTCGGCGGCTTCACCGAAACCTACACATCAAAGTTATTCTGTATACCCGATTGCGGCATAGTCGAGGCCATCAGCGGGGATGCGCGGACGGAGATCCCCGAGGCGGATTTGCGGCGTTATGGGTTGGAAGACCGGGGTGTAGTAAGGGTTGGTAGCGGGGCAAAGGGAGAAGAGGAGACATTGTTCAAGAGTCTGGTGACGAGGTGGACGGTGAGGCCTTTGCCACAAGGGCAGAAGGGTAGTGGTGATTGGAGCGAGGTTGATTTGAGCATCAAGTTTCACTTCGCCAACCCGTTGCACATGGCGCTCAGCTCGGCTGTGGCGGATAAGGTGGCTCCCGTTATGGTGGAAGCTTTTATCAAGCAGGCGGAGAGGGTCCTGGGGAAGCCACGGTTATCTTGAATAGAACACAGAAAGGCACGGTCGAGAAAGTGGACTGATTTTGTGTTGGGGACAATGTAGAGTAAGAACCTCACGAGGGCCAAAGGGGGCTGTTGAAATTATAGACCATACCACTTATGTACACCATATGTATAGACAATGTATAGACAAACTCGCATTAGGGCAAGGAGTGGTAGAAATATTGCTCTTTTATTAGATCAACTTGAACTCCACATGTAAATCATCCCGACGTGCATAGAACGATGAAATACCCATCTAGATCAGCACCCCAAACCATGCCTCTCCCCTAGGTTTCGTTGTGATGCACCAAGTCAGGTTCTCGTATAGCCCAGAGGCTTCCGAACCATCATGAACGCGTCTCATCTTCTCTCGTAGCGCATCATACTCCCAAATGATAATAAATTCGCTCAATTCAAAAACACAAAAAAAAACATCAGCCCTATCAGTTGCAAGCGGAAAACAATGTTTTCAGGGGGGATTTGACGAGTACAGCAGTGCCGTCCCTTGCCAACCTGCCAAGTAAAAACCAAAAAGCTGCTTCAAGATACCAACGTCATTGGAGCCCGGGGGTATAATGCCAAAATTAGGAGCTGAAAAGAAATCGGAACGCTCCTGAAATGGGAGTGGAGGAGATAGCAAAACTGTTTTGTTGATGTAGCGCTGACGGTGGTGGCACTGCAATCAGTGCTCTACAACGCGTTGCACGACGAGCATGCAGCCCGGATACTACTCACTCGCCCACACTTATTTTGACTTCTTGCTGCTCCTATCACCTCGTTAGCTTATGACCAAATATTCGTCATTCGGGTTGACCTACTTCTTCTTAGGGGGAGCAAAGAATCCCGCAAGTACACCTGGCTTAGACTTGTGCTTCTTTTTCGGGGCAACATCAATAACATGTGCTGTTCGTCCACCCATCATCCCAGCCCCAGCAGGCCGCATGCCAGGCATAGGCGGTCCCGGAGGAGGGGGGGGTCCCGCCATTGGAGCCCCCGTGGGACGTCGACCGGGCAGTCCAAATGCCCCGGGTGTTGGGCGACCAACACCCGGGGCCCCCGGGTGGCCGGGGTGGCCGGGGTGGGCGGGATGGCCGGGATGACCGCCAGGATGACCACCGGGAGGCCTACCATGAATTCCTCCAGGTGGACCTGCCGGCCTGTCCATCGGCCACATCTGCATTGTGATGGCCCAGTCAGGCTCGATGACCTTGTCCCAGACTTGGGGAAGGATGATTTCGCCGTCCGGCCCTATTAGGTCGAAATGACCAGCCTGCACATGAGGGCCAATCTGATCAACATGCGAAAAAGCTTGTTTAATCAGGTCGTCCATGCCCTAGAGCAAATAGTCAGTTCGAAAACTTGAAGAAACATGCGATAGAAACACTGACCTTCCAAGTCTGGCAAATGTGAAAGGGGAAACTGAATTTCCTCCCAACCGCATCCTTGAATTTTATGGGGGGCTTGTCTTTCCCCATTGCCTTCTTATTTAGCTCTTCTGCTGTCACCTTGGCCTCTTCTAATGCCCTCTTCTTGAAAGCTTCCTCCCTCTCTTTGTTAGCGTCTTCTGCAGCCTTAGCATCCTCTGCTGCTTTCCGTTCATCCTCGATCTTTTTGCGCGCCTCGGTTTCAGCTTTGAGGAGGGCCTGCTCTTCCAGCTTCTTCCGCCATTCAGCTTCTTCGGCTGCCTTCTTCACCGCTGCTGCTTCGGCCTCCTCTTTGGCCTTGATGGCCTTTTCAAGCTTCAACTGAGCTGCGACCTCGGCGAGTGCTGCTGCTTCCGCTTCTTTCTTTGCGCGTTCCTCTGCGGCACGACGCTCAGCTTCTAACTTTTCTCGAGCATCTCGTTCTGCTCGAGCGTTAGCTTCGGCTGCCGCTTTTTGGCGTTCAGCCTCAGCCCTCTTCTCAGCCTCAATCCTGTCTCGGGCGTCCTGTTCTGCCCTAGCGCGAGCTGCTGCTTCGGCCTTCTGGCGTTCCACCTCGGCTTTCCTTTCGGCCTCGACTGCGTCACGAGCAGCTTTCTCAGCCTCCCTCCGGGCTTCCTCAATCTCCTTCTTAGCTTTCTCTAGGGCTGCCGCTTCGGCTTTCTGGCGTTCCACCTCGGCTTTCCTTTCGGCTTCGACTGCGTCACGAGCAGCTTTCTCAGCCTCCCTCCGGGCTTCCTCAATCTCCTTCTTAGCTTTCGCTAGGGCTGCCGCTCTCTCCTCTTGCCGGACCTTTTCGTCCCTCTGCATCTGCTCCATCTTACGAGTGAACGCAGCTTCAGCTTCTTCCCTGATTTTGGCTTCCATTTCTTTTTGTTTCGCTTCATCCTCCTTTCTCTTCTGCTCTGCTTTGATTTCCGCCAACTGCTTCGCCATAGCCTCCTTTTCCGGATCTGGTTTGGGCGGCTCAGGCGGTGGCGCTGGTGCCGGTGCCGGTGGTGCTGAAGGAGCACGAGTACCCACCTCCGTTGGGGCAGGCGGAGGGGGTGACCATTGATGATACTGCTGCATAGCTTGAGGAACCGGGTATCCTTGGGGTCCGCCAAAGTAATGTTGTCCCCCGTATGGCATCATCTCATTAGTGCCAGGCCAGCCACCCCTGTGTTCGGGTTGGAAATAATTACCACCTTGACCTTGCATGGGCGCGAATGGATTTTGTGAGTAACCGCCATACGGTACCATTTGCTGTTGAGGGTATGGGCTTGGACCGTAGCCTCCAACATGAGTTTGAGCATATCCGGGACCCTGGGGTCCTGGTCCTGGACCGGGACCGCCACGGCCTCCATAGAATGCTGGGGGGGCATACCCGCCGCCGCCGCCGCCCGGCCTGGAGCAGGGGCGAACGGCGGCCCGTAGGGCTCGTCCGGGAAATCCACACTGACGGAATCTGGTGGTGCAGGCCTGTAGGCGTATCCGGAATGTGGCCTATGGGGAGGCTTGTGTCGTCGAGATGGCTGACGCGGGTTGCTACTCGGACGATAAGACTGGCCCGGGCTCACAGAAGCCGAGTCCTCTGGGTCCAGTTCGTCACTCGTGTCTGCAAGATCGTCTTCGGCGTAAGAGTTTGACGAGCTGAAATGGTCGTCTTCGTAACTAGACGAGTCTCCCGAAATGATCTCGTTGTGGCGGGTAGTAAGACGAATCCGAGTCCGGCTGGATTGCGACGTTAGTAGGAAGACTGAGAGTGCTGTACCAGTGGGAACTCACGACATATCGGAGCAAGCTGGTGTCGCCGTACCCTCCACCTACGACAATCGCTCGAGCAAGTCGGAGCAAAGGCGATAGCAATGGAATATTCGGAATTCAGATGGCGTCGCCCGTGTGTGGCCGAAGTGAAACACAGCTCAGCCTTTGACTCTGATCGCCCGTGGTGGCGTCTGCGAACAATGATCGATTGTCTTGTAAAGGTATTGTGTGTGCGTGTGACTTGTCGCCAATTGAAGGGTGCGATGCGGCGTTGTTGGAGTGTTGGCTCAACGAAGGGAACAAATGCGATCAAATTGACTAAATTGTCGTGAGAGGTGGTTTGGGGTAGTGGTGGCAGGAATAGTAAGAGTTTGGGCCTGGCGCGCTCTGGTATGAGTGTCGCAAGGACGATTCCTGATTCTCGTGGGTTCTTGACGAGTTGGGTTCTTAACGAGTAATGTAGTGAAAGCAGGGATCCTGAGTTTCTCGCACAACCGCACCCGTTGGGCTGGATTGGGTCGCGGTGAGCAAAAAAATTGCTAAAATTGCTTGCTTCGAGAGACTGGGCCGGTATTCAATAAAACCGAATTGACCACTCCACTGAAGCTTCTATGCGACTAAAGCCAACTGCCTCTCCCTCCCGTGGCAGGGCAGCTGGGAATGCGCGAGAGGAGAGCGTCGCAAACGTTCAAGGGGGGAAGATCTGAAGCGGGATATGCAACGTCCCCTCTTCTTGCAAGCTGCGAGCGGCACAGCGGATCAAGAGAACAGCAGGTCCTGTGTCAACTGGAAGTAGCGGCGCTGACGCTACGATATATAGTCAGCGAGTGCCAAAGGGGCGTTAGATGCAACTAAGAGTGGCTATCCCAAATGCAGCGCTGGATCGGAGGCCGTCACACAAGCTGTAGCCCAGCGCTGGCCAGCGCTGCCCCCTCCGTGCAGTTCGACTTGTTTCTTGGGGTTTCCCAAAGAGCGGAGGCCGACTTAAAGTAGCTACGTCCTCGGCAGTGAGCGGACGCCGCTCATGTTTACCCCATCTAGATGCATCTTGTGAAAAGTACCCAATTGAGGCTGACCAACTTTGGCCCAGAATATAAGGGAGTATGTGTATTTAAACACCCAATGCCACCGACAGATAAGAGGAAATCGCATACCTTAATCCTTGACCCCAAGAGGTCCTGTGCTTTTCTGGGAGGGTCAACAGGGCTGAACAAGTGGGTTATTCGGTGCTGGGGATCGGTGACTGTTGGTTTCTGCTTGTCGTTGGCCAGGTGGGTTTTCCCGTGAGCTGCCAGGTATCCTGTTGGCCTTCGATTTGTCTGTCGGATTGATTCTAGTGGGATGAAAGCCAAGAATCTCACTGAATGTCCGTCGACAGGGAATTTGTCACGTTGTCCAGTGGTCTTAACCCGAAGAAAAACTCACGGCGAAGAGTACGGAGTACAACGACAGCTTTAAGAGCGGGGTGGAGGGGCAGTTCAATACTGTTTAGCTGCTATGGCTATGCACTTGCAGACCGACCTGTGTACAGCTGTAGACCTGCAATCTGGTCAGTGCATCGTTCTAAACCATCATCAATGCAGGGCCTCATATGCACTTACACCGAATTTCTCTCAATCGGCGGCTAAAAGTGCAACAGTTGCAGGTCTGCCTACACACTTGATGTGACTTAATAGTCGTAGCGGATCAAACGTTAGCCATCGAGAATTTTCCTACTCCTGCATGATGCTGAGAACCTTGTGAGAACTATGGAACTCGTTTGAAGTCTTGTGCTGCTGCTCTTGGTCGCTTTCGCGACTCTATGGGGTCTTGTAGCTAACGGACCGTCCCCCAGTCTGGAACGGTCTTCTGTAGTTCTCGTGGTATCGATATTTTTGCGAACTTGACATGGTACTTCAATATTTGGGAAAACTGGGGGACTTGGCAAGAGTAGCCGCAGGTACGAAGGCAACTGGCGACTGGCCTTGATAGCAATGAGTGAAACGAATCTGGAATTTGGGGTTGGACAATTCGGTGACTTGTAAGCTTTTGTTTGCCAATAATGGCTGTTCAAAGCGAGGCATATATTCAGGCACCCGGGACTTCAATCCTAATGCCATGCTTTGGCTTCACTCCGCAATGCGGGATAAGCGTCTCTAGTTTACTTTGACCGCCCATTTCGAAATGGGACCTTAGTCGTGACCAATACTGGCGGCTTCGAGAGCCTGTAATGATGTATTGCCACTAACATTTCGTGGGGTCTACAGTCAGTCGAAAATATGTGACTCATGTCAGTGGGTGAACCCGCTGAAGCATGTATTGATACCCGCGTGTGGGTAGCTGGGCTGTTGGGTTCTCCATGAAACATTGCGGGTGGGGCCGTCCCAAAGTGGAGCCAAGATGTTGAACAGTCACCTTCAATGGTGCCTTGCTGCCCAAATGAAAGATTTCATGGCTTTTCTTCATGCACAAGAACCGGGCCAATACGAATGAGTCTGCACCTTGGACAAGCCGCCCCAAAGTCTGGACCTTTCGTCAGCCTACGACATACAAGGCTCGCGACTGGAGCCACGTACTGCCTCATCGGAAATGACAAGAATTGAGCGCATCTTAGATGCTTCTGCCCAAAGCCCCACCGTCTGTCTGGCTGTACATAAGGCACCAATAGCGTCCTCTTCGTAGTCGCTTCTGACATTCCAGCCAGGCGCCAAGCCTGCCATCGGCTTTCAAAGCGTAATGAGCCGTCGCAGCAGAACCCGCATACAAGCAGCTGCGATGGCCCTTTCTGGGTTTCACTTCTCGATACAGTTCGCTGTGAGCTCATGGTTGACATGACGACTGTGTCACTTGACTCTGAGTTGTATTGATTCCGGGTATTCGGGGCGTCTTCACCTAACTGTTATCCCGCCCTCCTTCTCGAGTAACTCCCGAGCTGCCGCGATCTCGGCCTCGTCGTAACCTTGCCAACCCCTTTCGCCTGCCGAAAACCGTCGGGTGATTTCCCCGAGTTTCTCAGTTGCGAGTCCGTCCAATTTTCGTAAAGTAGCTGCATCTGGCAATGACAACCCACCGCTTTCAGGCAGTTTTGTTGATTTTTTTGTATCACTCAGGAGCTGCTTGGTCGTCTTCATGAATTGTCAGTCACCCGACTGGTGGGTCGTCTTGGGATGATCACAGCTTACAAGTTTGAGTCCATAATAGCCGCGCAAATAGTCGTCGCAGAGTTCCACGCTACGGCAGAATCTCTTGAGCGCCTCACTCAACTGCTTTGACGCATCCGTTTGTTGCGATGTCTTGGCTGCCATCAAAAGCATCTCGCCTAATCGTGCATGGATCTTAAATACGCAAGTCAGTTATATGAAAGTATCACAGCTGTACAAATCTGCATCAACTAACATTCCATGCATTAGGCTGTAAAACCAAGATCTCCTCGAGTGCAAAAATGGCTTGGGAGTACAGCCCTTGCGAGAAGTACAAGTCCGCTAACTCGGACCAAGCTTCGCTGTCAGTAGGGCTGAAGTCTAGGAGCGCAATCAGAGCGGTGACGGCGTCTGAGACTCTACCCAACGACCGAAGAAGAGCAGCGCGGCGCTTGGTGATAGGCTGCAATAGGGTGTCAGGAGCTCAAAAAATGCAAGCTGGTAGTATGCAGCTTACTATGTTTGTAGGGTCGTTTTCCAGTATCTGTTCGTACTCCTTCAGCACCACCTCTAGAGTCGCATTGTCCTCTGCATCGGCCTCTTTCAGTAGACCTATCAAGGCCATGATGCGCTCATTGTCATCCCCGAAACGATTCACGAGTCTGCCCAGACAGTGGTGCGCCGATTGTTCGTCGCCTGTACGGAGACATGAAAGCAATAAGTTCTCATATATGATCCAGAGCTCAGGTGTCTCTGTGGCGGAGAACAAAGACTCCAATGCGGATGTGGATACGGCTCCAGGCGAGTTTTCGAGGATCTTGGGAGCGTGCTGTGCAAGCTGCAAGGCGGTTGCTGGCGGGAGGTTGCTGGGCGATCGGAGGAGTGATGAAGAAGACATGGTGTGGTGTGAGCACTGTACGTTTATTGTGACGTAGTAGATTGTGTTGTTCGACGAACTGTGCTGCGGCAAATTGGCCACGTTGGTGAGTAGATGCTCGGGAATAGTTGTATCGCGATGGTGATGTTACCAGACAGGGCACCTACCAGATGCTACAATCTAGAGCTACCCCAGTTGAGTTGAGACCCACTCATGGATTGGATCGCTGGACCGGGGCACGGTCACCTGTTAATCCGGCGGACTGCGCTGGGATTAAGATAACCGGCGATCGGTCTACGAGATTACGTCTTGCCTGTTACCAGGTTCATTCAAGAGCTGGATTAGTTGTCGCGGGGCACTCACCTGGATATATCCACCTCTCTTGTGACAACCAACCGACACGTACTTTAACTCCGGCGATCCTCGAATTTCTCGCGGCGCCATCGTCTGAAACAGCACACAGCGATTTGCGCTGGCACGATGATGGCCTACCTAGAAATCCGAATATCCAGCCAGCACACCGACTTATAGCTTCTTCACTCCTGTAGACAGCCAGCACCAGCCCGGGTGCAAGTCAAGCAGCCATGTGCGTGACCCAGGAAACTATGCTACTGCCCACACCAACTCATGCGCTTTCAGGTTCGAGAAGTCGCTATACGACCTCATCCGAGGCATGCGAAATCACAAGGGTAACGAGAAGGAGTATATACAAAACTGTTTGAAAGAATGTCGGACCGAGATTCGAACCCAAGATCTGGACCTCAAGGCAACGGCTCTGCTGAAGCTGGTGTACCTGGAAATGTTTGGGCATGACATGTCGTGGGCTTCCTTCCACGTCCTCGAGGTTATGTCCTCCTCCAAATATCATCAGAAGCGCCTGGGCTATCTTGGCGCCGTCCAAAGCTTTGGACCCAATACCGAGGTCCTTATGCTTGCAACAAATCTTCTGAAGAAGGATTTGACCGCCGCATCGACCACGACGATCGCCCTACCCATTGTGGCTCTGCCTCACGTCATCACCCCGTCCCTCGCCCTTTCGACTCTCTCCGACCTACTTCCACGACTGAATCACACCCATCCTTCCATCCGCAAGAAGACGATCGTCACACTTTACAGACTCGCATTGGTATATCCAGAGACATTGCGTGCGGCATGGCCCAAGATCAAAGAGAAGCTGATGGATGCTGCGGAGGATCCCAGCGTTACCGCAGCCATTGTGAATGTGGTCTGCGAACTGGGATGGCGGCGGCCACACGATTTTCTCCCATTGGCACCACGCTTGTTCGAGTTGCTAGTCGACAGTGGAAATAATTGGATGGCAATAAAACTCATCAAATTGGTACTGGAGTATGGATCTTCCCTTCAATTGAGTGAGGGTGCTAATGTGGGAATAGTTCGCTACTTTGACCCCCCTTGAGCCAAGACTGGTGCGGAAGCTACTTCCGCCCCTGACAGAAATCATCCGGACAACGCCTGCCATGTCACTACTCTACGAGTGTATCAATGGTATTATCCAGGGTGGGATTCTTGGCAGTGGTGAGGACGATGCTGGAAGGGAAGAAATTGCTTCTTTATGCGTTAGTAAGCTTCGGAGCATGGTCATGGTAGATGGTGATCCCAATCGTGAGTGCACGCGGTTCAGGTACTTGAATGACTCTAACAACAATCACACTCTAGTCAAGTTCGTGGCCCTTCTAGCCTTCAACAGGATCGTGGTCACCCATCCATCGCTTGTTGCTCAACAAGAGGACGTAATACTGGAATGCATCGACAGTACGGACATCTCCATTCGCATAAAGGCGCTGGATTTGGTTCAGGGCATGGTTAATAAGGATAACCTGGTCTCAATCGTCAGCCGTCTCATGAGACAACTCAAGAACTCGTCTACGGAGAATCGGAACATTGCTGCGGTCGATCCTGCAGACCTAGAATCCGACGACGAGGCTTTAGAAAGGAGGATCAATCCCGGTCAACAAGCCGAGGATCATATGCCACCCCTTCCCGACGACTATAGGATTGATGTGATCAACAGGATTGTAAATATGTGCACCACAAGCAATTACCGCCACCTCCACGATTTCGAGTGGTATATCGATATTCTTACACAGCTCATCCGGACTGCGCCGCAGCCACGGCCGGCCAGCGAAATTGATGCGTTATCTCCATCAGGTAGATCTAATGTCGGAGATGTATCTGAAAGAATTGGCGATGAACTTCGCAACATCACCGTCAGGGTTTCGGCTATCCGACCGGCCTGCGTTCAGGCCGCTGAAACGGTGATGGCTCAATTCAGCAAAGATGCGCCTCTAGGGCATCCAGTCGTCTCGGGGGCGCTGAAACCTGTGGCTTGGATTATTGGAGAATTTGCATCTGACACCTCGTCGCCTGATGATGCCCTATCCTCGTTGCTTCAGTTGATTCCGCGAACTACATCGCCTGAATCGCTCGCCTCGTGTTTACAGGCAGCTACGAAGGTGTTCTCCTTGATAGCTGGAGACGATCTTGCACTCTGGACTGCCCAACGCAAATCCAAGATTTCGCTGCTCATGGCACGCATGATTCATATCTTTGAACCTTTGGCTATGCACCCGAATCTCGAAGTTCAGGAACGAGCCGTAGAGTTTACAGAACTGTTGAAGCTGACAGCAGAGGCTGTATCTGGTAAAGACATCTCGTCGAACGACGAACAACAAGATGCCCCGTTACTTCTTACACAAGCTATGCCTTCCCTATTCTCAGGGTGGGAACTGAAGTCGATGGCTAGTAACGCCCAGAAGAACGTGCCTCTCCCAGAAGGGTTGGATCTCGACGAACCTATTAATCCAAACTTGAACAGTCTGTTGGCCGAGGCCGATCATATTATACTACCAGCAGACGAGACGGACGAGTTTGAGATATACTATAATCAACGTCAGCCACCGACCAGTATTGCATCTGAGCCCGCCATTAGTCGTTTGGCGGAGAGCAAAGATGAAGTTGTCAGCTCTTATCAGCAGCCTACGGAAGACTCATATCTCGATGCCGATATCGTGGCTCGGAGGAAAGCAGAACGTATGGAAAGGAATAAAGACGACCCTTTCTACATTGGAGGAAGCGACAATTTGCCGGGAACGTCTACGCCGATCCACAATATCCTTCAGAATTCCAACGGGGCAGACTTGGATGTTGATGCAATCCCTATTATGGAGTTGAATCTTGACAAACTCAATGTCGGGATAAGCGGAAATGTTCCATCTCAACCCTCCAAACCGGTCCGGCCTAAACCTCGACAAAAGATCGTCATCGAAGCCGACGAGACTTTGGGCTTTAGCGGCGTCTCAACCCCAAGAAACTACGATTCTGAAAACAACTCCGACAGCTTCACGAAATCGCGGGCCAAGAAGATGAAGCAAGCACTTCTCGCAGTTGATTCGACCAACCTCGGGTCCCTCAACCTGGAAGGTGACCCCAAGGGCAAGGGCTACGACTTCGAGGCGCAGCAGCGCGAGGAAGCCGAGATGCTGCAGGCCATGAAGGAGGTGGAACGTCTGCGCCTCGAGATGCAGCATGCCAATGAGCGGATACAGGTAGCTCAGGGGCTCGACGCCGAGGGCACGGTGGTCAAGAAGAAGAAAAAGAAGGCCACCCCCATAGCCGAGGGCGACGGTGCTGTAGTCAAGGCCAAAAAGAAGAAGAAGAAACCAGCTGTCGTCGATGAGGGACAGGAAACACCTGCTGGCGAATTGGCAGCAGTCGAGGACAACCCTGACGCGGTGAAGCCAAAGAAGAAGAAGAAAGCTCGGGCGGCTGAGATACAGGATTGAGTGATGAATGGGTTGATTGGTAGTATCTAATAATGGGTATCATTAGATGAACGGAACCAAGTTCAAATCCATTTAAGCCGATCGGAGTAGGTTTATGTCGTAACCATATACGAAAAAGTTCCCAGCCCTAAAGTTGTGCGCGAGGCAACTAATCCTCTCCACATCGCATGCAGGCCAAGTGGTGTAATCACCGCCCCTAGAGTCCACAGTGAAAGGGGACCAGATAACCGAAGGTCCATTTACAGTATGACACGAACGCTAGACTTCGCCAAATAACAACTCGTTTGCCTTCGTCATAACTATATGTCAAAAGAGTGTCGACTTATAGTCAACGGTCTCCGATTCCCCTAGCCCCAGTAATCCTCACCACCCACTTCCACAACTTACAACGTAGGCCACAGCAAAACTGACATCCGATCCTGCAATCCTCTTCCACTCTGGCAGTACTTGAGTGAGCCGATCAACAATCTCGAACACAACACTGCAGTCTCCCGCAAAGTCTCCGGTAGGGTCTACATCCGAGGCGCGCCGAGGAGACTACCAACCACATTGATGGTCGCATCCCCGTTGAAGCCGTGTGCGTGCGTGCAGCTGACGGCTACCCAAAACACGGGCACTATGGACATTCCAAAATCCCCGGGCAGACAAACCTAGGGCATGCAAGGTGAGGAGGGTCAAGTATGAGAGCCGAGTGCCCTTGAGCGCGTGTTTATTGGCGAAAGAATCGAAGCCTGTGGTTGGTGTTTTGGTAATGGAGGTCAGTTGTTGGTTTTGGATGTTGTTAGGGAGGCTATGCAAGATTCTCACACTCTCAATTGTTCAGCGCTGGACAATACTGGGGGGATGTGGGGGTAGTTGTGGAGCTTGCCTAACACCATACCGGATATAATGATAAGTAGATGCTTGAGTAGGCACTGCGCCATCATGCTGACGACCAACACGCATACAATTGGTTAGCGGCATCCTTGTTCACGTTACGTCGATTGAGTGCCGTGCCCATTATTTGTCGAATTGCGCCAACCACAGACGACAGCCAGCGGTTACACATGAACTTCAATCTCTATTGCCATTGACAGTTTAGTTCAAACAGAAACGGGCTCCAACCGAGGAGCATACGATAGTCGTATGAAAGAGACCTTCAGGCGTTACGCCAGCTACCTAGCTTTCCTTTGGGCATGGATTACAACGCCGTTCTTTCCTGCTCTCTTTCCGAATGTACCCCAAAACTGTCTGGGTGTATTAACATATCCTTGTCTTTTCACAGGGCCAGCATATTACAAGAGACCTTGAAAGATGTTACTCTTCGGGCCTGGGCATCACTTGGTAGTCAGGGAAGGAAGTGACCCATGGCGACCTTTTTGGTCGCTGGTGTGGGCACAAACTTCTAGATGTGGTATCTAATCGGGGGTGGGAGAGAGGTGTCGGCCGGATTTCCTCTTTCCGCAGTCTTGTGCCTGATAGCACACCCCTCATAGCAGCAAGTAGATGACCCCGTTTTGTTCCGGACTGAGGTCCCGGTGGTGTTCGACGATCCCGAGTACTGGAACGTGCTCCTCAGGGATATGTTTCGTCAGTGCACGCTCACCAGTAGCAGAGGAGCTCACCTTTTCGCGATAATGATAGAGGTCGTCAGTCTCCTTGGTGCAAGAAGCCACTGGCCTCGGAGGACTAGGATGAGTTATTGGTTCATATTGTGGCCTAGAAAACGTGATAGTAATGGATATTGTTGTCGGCGAATCATAACTGTGTGAGCAGTACTACTTAAACTTGTTCACAATCTGTAGACCTAATCGTAGTAATAAAGACAAGGTCATATTTACCATGTTGTACCTTCCTTCCTCCCTCCTCCCTGAATCTGACGAAATTGTAAACCAGGGACATGTAAGCAGTAGTTGCTAACAGTAGTCTATTCAGACGACTTGTAACTGCTACAGCTAGGAGATAGCCTAACCAGTACGCAACTTAGATCTGCCAACGGGATTTATGAGAAAATTCGTGATGGAAACCGATAAATCTACTATGACGATGTACGAGATTATCCTCCGCTCAATCCACCATTATGAGGTATTTCTGAGACATTTATACACGGGTACATTTAAAGTAACTTTAGTTTTGGTTTACGATATCACGGGCCAGGCGATCTTGGTTTTTGTTTGAATTGCTGAAAGATGTGATCGACTCAGTAGTAGAGACGACACCAGAAGTTGACCAGAAACGGCCTGGATGCAAGGCGCAATTCAATGGTCAAACGCCTAAAGTAGCCATATAATGGAAAAAGAACGCATGCGTCGAGTAGCAACAAAATCACCAATATCGACAGGCGAGTAGTTGTAAATTTCGGTCATCTTCTTGCAACCCTCAGGCATACAGCCTGGAACCCATTCGCCCAAGGTCCATTCGGTAGTTGGCAGGTGTTCTTGGGGACCATGCTCGGCCTCATCAAAATCAAAGACTGAGCTGATCATTGGCTTTGTGGGTGGTGCGTCTTTGATTTAGTCCCAAGTCTCCTATCACCTTTTCTTTGACTGCCCACATCCCAGCACAGAACGGTGTCATCTAGGCTTCACCATCCCCACTGCTGAAGTATAGGCTACATCCAAATATTGTCGTTTCCGCTTCGCAGGTGCAGCAATTTTCCTCAGAGATACTTAAGTACCCATCCGACCGAGAAAATACCTTCGAGCAGCAAGTTTCGTTCTCAGGCCGCCTCAGGAAAGCACCGCACATGCGCGTTCCAAAAGTGCTGAGCTACCCAACTGTTCACGACCATCACGCTCTTCATTTGCAGAACCCCCCGACAGTTCCACAGCCCAGAGAACCACACAAATACGTCGCTAAAAATTACTTGGGTCGGGAATTCACAGCAGACGCGGCTCACCACTCCAGTGCCCACCATTGACAATGGCGGGCACCGGAAGAGATCTAGTCGTGCATCTTCTCCTTCCTACCAGACACCTTCGGCATCGAAAGGTGGCAGGATAGACCTGCATGTCATCTGAGAGCCGACTATGCTGCGCTGCAGCCGTCTGCCTTACGTCAAAGCAACTTTTGCGTGTCGCCACCCCGCTGCTGTATGGTACACTGATAGAAGTCAAGAGCAACATTTATCTATCCATTCCTAGCATGAAACTTGTCCGAGAATCGACGTCTGGCTGAGGCTGTTCATAATCTTGACCTGGAGTGTCGGTGAAGTCCGGTGATGCAGGAAGCATTATTAAGACTTACGCGGGAATACATCGATAATGACTCAAACTATATTGACTGCATTACCAGGCGCGTTCCGTCGTAAGACGCTTATAAACTAACCCATACATACTTCGCTACTGCCAATGAAACCTCTACTGTTATCTGTTTCGTATAAGCAGCTGAGCCGACTGTTCGTGCGGTTGCTCCGCAAGTAAAATACTCTATCCGCAATCTCCTTCTGGTCAATAAACATCCTGATCCCCTGCGCTCGTTCAAAACAGTATGCTCTCTTCATATAATCACACTTGTTTAGTGAACATCCGGCTTGGGCAGCTTTTCGACATCCGAGTTCGGCGATGAGTGTGCGTGAGTAAAGAGCCCCCCGGTCGGTGGCCTTTGACGAAGGACGATGACGGTAACCACCACGAGGGCGATGAAAAACAGTGCCCTTCTGACAAAGGTGGCCAGTTTCTTCTCGTCCGTCGAGCCCGAAGCGTCCGTGTATCGGTTGGAGAAGGACATGGTGTGCATCTTCACTTCATCCCAACCCATCTTGTAGAACAAGATGCCGAGCAGCGCCACACTGTAGCCGAATATCTGCAGTGGCGCAATGGCAGTGCCCCAGATTAGGACAGCTAATATGACGAGGAGGATGTTTTTCAGCACGCCGGTTAAGTGGAGAATGAGGCCTGAGGTCTTGCCGATCTGTGAAAGAGTGAGCAAGTAGGAGCGATGGCGTAGAGGCCAAGCCAGCTTACCAGGAACACGCTCGAGACGTTCAACAAGAACGCGATGAAGGCATTCAAGAACAGCATTCCCACGCCGACTCGTGCTAGATCTTCCCATTGAAAGGACGGCCAGTCCGTAACTCCAGCCACCAAGACATTCGTCACGGCACACACAGGTGCGTAGTAGTACAAGCTGACAAGGGGATCCGTGTCCATATCGCCGCCTGACATGAGGGCGTGGATCATGACCACACGGACAGATTCAAATAGGAGGCCGCCGAGTTGGTAGAGGAAACCCGGCCATGAGAAGTGGATCTCGCCTGCGCTGGCCAACAGAACGCCACAGACGATGACGAGGATCTTGATGACGAGCGCGCGGGTCGGGTTTTCCTGTCTCCAGAGCCAGGCTACAACTAATGTTGCGAATGGGGATGCCGCCTGTGATCCGTGTTCAGTTTCGCTCAGAGAATACGGCATGAGTGGGATGCTCGCTGACCTTCAACATCTGGATGAATGCTACATTTAAATACAGATAGACTAGGTTACTGCAGACCATCGAGCCACTGTACAGGATACCGATGGGCAGAACTGCGCGGACGTAGAGTTTCCTGTCCATCTTGATACCGTGGCGGCCGTCAAGTAGACTTGTAGTCCTGGCTAGGCATTGTGTTGCCAGAGAGGCAAACACCATGTGCCAACATGTTAAGATCACCGCTTGTGACTGTGTCAGAACCGAGGGAAGAAGAAATATTCCTCACTGCAACTTACGGTATCCTGAGTGTCTGTGTTATCAAGGCTGGACTCGCTCGCAATTTGTGGTATACTCACGAAAACCTGCAGTGTCAAGCAACCATTTGTTGAACAAGATGGTGAGATTCGAAAAGAAGATCCAACATCTGTGAACGAAAGATCTCGTTAGCGGACATGGTTTTCTGTCGGCAGTGGTAAGCCATCTTACGTGATATAGAATACAGGATGAAGGAAGAGGCCGCCTGCTCGCTTTTTGGGGTAGTTCGTTACCGGCAGGACGGGCAACTTTGAGGCGGCCATCGCAGTGAACTTGCAGTTTTTGTCTTGGAAGGAGTGAAGCGGAGAACAAAAGATTCTCGAGATGCAAATGAGCGGCAAAACACTAGGTTACTTCTGGAGCCGAAGGCTCGCAGACGTCGGACAGGGCGAATCACTCATTTCCTAGGGAGAGGCGCGTTTTGTCAATAATACCAGGGAGCCAGAGGAACTACAGATCAAGAGAGGCTCTAAGCTGGGAGAGTGAGACTTTCAATCGTGATCTTTGTATACCTCATAAATTCCTAGAGTAAGTAAATAGGCTATTGAATTGTGTTAATATCACCCAGGCAAGGCTTATCCAAATGCTTGAGTCAGACCATACTGGGACTTCTCACTGAGCTGAGGCTGAGCCCACGAAGCGCTTTATTAGGCGCTTGCGGAAGGTGGATTGTGGGACATTGCACGAAGAGTGCAATTTCTTACTTCCATTAGAAAAGCTATTGAAATGCATGTTGGTGCTAGGTTGCATGGTGTCACGTCGGAGTTGGTTCTGGCGTGCAAGAGCAGGGGGCCAGAACCCCTGCCAGAAGCTGCCCTTGCTTCATTCGTGCTTGTGCAGAGACCAACGATAACTGTATATCTCTAGAAGAACATCTTCAGTGAAGATGATTGGACAAACTTGTCATATTGTTGAAATTAGGTTGGTTGACGGAAGAATTGATCACCATCCGGGTGTTGAGATGCTCATGATAAGATACACTTCTAAGATTAGATTGAAGTTAAACCTCGATGAGCCCCAGCTGAGGAGCTGGGGTAACCGCGGCTGGTTGCAGCTGACATGGGACTGCTTAAAGAACGAACCCCTGTCCTCCGCCCCTCCTTGGGACGACGCCCCAACCTCCAAGTACAAACAATATGCCGAGCTGTGCATATCCACATGCAAGTACATTGCTACGGTTGCCAGAAATTGGCATCTTATTGATGCTGTTGGCTGTAGCAGCTTTTGCTTCCCGACACCGACAGCTTCAGACACTCATTCAAGTGTAACAACTGTAGAGCTCTGTGAAACCACCTCGCACCATATCTCAGGAGCACACCCGCCCATCATGTCGAACTTCAAGCGAGCCACCCAAACCAGCCAAACCATGGCACCAAAGCGTAGCATTCTCAGCGCGCTACAGGCGACCAGCATGGTGGAATCGAAGCCTGTCCTGCCCGCCGGTGAGGACCATCGCAATTGCTACCGCATGGTCAATGATGAGCTGACTGACGACTGTCTCAGAGATCCTCGCCTCCATCCTCGACTACCTGCCGGTCTCTGACATGATCCGGTTCGCCAAGACCTCGCGGCGAATGCGCGAGATGGTATACGATGATACGAGATGGGTAGCCCGATTGAAGAGCATGGGATGCTGGGATGAGCTCGAGGCGAGGCGGAGATTTGAGGACGCCATGAAGCGGAAACGAGAGACCATGAAACGGGCCAGCATTGCCGGACAAAGCCCGGTGTCTGCGAGGGGGGCGAATACCACTATATTCGACGCAGCTCTCGAAGCGGAACGGCGGAACAAAGCCATCGAGGAAGCCGCCCAACCCCCGGATATCAGGGTGGACGGCTTTGAGACCTTGAGTATAAATGCCCCGCCGTCTAAATCGCCTTTTGAAGACCCGGAGGCGCTCCTTGAGGTTCTGAAAAATGTTCGAAGTATCCGGGGCCATGCTAGACAGGAGTATGGGAAGATATATGGGGCTCTGGCCCCTTTCTACTTTGACCTGGTACAAGCGAAGAGCCATACGGATCCCATCCTGTTTCGAGTCTTTCGAGATCCTGAGCGGCAAGCACAAATGCTGGCCAACCTGCACACCTTCACCAAGAGTGATTGGGCGCAAGGGTGGCGCGAGAGAGAAGAAAAGCTGAGCAGTATGTCTCACGTCTTCGAAAGCGCCGTGTTGAGAGAATTTGAGCAAGGATATGAGTTCTGGGACGTGGACGGGAGGATGAAGAGATATGCTCACGTTTTGCATGCTCTAAATGGTGGCACGCCGGCCATAGACCTCTTTATCTCGAAACACCCGATATTTAACGACCGCGAGGTCCTGGCCAATTCTATGGACTGTGTTAACCAGGCTGCTCGCGACGAAATCACGCTTGAACCATCTCAAAAGTTTTTCGACACCCTATCCAAGAAGTTGGGGGAGCAGAATGCAGTTATGACCCGCATATTCCCAAACCCGGCTACGGTATTCTGGTCGCTTGTGGACAAGGTTAGAGAAGACATCATCATGGATTACGTTACGCCCCTACTGGACGAAACGCACGAGCGGCACTTGGCCTCGTATCTGAAGGCTGCATCAGGGCTTTTCGAGCAATGTTTTGCATTCGCAAAGTTACTTGACGCTCCGGCGGGCTCAGAAGAAAAGCTCGAAGAAAAACTCGAGGATCGTGCAAAGGAGACGGCACTCAAAGTCTTTGAGCCTCATCTTGATCTATACCTGCAAGAAGAACTCGACTTCTTTACGAAACATGCGGAACGGGAGGTTGGCAACTGGGACCAGAAGCTGTCAGAGCAGGACGCGACCGTCGAGTCGTTCTACATGAAGAACTTCAATCGGCAAGCTGATAAGAACGACTTCTTAAGTTCTTTCAAGAAGGTTGTCATGATGCCAGTAACAGTTCTTCCAAACATCCCCTTGTCCTCGCCTTTCGGTGGCGGCAAGCCTGCCCCAGCTTCAGCTGCAAATTCATCAAGCCGGAGGCCTGTGAGCATAACGGGTACCCCTGGGTCCTCTCGCCCTCAGACTCCTGGGCTAGGGACCAGTTCAGAACGCACGGGAACTCCCCTGCCTACAGAGGCACCACCAACCGATGAGCTCAAAGCAAAAGCAGCGCTCATGGCCAGTCGACTCGAAGGGATTAAGACTCTCTTCAGTATCGAAGTGGCACTCGACCTTGTGCATAGCGCCAAAACAAGTCTTGGTAGAGCAGCCGTGTTCATGAGGCTTGGAGGTCAAGCCGGCGGAGAAGCGCGAGAACAGTGCGAGGCCATTTTTGTGGTGTTGCTCAAGATTCTTGGACAAAGCCACATCAAACACGGATTTACAAAAGCGGTTGACCACCTTTCCTACTATAACCCTCGCGAAGTTAGTGACCACAATCAGGCCGGAGTCGCCCCGCTTGTCACATTCATTGAGTTGGTCAATGTGGGCGATCTCATCTCGCAAATGATAGATGTTTTCTTTGACCAGCAAATGCTAGCCCCGAAGATTGCGGACCGTAACGACTTCCTCGATCCAGCGGGCCTTGCTAAGAAAAAGTTCGAGCAGATGCTGGACGAAAGCGTCGCAGCAGGTCTGAACAAGGGCATCGATGTGCTCATGGACGAGGTCGAGTATCTATGTGCTACCATACAGCTGCCAACCGACTACAACCCGCTAGCGTCCTCGAACGAAAAGGGGATATCCCAAGGTCCCGACATCGGTCCCACACAAACCGCAAAGCGGATCGTGGAGCTCGTATCCTCACACACCAACATGCTTGTGGGCAGCACGGAGAAAACAATGCTCGACGTGTTCAACGGCGAAGTCGGGCTGCGTCTGTTCACGGCGATATGCAAGCATATCAAGCGGCAGCGTATCAGCACCGACGGTGCGATCAAGCTCATCGCTGACATGAACCTCTATTTTGACTACATCCGCACGCTGAAGAACAACGACCTGCAGGCGTACTTCAAGGCCCTGCGCGAGCTCAGCCAGATCTACCTCATCGATGCCAAGCATGCGAAAGAGATGGCTACCATCATTGCGGATGGGGATAGGTTTGGTGGCATCTTCAGGGCCGAGGAGGTGTATGAGTTTGCGGAGCGGAGGGCGGATTGGTATCAGGTTAAACGGGACGTGGAAAGGGCTATGTATGGGTTGGAGTGCAGTGTCATGTAGAATGACGGGTCGTACTTTTCACCATGGAGTTGAATCCTCGATTTTGAATTGCAAAATGCGCAGATGCAACAACAGTGCTTTGTTTGATATCCGGGGACCTTTCTTTGACTGCGCCATTGGTTCAATCAATTTCCAGAATGTTCCCGCTTATATATCTGTTGCTATCTTCATAGATCTTAAATATATGATACAATTGCACTCGAACACAAAAGACCGCATCCCACAACTGGATCGACTTGTCCGCTATTACGTCTCTCGTGCCTGATCCTTCAATTTGTAGTCGTCCTGATCTTCAGGCAATTCCGAATGCCCTTCTGAATGCCTGTAAGGTTACTTGCGCACTGACGCCAGCCAAACTCGAAGTCGCCTCGCGGCGGACTACGCTTCGCACAAGATCCTGGCTGCCATTATAACGACAGATTTCGAGAAATCCCACCTGTGACCGATTTCAATCATGGTCATCTGCTCCCGGACACAGGCTAAATAGCCCCGGCGGTCGGAATTCCCGCAGCTTACGTCAGTATGAACACCTTCCGGTACCGTCCTAAGATGGCTCGTTTCAAAACACGAGAAATAGCCCGACCACAACCTCAGCGGCACAGTTGAGGTTGCACCACTAGCTCAATGGTGGTGACAGTCACGCCGTACAAGCCATTGGCCCCCTCAACAACGTAGTGCGCGCGGGGCTATATGATTCCTGGCAAGGTCTAGGCTAGGCGCTAATAACATAATCAAGAATGCGGGACGCCGGTATGGTATCCGACCTAACCCCGTGTGGTTCAACTCGAAGCGAAATGACCCTAGTTGTACAAGGGCCCGTCAATCTGAGCCAAGCTTACCAAGCTTTCAAGCGATATATCCGCTCTGCCTCTGAGTCACTGCCTGAGGACGTGACATCGACCTGGAACCGACGACGACGCTAGTCAGATTACGAGGTTCTGACGCCGTGTCATACGCATCGAATATCCTTTCTGTGTCATGGGAAGAGGGCAAGTTTCGACAGCATAGGTCGAACCGAAGTTGGGCAAAAGCTACCACATCCATCGTGGCCGCCCGCGACGAGGCGGTGCAGCACCCTTGAACGACAGCGGGAAATTTGAAGAGCTCCCATGGATTTCCCTTGAGCTCCCGATCTCTGGAAACTTCTGTGAGAAAATTCCAGACGGCTGAAGGCTTGAGGCTCTGTTCTTACACATCGCCCGCCACGGAGCTGAAAAGCCGAAGACAAGTTGGTTGACAAAGCTCGAAGCCAGGAAATCCTAGCTGAACAGAGGCCGGATATGATTTACGATCTGCTGTCGTGGAGATCCTCGCTGCTCAACGGCACCAATCACACCGACAGAGTGGTCGGTGACGTGGGGAGTAACGTGCCATAGTCTATCGGTATCTAGGCAAGGCTGAATGCAAGCCATGAGGTAAATTCATCTTTTACGTACCTGGGACAGCTATTGATGTTGAACCCTGCATCAGCCACGGGTCACAAGCTCCCCCAATACCTCGGTATACTACGTCATCTGTCCGCGAATCCAGACGACTTGCAAAAGGACTACGCGCGGCGTAGATGGCCATGAGCACTCACTCGCTCGCTTGCCTGCATGCGTCACTTGTCGTCACGATCTGATGTGACAACGCATCCAACCAAGTGCGTCGTCTTCAGTTCATACCAGCTCAACCGCTGTCTGATATTGTGGAGGCGGGTTCTCAGGACAGTTTGAGGCTTGCAAAAGCACCTGCAGCCCGCCCGTTACTCACACGAGCCTCTATACCCGACCCCGAAATCTTGTGCCATGCTTGAGACTCAGCGAAGACTTGGCTCAGAGGCCTGCCCCACTAGGAGACACGTCCCGAAATCAATTGCTGTTGTAATATCACTTGGGAACCCTTCCACATCACTACTGGGTAGCTTGTTCCATTAATAGGATAAGCTTAATTGTCAAACCCGCTAATCTGGGAATGGGAACCTGGCGTCACGGTTGATTGGTGAGATGGGACTTGGCACCTGGAACCTGGAAGCCCTAGATGTGCTATATCTACTTCAAGCCCTGTCCGAGGACTTTCGAGCCTTTGAATTGAACCACTAATTCAGAGGCATCGGGACGAACAATATTCATCCCGCGCGCTGCATCGCAAAATGGGCCTTCTCATCGCTCACCTGGCAAATTTGTAAATTTGTTGAGAGGGTTGGATTTGAGTCCTGTCGGTGATACTTGAGGCAAGTACGCGACAATATCACCTGATCCTAGGCAGAGAACAAAAGACGTCAGTCCGCGGCAGCAAATCATCGCGGGTGATAAAATTGAATCTGCAAAGCCAGTCAACAATCATATCAGTGACGGGCAACTGAAGAGCACAGCCCCCAAACTACTGGTTGATGAAGCTTGTGCTCAAGACCAGGTTTAATTGAACTTAACATCAAGATGGCTGACTGGTCATATGAGCTATGAGTCGACGACTGACAAATCCTACTGCAGGCCCCAGATGCAGGACTAGGACAGGGCCCAGGCTGCCTGCCCATGGGACCACACCGACGGTCCGGAACTATTGCCGTCAATTCTTCAGTACGACCTCCTCCGTTGAAAACGTCCTGTCACTTGTCGGTTAAAATTGGACTCTTGTCTTGGGGTTGGGACGTCATTTGCTGGCTGGGAGCATTTGATCAAGCGCAAAGGATTGCACTTATGCAGGTGATTGTATTCATTTTTAGCTCTTTTTCGCAATTCGTGTCCCATTTGCAGTTTTGAGGTGGTTCTCGCTTTTCTTTTTTGGTTCTTCTCTTTTTCTCACCGTGCTACACTAGATAGTGTTTAGTGCCCTGCCGGTTCGGTCATCTTGATTAATCCCAACTTACAGGCTTTTGTTGTTTGCGCTTTTTGAAGAGGGATACCTATTGGATGGCCATCCCACTTATTAGGTTCAGGGATGGAATCCCTCAACTACAAGACTGCGCCCTGTGCTGCACTGTCCCACATATTACGGATGGGTGGGCGTTAGAGCTCCGGCTCTCTGTACCGAACTCGCTACATCGTGCCGGTCAGGTACCTATGTCATGGGCCAGGAGCCTTGCCCGACGGGGTTGATAACGTGCGGCACGGCGCGATGCCCACCCCCAAGGGATATTACGGGGTGTATTCGTCTCCGAGTCATCGAACATGGTAAGCACTCGCACTTGCATGCATCACAATTGCGCGTACCTTTCGTAGTCGATGCAATGGCATCTCCATACCTGGCTCCATTGAGTGCCCAAAAGAGGTTATAAAACCCTCGGTTACTCGTGTTAGGCGACGCTACAGCTTTCCCAGTCATCTATGCACGACACATAGGACTTTCTGTCTCCTACCCCATTCGGCAACTCCAAGTACCCTAGTATTTCTTCTCACTTACACACCTTTCTTATGGTTATGTCCTGGGCTGGTGAACAAAACGGCCCCAAACACTTCAAGCCGACATTAATTCGAACCGAGTTGATTCCACTCGTTCCAGCTGCTATATATAAGTCAGGGAACTGGGAGCCTCAAGCTGAAAGTGCCTTGAACCTTAAAGACTTGTAGATGAGCGAGTCTCGATGTGTCTCGGAGGCTACATCTTCTCAAGAAACTGTTGTTAAGATCACGAGACGCGACCCAGATACACAGCTAGAAACTAGAACATCTCCCCAAACGAAAAAGACAACCACGCCAGCCATATCACCACCTTCCACCCCAAGAATACCCAAACCCCAGAAGACCACGCCCGACCGTCCAATCAGCGTCTGAATCTGAAAGGGAATCCAAAATGATAAGCTCACGTTCGTCCAAACATCATAAGTCCAGTTCTAAGAAGCATTCTTCGTCCTCGTCCAAATCTTCCAAGTCGAAGACGAAACCAGACGACTGGACCGATATCACGGAGCCTGAGGAGAGGAGACGGATTCAAAACCGAATTGCACAACGCAAGTTCCGTAAGTATACTTTGAATATACCGCCGTTCCCTAACTCAGCTCCGGAGCCGTTAGTATTTCTTTTTCTAACACACTTCAACAGGGGAAAAAAACAAAGAGCACAGGGAGAAATCAGAGCGAGACATACACAACCAGGAGCACGCCGGCAGAACCTACCACGTCCCCGAACCGCAAGAGATCACCGATGATGGGGGCAACGTCTCGGGCTTGCCGTGGGGTGGAGTCAATATGCGATACGTGGTAGCCCGCGGCCACGAGAACGAGAGTAGACGTGGCAGTGGCAAGGGCCACTCGCAATCGGATCCCCTCGTGCGAAACGATGCCAGTGGTGGGCAGTGCTATGCCCATGTTGGCGGCGGCATTGGCGGCGACTACAACTACCAGCAGTACGACCAATCGGCGTCGCATTACAACTACGGCGCCGGGAGTGGCGATTACTTCACCGAGGATAACACGGCGTCGTCGTTTTACTATCCGGATTTTGATAACAATGATACTGCTGGTGGGCGCGGTACGTAATTCAGCAGAACGGGATAGACCTATGGGGTGATTATGAAGCATGCATGCATGGATACAATTGGGTCATGGGGATGTGGGATGGGACAGTCACGCACACACATCTCCAATGCACTGGGAAGGAAAAGAGGGTTCAGGCTTTGGGATTCAACTAGTTCCGGTTGGTGAACTGGAACTGGAACTGGAACTGCTCAACTCTTGTTGGCTGGAGTACGGAGTTAGGAGTCACCGAAGCACGTTGACTGCAATGGCTGGGACGGGCTGGGCTGGGATAATATAACGGGCTCTTCTGTCTTCTTCAGCGTAGCGTTGGATAGGATACCCATCTCTCTCTTGGTAGGACTCACGCACACATACGCACACCACATATATGCGTAAGGTGGTTAGTTGCCTGTTTCTTCACACATCTTGGCTTATAGAAAGCGAGGTTGTGGTGGTATGTATGGGACGAATAGAATCCACTCATCAACAACAAACTTGATTCGCAATGATTCTTCAACAAGTGACCATGACCATCCATCTAGGGCGGTGATGAAAGCGTGTTCGGCTTCACCGTTGGATGTCACGGCCTGTCTCGTTCAAGACTCATGTGCGTGCGTCGTTATCTAAGGCATTGGTCAAAGTCATCGTACACATATGCAAGCCTGCATTACGAACGAGGGGGAATAGAGATTGTTTCTAGGCTACAGTATGCCACGGAAAGTGAAGCTTGCGTCATGGACGGTGACAATGCGGCGTGGCACCGGCTGCAGACAAGGGTTGGTAACTGATGGACAGGGACAATCAAGCCTAGTTTCTGACACTGCGTTGCATGCGAATCATTCTCGTTGGAGCTAAGACCGTGACTAACACGTATGCGATGGTGTAGGGCGAACGAATTTGAAAGGTAACGAATCAATGATCATGTCGGTGGGCGGATTCTCTATAAGCCGAGCTGGGGCTGATCAGCAGAGGTTATAGTCCGTTTGGTGTCGGCAGGTCGGAGCCGAAGTCGAAGCTAGAGTCGAAGCTAAAGTCTAAGCTAGTTAAAGTCGAAGCTAAAAACCGACGCTAAAGCTGAAGCCGAAGCTGAAGCCGAAGCCGAGGCCGACGAGGAGAGAAGGAACAGTTGTAATGACCGAAAGATTAGGGCAACAAGTCTGCAGTTTCCTGTTATTGAATAAGACCTGGAAGATTGAGAGTTATCTAGGAGTAGTCTGGACTGCGATCTGACTTGGAGGGTTAGTTCAGCAGCTGGGTAGCATTTATGTGCCTGGGGATGAGGAGTCATAAAGAGCCTCACATCTGCTGTTGAGGCCTTGTCACAATTCACACATTATTCATATAGCCCACGAATGACCTCACTTGCCAAAGGAGGTCCTAAATGTTACGCTGTTAATAGCTAATCCTCTATTCATGGATATGCGAGTACGTACCTTACGGAGTTCAACTGTCATGAGTACCATTCTAATATTTAAAAATATGCAAATAAACGCAGGGAAAGACGCAGACACGTTTAGGCCAATATCCTAAAACCGCCTGTCAACCAAGTGGGGCAGATCTGAGAAGCAAGCTCGAGCACGGGCAGGCGGTGAAAAAGTCCAATTGAAAGTCGCGGCAGAATTCTTTCTTTCTTCCAAAAAATTCGAAGACGACGATCTTGACTCCCCACTTCCTTGACGACCAAACACCTACGCAAGCATCGGTGAACCCTTGATCTCAGTCGCCATGGAAGTAGAACCTAAAGACAGTGGCCCTTGGGTCAGAGTTGACCCAGAGAAGCTGCTGAAAGAGGCCGAAGCAAAAGGTACCTTTAAACTGCCCCGCCAGGATGCAGATCGTGATTACTCCGTCGCAATTGATGGCTAACCACGTACACAGAGGCCAAGCTCAAGCGCCAGCAGGAGCAACGTCTTCTCCGCGCTGAAGCTCGCAAGGAGAAGCGTCAACTGAAGTCAGAGGCCAAGCAGGCCCGAAAGCAGAACGTCAAGCGAGCCGCGAAATGGACCGATGAACGCAAGGCCGAAGACAAGGCCAAGAAGGCCATTACCAAGCCGCACAAGGAGGAAAAGCGGTACAGAAGACTCTTGCTGCGTGCCGAAAAGCTCGAGACGCAGGCCAAGAAGTTCATGCTCGAGGCCCAGCGCGCCAGAGCGCGCCATGCCGTCATGACGAAGCAGAGAGAGCAGGCTGCGGCTGAGAAGAACAAGATTCACGAAGAGATCGAAAAGATGGGTGCGGACCCGAATGATGACAACTACATCGCTCTTGATTCTGGCGTCGAGAAGCCCGCTGCCAAGAAGGCCGAGTCTGACTCGTCTAGTTCGTCTGATAGCTCCGACTCCTCTGACTCTGACGATTCTGATGACGAGCCTCCTGTCAATACCAAGAGTGCGAAGAAGTTGTCTGTCGAGAGTGAGCCTGCGAAGGAGGATACTGAGGATGTTACTATGGCTGAAGCTGATGCCCCTCCTCAGGCTGATGTGACCGTAACCGAGGGAGTTGTCGCTGCTGAAGAGCCTGCCAAGGCTGCAGAGTCCAAGGATAAGAAGAAGAAGAGCAAGAAGAACAAGGACAAGGCAGCCGAGGTTGAGGTGACCGTCACTGAGCAGATTGTAACCGAAGAACCTACTGCCGCCGAAGACTCGAAAGACAAGAAGAAGGACACTAAGCGAAAGCGAACCTCCGATGTAGCCGAAGATGCCGATGTCGACGTCACCAAGAAGGAGAAGAAGCAAAAGCAAAAGAAGAAGGCCAAGACAGCCGAGGAGTACGTTTCAACGCCCCCGTCGACAGTCAACGGAGTCGCAAGCGCTGATGGTGCGGAGCAGTGGAACGTCCAAGCCTTAGCAGGTGGAGATGCGAGAAAGGAAAAGTTCTTGAGGCTTCTCGGAGCCAAGAAGGCCACTGGCGTTCCGCACGAAAGTCATGCTGCCCCAAGGCAAGATATCGCAAGCATCCAGAACAACCTCGAGCGTCAGTTTGAGGCTGGGATGCGCAAGAAGGATGAAGCTGGCGGCCGCCGGAAAGGGCTTGGCGCGTAAGCTTTACGCTCTCGGCTGATGTCTAATAATGCATATGGAAATGGTGCCTAGGTGTTTTACGGAGAATGGGTTGATATTCTTTTAATGAACTATACCAGTGGATTGCCTTGCTCCAAGTCAATACAACAACCTATTTCATGTTCTTCTGATATGAGTGTTAGCTGAGCCGGTATAATCCGGTATAATGCATGTAATTGGACCGACCTGTGATGTTCCCCAGTCAGACTGCAATTGGATCGGTCGTCGATGCTAGCCTCTAAAGACTGGACAATCCAACATGAAGACTATCACTTTGCCATTCGCTTGAGGACCTTGATTAAAGGTGACACGGTATTCAGATTGGGGAGTTGGGCTCTTCCCTGTTATTCCCACGGGCTCACCTAGCAGTGCCTCTTCAGTCGAACAACGCATTGTTGTCAAGCATCGACAAAACATGACCTGCAAAACTAGAGTGCGCTTCTGTAAAGTTGCATCCCGCTGCGATGCATTAAAGTGCTCAAAAAGTGTCTCCATTGCCCTCTCCCTAAATGTGTACACGCAGTCGTCTGAGATCCTGGGCAAACGCTTGCTTCCTGTCAGTACCGCGGTACTAGCTTACAGCTTGTCTCGTGGTGACCATCGAGATCCGGAGTCCACACCCCTGATGTTCGCTCCTCAAATGGGCCTTCCTGGCTTCTGAATATCAATGCTTTTTTGCGACCATGCTGTTCTGTGCTGGGAAAATTCCTTCAAATGCATAGTTCCTTCACTGCTTCCTCCCGTGATACATTAAACTTCCCGGCTCTCCGGCTCTCTGCTTCTTGGCGAGCCAAGGAGGAGACAGGGCCGGTCTCAAATATGTCGAATGCTCGTCCTGGTGGTCGACCTATCGGAAGAAAATGCGCTGGATGATTTCGAATACCACCCCACCGAAGACGACGAAGGCAAGGATGACTGTCGCAGCGAATCGTTAGCACAAGAACCTCTCTTCGCCATCGCCGCGCCGTCCGTCTAGCGGATTCGAGAGCGGAGTCCGGGTTGAGCAGGAGCAGCAGGATGAAACTTACTAAACCAAAAGGGCGAGATGGGCGCCTTGCCTGCCGCGTCCTTGGCACGCTGCTTGATCTCCTTTTCAGACTTGCCGCGGCGCGCTTCCTGGTCCTTGACGAACTTTGCGTTGCGTCTGCGTTGTTCCGGTGTTTGCGCCTGTTTGGTTGGTTCAGTCCGTCAGCATACACCGTCGAGAGTTTGAATGAAGAAGAAAGACATGAAACTAGCTGTTGTCTGGAAGGTGGAAAGTCGTACCATTGTGAAGGTGAATGTGCAGGTATGTGAAGGTGATTTGGGAGCTTGAGCGGCGGTCGTTCGTATATGGTATTATTTGGTAGGTATCCGATTGCGCAGAGGTGTGGATTGAGGTACAAGGTCAAGTTGCTTTGGAGAATCAGGTGAACCTCTCTGCAGTCAACCGGCTTTATAAGTACACAAGTCGATGATTATTTCCAGTAACTTTTGGGAAATGAACCCAAGGGACAGCTGTCAATTGACAGATTGTCTTCTATTTAAGTCGGGGAGAGCTAGAATTGGAGATTTGATTCGATTGTTGGCGAATCTGGACACATACACCAATTAGTTCATTAGGTTAGTTTGCGCCGGCACCAGCAGGCAGCGGAAGACAGGGGTTGAATTGTAACCTAGCTCCCGATTTTAGTCAACCTTTTTGAGGGTCAATCAGCCTCGCCGTCAGGCGGTGTTTAGGGTCTTGGCTGTTGGTGGACTCGAAAGATGCCGAGGCCGATAGTGGGACGGTTGAACCTGCTAAATTGCCAGTCCCCGCATTTTCACTAGCCACAATAGCTTGCATATCGAACGTCAAGCCAGTCGATAAGAGTCCATAGCTTCGATAACAACTCCAGTGCCATTGCGACATCCCTCACAGTATTGTCGCGACGATCTGCCAACCTTCTCACGCGCCTCCATCACAATGAATCGAATAGCAAACGCTCGTTTAGCGTCCTTCCGCGCTCCGATCCGAGCCCAACCTTCCTCCCCGACCACTCGATTCTACTCGAATTCCCCTAGCACTCCCCCCAAACCATCCAACTACACAGCCTTCTACAAGACCTTCGGCCGCCCCATCGCCAAGGTAGTCCTCACGGCTATCTTCACCTACCAACTAGCATACTACGCCTGGACGCGGCTGGAGCACAAAGAGATCAAGGAGGAGATGTTAGGTACGCCACCATGACTATTTGCCATCGATTGGATGCGATTTGTATACTTAGGGAAAGAGAGAGAGAGAGAGGGGGGGGAAAGAGAGAAGGAGACATGCTAATCGAGGCAAGGACTCACAGCTACCATTGCCGAGCTCGAAGCGCGGGTCGAGCTGTTAGAGAAGGCCAAGGCCAACAAAACGAAGACTTGAGGCAGAGGCATGGCAGGATTCTCGAGTTACGAGCGCAAGTTGGACGGTAGCGGCCTTCAAGAACCGGTCCCGAGGCCCCGACGAGTCGGAGAAGTCAGGGGTGGGTTCGTTAAGCCATTAAATATGGTCGGCGAATCCACGTTTGTGCAGCGAGGCATTGTTCCAGGGCATGGAATCTTGCTCCAACAGTGCTAGAACGACACATTAGAATTGGAGGGAGCACCGCGTTGATGAGATACCCTTAGTCACGACCTCGGAAGGCCAGATAAGACTCCAGTAGAGAAACAACGCTGTACGATGTGACATTGTACCAAAGTCGACTTTACAGTATATACATGAGTACGTACATCAAGTCCCGTCACCTAATGTGTATATAGAGGTAATTTATCCAGACACCCCAGATTACGGGCTTTATGCTCGTTCCAAAGTAGATCAAAACCAACGAAAAAGAACGCCTGCTAATGCCACTTCTCCCCGCTCTGTGTTCCCAAAATCACATCGCTCGCCTTGCTAGAGCCAAGAAGAAACCTGAACGCCATCATCACACCCCTTGTCTCTTTGTTGCGCCAGGGCGTGTGGTGTTTGTATTAAACCTTTCCTTACGTGAGAAGTAGGACGCTTCCCATCAGTACAACCACCACAACCCAAGGCACTGTGAGTATCGTCGCCCTACTCACAATATGGGCCGATCCAGGGAAGTTGCAGGTGACGTTGCTATCCCCACTAGCCGCCCGGTGACCGTAACTATTATTAAACCCCCGCATACCGGGTACGGGGCAACTGAAACCCAGCGACGACGGACAACTCTGCACGATATTGTAGCAAAGATCATCACATGGCAGCACCTCTTTGTACGGGCCGGGACTAATTTCGTCGTCTATCCGCGGCACTCGAGATGAGTTGTATGCCTTATTGCCGCCGTATGCTGCGGTGATATTTTCGTCCACTTTATGTCCATCCGGGAAGAGGGCGTTGATGTTGCGCATTTGCAAGAATTTATCCATTTTGGAGAAGTCTTCGCAGCGCGGGATGGCTATGGAACAGAGCCAGTCTTTGTAGGCTGATTTACAGTCGGAGCAGCCCCGAACCAGGGAGTATTTGGCAGTGGTCCCCGTGTCACACGGAATCTGCTGCATGGCCTTGTTGAAGTTGTCGTACACAGATTTGGCGTAGTCGTCGTAGAAGCTTGCCAGTGCGATGGCATCAGCGAACCTAGAAGTGTTCCCTGGCACGGCATATGCCGTCTGGTCACAAAATGTGAGGTTATAGATGATTGTGCATGTTCCAGCTGGAGTCGTGTTAGTAGTTGGTAGTTCCGCAAGTTCAGGTGTCACTCACAGTCTTTGGTACTGAACTGGGTTGTATTGAATACGGCGCCGCCGCCTCCAGCTCCGTCTCTTTTCCCCAGCGCGTTTACACCGGGTTCTCGGGCCAAAATCCCCGTATAACTAGTACTCGAGTTCAGCCCGTTGAAGTAGAACTCCTGCCGAGTCGCATTTTGTTGACCTCGAGTTGTCATACCAGTCCTCATCATGTCGGTTCGCAGACTTGACCTGGTTCCACCGATCTGAGCATATAGTTTGAGTCCGCAGAATGAATTCCTGACCCCCACCACGGCCTTCTCATCCTGATTGTACGCAAACATAGTGTAGGGCGGCGTGGCGATTGCTTCTCCAGAACTGTTGGTCAAATTGCCTGTCATCAACAAGGTCGCGTTTGCATCGCTGTCAACCCAGTACAATGCCGTTTTCTCACCATACGAGTGGTATGATTGGTCGACAGACGCTGCAATTTCTACATTGTAGAATCTCGAGGAGAACTCAGTGGACACGTTCGGCGCGGACACAGTGAAGTATACATCTTCGGAAAGAGTCGTGTTCCACATGACGGCTCCCTCATCGAAGACCCGAAATTCCTGCTGATTGGGGGGAGCTAGAGGCCCTGGGCTGGTGTTGGTCTTGGACGTCGAAACAAACAGGGTGAGCTGAGGGGGAGTCATCGTGGTCTTATCGCTATCCGGCTCTGGTTGTATACAGGTGTTCGCTGAGATCCATAGCGTCTTGGTCGCACGCTTCGCCAACTCTGGTTGAACTCCAACGTCGTCTTCAATTTTCAAACCCACCCCGTATATCTCGTCCTTGGGGTTTTGCGACACATTCAATTCTCTCCGCAATTCCCGTACCCCATCTGTGTTCCCAGAATCGTCTCTTCCAGAGACTGACGAGACTTCAAACACAAATGTTGACCAAGAGCTTGGTTCGAGGTTCATCTTGACGGGCGCGTTGTTAACCATAGCTTTTACCCCAGTCTGAGCTCTTCCCATGATACTTCGGTCGAATGGTGCAAAAACCGGCTCGTACGTGTCACTCCTTATATCTAGCGTTTCTAACGCCTCAACTCCGTCTGCCAGCATTTGTTCGGGGTTCCATCGTTCTGCGTCGACCTCGGTTTCATGGTCGATGGGTATAGAACTGAGCTCGGCGGCAAGGGCGAACTGCGGAGAGAGCAAGAACAGGTAAATGGCGAGTAATAAGCACGATGCTATGACGGATGCAGCCAGGCGCGACTGCAGAGGACTGAGCTGCATTATGATAGCATAGCCCGAGAAGGCCGGCTGAGGTGGAGTGGTGGTTTCGTCGTGGGTCGCGATCTTGCGTCGCAGTTCAGATCAGATCCGCCGGGTCCTTGGAATAAACAGTCATCTTTCGCTAGCGTCCTTTCGTAGATCAAGTTGTCGTTGCTTTGCGCTTCCAATCGGTACTCTAAACGAATGAATCGTAGTCCAATGCTTCAAAAACGTCCTCCAGGAAATAGGCGGCACTTGCTGAAGGGAAGATTCGTCATGAGAGAGTTTCACAATTCTGAGACAGGCATGTCGATTGCTTGGGACTTGGTCGAGGCTGCACCGTTCAAATAATCGAAAGACCGGAGCTCCGCCACGGTGGCTGAGCAATGCAGGTACTCAAGTGCGTGCTTCGGCACTATTGTACAAATTGTATACTTCTGATACGTATCTCGTCATTGCGCCAATCCTATGCCACCACTAAATCAAAGCATTCATTTCTACGTCTTGTCAACATCAAGTCGCATCGCCAGAAGCTTGCTAACATTGTGCAGAGCAGTCCAGAGTCGTTTTCGTTTGGTTCCCGAGCATACCACATTATTCACGTGCAATACTTCATGTAAGTGATCTATATGACCGGATATACTGATTGGAAACCATGCTCCCAATCCTGAGGACGCTTTGTGCACAGGATCGATTTAAGACAGTGCCGATTGTAAGATATCCCCATGTCTATGCACATAGTTAATGTTCACGATTCAACTTCTCTCCTCACCGTCCAACAAACCTACAGCCTATGCTCCACAATAGGGAGAAGCTGGCTCATCCTGTCCCAACCAAAGTGTTTCCTGCCCCAGACCAACAATGACATTGCGGTTCCTCCCTTCACATATGTTCGCCGTTTTCCGCCAGGTATCAAGGGTCCATTATCTAACACGCGAACCCCATCGCCGGAGTATCCAATCCACCAACTTTCTGCGTCCAAAAGTATGGTTCGAATTGACTGTCATGGGCATACTCTTGTTTTTACGCAGTAACCGTCGGTATCTACTCGCCCTTGCCGAGCGAATCAGCCTTCGCACGGAGGCCAGCCGCAGTGGAACCAGACTGGGAAAAGTATTTGCCGAGCATGGGCTGCATGAATGAGCGAAAGATGATCTGGGCGCCGCTGTAGAGTTGTCTGTCAGTTTTGCTGGTGGACGTTCTGCGAGATGGAGGGGAACAAACCTGAAGGCTGGGAGTCCAAGCCACAGCAGGAACACAAACTTGAAGGTGAAGTAGAATGGGAACCAGTAGACAACGCTGACCAAGCTTTCAATGACACTGCGGCACGGGTTAGTTCGGTATGCAAACCACACAGCATCGCCTGGCGGTAGCCCAAGTACGTACGTGAAGAATGCGAAGACAACCCAGTACTGCGCAAAGTTAGCCTTGCATGGATACAGTAGATTCCAGGCGCATTGACTTACGGTGAGCCATTGGGTATCGTCGGCCTTGCTAGTAGTGAACAGCGCGTTCATCGAGTAGTATCCTGGAACGATGAAGCCGGCAAGATTGGTGAGGAGCTGACCGCCGAGGTTGAAGACGATGAAAAAGAAGTAGAGGGTCGCAAGGCCAATAACGCCGTAGACCTTAGGCACCGAAGTCTGCTTCTCGAGATTGTTGAGAGCAGGGTATTTGGAGAGCTGCGGTATCTCAAATCAGTCTTTTGGGGGCATGCGGACACACTAGCAAGGAGCAGAAACAGTTGAAGACTGGAAATTAATCCAGCGGGAGCCGGCGTACCTCACGGTCGAGCTGACCGACATACTGCTGAACGCGATCTTGGGCAGACATCTTGGCTTATGGTGAAACTTATGTCGTTGTTGGCTTGGGAGTCGGGATAATGGAGTGAAAGAGCTGGTGTTCGGTAGCTGGGGAAGGTGATGTCAGGGCGACGAAGCTGGCTGTCGAGTAATATGGGTCAGTTTAACGGCCACCTTGCAGTTTCGTTCGGAAACAATCCTGACCTAGAGCGGGGTACAAGGGTTATGGATACGACGTACAGTATCTAACGTTGTTGCGAAGAGTGTTGTTCACGAACGAAGTCGATGAATGAGGCAGAAGTAGTACAGAAAACGGCAATTCTTGCGTCGGCTGTGGAGAGGGAGAGTATTGGGGTTGATTCACTGAACTAGGTAGATGGTGAGTGGGCAGGCGCTCGGCGGATTGGACGGATGATGCAACTTGACAACTGATGACCCTGGCAGAATGACGACGGTACACTAACAGTTTGGAGATCATGTCGGAACGCCAATGTGTACATCACCCAACAGAAGTTCTACACGCATGGTTTGAAGATGGAATACTCTTCTGGTCATGACACATGTTTACACTATGTCTAACTGTTTGTTTCGTCTTCTTATTTTAACCGAGTGCAGCTTTGATATCGAAACTTGTTCCCCAGAGGATCAGTACTTGGCAAACAGGAAACCGTCCCAAGGCTGTGTTAGCTGTGTACTTATTGTAGGACACGAACTGTCCAGATAAGGTAGCAAGATAATGCTTTGTAGCGTGCTTGCTTGCCTTGATAAGACGGGTCAAACTGACTATCTCAAATCCATGGGACGCGTCCTAATCTAGGTGAGAAGCAAAGCCGGGATGATACAGAAAGTCTCACCGTCGGCTATTATCCTGCGCCATGCAATGAGTGTTTGAATTTACGTGCACATGCGATTTGAACGATTCACCTGTCGATTTAATCATTTCGAGCATGGCCCAGGCTCCCAGACTTTGAAAATGCCCGGCCGGATGATCAACCGGTTCCAGCCACAGCTTTTCTCCTAGCAATTTGGCCAAGCGCCTTCTGGAAGAAAAATTAGTGGCTAATTTTGAGTCACGTGGCGTTTCTTGGCACTACCACCGTCGCGGTTGCCCCAGCACCTACGGACAGCTCTGAGAGGTTTTGAATGTTTTCAATTCCTAGATCCTCAATCAACATAAGCATTTCGGGTTGGTTTTGCCAACGCAACACCCACATCCCCCTTGTTGATGCATTCGCTTCCTCTGCGACCTTCTCCTCATATATCCTCTACCCCATTCTTCTCTTCTTTACTACTTGCTCCTTCGCCATTTTAGTCGCTGCCGCCGTGGGGGCCTCGGTTGGCGTGCCGGCGCATTCATAACATAAGCATTGACGAAACCATGGAAAGGCAACGAGGTACGATCCACAACTCTGGCAAAGGTTTTCGAATCTTTTCCTATCTATACGTATTCTTTAGATGCTGGACTGGAGAAATGCCGTAGCTTTTGTCCTTCACAACGCTAACCGTCACGTAGATTCCCAGCCACCTGATGTGGGCATAATGGCGGCGCAGAATCATCCCAGGAACAGGGCGCCCTCAAGAGCTTCGACTGCATCGATTCACAGCAACACAACCCATAACCTCGAGCAGAGTTTTGCTGTATCCCATAACAGCTACTCGGACCAATGGAATACGAATGGCCACAGCCAGCCTAGGGACATGGTGCAGGCGGGGGGACACCAGATGACGGCCGAGGACATGATGCTTCGGCCTGCATCGCAAATGTCGCATATGCAAGGTACCCAGTCCTTTGCCATGGATACGAGCATGCAATCTTCCGTTGGCCACCCAATGTCCTATCCTCAGCACGCTGCCATGAGCCAAAATCTCAGCCAGAGCCATAGTCAGCATGGAATGCCGGCTGATTCTTTTGCCGCCACGGCCAGTTTCACCGACCCCGATAGTCAGATGATGGATCGCGAGGAAATCGATGACGGTGAATCGCATGCTGGATTACCTCCAAATCCCAAGCCTTCCTCCAACAAGACGAGTGCGAACAATGAGTTGGAAATGAGGCAACTCTTCCAGGCAAATAAGCATCGCACATTACAGGAGGTCGCCACTGAGCTGCACGGCAACGAGAGAGGGCCCAACTCTGAGCGCACTCGACAAGTGTTCGCTATGCTCTGGATAAACCAAGTCTGTTCGAAGGGGAAAGGGTCTGTCCCGCGGGGAAGAGTGTACGCCAACTACGCATCCCGTTGTGCAACAGAAAGGACCACGGTCTTGAACCCGGCAAGTTTTGGCAAGCTTGTCAGGGTTTTATATCCCGGCCTCAAGACGCGAAGACTAGGTGTTCGCGGTGAGTCGAAGTACCATTATGTGAATTTCACATTGGCCGATGACCAACCCGAGACTGCGGAGCCCATCATCCAGCCCGCTATTCCGTTCCCGGAGACAGCAAGCTTCGCGTACAGCTTTATGTAGGTCTCGTGTCATGAATAACCATCAGATATTGATACTGACGTGGAATAAGCAAACCCAAATCGCAGTCTCCCGCCATCAATACGCACAGGGCCATCCTTCCATCCCCTGACATTCCTCAACAGCCAGATACGGTGGGCACCACACGTTCCAGTCAGAACAGATTGCATAGTCTGTATAATCAGCCAGATGTATCCAGCATTGATCATCTACACACCACCACATCCAAGACGATGCTACGTCTATCCTTTGCTCCGGACAATGAGGAACCTTTCAGGCAAGGCGATTCCCTCGTCCTGCCCAAGCTCGAGCCTTTCCTGCCTAATGGCACCGATCCTGATGCCGCCATGTCTTTACAAGCACTGTACAGATCGCACTGCACTTCTCTTGTTGAATGCATTCGCTACTGTAAAGAGAAAACATTCTTTCACCTGTACACATCCTTCCAAGGGACCCTAACCATGCCGGTACAGAAGCTATTCTCAAATCCTAGCCTTGCTCCTTGGATAGAACAGTGCGATTTCCTCTTGTATCAGAGAATGATGCGGATAGTGTCCGGTCTTACTCTGCAAGTAGTCCCAAGACCTGTGCTCGACACATTACGCAACATCTCGGAGCGACTGGTCCCCCATATCCGAGACTCTTTCCAGGGACAACCGAAGCATGTTATCCACGCCAAGGAAGCGCCTGCCACCATTTTTGCTGCATTGCTTGATCGAGCTCTCCGCGTCAACCTGACAGCCCATGCGGCTGCAAACATGCTGTCGAATCCGGCAAACCGAGACCAAATGTACCTGGACTGGATCACTATGGTTAGGTTACGCAAGGTCGCCGAATGTATCCCCACGAGAGGAATGGACGACCTTGTCAACCTCCTGCTCGGCGAACTTCGCGAACTTCTCGATCCGCAAAACGTTCCTTGGGAAATCGAGTGTCTGACCCTATATGGAGATGTGGCGGCGCGGAATGGCAGGGCTACCCAGGCTGATGTCTCGGGAGACGATAATGCTCAGAACGTCCTTGACAGATGGGTCAACTTTCTTCGATCGCTCCCCACCAAGTTCTCCTACGCCCATCCCGAAGACATCGTATGGTGCGTGCAAAGAGTCGGAACAGAGATCATGCGGGATCTCACGATTGCCCAAGGCAAGAGTTTTGGCTCGTGGTGGGTGACGAAGTGTTGGATTGACGAGATGATCTCCTTTCTCGCCGAGCAAGGGGGCTTCATGAAATTGAAGTGCTCTTCACCACCCTTGTCTATAATATCCAAGCGTGGGGTTTCAATCAAAGAGGCTGCCAGTCGACCAGGCTCGCGGTTCGGGAATGGAAGTGAGGAATTCAACACGATGCCGAATGTTTCTCAACCTCAAGGGAGCAATGCACCTTTCCCCGTCCAAATCGACACGCACAGCCGGGACTCTCTTGGACTGCTGGCCAACCCTGACGACAGCGGCATAGGCATGAGAACACCAGAGGAAGAGTTCCCGATGGACAAGTTCGAGCTCCCACCGGATCATGGCCAAGGCCTCCAAAATATGAGTCTCGACCCGGGCTTCTAGGCGTTGTGCGGTCGAGGCCTTAAACGATCGTGGTCTAAAACTTTCAATACCTGAGTCTTGGGTGTAGCCTGACCAGGTGGGTGGTTTGCAGCAGTTGATATTCCACGGCTTCGGCATGTTCGGTTCTTGTGTTTACATACGTTTGTATTAAGACTTGTAGTGGTTTGGCTGGCCTATGGCGTCGGGGAGAAATGGTTCATATCGATGATGATACGAAGGCACGATGGCATGACAGATACGATGGACGGTAATCTACGCTGCGGTAGCTGCCGGTACTGAACGCAGCTTTGTGAGGGGGAATGTACAAATTTTTATCATGCTGGCGGTTCAGGCATACGGGCCTCATCGATTCAGCTGTTAGCGGTGTGCCTGGTAGGTGTTGGCCTGCATGGCATACATTTGGAGAATTCTTGGTTGGGATTGATACCTCAGCGCATGTTTTTTGTCCAGTGGTTGGCCACTAGATTAGGATAGCAATGAAGCTACGTTTATCAGCACATTTTGATGCGCAAACATTTCATGAACTCCCATTTGAGAGTCGGTGCTGTTCCGGTAACTCGAAAAGGTGTTCAGCCTTGAACTTAAAGACGCGCCTATTCACACTCGAGCTCCAAGTTTCTCGAGTTATACTAAGCTTGAACAGAGTAGCCTATACTAAATGCATACTTACGCATGTAGTCGGGCGTCTTCACTAAAATGCAGGCGCTCAATAGTCTACCAGATGAATTTGTTGACATCAGCCCGAAGCTGCTAGCCTTACACTAGAGGAGTACATCTGTCAATTCACTTTACATGTAACAATCAATACGCTGACTCGACTCCGGGGATGTCAGATTACTTGTACATGAGCTTGGCATGATGCGATTCCTCGTCACTAATAGCCTGGACCGCCTGCTTCGAGCGGCAGGGTTTAATTAAGGCTGAAAGTATATACCACTAGAATTATGAGTGACCAATGAGCTTGCAAAAGCCCCCCGTAAAGTGGCGCCCCTTCCCGCAGCCTCAAAGTACCCCGCCAGGCTGGATTTTTCGTATGCTGCTCCGCGTTTCGGCGGGGCACTTGAAGGCATGACATACGTTCGAGAATTAATTATTTGGGGCCGGGTTTGACAATTTCCTGTGACTCCGAACCTATTGCTCATAAACTCGCTTACCATTAACATAACTATAGTAAATTTACCAACGGTTGATCTACGCTCGTTTCTGTTCACCTCTAGGTCTTCTCACTAAGTTGCGGGTTCTGAAGAGTCGATCGATCAGTGTGTGCCCCGCGATTTCGTAACTTTTCTTCTGCGTATAGCGAACGCCGCTGTTGGTCGAATGATCGTGGCCCTATATCTTCCCCCTTTGCTTCCTTGATCTCTATAATGGGTTCGACAGTCTACAGGAATGACTGTAGTAACGGCTGGATCGTGCAGAAGTTTGGGGGCACCAGTGTTGGCAAATTTCCCGACAAGGTCAGTACCCAATGGCTCCTTCCTTCGTTGCTCTCTTGCTTGGGCCCCTGTGACTAACTTTGACTTGCTGTTACACAGATCGCGGAGGACATCGTTCGGTGCGTTTGCTGCTTCAAATACTCTCGTTCGCAAAACGCCTCTGACCACGAGAATAGCGCCAACCTAGGTTCCAACAAAGTAGCAGTTGTCTGCTCAGCCCGAAGCACGGGGAAGAAGGTCACAGGGACTACAAGTCGGTGGGTCGCAATCAGCAAAACTTGCGGTAACGCCCAATTGGACTCACACAAGGCGCTCTTGCGATAGTCTCCTCGAAATCTACAAGAAGCTGCGCAGAATTACTGCCGCCACCAGCGCCGAAGCGACCCAAAACAAGATCCTCGATGATGCCAAGGCGCTCATCCAAGAAATCTGCGACGACCATGTCTTCGCGGTACAGTCCTTCATCAAGGACCCCAGCCTGCAGAAGACGGTCACAGCCGACATAGAAAATGACTGCCAGGAATTGGTTGACTACATCATTGCCGCTAAGCGCTTCAATCTCGAAGTCAACGCGAGATCCTTGGACAGGGTGGTCAGTTTTGGGGAGAAGCTAAGCTGCAGGTTTATGACTTATCTGCTGAAAGACAGGGTCGGTCAACTCTCGGAACTTGTGGTGGTATTGTTAATGTGAAAAACGCTGACATGGTGCTTTTGAATAGCATGTGGACGCCGAATACGTGGACCTCTCGGATATTATGCATTACGAGAGCTCGGATCGGGTCGATCCTGCCTTCTACAAGGATGCGGCTGCCGTGTTCCAGAAGAGAATAAGGGCTTGCAACGAGAGGGTGCCGGTCATCACAGGCTTCTTCGGCAACGTTCCCGGAAGTTTGATGGACGGTGATATCGGGCGGGGATACACGGACTTATGCGCTGCCTTGGTCGCAGTGGGACTGAAGGCAGACGAGCTGCAAGTATGGAAGGAAGTCGACGGAATATTCACCGCAGACCCGACCAAAGTGCCCACGGCCCGGCTTCTAAGCTCCGTCACGCCCTCGGAGGCAGCCGAGCTCACCTTCTACGGGTCTGAGGTCATCCACCACCTGACCATGGACCAAGTCATCAAGGCGGACCCGCCGATCCAGATCCGCATCAAGAACGTGAAGAACCCGCGCGGTAACGGCACTATCGTGGTGCCGGACTCGAACCAATCGCCCGCACAACAAATCCGGCGTTCCCGGCCGTCGGACGAGGCGCTGCGACGCACCCCCAAGCGCCCCACAGCCGTCACAATCAAGGACGGCATCTCCATCATCAACGTGCACTCCAACAAGCGATCCATCTCTCACGGCTTCTTCGCCAAGGTTTTCTCCATTCTCAACCGCCACAGCATCTCCGTCGACCTCATTTCGACCTCCGAGGTCCATGTGTCCATGGCCATCCACGCGGCGAGCTCGTCGCCTTCGCATTTCGAGGCCGCGTGTAAGGAGCTTGAGGAGTGTGGCGATGTGAGTATTTTGCAGGAGATGGCCATTCTCAGTTTGGTGGGCGCCGAGATGAAGAATATGGTGGGCATTGCGGGGCGTATGTTCTCGACGCTCGGAGAGCACAATGTCAATATTGAGATGATATCACAAGGTTGGTTTTTATCCCCTTTCTTTCCCCTTTCAAGGGCGGTCAAGTCGTATGCTAACAGTAAGAATGAATAGGGGCTAGCGAGATCAACATCAGCTGTGTTATTGATGCGAGGGAGGCGACGAGGGCCATGACTATTCTCCATACAAATCTATTTACCTTCTTGGAATAGACTAATAGAGTTGAGCGTTTTGACGTTGCGGATATGCTGGTGTATCGTATGTGTGATGGGGCTGTGCATGTCTTGGCCCCCCTCCCCCTTTTTCGAATGTGTGTCAAAATGTGAATGAAATGAATCAGCGAGGACCTGTGTACAGTCTTGGGTTCAAAGAGAGCTGCAAGAGTTGCGAACTATGTTCTGGACTAAACTAGATCAATTGAATGGGAATGATTGCATGATAGTCCGTGAGTGCTGCATGTGATCGTCGTTTCAGGGGCAGTCTTTTTGTCAAGCTTTATAGCCCAATTATACCTCCAGTGATGTAGAAGCAGACAAACCCCGATGTCAGGATACGCAACCAGGTATGTAAACAGCTTTGCTATCGTAGAATTGCTAGTGAAGAAACCATAGAAACCACAAATACGACTAACAGGTATAGTATTGTTCACCTGTACCAACAACGGGTTTACATTGAGGTAATAGTCCGTAGAAATGCCTATATTTCGAAGACAATTGGCGAACAAAACTCTTATTATTCTGCAGTCCTCTCTGTCTCTGAGATATTAGTATTGATTGAATCTTTGTCATCACCACAGCGGCACATTCCTAGATTGATAACTCATATCTTAAGCTCAACCAGCCGTTGTTCGCCTCTTTCCGCACCGGCTCAGCAGGGTCCACTGTATTTTGTCGGCTTCGGCGCACTATGACGTGGCGGGGTTCAGGTCAGTCAGACGGTCGTGATGATGGTTACACCGAACAGTATCAAGGAAGGAAGGACAGAAGGATGGAGGGATAGCAACCAATATATCATCGTGCGGTCATGGGCCCTGAAGTGAGTCGTGGCTCGCGCACAATCTCGGAGATTGGGGTTCTGTAGGCAAATCGATGTTAGACAATAATCTGTTACCACACACATGTCCACAAGATAGACAAGTAGGTACAACTTTATCGAGACATGACCAAGATTCTGTTTCGTTTGATAAGGGTAGCTTTCTAATGCTCGGGCCGAAATCGTATCGAGTCCGTCATCCTGCATCGGTTTAGAGTAGACCAGATGGGTCAGTGCCAGGGCGGTGAAAAATAAGGTTGTGACTCTGTGGCGGAAGATCATTGTAGATTCATGAATTTTGGTAATATATTTCCGAGAAAGCGTGTATATTTGTCGGTGTGGTCTACCATAGTAAGCAGGCTAAGAAGTCGAGTCTATGATGATGTAGTGTAGACTGTTGAGGGTTTTTGCTGAGTCTGGGCAGTGAATTGTGGCAAGCAGCAAAAGAAAAAGACATGAAACAATGCCTAGAGATTGGAAAGGTCGGCAGAGTTATTTATTTCCCAAGTCGCACTCGCTGGTGTCTCTTTTTCAATACAGCCTTAGGCTAGTTTTTGCTAGATATTTATGGCATTGGCCAATCAGAACTGCCGTTCCACCTAGTATTCCCAGCCTCGGAACCCCTTGAATCAAAGTAGTATCACAGGTCAATTGGGCTTCTATTTATTTGTGTGGCGGTAAAATAACTCAGCTGGAATCCTTCGACTACGAAAGCAGTACACTGGCTGTAAGAGTTGTCCTTCATTCAGTATATACAGTCGTGGAAGATCAGCCGTTGTGCTTTTCCTCCGCCAAAGTCTGTCTCTCGACGTAATCTAACGCCTATGATTATTTTACGTCAGGAGAAAAGTGGCTGATACGAGTGATCTACTAGATTCTCATGTTCATTAAGCTGTTTGGAGATATCATCAGTCTGGTATATGAGGATACTGGACAATCAGGCGGCGCGAACATAATGCTTCACCTCCAGAGAGCTAATAGCCAATACCCCAAGTGCCAAGCAACCCGTAAGCACCATTCACTCCCCTCGCCATCCTCTCAGTGACGCTTCAAGTACAATCGATAAGTTCCACAAGCTGAGTTTATGTTGTTGCAGTCCCCACTTACACCGTCTTGCCCATCTCTGACACAACTGTCCAGCAGAGGGTTTTCGAGATGGTCGGCGATCCATTGGGAAGACACGTTCATCCCGCGCTTGGGGGCTTTGTTCATGGTACAGAACTGGGCTTTGCAGGTACCGTTGTACCATGTTGCGCAGATACCGTGGACTACCGACACATTGCCCTGGTAGGCTCTGATGTCGGTGATGACTTTCTGGCAGTCCTCTGTGACAAGGGGTTTGGGCTTTGGCAAGTCAGCAGGCACAGCTTTTCCGATTGACAGATTCATAATTTGACTAACCAAGGTTTCCCAACAGGTGAAGTATGCTCTCTTGGCGAGGCGACGGCTCGAGATGTCTGAATCCATGGCCATGTGGTCGTCGTTGAAGGCAGTGAAAATCGGAGTGGGACCGGTTCCAGAGGCCTGAGCAGCATGGCGCAGGCCTGAGCTTCCTTGGAAGTGACTAGGCACAGCAGTGCTAGCGAGAGCAATACCGATGATGACCACGAGGTTCAGGATGACGTGGATTGGCAGCATGTTGGTACTGGTGAGAATGAGAGATATGATACTCCGATATACCAAATTGAGAAACGAGGCCTTCAGTCAGCTTCTCTTTAGAGCAGCTCTGCATGAGGTAGGCTTCATGTAGATGAGATTTCACGGCCGGGTGGGGGAAAAGCCCTGGTTTTGATTACTTAAGTACCTAGGTAGGTCATGTTTGATAACGGAACCAAGACGTGTGGACGCCCACGCCTCGAATAGCTTTATGCAGAGGAAGTTGCGACCTTTGCGATACTAGCAAACAGTTCCACAACACAGCACTTACACAAAGAGGGCAGGAGCAGGCGCGAACACAACCAGCAAACAGGCAGGCACGATCTGGCCACTCAGTAACACCATCAACCTAGAAACACAACTTTGGCAGATATTTTTCAGGACAACCTAAACAAACGACGAGGCTTCTCGAATCCATCCTCGATTCGGATTACAAAGTCAAACTTTCATAAACCAATACTTGATTGCCTGCAGCTATCCGTCCAGCTGGCCGTTCAGCTGACCACGTGGACGGTTCAAAATGGCTAACCAGGTCGCACTCTACTAAAGCGTTCGAGACTCTGGTTTACTAGACCTAGCTTGAACTACTCAACTAGGCACCGGTCATCGTAGGAGCACCCTTTGGTCATAGACACTGAATGCCCCTTTCTGACTCGCCCCTCAACCTGCCTGTAGCTGCCATGAAGGTCTGCGGAGGCATGGACGAACGCAGAGTAGACTCGGCGAGGCCTTCGTTACGGTATCGGGACGACTTCCTTAAAGATGCATTGGAACATCGCAGGCAATGATTCGATTCCTCAAACCTCACAAAACAATCCCTGAATACCCATCCACTGAAGCCTGAGCTGACCCCATACTCTGTAACCGGGTATTTTACCATTCAGACTATATATACACCCAAATCTAAGCCTTCGAAATCTCATGCTTGACCCATTTTTCCAGCCCGCCCCTCGCAATTATTTCCTGTACATTTGGCGGGAGCTCGCCCACTCTCTGACTCCACGTCTGCCCGCCCTCTCCCTCGGTAACCGTAACCTTGCTCCTCCTCACATCCCACAAAAACTTCCACCCCGTCCTCCTCGTCAGGGCCTTCCCCTCCTCCGTCTCGCTCTTGAATGTCTCCCTCAGCCTCTGCACCAGCTTCGGCACCTCGACGCCCATGAGCGCGTTATTGATGCTGTTGCGGCTGAAGATGTTGCCGAAGCTGCCTGCGACCACAAGTGGGATCTTCTTGGCCAGGATGGCCGTTGCGGCCTGCTCGCGCGAGCTGCCGCAGCCAAAGTTGAAGCCCGCCACGAGAATATCACCGGCCTTGGCGATGCCGCCAAAGGCCTTGTCGTAATTTTCCATGCATACTTCGGCCATTTTCTCGACGGAAACGCCGTCTTGGTAGGTGTACTTGCCGGGGTAGATGCCATCCGTGTTAATGTTGTCGGCGTCGCAGAAGACAATCTCGCCCTCGACCTTTTCAGGGAAGCCGGGGAGGATGTCAGTGAGCGTCTCCTCGCCCTCGGGTTCTGCTTCAGTGCTGCTGCCCTCGCTTTGCTCGGCAACGGAGATCAAGCTGTCTGCCTGTGCAATAAGCTTCTCAAGGGCGTCCTCGATGCTCATGGCCTTGTCCTGTTCGAGGTTGCCGTTGCCCTCGCCAATGATGACCTTTTCGACGCCCTCGGGCTTCTCGTACCAACCTGGTCCTGCGATCTTGCCTTGAAGAGCGCTAGCTGCAACAACTTCCGGGCTGGCAAGATACGCCTTGGCGTCCGTCGAGCCCATTCTTCCCTTGAAGTTGCGGTTACTGGCGCTGATGCCCACTTCACCGGGCTCTAGCAGACCCGTGCCAAGGCCAATGCAGGGTCCACACCCAGATGGCAGAGGCTGAGCACCAGCATCCAGCAGAACCTGCCAGTCGCCTGTCTCTTCGGCGAGTTCTTGCTCTGGAATGGATGCAGCGGCAATATAGAAGTTAACACCTGCCGCAATTTTTGGCTCGACGCCATTTTGTGCGGCTTCTCTGAAAACTCTTGCTGCAGCTGCGAGATCTGAGGCTCGCGAGTTTGTGCAGGAGACAAGATATGCCTTGTCCAGCTTGATGTTCTGGGCCTGTAGGTCCTTTAGAGGGGTGGCTACCTTGACTGAGTTTGGTCCCGCGACAAAAGGTGCCAGAGTCGAGAGGTTGAGATATATCGACTTGGCATATGTCGCGCCAGGGTCTGCCGATAGCTGATTGCGGATTAATTCGTCGATTCTTTCATGAGAGATCTGGTTCAGGGCCACCCCGTCGTTGATTACTGCCGCAACCGTTGCTTTAGCACGCAGCCATGTCTTGAGCGTGGAGTCGATGGGGAAGAGGCCAGTCAGTGCACCCCATTCGGTAGTCATGTTAGCAATGGTGAGGCGGTCGTCCACTGGTATACTTGCCATGGTCTCCTCGGAACCATTGAACTCAATCGCGTGATTCAAGACATCATCCTGGTTGAACAGACCGCAGAGTGCCACGATAACATCCTTCCCAGTCACACCCAGAGGCAAAATACCAGTAAGCGTAACTTTTGCGATTGGCGGAATTTGCCACCAAGTCCTTCCAGTTGCCCATATACTCGCTGCGTCGGTTCGCACCATGGGAGTACCTAAGCATCCAACGCCACCATACATGTTGCTATGACTGTCGGAAGCCACCGTGACTGTGCCTGGCCAGGCGTATCCTTCCTCGACCATGATCTGGTGACCGATGCCCCTCCCAGCCGGATAGAAGTCGACGCCATGTTTCTTGGCGAAACCTTCGATTTGTTGATATTTCTTCAAGTTGGTCTCGCTCTTGTTCTGCACGTCGTGGTCCAGAGTCATGACAATCTGTTTGTTGTCATGTATCTTGGACGCGCCAATGGACATGAACTTGAGGGCGACAGGCCATGAGTTGTCGTGAGTCATGCAGTGATGCGGTGCCAAAGTGACATAGTCGCCTGCCTTGACCTTCTTCCCCTGCGCTAGTCCAACCGAGTATCTCTGCACGATCTTCTCGGTCAAGGTTTGTGGTGTCTCAGGGGCCGTCTTGAGGGAGGATAGTATAGCCGAGGAAGTGGGATCTTCGATTTGTGAGTGAAAAGCGGTTTGACGTTGCTGGGCGGTAGCAGTATACGCTCGGGTCATGGGCCGACATATTGACCTGCGCGGGATGGCATAGTTGCTAATTGAGGCCCTCGCAGCCAAGCTCCTTCCCTATGAGAGGACTTGTTAGTTATTGAATTGTGGACTGCGCAAAGAATCGACAAACGTACAACAAAACGGCGCATATCTAGAGGCGGGTAGTCCTTGCTACCATGGCAATTTGGAACAACAATATCAATTACTTGTCAATTACTTGTCAATGCTGCTAGTTCCAATGTTGAGGAGACAGAAGGCCACTGCAAATGGTGCCAATTGGTATTTGGTATAGAGGAAAACCTCTTCGTCCTCTGGAGACCCCAGCTCGACCTGCAAGTGCTGCCGGCAACAAAATTTCGTGGGGTCAAACTCCGGTTGCCGGTCTTCGTGCAGCCGTGACGGTAATTAACTATTGCAGCAATACTACTGGCTCGGTTAGGGCAGTGGAGTCGTTCGACACTCGATACGGAGCATGACAAATTCGCGTCTAGCTGTGCTTGAATTAATGTGTTTTGGGGCATTCTGAATTTTATGATACTGCATAAATGCGGCGTCCGGGCTGAACTCCGCCCGATGCCTTAGACTTGGCATCTCGAGTTGAACCTAATTTGTTTTGGTGACAGCTGGCGTCAGGCACCAGAACAGATATCGTAAGCAAGCCGGCATAGGATGAAACAATCAAGCTCGTCATAATGAGGAAAAATCCTCTTGGAGCTAAGCATTTCAAGTTTTCATGCCGATTTTGACATACCCCCATTGCTGTTGGTCGTCGCAGTTCGAATTCAAGAACGAATCCGAGGCTTTCGAATTCGAGTTCGGCTCTTGTCAGTAGGCGCCGTTCGCACTTGGGGCCCCACCTCCCTCCAGCTGATCAATTCTGATGCCAGGCACTTGTAGACCTGCACCCGGCATCCGGTGAAACGGCAAGTCGCGCCTACTACATTGCTCGCATGATGACACTGGCTGGGTTGAATTCTCTCAGACCTTGCATTGCATCCCACCCTCGGACTGACTGCGTGCGAGCACGACCTTACCTTGGAGTACCGCGCATTTATCGGGACTAGTCTATTCACACCTGCATGCTGCTGATCAGCATCAGCCCTGTGCAACGGAACAAAGTGCACAGCTGGCGCTCTTTTCAGAGACCGCCACTTTTCAACAATACGCAGCGACGATCCGTTCAACAGGACAAAGATAGCCTCATACCCCTCGAAAACTTTTGTGTTTGACGTTCTCTTCTCAATCGAGCAGCGCTTTCGACCGTGACCTGGGGTGGGCTTCAAGCATCAAGCTGGGGGGGCCGGGTCTAATTGTCATTCCGCTCCGGCGAGCCCTACGAATGCTTCAAGGCCGTGTTTGAGCTACCCATACGTTTATTCAGAACGTCTTCTCTTTTTGAATTCTGGGTTTGATCGATAAACAGCGGCATGTCATCCGCTTCATCCGGGAAGACACCGCGGGTTCTGTAAGTTTACGGACTGCCGCAGATCTTCTTCACATGCATGTGCTGACCGAAACATTAGTGCCTGCGTCTTGTGTCAACACCGCAAGATAAAATGTGATCGCCACACGCCATGTGCAAATTGTGTCAAGGTGAGATGATATGACGCTCGTCAACACGTTGCTTGAAAAGTTGACAAGTGTTGGGTTAGGCAAACGTCACCTGCACCCCGAGCACTCCGGCGCCTGCAAGAAAGCGCAGGCGGCCGAATCAAGACTTACAGCAGCGCCTATCCAGGTGTGAAGAGCTTTTGCAAGAGTATGCCACTACCAAACCCTCTCCCACAAGCACTGAAACACAGGGACCCGACGATCCTTGGAAGTCGGCCGGGAAACTCATTGAGGATGATGGCGGAGTGCGTTTTATGGATAGTTACCTCTGGGCAGAGGTTCATGATGAGGTGAGCTATACCACTTGCTGGACCTCTCTCTTGCGATCATGACCAGATATCACTCACCGGCCCTCCACTCTCAGTCACGTGCTGACTGAGTCAAGTAGCTACGCGCCATGCGCGAGATCGTAGATAATGATGACAAGGACGACGACAGCTACTGTACCCCGTCCGATGCGCAAACACCAGATCAGAATACTGCTCTGATATTCTCAGATGGCGGGTCTGGCTCGGGCTGGGGCTCCAGCACAGAGGACTTACACCCAGAACCAGCACACGCATTCCGCTTGTGGCAGACTTTCCTCGACCGAGTGAACCCATTGACCAAGGTGATTCATGTCCCTACAATCCAGCCTTTGATCGTTGAGGCAGCGACTAGTCGAGCCAACATTCCCAAGAATGTTGAGGCACTATTGTTCTCTATCTATTCCATGTCTGCTATTGCATTATCAGAGCAAGAATGCCTTAGCATGCTGGGGTATACCAAAGACGAGGCCTTCAAGCGGTTTTCCACCGGCGTTCGTATCACCCTGATGCGTATCGGCATCTTACACAAGTATAACCTGGTTATTTTGCAGGCTATGGTTCTGTATCTGGTACGTGGCATACCGAGCGGCTCAAGCCCACCGCAGTTACTAACCTGTGTCTTCAGATGTCGTTATCCGGTCGTTATGACAGACATGCCGCGTGGATTTTGAATGGCGTCATCGTTAGAATTGCCCAGAAGATGGGTCTTCACCGAGACGGCGACACGCTGGGTCTGCCCGCATTCGAATCGGAAATGCGGCGCCGCGTCTGGTGGCAGATTGTACTGCTCGATGCCACGTATGCCTTGATGTCTGGACTGGGCCAGTCGCTACTGCCACGATCGTGGGACACCAAGGAGCCAAGAAATATCAACGATGCTGACCTCTTCCCCACGATGAACTCGGTGGAAGCACGGGATGGTCCAACCGACATGATATTCTGCTTGACGAACTACGAAATTGCCAAACTACTGCTCAGGTATCCTGGACTGGAATCTGTCATCTTACAGAACGAGTTAGGCGACCCTAATTCGCCCCCTACGGCAGAAGTCGACGCGGCGCGAGAAAAACTCGACGAACTTGATGAAAAACTGTCTGAGGTCATCAGAAAGTATGGCGACTTGTCAATGGGGCCAGTGCATGAACTCGCCATCAAAACACGGTCAACCATGATGAGTAAGCTCCGTGACCTCATCTGTCCGCCTAGGGAGCAGCCTGAATGGGGTACGGAAATCCTGACGCCAAAGGACAACTTATTCAAGATCGCTGTCAGCACCGGCGAGAACAGCGTGATATTATACACGCAAGCTCAGAAGATGGGTTACTTTTTATGGTTCGGTAGGTACTATGCTCCATACACCATCGTGAATATGCATGCTGACGTGAAAAATTACAGAGATGGCCCACTTCCAGATTGAAGTTTTCCTCTACATGGTCGGACAATTATGTACACGCCCCCAAGGGAAGCTGGTGGAAAGAGCCTGGCTCGTCGTCGAGCAATTCTACCAGTTCCACACAGAACTGTTCGACCTTGCAAATAAACCTAATGGCGCCCTTGCCGTTTTTGTTCTCCGGGCGTGGAAAAGGCGACATGAGTTTCTGCGAGCCACCCAAGGCGCCACAGTTGTGCAGCCCTACTACATCTCGAGGTTGCAGAAACTGGTGGGATCCGACGAGCTGATGAAAGAAGAGGCTTCGAGTGACAAGCCTCCCCCTTCGGCCATTCCTGCTGACAGAGCGGCGCCAAGCAGTCTCGACATGCCGTGGGAACAAATGCTAGGATTTGCGGACTCTACAGCGATTGATTGGGACATGTTTGGGAGTAGTACGCAACCAGTCAATTACCAGGGCTTCGCGAACGTGGGGAACCCGCCGACAAACGGCTGGATGTATCCATAATGACAGTGCTGTTTTATGACCTGCTTCGAAATGACTCAGTGGCGCAGAAAATGGCTTATGTTGAACTCGCGAGCGGTGAGGCTTCCTACACTGATTTGCTAGTAGACTTTTAACTACAGCAGCTAGATCATTCGTGTCCATTCGCATCCAACTCCCTGTCACAAACGTGCATGGACTACAATAAGCCGAATTAAATGACTCGGAAGGATTAAGCCCGCGTCAAAACTTGGAATACCATGTTTTAATCTCCGAGTGCGGTAAAAACCGCCAGCTGATACGTAGGCTTACCCGCTGTCCGTAGAATTGCATGCGGCGCCAGTGCTTACTCGATTGTAGGATTTTGCTCGCTGTGCCTGCATGAGGCCTCACTCCCGGCTGCTTCTAGCTGTTGGCTCTGATGAGCTGTAGAGGTGATGCCAGCTGATGCCTGGGTGCTTAATTTGGTGCTCGGATAAGTTTCTTAGCTCCGGTTGCGTGGGTTTTGCGGACATCAGGTATTCACCGGAACGGGCCTGACATTAAATACCGGTATGGTACGATGTTATTATGTGTTCCTAAAGGATGGGTAATCTAATGGTTTTGGTCGCTTGTAAATTATGGAGCGGACTAACAAGATGAAGGGTACTCCGCACATCATGATTATTATTATTATTATCGTCGCGAAGAGACAGCCTTGGGCTCCTTGAGGCTCCAACATAAGTCAACATCATTCCAGTCTTATTTCACTACTTTGCTCAACTCCTCGCCAAGTTTCCACAGCGTCTCTTCCTTGTCCTGGCCAAAAGCCCAACTCCCCCAGCCATACTTCATGGCATCATCCAGCGTGCAGGGCTGAACCGCGATCGAAACGCCCTCCAAGTACAGTGCATCCCTACGCACGAGCTCGCTCGATACGGCAGCGTAAACACTCGTAGCACAAACCTGCTTCAGGCTCGGAATGTATTTATGTGCCCGCTCGTCCTCCGCCCTCATACAGTAGCTCGACGTACTAGATGCGTAGGTAAGCCAGCCGTTATACGCCCCGCCGGAGAGCATAAGATCCTTGAGGAGATAAGAATAACAAAAGGTGCGAGAGGTGGTTTGTCCCGAATTGCAGCTCAAACCCGTCTTAAGTCCGAGACTCAGGCGTGTTCATGGCGGTGGCGTCGGGATCGGGACCCCATGTGTAGGTGAGATTCTCGTCTAAGATGATTTAAGAGCCTGTTACCCGCGAGTCGCTGGGGCCGTTGAGCACTTCCCGTCGGTTGCAGGAGGCATACCGGCCGGATAGTTGGAAGGGGTTATTGAGAGACGGATGCCAGTTTTTTCTCCCTGAATTACTACAGTATGGAAAGTAAGGGTGCAGAAAATACTCTGAGGCAATTGGAAGGCTTCTCGCCACACTACATGATGCCTGGCTAGATAACTTCTCCGTCCGGCGCTCGAGTGGGCTCTAGGTTGTGGGATTGTGGAGCTAAGACACTCGACAGCCGGGGATAGGACTAACACCGGCAACTGACAGCAAGTCATTAAATTGTTCCCAGCGGTCCAGGCTGATTGGTCGCGACGGCGAAATAGGAAGCCGTTCAAGCTTTCGTACACGTGGAATACATGGATTCCACACCACCCCCATTATCGGTCCTGACCCGGCGGCCACTATCAATTCCTCCGGCCCTGTCAGAAAAATCAGTATTTGGGTGCGAAGTACATGTTCGGGTGCGCCTGCCACACGACCGCTCGGGCACCAACAAATTGACGAATATCCGCTACGGCGCTTTCCCATCATCTGCGTAGTTCAGCCGTCGTCTATTTAGCGTAGCGCATGATTACATATTCGAGGAGTGTGCGGGTCATTCCAAATATTTTTGTTAACCAGCAACTTATCATGGCAGTGGCCAGGCCGTTGGCTTACTTCTCCTGCGATGTAAGCGGTCAATCTGGTGCGCCAAACTCCGGGCCGTGACCAAATGGTCGACCAGCAAGCCCAACTTTGAGTACATATTGCAGGCGCAGCTGGCCGCCTTCGAAATAATAGTTGGACGAAAATAGCATGTCCTCGTCACTATCCGTGTTACTGGAGATTGAAAATCATCTGCCGTAATACTATTCCGAATTCTTTCCCTCTGTTCAACTCTTCCGCTCTGTGTTTAGATCTACACTCCTGCGCACCGTTGACCCGAGTGCTCGGGTATATTCTGTGCGCAAATAAGAATTGCGCACGAACAAGCTTTGTGTCAGTTGGTCGCCAAGATACTTGCACAATACCGTCACACAATACCGTCACAGCCGCCATGCAGTTCCGGTGGGCCAAGAAGGCGCAGAGCGCAACACTACCAGCCTCGGTCAATGATGTGACACAACCAAGACCGACTTCTCAGAATGTCGATGCAGTACTGGAACAGGACGAGGACAGGCAACAAGAGGTCATCAAGACAGTGTCGACGGCCTCAACGGGCGTCGACCACGAGTACCCCACAGGACTGCGGCTTGGCTTGCTCTTGTTGTCCACCTTTGTATCCATGTTCCTTGTCGCACTGGACAGGTTGATCATCTCCACGGCATGTACCAGCCATTACTGCAGGATACTACTCATCATCGACCAAGAAGGCTAACATGGGATTTGCAGGCCATTCCGCAAATCACCGACGACTTCAAGTCTTTACCTGACGTGGGCTGGTACGGTTCGGCGTATTTACTCACGACGTGCTCTTTCCAGCTTCTGTTTGGCAAGTTGTATACGTTCTATGTAAGTCGACGATGAAGGCCTCGAAAAACTGTTGTCTGTGGAAAGAAACATTGCTCGTAGAGCTATCCAGCTCTGACTCCTGACAAACAACCCTCCCAGGCCATCAAATCCACCTTCCTCGCCGCCATCATCCTCTTTGAAATCGGCTCCGCCATTTGTGGCGCCGCCCCGAGCTCCGTCGTCTTCATCATCGGCCGCGCCATCGCCGGCGTGGGCGCGGCCGGCATCTTCTCGGGCGTTGTCGTCGTTCTTATCTATGCCGTTCCTTTGCATAAGCGACCCCTTTATCAGGGCCTATTTGGCGCCATCTTCGGACTCGCTTCCGTCATCGGCCCGCTTGTGGGAGGCGCCTTCACGTCTAATGTTTCGTGGCGCTGGTGTTTTTATATCAATCTGCCGATCGGCGGTGTGGCGATTGTCATCATTGCGTTTTTGCTTCAGATTCCCGAGCGCGAGGAGACACACCTCTCGTCTAGGGCGAAGCTGTCGCAGCTTGATGCCGCGGGGACGATGGTGCTGATCCCGGGGGTGGTGTGTCTTTTGCTGGCCTTGCAGTGGGGAGGACTGGAATATGCTGTAAGTCGATGGATACTCAAAATGACTTTTGCACCTACATGCATACTGATATATTCTTAGTGGAGCAATGGGCGCATCATTGCCTTGTTGACCCTAGGGGCCGCCTTGATGGTTGCCTTTGTAGCTGTACAAGTGTTCATGCCCCGAACCGCAACGGTCCCATCACGCATCTTCAAACAGCGAAGTATCTTGGCCGGTTTCTGGGCCACGGTCTGCCTTGGTTCCCAGATGATGATATTTATTTATTTCGTGCCTATCTGGTTTCAGGCCATTAAGGGTGCTTCGGCTGTCGACTCGGGAATCCGGATCCTTCCCCTGACTCTTTCCATGGTTGTTGCTTCCATGGCGACAGGCATTATGACTTCCAAGATCGGATACTACACGCCTTTCATGCTTGTGGGTGAGTAACACATTCTTACCCTCCCTTCAGTCCTCCTTCCAAAGAGTCTCTACCTGAAAATCAGCTGCTCACAGAGACTTGATAGGCTCCTGCATCGTCTCCATGGGCGCCGGTCTCCTCACCACCCTCGAGATTTCCACCGCCAGCCCGAAATGGATCGGCTACCAAATACTCTACGGTTTCGGCCTGGGCATGACCTTCCAAGCCCCCAACCTAGCCGCACAGACCGTCCTTCCTACTAAGGATGTGTCCATTGGTATCTCCTTGATGTTCTTCAGTCAGCTGTTGGGAGGAGCAATTTTTATCTCCGTCGGCCAGAACGTGCTCAACAATCAGCTTTTGGAAAGATTGTCGGGGCTTCCCGGGTTTACGCCTAGCATGATCTCGTCGAATGGCGCCACGACGCTGAGTAGCTCGCTGCCGGTCGAGTTGAGGGGCCCCGTGCTGGAGGCGTACAATGAGAGTCTGAGAAAGGTGTTTCAAGTGGGACTTATAATGACTTGTTTGACGATTATTGGGTCGGCGGCCATGGAGTGGAGGAGTGTGAGGAAGAATATGCCGCTGAAGGCTAATGGGGATGGAGGTGGGGATGCGGAAAAGGAGGTTGATACGCCGCAAGGGAACGAGCAGGTGAATACGAATGAGGGGGAAAAACTGGATGCGGATATGGTGGTTAACAAGGCGATGGAGAAAGAGAAGGAGGCTGGTGATGAGGAATGAATGAGGCGATAAAAGAGACGGCTACGGCGGATGAGCCGGTACCAAAGAAGATTAGTAGGGAGCAAATGGCTTGAGATAAACCCCCTGTAGTATTAGATGACGTTGTAATAGTTGCTGGTGTATTGCAGTTGGGGTCGCATACATGCATGTACCATCTCGGCGACACATTGGAGCTTCCGGTCGGAGTCAACTCCCCTCAACAGATAGAATACGATGAACTTGTAAATTCTACTTCGTAAAATGTTGATCTTTAAAGACATCTAACCCAAAACGGGGTCGTGGTGAGGCACGCTGCGAGGGGCGAGTGTAGTTGACCCGGGACCGTCTTGACTATTTGGACGAAGGTCATGTGGCCCCGGGGTTCCACCCTTCTCTGGATCTGTCGCGGCATGTAAGTGATGCTCGGGACTATGTCAGACATACGTTGTTGGCTTGTTCGCACCTCACAGTTTTACTTTAATTGCAAATATAAATAGACACACATATATTGATGTACATGAATACCACATCCTAGGGTATATTATGTAAGTCGAGCTATCTACTAACATACGTGTTATACTACTCTTACCCATATTGGTATGCACCTACGCTTGGATTCTGTTCAATTCTTCCTACTGTCTTGTATATGTAGAACACCTTCCAGCGTTATACACATATACCCTACACCCATATATCCACTTGTGCAACTATCTGTAACTAGAGGAACTGCTTCACGATTACGTTCGATTTGATCTATCAATGTTTTGAAGGATTGCGACCTCACCTTAGCATCATCCTATAGCAATTCAAACTATTGAGAAGTAGAGCATCAGCGAAGGACCAAATCCCTTATGATTCACATTAACACGGCAAGCCTAGGCAGTGCCCAGCAATGCGAGTTTTTCACCTGTATTCCAGCCTCTGAACCTATTAACCCCGTTAGTAGTATCCCTCCTGTAGCCGTAGTCAAACCTGACTGGCGGCCTTCGCGAACGTGACTAGGAACACCGGAACTTCGTCGAATTCCCCGTTCTGCTTTAAGATGGTAAGTTGACAAGCATGAGAATTCCATTTCTCGTTGCGGTACTCATGTAGTGGATCAAATGACGCGACGCGCTTTTCCCGGTCAGCGGAATACCTCGTGTCCGACATCACTGACAAATAGCGCTCTGGAGAAGAAACAGACGAACGAATCAAGGTGGCAGGTAGCTCTCAGGGTAACTTGAAAAGCACGCGTCCAATCCCGTTTCCAATCTCTCAGCGTAAGAACGCACCTCTCCGTGGTTTGAAGAAGCAATGGCGTTCGTTATCTGAGTATCAAGCAACCCCCGGCATAGCTTATCGCGGTCTTGCAGTTATTCATCCCCCGAGTGGATTCATTTAATGCGTTAACCGTTACTCCCATATACCAGCTTCAGGAGAGGTCCACATGAGAAATACAGTTGTGCGAGCGCTCAGACAAGGCCTTTAGGCAGCAACAATGAGGGGCTTTGATACTTCCAACATCGAGGATACATCTTTTCTTATCCTGGATACTAGTGGCAGTACCTGGTTTGGCCCACCTCTAACCACATGGGTGTCCCAGTCAGCTTACATGTGCTGTGTTCGCCCAGTGCTTCTTAGAATTGACGATTGATCGGAAGATTTCACTTGAATGTGTTTGTTACGAGGCAATTATATGAATGTTTTTGACTGAAATACGTCATACTCAACATTTATTGCTTGCTATTGTCTTTATTTACTCTGTCCCTGGAGCAGATGCTGAAGTTACCACGACGACTTCATATCCAGAACGCCCGTCAGGTCTTTGTCTTGGCCAACCTCGAGACTCGAGATCCACCCATACGAATCAATTTCCAGAACCCTTAAATGCGCCTTCTTTTTTTTTCTCGCCCCATCCCTTATCCGCCCCTACCTTCTCGATCCTCGTCTTGGACATAAGGGGCTGTCAGCCTTCACCACCTTTGCCAAACACTAACAAAGAGATTCCAGACTCGACAACAAGGCGCATAGGGGACAATCCCATACACCTAATCGACCACCCTTCTAGATCTCACAAGTCAAATATTTCCCATATTCACATTCACATATTCACCTTCACATGATCTTACCTGCTTGAACTGTGAAACCTTCCTAGATTGCTCTTCCTCAAGGAAAACCACCACTCTTTTCATCACCTGTCTTGTCCGTAACTCCACAACCCCACAAACTACCACCACAAAGATGTCCAGCCCCTCTGACGGCTCTAACTGGACCCCCCTCTACGTAATCCTCGCCCTAATCCCGCTCGTCTTCCTCGCCGTAGTCCTCTACTCCCGGTGGCAGGACCGCAGGAATGCCGCGACCTACAACCTCGAGGCTCTCGAGCGCGTACATCGCGAGCGGCACTGGGGCCAACACAATGACATCGGCCCACCGTGCGTGCCGGGATGGTTCGCCGAGACGGCCAAGAAGAAAGCTCCCAATAGCGTCAATGCTGCGGCTACGACGCGGGTGACGCAGCAAGCTACCACAAGGCCTCCGGTGGCTGGTCCGGCTTTCCGATAGGTTCCCGTCGTTGTTGCTGCTGCTGCTGCTGCACCTATGGCAGAGTCGCCGGCCGCTAGGCCCCAAGCGCTAATGCCGGCGTCACCCGGACACCGCGGAGCCCTTGGACTGGACGGGAGCGCAGTGCCGAGTTTGAAGACATGGCTCTAAAGGCCTCAGTCTCGATGCCATACAGGATTCGCGCCCCTGCCGATATGAATGTTAAATGTTAATCAGCAATAAGTTCAAGAGACCCCCCTAAAGAAAACTATATGCATCGAATGGACCTTAATCTCTGCCAAGTGAAGACTGTACATCTGACATGACTAACATGATCTTCTCAAGCTTGTGAACGTCGTTGCGGGGAAGGTTGTATCAGTCATCTGTAATGTTTCCTGCATTCGTGTGTGGCTCATAGGTGACACTAATGAGAGTTGTTTCAGGAGAAACTCAATGCAAGATTTAATGCTTGAAGATCGACGGGATCAGCTCAACTTTGGGCGGTGACACTTTTCTTGTTCCCCATTCGTGATTCATGCGAAAATGTGCTTACGGTCTGGTCGCATTGATGTGGGGCCTATTGAAAGTAAGGTCAACATTCGACTATGGCATTATCTGATGGTTTTGGCCAAACGGAAAGTGTCATCCCCAACGGCGAAATCACGTCTGTATTACGAGCACTTCCAAGTACGTTGTATGAACCATTCCGTAGTGATGTACCTGGCCGCCTCAAAACCGAGTGCGGCTATCTCATTGACCTGTATGCCGTACGGTCCCACTGGGTGCTCTCTTATCTCACACGCCCACATGAATCTACCCTTGGACCGTACGTGTTGAAAAATGAAGTCCGTCCACAGTAATATGCCTCCTCGAGTCCGTATAACAGTTGCTTTCGCAGCGCAAGAACTCCCAACGCCAATTCCCAACTCGCTCTATAGAGAAGTCTCCGTTGTGCCTCCAGCCTATAGGCGGAAGCGGATGTGTACATGAATCGGGCTCCACAGATGCTGTCAATCTGTAGTCCAGGTTGGGACAGTCGACAGCAGAAGCTTTCGGAGCTCGCAAACCGTGTGAGGGCGGTTCCTCAGCAGAATGTGCAATTCGGCGTAGTGTTCGTATGATGAAGTCGTCAAGTCGGTATGGTCGATTGAATCCTGGGAAAGCCTTCACTGTTCCTTAGGCTTCCAAATGCCGGCTCCCACTGATTTGCTGATACCAAGACCGACGCCGACGGCAGCACCAATGATGAGGAAGGCGATCAGAATCTTGGCCATGATTCGGTTTCGCTTGTTAAGGCGTGCCATGCATTGGCAGGATCTGTTCTTCAACTTCGCAGCTTTCGCCTTCTTCTTCCAGTGATCCTGTCCAGGCCATACGGTGCAATCCTTGTTGCTTCTGCTAGGGCACGAAGGCGACTTGGAGTTCAAGTTCTCGCAGGACGTCGGCATCATCGCCTCGATATCGTTATCGAATGGGTCGAGACGGGTGGCCGACGAAGGCGACGATACCGTCGAGGTTCGCTGTAACTCTATGCTTGGTGCCGTGGAGCCCTTCTCGTTGGAGGTCGTCGTGGGTGTTAGGAAGTTCGAAGGCAGGTCAATGGTGTTGACCTTCAAGGCCTTCTCGTCAACAGGAACGGAGGACATTGTTGATTGTTATTAATGACGATAAGGTGAATGGGATGGGTTGGCCGGGGTGTAAGATATACGCGTCGTCGAATGTGTCTGGAAAGGGAGACAAGGCACAAAGTGTTGGTAAGTCAAGTACTGATTGTTGATATTGTAGTCCAACAGGTCGTGTATCACTGCAGAAGGTCTGGAAGGAGTCAGTATGGGTTGACTTGTTGGTGAAACAAAATTGATGGCAAGCCTTGCAAAAACAGAAGGAGGACACTTACGACAACAAGCACTGGGTCGACGCCGTACCGCCTGATCGATCCAATGATGATCCAATTCGGGAAACGATGAATGTCCTGGCCCAAGTTCGTGCACCTGCCCTGACGGTCACAATGGACCAAGCGACCAAAGGGAGGGGAGTGAAGGTTGATTGGCACTTTCACAGCATCGGCGCCGGCAGTGGGAAGGATCGGCTAAGAACAAAGCTCCTGATGAATGGACTGATCCCAAGGATAAAGAAATGAAACGTAGGGCTGTGCCAAAGAGCGACGCAGGTCGGTGATATGATTAATGGCAGCACAAGTATGAAAGAACGAACGAGGTGGAGTGCTTGCTAGTAATCGTTCCAATGCAAATGCAGCTGCAAGGAACAGCGCCAAGCTGCGAGAGGAGAGGGAAGGGCGACGAAACGCCCAGGTCTGGATCTGGGACCAGCAAGCTAGATGCGCCTGCCAGGTGATGGCTCCAGGACCCCAGCCCCAAAGCTACCTTTCGCAGCTTGCTACTTGCTGTGGAGGTACTGACCAACTGCAGATGGCATGGATTCATGGGCTGATGGTGTGTAGGATGTCAAATCAACGGATGGCAGACAGACTGGGCAGTACAGAGAGGGAAAGTTGGCCCACTAAAGGGGATGCTAAGGCCGGCGTTGGGGTAGGCGCCTAAACTCAATCGGTCCATCTTGGACAGCAGAAGCTGGCTCGGCGCTGGAAAACTGAGCAGGAAACCCCAGAGACAAAGCAACGCGATCGTCAGTAACCGGTGGATGCAATTTTGTCGCCCATTACGAGCTGCATATTGAAATATCACGCCAAAACTCTGATCAGGAATTGTTCGTGATATGATATTCATCAATCGTCAAGCTGATATCAGGCTTGCTCATCATCATCGACATTTTCATGGTCTCATGCAGCCATATGTCATTGTTGATGCAACCGACCTGTTTATTGCCTGTCATTTTCAGGCTCGATGGCGACGTCGGAAATTCCCCCCAAGAAGACCATCTCGCATTGTCGCACTACGATGGTAGGTATCAGAAAAGCTAAAGTGCTTGATTGACAATGCGTTGGACAATTGGGCGTCACGCATTAATAGATTCCACCCAGTAGAATGGGTCACACCTACATTATGGGCATTCATAGCCATACCTTGCTCCTCCGCAGTCTGGGATGTTAGGTTTATTACCTGTAGCATCTTGAGGCCATGCGCGTCGTTGTGGACTAGACCAACTGTAGACTTCGCGGCCGTTCGTACCTTCATCAACTCGTTGTAACCGTTTGCTGGCCGGACCCAGGTAGGCTCCTTGGCAGTGGCCACATAGTCCTATTGTCTTTGCCTTGTTGAACGTCGGCTACTACTATCGCATTGTAGTTGAGGGTCGAGTTGATATTTGGGAAGTGAATAAGGCGCGAGATCCCTGCAAAAAGGGATGGATATATGCCCCCAGGGAGCATCGCTGGTGGATACCGCTCTTTTTTTTTCCTACTTTCTTTTACTTTTTTCTTTAATGAGTCGAGCCTGCATGGCAACTCTGGATAAGAACACCCGAGATTGCTGCCATTTTGGGTTTGTTTCGCACAATTTGGTGCTCATAGAGCTTCGTTCAATTCATAAGAAGACGTCGAAATTGACTTGCAGGCTTGACTCTGGCCCCCTCAAAATACAACGATGCAGGTTGATAGTGATCGCATTCCTATGATGAGACATGCCAGGTCAGTCGGTTACAATTTCAACCACTAAGATCGCCATCAAATGGGGAATTCCAGTACCTACCCCAGGAAGTTAGTCAATGCAGGCAGGGCCCCTTGGATCTGAAAGGATAGGCCCGCGAGATAAGAGCAAGCGTTGCAGGAGCGCATAAATTGGCAAGCTGCCGCTCGGCCGTCCGCGACACTTCAAATAATCGAAAGAGCCATCAAGATGGATTCTCATCCGTGAGTTACGACGATGCGATTATTGCGTTGATCAATGTCAAGAACACTGGACAGCGTGCTCTCACACAGCCATCTACCTCGTACGGCACGAGGTTTGGAGTTCTGGAGCTTCAGGAGAGGTCTCTGCTAAATGCCAATCTCTCAACATTGAGGTTGTTCCACCAACACGCGTATTGCCCCACTGGATCTCTCCAGCTCTGCCATTCTCCTGCCGGGATCGTGGCAAGTTGTAACTAAGAATAAGCTGTTGTGGCTCAACCTAGAACTAGGGGGTGCATGTGTGGCTTCTGGGGGCTCGACTTTCGGAAACGAACCTGATAACTCTTGTTTCACAACCAACAACCAACGTCTCCATCACCGAGAGTCTAGACCTCAAACGCTCTGTCACCCGAGATTTTGGTGGCTATCGTCACGTTTCCCTACCGGCCGACTAAAGCGCATCTTACTTCAGTCAAGCCTTAAGATACCAGCATGACTAGTCTTCACACTACGCTCGACCGACCATGACACATATACTGAACGTGTCCAAACCTCATTGCTTTAAAACCAAGACTGGCCAGCAGCACACCCACGACACATGTACGTCATTGCAGCCGAGAAGCCGTGATGGCGGCAGCACAAGCAAATCCTAAAAGTTGGACACTCAACACAACCCCACAAATTCGCGCACTCGGGATATCCCGCTGCATACCCTTCTTGGCCTCCAGCTCTACCTATTTTGCTACGTTGGAGGGAAGCCAATACGATATATTAACCTACTCCGGAGACTAGTTTGCCAATAATTGTGTACCCCGCGGGTGTGGGTGGCACCGCACGAAGAAGGCGTGGTTGTGCTGGCCGACGCTACTGGCCAGCTTGCTTGAAACTACTCGCGCTGGTCGATCGGTTAGAAGCGCGGTGGACTAAACGACTGGTCAATTGTTGGGAGTACGTAAGGGCTTAGACCGACCCATGCTCGCTGCTTTTAGAGAACGACTCATTCGTACGTAGGTGAGACTAGATCTGCTTTCATCTACAGGCACACCGGACTCTCCCGTTGACGAATCTCGCAAATTTCCCTATGCTGATTCCAAGATGCATGCGATTGGTCGAGCCGCCCTACGCTTGGCGACAATATGTCGACAGCTATGCTTCCTGTCATGCTCTCGCCCCGTTCCAAACTTAGATATTAGGTTCTGGCAACATTGTTTCTACTGTATTGCTCTGCTCGGCATCCGGTTGAAATCCTGGTGTGCTCCTTAAACCTTGTAAAATACCACCTTAACTGAGCAGATACCATTGACTACTTATAGCTGCTTGAAGAAGGTACCTGGCTTCATTTATCGAATCATAGAAGTCGATTCGTCCAGCTTGCTGTGGCATTGTGCCTTTCGAAAGAGGAACACCATCAACAAACAACGAAACGCCATGTTGATTTCCTATTCATATATGCTGGAGGACAGTGGTACTTCAACTTTACGAAGCCAGAGAGGATTGGCATCATCGTGCATGTTGGTTGGGTTGGCAATCAAGCAGCCTCGTTTTCAGTGCCTATTGGCGGTTGCTGTCTCTTGAAAAGGCGTTGGCAATCACTCAATTGCTCAGGTCTTTGCTCGACAGTAAGGGACTATCTAACACGGTCAAATCATCCATCTTCCATCTCTGAGATCGATTGTCAACTATTAAAGCCGCACATCCTCCAAAGTCCTTCGTACTGGAATGAGCCTGAGTAGTCTAAAATCCTTGGGTCATCCGTTCCATGAGTCACGAATCACAATCGAAGGTACCTAACTTATCAAAGGTACCTGGCTTGTTTGACTTTGTATAATTAAATGCCAAAAATAAATTGCAAACCCCCAGACTCCTTCCCTTGTCTCTCGTATATCGCCCCTCATGTATAGCCAGTTATCTCTCTATCCCTCTTCTGCGCCCCTCGCCCTCTATGAAGAGCGCACATAAGTCATGAATCATATCCGCCAAAGTATAAACTAATGAGCCCCTAAACCTCCCAGTTTGCGGTCCCAAATCCTTTGAATCCCCATTGAAACTCCCTCCGTATTATTTAATCCAGCGCTCGCAGAAGCATGAACTGTGCTGCCACGAAGGACTGCACATTGAGAGCCATGACGCTCACGAGGAGCGAGGGCTCGCCGGTAATGAAACGGCTTGCGGGCTGCTGGTATTAGAGTTGCCGGCACCAGAGTCGGAGCCAACAACTTGACCCGCAACACCGGGAGCGCCATTGCCCCCAGCAACACAGCCAACACAGCCCCACTCCCCGCAGCACCCTCACCCATGTCCGGCGCCGGGGCAGGTGAAGGCGTGATATCATCCGTAACGCCATGGCCCTCCATCGTAACTGTCGCCGGGGCCGGTGATCTCCATCTCCTTGGTAGCGCAGAGGTCGCAAGTGACGGTGTTGACGACGAAACCGACGGGGATGGGGGCAGGTTTCGTAGATGGTGTAGGAGGCCAGCCACTGGCTGGTCTGGCATGCGGCGGGCAGGGTCTTCATGTAGACGTTGGTGAAGACCGTTTTGGTTGCCGGGGCTCGGGTCGGTATGCAGGAGACGAAGGGGGAAATGGAGGTTCCGATGATGAGACAACTTGATGTGATTTTTGATGATCTTGATCTTATCTTGTGTATGTGACTGTTTGTGTGCGGTGATGTTGAGTAGATCGATAGGCTTTTCTATTGTGTTCCGATATAGTCTATTGACATGCTTGCGTGTGCTCTTCGAAAACGAACATGTTCGATATTCAAACGAGGATTGTAGCTAGAGATGGCGACTGTCTGTTGGTTAAAAGGTGTATTGGATGCTAGAGGTGATGAGCCAAGATTCGAATGCAGAGAGAGATGTCAAGCTATCTTATAACAAAGACAGCCATGTTCATCATGAACGTGTCGTCGCCCGGATGATGATGTTTCACCAGAGCCTCACAACAAAAGAGTCTCTATGACGGTCGCGAGAGAATGGTGCGGAGCCGATGGGGTGATCAACTTGGAATAACGAGGCATTCCAATTGCCATGAGTACATGAGCAAATGTGCTGCTATGCAAGTCTATGGTGACGAGATGACGATCTCACATCTGGGCTCAACTCCTGTCGGCCGGTTGCACGTGGAGTGACATTATGTGAAACTTCTCAGGCCTGTTACCGACGCTGACAGGCAACGTTGAGGTCCAGCCGAGCTTGAACCAGGACATCGTAGAACTTGGGGTGCGCATCACGCGACATCAATAACGGTCTTCTTGCCATGGTAGCCAGTCGGCTTAGGTCTGTACAGCTTCAGAACACAGTTTGCACTCGAGAAGATAGCCATGCAACAATGAAACGTCACAGGCGTCGTTGCTACAGGTAGGAGCACGGAAACACGCTGATAGCTGCAGAGGAACCCACGAGCACTCAACTAAATTACGACTGGCATTTCTTGGCTTGCCAGCAAAATTTGCAGGGTTTTCACGTCAAATAGGCCTATGAAAAGCATGTATCCCCAAAAATTTCGACATCTCGTTCGCATGGTCCGAAGACGCGTAGAAGACTTCCTAGCAGGGACTTTTTTCTGTCCAGTATTTCTCACGAGGAGAAAGGCAACTCAGCGCTGTGGGTAAACTGCGTGAGTCGTGGCGACTGGAACTGCTTTTTGATTGAAGTCTACTTTGCCCCCCAAAAGAATCAGCAAAAATTTGGAGCAGTACTTATAGGCCTGAGAAAAGATTTGCTGATTGCGCTATTCCTGATTCGGCATTCTGCCAGCAGCTTTTTGCAGGCGGTACATAGTAATTCCGAATATCGCTATGCGCCAAACTGTAACTTCGGTAGTCCCGTGCAGATCCGAAGCCAAAGTGCATGCAGCGGACACCTATCCGTACCTAGGCAAAAGCAGGTACATCATGTCGTCCGCTGTTCCAACCAGCCCCGTAGGAATGCCGGTGTGTTTTTCGAGTGGATGGTGCTTCTGAGCCAGAGAGAAGCAAACCACATGGCCTAACATGGGTTGCGAAGGGCAGCACCAGCACACAGTAGGGCCTAAATGAGTCCTTCAGCCACTATGGCATCTCATATATTGCACCAAACGGCTGTCGAACTTTGTGATTAGAGCGAGAGAAGCCCATGCTTCCACGCTTCTGTGGAACGGGAGGAAATTCGAATTCGGCCAATGAAAGTATAATTTATAAATTTATATTTGAAGTCGCTCGCCAACCATATCTACGTAAAGTTTCAATATCCCAAACTGCCAAACCGCCAACGCCAACGCCAAAGGGTATACACCTCCAATACAGCAAACCACCAACCGGGACCATTTTCCACACACGCACGAGAAATCCTCAACCCGGGCCGATCTTCGGCATGTCATGATGTTCGCTGAGGCGGCTAAGGTATGTATTCAGCTCCTCCACTCTCTCCTTATGCGTCTTGAGTAGCTCGGGCCTTGCGGTGGCAGATTCGGATAGCTTCAACAACTATAAGCAACCGAATCTGTCAGCATTCTTTCACACAGAGAAATGCTTCCGGGGGTGAGATGCTAGCGCAACCGCTTGAATCCCACATACCTTCTTCCGTTTCGCCTCTTCGTGCCGTCGTTCAGCCTCTGTCTTGTAATCCATCGGCTCCTCATCATCATCTTGCTCCTGCCCTTGCCCCTGATCGCCTTCAGTGGACTTTGCACGCGCCTTCCCTTCCCTCTGCTTCGGCTCAAACTCCTTGCCTTCTTCAGAAGTGGAAAGAGCGCGTTCCAAGTCGGGCTTGTTCTTCTTCTTTTTCTTGGGCTTGCCTACTTTGGCGCCTTTGAGCTTGAGTGCACCGCCACTGCTGAATGTGGAATAGTCGTCTGAAGGCATATTGAGCAACGTTCTCAAAGTCTGGGGATCGTGGTGTTTGGGTGTAGAAGTTCTGGGTCAACAAAGGGATCGGAGCCTTTGACAGTACGGAGGTTTGAGAGAGCTCAGGGGCCGGGGAGCTTGATGCCCCGCCGGCGGGGAACATCCTTTTAGCGGGCAAAGTCACCCGGTAACGACCCCTGAATCTGCACTTGCCCTCCCAGGTATCTTGAGCCAGGACAACTGAGAAGTTGCTGCCAAATTTGTATGCAGCGCTTGCGTGCTTGTATTTCTATTGGCGTCTTTCAATGCAACCAGGTGTTTGGTACTTGTAATTTAGGAAGGTATAAGCCCTGGCTGCTTCTCAATAAAGGTCTCGCACTTAAGCACCCCTACAGAAATTCCCACCCTAAGTCTCACACCAAAAGCTCTGGTGAATTATATTCTCAAACTGGACTGAAAGAACGACAAATACGGGTTGCCGAGCCACCACAGTTCTCACGTCGCATCTTACAAGCCAATTCTTGGTACACTAACAAGGTGTGGCCAATCAACTTCATCGAGACTTGGGACTTCAATCTTGGTTCGTTTCGTGGTAGAAACGCCGTTGATGCGGAAATGTAGAGGTTAAAGCACATATACATGGGGAAGGATGGTGAGACTGACTGGTAGGCCGGCCTGGGGCATTATCTAAGCTACCCATGATGTGGGTGCTTTACCTTATCTATTTCTACAGGGTAAGGTCTCCCAACCGGCTTGTATCAGCCGTCTCCCAACACTCTCTGGTGACTAGCCATATTGGCTTCTCGCCAATCTCACAACATGCAACAGATCCCCACTATACGTAGACAACAACTCGAGCACGAGAAGCCGATATTAAATGACTATTGGGGACCACCCACTAGTGAAAGTTTAGTTAACTTGGTTAGAGTATGGGAGTAGAGTCTGAGAAAGTCTAGGTTCGTTCATGTCTTCCACCCTGCCTGAAATGAGATTGTGGACTTTCTCATATCGTCGCTAGTGGGTTGTGCCTGCCACTATCCCAGATATCGCCCCAATTTGGTCCTTGTGGCCAGAAAAGTTCTTGCGAGTATAGCTGCTTGTTGCTTCTCAAATGGGAACTATTGGTCGGAAGATCCGTCGTCCCTTCCAGAAGTATGGCATCATACCAGACGGTTATTCCGTGTGGAAGGGCTCTGAGGCAAAAGCACCTGACAGCAAATAATCGTTTCTACTGGTAGGCCATAGCTCACTGAGCACCCAGCGGCGAAACGGGGCCATATTTACAACGGGTTATTATGATGTAATGGCTTACTGCCTTGGTGGTATTACGTGTTGGGTTGGGCTGATCTTGAATCTGGCTCCGTGAAATTTCTAAGTGAGTTGTGAACAGCAAACATGATCAAACCTCCGCGATAATTAGCCTGATTGAAGTGGTGTGGTATTCGATGGCCGGTACCCCAAAGCTGGGCTTCCCTATAGCATCCCTCTCTTGAAAGCCCCTTGTCTAAACTAAGCTGGATGACCGACCATACTGATCAGAACAAGTGCACGTACCTTCTTCTCGCTAATTATGGCCTGCTCATTACAAATATTGAGAGGATCTAATATACATACGTGGAGCCGCTATCCTTGAAATGTGGCAAACATGGAAGCAAGTCACGATTATTGGAGAACCAGTACCGGTATGATTCACAGAACTAATGATATACCTGGTACGGGGGTGATGATTGGATTAGTTTAGAGACTGGCAGTCTTCTATTAAATAAAATTTCAAATCAAATCCAAAATTAATCACTTGTTGAGAACAATTCCCGGGCGATACCCAAACATACGCATGGTAGATAGAGCCCATTTCAGATTGTTCTAAATTACATTTTGAACCACAAGGCCGATTATGCCTGGCCCATCACTTGTGTTTGTGGACATAATTAATGCTTGCCAATGTACACAAGACTCTTTGATAACACTTCCGAACTGGCATTATTTAAGCCAAGCCCCTTTGTCTATGCCATGCCAATGTGTCGTAAGGAACGTAGATGCCGCTATATGTTCCATATATGCAATACCGGCCCCAATGCAATGCCTACCAAACGCCAAAATGAACCCCAAGAGTTGAATGATGTATTGGGAATGGAAACCCCAGATGGCGAGATGCCAAACGCAAACAGCAGCCCACTAACAATTATATTAACAGCGCCCCGCCAATCACGGCTCCAATTATGACTTCGAGGGCGTGCCCTTGGAAGTTTGGTGTGGCGACGTTGCCTGTTTGCAGTGCCCCAGGATTGGATGTAGTTGATGTCCCTGTTGCTGATGCCTCAGCGCCGGTGACAACTGCGACTGAAGTAATGGTAGTTACGCCGCCTCCCGATAAAGTCGATGTGTAAGTGGAAGTCCCTGTCCTGATAGTGGGAGGGCTGGTTGTATCCTTCAAAGTCTCGGTCTCCAGCGTCGTGCCTAATGTTGAGTTAGCAAAAGTCGAAGCAGCCAAGGGAGTGTAAATGATTGTCTTTGTGATAGATGACGACGGCACACCAATCAAACACCAATCAAGCACGAACCACAGTGACGACTGGATATCGAATGTGTAGCTTTGACGTACCCGTAGGAGATGTTGGGGCAGAAGTTGCATCAGACGTTGTATCTGAAGTAGGGACAGACGTAGGGGTAGATGTAGGAGTAGACGTGAAAGAGACAGCAGAAGTGGCAGGACTGGTCAGATCCGTTGTAGAGATCTCGACAGACGTTGTAGTCGCCGGAGTGGGAGTAGTAGTAGTAGTAGTAGAAGTAGTTACTACGGTAGACGTACCAGGAGTTGTCTCTGCTGTGGTTTTGGGCGTCGTTGCTTGGGTCTCTATTCGAGTCTCGGTGACTGCAACCTGCGTCGACGTCTGTATGACAGTTGTTTGTCCACCGGCGTCAGTCGTCGTGATTATTGTGACCGCCGTTGTCTGGACCACTGTTTCCGTTGCTATTGTGGGGGATTGTACCGTCGTTGTCGGGGGTATTGCCGTCGTTGTTGGTTGCACCGTGGTGATTGTCGATGGCTTTGGGGTCGTGATTGTGGTTGAGACAACAGTCGTTGCGTCTATTGTCGTAACAACACTGGTCGAAGAGTCGCCCGAATCCGTCTGATTTTGAGTCTGACGCTTTGCCAGTTCAACAAGAGATTCTGCAAGTGCCGCATCGTTGGATCGGACGGCTTCGATGGCATCCTCATCAGACGCATAGACGCCGTGTTTGAAAGTCCCCGGGAAATAGGCATGTAGGATCCTGTGGAGGGCATCAGGTGACGCAGACTCCAGTAGTTGGGAGAGACCCGAAACTTGCTGGCCATCTACCATCGCGTTTTCCTCGCCCGAGCCGGTTGTGTCATGGCATGGTTGTCGATTCAGGGAGACGGCAGTGGCCACCCCGAGCGCCGCCGTGAAGACAACTAGCAGACCAAACAGAAGTTTCCGAGCCGAAGACATCTTTTTCCCCGAGCGGTGATGAGGTCTATGAGGCAAGGTGTCGTCGGTAACGCCGTCTATTCCACACAGCTGCCCAGCCTTCTCAGCCAAAGATTCTGGTGATTCTCGCGATGCCATGATGACCAAAATCCAGTTTGAGGGGGAAATGGTTGTGAAATAAGGATTTCGTTTCAGACGGAGGGTTGTCTGGTCTGGACTAAGGCCGAACTAGTGCAAAAGATGCTGTGGAAGCGGGATGTGCCAACTTAGGTCAGCGTCGTTGCATGATGACTAGACGTTCCGAAGGCTGTGCGTTGTACACCCAAAGGGCCTTAAGAAAGAGCCGTACTTAGTTATTCCCTTCCGTTGCTTCCCAGGTTGATGGTAGAAACTAGACCACGAAACGGCGATTGAGTTAAATGGCTCGCAGTTTTGAGACAATCGGCAGAGCGGGTGGGAAAGGCTTATTGTTCTCTTCTGCTGGTCAGTATTATGGAGTATCTGTGTGCTATGTGCTATGTGCTGTGTGCCGGACAGTACGAGAAACCGGATGACGGGCTTGCGGCGGTGGCGAGGAGATAGATAGGGTAAGTGACAACTGCACTGGTGGACGGGGTTTGGGTTGTCTGGTAATGGTGCAGCTTAAGTACAACACTCGCAAAACCAAGATGCCAAGTGCGAATAAGCGCAAGTTGAGCTGCTTCATGATCCCTGTCGTCCGGGCAGAGCTGGGAGGCTGGGTCGATAGCTTCCCAGCTAGTGATCTACGTCAGGACCAAAGCGGGTTAGGCTCCTGGGTCCCAGACAAGGGTCCTGCAATTGTTCTGGTGTTTCCGACGCCGGGAAGTCGCTGCCGCTCACCTTCTCTGGTTCGTCATAGGACAGGACGGCACTTGAAATGGGAATTGGCAACTGCATTCGTACGACCTGGTTTTCCATTGGTAAATCTTGGGCTGAATGTTTTGGCATGCCAAGATGCCTCTTCACATGTTCCTGCCTCCTGCCAAAACAGCAAATTTGACAAACATGCGTTCGCGCATTGCGGTGACTCGGTTGGATCTGCTGTCTGTCAATGAATATCACCCCCTTTGAAGTGGAGTCATCAGGTAGAAGTTTGGATGACACCTCTGTTTGGCCCACTATACCGAATGCTGACGTCGGGGCGACGTGGGAATACGAGATGTTTCTGTTGGAAAAAGACATAGAACGTCTTCAAGCCCCGCAGGAAGGATTTCGCAAGTGGTGGGCGAACAGAGAGAGTCTATCTACCGTTCTGAATGGGTGCATTTTCGTATCTGCTGGCGCGTCTTCTGACTCCTCGTCGGCAGTTTGTCGTACTGCGAGAAATCGTGCGTATACACTACAGGCCAGGTGGCTCAGCGCCACCGCCGACAGTGCTCACATGCAGTGGTAGTACGACGCAGCCAGACAACCAGGTATTTTGATGGCCAGGAGCAGGGTGTTAGGTATCCGTGGGGTGCTTCATCTGCGTCATGGTGTGAGAACCTCATCACGCCTGATGGTATCATGTTGATTGGTCCTTGCGTGTGCCAAAATCGTGAGCTTTGGAGCAACAAGTCCGTCCCCGTCCGTCCCAATCGTATCATTGGAATACGGGGTAGGTATGTGAAGCAATGGAATGAACACAAGCTCCGCGATATCTGCCATCTGGGGGAACCTCCAATCCGGCCACATCCCGATGGTCGCCAAAAGGTGACAGCATTGGAGCCGCGATTGGGCTGACCTTCGCGAGGGTCTATTTTTAGCAAGGTCCATTAGCGTTTAGCAGGGACCAGCAGCTTACATCGTAGATGCCGCCCTGAGTCGCTTGCTCAAACTTGTCTGCTCAGCCACCATTCCGTTCATTCATCGTGTTCTTGGTGAAAGGCGACTGGTTGCTGGATGACAGAACAACCGGCGCACCCAGGTGTAGTCATCCAGTTATACCCGGTCTGCTACAATGGGATATTGCTGGAGCAATGAGCTATCCATATTACTACATCCTGGTGCGCCGTTTATTGCATCACCTCCTTGGAAGGGGTATTGGGCCTAGCAATTGAATTTAACATAAGCCTAGTATTATAATTAAAGACTTGGACCCCGGACAATTTCGTTTCCTTCGACTTCAGCCCTATGTGACTTGGGACAGCTCAAAACTGAGTTGAGCAATCCAACCTCATAGCTTGGCTGCTAAAGTAGGAGCGCACCATTTACGGTGTCTATCTTTGTTGCATGGCAGTTAAGATACTAAACATCCAAGTTGCTGGGTGTACGCAAACATGATGAGGCAGACAGCTTTGACTCAAGCTTATGGAAGACATTCGCATATATGTGGACCGTTTACAGTGGAAAGATTCCAAGCTGCCAAGAGCATCCATAGCAGTGAACTTGTTCCGATGGACAATTGATTGATCAACCCGTCGCGGCTCAACGGCAACGATTATGCGTCAGCCACATGAGGTGGGGGCCCATGCTGACGACCAATACGCAGCCAGCTGCAAGGGCACTGCTTCGAACTTTACGGAATCATTGCCATGTGAATTAAAGCTGCGCAAACGCGTCAACGGAACGGACATCCATCCTACTATTACGATGCTACGAGAAACACCATAAAAAGAACCTCGCGATAATCGATGCGACCCAGCAATAGTTTTGGACCGACCAATTGACCGTCTTACGATCACTCGTCTCCATTCCAAGGTGATCTTCGGCCAGCAGGTCCCGACATGCCTGAGCACCGCAACCCTTCCAGCGCACATGTAGATGCCCCCACCGAATCACCGGACAGTCATGACCATGAATGTCTGAGATTGCTCTCCAGATCTCCCCATCCGTACCAACACCGCAATCTAGACCGGTTCTCTCTGGATGGCAATTATCCCCGATCTGCGACTTCCTTCCCCGCCGTCTCAAGGGAACCCACACCAACGAGCGACAGCGGCACCGAGGCCGATGATGAACACTTTCTCAAGGGCCTGCCAGCTCCCAGAACGAGAGCGCATAAGGGTTTGCGTGGGCGCAATGAGTTACTCTCCGGAACATCGACTCCGCTTCCATCGCCAGCGCTGTTGGAAGAAGACCCAAGGAGGCTCTCGTACACACCGTCCTCCCTGAGGAAGGATTCTACACCAGGAAAGGACGCGCGAGTTCTGCTCGATTCATCATGGCGGACAAAACGGACCAAAGAGGTTGTCAGGCGGCTCACCGAAGTTGTAATTCTCGGGTCTCTGGGCGCAGTAGTTCAAGCAAACGAGCATGTCCGGCCCGTTCTGTCCAAGTGGCGCATAGGTAGGCACTCTGTCGGGACTCATGGTCACACTTTGTTAACCCAAGTGTAGAGCTATACGTTAGTTTGGGCTCTATGGCCTCATTGGTGCTGCTATACCCGTTGAGATTGGTGGTTTGGGGCTACCAACGTCGGTCATCTTCTCGAAAGCTACCACTTTCGGTTCCATCTGCGTTCGACCCGGCACCACTCCTATACCCACCAGCCATCACCCTCCTCGTGGCTTCGCTCATATCCGTTGATAATGAAGCCATCCTTCTCCCCAACATCGTCCTTGTCCTCTGTTCTCTCCCATCGTCTTTATTCCCGGCTCCCTTCAACAATGAGGTTTGCAATCCAGTGCACTGGGCCATATCTTGTGTGCCACTCTTCTTGTCGGGACCTGCTGGTCTCATGCAAAAGGCATCGAGCAGCAATAATGCGAATTCTCAACAGGCAGTTGTTACGCCAGAAACTGCTATTCTCTTCTACCCACTACATCGTTACTTCTGTCAGACTTTACACACACTCACAACGACAAGTCTTCTGCCGGCAGAGCTACAGCTACTTTCAGTGACACTAATCAACGTTCTGTTATTGTCTTCATCCCCGCAGGCAACGATCCTGAAGGCCATGCTATGGGTGGGCGGGCTTCAAATTCTCGTCCTTTGCAGTCAAGTCGTCAAATGGGGCATCGCGTTGGCGCGTGTACCAAAATGGCGCTTCAGGCGTGCCGCAAGCCAGTCAAAACGCAACTCATCATTCCTCTACACTGTCATGTCCTGGAGAAGAGTCCGTCACGATTTGTTCCATGCACCCATGGACACCTCATCCTGCAGCTCATGCGAGGCCTTCGATGATCCAGAGGATAGCGATGATATAAGATCAGCGCCGCCCAAAGGCCATCGACTTTATAAGTCTGGGACTTTTGATGGGGCAGATTCTACTGGTTTCGAAGGCAGCCAGATGCCCGGCCTAGACGTTGCGGCTCAGGAGGCACGAGTCAGCCTTGCGGAAGCAAAGACAGTATTTGGACATTTCAGGAGGCATACGCTCCCTGCCATTGAGAATATACCCAAGAAATCGCACACCCACACACCCTCGGGCCGAAAGAAGAGATCAGCCTCCTCTTCTGTTCGGGCGTTTTTCTCCATGACCTATGAGCAGGCCACCACGAGGAAGTGGGTCTATGCTTTCTACATCTACGCCTGCATATTTGCCGCTGTCTTCCTACCTCATAAATTGGCTGGCGTGAAGGAGTTTGTGCAATACAATGCGCTGCACGGCTACGAACCCGTGGGATGGGCACTGGGATACCTCTTTGGAGACCTCCCTTGGTTCCGCATGGAGGTACTGAGCAGGAACCTAGAAAGATGGATCTGTCTGCCATCACGTCTGGATGAGGATCACGTCGAAGCGTTGCAACTGGGTTGGGTTCAGTATCTTCGACAGGTCAGGTTCGGAGAGGCCAATACGCGCCTTGTTTTGAGCGCATATTTCCTCTTTGTGATCGCATGTGGACTCTTGGTGGTGTTCCGACTGTCGCCCATCTACGAAGTGGATACCCGTCGGAAAGTTTTCCACTTCATGATGGTGGCCATGTTCCTCCCGTCCATATACATCGATCCAACGTTTGTGGGCTTGGCACTGTCCATCGTCCTCGCCCTGTTCCTGCTGCTCGATCTGCTGCGAGCGAGTCAACTTCCACCCCTGTCAAAGCCTTTGGCATACTTCCTGGCGCCGTACGTTGACGGTCGGGATCTCCGCGGTCCAGTCGTCGTCTCGCATATATTCCTCCTCATCGGGTGCGCAATCCCCTTGTGGCTATCCCTCGCGTCCCTTCCGCGAACCGGCACGGGCTTCCTCGAGGGCTGGGAAGTGCCTACACGAGAAGTAAGCATGGTATCGGGCGTCGTTTGTGTCGGACTCGGCGACGCGGCAGCGTCCCTCATCGGCAGGAGGTACGGACACAGGAAGTGGCTCTGGGGCGGAGGCAAGAGCTTAGAAGGCAGCGTGGCGTTTGCGCTCGCGGTGTTCGCGGGACTGGTGGCGGCTCAGCTGTGGTTAAGGATCGGAGGATGGTCGTCTCCGGGGGCGGGTCCCGACCCTTGGGGCGTCACGTTTCGGAAAACGGGCGTCTGTGCAAGCATGGCCAGCCTTACTGAGGCGGTCCTTACGGGAGGTAACGACAATGTGATAGTCCCGGTGGTCCTTTGGACTTGTGTCAAAAGTCTCGGCGTTTAAGGCAAGTGGCAGAGACAGGACAGGGCAAAGGTTGTTTTATTTCATTTCATTTGCGTGACTGGTTGGTCCAGAGGGAAATGACATGGCATGGCTTGACATGAAAGACATCATAGCGATATGGAAATGGCACAATAAAGAAAGGCTTATACCAGGTCTCGAGGGCTGGAGACCAAATAATAGAGACAGAGACGCTGATATGACGGACGGACAGGGCTTTCATGGTGGAATGATATAATTTACGACCACGTCAGACATCTTGTATTTTTTACTTTTTATTTTCTGAACCAATGTGCAATGCGTCTAGTAGCCCGTCCACACCTCTATAGACAATCCAAACCACGTCCAACGAGATGTGATGTACTCAGCGCCTCCTGGTTTGCAAATTGCCGTATGCAACTTCGAAGATACTCACCATGTTCCAACATTCGCTTCTTGTATACGTGTCCTACCCACCAAGGTCGTTCCGTGGCTGGAATTATCGCCAGAATTGCTCGGTCTTACGGGAAAACAAGCTGCGGGCGTAAATATTGCTCGGGGCCTGGCGCAGTTCGCTGGGCGTATACTACTATTGCTAGAGCATACTTGGTCACGTAGATACTGCTCAACAACAGGATTCTTTCAAGAACGTGTAATTTTGGATATAAGTAGGTGAGAGAACGCGATCGTGGCCCAGTGTTACACTGCAACTGTCACGTATATTATACCTTGTTCATCTGTAGTGAGAAGCAGTAGTACTTTATCATGCTGACCTAACCCAACAAGAGAAATATGACGATGAGATGAGTAAGTGGACTTTCACCGTCTCTAGGGTATGCACGTACATATATTAGAAGTTGTAGTCCATATTCCCCTTTCACGATGCGAGGACCTTATGGAGATTTCATGGTCATCACCACGAGAAACCTCCTGTCTAAAATATCGTCTTAGTTTCCACATGGTATATGTGATTCTTGGGATCGATGTTATATCGGAACGAGATGGATTTTGAACAGTCACTTTTAATCCTTTCTTCGTTGGCAGTCGGTTCAGTGATCACTACCGTTCAATCTTCCATGTGCTTCCTCAAACCTGGGCCTCGCCTTACCACATTATTACAGTGTCTGGTACAGTGAGTTCTCCCCCCGCTTCATTTGTCTGAGACAAGTGGAAATAGCCGTCGGCGTTGCACTTTCGAATGAGTCTATCGGCGTGGAAAATTGTGGTGCCTTGTACGGGGTGTGACCAATAAGGTCTGCCTGAAAAATATTGAAAGTATCGGCACCATCCATTCCATTCAGCAATATGGTGGTTTTGTTGTCCTATGATGTGCGTCAAACCCATCCAAGCCATCCAGTAAAGTGCATATCAAGCAGTAATATGCTTTCGTGGTCACCTGTCCGAGGTATAACCCATACTTCGACTGAATTGTTCGCGTCTTTGATGTCGTCACGATCATTTGCCTGGAATTGGACCAAAAGGAGGGTCAAGTCATCGTATATAAAGACTTTAGGGCCTTTATGAGGTTTTCTTGATTGATATAGGAGCATACTTGCGAGCAAAATACACATATCCACGAATCTCCTTTCTACGTCTTCGTGACAATGTACTCATTTGCTGTGCTGCGAATAAAAATATCGGGGTTTTCAGGAGTTGAATTGGCCGCAATATTTTATAAGGCTCTCACGTAATTGAACAGAGCAGGATTTGAACAGTCGAGTTTGGAAATTATTTCTAAGCCTGAGCTCGGAAGAACTTATAGATGTGGGGAGGCGTATGATGACTATACAACTGAGACGTTACCTTAGTTTTTAAGTATGCAACCGAAGTAAGGAGACATTTGGAACCTCACATCGTGCTTCGGCAATCGCACTGTTTTGGGAGAGATATTCTGCCACTGGATCTGCTGTTGGGTGATGTGATGCGCCATTTTATATCGATCACCACCCTTGATGCGGTGCAACGCAAAAGTGCAATTATCACAGCATGATCTTTTTTGGCCCCCAAAGCCTGGTCTTGCTGAGTCTCGGGCTTAATTTCTTTACCTCACTATTTGAAACTGGAATTCCTCACAGCTTGACAGCCAGTGTTCAAGGACAACGAGTTTTAGCAGTCTTATAGCACCAGATATTGGTCCTCATCCTGGACGATGTTGAGATCGGTATTTAGCTTTGGAAAAGGTTCCAGAACCCTCCCCGGCCCCTATGTATCTGCCGGCAGAAATGACCAAATATCACGCGACGAGGCAATATAACTGACTGCACCTTCTGGAACGTAAGTTACGCAACGTGTTCGGAACTTGTATTCCATGCTGACCAGGATTGACAGCACGAGAAGCTCTACGGATTCAATACCACTGGAGTCTCAAGATACAGGAAATGCAAGGCCACTGAGAGCCCACTCCTTCGCTGACAAGCAAGTTCTCTCTTCGTATATCCCTCAGATCAACGATGATGAAAACAAGAGTTGGCGAATCTGGTGGTCTAGGAGAAGCCGCGTGCTGATGCTGCAGATAACACTTGTAGCTGTCATCTTCGCGGCAAACATCGCCTTGACGTCTTACGCGATATCACAGTTTTCGAGCCAAAATGGAGTTGGCCTGATTTACACGGGCGAATGCGACACAGTAAAGAGTCTTGATCAGTGGATCCATCTGCTGATCAACATCCTCAGCACCGGCATGCTTTCGGCTTCGAACTATTGCATGCAGCTGCAGGCAGCTCCCACACGGGACAATATCGACCGGGCACACAGAGATGATCGATGGCTAGACATTGGTGTCTCGAGCTTGCGAAACCTTGCCTACATCAGTAACTGGAGGCGACTTGCCTGGGTCCTTCTGGCCTTCAGCTCCCTTCCCATTCATCTCATGTATAACTCGGCGGTATTCCAATCCTTGGCATCTAACGACTATACGGTGGCGGTGGTGAAAGACTCCTTCATCAATGGCAGTCTCTGGGATCTCAGCGTAGCCGAGCAGAATCGCAGAGATGATGTTGGCTGGGACGAGTCAAGGGTCAACCCGGAATGGGACTACGAGCGTATCATCGCCGGTATGCAGCAGGCGGTGATGAACGGGTCCTATGTGTCCTACAATATCTCCGCCTGTCTCGACTTGTACAACAAGTACTTCGAACCCCAGGGAAACGTCGTCATTCTCGTTAAAAACGAAAGTGTGCAAGTCCCTGCTGGCGGCAGCTTGCTCATGTACGTTGGCATCAATCCGAGATCTGACGATTGGGCCAAAGATATGTGGGCACTAGGCAACGGCACCCGCAGATTCGTTGCAAACCCCCCAGCTCACGTCGTCACCAGTTGGTTTCTGGGACCGCCGCGATACGAGGTATCCCATTGCCTTGTCCAGTCTCCGGGAGACGCCAACAATAGATGCCGGTTCGAGTACTCTCCCCAAATAATGGTTACAATCTGCATCTTGAACGGCATTAAGTGCCTCGTTATGTTTGTGGTCTGGATCCTGAGAAGAGTGCAGAACAAGGACCGCAATCCCACATGCAGTGCCGCAAATGCGGAAGAGCAATATTCGCCGCATGCACTTGCAACGGGCGATGACGTGATCTACACCCTCGGAGATGCCACCTCATCCTTTATGCGGAGGCCGGACCCAACCACGAGGGACATGTGCCTGGCGACGAAGACCCATTTCTTGTGGACTCGCCCGTGCTCAAATCGTTTGAAGCAGATGCCACCGCCTGTGCCGCCCGAGAGCGGACTCCCTTGGAAGCCTGAGAAGAAGCAGTGGATGTCTGCGGCCAGCATCAAGAGATGGGTTATTCTCATTGCCTTGTGAGCACTTGACCCCTTGAGCTGCCCTAGCCTGTGAAGTTGCAATGGGGCACATGCAAGAAACCATTGAACCCAGATACTAAGTTACGCTTCCGCAGGTGTTGCCTCATACTATTCATAACCGGAATCCTCCTCGGTTCGTCATTCGTCTCGTTGAAATATCGCTCCATATCCACCAGCGTTCCCGATCTCTGGAACCTGGGCTTCGGTGCTCTCAGCCCTTTCACATATCTTGTCGTGGGCCTACCCAGAAAGGATCCTGCAGGTCTGATTTCCAACGTGTTACTTGCCAACCTGCCCCAACTGGTCATCTCTATCCTTTACCTCGCCTATAACGCCATGCTCACCACCTTTCTCGTGCAACGAGAGTTCAGTTTGTTGCACCTGGAAAATAAACGCAAACCACTCCGCGTCTCAGAGCCTGTGGGGATCCAGCGGTCTAGCTACTTCATTTCACTGCCTCTGCGCTATGGCGTACCCCTATATGTCACGTCCGGCATTATGCACTGGCTTGTTTCGCAGAGCTTGTTCCTGGCCCGTATTACGGCATTAACTCCCGATGGTGTCCAGGACTACGACAGTTCGTTTTCGACGTGTGGATACAGTCCCATTGCGATAATTATTAGTACGTTTGAATTGCGTGTTCTTGTACCCGCCCCAGACGCTTACGAAGGCACTATAGCAATAATTGTAGGGGCTGTCCTGGTCCTTTTTATCGTCGTCCTCGGCCTCCGCCGGTACGACGGCACGATGAGGATGGTATCCACTAACAGCCGAGCCATTAGTGCAGCGTGTCACACCCTGTGTGAAGACCAGAAAGACGGGTTTCAGCTCCCCGTGCAATGGGGAGTGGTTGAAGTTGGGGAGGATGGCGTTGGGCACTGTACTTTCACAACTGCTCCTTATCGCACTATGGGGAGGTTGGTTCAGGGAGACTTATATAAATAGGATCGACTAGAATCGACGCTAAGTCTTAATGTGGATGTGTTCCCGGAATCAAAGGTTGTAACACTACTGTGCAGGTGCTTTATTGATGTATGATGGTTTGAAAGTGGTAACATAATACAGAAACTGGTAGGCACCATATACCCGAAAGAAATCTTCTTTAATGCTACAACACAGGCGTCGCTTATGGAGAGAACTTACTGTAGTATTATCGTATCTCGATATCATCTGCAGTCATCAGCACAAGGATGTTGAGGCGCCTGTAAGATTGTCACTTATTGGTGGGCATTTCCCGAGACACTCTACACAGCCATAGCAGCTGCATAATTACAATATTCCCACGAGGGGCTTATGCAGCTATGTTAACAAATACCAGATTCTTGGTTCTTCCTTCGGTCCATCATTGCCGCTTTCTTTTGGCCTTCGGTCATTGGTGCGTCACGCAGTAATAGCCGCCGGAGAGATCTAGTCTGACCAGATCAAGAAGGCCTGCGGCCAGGTTCAAATCCGCCGGGAAAGTTGCCGTTTTTGGAGGCTTGAGCTTCTGTACTTCCGTCCAACTTTCTTGAGACCTTCATACTCGTCAATCTCTGACGTCGATAAGAATGATATCTGTCGAATAGCCCATCTGATTGCTCTAGCCAAGACCACGACAAATGCTGCATTTTATCCCCCCGTTCGCAGTTCAAGCTCATTATGTTTGAAAAATGGCGTTGCGCGACGGAACAGAACCTGTTGCCCTCCTAGCCACGGCCGGCACGCTGACCAACATCGTCGCCATCCTGGGTAGATCGATTGTTTCTGTTGCCGAGCTACGGAGCCAGTGGAATGATGCCGACCTAGCCATCCTCTCATTCGAAAGTCAGCTTGCGTCGCTACGAACCGCACTCGTCAAAATCAATGAATGGGTAGATACGCATTATGCCGAAGACCCGCACCATCAGCTGGTGATGGACCTCGACCGATGCGTCGCGTGCTGTCGCTTGCTAATTAGCAAGGTCGACACTGATATCCACCCCTTCCAAATGTTGTCTGGCAAGATGGATAAGAAGCACAAGGCCAAGATGTTGTTGAAGTCGAAAGACTTTAGGGATACACAGCGAATGATTGAGCAACATACGAGCGCATTATCGTTATTGCTCACAGCCTGCCATACGTAAGCAGAAGCCCAATTCCCAGAATCACATGAACCAGATGCAACCAAGCTTGATGCGAATGCGAATGCAATGTTAATACGTCGGTCCAGCACCGCCCTTTCACAACAGCAGGTAATTCTCGGGAAGCCACACGCTCGGAAGGTGTTCGAGAAGATGGAAGACGACGCTGCGTCCCTGTTCGTGCATCTCGACACGGACTCGGTGGCCATGTCAACAGCCCCAACAACTATCCGATCATCGAAGCGGTCATTAAAGTTCGATTTTGATAAAGAACTCTTAGTATCCAAGATATACGAACGATGGATACGGGGTTCTGTGAAGAAGTGTCTCCGGGACGAACAACCGCCCAAGAATCCTGGTGGGGCATTTGAACTCGAGGCCCCGGATCGGGCGTGCCTTGGTGTCGTGTCGCAAACTGGCTCCTACTCTGCTAGCGAGCGCCCCATGCCCGAACTCCAGGGCTCTGTCGCTAGCATCGAGGCCCCGAGCGATTATAATGGCAACACTATATCCGAGCTTGAGAGCCCTTCTGGCGTCCTCAACCCCAGGACCCAGAGCTACAATAGCAGCACTATATCCCAGCACGAGAGTCCTTATGGCACGAATAGTACCACCTCCTCAGCTGTGGATAGTCCTTTTAGCACCGCACTCTTCGGGTCAAGGCAGACGACCAGCGTCAACACCTCTCCATCTTCGCTGGACACACCTGCGACAAGGTGGAGAAGATTCCCCTCGCTCCGAAAGATGCCCACGCGGAATTATACAGCCAGCGACAACTCTTCCATTAGGGCGAGAGCCAAAAAAATGCAGTGTGACTACGAGGCCGTACTGGTCGGATCTGAGTCTAGACTGGAGATTTTCCATGCCATAAGCGCAAAACATATGTCACGGAAATATGCTGAGCAGGAGCTGATCAACGTCGCATCGACGGGTGCTCTTGAAGCGCGCCTGGAGTTGGGTAAGCGTAGCATCCACCTCGTCAACATTGTCGATGAGACAGGCGATTGGCACGAATGGCAACCCCTTTTAGAATCAACGGCGTTCCTCCTCTTCGTCATGGATCTGGATACGTACGATGAGGAAGACAAGATGAAGGAGACGCTTAGTCTGTTTGAAGAGATAGTCAAGTCCAACTTCTTTCTGAAAGCGTCCGTCATCCTGATCCTGAACAATAAAGCGGGTTTCAGGGAGAAGCTGCAATGGAAAGCACTATCTGACTGCTTTCCCGACTATACCGGCGGCAGCGACTACCATAAGGCAGTCGAGTACATCATCTGGAAGTTCAACATGTTGAATAGCGGCCGCTTCATCATGTATCCTTGTGTGACGAAGAGTGACGATCCTTCTGGTCTGGATTCTATGTCCACTGTTATGCAGGAAGCCATCATAAATTATGTTCTGCGGGGTGCTAAACTTTTGGCATGAACATGCCAGCAGTCCAGGACGCTGTCATGTCTAGAAAGGTATGAAGGCATGTCTACAAATTACACTATACAATAAATAAATTGAGTCCAGTGATATTTCCGCCGCTCAGGTTTCTCTGCTTATAAAAGAAGACACAATGAGCATCGTTGTTTTCAAACAAGTTTCCGTACCACCGTTGCCTGAATCAGCCTAATATCTCACGAAAAAGGCTGTCCCAACGAGCGATGGTAATTAGGACGGTACAATAAAGCTCTCCCCAACCAACATGCCACTCCCTTCGACCTATTTACTCCTCCTAAAGCTCGTTTTCTTCAAATCAATCCTCGGCACCGCTGAGCCTTTCGTCCCATCCACGACTTCACCCTGTTGGCCACAACTCGAAGTTCAAACCATCACGCCACCCATATTCACGACATTTGAGGCACAAATTCGGTCAAGCCGTGCCCGTCAGATCTGCAGGTCATCGCGGTAAATTTTATCAATATATAGCATGAGAAAGAGGCTGCAAACTGATGTGGATACATTTCTAGATGAGATACATATCCAATGGGGCATGGATGAACCAATAGTAACTTGGAAGAGAAGATGTCTATCCTTGGGGTGAGATGAGATAGTAGTCATGACGAGCACCATTTCATCACGGATGGAGAAAGCCAAAGAGCTGAGGCAAGATAGTAATCATTGTCCAGAAGGCCATCTTCTGGACGTTCGAATTGATCCCGACATGGAATTGTTAGGACTTTTGCCATCATCTGTTACCACAGAATAATCAAATGGTATCGCATGAGTTCCGATAAAAAAAGGCGTTGTCGAATAGCCTTCTTTGGACGTTACGATCTATACTATCTTTAAATTCGGCTACATCCTCGATCTACCTATGTTATTTAATCATCCCTTATTCCCCGCCAACCACAACGCCCTGAAACGTCCCCCATCCCTCTCTGCCAGCTCCCTAGGCAAGCCGGTCTCCACAATCTCGCCCTTATCCATAATGACCACCGTATCGAAGTCCATGACCATCTCCAGCCGATGACTTACCATCACAATCGTATAGCCCTCGAACTCCGCCCGGATAATGCCCTGCATGGCGCGATCCGTGTCCTGTTCCACGCTCAAACTGACCTCGTCCAACAACAAGATCCCGCCCGCTGCAGCGCCGGGACCCTTCTCCCCGAACTCGGCGGCTCGTTCCCGTGCGCGGATGCGTGCCCGCAGGACCGCACGTGCGAGGCTGAAGAGCTGTTTCTGCCCCGCGGACAGTTTATCGCATGATATGCCGGCCGCAAGCCCGCCGCGGTCTGCGACGAAAGTCCAGAGGTCAACAATTTCGAGAACCGCGCGGCATTCGGCTTCGGTGGAGATCGTGAAGGGGTCGAGGTTGGCTTGAAAGGATGTCCCGTCAGGAAGGAAGACGGGCTCTTGCGGTATGGTGATTATGCGCTGGCGTAGGGTTGGGTGGTCGATTCTGTGGAGCGGAATGGAGCGATGGTTATGTTTTGTGCGGTTGAGGGGAGGGGATCGAGGATTTTGAGAAGGAGGAGGATCGTGGAGGATTTGCCGCTGGTAGGGAGGTTAGTGGTCTGCTCTTTGAGACAGAGAGGGGTGGCTTAGGTACCTTCCGCTACTGCCGCATATGGCAACTTTCTCGTCCGGCGCTATGGATAGGGTCATGTTCTTTATCGCGAGGCATCCGGAGTTTGTGCTGCCACCGTCTCTGCTGTTGGTTGAGTTCCTGGGAGATTCATTGTCGACATCACTAGATCTCGTCAGCATGATATCCACTGCTCGACGGGCGGAAAGCCTCTGCTCTTACTAATAAGATGCCGAAACACCATTAATCTCAATCCTGCCCTTCAGCGGCCATTCACGGGGCGGTATCTCCCTCCAGGTTCTCAGAAACGACCTTGTCGCTGAAAGTCTTCAGCCGGCTCACGGCGCCGATCGACGTCTCGAGCATGGTGTACATCTCCACGAGGAGCGACAGCTGTTCCCCAAACGTCATCAGAGTGATCAAACTGGCGCCAGTAACGCCGTGTTCGACCGCAACTGCGTAGCCAGCGTGACAAACACCGACGCCAGTCCGGCGACGACGAGATGCAGCGTGAAGACCAGCCACCGTTGATCATGGCTAGGAGGTATGCAGGCCTCTGCGAGGTGTCGAGGAAACTATTGTTGAGCGCGATACCATCTTCAGTCCAGCCGAAGGCGCGGAATGTAGCGAGGCCTTTGATCGTGTCGATGAAGTGCGTGCTGTTATTTATTAGCATTTCGAGCAGGGAAAGTCATAAATAGAGGTGGCTTACTAGAGTGGGCTTTTCGCCTCCAGATCCAGCAGCCGGATCTGCCGAGACGTGCGGAGATAGAACTTTTGTATACCGAAAAGAATCGCGGCCAAAAACGGGTACGTGATGACGAGGAACGGAGACGACGTGGCAATGACGCCAGCCAACCCGATGCAGGCGGTGAGAATTATGGAGACATTGAGCAAGGAAATAGGGAGCGCCCCGTCAAGCAGCGTCATGTCCTGCGAGAAGAGGTTTGTTACGACCCCGGTGTCGGTGTTGGTGAAAAACTTGAGCGGCGCGTTGATGACCGTCACCAACGCCTCGTGAATCCTCGCACCGGAGGACTGAATGGTGGCTACCAACAAAACCACACAGACCACAAAGAGGCAGGCGAGCGTCGACACTTGGAGTAGTGCGTAGATGCCTATGTAAAGTGCACTCGAACGCGTGGAGTGGCTGGACGCGACGTCCTCGGACCAAAACTTAAGCCAGATGACGTTTAAGTTGGTGAAGAAACCCCAGCCTATAGAGCAGAACACTATGGTCGCAATGTTCCAAATGTTGACGCGGGCGAAGTAATGGCGGCATACAGTGCCGTCGCCCAACATTCGTCCTTGTTCTTCCTTGGGACTCAACACCGCCGTCGTTGCCGCAAGAACCTAAGGCCGCTGGGGACTGGTTGGGGCGTTGGAGCCAGCGGGTATGATACCATTGTCAAACTTTTCACTGCTGCTTTCCTTAACTCCGAGGTTGTAAACGTATCCAGCTTTTTTGGTCATGAGTCCTTGGAACGTCCCCTGCTCTAGGACCTTACCATTTGAGCTGAGAGCTACGATGTGGCCTGCAGAAGGCAAATGTCCAACAGAGTGAGTGCAAAGCACGGCCGTTGCGTTTCTGCGGCGAAGAAGACCTGTGGGGGGAAAGACTTCGCGGAAACCCTTTTCTTCAGTATCGGCGTCGAGTCCGCTCAGGATATCATCGAACACAAGGAACTTGGAATCGACATATAAAGCCCTTGCGATGCATCCTCGACTCTTCTGACCACCGCTCAGTGTGATACCTTTGCTGCCTACTTTGCTCTGGTCTCCTTGTGGTAAGACGAACAAATCCGGAAGTAGCATAGAGGCCTCGATGACCTCGTTATATCGTGCATCGTCGAATGCGGAGAACTCCACCATGTTTTGTCGGATCGTCATGTTTGTCAGGTATGGCGTTTGGTCACAGTAACCAACCTTCCCGTAAAGCGAACCAAGACCCATGGTCACCTCCCCTTGTGCAACAGGAGCTTCGCCTATGAGGACTTTGCATAGAGTTGACTTGCCAGACGCGACGGGACCAAGTCACCCTGCAGTCTTCAACAAACAGCCGGTCCAAGTGACTCGTCGTTAATGCATCCTGAGAACTCCATTACGATGTGGTCGGAAAAGAAGGATTGAAAATCTCTCTCCCTATTGTAACGGGGTAAGGCCGGACATCAGGGAAATAGGTTACGGGGCTAGGGGAAAGTTTATTTTCTCTTTAAGAGGCACAGAGGCAGAGTAGGACACGAGTCCCTCATCTTCATATCATCATCTCCTTCTTATCTATATCTTCACCTTCGCTTTTCAGTCAGTTATTTAGTTATTTTAGTTATTCAGCTTATCTTTACGTTCGAGATCCTATTATCACGATACTAGTCTCAGAGGTACATCCGGCCAACTCGCGCACCAGACGTGTAAGAGCTTCACTCTTATAACCAGTACCACGATCTTCGTCTGATAAGATTAACAGATGGGATCTGTTGGTACTGGAGCCGTCTGTTCAGTGTGTTAGGTGGTAGGTATATCCTACTGACCGCCTGAGCCCGTTTCACTATCTAACAAGGTTGGGTTGTTCAGCGTTCGGTGGCCTTCACAGTCCCTCTTCGCAGTCCCGTAAACTCAGAAGTGAGACCCTTGACCTAACGCCACTGTGGCTATGTACATGACTTACTAACTGTTGGAAAGTCGACCGAACGGAACTGCCTGTGGCCTAAAATTCGAGAACGCGAGAGGTCCGTCTACCACTGTCAGCTAACGATCCTAGGGTTTGCCCAAACGCCAAACATCTGGGAGAAAGGATGCAAAGAAATGAGTCAACAGAAAGAGACTCAATCACTGTGCCGCACGCCTGCAAGTACGTCCCAATCAGCTTGCGCGCAAGTACGCGTCACAACATTTATCAGTCCTAATAAGGCAGGTCAGAGTTGGATCATTGGATATCTACCGTGTCGGTACCCTGCTTATCAGGTCGCCGAAACGGGTTAGTCAAATGGTCGGCATAAGCATTGACCTCGGTGGTAAGGCTGGGATAAGGTTTTCCCAACCAGGAGACGGGAAGGTACGGTCAAGTACAGGGCTACAAAATCCCGCCTCAAACTAGAAGTAACCATCATAAAACAAAGAAAAGAAAACATCCGTTTTTGGCCTTCATATAAATCTCCAGGTACTGAAACGGGGTCAGGCGGTCAACAGGATATACCTACCACCTAACACACTGAACAGACGGCTCCAGTACTAACAGATCCCATCTGTTGGTCTGATCAGACGAAGATCGTGGTACTGGTTGTAAGAGCGAAGCTCTTACGCGAGTTGGTCGGATGTGCCTCTGATACTCGTATCGTGATAATAGGATCTCGAACGTAAAGATAAGCTGAATAACTAAAATAACTAAATAACTGACTGAAAAGCGAAGGTGAAGATATAGATAAGAAGGAGATGATATGAAGATGAGGATGATGATGCGTGAAGATGGAGTACTCATGTCCTACTCTGCCTCTGTGCCTCTTAAAGAAGAGAAAATAAACTTTCTCCTAGCTGTTACGAACCGTTGGTTCTAACCTGGCCAAAACCAACCCGACAGGCCCTACAATAGGCCATGACGGAACCCCGTAAGAACAAAGCCCCATAAGGACGGAAAGGAACAACTAGGCCCCCGACTAAAGGAAAAGGTCACGTGATAGGGATCACGCTTGGCAGGTGATCCCCTACTTGGGATCACCAGGAGCGACGTGATCCAAGTGATCCAACGAGATCAGTGAAGGAGAGATGGATATTTAAGGGACAGGACTCCCAGGCATTTCATAGATAGACAGTCTCTACTTCAGTGATCAATCTAAGCATCAATCTAACCCATTGGTGAGGCAAACTGCCTTAACGACTTTATTCCCGATTACCCTACTTGAATACTTCAGTTACCCAATGTACTCTACTCCATACGTCAAACCCCGATATTATTGCTTGAGGACTCCGCAGCAGGACTTACTTACTAGCACAAACCCTTACAGACTCTTTAGTGGTTTACGCAGCTAGACTATTAGAGGTTTCGTTACAAAGGCTAGCAATCTCTGGTGTAATATTTTCGAGTCGCATACTACTAATGCGGTCGACGCCTTTCTGATCTCCTTTGTGGCGATGTGCAAATATTCATGCTACATCGACTTGAACGAATCATTCATCTCGGAGAAATCATCAAAGCAAAATAGAGGCGAATGCTGTCTCTATTTTGGGAGGGGGGAACGCTACCCGCATAAACATATGTGGGAAGTAGGGAGATAGGAGAGAACAGATACCTCAGAAAAGTTCCCCCTAATGCCTCCCTAACGTCAACAAAAAATGAATAGCCGCTAATGGATTTGCATCTCCTCTTGTAGCCATGTGTTGCGTGTGATCTTCGTAAGACCATGTACGAATACGACATTCGCTATTGCTTCCCGAACAGCATCGGAGAGAATGGTGATGCCATGGTTTGTGCCCTTTGCGATTGCTGCAAGGCCGACGGTGGGAGGCTGAAAAGGTAATGGCATTTGCATTTGTCCAGCATCAGTTGCAGGAAATCGTGTAGTATGCTTGATTTAAGGTTCAAGCAGTCTGGATCGCAACGTGGGCAGGCTTGGTTATGGGGCCAAATCTGAGCTCTGAATTGGAGGCTGACATATCAGGGATACTGACACACCAGAGGCTTCGTCCTTGGAGATCCAACAATAGCTAATACATTAGAGTGTTCATTCCTGAAGATCTGTGTGATCACGCCATAATGGTTCGGCTCTGAAGGTCATATTCGCAGTCTATTCAACCATGTGTTCCCTTCGTAGAATCATTACAGTAAGCAGTCATTCATTACCTCATTTCTGATACCCTCAAAGGTACTGCTTGATCTGTTCCTCATTCCAATCCCAAAACTTGGATGTGCCTTCTGTTCCACCCTCAGATGCGAGCTTTGTGGCCTGGGGCAGATCTGGTCTAAGCGGGTGGAGTCTTCCCCACGGAATCACTAATCAAGACTCAAATTAGGGCTACATTCAAAGGAATGTTGTAGAGAGATGGTTCGGACGTACCCCAATTCTCAGACCAATTCGCCTTTTCAATCGTGATTTCGGGGGAGAAGGCGGCATACAACTGCGTATATGCCCCATTAACGGCGGGATAGCACATTAACCAGGCCACAAGCTTCAATACGGCGCCCTGATCTCTGGGGAGCTCGGTTTGAAGGTTTCCGGGGTTAATCGGCACGCTAACTATACCGTCGGCTTTGTGGCGTCTAGCGTACTCGACGCCCAGAGCCCAGACGCCGCTCTTGCTGACCCCATAGCGATCGTTAGCGGGCTTCGGGATATGGTAGTCGAGGTTGTCGACGGAGACGCCCACGTTCTCGTGTCCGGAAATCTCAAGCCCGAACGAGGAGAGCCAGACAACACGGACCGTGTCGGCCGGCTCCAACTTTGCAGTCGAGACGAGTAGGGGCGTCAAGAGCTTAGTGAAGAGAAATGTGCCGACGCAGTTCACGCCTATTGAAAGTTCGTAATCCTGTGCCGTCTTCAGCGGGGGTTCCACAGGCGGTACCATGATGCCGGCATTGTTGAAGAGGACATTGAGCTTCTGCTCCTGGGCGAGGAATTGATGCGCCGCGGCCTGGACGCTGAAGAGATTGGCGAGATCGAGAAGAAGGAAGATGAGCTCGCCGGTTGTTGAGCCGGGAGCGGTAGCTTTGATACTCTCGATGGCACGCTTGGCTTTCTCCTCGGACCGTGCAGCAATATAGACTTTAGCGTTTTTCCTGTAGAGGATACGCGCTACTTCCTTCCCGATGCCTGTATTGGAGCCTGTGACGATGTAGACCTTTCCCTTCAGATCTGGGACATCTTTCTCGGTGAAATGTGGGCTTGGCGGGAAGAAATTTGTCCAGAAACTCTTGAATGAGGGGCCGGGTGCCATAGTCGAAGAATGGCTCTGACTAGGCTAACGAGATGAGACAAGAATGAAGACGTAAATGTAATTCAGCGACAAGCTGGAAGTTTACGGGATAACATTCGCGCCCCGCTCTCGAACTCGATGTAAGTTCTATGATCAGGCAATCCAATGCTTGTTTACCACATCATGTGCATACCTCTGCCCATATGTATGGGGTCCTGATGCACTACCCATGACAGGCAACATGCTTGTTCATGGGCCCCGCCTCCTTCAAGCTACCCGTGTTACAAATTGGGCTGGCTGAATCAATCCTGTGGTGAACCAATAAGCAGACTAGCCAAGGATAACCAATCCCGCATGCTACACCTCCTGCAGCACTTGAAATTCTAGTGCAGTACATTGCCCCCGTTTACCGCATATCTTCTCCGTAAATAACCACGTATACAGATCTCTATAGAAAGCTACATATCAAATCAAAACCTGTCAATATAATGGCTATCGTAATAAATTACCTACTATGATCTTTCTAAAATAGGAGTTACTTATGCTTCAACAATTAGTAACATACGTATAAGCACTTTATTGGAAATCTAGTTCTATGTCAAGGTCGATTTCGTGACGTTCCTTTTGTTTGTCAAAGTTCGCGATAGAGAAATTAAATTCTTTTATTTCTTTTTCTATCATAAATGCTTTCTTTTATTTTAGGGAGAAATCCTCTATTATCTGATACTATTAAGTACCTATATATTCTCATTTGTATGCGGAAATACTTCATAGAGCACTAGCTAATGATTTTGTAGGCGGTGGGGCTGTAACTGTACTAACATTTCAAACGCTGAGGTACACCCTGGATGTCGTTATCGTTCTGACCAATCAGAGACCAAGTAGCCCAGTAGGACGAATTGGAGTATTTCCCCCCCGTCGCCCCCAAAAAGAATCCTCGGATACCGTTCGGATCTTACTGCATGCTTAAGTAGTATTTCGAGTTCCGTAGGGCAGGCATTTTCGGATTCGGAGGGTTCGGGTTTCCGCAACAATACGAGAGAGCGCATGGAGTAGCATTCTTATTGACCTGTCACGAAGCATGATCCGGATGTGCCCCAGATCGCATTCCGCTTGTTTACCATTAATATGTTGCAATCAGTTATGGTCTCGCTGTGGCTATCACATGCAGCTACAGTGCATTCTATCCTCTCAATTTGATCGTCACGGAGTGATTGACCATGCTCACTTTGATTCAAAGGCCAGGTCAACTTGGGCACCTCCTAAGTGGTCTGGCAGTGTTATTTTTCGTGCCTGCTTTTGCCAAGGCTGATCATGTTACACCTGCTGCATGTCGATACATACCTGGGGATGATGGCTATCCGACGCAGAGCGAATGGGCACAGCTCAACAATACCGTTGGTGGCCGGTTAATTGCCACGATTCCCCAAGCAAGCGTCTGTCATACAGCGCCTTCTTCTTCAGACTACAATGAAACTGCATGCGAGGCTCTGCAGGCTGGGTGGGATATGGCTCAAACCTTGTACGTAGTCATAATGCATCTATCATGTTTTAGTCTGTACGTAGCGGGTCGTGTTTGCTAACATACAGTATTACAGTGAGGTGAAGCCCGCCGAGATCATCAATGCTTATTACCAGAACCAGTCGTGCGACCCTTTTACTCCAGTTTCCCGGCCATGCGTCCTGGGCAACCTTGTGTCGCACTCCATCAATGTGTCATCGGCTGAGGATGTTATAGCTGGCCTCGAATTCGCCCGGCAGAAGAATGTTCGACTGGCGATCAAGACGACTGGACATGAGTAAGTTGTATTGCAAGGAAAACATATATCCATCCTCTTGAACATAAAATACTGATAGAAATTCATTTAGCTATATGGGAAAATCTACAGGCCTTGGGGGTCTAGCTCTATGGATGTACAACCTAAAGACAGCAGATGTCATTGACCAATACGAAAGTGCGTGGTATTCAGGGCCAGCTATCAAGCTCGGATCGGGAATGATCGTGGGAGAATCCTACGAAGTCGCGGCTGCAGCTGGATACCGGCTCGTGGGCGGTGAATGCGGAAGTGTCGGGATCACTGGAGGCTATTCGCAAGGCGGCGGACACTCGATTTTGAATACAGCGTACGGGATGGCAGCTGACAATGTGCTGGAGTGGGAGGTTGTCACGGCCACGGGTGAGCATCTAATCGCGACTCCTGCGAACAATACCGATTTGTACTGGGCCCTGTGCGGGGGTGGTGGCGGTACGTATGGAGTGGTGCTGTCAATGAAGGCCAGACTCTACCCAGAGGGCCCGGTCGCTGGTGGTACGCTCGGTTTCAACCTAGCTGACGCCGAAAATGATGATACTTTCTGGGAAGCTGTCACTATCTGGCACCAATACCTCCCCTCATTCATAAAAGAGAACAACACTCTTCAGTGGGTGATAGAGAACAGCAGCTTCAACGTCCAAAGCATCAACCTGCCGGATCAACCCGCCTCGGCAGTAAAAAGCCTGGTGTCTCCTTATCTATCAGAGCTCGACCGCCTCAACATCACATACCTCCTTACAGCCAGCGTTTCGGCCACGTACCTAGACCATTTCGCTAAATACTACGGCCCGCTGCCCTACGGACCGGAGCCGCCCTCGACTGTACTGAACAGTCGCCTAGTGCCGCGGGCCGTTTTCGCTAACGAAACGGCAAGGGCCAAGTTCGTCGACGCAGTGCGCTCCACCGTCTCGGACGGCAAGTTCCTTTACGGATGTTCGGGCATGGACGTGAGCAACAGCAGCCATCCAGACAACGCGGTACTCCCCGCTTGGCGGGACACGGTTGCCATATGCATTCCCAACGGGTTTTGGAATTACACAGCGCCGCTAGCCGAAAATATCGCCCTCAAGGAGAGGCTAGTCACGGTTCACGTCCCGGCCATCGAGGCAGCCACACCCGGGTCCGGCGTCTATCTAAACGAGATGGATCCCCTGTACCAGGGCGATTGGAAGGCGAATATGTACGCAGGGAACTACGATCGTCTTTTGTCCATCAAGCATCAGTATGATCCGGATTATTTGTTTTATGGCCGTTTTGCCGTTGGTGGTGATGAGTTTACTATAGATGGGAGCGGGCGACTGTGTAGAGCTTGAAAGTTTGCATCTTGCTTAGATAAAAGAAGATAATACTAAATTACACGTGGATTAGGGGTACTAAGAGATCCGTTTCCATCGAATCTTCATATCACGGTCCGGAGGCATGGCTCCAGCTCCGCAATACCGCGCGTCATTCCGAGCCGGCCTGTCCGACGGCGACCCGTCCAACTTGGTCCACTCGATAAACTCGATGTCGAACTTGGACACCACGAGAGCAATTGTGGTCAGTATTTCGTACTTGGCGAAGTGACGTCCTGGACAGATAAATTGCCCGCCACCTGTTTTGGAGGGAAACGGGGGTTAGTTAGACAAACAGTACACTAGCAGTTGGAGAAAGGAGGTGTAAAGTAGCATCCAGGGGTTAGGTTACACACCAAATGGAAAGAAAGAATTTGAGCGGCCCGCCATAGAGTATGCAAGCTTGCGACTGACACTGCCGGACTCGTCTGTATCCTCGACATACTTAAGATGGCGCCCCGCCCAGAACTCTTTGGCAGGGTGCCCTTCAACGCCCCAGACACTCTCGTCGTAATGAGGAACCAACATCGGCACCTGCAGCATCGACCCCTTGCCAATGACGAAGCCTTTCATGGCTATGGGCTCCTTGACATGGCGGATTATGTTAAAGTTGATGTGCATCCGCAAAACCTCGGTGAACACGGACTGCAGTAACGGCAATGTCACCAGCTTGTCCGAGTCGATCATAAGAGCGCCTGTTTCGAGATCGGTCTTGTGGGCTGTGGCCACCTCGTCGCGTATTGCTTGAAGCAGGGAGGGGTCCTTGGTTATTTCCATAATCATCCACATGGTCGTCGGGATAGAATTGGAATTCTGCCTGTGTTATTTAATTTAGTAAACAAACTATGAAAAGAACCGACGAATTTCAAGCCGCTATGAGGAGGCTGCTTACGCCATCAGCAGCATGCCTAGAGCTCCAGCAGCTGCTTCGGCCTGGAACCCATCGTCTTTGAGCCACTTGACTATCTCGCGACAGACCCGAGCACCAAAAAGTGGTTCCCAAAACACTTCGGCAGACGGGCCATTCCAGTCGAATTTGGACCACGCAGCATCCAGGTACTTTCCTATCATGGCGTAATACCGGTCGCGGATCCGGTAGGGTCGTGGGTTCAACCAAGCCGGGAACCCCAGCGTGAGGGTGAAGAGGTTGGCGTCGAATGCCCAGAACGCATCAAGTAAGCCTGGGTTCAGCTCGAATATGCTTGGTCCGAATAGGGTAGAGATGGCGCATTCCGTTATTTCGCTTCGGCACAGATCCATGACGCTAATCGTGGTCCACTCATCTACGGGATATCTTCTTTCCAATGCGCTGGAGAACTGACAGCGGAAGAATTCAATCATAGGCTTGAGATGATTCGTTCGTACCAAGTACTCGGTGTGGTAGTGTTCGTATGCGCGCCAGTATCGCTGATCTGCGGTGATGTTTTCGGTGCCGGGGGCCGGGAGCCGTCCACGTCCGGAGTGGTCGTCGGCAAACCGTTTGACTTCATCCTTGGACATCCTGTATAGGTTGGGCAGTACACTGCGAACCATAATATCCTCATTTCCTATTTTGTCGTGCAATCGTCCGAAAATGGTCTGGATGTTTCTCGGCCCGGCCAGTAGGTATACCTCTTTCCAGCCTAGGTAGAATCTGGCAGAATTGGCTTTCTCTAATGCTTTTCTGTATCGGACAACAGCCAGCTGATTATCAGACCTCAACTATGACATCCAAAACAGCCGATTACAAGGACCCAGATATCAATGAATAGGAAACACGTACGAAACTCTATGCATAAACCTTTCGTTGTCAGTCACAAACTGTATAGTATTAAAGATGAACGGGATGGGGTCCGCAAGGGCCCGGGGCTCTGAGACTGCCTTCAAGTGTAACGTTAAGACCACGAGGACTGTTACACAAAGAACGATGATGAGCAAGCCTCTTGGGGCATAATGCCCATCGACAAGCTCTCGTAAATTATCGAAGGAGCAGTTGATGGATTCCATAGCTTGAGTATAGAGCGTTGATTGTGTGTATCATCTATTGCGACTTATTCAAATGGACAGCATCCTGCTAACAGTTAGAGGTGGTGCAGTAAGAGACAAGTTCATGACTTCAACAGTGATGCTGTATTCCCAGGACCTGAGGCAGAAGCTCTGGCTCTGCTTATCAGCGCAGATCATCATCTGTTCAGCATCTGACGAGGGAGGGGTTCTGGGTTGCCCTGATCGATGTGTCCGATAGCCGGCTGATATTGGGTGTCATTCCGAGTTGAAGAGGCCTCTGATTGGTACCTATACGAGTACAAGTAATTTATACTCATCTTTAAAAGCATCTGAGACCCATTGACATCCGATTGGTGTGAAGTCCAAACCCGAGCTTTACACTAATCTATTTTGACAAGGGTAAGGGCCGTCAAGGAATAGCCGGTGGCCACCGCTCTTCCCTGTTGTCCCGGCCGTGACATCGATCAGGGTTAGCGAGTGTCTCACAGGTCGCAAACCAACCTTGACTCCACCAAATTTAGGATAACATGCTGAGCTACAGGAAATATGCTTCTCTGTGGATGCCAACCCCACCAACCAACAACTCGAAAAATACAACACCGCTTAAGACGCGCCCAACTCCAACCAGCCCTAACACCAGCAAGTTATGTCAGACTACACGCACATCACTCTTTTCTTGTGTGATAACGCCACTTTTGGGGAAAGCAGAGACGTAGTTTCGGCAGCGTACGCTTTGGTGCAATTCCTCAAGCCTTGATGACGATGCGATTTGTTGGATCGGCATCTGAATAAGACCTAACCTAGCATGCTCTGGAGCGAGCCGCCCCTGGCGTTAAACTACTTCAGCAAAAGCATGTATGAATTCAATATGCCCTGTGGCAAAGCGACAATCGCGTTGGCCCTTGTGGCTATTTCTGGACAATGATCTCGCCGTGCATCATGGCCAGAGTCGCATCGTCTGTCCCCTCCCACTCCTCCCAAGCCTTGGCCATTTCTTCCAATTCGTCCTCCGTAGAAAATCCAGATTTGAGCCCCGTGTCTCGTATTCGGCCAGCGCGAATTATTTTCGCCATCTGCTGGGCTTATTAAGAGTATGTATCGTTAGCCTCAGGAGTACCTAGACTATGTTTTGAAAGTCCAGGATGACTGTTGGAAGTAAAAGGGACCTACCCCAGATCTTCTTCTCGGCCTCTTCACAGAAAGACCAAGTGCCAAAGCTCGCCGTTACCTTATTCCGCTGCGCTCCAGCCTTAAGAGCCCACCCAAGCAACTGTCTGCCTGCCATAGCGCTCCCTCCAGAAAGCGGTATAAACTTGGCAATGAAGTCGTGAAATTTGACGAGCCCGGGGGTTTCGGGCCACACGCACTCGGTTTGAACGTCTCCCTCACGAGCAGCGACTAGGCCCCCCGGCTTCGTGACTCGTAGCATTTCGCGTAGCGCATCCCATGGGTCCTTCAGATGGCAGAGCACCTGGTGGCAGTGGGTGATGTCAAAGGTTCCATCGGCGAAAGGCAACTTAAATACGTCGGCCTCGAGAAACTCGATGTTTTTGACGCATTCCTGCTCAGAGATGGCCTGCGCCCGTAGCAGGATGTCCGTCTTGACGTCGGTAGCCGTAACGTGGCCGTCGGGGATGGCTCTTGCGAGGGTTATCGAGATGGTACCGGAGCCCGCCCCGACGTCTAATATGGTCAGATTAGGGTTGACTTGTTTAATAGACTGGATTTTGGGTAGGAGGTAGGCGGCGCTGTTCTCAGCAGTCCGTATTTCGTGGTGAGTCCATTGAGCCGCTGGCTTCTGGCTCGATTGGTCTGCCATCGTAGTTTATGTAAGACTTAAGAAGGGTGAGACCCTGAAGAAACCTTCTCTTCGGATTTAACTTGTGAGAGGTCTTCCAATCGTGCCGAAGATCATATTAAACATTTTTGTGATCAAGATGGACGATCTTTTGTACAACGGACGAACCTGTCTGTCAGAACACATGTACCTACTAGGTACCATACCCCACTACCTTTACATTAGCAATATCCTTATATGTACTCTTCCACTTAGCCTAAAGTTCTGAATTTAGCTATATTAACTAGATTTTATATATACCCCTATTTTATAGCTTTTAATGGGATTACTACTTGCACTTTCTTACTTTTTATTGTCGGCTGGTGTAGTTGGTCACTTCGCTGGTAGATAAGTCCCGATTTGAGCCTCGCCCACTTGGGTCGGTGACGAGTCGCGGGTTCGAATCCCGCAGCTGACACACAAGGGGGTTTAGTCAACCCTTATGGCGCGCTGCCCACCTTGTTGACTTCGCCTACCTAGCGATAATAGGGAGATTGGTGCAGTTTAGGATTACGAGCATCCTAGCCAGTCGACCGTCAAGCACTACGTCGGCGGAATATAACTCGACAGCCGGTCCAGAATTCGAATCGTTAATCCGGCCCCTTATCGGACCTCGCCTATCCGATAACGCTCGTCGGCGAACCCGTCCCCTCACGATAGAAGGCGCGCAGCACGCCCTCTCGCCGCGATTCTTGCGAGCGTCTAGACCACGTTACGGTCTATCCACTTGAGCGTATGGTTGAGATGTATACGCTCGACGAGAACCCCAATTAGCAGATACTACGACTTGTCGCGACAAAAAAAATAGTCGAGCATCTTCTGCACATCAGCAGCATCCCACCCCTGAGGACGAATTTAAGTGCCACATTACCACACTTATCAGTAGTTCAGGCAGGGGTTGTAGCACAGACTTAGGGAGGGACAGGAGGTTTAGTAGTCGTTTGGCTACAAGTTTACCTGTATAACCGCCCGACGCGGCTTAAGGGCCCGCTATATCATCTATAGCCCCTTAAGGGAGTACTTGTAGAGGTACCGAGGGTTAACACCTACGGCGTATTTAATATTATTTTACTTTTTACTGAATGATTAATTATATAACCCCCCGAAACGGCAGAGCACGTAATCCTCTTCTGCGGCCTGCTAGAAGGATCGAGAGAGTGCTTACGGGCCACTATCGCACCATGGCCGCTACACACCCGCAGAGACCTGACGGCGGCGACAGGGGAACCAGCAGTTAGTGGGACTATCACAAGGTGGCTACTCAGGACCGGTCGGATAGCGCTTAGGCCCGGATAATATCGATCTTCTCAGGGGGACTTTGTTAGTAGGTGTGACGGTCAACCCTCGCAGACTCACTACAACCAGGTGACTTACAGCTGGAACACCTGCCGTGGCAGTGTCAGATGGGAAGCCAATCATAACCCTTGTAGGAGCCCCGCCAAGCGTGGATGACTTAGTCGCGATCCCTCAAACCTAAGTTGTCATCTTCTTTCCTTCGCTCCTTAGAGTAGAATCTTCGTCGATAGCACCTAATCGAGGTCTATACCAATGCGATGCAACCCAGGTCGTGACAGTAGGGTGAGAACTAACATAGTATTGTAGTGGACGTAACGCAGTCGCTAATAGAGCGAACTTACGTAGCAGCGTATGTATTTAGTCCAGCCATTAGGGCACGGTTTGACATACGGGAGCACTTGCAGAGGTACCGGGGGCCTCGAGCCTACGGCTTGTTTAATAACAATAATAATAATTATATAACTATAAAATACCAGGGAACCTCGCTACTTATATGTTTATCTCCCCCTTTCTTATTCTGCTGGATTAATCTCTACGAGTGTCAGAGCCACAAGTGTCATCCGAGGCGGGCCGGCTTCCACCAGGAAGGAAGCCGTTTGTGGCGAATGAGAGCCGTTGAAGCCGTTTGCAGCGGATAGGGAATCGCTTGGTTGCAGATAAGGAGCCGCTGTCCAAGATATTGGCCGAAGTCGGAGGAACACAGACATACGGAAGCAAACATCCAGAATCCAAGAGAGAACCTCGGCTGGCTATAAGTAAGGAGTCGAGACGGAGGAAGATAGAGAGGGCAGAGATCAATGAACTACTGTGGACACCCCTACCTGCCATCACCAAGTGACCACCAGTGACCACCAGGGGGACACGCCTATTTCTCCCCTTCACTCTGTACTATCGCCTTCGGTCCAGGCCGTAACCTGACAACGAGTATCCTACGTAATCTCCGAATCCTGCTTTATGTAATCTGATAAATATGTCACTTGTTAGAGGGAGGACTAAGCCCCTCGGCTAATAGATCAAGAGATCTCAAATGCTAGTATATCACTAACACTTAGTCCTACTTTATATATTAACTTGGGGATAGGGTTTTTGGGTGTTGTTTTTCGGTTTTAAGACGAATTATGTAGCGTATGTAGTCGCTCTCTTGAAAAGAAAAAGAGAGAATCAAGCGGCCTATTCTGTAGCAATTTGATTCGATTCTCTTTGCCTGATTAAGGCACTTATTGTTTTAATGACCTGTTGAGGTCTTATATTGTTCCACGTACCTGTTGAAGTACCTTTATTGTTTCCTATTGTTCACTTGCTGAGGTGATACACTCTAGGGCCTGTTGAGGATCTATTCTCTCTTCCTATATCAACCAAGGTGCTATAGTTGCATATTGCCTACTGTACCGTGGTAAATAAATAAGCACTGAACTGGGTTGTCTATCTAGGTTAGTAGTTTTGTTTACTCCTTTCAACTACATCGTTATCGCTATATAAAGGATATATACATAGGCTATATAGCGCCCGGCGGCAGGCTAGGAATATCTATAAGAACGAATTAACGTAGTTATCGGATCAAAAAAGACGCCGGCGGTAATATTAAAAATCACCGGAAACGGGTAATTAATCACGAGTTATAGTGATCAGTAATTATGGAGCAATCTACTAGATTATTGAAGGAGGGAATATGTATGTAATAAACGAGGTCCACTAGCGTTTTAGATACTCTCTGTGTGAAGTTGCGGCCTCAGGTGTAGAAGGGTACGAGACAGACACGCGTTGGAATATTTAGGGACCCCTCGGAACCAACTTGGTGTTGGTCCCTCACGCACCTTCATAGTACCAATGCATCCCCTGTACTTGGATTCCGACAGTCTCTACTTTAATAAGCAATCTCGATATCTATATAAGCTATAAGGTAAGGCTTTCGCTGGTGAGCTCTGGAGGATCTGAAAAGGTGGGGCGTGGCACGAGTGGTTGATCAACCTCACGATTCTATATGTAGACAGTAGTCTCCCAAATTTCTGATTCTCAACTCTCTCTTTGAACCGTGCTCCCACTCAACAGAAAAATGCCTACTCAAAAGACGCAGACAGCCATTATCCAAACGGAGGAGGCCTCGTCAACCAAGACTAATCTGACCAGTGTCCTCCCCTTGACGGTTTCCCACACGGTCCCCGTGCCTGGCTTACCCTCCCCGAACCACGTCCTCGTCCGAGTTCTAGCTGTAGCCCTGAATCCCACCGACCATAAAGCAGTGTCACATTTTCCCAACCCGAGCGGCGGAGTTGGATGCGACTTTTGCGGCGTCATCGTTGAACCTCAGGACGGGCGATATCCCGCCGGTACCAGGGTATGTGGTAGCGTTTTCCCATATGCGTCTTCGTCTTCGCCTAGGGAGGATGCAGATGCAACGAGAATACTCAGTGGGTCATTCGCCCAGTTTGTAGCTGCCGATGCACGCCTGCTGCTGAGAGTCCCCGATGAGTGGGACGACCTGCATGGCGCTGCGCTGGGGGGTGTTGGTTGGGGCACCGCAGGACTGGCCATATCGGACCCGGAGGCTCTGGCTCTCCCCGGTTTGCCGTCCAACCCCGCGACGGAAAAGGAACCCGTGTTGGTATATGGAGGTGCGACAGCCTCGGGCACCATGGCTTGCCAGTTGTTGAAATGGTGAGTGGTTTCTTGCTTGTGCATCACAATACAAACTTTACGTGTATGTTGGTATTGACAATGCGTCGCAGTTCTGGCTATTTACCCATTGCTGTGACGTCGGCCACATCTGCGGCGTTGGCAATTGAATACGGCGCAGTTGGTACTGCGGCTTACACCTCGCCTAAATGCCGAGAGGACATCCGCAATAATGCCAACGGTCTCCCCATTCGCCACGCTCTAGATTGTATCACGGATGCGGAATCCGTGGATATTTGCTTTGCCGCCATGGCGCGTACTGGGGGCCACTATGCCTGCCTCGAGGAGATGAACAAGGCCTGGATAACTCGCCGTGCCATCCGTGTTAAGGAAGTCATGGGCTATGAGGGGTTGGGCGTGAACATCAATCTGGGTCCGACTTCGTCAACATATTTGCGGGAGGCCAACCAGGAACTGTTCAACATACTCGCGAACTGGGCCACCGAGATGCAGTTATTGCTCGACGAGAGGTTAATAAAACCCCACCCTGTCCGCGAAGTACAAGGGCACTGGGACGGAGTTATTCATGGCTTGGGTGTGCTACAAAGGACCGAGGTCAGGGGGCAAAAATTGGTGGTTCGAATTGCGGCCATGTGAACGAAAAGCATATCGACAGGGAAGCTGATTTTACTGCTACATAGATCTGATGTCGAGCATGATTTCCAAGGAATGCCGTGTACCATTGGGCGGGGATGATGCATGTGTAGTGCTAATTTCTGCACCACGACGGCCTCAAGTCGTAGGGCTCTTTCACTCATGTCAGATCCCGGACCAATTTCGATAAACCGACCCCTTCACCCTCCCCCTGCCTCCCTTTTATCTCTAAAAGGTTGGCCAGTTTCCAGATAATAACAGCTGACACCGTAATGCGCGCTTGCTAAGATTTACGTGTAGATCAGCCAGTGACCGATGTCGTAGCTAGAAGGTGGAAACTGCCTCGGGAGTACAGCGATGAATCATGTGCGCGATGCGTTCGATTTGTCACTCTATGTTAGTGGCTATCAAAGCGGATAGGGTAGGATCGGTCCAATTAGATCCTCCATGGCTGCACAGCGGCATAGCTAATAGCGTATTGCAAGTACACTGTATCAGATACTATACAAGCTGCAGACAACCGTCCGCCTTGGGTCGCATTTCGAGTGACAGGGAACTCCAGACCGATAGTTCAGTGCGTATTGATAAATATATTGCTGATGGTTGTTGTTTTGACTCCCTGGTATACCGTTTAGCGGTCACCCTTATCTTGTCTTCTGCTCACACTTTGAACTTGCTAAGCCACCAGTTTCCAGCATTACATCCCTAGTCGGTGCTCCGTTGCATAGTGGGAAACTCTTCTCTGTCAGTACTTGATAACCTATTCGTAACCTTATGTCTAAAGGTGACTAATCGCATCCATATTAGGAGTTGATGCAACACAGCAAACGTGTACCATCGCGGCTTTCTTGAGCGGTGGAATAACGAAATTCAAGAATTCCGGAACGTCATCGCGTCATAATGGTTCACCAGCCACATGAACCCATTGCGATAGTGGGGAGCGCCTGTCGCTTTGCTGGCGACGTCAACTCGCCGTCTAAGCTATGGGAGTTGCTTCAGGAGCCCCATGACCTGCGGCAGGAAATCTCCGGCAGTAATCGAATTAGCGCCGAGGGGTTCTATCATCCTGACAATATGTATCATGGGCACACCAATGTCAGGCATGCATACCTTAGCAACGCGGATGTGGACGCCTTCGATGCCGGGTTTTTCGGTATCAAGCCGAGCGAGGCTAAAGCTATGGACCCTCAGCAGCGATTCCTTATCGAGGTCGTGTATGAGGGGTTGGAGTCCGCCGGCATCAGTACAGCCCAGCTAAAGGGGAGTGACACCGGGGTTTACGTGGGAGTCATGTTTGACGACTACAGCAGTATGCTTCTCCGCGATTTCCAGACCATACCGACCTATTATGCAACCGGGACTAGCCGCAGCATGTTAGCCAACCGAATTTCGTACTTTTTTGATTGGCATGGCCCATCTATATCCATTGATACGGCCTGTTCTTCCAGTCTTGTGGCCGTCCACATGGCCATTCAAGCTCTTCGCGCGGGAGAGACTAGGGTAGCATTCGCATGTGGTTCTAATTTGATCCTCGGGCCGGAAGGGTTCATTGTTGAAAGTAAACTGAAAATGCTTTCCCCAGATGGCCTTGGGCGTATGTGGGACCAAGGCGCTGATGGATACGCTCGTGGAGATGGTGTGGCAGCAGTGGTGCTGAAAACACTAAGTGCCGCCTTGGAGGATGGCGATCACATCGAGTGCATTATCAGGGAAACTGGATTGAACCAGAACGGCAGGTCGGCTACCGCTGGTGGTATCACCTTACCCAGTGCCTCTGCCCAAGAGACCCTGATTCGTGACACTTATACCAAGGCAGGCCTCGATCTCCGTCTAAAGAGTGATGGCCCCCAGTATTTCGAAGCCCACGGCACCGGGACGCAGGCTGGAGACCCGGCGGAAGCTGAAGCGGTGTATAATGCTTTCTGCCGCGATGACACAGATATTGTTGGACGTCACCCGTTATATGTGGGCTCCGGCAAAACCGTCCATGGCCACACCGAGGGCGCAGCGGGTGTTGCCGCCCTTCTCAAAGTGTCCCTAGCCTTGCAGCACGGCAGTATTCCGCCAAATCTCCTTTTCGAGCAACTGAGTGACCGTGTTGCTCCGTTCTACAAGAATATGGAGATTCCCACGACTGCCAGATCGTGGCCCGATGTTTTTGGCGCGCCCAGGAGAGCCAGCGTGAATAGCTTCGGCTTTGGGGGAACGAATGCCCATGCCATCGTGGAACGATATACCCCCGATCCTGATCCTAACTCGGCCAACCTTGGCCTTGAGATCCGGAGCTCGCCACATGAACCTGAACATGACTCATTATTGTTTGTCTTTTCTGCGTTCTGCGAAAACTCACTCCGTGCAAGACTTTCTGCTTATGCAGACTTCTTTGCGTGCGCTGGCCCAGGAATCGATCCCCGAGAGCTCGCGTGGACACTGCGGCAGCGTCGATCTGTTTTTCCTTACCGAGCCGCCTTCGTAGCATCCTCGTTGGACGATTTGAAAGCCAAGACAGTCGCCAGCCTCCAGGAAGAGAAGTCGACTATCGGCGTCAAGGCAATACCTCAAGCTAAAATTATGGGAGTCTTTACTGGACAAGGGGCACAATATGCGCGGTTGGGGGCTGAGCTCATCGAGAAGTCGAAAAGTGCGCGAATAATTATCCAAGAGTTGGAGTCGCACCTTGCTCGGCTCCCGGACGGCGATGCTCCTACATGGTCTTTGCAGGCCGAGATTCTTGCTAACGCCAACGTGTCTCGGGTTCACGAGGCTGCCATCTCCCAAGCTGTCTGCACGGCTATACAGATACTTCTGGTTGACCTGCTCCATCTAGCTGGTGTGCATTTTACCACTGTGGTGGGACACTCTTCGGGTGAGATTGCCGCCGCCTATGCGGCTGGTTATCTAACGGCCCGCGATGCCATGTATGTTGCGTATTATCGGGGGTTGCATACTCGACTAGCGTGTAGCCCAAATGAGGGCGATATTAAAGGCGCTATGATGGCCGTCGGAAGTTCAATGGAAGACATGGCCGAGCTGTGCGCTGATAGAGTATTCTCAGGCCGTGTCGCTGTCGCAGCTATCAATTCGTCCTCGAGCGTCACCGTTTCTGGGGACGAGGATGCCATTGCCGAGCTCGAGATAATTCTGGATGACGAGGGGAAATTCCATAGACGGATCAAAGTCGAAAAGGCCTACCACTCCAAGCATATGCTTCCATGCGTCGATCCCTGTACAAAATCACTTCATCGTAGTGGTGTTGCGCCGCAGAAGCCTGGGAAGACATCATCATGCACTTGGGTTTCCAGTGTGTATGACTCTCTTATTGATGAGGAAATGGCTGCAACATTAGGCGATATTCCCTACTGGGTCGATGGAGTGAAAAAACCGGTCTTGTTCATGCAGGCAATCCGCCGTGCCATGGCTGTTGATCCGTGTCATCTAGTGCTCGAAGTCGGTGCCCATCCCGCTCTAAAGGGCCCGGCAAGTCAGACAATCCAGGAAATTATGGGAAAGGCAATTCCATATCATGGGATGCTTGCGCGAGGTACTTGCGCTGTTGAGGCCACTTCAAGGGCCATGGGATTTCTGTGGTCGTACATGGATCATAATGGCACACGCTTAAACCTGGATAGTTACGAGAATACTGTGATAGGTGATAAATGTCGTCGCTTTATCCCGGTTAAAGGTCTGCCTACATATCGATGGAATCACTCTACCAAGTTTCGGCACGAATCACGCAAAAACCGAAAGATGGTCCGGAGACAGGAGAGAGTCCATCCCTTACTGGGAGATGTAACTACGGACAGCGCTCCACACCACATGAGCTGGCGAAACTTACTGCGCGTGAGCGAAATGGAATGGCTCTCCGGTCACAAAGTTCAGGGCCAAACTGTCTTCCCAGCCGCGGGTTACATAACTACAGCCTTGGAAGCCTCGCGATGCCTGGCGAAGGCCGTAGGCCAGAAGGTCCGTCTTATTGAGCTTCACGACTTCATTATACACCAGGCCATGGTGTTTGATGATCAGGATGCCGGTATCGAGGTGCTCATATCCATGGCAGATATCGCCCGGGAACCGCAACAACCGCACCGGGTCCGGGCCAAGTTTACGTACTCGACTGCTCAGCAGTCTTTCTCCCAGGAAGATTTGACTCTGGCAGCGAGCAGCTACATAGAGATAATAATTGGAGCTGATGAGCCATCTCTTCTCCCCGTAAGACAACCTGAACTACCTCACATGATCGACGTCGAGCCGGAGCGCTTTTATGCGGCACTTGCGGACCTCGGCTACGAGTTCAGCGGCCCATTCCGCTCATTATTTACGTTGAAAAGAAAATATGGCAAGTCGGCTTGCTTGGTTAGGATTCGTCGTCCCCGGGAGGTCTGGGTTGGGTCTTCTGACAACGAGGGTAAGCGTCGAGGTCAGTCCCTGCTCATTCATCCTTCGGAGCTCGATGCCGCCTTGCAGTGTGTCCTCCTGGCCCACAGCTATCCGTACGACCAACAGCTGCGTACTATTCATCTCCCCACCACCATCCAGAAAATCAGGGTCAATCCAGCTTTATGTTTTGGAGCAACTAATGGGGATATGGATGGCAGCCAAGACGAGTTCGTCCCTGTCGACGCGGCCATTGTGCCACCAGAGGCTGGCCAGCGGGGGATCGTTGGATACATGAATCTGTACTCTAACGCCTCTTCAAACTCAGCCATTCAAGTTCAAAACGCGACCTTCATGCCCCTCGGGGGAGCGACGGCCGACGAGGATAGGAGAGTCTTCTCCAAGGTGCATTGGATAGCCAGCGAGCCGAACGGCTTGGAAGCAGCAAGAAATATTTCTCTCACGAACAACCACCGAGACACGATAAAAGTGCTGGAGAGAATCTCGACCTTTTATCTACGCAAGTTTGACCAACAAGTGCCACCCGATCATCCCAAGAGATCCGAGTTCCCCACAAATTGGTACCTAAATTATGCCCGGCACATCACGTCTATGGTGCTGAGTAACAGACATAAATGGGCCCAGAAAGAGTGGCTTGATGATAGCCTAGACGACATTTTCAAGGCAAGCAAGCCGTTTTCCCATCTTCCAGACGTTCAGATTATGCACCTTGTTGGAGAGCAGATGCCGCGTGTTTTCAGTGGGGAGACCACCATGTTGGAACAGTTTCGTCATAACAGCAATGACATCCTTGACCGATACTACGAAGACGGCTTTGGCCTAAACGAATCTTCTCAGTGGATCAGTCAGTCAGTCAAGCAGATAGTTGACCGTTATCCACATATGAACATCCTCGAGATAGGCAAGTCTTCTCCATGTTTCAATATTTGGTCTATCCATTTTGTTACGCAAGCTCCCTGTTTCTCGCCCTTGCTTAAAGAGATACCCCTTTCTCAACAGAAATATTAACTTGAATATAAGGCGCCGGTACTGGTGGAGCAACAAAGGCCATTTTCCGAGAAATCGGTCAAAGTTACCTTTCCTACACGTACACGGACATCTCGGCCGCTTTCTTCGAGAATGCTTCGTCCATATTCTCACAACACCGCGATCGCATGATATTTAAGACGCTTGACGTTGAACGTGACCCCCTAGACCAAGGTTATATGGAAGGTACCTACGATTTAGTGGTTGCCTTCTTCGTCATCCACGCGACGAGTGATCTCGAGCGAGCCTTGCGTCATATGCGAAAACTGTTGAAACCCGGGGGCTTTTTGGCGGTTGGCGAAGGCCAAGAAGGTCAGAACGGCGTCGCTAGTAGCGGTTTCATCTTCGGCACTTTGCCAGGTTGGTGGCTCGGGACAGAAACAGGACGGACGCTATCTCCTCACGTCTCCCCTGAAGAATGGGATCAGCTGCTCAGAAAGACGGGCTTCTCAGGGATCGACAGCCAGCCCTCAAAGGAGTTCCAAGATGTCCTGAACATGTTTCATTTCGTGTCTCAGGCTGTCAACGACCAAGTCATGTTCTTCCGGGAACCTCTTTCCCCATCTTCCTGGAATATGAGCCCGATCAGGCAGTTAGTCATCGTTGGTGGCCAAACAGCTCGCAGTTCACGCCTCGTCGAGGGACTGCAAGACGTCTTGGGTGGCAGTGGCCTTGTCAAAGAATTGCATTCCTTCCAATCCCTCCTAGACGTCGATTATGAAATAATTGACGCCAGCTCGACGGTCGTCAGCCTGACAGAAGTTGACTCGCCCGTCTTCAAAGACATCTCTCCGGCCATATTTGGAGCACTCAAAACGATGTTTGAGTCCGGAAAATTGTTATTCTGGATTACTAGCGGTCGACGTGATGACGAGCCCTTCTTGGACATGACCGTTGGCTTTGGGCGGACAGCCGCAAACGAGTCACCCGACCTACACATCCAGCAGCTTGACATTGAGGATCTCCAAAACACCAGTCCCCGTACTATCGCGGAGATGGTGATTCGCTTCCATGCTGCAGTTACCAAACAGCAAGATGACCTCCTATGGACTGTCGAGCCCGAAATCGTTATTGACAGCAAGCAGTGCCAGCTGATTTCACGACTGCAGCATATACCTGAGCTGAACGATCGGCATAATTCGGCATGGCGGACAGTTGTACGCGAGGTGGATTCCCCGGAGACGCCCGTCAGCGTGAAGCTCAATTCAAGCGGCGGTTGTACCATCAATCAACTTTGGAGATGCGAAGGCTCAGCATTGGTGTACCACAGCAAGTTGCAGGGTTTCATAGAGTTGCAAACTACACATACAGTTCTTCCCGCGCTCCTTACCCCCCTTGGACACAAATTCCTTGTCCTGGGAGTGCAATCAGATACCGGAACGCCATATTGGGCTTTAATTCCGTCGTTGGCCTCTGTCCTCAGAGTACCTGCAGAGTCCGCGGTCGCTTGTGCTCGGATTTCGGATCTCTCAAGCGGAGAACTTTTGGCCTTGGTGGCTGCTCATTTAGTCGCCATGACGGTTCTCAGCCCCCTATATAGCAGCCAAACACTGGTGGCACACAACGCTACGAGCATAGTTGCTCAAGCCCTAGCAGAGCAAGCTGCCAGCAAAAATGTTGACGTAATCTACACGACAGACTCCACGGACGAAGAAGAAACCCCAGACTTTTGGATCAAGCTGCCGCGGTATGTGACCCAAGCCGAGATCGAGGACACTCTGCTATCATCCGCTATGCCTTCATCTTTCGTTGGATTTTCCGACAATGAGCTTCAAAAGTCTGAGAATGAAGCGACCTTGATATCAAGTCTATCGAAGCACTGTCAAAACTTCCTAACCGCTGATCTGATTTATGGTTCTGATGGTCGTGAGACTGATCCTTCCACTGCCGCCGTGCTCGGGGATATACTGCGCAAGAGTCTTGAATTTGTACGTCAGAGTGGATGTCTCCAAGAGAAACGACATCTATTGGCCACCATTTCATCGGTCAGCCTCGACCGTCTTGCGTGTGCAGAGCGACGTGCAGAGCCGTTGTCCATTATCGACTGGACAGCTTCTGCTTCATTGCCCATCCATATCACCAGGCTTGACTCCAACCCCATGTTCAAAAGCGCGGAAAGCACTTACTGGGTCGTCGGGATATCCGGTGCGCTGGGCATTTCGTTGATTGACTGGATGATTAGCAAGGGTGCTAGGTGTATTGCTCTTACCAGCAGAAACCCCAATGTAGCACCAGAGTGGATTGTGTCTCATAAACGCCAGGGTACCAAAGTCGTCGTCATATCCGGGTAAGCAAGTCTCTCTCTCTCCTCGAGCCGCTTATTAAAACTAGCCAATACAAGGTTAATGAAAAGCATCAAATCAATTTGTTCTTTGCTAACAACACACTTTCTTTTTCACTCATAGCGACGTGACCGATGAAGCTAGTCTGCAGGCAGTCCACCGGCAAATTTGCGAGACACTCCCCCCTATCGTAGGGGTTATTCAGGGGGCCATGGTTTTACGCGATACCGCAATACGCAACATGTCATTTGGTCAGCTCACAGATGTTCTCAAGCCCAAAGTCGACGGGAGTATCCATCTGGACAACATTTTTTCCAATACCGATCTCGACTTCTTCCTGATGATTTCGTCCATCAACTGTGTGGTGGGAAATTCGGGCCAGGCCAACTACGCTGCCGCCAATGCATTCATGTGCAGTCTCGCAGCTCATCGTAGGAAGCGAGGACTCCGTGCGGCTACCGTCAATGCCGGTGCCATTATCGGCGCCGGGTATATGGAACGCGAGTCTCGTAGAGCGCTGGACCAGATTGTCCAGAGGCAACACATGATGCGCTTATCCGAAGATGATTGGTGCCAGGCTATTTGCGAGGCCATTGACGCCAGTCGGCTTGACTCCCCCCACGGACCCGAACTTACCACCGGGATTTCGGATGTGCCTTTTTATACATCCAATGCTCCCAATTGGCATTCCAACCCCAGGTTCTCTTCTTTCCTTGTTCATCAGAAGGTAGCTACCGGCGACGGGGATAAAGGCAAGGCTTCCGAGTCCATTCAGCAACTTTTACAGTCTTGTCAATCTCAAAAGGATCTTGAAAAGGTCATCAAACGTAAGACGAACTTTTCCTCATTGATCTTGGCAGTAACATGCATCGTTGAACTGAGCTAACGAGCAATACAAACCCTCCAGAGGCCTTCGCCACCCAGCTGCGTAATATGTTGCAAGTGACAATGTCGGATGAGGACTTAATGTCGGCACGCGGCAGTGATATCGGGCTAGACTCTCTGGTCTCGGTTGACATCCGCTCCTGGTTTCTGAAGAAGCTGCAGTGTAGCATTCCCGTTCTCCAGATCATGAGCAACGATACTATGGCGACGCTTGTACAATACGCCGTCAAATCTGTGCCAGCAGAGCTTGTACCTCAGATTTCCCAGGTGGAGACCAATAATAACAACAAGAACGAGACTCTTATCGCCAACGAGCCTCAAACCAGCGTAGCGGTTGAAGCAGACAGCAGCGAGAAATCGAGGTCTTCGGATAGGGAAACGCCCATATTCGGGGCGTCCTCCTCTTCTTCTCTCACAACGCCATCGGAGTTGAAGGGGATGATTGACTGGGAGGCCGAATCATGGCCAACCGCGGATATAGCCGACCTCCTGGACCACGAATCCCAATTGCTGCCAGCAGCACGCGCAGTTACACCTCCTCGTGTCATCGTCATCACCGGAGTTAGTGGTCTACTAGGCCATCACTTACTAGCTCATCTTCTTGCCCACACATCAGCTGAAAAGATTATATGTCTCGCCGTAAGGCAACTTACATCGCGACTGCAGAATAAAGAGCTCAGTCCCCACCCCTGTGTCGTCTACTACGAAGGAAACCTCTCCAGTCCCCTCCTAGGTCTAAGCCCAGAGAAAGCCGACTCCATCTTCGCCGAGGCCGACGTCGTTATTCACAACGGGGCAGACACGTCGCATCTGAAATACTACGCCGACGTGCGCGCCTCTAATGTGGGCTCAACCATGACCTTGGCCCGACTATGTCTCCCGCGCCGCATCCCAATCCACTACGTGTCGTCGGCCGGCCTGGGCGTCTTGTATAATCATACCCGCCAAGGCGTCTTTCCTGCGGTTTCAGTGACGGGTCCGGAATCCGCACTGCCGGCTCATGATGGGTCCTTCGGTTATATGTCTTCCAAGTGGACGAGCGAGCGCTTCTTGGAGCGAGTCCATCAACGGTATGGTTTGCGCATTTGCATCCACCGACCCTCGACTATCATTCGTGAGGGCGACGATGCATCAACCCCACGCGCTCAGTTCGACTGGGTCAACGCGCTTCTGCACTACGTACGGCAGATAGAGGCTGTGCCGCGCGTTGTTTACAACCGTGGGGCGTTGGACCTCGTCCACGTCGACAGTGTCTGTGCCGACGTTATTAGGCACGTCTTTGACGACAGCGACGGATCCAAAAATAGAATCACATACGTGCATGAGGTAGGTGATGTCGTCATCAATATGGACTGTCTGCAAGACATAGGCCTGGAACGAGGAAAAGGGAGCAAGCCGTTCGATGTGCTGCCTATGGACAAATGGATCGCCAAAGCTATTGCCGCTGGTTTACATCCCGCTGTAGCAACCTTGATTGAGGATATGGACAGTCTGCAGGGGCTTGAGTATCCGAGACCTGTCAAGGGAGCCATCGTCTCGTAGGCGAGTATTAGGCGAGGGCACGTGAATGTATATAAAGGGAAATATGGTCACTCAGACAAGTTTCTTACTGAATGCAGCTTCTCCTTTACTCGATGCACGCACTTGGACTACTCTTCTGAATACAATAGAAGAGTCATCAACTACTCACTCTATGCCTGCCAGGTTTGGTTGTGCCGTTGCATAGGTCTAAGCCATTTCAGTTTATAGCCACAGTTAGCAAGTCCCCTGCTCTGGGCCGCTCCAGCACACCACCCACTTGAGATGGATTTATTATACTGCAGGTAATTGGATCCGGCCTACTTTGTAGAAAGCTTGTTTGCCGGCGGGTAGTGTAGATACATTACGCCAAGGATCTGTACTGCAAGATGCAATCTGACATGCCCATGCATGGTCCCACGTACTACCACGTAGCAGAACAGTTTTTTGCCGAGCCGACCCCAATTCAATAACCGCTAATTATAGAATGAGTACCTACTTTGGGGGCAGGTTAGGTCTTACGAACTCACGCGCGATTGTTATTGGCCGAGTGATATTGGCTGATCCCCTGCGAGTGGTGATACGGAATTCATACTGCATAATTTGGAGGAGGATGCCGGCGGCACTGTGGTTCCGCCAATTACTGCTTACGCAGCCCCCAATATGCATGAAGGTACATTTCAGGTGATAGCCCGTTTCTCTGCTTACTGCATGCTCAACAGTTCACAATCAAATCATTTCTAACCGTCGCTTCCTGTGCCACATATTTTACTCGGAGCTCCGCAAAGTAACTCCAACCGGCGACGCGAATCTGAACATTTTGTTACGATACTGCTTCTCCGCCAGAGCTCGCTCAGAAGGAAAAGGAGTGAGAAAATGGCTTTTAGTGTATACAATGATTCCGAACAAGGCGCTGCCTTCACGCTCATCATCGTAACATTGCCGATATGTATACTGTCCACGATTCTTCGCTTCACTAGCACGAGGCATTCTGAGCGAAAGGTCGGTCTGGAGGATTGGTTTGCATTGCTGGCTCTGTTGTTTTACTTGGGCTATGTTGGCTTGCTGACAAGTAGTAAGTGCACCGCAAATTTGATTGCTAATTCCTAGCAAAAGCTTGCTGTGGTAGCAACTGCTGACACGTATCATTCGTGCGCCAGTTCTCGTCCTGATGAACGGCAGAAATGTGTTTGAGCTCGGGGAACTCCCTCTTTCTACGGTGACGGCTATCTTTAAGTTGGGATATGTGATGAATGAAATGGATCCCGGGAACCAGACCTTCGCCAAGCTGAGCCTGCTCGCCCTCTACTACCGCTTCTTCTCCTCGAGTCGGAAGTTTGCCTATTGGGTCTACTTTGTCGGCACCGCTCAAGTCATGTGGTACATTTCCATATTCTGGGTTCGCTGGTTTGCATGCCTACCAGTGTCTAGCACCTGGGACTTGACCGAGGCCGGTACTTGCATTAACCAGAACGCCTTCTTTGCGTCAACCGAGTCGATCAATTCTGCTATTGACTTCGTCATGGTTGGTATGGCGATCTGGATGGTCAAATCCTTGAGGCTGTCGATAAAGACCAAGTGGCAGTTGAGCTTTGTATTCATGTTGGGTGGCTTGTAGGTTTTCTTGATGAGATAACCATGCCTACACTCTGGACTAACGACTACTACCTAGTTCTGGCGTTGTTGGCATTATCAAGATAGCAGAAGCTTACGGGTCAATTGGCAGCAACATTGAGAACGCCATCTGGAACGTTGTTCAACTGGCCTGCAGTATCATCTGCTGCTGTGCGCCAATATACAAGTCCATGTTTTCCAATATGAGTTTGCTTAGGGGCTTTGGATCTTCCTTCCGTTCAGGAATGAACAGTTGGAAGTCCAGGAAATCCTCGTCCGAGGGAAGCTCTCCGTTGTAGTAGAGCGATACTGGCTCCAGCCTGGGACAATATCACCATCCTCAGCAACAGCACTGGGGGCCTTTCGAGAAGAAGCAGAACTACCTTGGTTATTAAAGTCAGTCAATGCAATGCGAACACCATATTCCGCAGAGTGGCGAGGTTGTATGCTATTTTTCCGGGGTAGGAATACATGACATCTGTTTGTTGATTAGTTTGCTGTCCTTGTTTGTCCGTTATACGAGGGAACTATTTATGTAATAAAGATGGCCACAATTGTCGATTTTTCACGTATCTTGCTGTGTGACCTTGCCATGATATTCATTTGACCGTGATGTAACTATGACGTGACCTCTCCGTGATATTGTTGTGACCTTGAGGTGATCGTTCTAATTGATGGTTGTTATGTGCTCTGCAGAAGCACCTTAGGTCAAGTCCAAGTGGATGGTAGTCTTAGCCCATACTAATGGTCAATCACGTAACACCTTGTATCTGACGAGATACCCTGGTCCCTTGTCGATCTGTGCCAACCTTAGGAACCATTTAGAGAAACAAACTACAAGTAATTATCGCTTTCGCACTATTCCAGTCCAGCAGGTAATCAACCACTGGACAAACGTCAGGGGCAGCTTATGTGACAGGACCACACGTTGCTCCCTTACTTGAGATTCCCACGAGGGACGGCAAAACACCATATGAAGGCGCAGTTGTCCCATGAAAATGAACAATATGGCTGCGTACTGCTTTGCAGATAACAAGCAAGCCAAGGATGCGCTGTGGGTTCCAGGTTAGTTTCCCAAGTGTGACCTGCTCAGTTGTGACTAGTTCCCTTCCACTTCCATCCATGAAGGAGGAGATAGGTTTTATGGACTGTGACCGGACGATTGTTTCGGAACCACGAGAACGTGTGTGGCGACTTGGCAGAATACGCTGCAAAACAACTGCAATAGTGGGTATCCCGTACATTGGACCTATATGCCCATTTCGTCATGTTGTTTAGTGTGGCATCTATATGGTGATGAAGCTCGTTTTCAGCTCGTTTCTTTAGGTATTGCGGAGTTGATAGGAGATAAAACAGACTGACCTGATACACTCAGATGCGTCATCAATTTTGGCACCGCGGCGGAAACCTCTAGTGACGACAACACGAAGCGAGGGGAGCTGATTGGATACCTTGGGAGACGAGCCAATTTATGGCAAGTAACTATACCGTCTCGCCAAGAAGACATTCTTGAGCTTCAGCTGATCCCTACTATGATCAAAGGCGTTCACCGAGTTCCAGACTCAAAGGGCGGTGTCACAGTAGAGATCAAATTGGACGACGGATTGAGTTAAATCAATATTTAGAACTCAGGTCAAACCACAATAACACGTACGGAAACACAACCGGCAAGCATAAAACTGGTACTCTGCCCCGTACTTCGAGTCTCAATAGCATTACAGTGATTTTGCAATAACGATGCTAGTCTTTGCGCATATATGGTATATCCTTTCAAAACATAACGACATGCAGATGTTACCTGTGAAATTCTGATGGAAAGCACTCGGCGGAATTCTGTCCGCAGAGGATTAATCAGCACGGGAGCGAGCACAAAGTCTATTGGACAAGAATCAACATTGAAATACAACAGAAAAGGTTTAGACAGTGAACACCGGCTACAGTAAGAATAGCTTTCGAGATAAAATCGAGTTGCCATCCCATCAGTTGACAGTAGAACTCTCACCCCACACCTCCCGAGGGACGAAGTATCCAACTTGTTGCAAGCTTCAACAAAGCATTGACTTGGATATGAAGAGCCAGAATTATTGAAGAGCTCTTTAGGATAGAAGATCCTTGAAGTAAATGATGATATGCAACGGTCCCAGAGTACTTACCGTATCAGACTGGATAGTACGGAGGATCCGCATGGCTGAAGATACCAGAAGGTCCGGTCTATTGGCAGTAGCCAAAACTGTAAAACAGCCATTGGACTCTAAAGGCCCAAAAATATTTGGTGCGGTCCGACCCGCAATTCGAATGACAACTTCGTGATGGCCAGATGGAGTCTATAATTAACTTTGTCATGTTTCGTATTACGGGTTACAGTAGATTGCAAGTCCCGGGAGGACTACCGGAGGATTGCATTTGAGGTACAAATCAAGGAAGCAGATTTGCCAGTCAACAAAAGAAAACGATGAGGCTACGGGGCTAGATGCGCAATTGAGTATGGACGGATGCTTCGATCAGTCAGCTGGTTTGAAACTCTCGGATGCAAATTTGCTGCAATTTGGCCATGACACTGTCGCTCCGAAAACTGCGATCGGTACGGCTTAACAAACTCGGCTTCCGAACCACCCAGGCGTACCAGATTTGTGCGTATTGGGGTCAGTACGAGTTTTCTCTGCGAGCCGGCATTTGCTTTACGTCGTTCGCTGCGCCCCCACCCCTGACCACCTGGCCTCATCCTCGTCACCCTTATCTCAAGGGGCGCAGCATGGTACTTTTAACCCAGTCAGGAAGAGGAAGCCAAGCCATTCGAGGAAGGAGAACCGGGCAGCAATGATTGGATGATCGCGTCAGCAAAGCGATATGAAAAGCCAACGCATATTGCAGCGTAGACCAGGGGCGGGGACGGGGGACCCATCTCTCGATGTTCGGCCGGTCGATACGGACTGGCCAAGACTTCGAAACTCCGTCTCACATGGCCGGAGTCTGGAGTTGGCAAGTTTCTATTATGAACATACTACAGTATCGTCTTGATACGGCCACACTGGTCTGTCTTTTCACCCTATGCTTTTTACATATGATACAACATGTCGACTTTCGTTTTCATGCGCAGCCATGAAGAGCCATGTTTTCCACTGACTACAACACCATTGCCTGATCATACTTGAACCAAGTCGTACGAGGTCATAAGCCCAGTGAAGCAGAGAGCTACATCCTCTTTGGCAGACCGCATCATCCTCCAAAAGGTCGACACGGATTCCCCGGCCGACTTCGACCCGCTGTTCATCGACGGGGCTGTCCACGGATTCTCTTGGTGTACTTCCACAAGCTCTTGTACTTGGGACCCTGTCTCTTGGCTTCCCAACCACGCGGCTTCTTCTCTTCCTTGAGAGAGTATACCCTTTTGTGCTTAAACTCGATATCTGCACCAGGAATGCCGGCACGCTCCATGACAGCTGCCGTGTTCTCGTCCCACACGGTACGGAAGAGGCTGAAGCCAATTGGGTTCAACTCAAACTTGTCGCGGAAGCTCTTTAAGCTGAAACCGTCGCGGCGTGAGTATAGGCCACGCAACTGCACAATGTCTAGGGTCTGGCCAGGTTTTTGCTGAAGCACCCACACAGACAGACGGTGGTACGGCGCACCCTTCTGAGAGAAAGCCGGCAGGTACGGCACTGCTAGCTGGGTCTTTTGGTTAACCCTGCCTAACGGCAGTGATTGCTGAGCAGGAGCGATGGGCACGTTAGCAGCGAGGTAGTGGCAACGGCGCTCGAAGCTGTCCGTCTCAGCGTTAGGCACATCTGAGTCCATGACCACGACAGACACTAGACGCTCGCCAGCATCGAAGACTTGGACCTTGAGGCGGGGTGGCACCTCCGTCTTCAAGCTGTTTAGGATTTCACCCGTTTCAACCTTAGTTCGGCGGAAGAACAACTGTACATCAGCAGTGGGTTCGAACTTGGGGAGCACATCGGGTACGATGTTCAACTGCTGGATACGCTGTGTGACGTGGCGAAAGGGGTAGCCTTTCCACTTGCGCTGAGCGAGGAACCGGTAGATGGGCTTGTTCATGTCCCCTGTATCATGTCTTAGCCTCACCCAATTTGAACAACGCGAAGATCTCACGAGACTCACCGAGGCCATCTTCGAACCTCCGCTTAACAACGGGGTCATTGATATCCGCCAGAATCTTCAGCTCCTCGACGTACTTTCTCAAGCTAGCCAGTCGCAGGTTCTTCTTCCTCTCGCCGCCAGGTAATTGATCCGCGGGGGTTGCTTCCAACCTCCTTATCTTGGCCAGCTCGGCCACAATATCCTCCAATTTTTCCTTGCGATCCTGCTGCAGGATATTGCGGGCCTCTTGGAAGCATTGGTAGGGCAACTGTTCGAACGGGATGTTCTCCGAGGTCTTGATGGCGGCTCGACGACGACGGGATCCGACTGGTGGTGTTCCCATGCGCGAAAGCTTCCTTTCAGACCAATATTCTGTAGTAGTTTCCGGATCTAGTCTTTTGCGTGCTTTCGGCTGCTCTGCTGAGCTCGATGGCACCTCTGATGGAGGTGTCGTGGTCGTGGTGGTTTCATCTCGGCGAGCTACGGATTGGCTAAATGACCGAATGGCTAATGAAGAAGTCTGGATGAGTCTGTCTTGTCGCAATGACCTTGCGAGGGGTCTTGCGACCCTCTGACAGCTTGACATGACTCCTGGCTTGACTTCAAGTGAGGTTGGTGGTGCCTTTAATGCTCTGATTGAACTTTTTGAAGCTCGCGCAACACGGGGCGTGGCTCCACAAATCTTCGCACCCTGGCCGCACTTGTAGCTTGCGGCTTCTTCCGCGCTGAGGGTCGGCTTTCAACAATTTTACGACAGCCAATTCGAAGCTACTGGATCGAGTTCTGAATTGGACCGTCGTCAAAGTCGCTAAGTCCCACTGCCTGTTTTACACCTCTGCGGTCATGGCTGGTAAGGGTGTCAGAGGTCTCACTGAGGCTCTGAAGAGCCTTAACTTATCTTCTCAGGCGTGTAGAGAAGCTGCATCCGTACGTTTACTGTTCAGGACCTCACTTCCGCCCGCAGGAAACTAACTCTAACAAGTACCGAATCCCATCCACGACCTTCACTCGGTCAATGGCCACCGAAGTGCCCCTCCCTAAGCTCACAACCACGCTAGACCACACCGTATCGAACCTCTGGCGTCCATCCCAAACCGTCTCCGTGACCATCTTCGACTTCCCGTCCTACGAACCCAAGCGCCTCGAAGAATGGTCCTCCAAACACCTGCATCTCCCGCTCCGCCGCGACATTCTGCATCTGGCCGTCGTCTACGAAGGCGACAACACGCGCCAGGGCACCGCCTCATCCAAAACGCGTTTCGAAGTCCATGGCTCCCACCGCAAGCTACGCCCGCAGAAGGGTCTGGGCCGCGCTCGTGTAGGAACCAAGCAGTCGCCCATCCTCAGGGGAGGTGGCAAGGTGTTCGGCCCCAAGCCCCGCGACTTCGGTACTAAGCTCAATAAGAAGGTGTATGACTTGGCGTGGCGGACAGCGCTCAGTTACCGATACCGCCGCGGCGAGCTGGTTGTGTGCGATGATGGCATGGAGTTGGACCTGCCGGAGGAGTTCAAGGGGATGGTTGGTGAGCTGGAGGATGAGTTGGTCGATGGATTTCGGGCGAAGTGGGTGAAGCAGGTTCTGGACCGTAATGAGTGGGGTCGGTCGAGCGGGCGCAGCACTTTCATTACGGGTGCTAGGAGGAACGACTTGTTTGATGCTTTGGACTTGGTGCCAAAGTACGGCCGGGCTTTGGACGTTGAGAATGTTGATGTCAAGGATCTGCTTGAGACGGGCAGACTCGTGGTTGAGAGGGCTGCATTGAAGGAGCTGATTGCGCGGCATCAGAGTGATCTGGTGTCCAATATTTATGTCCACGGTGTTAAGCCGCCTGCGCCAAAGAGCGGAATAGTTGTAGTCGAGTAAAGCATTGAGTGTGCTTGTATTATTACTATGTAGATGAGGCATGTACAAAGACGCATACCAGTCAAGTCAAGCTATTTCTATCCGTGATATCTCATAAGAGCATATAGTAATCTCATCTAATTGTGCAACGAAACGTGACTATCGGGTGCATCATGTATGTACACTTATCTCACGGTACAAGTAACAATTCTCTCTGTGTTCCTGTAACCTTGTAACCCTTGAGCAGCGGAAAACGAATAGTATACCGAGGTAAAAACAAATATACGATATAATAGTACCTAATACCTGTTCGGCTTTTCCTATACTATCCCGCTGAGCACGCCGTTCATTCCGCTTGCAGACTCGGTGTCACAGATAGGATGAGTACGTTAGAAGATCTGGACTACGACTGCTGTGCCTCGTTTCCGTTCATTTCTTGAAACAATCGGAGTGGGTTTAACTGTTTTTTCTTCTTTTTTCATTATTGCCATCACCACTTAATAGCCCGATTCTGTCTCGTACACCCCCACCTCTCACGATCATCCTGTCTCATAGTCACAGATACCCTGCCAATGCCCAAAAGTACCGTTTTCATAGCCTTATATTCATTTTCATCATACTCATCCTCCATCGTAGAGATTCCATAGCTGCTAGAACGCTCAGTCGGAGTAGATGGTCGCCTGTTGTTACTGCTGCCAACGGTAATAGTTACCGAAGCCAAGCCAGTTGTTTGAGCCGGTATTGGCGGTGATGACTGAGACGAGAAAGTTCGTTGAATACCCGTGGGCCATGCATGAGATACGCATCCCGGTGTGCTGCCGACCGAAGAACGCGCAGCACCGCATCAATTCATGCGTGTGTCGTCGGGGAACATGAAGAGGTCTTTGTATTGGTGCGTGAGCTCCACTACGGTTTGGCTCACTGCATAATCTGTATATTGTGTCAGATGTTTAGTGTCATCACTAGTGCAAAGTCTGGAGGAAGGATCTAAAGTCCATCATGCAACCTAGGATTCAGTTCTGAGCATATGGCAGGCAGAACACATACCAACATTAGTCCCCAGGTCAATCGAGTTCATGACCTTGATGGAAAGGTCCGGCAAGACTTTGCCGATAATCTGGACTCCGTTGCCGCTGACGAGATGGGCTTCCTATGATTATTATATCAGTCCCAATCCAAAACAAAGGCTTGCTGGACAAAGACCTACTCGGTTCAGATTGGCCGTAATCTGTCCCTCAGAATCAATGACAGCCGTGTCGCCGCGGAGTTGGAGCACCTTGCCCACCACCATGACGTTACGACCGACATAGGAGTCGATGAGCTGGCCCGAGATGCGGGGTGTTGAGACGGGATCCATGATTGGCAACTGGGTGTGCTGGAGAAAATTCCGTCGGGTTCCTTCGGGTTATATGTGTGATTAATAAAAATCAAGATGTATCTCGTATCTTCTACCGCGTGTCCAGCGGTTATTGTTTCGTTTGAAAAGGTACTAAAAGCAAGTGGGTGGAGCGCGTAGATGCAGAAGTCGCGAACCACTAAACGCGAACTTCTTAGTTCACAAATGCAATCAGTCACCTGACAGCTTTGACAAGTACCTACCCAGTCAGTTTGACGTAAAGAAGATTAGGCCATTCATCTGAACTCGACTATAGAGCTGCAATTATATCAGACTCAATCTTAAAATATCAATTGGAGTAATTTCGCATCAAAATAAGGTTGGTGTTGCATTTAGGCCACCAAGATTCAATTGTATCCCTAAGGGCTCTACCCTGTATTATTACTCTCGTCCCGATTACACGAAAGCCAGCAAGTAGTCGCATCAACGTGTGACAATCATTCACAGTTGGTTGCTTATAACGATGGTTTTGAATTTGTGAATAATGTCGCGGCGATTTAGACGAATTTGCTTAATATGTTTTGGGAGTTGTATTGAGTCTTGGCATTCTACTTTGTGATAGCAGCTCTTGCAAGCTTCTCGTAACGCAAAATACCTCCAGATAGATCCCGATCGGAATTCCGACGAAGTTATATAAATGGATGAAAAACAGGATTATATTACCCTGAGCTAGCGTCTGTTGCTCCAGGATGAGGATATTGTGTGCCGCGAGTTTGAAAGGTTGCGGGAAGGGGCCAGAAACCGCATGGTGGTTATGGACTATGGATGAGGGCAAGGCGCCGTTAGGATGGCTATCGCTGTCTCCGAAAGAATGCAGACCGCCGCATGAGAGAGTAAAACGCACACATGAATAGCTGGGGTCTGTTCCTTAGTTGTGGAGTCTGTTACTTTGAATGTTTAGAGGCTTGATAGTCTAGACTGCTAGTCCGCTGGAAGTCTGATGCTTGTAATGTCATTTTAGGAATACCTACCGAGGTAGGATTGGTGCAATACGCACATCATACCGTCAGATTTCAGGAATCGGCAGAATCTCGCTATTGCCGTAGGTGGAATTGATATGGCATATGATATCCAAATAGGGTAAAGTTCCTAAATATGATTAGAGGTATGCGGCATGTCTGCGTGTCTGTTTCTGGGCGTGGTCTCAATTGAGCGACATATCCTGCTTTTGCAGCAAGTAGTTCTGAACTCGTGATATGTGATCATTGCTAAGCCTCGACGCTATGAGGCTTATGAAATCCATCGTGGCATTGCCCAACATTTTGCATTGCGATTGTAGCAAATGCCACATGATATAAACCCGAGGCAGTGGGAACGAGAATGAAATCATGGATCAGTAGTGAACTTGTCATTAAACATAGGTTTCGCGGCCGACAGGGTTGCGTCCGTCCAAGCATCGTAAAATGCATTGACGTATCGACTATGCATGGAAGAGGCCTCAGAAAAGAGAAATCAAAGGCAGTTCATTCGATCGCGAACGAACAGGAGGCGAATTTGAAAGATGCCCTTGACATTTGAAGTAATTCAATGTTGATCAGGAACAGGCCAGCTCGCCAAGGATCCAATCAGACACCAAATGCGCTCAAAGCGGTCGCCTTAACAATCTTCCGTCTTGGCCTGGCTTACTGGGAAGCGACGATCTTCATAGGGCTGCCCAATCATGTTGGACTTGCCAGATCAAAGTGCAGGCTACGCGGTCAGTTGACAGGTTAGCCTCTGTTGGACCAGGCCGGACGACACGAGATCTAGCGGCATTGGGACATTTTCCATCTAAACCATGGTGAAATTGTCGCAAAATTGAATTTGCATCGACCTTAAAGAGTTAGAACCTGGTTTAGAATGTTTCAAGGGTCCTGAGTATTGCTCGTTCCTGAGCCCGTCAGAAAAGTCGACTGCTCCCCCGGCCCAAACTCTCATGAGCGTCTGCAGTCATGAATCTCTATTCTCCCACCAGATCTACAATATTGGGATCCATGTCCCAATTGGACTTCTCATTGCCAACGTCGGCGAACCCAAATGGCAACATATTGCCCTTCGAGTGGTCTAACACCACCCAGGCTCGCAAACACCTTGCCGATCTGTTTCATGCCGCATGCACCTCAGCACCGCTTGTCAATGTTCCAAGTCAGGTGTTGTCTGGAGAGCTCCTCACTATGCTTTTAGTCCACATCTACTACACTCTATGTCCACGATTGGTATCCATGGACCAACCACACCTTATGAAGTGCTTTCAACAATGTCGCGTCTGATCCGAGATGCGGATCATGACCAATGAAAATAAACTACGAGGCACTAATTTGCAATCCCAACTCCTCTTACTTCTTAAGTTGCATTCTCAATCCTGAGCATAGCCCTCTCTCAAGTCAGAAATTATGTAGTGGCGGCCAACCTGCGACTTTATTCATTTCCCAGTATAGCTTCTGTTGCCGACAATCACGTTCCAATTCCGGCGTAATGAAAAGTCATGATTTGGGATATTTTTGCCACAACGGCTCTCTATTCCTCTCATCTCTAGAATTTCATCTTCTATATCAGTATCTCTTCTTAGTCTGTTGGTGACTGCTTGAGTCCCTCCAGAATGACCCATCAACTATTATGGCGGACTATTGCCAACTCAGGGGACCCAGACGGTGTAACCTTTATCGACAATAACGTCCTCCACCAAGTACTGTGAAGCGACAGCACGCCGTCGGTTCGATCCAACTTATCGAATAAGCCTCCCAACAGGCAGGCACCCCCCTCCAGGAACGCCCTTATCGAGCGACTGCTGTCGAATCCCATCACGCCTAGCCCGATATAACGCCGCCGACCTCGAAACAAAGCTGATTGTATCCGCAAACCCCAACAAGGGCACACGCATTCAAATCGATCCAACTGAAATAAAATCGATATCGAAGAACCGACAAGCTCAGCTGCCAGGGAAAATTTCCTGTGCCGCTGGTACAAAGTTAGAAAGAAGAACGCATGATCTTACCAGCTGCTGCAAAGGACCGGGTTTAGACCTGAGTGCAGCTGCGAGGACGAGTGCATTCGTCAACCACCTAGTCTCCACGAATACCTTCATCCGCTAGCACGAACCTGAACCCTACACCATGCGCAAGTACTATTGCAACGACTCAATTCATCTGCCACCTCTTCACTGATTTCAAAATTAGTGGATGCAGGTTTCAACAAGTCGTTAACCCTTAGCTTCTTGCCAGGTTCCATATTGTCCGTCTGATTTGGCTCAGCCATTCGGACATCAGAACCTGTATCGGCCGCCTGACACCGCGCGCTAACTCTGGCCCCCAACTCTTAGGATCACTTCCTGGCAGACCAAAACGGCTCCTCGTTGCGGTGCATTACAGCACAAGGTGCTCTCCATCTCAGACCAACAATTATACCCGGTCGTATTGCATCAACCTATTGAAGTTATGGACGACTCGTCACAATTCTTCAACTATAGCTTTCAGACAGATGAGGGTGGGAGTACGCAGATATTCGATGGATCGACCATAGGAAACCATGGTGACTACCATCCACACTTTACGGCAGGACCCTACACACACAGCATACCGCCATCCACTGCATTTTCTTCAAAAGAAACCATTCGGCCAGCTTTAAGGTCCCCGTCAGCTCTGCCAGCTCGGGCATCGATTCAAGTTGGGTACAGTGGTTTTGGCTTCAATCGTGAAGCTTCGACTTCGTCTGGACACTTGGAAATCCCCGGTACAGACGGGTCCAAGTTGGCAACACCAGGGCTTTCCAGCGGTTCTTCTGCCACTCCCGACACAAGATCCTCTGCGCAGGCTACAACACCAGACAATTTTCGACCAATTGCTCCAGCTCAACCAACGCAGCCCCCTCAGGCGGTATTTCCTCCGCTGGCGCCAACACCTCCACCTGGGAGAAAGAGACCAGGAAGACAGAAACGTAAAGAGCTGAGCGCAGAAGAGGGGGAGGCGAAACGGAACAAGTTTCTAGAAAGAAACCGTGTTGCCGCAACCAAGTGTCGGCAAAAGAAGAAGGAATGGATGTCAGACTTGGAGGACACGAGGTTCGGGCTGGAAAGTCAAAACTCGCACTTGCAAATGGAGTACAACAGCTTGGCCGAGGAAGTCAGCCAGATCAGGGCCGAACTCATGGCCCACGGCAACTGCAATGACCCCAACATCAACAAATGGATCGAGAATGAAGCGAAACGTTACGTACTGAACACGGGTGAGAGGATGGACGCCATGCTCGCCGCCTTTGATCAAGGTTCACCCGGACCAGATAGGCAGGGAAGCATGTCGACGACCTCGGGCTATGGGCCCTCAACCAGCAATGATCTCATGAGCCCAGGAACAAATCGAGGAAGAATTTCCCTTCTGCAAAGCACCGGCAACCCCAGTTCGCCGGTCTTCTTTCGCGGGAACATGTCGACTGATCAGGGGGAGACACGATTCCCAATCACCGAGTCAGCTTATATGCAGCCAACGACGAGGGCAGAAGACAGCCCCAACTTCGGGTATTTCAACGTGTGATACGAAATGATGGTGTTGCGTCCTTTCGACTACGCCCAACGGCCCGTCCCTCTCGTGTCCTCAGCCAACAGTCCCCGACACTCGACTCTGGACTTACCAACCGCCCCCCTGAAACTAGTCATGACATTGATGACTAATGATAGAAGATACCCCTTTTCGGTTGACACTTGTTGCTTTTGGAGAATCGGATACATCTCTCTTTTTGCTTTACTTCTATTAGCATTGCTTCATTATCTCAAAGGATGATTGGACCTATAAGAGGGTACATAGGGTTGGCACGAATCATACTGCTGATCAGTGATGCTATTCGAGGAAGAAATAGAACATCAGAAAGTACCTAGGCATATTAAAACAAGGAAAGTTGAAACTTACTGGTCAATGTTCAGAAATTTGGAATTCGAACAGCGTCTGACACACCAGTCTCGGAGAAACGAACTCGACCATGGGGACTAAGAAAATTTTCATGCATTGAAAAGTCGTCACTTGAAAAATTTACCCAAATTCGTGGGTATCTCAAGACTTTGGTTGTGGAACTTACGGAGGCCTGTCGACCGTCCGCTCTGGCCGTCAAGAATATCCAGGGGCCGTGCATTATGGGCCGGCATGTTAAGATTTCTGCTTCGGCCAAAGCCGAGTGGTCCTCTTTTCCTATTGGTGTCGAGGTCGAGATGGGGTCTTCTGAACACTCCGATTTTCTCCACAACGAAGTCTAGATTGTCGATCTAATCTGCCCCGTTGTTCTTGTTTCAACGACACTTCAATTGCTTGTTTATTTCGTTAGCCGGGCTCTGGACGTGATGAGGGAACTGATGATTTCGATTCGGTTGCAGAGAAACAATAGTTTGTGAGAGACTGGCATATCAGTGCCGTGATGAGGAGACTATACGGAGTGTTTGGTGACCTATGGAAAAAAAAGAAGAGAAATATAAACCGAGCAGAAAAAACTGGAGGGCACTCAATGCATACAGTCTCAATTATTCAAAAATTCCGGGCCACTGCGAGATGATATTGTATCTCTACGTCGTAATGTGCCGCCGTAAAATCCATAAAATGCAAGACGCCCGCCTAACCTTAACCTTGGTTAGAATTATTACATACCATCCCCCACGACCCCACCGGTAACCAAATTAGCAGCACCTACACTATAAATACTTCAACTTCAATTATACGGATCTTAATAGAAATTGAAGCTATTTACAAGCCGTTTGCACGAATAAATAGCGAATTGAATAGAGTTTTCAATTTAGCATTTTTAGACAGGTTACACGATACTCCACATCGGTACTACGGAGTTCCGGCAGCCGTAAAATTCTGATTCTACTACTTTTGAGGCCACGATGCCCCTTTGACTATTATTCTATAAGTACTACGCTTCAGTACACCAAAATGCCGCGCCGCAGCTGTACAGAGGACCAGATAGCTGAGGATATTCTAGATGTTACCGATAATGGCCTGTCACAGTACAAATCCGCCCAGAAGCATGGAGTGCCGCAGCAGACCCTTTCCGACAGAATCAAAGGCAAAGGGTGGCCAGACAACCCCATACCGACCAGCAAGCGGGTTTCTATAGCCCAAGAAAGCCGTATAGTCGACTGGATCATCAGACAAGAGTCCTTGGGATATGCCCCTACGCACAATCACGTACGCGCTTGCGTTTCTACACTTCTGGCTCAACCGATTTGTCTCTAGACATCCAGAAATTCGTACCAAGATGGGTAGAAAGCAGGAGACAACTCGATTCAACTCGTTTACACCAAAAGCCGTACATTGGTACTTTGATATCCGTGAGAGAGAATACGGCTGGATTAAGCCAGAAAATACAGTTAATGTCGATAAGGGAGGCATAATGGCTCGCTTTGGTAACTATCTATTAGTCTCTTAGGCAATTATCTATGCTAATTACTATACTATAGGCCTTGACGGGCTCGTATTGGGGAGTTCTGACGCCCAACAGAAGGCTATAATTAAGAGCTCACAGGGCCGTAGTTGGACTACCTTTATTGAAGCCACTACAGCCGATGGCCGCCTTATAGAGCCAGGTATAGTGTTTAAGGGCAAAGAGCTCCAAAAACAGTGGTTCATTGACCAATTCCGAGAGATCTGTCCCCACTGGTGCTATATAACGTCACCAAATGGCTGGACAGACAACCATATAGGCCATCAGTGGCTTATTGACGTATACTTGCCTCAGACGCAGCCAGAAGACCCCTCTGATGCTAGGCTAATTATACTAGATGGCCATGGATCCCACGCCTCTGTAAGTCTTCTAGTTATTGCAGTATAACTGTACTAACTGGGCTATATAGGATGAGTGGATGACTACGTGCTTCATGTACAATGTATACTGTTGTTACTTACCGGCACATACTTCCCATGGCTTACAGCCAAATTAAAATGGCCCCTTTAACGTATTGAAGTCGGCCTATAGGGCAGAAGTCAGTAAATTGGATAGAATGACGGATGCGGCGCCAGTTGATAAAGTCAACTTTATCCGGTGTTATAGTACTGCACGCAAGGCTATAACCGATAAGGTCATTAAATCTGGCTGGATAACTACTGGAAATTGGCCAATTTCAAGGGCCAAGGCACTACGGCATCCAGAAATCCAGGTAGATGTTGATAAAAGGGGCACTCCACCGCCGCCACAAGCCCCTGGACTTGACAGTGATTCTACACCCCGTACGAGCCGTCAAATCCGCAACTTTGCGAACAAGTCAAGCCCACATAGCCTCTATAGGCTACAGAAGGTTGCCAAGGGGGTTGAAGCCTTAGAGGCAGAGTTGGTAGCCGAACGCACTAAGGCTACGGCATTACAGGAGGAACTAGACCGCTTGAAAAGGGGTAAAAAGCGCAAGTCACTGCCAAATCTGAATCGCCGTTTTATAACAGTATCAGAAGCACTAGCTGCAGGGGAGCCTATACCCCCTAATAACCGTCAAGAACCAGCCAATAATGGGAAAGTTGTGGAAGTTGCGGATGAAGGGGTTGATTCATCAGAATCAGAGGCTACGGCCGATGATTTGCCGGCCGCTGTAGTCACACTAAGTGGTCGTACAGTCAAGAGGTGGCAATATTCTTAAACTCCATAACAATAGCTACATAATGGTATAACTACTGTATAAATAGCTTCAATATGTACGGAATTATGTGTAAGTAAAAATGTAGTGTTTTTGCAGTATTGTGCTCAATTAACGGTACCGGTGGGGTGGTGGGGGATGGTACTACATATTTATGTCGGGTGAACGCAGTCAATTGGCCTACACTCTTAGCGCAGCAAAAGAAGCCCGGAACTATGACAATTTTCGGAAACAAATTTAGCTAGAACCCCAAGCAATCATCATTTATTCACAAGCGGAAAAGCTGGAACGGCCAAGTCCGGAGGAATTGACGATATACGCTTTTGGGGCGGTGTCAGAGAACAGAATGCCATAGGCACCGGTGGGTGTCAGGACACTGAACGCAAGACACCGGTGGGGCGCCGGAGGGGTGTTTCGGACAAAAGACTCCCGAGTCATGATTACAATCTATGTGAAGCTTTGGGATGACGAGAGTCAAGATCCTTGGCATCGCCGACCCTGCTGTTATGCCGGGTCCAAGCGGCGGCCTAGCTATCTATATAAGGACCATCTCGAAGTAGGATAGGGAAGGAGCAGAGATCAATGCATCACCGTGGGCACCCCTACCTGAGACCGCCAGTGACCACCCGGTATTACGTAGGAGGGACGCCCGTTACTCCCCATCACTCTGTACTATTGCCTTCGGCCTAGCCGTACCCTGACAGGCGGTCGGCAGGAGCTAGGAAGGTGCTGCTGGACGGCATATGAACGCCCCGTACCTAATTCGATTAAGTAGACAGGATTAAAGAAATCAAAATAAAATGTGATATCCTATTACTTAAGCCTATTAATCTATAGGTAGTAAGAATCGATTAACGTAGGGCGCTGTAAAAGGGTAAAGCGACGTTATAGTTTAAGCTTTATATTAAAAGGTTGACGCGTATCTAGCGCACCATGTAAATAAGTTTCTTTTATTGCAACAATCTTTATATAGTTATCCTTATCTTTACGTTTTGTAATCGCTATATACTCAATCGGTCTTCGTATGTAAATTATCTAGATAGGACTAGATTACGTAGATACTATGGAATTGGTGGCCTAAGGTCACGTAGGATACGGGCAGTACCAGTGCGATCCCACAGATACTTATATTATATACTACAGTAGGTTTTGTAACTATATTTGGTAATCTGCGTATATCACTGTTACAAACAAGCGCTACTATTCTGGACGAGTTTAACTAGTGATATTATAGATCTTAACCTTAGCTATTCTTTACTCTTACCGTTCGAGGAGATATAGCTCACTTTTTACAATAGACTGTCTTACTAAGTGAAGGAAAAGAGCCAATCACTGCTCAATTGCGGTTGACCATCTTACCGGATCCAATGAACCAGCAAAGAGACAATGACCGACTACCGTTAAGCATGATCCTGAATAGATATATTTGGGCAACGTGTATCATACTCGATTATCGTTGAGCAATCTATTAAATTGGAGCGATGGAGGAAGAGACAGTGGAAGTAGGACCTGGAGCTGAATATATCATTAATAGATCCGCCTCGTTGGAATCACGCTTCTACCGGCGACTTATTTGATTCCTCTGGGGATGACTTCGATTGCAGACAGATGGCCGTCGTCTGTGCCAGTTCAACGGTGTCCTGCTGGCTGCCTTTGTTTGTCCCCCTGCATGTCTTAATTCATGACAGAACCGACACATCTTCGATCCAGAAGTCCTAGCTCTAACCACCACAGCAAAGTAATTAGCATATACATTGTTAGGCAACCTTGGTGGGCTTTGCCAAGACCACCAAGGTTGCCTAACATACATCACATAATCGTATTCACAAGATTTGGCCCCTAAGTTTTAGTTCGTACTTTTGTATTCAAGTTCCTCGTGTCTATATACTTATTCTTGAACAACTAGTCTAAGCGACTGCTATATAGTATCCTCACAATGCGTGATTGCTGATTCTTTCATTCAAAGTAAACTCCTCCCTTGCTCTCTTGTCACTGAATCGAATCGAATCCTGTGGCCCACTACGGGCCACTTCGTGCCCTGCACGGAGTAGAAGAGGGAAAATACAAAACGCCTTTGAACCCCCAACACATCATGATGGGGTATTCTTTCTATGATGGCTCTCGTGTCCCATTTTCCCCCTGTAATGTTCCCGTCAAACATGCCCTCAAGCATCCATGCATACGAGGAACTCGAACAGAAAAATACAATCGCAGTGTAGCTTCTTCTCCCAATCAGTGCTTGGCCTCTTCCTCAAGCTCTTCAGGGGCGTCCGTGTTGTCCACCCCCGCACCAGCACCGGAGGTACCAACACTTAATTGCCTCCAAAGCTCAGCTTCAGCAGTTCCATCATTATAGACCAAATGGCTCCCAAACGAGACCTGCAGATGCTCGTGTCCATGCCGTGTAGGAGACGAGCTTGGCATCACCACATCCGTGCTTAATAGATTACCGAAGTCGAAATGTCCGCCCGGTACCAAAAGACCGTCGCTGTCCATATGCGGTAGGTGGCTCAAGTCGAGCTCGAAGCCGCGGTGCGGCGACGGCGCGATGAAGTCGTTGGCATCGGAAAGCAGTTGGTTGATGGACTTTGTGAAGGGAGACTCGAACAGGTTGTCATTTAGGTGAGAGGACATATTCACGTTCCTCGGGGAACCTCTGCGCAGGGCGCTGGACATGGTGGTGGACCGGGGTGTTCTGGATGGGGTGCGCTGCAATCCCGAAAGCAATTGGCTTGGAGACTTCGCGGACCTCGAAGAGCGGATCGACCTCGTCACACTTCTAGTGATGGGACGATGGCTCGGTGTAGGCCGCGTTGGGGTCTTGAAAGGCTCACTATGAGATGACTTCGGGGGCGGCGTGGATGGGCGTGCAGGAGCAGTACCGAACAAGTCAGCAAAATCATCACTTTCGTGATGTTGAGCAGTAATGCGGCGGTTTTCCTTCTCTCCCTCGTCTTCGCGCTCCTTGGGTGCTTGGAAATTGGGTTCAGCTCGCATAACATTTACCGTCACTTCACCCATAACCCTCTGCCGGCCGTCCTTTTGCGGCGAAGGGAACAGGACTCGCCTGGTGCAGCCAAGATCATCATCATCTAGTGCAATGGGGCTACCGGGGGTCCCACTGCCCCTGGAGTGAGTCGATCCAGGCCCCTGAAGGTTCACCATACTCCCCTGACGGCTATTTAGCGGATGTGGATTAGATGTGAACGGATCTGCCAATTCGGTCCCGGGCGAGCAGGAACCTTCAAAGGGGCCAGTAGGATCGGTGGAGAAACCAATCTCGGAAGTAAGGTTCATTTGCGAGCCACTCTTCGTGCGGGGCTTCTTTTGTCTCAAAGTCTGGGCGCCTGCAGAACGCTTTCGATTTCGCACCTGTTGCAAGCGATCCTGGTCTCTTTCCCACTTCTCCGGTGGTCGAGGAGCCTTCCATTTGGAGAACCAGATTCCGCATGGGTTGCACAGGAGGACTTCATTCCATAGAGTCTTGTCTTCGTTGGGGCCGAGCGTTTTCTTCACCATCTCGTATAGGCAAGGCTTACCCTCATGATCTCGCTCCAGAACGTTGATGGCAGTGACATGACCAGGCTTCTCCGAGTATTCGTGATAATCGGGAACTCCAGTGTGCTCTTGCTTCCAGATCTTGCGCCAGGTAGGAGTTTGGACAGCTCCACAATTAGTGCAAAAGGGTGGCAACTCCCCTTTGGCGACGGCCTCGTCGAGCTTCTGCTTGATGGCCTGTCTTTTGACAATGTTTTTACTGTTACGCGCATCCGCGAGATCAAACATTTCGGCCTGGGGATGCGATGCTTCAGAGATTGATATAGTCGGTGGCATGGGTAGCGTCAGCCGAGGCATGGCGAGATCACTTGCAGGTACCTGGGCCATAGGAGGAAGCTCAGGCTCAGGGTTTGATTCTTCGATGGCCCTGGAAGCTGGAGGAGGCGGCAACATGGGAGAGTATGCGGGTTCAGCCGTGGAATGAAGGTTGCTGTCGCGTGCTTGATGATCCTCGGCAGGTGCGAAACTCTGCTCCTCCACAATCAAGCCGTCGAAAAATTGATCATCATCATCATCATTCAGTGAAGCTAGAAGTCTGGCATTGAAACCGCTGGGGTTCTCTTCGAGTGCCTCGAGTTTCAGCGATGCGTTCGTATCCGGTGCGGGCTGTGAAGGTATTGCTGCTGTCGTGAGGCGCTCAGGCTGTGTAGGTGGTTCCTCTGGCGTGTTAACGTCAACTTGCGCAGGCAGTTCTCTCGTCGTCCTGACCTTAAGTTGTGCAGATGCGTCTGTTATCGTCGCAATCTCAGGCCGAGGGAGTACCTGAGATATCTTATTCGCCGCTAGCTCAGTCAACGTCGTGATTTCGGACGTGGACTTTTGGAGCAGAGGAGGCAGACCAGGCTGCTCTGTCACAGGCGGGATTGATTTTGATTGTGTCTGTACCTTTGCCTTTGCCGCCGGCTTGCGACTTCTAGTAGGGTTCGGAGGTGGAGGACCTGTGTAAATCGACGTGGTAGGGAGTAGAGTCGGGTCACCCGGCGTTTCGGAATGATAGACGAAGTTGTCTTGATCTTTGGCTATATCTTTAGCTTTGGTAGGTTGCTGTTTTTTGGCGCGACTCCGTTTGGGCTTCGGTTTTGCCAAAGCTGGCGCGGCAGGTGGGGCTTGGACACCAGGCTTCTCAAATATGTTTGACGCATCGTCCCCTTGAGGCGCATCATCCAGTCCGCCACTCATGAATCCAGAATCGGGTTGTATTTGCGGCATTGGCATTGGAGGTAGAATTGGACTCGACGGCGGATTCGGGCTGGACCGTATGCTATACATGGCCCTGGGAACCGGAGGCGATGATCCAATATCTGCTGGACTGGCATCACTGTACTGAGACGGCGACGGAGCGATTGAGTCCATTGGTGACTGAGCATCCTGATTTTGGGACATGAAACGGCTCACTTCCAAAGACGATGTCATAAAAGAGCCAGCCTGATCCTGTGCCGTTACGGAATGTCGTCTCAAAGTACTTGAGCCACTCGATCTCGAGTTGGATGGGCCAGGCAACTGGCGCTCTGGAACAGGCGTGGGAGCCCTGGGGCCTTCCTGAAGATGGTTTCCGGTAGGACCATCCCTCCCTGGGCCAACAGGGCGGAAAGTTCGTAGGGACCCCGACGTGCTTGCTGCTACTCGAAGAGACTCTGGCGCTGAACCAAATGTTGCTGTATTGCTTCGCTCGACGACTTGAGTCGTCTTGGCCCTCCTCTTCTTCTGCGGCGGGCCGTCATCCGCATCGGTGCCATCTTCGTAGCCAGAAGTGCTCCCTTCGCCTGGAAGAGGATTCTTGCGTGGGCGGCCCCTCGGTCTTCCCGTCGGTGCTTTCGATCCAGCGCGAGACTTCGGTTTGTTGGCTTTTCCATCAGCTGGCGCTGGATTCAAGCCTTCAGGACCTGCTTGGTTTCCCTGCGTGGTGGCATTCCCATTTGTATTTGGCTCAACAGAGGCTGGACGACTTGATGTCGCAGCTAGGAAGCCTTGTGAAGTGGGTCTCATCATGTCGTTTCTGGCATCAAACCCTGCGTTGTAAAGCCTTGCAGGTGCTAGTCCAGGTGAAGACATGGCTGACACGTTTCCTCTGTGGCCTAAATTGGGATTCGACTGCATAAACGCCCGCCATTCTGCGCTTTCCGACATGATGGAGACTGAGTTGTTGAGGCTTGGGACCGATTCCATATTGCTCGTGGGACCAGGCGTCGGTGTCGGATTTGCTCGTGCGATCTTGCGCACGGCGGTCAACCTCAGTTTGACCTCGAGGGTTTCCCGAACGCCGTTGCCGAAAATGGCGAGCACGTTCTTGGTAACTCTGCCAGTGACCAGTTTTTGAGAAGCATCCCCACCAGGGCCTTGCTCCAGAGCCCAACATAACATGCCTTGTCCGACGAGGGGTGTGTCGGGTTCTGAGTAGTCGTACGCGTACACTGTATAATCCTGCCCACTATCGCCAACTAACTCGGGGCTGCATTGGGCTACCGCTTGCACACATGTCCTCAGGTCCAAAACCCCAATGGTGTTCCTCTCGTCGATTGCAATCGTTTGCACGTGAAGAGTATGCGGCCACCGGGCCAGACAATTGATGGCATTGTCTCTGTCGAAGGAGTAATGGACTTTCACTAGAAGCTTGTCAGCAATTGGTGACGTTCCCAGAACAATCGAGCATCCGTACACCCCATAGCTGTTGTCTGCATTTCAACGTCCTCGGGGCCAATGGGTGGGGGTCCCCAATGTGCATTGTTGTTGTTGTTGTTGTTGTTGGCCATGTCGAAGCAAGGGTCGTCCAATTCACGATGCCAGATAGCACCTCGACTTGAGTCTCTGGACAGACCGAATTCTTGTTTCAGAAATAGGAAAATGTAAAAAAATGAAATTGTTTGATGCCAAGAGATCACAGTATCAGGGTGCTACTTTGTGTTTCCTAGGCATGGCCGTGAGTTGTGGCGCGTATCGATGTTGTTTGACGAGACTGGAAAAAATCGCGGGTTGGCGGTACAATATTCTGATGGAAAGCGGTAGTGGCGTGACCTAGAGGAACCCGACAGGAAGTAGAAATGTACAAAGGCAAATTCCGAACCGGCGTAGCGAGATAGTAAGGACGTATCAATTGGTCTTGGTGCATGTGCTCTCGCAGGAGCTTAAGGTGAAGGGAAGTCGGAAGCGTGTGTAAGTCGACGGGTGTTGAAGTGTAGGTAAGGTCTTTAGATGCAAACTACAAGTGTACCTGGTCCAGAAGGCGAATGGCAATCGATAGGAGTACCGCGTTAGTGGTTCCCTGGCGGTCGTCAACGCGCCTTTACTAGCGCGACTTTTCCGATACTTCGAGGCCCGCGTTCTACCGTTACGTCAATCAGAGGCTGGCGGGCAGTGGATACCTGAGTGGAATAGACGGCACCACTGACACTGAAGGCAATGTCAGTTGAGAATCCATCCCCTTTATTCCACCTAGAGTACAGGAGCATCAACCGTCGTGACAGCATTTATCCCATTTCAAGTTCCGGGGAATTCCTCTATCAAGTTTGCACTTATTACCTACCTGGGAACGTATCTCGATTTATCGCATTTGAGCCTAGCCCAGTCGAGCCCTGCAGCCAAGGTGGCTGGGAACTGGTTCTCCACGCGCGTTAAATGCCGGTATGGTGGGACCTTGATGCACGGACCGATTTCGAAGTGAGAGTTCGGCGTTTAGGCCATCACAAGAATCGCAGGCAGAAGGGCAACCGGAATCCGAATTGCACACAACACACTACTTCAAGAATGAGATGGATGAGTTGTTTTGTCAATAATTTTGCCGGGAGGGGCGGCGGCCGGAGTCCTTTTTATATATCCCGGAGCCGTACGAAGCCCCACTTTTGCATACTCGTGACTCAAGAACAGCCAGAGCCCTCTTTTCGATTGATGATATACTTCAACCACACCTTGTTGCGACCGTGAAGGTTGACGAAACTCGGACTTGAGTATCGCCTTTCAACAATTTTTAAAGCACGACTCCGTTTTCTCATTATTCACATAGTCAGCATCGACTGTTTATTGTACAACGAAGAATTTACATTTCAGATCGTAGGCCCCTGATTTTCGTACACCCACTGCGCATGTCCATTCTCATCCACCGCAGTCGAGCGTCTCAGGATTTCCTGTACGATTGTAGCGATACCCTGCCGACCGTTCTTCCTCTGCACAAACTCGTCCACAATCTCGCGTCGACTCCGCGTGCCCTCGCTCACGAGCTGCTGTACCTCTTGTTCGCTGGGAACGCCGACATAGGTGTACGGGTAGTTGTTCGTGTAGTCGCGCTCGACCAAGAGCTCCAGCCCTTCTGTCATTGCGCTCTTCTGGAAGAAAGGCTCTGCAGCAATGGGGTCCGTGATATCTTCCAACGTGGCCGGCGTCCACTGCGGCGTCCTCTGCGGCTTGCTCAGGAGTGAAGTCACACCCTCAGTGAAATCGGGATGTCGCATGAAGTGTGCCGCAATCTGGTATTCTCGCTGGAAGGTTTCCGAGATGCTCCAGTTCTTGGCGATGTCCATTTGCTTGCAGCTGACATAAACTGACGTCGGCGAGCGTTTGTGCAGTGTCTCCAGGGTCTTTACTGCCCATTGCTTGGTAGAGCCCTCCTCGCGCTCCAAGGCAGCCATAATTTCGGGCACGTTAGTCTTGCTGAAACATCGGTCAATGGCTCTTCGAAGTTCGCCAGCGAGCTTAATTGGTTCCTTATCCAAGGGCGGCAAGCCGGTGGCGTACTCCTCGATCGTCATCTCAATGATCTTCAGACGCATTTCCATAGAGTCATAGTCCCTAAAGCGCAGCTCGGCAAGGCGGTTCTCGAGACTGGTTAAACTCGTCGAGTGAAGGTAGTGTGTGGCAATTCCCGTGTAGAAGACGTTTGCCCCAGTCAACCTCTCGCTTGTGAGGGCCAGGTACTTTCCGATTGAACCAGGCAACCGCGGCAAGAAGTATGAGGCGCCGACGTCAGGAAAGAAGCCGATAGTAGTTTCGGGCATGGCGAAGGTGGTGCGCTCGGTGGCTATCCGGAACGGGGCGTGTATGCTGAGGCCCACACCTCCGCCCATGGTGATGCCGTCCATGAAGGCGACGTATGGTTTCTTATAAGTCGCGATATAGTGATTCAGTTTGTATTCGAGAGCAAAGTAATCGGCCGACTTTTGCTGGCCCTCAGGTCCTTCCCGATTCTGCAACGCCAGTGCCATGACATCGCCGCCTGCACAGAAAGCCTTGTCGCCCACGCCCTTCATCACTACCACATTTGCCATGTCAGATTTCTCCCATTCGACCAGGCGGGGTACAATTTTTCGAATCATAGATGCATTCAGCGAGTTGAGCTTTTGTGGACGATTGAGCTCGACGGTGCGAAGACCATACAAGTTGTTGAAGAGCACATCCTCGGGTTCGTCTTCCGGCGAAGGCCTGATCTTTTGCTTTACGTCTCCTGTGGACATCTGTTTGTATTCATTGTTAGATAACTAGCACTGGTAGATAGGTAGGTATTGTGTGCTCATACCTGAGCTCTTGATGTGACCCGGGGATCGAGTATTTTTGCTTTCAGAGGCATTCTGAAGCTGCTATTCCTTAACGGCGAGGAAGCATTAGCCGCAAAGGCAGCCCGGCTTACAAGGACTCTAAAAGACATCTAAATTAAGATTGACTCGATGCGCAAATGAGTTGAAGCTGCGCATCGGGCGAGCGTGGAAAGGGGAGCCTTTTGCGAAGTCAATCGAACCTCGGGATCGCGCAGATTTAAAGGTTTCCCTCTCGAACATTTGAAGCTCGGGTCTTTTGGGGTTGCAAATGGAGCTTCAGCCACGCCGCGCTGTGGATCCCGAACACCAGCCTATCAATCACCATCTCACCACGACCAAGCGATTCGAACTTGGACTTTTCGGGACTGCCGCCTTGCCAACAGACGTCCTTGATTCAAGTCAATTTACACATTTGCAACACCACCACAATCATGGCGGACGCAAAGATCCAGTAGGTGCAGGCGAATTCAATTCTACTTTGAGGCAGTAGCTAACATTACCGTCAGGGACCTCCTCACGAAGCCGCGCAATGAGTTAACGTTTGCCTCCCACCTCTAAGGAACTGTTTCCCGGCGTTGATGCTGACCAACGTGACAGGGAGTATGAGATCCAACAGCTCGAAGAGCACGAGTTCAGTGCGGGACCCCTCTCCATCCTCCAGACCGCCGTTCGAAGCCATACACAAGTCCTCATCTCAATTCGCAACAACCGCAAGCTGCTTGCCCGAGTCAAGGCCTTCGACCGGCATTGCAACATGGTGCTGGAAAACGTGAAGGAGATGTGGACCGAGACGCCCAGACTTGCGAATGGCAAGAAGGGCAGACCAGTCAACAAGGATCGGTTCATTAGCAAGATGTATGTGCATCCCAAGGGCCCTTCGCGAGTTGGGAACCATGGGACTAATGTGTGTTCTAGGTTCTTGAGAGGAGATTCAGTCATCTTGGTTCTTCTCAGCTAGATTCATCTAGTAGAGGCTTTTATTCTGCTGTGAATGTCGATCTTGACGGCATAGGATGGTTCGCTGGTATTCAATCAGGCAGGCGTTGGCAAAAGGGATGTTGGACAGGATTTGCTAACAGCTGTCTTTAAGCATGATGACTGCGCTCTTGTATGGAGTGATCTGGCCGAGTAAAATACCGGCAGTGCAAAAGGACCAAATGCATGTCCAGAACAGAACTCGGGGCGGGAAATCGTTTAGATACCATCAATACATGTGTCCTAACTAAGCACTCACTCCTCGCTATTCATGTGCTAAGAAGCCCCTGATTCTGCCTCAAATTGCACCGCTTCCCAGTCATCTTCTCCATTCTTCAAGCCAGCCAAACCAAGGAAGAATGCGGCCAGGCCATGGGCACCTGGATCGGGTACCTCCTCGAATCCTGACCCTCCAACGTAGACGGTGCGTCCAAGACTGGCTTTCATTCCTTTCGTCCCTTCAGCTCCAGTTTTCGCGGCTTCTGCGGCCTGCTTCACATCCCCAGTTTTCCCGAGAACCTCGACGAATGGGTACAGAGCATCCACGAGGGTACGATCTCCAGGTCTAGCAGGGGTGTATCTTGACAGTGCTTCGCAGCTCTGTTTCAAGGCGCCGGCCCAAGCTTTCGGACTTGCATCTCCTGGACCAAAGACTCTGAGCGTATGAACAAGGGAATTGATAAATATCGCGTAAAGTGCCCCAGAGGTGCCGTCCATATCTGTCTCGATGATAGATGCGATCTGGGAAACATCAACGACGACATCTCCAGTTAATGAGTTCTCCGACAAATAAGTGAGGATGCCTATCCATATGTTAGCATGTGTATATCAGCATCAGTGGGGGGGGGGGCTGGCTCAAACCCTCAGCACCCCTTTTGAGGCCAATGCCACAATCGCCATCGCCTACGACCGTATCATAGCGAGTCACCTCAGGTTCCGCAGCGATAACAGCCTTGAGTCCAGCTGTTAGTGCTTCCTTCATGGACTCGGCATTCGTTCTTAGTCCGCTGGGTTTTGATGCCTCGCCCGACGCTGCCTTCTCTTCCCTGGTGGCCTGGTTCCTAGCCTCCCATGTGTTCTTGGAGATTGGAGCAGCCCAACCGGTGGCCTCACAGGGGGCATCCAGCAATTGGATCATACCCGGGCCACCAATGTCTGTATTGACAACGTTGAGTAATGATATGCTGAAACCCAGTCCGTTTAAGCTTGTCATGTACGTTCCACTCAGGATACGCACTGGTTCGATGCCCCATTGCTTAAGTTGCTTTACCACCTCGGCAGTAATACCAGCCAGTTCAAGGATACTGACGCCTCCAAGATTGTTAACCAGCAAAACCACTTCGTTGGAGTTCACGTTGAGGAAATTCCTGTCGGCATCGTTGGGGTCCAGTAGTTGAGCAAGCATCTTGGTCACAAGTTCAGGGAGCTCAACTGTTACTTTCCCTGACCCAGGCTCATTGTGGATGCCCATGCCGATCTCAACCTCATCGGCCCCCAGGTTGTCTTTCAACTTTGGGTCGGGCGGTGCTCGGCCGGGCACGTGAACATGTTCGAGGCTAGCTCCCACACTGACAAGATTATCCGCTGTCAGCTGGGCCACCTTGTGAACTTGTTCAAGAGTCGCTCCATGGGCCGCGAGAGCTCCGGCAATTTTGTGGACCAAAACTGTGCCCGCAATGCCACGGCGTCCGACTTTGCCACCCTTCTCGCGTCCCACACCAACATCATCCCCCACAACCACCATCTCACAACCCATTCCCGCGGCCTTGGCCTTCTCGACTGCCATGCCGAAATTGAGGATGTCGCCCGTATAGTTCATGACAGTGACCAGCACACCCTTGTCAGTGTCAACTCGGGACATGATGGCCCTTCTCACTTGTTCGGCGCTGGGCGAGGCGAATATGGTACCAGCTACGGCAGCAGACAGCAGGCCGGGTCCAACCATGGCACTGAAACTCGGCTCATGGCCACTACCACCACCGCTGATGAGGGAAACCTGGGACGGCTTGCCCTCCTCAGGCCTTCGATAGATAATCTTGTTCTCAACATCTAGGGCTACAGATGGGTTGGTATATGTAATACTCTGGAGTGCAGAGTTGACAAGGACGGTTGAGTCGTTGATGAAGTGTTTGCCCGACATATTGAAATAACGGAAAAGGAGGCTCTCGGTTTGTGAGGAGATAAGAGACAAGAGAGGAGAGGAGAGGCGATGGAGAAGATGCACGAGAGCCACGATCACCTCAGGTAGGCTGACTTGGCTCCAATAAATACGAGAGAGACTTGATACATGACCTACCTACCCCTACCCACACATTTTCCGAAGCATGATGAAATGCGGCTTCCTGTGCGGCTAATCTCCGAGGAGCATCGGATAACTCCTCAATGGCGAAGAAGACACGGAAGACCTGCAACTGCGACGTTTGTGTCTGGGCCTGCATGGGAATGCAATGCAGAACGGAAGGAGGGGTCAGTTGGTGTCTAAGCTCTCAGGCAAGTTGGGGTTCCCGGGCTAATAGCTGGAGGTGGGGCCGCGGAATGGCGGGGTCAAAGTGACGCCCTGGACTTTTATCGATTTTGAAGTTTGCAGCCGCATTAGTCTCTCATCCCTGCAAACAATTATTGCTTGGTGACTCAAAGTGCCGATTTGACAATCACCTTTGGCATTCCCGGTTTCTCACGAACTTGCACATGATATAGACAGACATACTCCATTTTTGTCAAGTTTTCCACGTTCCTTGCCCGGTTTCTGCATTCTGGCGCGACATCTGGCGCGACCAGACCGACCCCGCGCCATGTCTACTGAACCGAATGGTGAGCCTTCCCAAGGCGCACCGCAGCCAAAAGAGCAGTCGTCAAAGTCGATCCAACCTCCGAAAGGCGAGAAGACAGGAACAGCAGAAACACCCAATGCCCTTAGTGGCGAGAAGAAACTCTCTGGGGCCGAGCTGAAGAAGAAGGCCAAGGAAGAGAAGGCTGCAAAGAGAGCATTAGCAAAGGCGTCCAAGGAGGTCGCAAAGGGCGAGGCCGCGGTGTCGTCTTCACCCGGCCAATTAGGTCCATCGGCTGGCGAAGTCAAGGGAAACAAGAAGGGGAAGCAAGATGCTACAGCTACAGCAGGATCTGGAGCTGGAGGTCGACCGACTCCGAACAGAGCAACTCCGTCAATGGTAGCGGAACAGAAAGCAACCATACCCGAGTGCTTCAGTCACCTACCCATGGCAAAGAGACTACCAATGACACAAGCGGACAAGAGCGTTCATCCTGCAGTACTGGCATTGGGTCAGCAGATGGCGACGTTTACCATTGACGAGAGCATCAACCGGCTGCGAGCAACACTTCTGGCCTTCAAACGAGTATGTATCCCACAAATAATATGAGATCGCTCAAGTTACTGACCTCGAAAAGGTAATCGCATCTTATAGCACTCCTGCTGGACATACTCTTGCCCGACATTTTACCCCACATGTGCTTGGCCCTCAGATCGACTATCTGACTTCCTGCCGACCCATGTGTTTTTCTATGGGAAATGCGATAAGATGGCTCAAGCTTCAGATAAGCAAGATCGACATGGATTCCAAGGAAGAGGACGCAAAGAGAGACCTTTGCAGAGCAATTGACAACTTCATTACGGAACGCATCACAGCAGCCGACGAGGTTATCACGGAGTCGGGAGCGAAGCATATTGAAAACGGCGATGTCGTCCTGGTCTATGGCCGCAGCAGCCTCGTTGAGCGGACACTCCTCTGTGCGTATTCATTCGGAACGAATTTCTCCGTCTTCGTCATCGATGACCCTTATGAGAGAGCCGGACAGCTGCTAGCAAAGACCCTGGCAGCGGAAGGCATCAAAGTAACGTACTGTGGAGATTTTGGAGGACTGATCAATCATATGAGACACGCGACGAAGGTTCTCTTTGCAGCTGATGCAATGTTCAGTAATGGGGCAATGTACGCACGCGCAGGAGCTTGTGATGTTGCTCTCGCAGCAAATGAATTGGAGAAGGAAGTCATCACCCTGTGTGAAACGATCAACATCACAGAGAGAGTTGCCACGGACTCTTTGACCTATAACGAGATCGACCCTGAGAGATGCTCCGCCGAGGCATTCAGACTGCTGTTCGACACGACTCCGGTGAAGTATCTGAACGCCCTGATCACTGAGCTGGGTTGTGTTGCGTCGAAGTCGGCACCAATCTTATTGAGAAAACTGGAAGAGTTCAACTAGGGTAAGAATTCTGATGGCAAGTATCACAGGCAAATGGATCAGGAGCATGGATTGGGCATATGGCCACCGTTAGGAAATCATTTGGACATGCCATATTGATGTCGAATATGGATCAATCGTACCAGCTGCTTATGCCGAAATATTCTCAAAATGATTTTTGGAATGCTATCATCCCAAGAAGCAGCTCTTGCTTCAGCTGAAAACAGGTACTGATGTTGCTGGTGCTAGGCCAAGTAAGATGTGTATATACTTGAGTAGGCAAGTTGGTAATGTCCTGTTTGCTGAACGCATAAGCTCTGCCAAGCCTGCCATGGCAACACACAACCAAGTCCACCACTACTTGTCCATCACAGCGAGATGCATCAGGGGAAAATGTGACCTCTACTGATTCCCGGATACTCAGAGAAGTACAAAACGACCTCTTTAAATCCGGGCGCCCAGCAACGGGTTCATGTTTAATCTCTGCCAGAGCGAAAACATTCGCATCTATAGGGTAAGACTGCGAATGTCGATATACGCACGAATGCGTAAGCTGGCATTTGTCACGGCGACAAGACTCACGATGCGGTATGTACAATAGACAACCTCCGCGGGAAGTCAACAAACCAATGACTCGCAATTGTGTTTTGCACCGGCAAGACATACATCATATGAAATTCTCAACTTGCCTTCCTCTTTTCCACCCACCCGGTGCCATATGTATACGCCAACATTCGCCCGAGAACTCCCCCCCACCTACGCGTTCTCCGCTGCGATCTTGTCGCCTTCTCGTGCCGCCCGTCGCGCCCTCTTCTCCAGAATGATATTTTTTCGCTCCTCCAGCATGGCCTGCTGTCGCTCATCCACACCCTGGATCCAGTATCCGAAGCTTGATCCGACGCCTGCGAAGACCGGATACGCCCATAATGAGCCGCGGTTGAAAAAGGGCCGCATTTCAAGGCCGAGCTGCCATAGTCTAACGGCAACGCCTGCGTTTAATAGTCAGCAAGATATCTAGGACGAGGACAAGGAGATAATAATGTACCGAAGCCGCCCCAGAAGACGATTCTGGACACCATTGTGACTGAGTAGAGAAGGGTAGAGCCTCGACGGGCTGGTCAATGGATTTGTCGTGGCACGCCCGTGTAATTGGCCTTGTGGGATTGGCTGGTTGCTGGATTACGCCTCGGATGGATCGAAGTGAGCTTTGTATTGAGTCGTCTTCAATTGACGGAGGTTCAAAGCTTCCTCACAGCCGCACTAACTCCACTTTATCACAAGTGGGTCCAAGCAAGGGCCACCTGCAAGTCAACGCATTCAGACGCGATTTTCCCTGAGAGCCGGCAACATTAGTCGAATCTGAACTCCTTCCGGTCCAACGTCTTCTTCGTGGCCTGAACGTGCAGCCCATTGCGCAATTTTCCTTCCTTTTGGCCAAGACGCCTATCCTACTGCAGCGACCGACATCGAGCTCGAACTTATGAGTCTCTGGTCTAACCTGAGACTACTTCGACGGCCGCATGGCCTCCGTTTCAGCTGTCAAGATGGCGACCACTACAGAGCAAACGCCGCCAGCCGGAGGATTAGGAGTGCCTGCGCCTGTAGCGCCTGTCCCACACAAGTTTAAGGCCTCAGATCTGCCTTTGACTTCTGCTACAAGATCCGCAATCGAAGGACTGGCTCACAGCTTCAAGAAGAAGGGTGGCTATGATGCGATTCGCAAGAATGTTTGGGAGAAGTTCGAAGCTAGTGTATGTGATGGCATCTAACGGGTAAAATTATGGCATATGCGCTTACAATCTATCCAATCGCAGGGCTACGAAGCTCAAGTCACTAAATCAATCGTCGAGGTCGCTGAGCAGGAAGTCGAGCGCAACCCGTCCCAACTGCTGAAGATGGACCGTCGTAAGGCAGCTGCTCTTATCGACGGTGCACTGGATCGATCCGGTGTCTATCAGAAAGCTGAAGAGGTTATTGACCAGCTCATCGATGTGAAAGCTATTGAGGAGCGCATTCGGGAGCTCCGCAAAGCGGACGTGGGCGACGAAGCCGCTATGGCAGAACAACTGCGTGGATCTAAGACTGATGAGGACTATGCCGCCGATACAGCCGGTCGCTTGGAAGAGCGCGAGCGTGTGAGACGCGAGCTCAGAGAGAAGGAAGAACAGATCGCAGCGGAAAAGCGCAAGATCGAACTGGAAGAGAAGAAGCAGCGGGAGCGAGAGATGGAGAAAGTCGAAGCTAAGCGCAAGGAAGAACGAGACGCTCGACGACGTGAGAGAGAAGCCAAGGATGAGGAACGCGAGATCCAGAGACAGAAGGAGAGAGACGAGCGTCGCGCCGCGCGAGAGAAGGCACGCGAAGAGAGAGAGCGAGACCGTGACCTGAAGAGAAGAGATCGCTCGAGAGACAGGTCAAAGGACAGGTCGAGGGACAGGTCAAGAGACAGGTCTCGCTATCGTGACAGATCCAGAGACAGAAGAGACCGAGATCGAAGCCGCAGTCCTCGCCGCCGTGATAGCCGAGAGCGACGGAGACGAGACCGGTCTCCGCGAGAAGAAAGGGAGCGTAATAAGCCCGAAGAACTCGAACAGCAACTGTCGAAAGAAGAGCTCGAGAGACTTGAGCAGGATGCCCTTGCAGACCTCTTGCGTGAGAGCAAGAGAAGTTCCGCCAAACAGCCCGAAATTGAGATTGATGATGCCCTTGTGCCCCCGCCACGTAAGACCAAGCCAGCCTCGGCCATTCAACCAATCCGTCGGGATTCTCCCAAGAATGCATCCGACCCTAAGAAGGTACCAGAACTTGTGAAGACGGACTTGAAAGATTCTGTCAAGGAACCGAAGCCGCCCAAGGAGGTTAGGGAAGTAAAGGAAACTAACCAAGTTAAGGACGTCAAGGACGTCAAGGAGACCAAAGACTCGAAGATTGTGATCAAGGAAATCAAGGAGTTGAAGATCGCAAAGGCAGCAGAGAGCTCTAAGGAAGACCTCGAACCTAGGGAGGTGAAGGAACCTAAAGACTCGAGGGAAGCTAAGCCCAAGGATGAGCGACGTAGCAGCATAGCCGCCTCTTCGCGGGACCATCGCCATGATCGTGATCGACGTGACCGAGAGGAGCCAATTAGGTCACGGCACCGTTCCAAGGAAAGGAGTCGCTCGAGACACCCAAGAAAGAGAAGCCGCTCGAGACGCCCAAGAGAGAGAAGTCGCTCGAGGAGTCTACACTCTCGAGATGTCAGGAACACGAGTCGTTCTAAGCGTCCACGCTCAAGAGACGTAAGAAGCCGAAGCCGCTCAAGGCATCAGTTCCCTTTCGAGAACAACTATCGACCAGGTGAGCTCAGAGCTCAAGATCGTAGTCGCTCTCGCCACCGGTCGGACCGAGATAGGAGAGACAGGCGAGACAGGAGCCATTCGAAGAGTCGAAAAGATAGAAGCCGCTCACGGGACCACTACAAACCAGATCGGAGAGTCCGCAACGATACTCGAGGCAAAGACAGCCCGGACAGACGTGAACGTGCTCACACTGATCGCCGGGAGAGATCCCGCTCCCCTCGTCCTCGAACTGAGCGAAAGGATAGGAGCCGCTCACGCCTAAGAAGTGAACGTCGTGCACGCAGCCCTTCCACTAAGAGAGCACGAAGTCGAGATCATCGCAGTCGCTCTCGTTCCCGCCCTACCACTTCTGCCAGGCATGAAACGCAGTTGATGGACGCAGAGACCTGGAAACAAGGCGAGATCAAGAGGCGTGAGCAGGAAGCAAAGGCGTACCTGGCTGCTCAGAAGGAAGCTCGCGAGAAAGGCCTACCAGTTCCAGGACTTGAAGATCGGCATAGTGCTGGTGAACGGTCGCCTGAGGTCAGACGCAGCAGCCGTGTGCCTGAAGACATTGATTCGTATCGCCCTGGCGAGCGGCGTCGTGAAAAGGAGTCTGACCGTGAGCGTACAGGAGGCGATAAGTATAGGGCCCGGGACGATGAGAGGGGTGGTGGTGACAAGTACCGAGCCCGAGATGAAGATAGGAGTAGTGGTGATAAGTATCGAGCTCGGGACGACGAGCGGGGGTCTGACAAATACCGGACCCGTGATGATCGGGGTTCTGACAAGTATCGATCACGGGATGAGGACAGACGCGAAAGACGCCGCAGCCGAAGCAGAAGCCATGACCGAGACAATAGAGACAAGCGAAGCCGACGTGAGCGCAGCACCGATTCCCGCCGCGACAGACGAGACAGGCGGGACAGGAGTCATAGCCGCAGACGCAGTCGGAGTCCGCGTCGATAGATTCCTCGCGCCAACGTTATCAGCGTGACTTCAACTTATCGACCATCGGCGGTGTATTAGCGAGGCGTTTAGGGAGGCATTCAGGGTGGGGGATTGACATTAGTATTGTATAAACATGTACAGCATTTCGGAGCTCTAAGACTACGTTCAGGGAAAGATTCGGCAATGACACCTACTTTTGCTTGCGGATTTTTCTGAGCTCAAGGAATCAATATCGGGAACATTGATGGTTTATTTGCATGTTCAGATACCCTTGGGGTGGATGGCGTCTGAGCTCCCGGATGCTATTGGTATAGGGAGAACCAAACATCACAGTCGACAGTCATGGCTTAACTCAAGTGGATATATTTTTCATGAAGCGGTCCTCTTGTCAATTGGTGAGTTTCCAAGCTATGGATACTGGTATAGAACAAGCCAGGTCATGCCTTAATGATACTGTAACACAAGGCTCGTGAATCAATAACAGCAAGTTGTACAGCATCTAAACGCCAGTAAGCGGGCAGATCGACGTGCCCTATAAGATTAGGTAACGACCAATCGATCAGTACCAGGAACATCTGGGAGGCGCAGAGCCCTTCACTGCAGTGAAAACGCAGGTACAGCGTCAAAGCTGAAGCGTGCACGTTGCATCACGGCCTACAATTGCAATGTAAGAAACTTTTTAAGTACTACGAGATTTCCATTCTCCAACGAGGACAATTCGAGCTGCAAAGCAAATTGCAACCGAACTCGAAGATCCAGCAGATCAAAAGATGGGAATGTCCAGCAGTCCCCGGGACGGCCCCCTGAAACTCTTTGCCTGGTTTGCGCCTGATGAAACGTCGGCAAGGTGGCCGGGGACAACATGCCGCACCGCCAGCGATCGCGTTAATGCGTCCTCTCCCGGCGCGCCGCGACTTCGGCTGTGTCTAGGAGTTGAGACTGCTTCTAGAGTCTATTGGTGCAGGACGAAGATTGAGATTCATGCGATAGGAGACCACATACTATGGTGTTATGGGTAAGTTTTCAATTGTGTGTTTGTACCGTGCCCCACCTTGGCACGCGCTAACTCTTGGCATATGCATCCAATACATTTTACTAGTACTTTGTATGCATTCCGTTGGCCGCGATCACCGCTTCGCACCTCTCTGGCATTGATTTCAAAAGCTCCTGTAAGTAGCTCTCAGGTAATTCATCCCAAGCCTCCTTTACCCATATCCGAAGACGATCATAGCTAGGCTTTTCAGTAATACCGTATTTATCTTCAATGTAGTCCTTCATCCAGTTCCAGCACATCTCTATCGGGTTTAGATCAGGGGAATAAGGTGGCCACTGGACTATATTAATGCCCCTATCTGTAAGATCTGTGACTGTATCAATTGCCGAGTGAGCGGGAGCGCCGTCCTGCACTAATGTAAGGTGTGTACCGAGGTCTCGTTGACAGAGTTGTATCCAGCCATCGATAATAGGAATTGTGTGGGATCGATATGTCTCGGCAGTAATAGAACCCCAATCCTTTTCCCAGAAGATTCCCGGTCCTTTTCCAAGGCCTGAGAAACAGCCCCAGAACATCCAGCCTTGTTTATGTTGGTGTCGTTCGATAATACAGGTCGGGTCCCATTCCTCTCCTGGTCGTCGTGTAACGTACTGTTTTCGATGGTGTCCTCCTGTAATCCATGTCTCGTCGGTCCAAAGTACCTGAGCCCATTGCTCTGGTGTCCAGCTGACATGTTCGAGGGCCCAGGCGAGACGCTTTTGTCGGTTAACTTCTGAGATAGGAGGCCTTCGGCGCGCAGTATGTCTCTTGAATCCGAGCCGGCGGAGGGTAGTTCGTATAACGTAAACTCCGAAGAGGGACTCGAAAAGGATGATTGACAACTGGAGGAATGAGGCTCTACGGCCTTGCTTAGAACTAGTTACATATGTAACGAGCTCTTCTTCTTGCTCACGAGATAAAGTCCGGGGTCTACCAGATCTCTTAGCTACCTGGCTTGAAGAGGCCTTAATAGCTGTCTTGATCTGATTAAGAGAAAATGTTGTAATAGTATGAATTTCGGCTTTCGATTTACCACCGTCGAAATAGAGGGTTCGAATTCGTTGGCGATCGGCTTCCGTAAGGTGTTTAGTCCCCATTGTGGTTACTGAAACGCGATAATGAGGACGCGTTATTGACAGCAAGTTGGAATCAGAGGTGGAAGTACCTTTTCGTTGGCATGAGTAGGCTAGGCCATAATTAGTATAGTGTTGCCTTGGCAGTGATCCACTGGTACTTGTCAGGGGGGTGAAAACTTTGGCCTGATACCGTAGTAACAATAGACAGGCCGTGGAGAATGATTAGCCCCTGCACTATATTTCCTACTTATCATTTTGAGAGTGAGAGATGGAGCGAGGGGATTCTAGACGACAATGACATACTGATAATAGAGCAAGCCGACCAAAGGCTTTTAAGTGATATTCATGGGGTCAGCGGCGTCATCATCCAGCCTGGACAGTTGGTTAGACAGGCTCTGAGCCCTGCCTTGGAGCTGAGTTGATGTAAGGCGGGCCAGTCCACCGAACGAGACTTGCCCATCCCCGCTACTGATAGTGGGATGCGCACATCCCGCTGTCATTCATTAACAGTCCGTGCCAAGATGCTGGTTCCCTGCCTACTACATACTCCCGCAAGTGGTTGTGTTTCCAAATGCGGAGCAGTCGTCTCTGCCTCCTCTTTCCTAACTGCGCAGTTTCGATAGCAGCGAGCAGGTACGGTACCTGAGTACAATTCATATGGTTTCTCCTCATTCCTAAAATCATAACAGTCGTCATCTTGCAGTTTCGTTCACAAATTCTTCTTCCCTCTCCATGTGCACCATGTCCTCAGAAGCAAGGACAAATAATTGACTGAACGCAGACGCTTTGTCAATCATTTATCGGCCTGCCCCATTGGTCGTAAAGTATTAGCAAGACATCAAGGTTGGGATTGATAGCGTGGGTCACTTCGTCTTGGGCCCGAGCAACCGTCAGGTGTATCAGCAGTCCGCAGCCCGCAGTGTGGTAGCGCAGTGCAGCAGCACAGGACCGACCGCACGACCTCTGAACGACCTAGCGACCTAGACTCCCAAACCAAATCCAAATCCCGCCAACCAACGACCAACATCAACCTCTTATTACCGGCGCCTCCAACCATCGCGTTCGAGGATTTTCCCTCCCTTTGACTAGGCGAGCATTTTCGTTTCTACTGCTATACCCTTTGCATTTTTCTTCCATTTTTGTTACTTTTTCTCGAGCCTTCCGCCCAGAGTCGGCATTGAGGTCCCCAATCCTCAACCAACCCCAAGCCGGATGAGTGGCCCCGGACGGTGACGGCACGCACCAGCTATCCGCCACTCAACCGACCCCATCAAACGATCTACCACCTCAGCTCATCATCGCAATTCGCAACCATGGCGGACTGGGGCGCCATCATCATCGGGCTGCTGTCGGCCTTTGGCTCGGCCATCCTGATTGCCATCATCTTCTCCATCGTCTACTTCTTCCGGTACACGAGCTCCGGTCGCATCTTCCTCGATCGCATCGGTCGACCGGGCGAATACGACGATGAGCAGGCCTTTGCGAGAGAAGAGGCCGAGGCCTTGGAGACGATGGATGATATGGCGAGAACGGAGTATCTGAGAGCAAAAGGTAATGATGAATCACGTCAAACATCCTCAATTGCGTACGTCGTACATGTTTGCAAGCAGCGGTCACTGATGCGCTATATATCCAGCATTTATTCAAGGCAACCCACCCGAGTCGATCCAGACGGACATTTCTTTATCACAGTATCTGGCCATACAGGAGAAGGGTGTGTCGGCTTGGGAGTTTGAACCCGAGCTGGAGATCGCCAACTGCTTCGTCGAGGCCAGGACCGAAATCGAGTTTTTCGACTCCGAGTGCACTGTCATGAGCAACTTACCCGTCCCGAAACAGAACGAGGTTTATTATTGGGAGGCGAAGATTTACGACAAACCAGAAACCACATTATTGAGCATCGGCATGGCTACGAAGCCCTATCCACTATTTAGACTTCCCGGTACGTACGCTGACTTGCGTGTGCGGGCAACTATGTACTGACGATGATTGCGCAGGATTTCACAAGTATTCTGTTGCCTACACCTCAACGGGATACCGCCGATTCAACCAGCCTTTCAACCCGACTTCATACGGCCCTCCCATTGTTCAGGGCGATGTTATCGGTGTTGGGTACAGACCGAGGACGGGCACTATCTTCTTTACCCGCAACGGCAAGAGGCTGGAGGATGTGGCACATGGTCTCAAAGCACCCAACTTCTTCCCGTCCGTGGGCGCCAACGGTCCCTGCATAGTGCACGTCAACTTTGGCCAAGCAGGCTTTGTTTTCATCGAGGCGAATGTGAAGAAGTGGGGGTTAGCTCCCATGACAGGAAGCCTAGCTCCTCCGCCGCCATACGGCAGCGAGCAAGGCAGTATTTTGCTCGAATCGGGAAGGAAGGACGGGTACAGCCCTTCGCCTGGTCGAGGGCATGGCTATTCGCAATCAGCACACACCTACGGCCGCCGCGATCCCATATTGGACACTGGGCATTCTAGGACGAGAAGTGGCAACTTTAGGATCTTGCCCCCTGCGAGTCCAGGTCCGCAGCGGAGTCCTACTGATATCTCCCTGGCGCAGCTGGTACCGTCCGATGAGGCTGGAGAACCCAGCAATAGCAATACCGGAGGCACCTCTGGGGATCACGTGGTGAACATCGTTGGTCTTGGGCTCCAAGAATCGGCCCATCCTCCCCCGGAGTATACCAGTCCGGAGCATTCCGACGACGGGAGTTCCACCAGGAGCAGCTCAGACAGCGAGCAAGCTCCACTTATCGTGGCCGGACGCAGTAGAGGTGCATCGGCTGCCACACTGAGGCCATCGGATCATCCGCCGATTCCTAGCTACACCGACGCATTACGGCAAGGTGCGGGGCGCGATAGGAGCCGTAGTGACAGCGCCATGGTTAGACGTCGGGGTGAATGAGCCATTGTCGACGATCCACGGAATGCCGAAGATCCCAATGGGAATGGTTTGCAATCCTTGTGGAGCTGAAACGCGTTTGTATGATCATGGCACGCGCGTGTTTGTGTGATCTGCTGTGCTGGGAAACTGGGCAATTGTACAAGCGAGTGAGGAGTCAAAATGACGACGTGCCTTGGCAAAACAATCAGAACATGGGAACTCGGAGTTTTACGGTTTTGGGAGGAAAGGACATGATGATTGAATTTGAATCTCGCCATTGCACCACCCCCTTTATTTTGTTTTCACGGTTTAGGATCGAACCAAGAAGCGGACGCAGCATTTTCAAGCGTGGCTCTCGTAGGCAAGGGGCAAGTCAGGTCAGTTCGCTTTGATGATACCATACCATACCATACCTTTGCATGGGAGACTCTCCAAACATCCTGTCAATATTGCATCCTCGGCAGAGGTTGACAGAACGGGGGGGAGGGGGATGGTGGTTTGTGAGGGGGCAGAAGTACAGGGCAAAGGGAGAAAGTAAGGAGAAGAGAGACGCGACAGGGAAGGTCAAGGAAAGGAATGGAAATGGATGAATCGATACCTCACATGTTCTATATCACTGCTCCATGACCAGATCACATATCATTGCGCAACTTTTCGATCTTGAGTACGGTGAAGTTGAGGTAGCCAAGTGGACAGCTAAGGTCTCTCCAGCTTGTTGAGATTTAATGGAAGATTACTCATACGAAGTCGCCCGTTACATCATATGGGTTCCGTGCGTGTTGAACTATTCACTCAAGAAAATGTCACAAAGAATACTACAATACGGCCATTAGATCAATCGGTAGAGAAACTAGTTCAGTCCCCTACACCCCGAAGGTGCCAACTACCTAAAAACTTCCTGAAGCTGCTTGACACAGTCCAACTTAGTTTAGCAACGCATCTCGCATAAAAGAGTGGCTGGTCTGGTTCGTAACAACCGCATGCTGAGGTCCAGAATTCTTAGCATCGTGCAAGGGGCCATCCATCCTTTCAAAATAGGGGTCAGGTTCTCGGTAGCTTGGGTGGTGGTTTCCTCAGCTAGCAGAAGTGCCTCTGAAGTATCGGTACTTGCTGAGCTGGGCCCCACCTTCAAACACCAACCACATTAAGCAAGTCAACATCCATCTGGGACTGAGGAAGTCTACAACCCCAAATCGCAGGATATCATCATCTTGGGGCAAACAACCCAACCCTTCATTCCCGTCTCAATCGTTTTGGTAATACATACCATGGTAAGTGACCTCCCTCCTCCAAACTAGATCACCGACTAATCTCCCCGACAAGAACAAAGACGGCACCTTCACCCACATCCACCTCACCCGCGCCCGCGACGCGGATCTCTTCGAGGACTTCTACCGCGATCGTCTGCCCGCCGACGAAATTTACGTTCCGCCGCAACATGCGCCCATCAACCCGGAGGACGAGGACGATGTTGTGCCGGACCAGCATGCGGCTTTTGGGATCCAGAAGGCGCTTATGACTACCGCTGGGGGACAGCAAAGAGGGGGTGCAAGTGGAGCACGAGGAGCGGGAGGTCCGCCGGCGTGGAAGGACCTGGGGTTGGGGGAGTTGATGAAGAGGGGTCCGCCGCTTATGACGGGGAAGGGGGGCATGGGAATGGGAGGGAAAGGGGGCACTTCGGCACGGGGGAAGTTGCCTAGGTGAAGTGGATGAGAGGACGAAATTGCATGTGCTGGCTAGCGGTATGGTCAGTCTTTTGTGGTATTGTTCCACGCATGAACTAGAGGGGTGGCTGGAGCGAGTGACGGAGACGTGTCAGCTTCCATTGCTGGGTCCAGACCGGGAAACAGGGATGAAGGCCATTGTAGCCAGAGTTGTGGTCATGGGTAGGTGAGAACCCTGACGTTAAGGGACTTGGACCAGAGATGAAGTATGATACCCGCGATTTGCCAGTCAAGACTGCACTGCTAGACCCGGCCTACGAGACGAGCACCAAATCAACTCAACGAACCATATGTTAGCATCTGTGCCTCGCGATGCCTTTGATACCGCAGTTCCAAACACCATCTTCCTGAACTCCCACATCCTAACCAAAACGCCATTCACTCCTCAAGCCAGAACCATTCTACCACCGTGCGCTTCCCCAGGTAGTCAGTCACCCCTAGCCCTTTCCCAAGAATCCCTCCCTCTCCATAACCTCAGGCGCAAACTTAACCAGAAACACCGTCCGTCCAGGCCACATCTCCTTTCCCCCGTCTGCTCCCCCAGCCCCTCCATCCTCCCCTCCCTGCTGCTGCTTCCCAACGCTATGCGCCGTCACCCTAGCGGGAAACGCGCTCCCGTCGCAAACCCCCTCCACGATGCCCGCCACGTAGGCTGCGCAGCTGAGTTGCGACATGTCCTTGGGCACACTGATGTATGCGTTTACGAGGGGCTCGTTGTCGATGATCATGTACTCGTCGGGTTTGGATGGGTCGGAGCTCTTTTCCAGCCCGTCGGCAGCGCGGCCGAATAATGAGGTCCAGACTTGTTGTTTGATTAGGTGCAGGAGGGCGATTATGTTGAGGGGGCGGAGTTGGCTCCGTGTCGGCTCGCGGTGTAGGAGGAGGTCGAGAAGTTTGAGGCCGATGGGGTGACCTTGGGTGTTAAGGCTTCAAGGAATGTTAGCTGGTTCACTGGTGAGAGAGCGGGGAGGTCTGGAAGCAGGGAACGGGGAACACAAACCGTTTCTCTAGATCCTGAATACTCTCTATGCGCTTCGAGGCATAGCCCACCATCTCGGAGAACAGGTAGGCGAAGCTGGCCTGGCTGAGCTCCGACGTCCGGGTTCGGTTTAACGGGCGGTGATAGATAGTCTTGCCGTTTGATGGATAGCGGAGGCCGGCTTGCTCCTTGCTGCCCTTGCTGGTCTGGAGATTGGACATTATGGTTATGAGATCTGTTTTGCGACGCCAAGGTTGCTCAATGGCCGGCGTCGTGGGTTGGATTTATGAAAGCGTTCCCAGGTGCGAGAGGCCGACTTTGAGGTTGATGCTCAGCGGAGGCCCCACATCCAAGCGTTCATTGCCTGGTGAGGTAGAGGTACTTTAAGCTACTTTGCCTGTCCTTCATTTTAGTGGACCTCTATCGTCCAACTCACCTTGCTGTGTAGAAAAGCTTACGTGACCGACCTGAAGTCTCGGATATCTCAAGCCAATTTATCGTCATTGACGCCAACGCCCTCGGGCTTCGTACCATACGTGCCACGAATTTCTGTGTGAAATTGCAGCCGACTTTACACCCCTTTCAGTACGTAAGGTAGTTGGCTCATCAACAATCACTCAGTGCTCTAAAAATGATAATGGTGATATTTTTATACACCAGTATTCATTCCTATTCTGGCTAATTTATAATGGGGATCTCTTGACATTATCCTTGTACTGGACAGACACAACATCGACGGGACTGCACATAACTTTCGTTCCTCTCTAAAGACGGCGTAGCAGGCTCAATCATACCATGCCCAGTCCTCATGATTCCCATTCTCCGGGGCTGGATCCTCGGCCTCTTCCGGCACTTTCTCCAAAGGAAGCAAGGCCGTAGTAACAGCGATGAGAAGCGTCAGCCCGCAATACTGAAGCCCAATCCACCCACCTTCGAGCTTCATGCCCAGCGAGAAGAGTCCAGCAAGCAACAGCTGAGCGTAGATTGTTCCCACCAAATCAACCATGCCGACTAGGCCAAACAGGTGGAAACGGTGTACCGGGTCGATGTAGAGACTCATCAAGCTCCTTGTCAAACTACTAACGTCTGATCCCAGCGCCAAAAGACCGAGCCCAAACACAAAGCCAGGGACTGTGGGCGCCAGACCAAGAACAAGCGCCGCGACGAAAGTGATGCCATACCATCAGTGGGCAATAGCTAGATCTCGTCCATACTCATCGGTCGGGCGGAAGTTAGGGGGAGTGGTGCTTTGCATGAGGGCTTTGGAGAGCCAAGGCAGGACGCCTGCGGGATCGGATCACCTGGGCGACACTGAAGGCGCACTGGACATATCCGCTTTGGAATAAAGGTACGCTGTATCGCTTGGAGATGAATTGGGCCATGAAGGAGGAGGTTGCGTGGAAGATGGGCGAGGTGGTATAGGTGCAAGTTTTGATCTGAAGGTTGCTGTTCTTCGGGTTCTTGCGGGGTTCTTGCGGTATCCGTTATAATGGATATGACAGATGCGTCACGGAGACCAACGCCAACCCATACTGGTGACCATGGACCCATTCGCTCCATCATTAGAGCGGACAATGAAGGGGCTAAGAGGTTGCCACATACGCTGGCCACATGTATTATCAGGCATGATGAGTTTCAAATAGGGGACCTACCTCTTCTCCTCGGTAGCTGCGTCGGCAAGCATAGCCAAGAGCAGCGCGACCATAATCGGGTTACCACCGCCGAGAAGCAGGCCTATCAAATCAAACCAAACCAAGCGGACTGGCATTGCGCCACGGAACGATAAGACCAACATGGTCCATAATACACCAAGATAGTGAGATCTAGACCTGTAGGTTCAGGGGCATCTGGGCGCAGCTTGGGGGATCTAGCAGTCTTTGGGTTCTAAATGAGATAGGAGATGAGGCAGAGCGTGCAAAGAAGTCTGTTGCTCACCGGTAAGATTTAGAGCTAACGCAGGTTTGTGGCCACTGCTGGAGTTCTTGTTGAGGACACACAGCAACTGGGCGATGAGAATGAGACGAAACAACCCATACCCATCAGCCACAAGACCCCAAGGAAAGGCGCCGGCAAAACAGACGATGGCATTCAAAGAAATTTGAAGCGCGAGGATAAACGCAAGCTTGTATGGATTCCAACTTGCACATGTCCACGCTGATGGGGCTGTCAAGTCTTTGCACCTGGCTGTGATACTCGTGACACAACACGTCTTCCATGATGCGAGTCTGCGGGATGTCCAGAAAGCCGCCGGTCAAAGCCGCCATGAACATAATGAAGCAAAGCAAATTCATAGTGGCACTGCTGCTGTGGGCTTTCGGGATATAGACGTTTGTGATCGAGATCACGGACGGAATCCGCAGCAACGGGAAGGACTGCCAGGCCATCGGACGAATTGCGATGGTCGTCCGCTATGGCGGAGAATGAAAAAAATAAGTAAAGTACGTCTACTTCGATTACACTCTCTCGGAAATAATGACATGATAATGCCAAGTCGACGGCAATGCATCGCCGTCATATATAGTCGAGAGACTCTTTTAAGTACCTGCTGCGCCGCACCAATAACGGATAAGTCAAGGGACCGGACGGCAATGTCACAATCATGGAGATAAGCACTGGGAAGGGGATGTAGTTGGCTGAAGTCTACGGTCTGGCTCCCCTTGGAGAAGGGCATTTGGACATAGGAAGACCGTACCTACCTGATGTAGGAAGGTAAGAAATACAGCCATAGTAGACAAGGGATACTGAGAGAAAAGAAAATTGAAGAGGTGTAGTCAAGATGGCAAGAATAAGATGTCGGCGAAGATTGATCCTCCTTTCTATACTATAAATTAGCACGTAGTACGGAGTATGCGCGGACTGATGGGGCAGTTATTATGTCCGTCCAATGATGTAAAATAAGGTAGGCGTACTACGCCTGATTAGGAGCGCACTAAATCCGACGGATGTGACAGCTTGGTCCGCCATTTAAATGTGACAAAGTGAAGTCCAAACAAGCTCCTACAGTGCCATCATTGACCATTTTGAACTTAAGCCTCCTATGCTCCACGAAACCCGCCCCCGGCACTCCAGTCCCAATACGCATATTGTTTGACGGTGTTGGTGTTGCGATCAAAACTTGCGCCTACCACTGCAACAAACAACTTCCATACTGGCGACCAACCCAACGCGCTCCAAGCTCGACAAACAAACACCCCCAGTCCAGCCCCTTCATCACGCTCAGTATGCCCATAAAACCCGCGCGGCCGTTGCGCCACCGCGCAGGCAAAGTACTAGACAACTCGTCGTCGTCCGAATCCGAAGCATCAGACGTCGAAGAAACCCCCGTCGTGCCCCCATCAAAAGCCACCTCGGCCAGCAAGATTGCCAGCGGCAACCTCAACAAAGTTGACCTGAACGAGCGGCGGCGGATCGCGCAACAACAAGAAGAAAAGCGCAAAGCCGCCGAGCTCGCCGCGCGCGCAGCAGCCGAAGAAGAAGAAGGATTTGTGACTGAAGAGGAGGAACAGGCAAGCGAAGACGGCGAGGAAGAATCCTCCGACGACGACGAGGAGGAAGAGGAGGAAAGCAGCGAAGATGAGGTCCCCCGGCGCGCCATGATGATGCGCCCCAAATTCGTGCCCAAATCGCAACGCAACGGGAACAAAACGGCCGAACAAGAAGCTGCTGAGGCGGCCGCAAAGGAAGCCGACGAAGTAGCGCGTAAGAAAGCGGATGCGGATGCTATGATCGAGGAGCAGATTCGGCGGGACCTAGCGGCCAAGAAGGCAGGCAAGAATTTCTGGGATGACGCCATCGAGCTCGAGTCAGATGTGGACACGTCTGATGAGGTCGACCCGGAAGCTGAACAAGCAGCGTGGAAAGTGCGGGAGCTTAAACGACTGAAGCGGGAGCGCGAAGCCGTCGAAGAGCGCGAAAAGGAACGCGAGGAGCTCGAGCGCAGACGCAACCTAACCGAAGAGGAGCGTGCCGCCCAAGACGCGGAGAAGATCGCCCGGCAGCGCGAGGAGAAGGAAAGCAGGGGCAAGATGGCATACTTGGGGCAGTACCACCACAAGGGGGCGTTTTACCAGGAGGAGATGGCGGCCGAGGGGCTCGATAAGCGGGATTTGATGGGGGCTAAAGTTCAGGACGAGGTGGATCGGAGTTTGTTGCCCAAGGCGCTGCAAATGAGGGATATGACCAAGGTGGGCAAGAAGGGCGCGACAAAGTACCGAGATCTGAAGTCCGAGGATACGGGAAGGTGGGGCGAGTTTAGGGATCATCGCCCTGGGAAGGGGAGGGACTTTGGGGGAGGGTGGGATGTGGATGAGCGGTTTAGGTCAGATCGGGACAGGGAGAGGGAGGGGCCCGGAGGGGCGAATGCGATTCCGCTTGGAGATAGGAAGACGGAGAGACCGAGGAGTCGAGAGCGAGGACGCTACGGGAAGAGCAATTATCGGCCTCGAGATGAAGATGAACGTCGCAGGGAGAGGTCCAGATCGGGGTCTCCTCCCAGAAAGCGGGAAAGAAGCAGATCCAGGTCACCGAGGAGAGACAGCCGCGATCGCCATGACTATAGTCGGCGGAAGAGAGATCCGTCACGAGATGCAGATCGCTACGACAGTGATAAGAGACGGAGAGTAGATACCAGATAGTGGGAGCGCGTTGTCGTGAAGTCATCAATTCATGCGGGCTACCTACCCATTCACTACTCAATTATACAATCAATCCTGAATTTTGGGGGAATCCCTTCAACCCATTGGTCCATTCCACTTATAGTAGACGAACTCCTTGAACCCGACGAACCCTATGCGTTCTCAAATTCTCGTGATTTCGACTCTCGCCCTATCAAATATCTTGTGACTGACCATCCCTCCACTGCTCTGCTCCTCTGGACTCAAGTTGGGAGGATACAAAGTCATACGGGCGTATGTGCCCGCACCCTTTCGTTTAGACAGGTAACCCGGGTTGATGACGAGTACACTTTCGACAACCTGGGGTATTGATGTCAGTAAACCTTCTTCTCTTCCACAGTATTATGTTCTTCCTGATCACGATGATAACCATGCATTGGAAAGCAAGCACGAACGAAAACTCACCTTGGCAAACGGCGGCAAAGCACTCGGCACAACCAACACATCGGGCCTCACATTCACCATATCCCCCAGACGCAGGTAACTCGTATCGAGCATCGCGCCCGTCGGCAGCCCGCTCGCCGTGCCGGTTTTTGGCAACTTGGTTCGGTCCACAGGCGGGTAGACAGGGAAGTAATGCCGCTGCTCGATCAGATACCTCGGCAGCCTAGATAACAATTGCGCATCGGTCGGCCTGCCCCCGATGAGCTCCTCGTGCCGCAGCTCCCAGAGCACGTCCTGCGAGGATACCCCAGGACCATCTCGTTGAGAGACAATGTCATGGGGTTGCCGATGATGCGCGCTGACTTGGGCAGGCCGAGGTCTTTCCGCGGGAACGGGTCCTGCGGCCAGGAAACGTGCTTATCGACTGCGTCGCGGACGGAGGGAACGAGGAGTATGGTGACGTGGGGTTGGCATGCGCGAGGCGGTTCAGCGCGGGAGAGATCAGATACTTGAAGACGGTAGACATGGTGGCCGTATCCGGGTCGATGTTGGCGTCTGAGGGGAGGTCAAAGTCGCCCGATGCGATTAAGGGGTGGTCGACGTCGATGAAGGGCCCGCATAGGACGAGCGCGTCGGCGTAAGTGTCTGCCGCGTGGCTGCAAAGCGCGTGCAGGGGCTCGAAATCGAGGTTGTCGTCTGCGGAGTAGGGCCCGGAGCCAAAGATGATGTTTAGGGGAGCGGGCTCGTCGTCCGAGTCCATGGCTTCCGGGCCGCCGCGGAGTTTCTCTCGGTGGGCTTCGATGGCGACGGTTGAGGATGCGGCATTGGGCAGTAAGGGGATGTCGAGGAATTCGTGCGCGATAAACTCAAGTCCTGATGTGTTGATGCCCTTGAATGCGACGATTTGCCCCGGGACAAAGTTGAACCCTTTGAGCTTTTGCACGTTCAGGGGTATTCTTAGACCGCCTCCTGTCCTCCTTGACGTCTCCAGCACAAGGGATGCAGTATTTAGCTTGCCTTCGGCCGAGTCGGAGGCTATCCTGCCAACTGAGTAGATTTCAGCAGTGCTTTGACTTGCAGCACTGCCGAAAACCGCGTCATCTAGTTTGTGGTACTCCTTCACCAGGGTGAGGAACTCGTCTATCCGGTCATCCAAAATCTCTGACGCTTCTGAGGACTTCATGGCCAGTGGCTTGTATCCCAACTTCTTTTGATCGGATACTGCAGTCAATTTGATGCGAGGCTCTCCGTAAGGTGCAATGGGCGGTGCAGTGGGCTTGAGGTGATCATTAAGGACCTCAATCACCTCCCCTGGTTTCTGTCGATCGTTGAACGTAGTTATTCTAAGACGAGATGAGCATGTTCCTCAGGCTGTCTGCGAGTCGACTTACGTCATGGCGTTCATGGAGTCTATTTGCCTATCCACCGCCGTCGGCGACTTGTAGTCTGGTGAGCTCGGTATCCCGCCTTTGACCCTCGCCACGGATGGCGTTTCGAACTTCTTCTTCGCTGCCGCGTTGCGGTTCAGTTTTCCTGCTGCCGGCGTGGAGAGTCCGTCCAGCCTAGACCAACCAACAGTATCAGTCCCTATACTCTTCCTGTTGTATTATATAGAGCCTACTCACATTCCGAACACATCCCCGCTGTTCTTGACTGTGGTCCGCGGTGTTGCGCCACTCCGCTTCTCCGTTTTGATATATGCATGATGATTTCGGTTCTCGCGCTCCAAGGCATCCTGGATGTCCCGTTTCAGATTGCGCAGGGTGTCGACCGACAACTGCATTTCTTCCATGTCCATCTTGATGCAGTACGACTCCCACTTGAAGAACAAGTCCTGTGCCGAGAGCGAATGCATGCGCATTATGGACTGCAGCTCAGCCAGCATGTCGGGCTCGAGGGGCTTGTCGCCCAGGGCGAACCGTTCGTTCAACTCCTGAACGGCTGCTTCTGCCATGGTGGATAAGCTCGTGTACTCGAATTGTGCGATTGGTGTCGTGAAGACTTGGAATTGTCGAAATTGTCCGAATCCTCTGAGGTGGTGGTGGTGGTGGTCAATTTGTCCGAACTTGAGAATTTGGAGAAGACGCGACCGAGACGCGCTCCCGCGTAAATGGGATTTGGAGATTGGCGGGGCACTTGAGCAAGGAGGGGGGGGGGTCAAGGATTTGGGATCCAGGGTGAACAGGCTAAGACCCGTTGCGGTTAGTTCATCTTATGATTTATGTTCAATTAGTGGCTAGTCCCTGCGGATATCTGCAAGGGTCTCAGACACCCGCTGACGACCTCGCAATTTCGGTGAGAAAGAGGATAGATTGATCATTTTACAGATCAGATTACGGAGTAGAGACCGATATCTTCTTTCTTTAGTCGCTGTTATAAATTGACTGTACTTGCGGGCGAACTCAATTTCTGTTTTTTTCTGAGATTGCCATTGAAACAAAGATTATGGCGACTGCAGCAACAGCATCGTCATCGGCGGTGGGAGATGTGGAAAAGGGCAGCGCAGGCGGTCCCCTTAAGACGCCGATTGTGGCTCCAGTCACAAACAGCAAGCCAGTTGAGAAGCCCGAGCTCGCAAAGGACCAACAGACCAAGTATGACTGGCTTTTGGAGAAAGCAAAAGGGTGGACTGAAGTTCCCTCGACCCAAGGCAAAGCCGGCCCTCTCACCGATCACGAGAAACTATGGCTTACGCGAGATTGTCTGCTGAGATACCTGCGCGCCGTCAAATGGAATGAAAAGGAAGCCGAGAAGCGAATCCTCGGCACACTCACATGGAGGAGGGAGTACGGTGTCGAGGCTCTCACGGCTGATCACATCTCGCCCGAGAACGAGACGGGCAAGCAAATCCAGTTGGGCTACGACAAGCAGGGTCGCCCTTGCCATTATCTGAACCCGGGTCGACAGAACACCGATCCCTCGCCTAGACAGGTGCAGCACTTGGTGTTCATGCTGGAGCGGGTTATCGAGCTCATGCCCCCGCAGCAGGAGACGCTGAGTCTGCTCATCAATTTCAAGACCAGCAAGAGCCGGTCCAACACGGCACCGGGTATTGGGCAGGGGAGGGAGGTGCTCAATATCCTTCAGACCCACTATCCCGAGAGATTGGGGAGAGCATTGATCATCAATGGTAAGTCGACGCCTGACGCATTGCGTGCTTGATGCTGCAATCCCTGACCAAATCTAGTCCCGTGGGTCGTCTGGGGTTTCTTCAAGCTCATCACGCCCTTCATCGACCCCCTGACCCGCGAGAAGCTCAAGTTCAACGAGGACATGTCTCAGTACGTCCCCAAGGAGCAGCTATGGACCGAGTTCGGAGGTGACTTGCAGTTCGACTACGATCACGCCGTGTATTGGCCCGCCATGCAGAAGCTGTGTGCGGAGAAGCAAGCGGAGCGCCAGAAGCGGTGGGAGGCGGGCGGTAAGCAGATTGGCGAGTTGGAGGATTACCTGACTGGACACGTCGCCCAGGGAATCGCACCCCCAAGCACGTACCAGGTTGCCGTCGAAGCGAATGCTGCACCGGAACCAGAGGATAAGGTTGGGGAGACGGCTGCGCAGTTGGGAAATATGAAGGTAGGCGAGGCTATCACGACGCCGGAGCCGTCGCAGAGCCCGTTGGAGGGCATTGCGGAAGCGAAGGAGCCTGAAGAAACGACGAAATAGTAGAGCCCAAATACCTGGGTGAGCGAGTTTTGATAGATTGAGACGCTACGAATATGTAGCAATGCTCTTCGGCGGTTATGTCACTATAGAATTTCCTTAGGATAGAGGCTTCATTGCGAATAATGCACTGGACCTGCACCAACAACACATGTATTTGCCAGGATAGCTAGCTAACTCCAAGCTAGGTAACTTGCCCCGTGAACGGATGTCTGACCCAAAACACAGCTGCCTGCATGCGCCGACCAGACGAACGAACCAACAAGAGACCTGGACCAGGTCAAATTCATATCGGTTCTGAAAGTTGCCCTTTTTCCCATGGCCGACACCCTCTATCTACAGTAAGAACAGCTTGCCCTGTTTAGTTTCTACGATTTGCAAATTACAATCTGATTCCGCTAGCGTAGGGGGTGGGGGCCTCTCGTGGTCAACGTCGGAAACCATGTGGCAGTTGGTTTCGTAGGCTGAGGAGGAAAACTGTTATGGTACAAAGGTCCTGTTTTTGGGAATTATTCAGCTATCCCACTGAATACTTATTTTGATGATGATTTGCTTGCTATCATTTTTACTTCATCAGGAGTTCTTGATTCTGCTTCTAGTTTGATGTCTTTCCCGATGCTGCATATTATTCATTCGCAAGTAATCACACTACTATGATGCTCTACTTAATCATGAAAGGCTCCGGATTCGGATATCCGGAACTACAAATACTTCCGACGATAGTGGCAACAGCAGTTGCGGCAAGCATACAAGTGATTGCCTGTGGTTACTGACATTCCAGAGCCTTTTCGAAGCTTAATCCAGAATGGAACCATCAGGGATCTTTTGTAGATGAGGTGCAAACTACATTCTTAGGCATGTATCTGTCGGCTTGGGCAAGAGAGGCATTACCCTATGTGGATCACGTATATGTAGCTGTGCCACGTGTAGCTGATTTATCCCGTCCCCATTTCGATTCCTTTAGACTCGTGAAATGCTGGACTTGGTACTATATCTCCTGGAGCAGTAAAGCAGTTGCTGCATTTAACGAGGGCGACAGGGCGACAGGGCGAAATATGGCCTACAACGAAAGAAGTTTGCACGCTGTGCGACGACAAAGAGACGATCGGCTGCCAACGAGTTGGGTCCCATGCTCAACAGTATATTCCGGTAATATCGAATCAGAAAAACAGCGCATCCATGTTTGATGTCTAATGAAAACTTTGAAGACCTTCGTTATCATGTGTTGCCGCCACTTCATAAAGGCACAACAAATCCGGGTTGGATTGTTCGTCATGGCTCATACCGACTGGAATATCCGGGTTCATTCTAAAGCAAACATATTGTGTTTTCCGAAGGCCCGTGGGAAGATATCAGTATTTATACTTAGCTTATACCCTCCTACTCGGGTCTCATAGTTTCTGAGGAAGAATCTCACCACTTGATCTCTTCCAAGTTCGTTACGCATTGTGTCTGTCTCCTTCTGGTGCGTACATCGAAACCCAACCGAGATCCTCCGCCAGAAAATATGTCCTCAAACGTGATGCAAACCGGGCCGCCGTTCGATATAAACGAAGACTCAGGCCCTATGTCCAACAGCGTTTGTTGGGGTTTCACAGTCATCGGTGCCATCTTCGTTGGAGTCAGACTATACGTGCGAGGGGCCCTCCACAAGAAACTCTGGGTTGATGACTATTGGATCATTCTGTCATTGGTCAGTCCGCCTGTCCCATCACCAGCAAATTCTCCAACTACTTCATGAGGAAAGATGATTAACAGGCAGATGACCTAGATTTGCACTGTACTAACCTCCATTCTCACGAGTTTGGCCGTGAGCTACGGAGGCGGCAAGCACATGCAAGCCTTCGATCCCCAGCGGCCCGAGCGAATAAGAGGTGCAATTCTATGGCTAACGACAGCCAACGTACCATCCATCATGTCCATAGCGTTGCCCAAGATGGCCGTCATATCCTTACTCATACGGCTTCTGGTGCCTGGCCCACGCCACCGAATGTTCCTCTTGGTCATGGGCACAATCTGCATGTTGTCGCTATCGGCATGTGCCATGCAACTCATGCTTCAATGCAGCCCTCCTAGCTTTCTGTGGAACAGGCAGGGCCCGGAAGACCAGAGCGGCACTTGCTTGTCTCTTAAAACTACGGAGTACCTTTCGTATTGGTGTGGGGGTAAGTTTCATTACAAGGACACCTGAGGATGACTTTCAATTCATGCGATAACTATAACAACGAAGGGATCGATGCTGATAATGAAAATTCGGATTAGCATATTCGGCCTTCCTGGACTTCTACTTAGCCCTGTACCCGTCCTACAAACTCTTCAACCTGCAGATGCCCCTTCAGAAGAAAATTGCCCTGAGCGTTGCTTTGGGTTTCGGTGTTGTGTACGTTTTTCAATCGAAGTTTATGTGTCCCTCATGGTATATTAGCTGATAAATGGGTGAAGGGCCGGCTGTATAGGTATCAAAAAAACAACTGTAGCGGCGGGGATTGGCAAAAACGACCACACTTGTAGGTTTTGTTTCCATTGTGGTCTCTCTCTCTCTCTCTCTCTTTCTCTTTCTCTCTTTCTCTCTCTTTGTGTGTTTCTAGGGCGCACACCTATTATAATAAGAAGCCAAATCTAACAGGACGTTCGCAGTTTACCTCTTGCCACTGTTATACTGGGGCGTGTAAGTTTTTTATCTTCATTCTTTCCTGTTTGAACTTACATGCTTTGTCGCCAAGCAGCATACCTTTATGTACTAATACGCATTTACGTAACTAGTATAGAGGCCAATACTCTCATAATCGCGGCCTCTATCCCAATCCTAGCGCCCTTACTCGAAAAGGCTCGTGTTGTCTGCAACAGCATCAAGTGGCCTTCTAGGTACTTTTCGTCGTCATCCAGGAGATACTGCAAGTGTTGTAAATGCTGTAGGTGCTGCAGCGGACACCCCAGCAGCGAAGGAGGAGAACGAAGCGAGGGAATTAGTGGGGAGGGGAATTACAGGGAGGCAAACAGTAAGGAGAAGATCATCACCATCGGGAAAATCGAAGTGCGCAAGAACGTCAAAAAACGCCCGGATGACAGCCTCCTGTTGACTACAGTGGACCAGGGCGACTCGGAACTGGCAGATACGGAAAAGAAGAGTGTCCATGAGGAGAAAACACTTACAGAGAGACGCGAGGCTGTTCAGAAATTTGACAGTCGTCAGTTGAAAATTGATTCTGGCACTCGTCAAATTTCTGCGCCTCGGCCGCCGAAAAACAATCAAAATGAGGCTATTCAGAAATTTGGCGCCCAGAAACCCGAGCCAGTCCAGAGATCTGCCGCTCGGGAAAGTTTGGCTGTCATGAGATTTCGCATTCCCAGACCCCAATCCATCCAGGCATCTGCCACCGATAAAACTGAGGATGGCCAGAATGCTGGCAGTTTTCGAATCATTATACCTCGAGAGTCTAGCACTCTTCAGATCAAAGCGGTTCCGAGACCCGGTCCTCCGCATATCGAAGGCGTCCAGAAATCTAACACGCAGGAGGGAGTTGTTCAGAAAGCTGATACTCAGCCCAACGAAGCTGTTAAAAGGTCCAACAGTCAGCGGGGTGGATTTGTCCAGAAACCTAGCACTCTGCAAGACGAAGCGGTTGAAAGGCCCAGCAGTCGCCTAAAGGAGACTATCGAGCAACCCGACATTAATCAAACCGGGACTGTTCATAATCCTGAAACTAGTAAAACGGAATATGTCAAACAACCTGGCACTGCTACAAATAAAACAGCCAACAAACCCGTTAAACGGGCCGTTAGTGATGGTATCTTGCGGACTGATACTGTTGCGGTTGAGTTCGAAAATCGTAAGAATGGAGCAACTCCGCCTCCTAAGGCGTGGGCACCTGTGTGAGATGGGGGTCGAAACAGGATAAAACAAATAACGGGGCAATACGAGATGTAAAGGAGGACAAAAGCGAAAATGGAAGAACTCTCATCTTCTATAGGGGCAAATGTAATCCATGGGGTTGTTTGGGATTTAGTTAGGCCATAGGTCCACGTTGGCAATCATCCTTGAAAGTAATAATCAATAATCAGTGAATAGATCTTATCATGGTACTACGATGATGCTTCCACATCAATATTAAGAATGCTAAATCAATAAGGATTTTTCGAGAGGACTTATCCCTCAACCTTCACCTCTCCTTCTAGCTCCCCATCCCAAGGATAACTCGACCTCGTCATCCCACACTTAACCATCACCCAATCATCCTCCATATCCCTCCTCGTCAGGATTTTCCGGCAAAATCTCCGGATCAGGATGAGAAAGCGCCGCATTTCGCTTCACTTTGACAACACTGCATGGATACAGTCATGATGTAGGAATTGTATACGTTGAAGAGTCAGTGCTGTGACCTTTCAGTTACGTGGTTTAGACCTGCCTAGCTGGTTTCTAGCATGAGCAAGGTGGTCCCGCGGGTGCGCAAATCCTGTAATTAATATGCTCATTTTCCTTTGGTATAACCAAAACTCTAGCTCCTTACCCCTTAATACCGGTCGCAGGTAGCGTCGCCCGCCCACTAGTGTTATCTGTGATGATATTCCCCACAGCCGTTCTGACAGAAGAAAATCCCTCACCTAGATCCTCACTTTCCTTGACGTGCATGGGGACCAGAGATTATTCATCCTACCTTGTGCAGAGACTCTTGAGGACCGGGACCATCCTTTCTACCCATTGACTTGGCCCTTCGGGTCTTAGTCCAACCTTCGCTCTTAATAGCTTCAGATAGGAATCCATGCTTTTACAACTTCACAATCTTTAACCATCAGAGTTTATGACAGAGTCATTTTGCTGCTGTTGTACACCCGCCACCATGGCCTTTTTTGTACCTTCATTGAGAAACAGTCATTTCGTATTGCGGTCCCAACGAAAGCTATGGAAATGGCGTTGATCTGTAAGGAAGCAAGACCATATATGCCAACTGTGGAATTGGTGGCGTGAGGTCACGGCGAGGTACACATGAAATATCTGAGATTCTTTGGTGCCCCTGTGTGGCTTGGGATCCCCCACCTGTACTTCCCTTCTTCACCTTCGTATGTAGCCGGAATGCCAGTACCAGTGCGATCTCATATCAACCATAAAAACCTCATCACTAGTCCAAAGCAAGTTCCTAAACTGCAATATTTTATCAATGAACAACTCAAGTGAATTATCAATCGGTATCCTTCACATGTATTTTAGTAGGTACTAATACTGATACCTTTCACTGTAATCCCAGAGTCCGTGATCCCCACCAACGCCATCGCTATGCTAACAGATACGTATCCAGTCAAGCCTCCATAGATGGCGGTCACACACATAACTGAACCAGCATCAATGTTATGTATGTAGAAGCATCATTGCTCATTTTCCTGCACAGTTGGGATGGAAATCGTTCATGCCCCGAGGTCCTCGTCACCCGACTCTGGCAGAGGACACAGTGTTGCTTCCTCCAACGAATCCCCGGCCACTTCAGCTGAGGCAATTTCTCGCTTCTCAATATCTTGACTTTCTTCCCCGCCTTGCGTGTTCACATTTTTCAAGTCATCTTGTGTTTTTTCTTCATGAAAAACTTGGTCCTGTTCCACCACAGTGTTACCAGATTCTACATTTGCCTGAGGCGTAATCTTAGTCGAGGTATTGGCCTTGGCTGTCACGACAGCCTCTGGCACCAGGCCGCTAGGCTCATTAGGAGGTGCAGTTTCGCCCGCCTTGTGTAGTGCTTGCTTATCAGAAGCCAAGTCATGGAAAATTTCGTTGCTGTCCAATGCATTGCCTCCTTCTCTTGACAAAGCGGATGCCTCAACCGACTCCGTTTCTCCAAGTGTGTTAGTCTCAGTTTCGCTGTTTTCGTTCAGCTTCGTGCTAGAAGTGAGAAACGAATCTGGGTCTACGCAATCGTAGAATAGCATGAAGACCCCGCCTTGTGCGAGGACCGTTTCTTCAGAGACTTCCCAGACAGTCTCATCGCTAAGTCGCCACCACCGGTCTCCTTCACTATCGCTTGTATCGGAGTCGGCAACGTCCAATACTGTCCTCTCGTCATCCACTGTCTTGGTTTCCGTTCCGTCAGTCGAAGTTGTGGACTTGGCACTGGAGATGTCGTCAGACTTTGATGATTGCCGGGGGTGCCGCCGGTAGCAAATGTAATGTCCATTCTCATGCTGGCCTTGGTGCGTGATCACGGCGCATAACTCATATATTGGCCCTGTAATTTTAGAGGGCTTTGCATCGCCAGCAATCATTGAAGTCTTTGGATCAGACAACCACTGCTCCTCTTCGACGACGTCCTCACTCTGTAGTCCTGACCCACCGGCGCTACCCAAGCACCACGGGCCAAGGTCCAGAGTTCTGGGAAATCTAACAGCAGCAAGGTTTTTGAACATGTATCCGGTACGCTCGTCAAAGACTGACCTATTCATGTGAACAGCAAGACTTTGAGGTGGACGAGCTATGACGGCCTGTTTCGTTTTCGTCGAGTTGACGCGATGTTGTGCCGTAATTTTGCATTTATCTGACAGTGTCTTCTCTTCAAAATCGTCTTCCTCTAAAGCCAGGTGAACTGCCTCCAGCCTGGCTCTAGGCTCCCGTAAGGACTCCTCGGATGAGCCCACATCCTTACCTCGACCAACGATGATATTGAGTAGACGCTGCACCTTGAGTAAAGTACATTTGGCGCACTCAACCCCCTCAATGGCCTCAAGGTGAGTATATGAGTCCAATCGCTCGTAGAGGTCGTGCTCCATATTCCCGACCCCCAAGTTCAGCGTGAGACAGTTGAAAGGGATCATTGAGAGTCCATCCGAGTAGCCACACTGAACGCATGCGACTCGCTGTGCGGCTAGACCCTCAAGAGGGTTTCTTAGAAGTTTGACCTCTGAGCTGATCTTTGAAAAGACTGTCAGAGACTGGTAGCCGCTGTCATCGCTGTGTTGACTATCTTCAGTGTCATCTCTGGCTGCAGCGAACTCGAGCCCTGGCGACTTGTACAGAACCTTCGCGGCGCTGACGACCTCTTCGTCGATCTCATCAAGCAGCTTCGAGAAGTATTCCTGAGCATCTTGCTGTTGCCAGGTGTCGAGGGATTTGAGCCTAGGAGGTGTCCAGAGAGTTTTCCCATTATTCTGTCTGTCTTTCAAATCTGCAATCAGCCGTTGCAGGGTGCTTGCAGACCCGTTATTTCCTGCCTTTTCGGCATTGCCAGTCTCGTCCAAAACACTCGCCAGGTAGTTCGGTAACGGCTCCAGCGACGTAAGGCCTTGCAGTATACTATTCTGGAAACAGGAGTTGTCGTAGTTTCCCAAGCCGGCGGGCTGGTCGGTATTTCGGCTAACAAACGTGCTGCTAGATAGCGTGGCTAGGCCTTTCCTACCGACGCTTGCCACTGAATTCATGATTCCGCCCGGCTTGTCCACGCGTAGGATCTTGGAGAGTAGCTCGCTCTTCGCGGCATAGTCTCGAGGTTGAGGAGGTCGCATCGACTTCGGAACAGGGAACAAGGGCGGGTTCAGCCAGCTTTCGAGGCGATATAAAACGGCGGCAGGAGTTATGGCTATTACGAAGTTCCAGACGATCTCCCCGGGCTGGCGCGTCCTAGAGAAGGGGGACCAATGAATGGACTGGTAGAAAAGCGTTAGGAGTAGAATTACTGCAGGAATGATAATGCTTGGCTGCTGTAACCGATCGAGAAGGGTAGCCTGGGGAGAAAGGATGTTGTGACTGTCGGGGCGGTCGAACTGCCTCCCAAAATGCTGGGAGCTCATCCTGAAATCCAAGTCGTATTGCATGGACAATTCAAGGTCGCGTGTTCGATCGTCTGGAAGGGTGAAGTTGAGCCATGACGAGGTGGACGGATTATTGAGCGATGCGCCAAGAGCTGTCGAGAGACTAGCGATTCGGTGATGGGATGACCAGTGGATCAAATGGCAAGACGAAGGTTTAGAAACTCAGCGTTGGGGATACTATCATCTACAACTCAAGCTCCTGCCCATGCATACACAGTGTTCAAGTGTTGAAAGACGCCAAGCATTAGAAGGGGCGACCCGCAAAACAGGGTTGCCGACCAGATGTTTCAGGGAATCAGGGTTGGTTTATTTGTACACAGTAGTGGATGGCCACAGCTTGCCCGCTGGGCGGTCCTTATCGATGTTATCAGGAGATTGCGGGGCAAGGATTCCGAAATTTTGAGGACAACCCTTGTCTGGTCTTGTTGAATCAAAGACTGTCGCAAGAGCAAGATACCATCTGAAAAATGGCCAAAGTCGCGATATCAAAGAGAAAGCGTACGGTTTCACCCACGGATTTCCCTTCTTGTTATTGCAGACAACTGACCAAAATGCAGCGCTTTCCAAGCACTCGCGCGAGGCGAGGAGAGCAACGTCTCCCAGCATCGACACCGACAAGTCACTTAAGAATGTGAAGCCTCCACCCGAATCAGCCGACCATCGCCCTTCAGTTCTAGCAATCCATAGTGGCGCAGGGGTCTCGAAGAAGCAGAAGCGTGGCAGGAATCTGAGCACCAAGGCGAAGAAGAGAGCTGAGAAGGGCATGGACAAGGCGGCTGCCGTCATGGATCGCACAGAGAACAAGATTGCCAAGAGCAAGGGTCGGGCTCGGTCGATCCAGACCAGAGCGAAGACTTGGGATGACATCAACTCTTCAGTTCCTAAAGTGAGGCACACAACAACCGAGGATGGGATCGACGAGGACGAAGACGTTGAGGACGTGTCCGATTTCGACGATGAGATGGGTGAGGCAGACGCTGCAGCCGCTGTTGTATTGCAAGCTAGAAATACTCTATTGACACCGGCCATGGAGCAAGATGAGGACGAGATACTATGAAGTCGCATTTGTTCTTTCAACTGGGTGGCACGGCGTTTAAGGGGAAAATAGACTGGCCAGGTTAATGATGAAAATACCCAAAGGTACATATTGAGCTTGACAAAATTGATGATTTACACACCCACGGCTAATAACTGCTGCGTTTTGAATAAAGATACCTATGGTGTGGGCCGAAAATAGCATACTTCTCACAAGTTCTCGGCCCCTCAGGGTTCACCTATCTTGCGTATTTACGTTAGGTCCGGGATATAATCACCTTTAAGATCGGACTTGACCGGCTCGACGATACGCTTATTCGCACCTTACTTATATGGACGGGTTTTCGAAAGCACGGATTAGTCCACGCTTAACCTAAAGACCTTAAGAAGAAGATTTAACAGTACGACGAAGAATCTATGTCGATAACAACTTGGACGAATATATCTAGCCGCGTCTGAAGGAATACTAGGTCTGCGGCGAACTGGACGAAAGGATAACCGCCGCGTATAAAGTCCTGTGCTAGGAAGATATCGATCTCTAGATCTTGCACGATCCGACAGGCGACGGCGATAGAGATCGTCTTACAATACAAGTCCTCCTTCGTTTTCACAAAGGTCATAACAAGGAGATGGTGCCTATTTGGTTTCCCTTCGTCGAGGAGAAGCTGTCTATACTATGTCAGACCTCTCACCTCCTCGCTAAAGCTTACCTAGTTACGACGCCCGAGCTGAGCCTTCAATACTAAGATCAGCATACCTGCTATTTATATACCGTAGAAGAAGAAGTTCTAGTATAAGCCCGTGTTCCGGTAGACTGTCAAATCCTTTAAGGGGCCTAAGAAGTCGGACAAACCGCTAACGTCGAACGTATTCGATTATAACTCGGGAAAGCTAGGAAATGCGGCGGGATTACCTGATCGAATCTAGTCGTATATTGTAACGAAACCTCTAATAGTCTAGCTGCGTAAACCACTAAAGAGTCTATAAGGGTTTGTGCTAGTAAGTAAGTCCTGCTGCGGAGTCCTCAAGCAATAATATCGGGGTCTGACGTATGGAGTATAGTGCTTTGGGGTAACTGGAGTATTCGAGTAGGGTAACTGGGAATAGAGTCGTCAAGGCAGTTTGCCTCACCAATGGGTTAGATTGATGCTTAGATTGATCACTGAAGTAGAGACTGTCTATCTATGAAATGCCTGGGAGTCCTGTCCCTTATATATCCGTCTCTCCTTCACTGATCCCCACTTGGATATGTTCTCTGCCAACATATCGATTGATTGATTGATTGAAATTTAACGTCTCATCACGTAAGACGTGCCGGGCGCAGTGCCGGCATGGTATATGCTAGTCGAATCTATGTTACAGGGGACTGTCTTCATCTAACATTCCTGTTCAGTGCGATGGGCAGATCTCAGTAAAGAAATTGGTCTCCTCCGCCCATTGGCAAAACAAACGAGCTCCCTTGGCCGTGCCTAGGAGGGAATCTATACTATTCTTGGCCATATGCGCTTTTAGATGACCGGGCGTGGCATTGCGGCCGCGCTTGCAAAAGTAGAAGTGGACTGGTGTCTTTGTCTTTCCACACCCGCAGTTGAGCAGTGCGTCGCGATGCTGGAGTCTCTCGTGGTAGGTCACTAAATCCCCGTGGTGCGACCTCGCTGCGAGTAATCTACTTAGGTGTTGCCGGGGCAGGCCAAGTTCGGGGGGTCGTGGGTGGATAGCGATCCCTAGATCTCGATACTGTTGAGGGCAGGTAGTGGCCCATCGATCGTTGAAACCCTCCCAAGTGTAGGATCTCGCGATTCTCTTTATATGTGCGAATGAGGCCGGGTGTTGTGTCTTGGGTGGTTGCTCACAGGCCGCTTTGGCCTGGACATCTGCTTCTTCGTTTCCGGGGATGCCTACGTGTCCTGGGCACCACCAGATATACACTTGTCCCGGGGATGTCCAGGGTTTTCGCTCTCTCTGTGACCAGGTTTTGGACAGCTCTTGGAAGGCAGTGAACTTTGCTTGACTGCTTCCGGGACTTGGACAGATGAGCATACCCGCAACCGCGAGATTATCGAGGCAGATGTGGACGTTATCTGCCATGCTGTTGGACGGAAGCTTTACAGCCTCCTGAAGCCCCCGTAGTGCTGCGTGGGCTTCCGCATCGTATACCTCTATCTGAGAGCCCAGTAGTTCGGATCCGCAGAGTAGTCTTTTACCGGCCTGATAACCAGCCCAGCCTGCTCCAGCTAAAGTCCTGTCGCTATGGGTAGCCAGCGAGCCGTCTGTATAGATTATTATATCGCGCTTTGAAAACTCGTTTATCCTTTGTAGAAACGAGCGGGCAGCCTCCTCCTTTGACTGTCCTGGGATATAACCGATCTTGGCGAGGGTGATGGACCATTCGCCAGCCTGCTCCCAGGGCGGTATTTGCAGAGGATCTATATATTCTGCAGTATCTGGGGTTAGGCTCGCCATACGCCTTAACCTCGAATCGGGGCCCGTAGGATGTCTGAGCCTCCTGCGTAAGAGATAGTCGACATGATAGACGTGCCTCCTCCAGTGGCAGCATACCGGTGGAGATAGTCTGGGTCGCGTGACTGCATGGATTGATAGTCGACAGTAAAGTTACCCACGTAGACTGCCGTGTTAGTGCCGGAAATATCTTCCATAGAGACGCCTACATCTTCGAAACACTTGAAGACTACTTCAAGAAGTTTCCGCTGCTGAGGATCCATGTACGAAGCCTCGATGTTGTTCATTCCAAAGAACGAATTATCAAATTGGCGTATATCTTTCCTAATAAAGTATCCGCCGTCAACGTTCATGATCCCGGCTCTACTGTTATCGTTGTGATAGAACCCCTCAATGTTATATCGGTCTTCAGGCACCTTACCTTGTGCTGACTTCTTGTTGTATAGAAAGTCCCACAATTCCGATGGGGACGATATGCCGCCTGGAAGAAGGCATGCTAAGCGGCCAAACGTTACGTTAGCTGGGAGATATCCATCAGACAAATATCATGGGAAACAGACCCATTCCAGCTATGCATACTGCATCATCATCGTCTAATGAGGCCGAGGCTGAGACCGAGGTCACGGTCGACGGCTCATCAATTGCCGGAGAACCACTCAGGTAGGTGGTTGTAGGGAATGCGGCAACTGATTTCTCATAGTCGCGAACCAAAGGATCCGAGGGTTGGGACACGAATGATTCGAATGTGGGGATTTTCAATGTCCTAGTCATGTATGTTGACAAGTATGGTTGTGAAAGGCTTGACGGATTAGAAGCACACTTTCTGATGAATAGTGACCAGTCCAACTTACGAGACTGATCCGATCGAGGACTTGGGAACTTGTGGGTGTCGAGCTTTATAGATCTAATTCATGTGAGAAAGTTTTAGATAAAGTCCTACGTTGTTTACAAGACATATTCGTCCCGATGATCATGGTGTCAGCCTGAGAGTCGTTGTCAACTATCACTGAGAAAGTTCCCTTCCTATGTATGCTAGCTACATGTTACAACCCCCCGGTTCAATACAATATATGCGGTCAGTCTAACAGCTGAACTCCAAGTTCAGAATCCTAATCTTGGCCATTGCAGATTTCTCTCCTGTGTTACTAGAATTCGTCTATTCTTTTGCTTCCCTTCCTCCACCTCGGATCCTTCGGAGCCTATCATCAGCAACTAGACAATAGAATTACCAGGATCCAGGGTATTTGCAGCTCCTATCGTGCTGACATCTCTAAGATGAAACACTGAGTGCATATATCTTCCAAACAGGCAAGTCGTTAAGGAGACAAACCCGAAGATAGGCCATGCAGAGTTGAGTCGTGGCGAAGGTTGAAAACACTCATGCATGCATACGAAAATTCCTTGATTCCAAATGTTCTTAGCTACACCGCTATGTGAAAGAAGCAAATTAATATCACAGCAGTCAAACGAGCTTGATAAGAAACGACACGTGTTCTTCGCAGTGCATAAATACAATACTCTACATCGTGGGCATGTAGCGTACGCCGGGCACAACTGTCCATAGCATCGACTTACCCAACCTCACCTTAGAGACCCGATCAAGTTACCTCCCTATCCAGAAGAATTTGCTGTTCTTGTTTCATTATGCAGATTACTGGATACGCTTTCGTCGTTGGGGGTGGTGAGTAATACTCCAGAGCAAACGGCAGGTCTATCAAGAGAAGTGCTGATACACAGGTATGAAGGAAGCGGCATCGGAAGGGCGTGCGCTCTTGGCCTTGCAAAAGATGGCGCCGCGGGAGTTCTTGTCGCTGACATGAACATCGAGGCAGCAAGACAAGTGGCTACTGAGTGTAAGGACGTAGCAACCGCTGCAGACTTTCGCATCGAGTCACTCCACATAAATGTGACCGAAAAGAAGTTCGTGGAGCATGCAACTGAGTTTGCGGTGCAAACTTTTGGTAGGATCGACTATTGCGTCAACTGTGTGGGGGTAAGCACACAAATATTTCGGCTCCGTCTGAAATGGGGTTTGACACTGCTGACATGTTTCTTTGATCTAGATTGGAGTCAAAAAACAGCGAGAGATCTCGGAGGCTGACGTCGCGGGATTCAGCCGCTCAGCCGCTCAGCCGCTATGAAGGCCCAGGAACCAAAGCCAATGGGATCATCCGATCGCGGGACTAACCGCGGATCTAACCGCGGATCTATTGTCATCTTAGTTTCGGGATCATCCTTTGTGGCGACTCCTGCGATGGTGCAGTATACAACAGCGAAGCATGCGTTGATTGGTCTGACCAAAACTGCTGGTAAGCTTGCAGAACACCCATTATCCCACGCGTTTAGAGAGCACACATCTGATTGAATATTCCCGTACTGACATCCCACGTAGCTCTAGATAATGCAGCTCATGGAATTAGGGTCAATTGTATCTGCCCTTCATGGACGGATACCCCCATGATCCAGAGGGCTAGGGATGGCGGAGTGGATATAGATGCATTCGTCAAGGCCGCCGTGCCGCTGGGCCGTATGGCGACCCCTGAGGAGGTAGCTGATGCAGTCATCTTCCTTTGCAGCCCCAGGTCGAGCTATGTGACAGGCTGCGGACTCATCATTGATGGGGGAACTACTATTACCTGCCATGTGTAGATATGCCAAGGCATTATAATGTTAGCTTCACCGCTCTTCAAGTAGCTGCACGACTCGATTGAAATGCAAAAATGTTATCTTGTGGTACCACACAAACTCGCAACCTCCACTTTCCTACGTCTTGTATAGCGTGTTACACAGATTCTGGATCTTGTGATATTCACGCCTTGAAAGTTCTTGCCTCTGTCATAGTAAGACGGCTAGACAATGACCGTGGTCGTGGCGAATCTCGGCATTCCCAAGCAACGGTTAGATTAACTTGAGGCATCAAGAACAACGCGGACCGGAGCAACTCTGTGCTCCTTGTGCGGGCCAAGTGACCGCTATATCAGCTCTGAATACCCAGGTCAATGCATAGCGGAGCAACTCAGTGTGCCTTTTCCGACACGGGCACTTATCAGACTGTTGGCTGGCTCTAAATGTCGAGAATATAACTTGTCGGAGCAATTGCATATCCACGTCCATCTATATTGATACAAAAAACCTTGGGGTAATTCCCGATGAACGTCGTTTTTAAGGATGTTAGTTCCGACTTCACCAGGTATGACCTTCGTGTGGTTTTGGTGAGCCACGGCTATAGCTAGCGTAAGTCTTTTATGGGACTTATAGGCTTACTGCGATAACTTTGACACTTCATCGCAGGCATGTAGTCAGTCAAGTGCGCTCCAAACCAAAGTTTGGATTCAATCAGATGAACTCACTTGAATGGCGACATCTCGACACACAAGGTATTGGACCAATGGTGGAGCGCGGCCTTGGACGCGTTGTACGATGCTTTGAGGTTGTTTAGTGATACCAAGCTTTGCGTCAAGTATTCTGAGCTTGGTCTTACATCCGTAAATGTACGGCACGATTCCTCCAATGGAGCCGATATTCACAATGGTTCCAGAAGCTTGGATGATCATGCCATGAAAGTGATGAACCATCTGCATAGGACCGAAAAGGTTGACATCAAACATTCCTTGACCGACGCACTTCTGTATCAATTGCAGTCATCGTGTAACCTGGCGAAACACTCCATCAGACTTGTTGCATGTATCCATGCGTTGCAGGAAATCTTACAGATTCCGCTAAGAATAAGTTAGCTTCAGCCCTGGAAAGGAGACGATGCCACCATGGTTTTATAGCTATTCACTCATGCATTGTTAACTCGAAAATCCAGAGAACCATCGGTGAGAGCTGAGATCTTCCTTTTCAAGTGTATCACATATTCTTCATTCGTCACATCCAGCGTAAACCAGGTGATGCCAGCCTCATCCAGATGTTCACTAGGCTCCTTTGGAAGCACGATGGCGATGACACGGACTCCCTGGCGAGTGTAATCTTTGACTAAAGCCTCGCCTATACCACCTTTGCCACACCTGCAAAAGTCAGTGAACTTTCAAAACTTCCGATATCGGGGAGTAACTACCCAGTCACCAAAGCAAACTTCTGTTCGCGAGACATAGCGAGAACACTTGGTACAGAAATTCTCAAGGGAAGGCTAGGGAGTCTGGGGGTGTTGTAGAATATGAGGTAGGCTTGCAATCAGTCTGGTATCTCCTGGGGCACTTACGCCTACGAAACCGGATGATCCGTCTCTAACGTGTATGTTCAGGACTTTATCCCTCATTCTTTACTCCGCACGACCAATTATAAGGCTGTGCGGAGGAAATAGTTTTTGTGCTCCTCTTCCGTGCGTATGTGACAAGCGAGGTCCGACGGTGGTATCATAAAACATTCCCGACATAGGATTGCGAGAGGGTCATACCATTTGCAAAACTTAGCAAAGAAGCGAGTCTTCTTATAATGGATCAATCGGGTAAATTTTGAAACGTACTGCTGCAGACCATGCAGGCAGCGTAGTGACCTATCTAAACTGCCGTGGCACAACAGGTTATTCACTCCTAGTAAGCAATATAAAGACTCTGCAACGCAGGACTACGCTGTAAATCATGCAGTCAGACTGGGTATGAAAAATAACAAAACCAGGGATCTGTAATCCTCTTCTGTTACAATTGAAAATAATGCAGTCAGCTTCACAATCACAACAACGTCCGGAAGACACATTAAGTCCTCACTATTACTATACGCGTCGCTCTATAGCCACGGTCGGTGTACACTAATGCAAGTAGGTAATTACCCGATTGGTTCACTCGTCTTCTCTGGTTGGTGTTCCTGTCTCGAAGCGGCAACTTGCTGCGCCAGGTCAGCCGTCGAATTATTGACCCTGGTCAACTGTACGCTTTGAAAACCCAGTCCACATAACTACATCATTAACCCGCCGAGAGAAACTCTCCGACTTTCATACTATGATATCACCTCAGAACTAAGCCGAGAACCGAAATCATGTCTCCAGATCTGAAGGCTGAGACTGTCGACTATGGGCTGTTGTAATGCTTTCGGATTGTTCTATTGCACCGCTTCCGGTACGGGGTTCTTCACTCAGACGGCCGTTGATACTGCTTGCTGTCATCCTTTTGATTTTTTCTACTACGTTCCGGAATTGATTCGAGCTTGCTTGAGACCCCTTCGCTGTGAGTGAACAACATACTTGTTTGCTTGACACCACTCGCTCAGAAGACACAGAGGACTTCGTTGGGTAGATACAGGGTACCACTCATACTCAGAATCAATGATTATGCACCAGGCTTGGTTGTCGTTGAGCTTCTCTGTCCTGACGATCATCATATGGAAGATCAGCAAGATTGGGCGGCGACCAAAGAACTATCCGCCAGGGCCGCCGACCTTACCTCTAATCGGCAATCTTCACCAAATGCCTAGACAGTGTTCACTTGCAGTTCCAAAAGAGGGCACAAAAGTATGGATCTATCTACTCGCTTATTCTGGGGACGAAAGTCGTCATTGTTCTATCGTCGGATCAGGTTGTCAAGGAGCACAGGACGTTTTGAGTGGGAGCCTTCGGCCGTTGTTGATGGTAAGTTACTTTTTCAAACTTCAACATATATATACAAAGATACTGATGTGCTGGGGCATCACTCGATATCTTGACTGACTGGATGCCAGAGATATGGCGAGACCTCGCGTATGGTCCGTAAGCTTGCTCACAGCCTTCTCAATGTTCGAGTTGCTCGAACCTATGTGCCATATCAAGATCTTGAAGTTAGAGCCATGTTGGTGGGATTCCTTGAGAAGCCCGATAACTTTGCCAACCACATTCGCCACTATACGACATATTTAACTACGCAGATGACCTTTGGTTATCGTACTCCGACTAGTGATGATCCCAACCTCTTGGAAATGTTCGACGTAAGTAGCTCGCTTTCCAGCCATGGAGTATGCTTAATCGACCACCTGCAGATTTTTGAGCGATTCTCAGACATGACTGGATCTCAGGCAAGTATCACCTCGTATTGAATAACATGGATGAAGAAATCTCCCGTCGTTTCTCAAAAACCTTGGGGTCTTTTATCTGACCCGCGTTGTCAAACAGGCTGCTGCTATATTTGACGTATTCCCTGTCATTAGACGTTTGCCTGATTTCCTCCTTCCCATCAAGATGATTGGAAGAGAAATACATAAAAGAGAACGTAAACTTTTCATGGGGCACTACTTGAATGCGCGGTCGCAGCTAAATGAAGGCACCTCAAAGGCAAGACACCATGATATCTCGTAGATTACTAACATTAGCTTACATTGACAATAGCCTTGCTGCTGTATAGACCTACTTCGCCTTCAAAAAGCAGAAGATTTTTCAGATGACGTTGCCTGCTATATGAGCGGCTCTCTTCTTCAGGCAGGGTCTGAAACTACATCTGCGATCTTGATTGGCTTTGTCCAAGCCATGGTTCTTTTCCCGGAAGTATCTAAGGAAGCTCAAGCTGAAATTGACCGCGTATGCGGCGATCGTCTGCCCGACTTGAATGACTTCCCAAATCTGCCCTATACTCGCGGATGTATAAAGGAAAGTCTGCGCTGGATGTCAACAGTTATCCTTGGCGTACCTCATGCCGTAACACAGGATTACTCATACCTTGGTTATAAAATCCCCAAAGATGCGTCCGTGGATTAGTTTGAATTGACTTTTGCGTTATAGTTAAGTTATTGAAGTCATTCGTACGGTGTGAAGACAGAGTGGCCAACTCGGTTGCGGGGTACGTTAAACTTTTCGTATATTATAATTATAAAACAAGTTGTTTTTACGTAAAAATACCAAACTGCCCAAATCTCATATAATAACTTCAAATCATGCCGTTTCGCATGTCTCAGGAAACACCGTGGTGTGATCCCTACATTCCGAAGCTGAAGAATGGTGACTTTCGTAAACTATCAGACGTGTTAATTTCAGAGACATTCCCAACAAAGAAGCGCGTCTGGACTTATCTCCATGTCACTGAAACACTAGTGACGAAAAAGGGGGCAAGCCATAGATGCTCAGTCTTGGAGTCTTGATAAATGGCAAAAGTACATGTACGAGACTTATATGGAGAAGTGATTAGTTTCAAAGCATGGACGAACCCGGCTGTCTGGTGAATTCATGTAGATGCATTAGAAAATTAATATGCCAAACCATTCTACAAACGCCTTCCGTCCCGTGCTGTCCTTGATGCCATAACGTTCAACAAGCTGCGAGTTCTGTCGTATTCGAGTTCAATTCAGGCAAGTGTCATCACTCAAGCTTTCATGCTGCCCCTCCGCTCTCCTTAACAGCGGCGGTATCCAACCTTCTCCAGGGGTATAGCATGGCCGCCATCAAGGCCGTACCTGCAAGAGCGCAACCTAAAGCAAATGTAACCTTGATCCCATCGAGATAGGAAGCGAGAATACCAGGCAGTCCTCCGCCGTGAAGACCTCGCGCAGTTGACCGGCGCCGGTGGCCACCACTTTCAAGGGATCCACGCTCGGTGCCAGAGCGGGTAGGGAGATTATCAATCTATTAACGAACGCAGACTGTGCAGCCGACACGCACAGGGCGCTGCCAATCGTCTGGAAGCTCAGCAACATAGATGTTGCGGACGATAGATCAGCGGGCTCGACGCTGACCTGACCTACACAGGTGGATTGTATTCATAAGCAAATTTGCCACGGTGAAAGATTGATAAGAAGCAATGCATCCGTCTGGCGGCCGCATCCGCAGGCGTGGCTGGCGTTACCGACGAGGCCGTGAGCCTATGCATCCGCAGAAGCAAGTGAACGGCGAGCTAAGCATGTGTGAGCTCAGAATGTATCGATCCAAGAAGGCCAGGTACTGGGTACTTACTAGGAACCGGCGTTCTCCGTATCTGTGGTCGTATAACTGCTCAGTGGAGTGTATCGTTTCTTAGTCAGCTGTCCACCATCTTGGGGCCACCCGTAGAAGCCGACTTGTTATTCGTCCTGATCAACCAGAACCTCAAAACTCACGCAGACGCAATGGTCAAGAATGCAAAAGCGCAGTTGCTTGACATGGCGATTAGATAACGTGGCCCATCGTTTTTGGGGTACAAATACGCCGTGTAGATGTAAGATGCGTTGGCGACGACATTGACAATCGACAGACTGACGGCCTTTTGTCACGCGTCTGGCCCAGTGTGGCGGATACCCAGCCGAGGATTACCGAGTTGACGGCGTAGGCTCCAGACGCGAACAGGAAACAGGCTAAGTACCTTGCACCGAAGTTGAGCGTCGCGCACGAGATGACGAATCCCACGAGCGCAGCTCCCATAGAGAAGGTGATGTGCCAGGTCCGTTCGTTGTAGCGGCCCGATGTCCAACCTACCAAGTATCCGAAGAAGCTAGACAGGAGGTAAGGAGGACAGGTGAGTACCAGCGTGATGGTGGAGCTGAACCCCAGTCTGCCGACAACGGTGGGGGAAAAGTTGTTGAACGAGCAGGCCGAGAGATGCATGTTCTGCATAAAGCAGAGTAGATACAACCTCGGGTCCTTGATCGCCTGCATTAACCCGGCTCTGCTTCCCTTGCTCTCCTCGCCGCCGACCGTGTCGCGCTGGATGCGATCATGCGCCAGTTGCCTCTCCTCGGGCGTCAACCAAGAAGTCGTCAAAGGCGTGTCAGGAAGCAAAATTATCCCAATCGCCGCCACTCCAAGCGTCACTACTCCCTCGATGATGAACAGCCACCGCCAGCCCTTGATCCCATGCGCGCCATTAAGCGTCTCGAAAGTAGCAGCGGCAATGAGCCCCGCGAAGGTCGTGGCAAAGATATTGCCCGAGTAGAGGATGGATATCCGAGTGGCGATCTCCTTGCGCGTGTAGAAGACGGACAGCAGGTAAAGGGCGCCCGGGTAAAAGGGCGCTTCGGCGATGCCGAGGAAGAAGCGGACGACCACTAGGCGCTTGTCATCCTGAACCAAGGCCGTTAAAGCAGATATGATGGCCCAGGCGGCCATGCAGGTGCACATATACCATGAGGGGCGGATCTTACCCGAGGACATGAGCATATTAGAGAGGATTTGCATCAGGAGGTATCTGGGTGAAACTGGGGGTTAGTTGTTGTTTGTACTCGGGGATTTTGTCCACGGCGGGGATATAAATATTCAGTACTTACCCGGCGAAGAAGATCGAGATGCACGTGTTGTACTGCGTGCCCTCTAGGTGCAGGTCATCTTCTAGGCCGTTGAGACGAGCATTGGCGATCGCATTCCGGTCAAGCTAAAGGATGTGTAAGTACGAGACATTGCGTTTCTTTTTTTCGGGGGCTTCCAGCTCGAGCTTCTGAAGACGCTTACGTAGTTCATAAAGTACATTGCCCACAACATGGGCATGATCCTGTAATCGAGTTTTCTCACAAGCTTGATCTCCAAGGGATCTGTCTTTTTGACAGCACCGGAGTAGTCACCAACAGGCACGGCCTCGACATCATTCTTCTCTCTGATCGACGACGACTCGATCATTTCAGCCTCGTATTTGCCCGCAGGCACTGTTTTCTCAACCGCCATAGTGACTCAAGGTTGCGGATATCGGGTTGATTAACAGAGCTTCGAAGACAAGATCCGAGTGAGGGCAAAGGGCAAGAGTGTCCGAGGCCTACGACGGCTTGAGTACTTTAACTTGCGCCACCGGAAGAGCCATGGCTTTTTATCTCTGTCACTTTTAATGTCTTCCACTTTGCCAAGTAAATGTAGCGCCATCATGGGCTCAGAACCATGGCACTGGATCAAGCCAAGCCCAGCGCACTATCCGTTTCCCCACGGGGAAGACTTTGATAGCGGACTTTATCTACTCCGAGGTGTGCCCTCCCGTTGGAGTGGAAAGAGGAGAAATCCCCAGGTTCCTAGTCGCCATTCCCCGCATTAGATCTACTATGGGAAAGTTCTAGTTTGTACCTTCTAGAAACCCTCGTAATGCTATACCTACCTGACAGTGTGGTTTTACTTTGGCATGATCCCGAATACGGGATGGCGGGGGAGATTGGGGTGAGGATTCACAGCGCGCCCACCTATTAACTGTCTCGGATTGGCGGCCGGCTGAGCAGCCATGCCGAGTATTTGTACTTGGTCTAGATCCAATTTATGGCATTGTGTCGCGAGCCTATTATGGATTACTTTTGGGGATAACATTTTCCGACACGGTTCAGGGGTATAGCAATGTTAACAGAATTTCTCCATTTCTACACCGCTTATCATAATGGTGGGGTGACCATACAGACAGGGAAAATAAATTTGATTGTCCGCATCCTTGTGGCCAGACAAGACTTACCAAAGCTCAATAATTACAATGTATCCCGACTATCTTCCCAACAAGCCGTATTGCATAATTTCCAACTCCAGAAAAAGGAAGTAAGACTGTCACACTGTTCATTAACCATACTAATGTCACGAAAACACCTTTGTAGATGGGGATAATGTAGGCTTCAACGTCTTCTACCTCCCCGAATAAGTCCTTGTGTGGCCCATGCTTGTGTTGTTCAAGGTCCTTAAAGGTCGCAAAGCCATCTGGGCATCCAGCAACTGGGCACCGGTGAGGCTTAGAGTGTAAAAATGCGGTTTTCTTGGACAGGTGGACGGGTGCTGAGATGCAAGTAAAAAGCCGTGGTGCACGAGGAGCAGCGTACGATGGAGCGCGATTAAGACCATCCACTGCTCGTGAGTAAACTTCTTGTTGCATCTGCGCATTATCGACCTCGTCGGCGGCGAAACACTCCCCAAGCTATTTGATCCCGCGTTCTGTGATGAAAGGTGGTGAGTTTCAGGCAGGTTGTCATTTCTCGACCGACCCTCAACGTAAGCTTCGTTTTCTAGCCAGAACTGGGTCGACAGCTGAGAAGCGATGGAAATATGCGTTTCGTTATTCATGGGGGCCAGCGTGATAGCCTCAGGACGTTCTGGTTGTGTTGATTGAATATGACGATAGCACTTACATCAACTGATGTTTGAAAGTCACATCCGCGCTGTTATCGTCGATAGTGAAACTTCCTCGAACATTTGACGCGATAGCAATGATCAGAGTCATTATTGCTCACACTAACCGCATATTAAAGTGCATATAAATTAATGTCACGCTATTGCCTTAAAGTCGTTGAGCATGTATCGGTGGCACTAAATTGGTGAGGTTTGTCAGGGCAACAAATGCAAAGCCAGACCTCGCCGAACGTCCTTTGGAGAGCCCTTCTGACCTTCTGAGTTTTGGGGCGTAACTCAGTCGATTTTATGTATAGAACTTCTTTATTACTGTGTTGAAAAGGATCTGACTATAAATTATATACAAACGTCCCCGTATACCAAACGTTTTATCCTGGGATACCCCTTGCTTTTCGTACGATACAGTCCAGTGACCAAATTTAGTAGTTAGTGTCAAATTTCCTCAACAGAAACAACTAGAAACACAAAATATTATGAGATATTAAGCGAGAAAAAGAGTAAAGTAAATCAGGGGACGATTAGCGGATCTCAAAAACCCGATCAGGTAGCCCTTCGGTGATGTGCAGCCGCACGGCTTCCCCATCCATCATCCCGTGGATATACGCTTCACCCATGAAAGTGTAGTAAAAATACGGATCATCCTCCTTTGCCTGCTTCTTTGCATTCTTACGTGCCTGCCCCTCTTTCTCCGCCTTCTCTCGCGCCAACTCTTCTGGGCTCTTCTCTTGTGCCACTTCCTCCGTGTTCTTTTCTACAGCATCCTCAGAGTCGCCTCGACTCGTGGCTTGCTCAGTCAATTCTTCACTCTGGTTCTCTCCAGCTGGTACTTCTGGAGCTTTTCCTTTGTCTTCGTTCTTCGTCTTCATCACTGAGTGTCTTTGCATGTTTTCCCATTTCCGTTTCTGTTCTTCTTTCATCTTGTTTATATTGTCGCGTCTTAACTTCGCTTCCGCTTTGCGCTCTTTCTTGTCCTCTTCTTCTTTTCTGCCGCTTGCTTCTCTTTCCATTGTGAAATTTGACGATCAAGTGCTGCTTTCTCTTCTTCTACTTCTTTTTTCCAGAGATCCATCGATTCTTGGCCCTCATCTCTCTTGATCTGATTCAATTTCTTCTTGTATCGCAATTTGCGGAAGCATGCTTCCTCACAAATTGACATTGCAGATTTCATTGCCTCGACTGCATCTTGCATGCACTCTTTTTCCAGGTCGTCGGGATTCTTCTTTTTGCCTCTCCTGAGAATGACAGGGACGGAGCAACCATCCATGATGCAGACAAAGTCCTTCGGTTTGACATTCTGGTTTGCCAAACCGAGTATCTTTAATTCGTTGTCACCAGACCCGATTGTCTTGGTGGTGACCTTTATCAAGCAACGATTCCATATTACAGCCTGCACTCGACGACAAAACTCCGCAACAATGGAGTTCCTCTCGCTATTTATAAGCGCCCCTGTGTCCACGGATCCGCCGCGAAGTCCGCCCTTCTTCACCGACTCCTTACACGCAGTCGCGTAATAGTAGGGCGGGTTACGATTGTCTTTTCCTCGATCGGCCACTAGCGTTCTCCAAAATTCTGCCGGGGGATCACTTTCGCCATCCACAGCGTCTTCCCAGCCAGCCATCTGCGCCCATGTCTCAGGTATCTGTCCGCCCCTAGATGGCGCATTTACCTCGTCGATTTCTGCCAGAACAAATCCTTTGGTGTAGAGACTGTAGTGTCCATGGCCTACTTTGGGCCTCTTGCGGAACCTAAGACAATTCTCTGATCGTAGGTCGACCTTGGTGTTCTGCACAGCGCTGTAGTTGCGATGGCCGTCAAGTGGTAAGCCCACTAGAGGATCCGCGTTTCGTCTTCCCATCCTCCTCATGCTTCCAGCATGGTGGTATAAAGCAAAAGAAGCGCCCGAAATACGGGACACCCAGGATGGAAGATGGAGGTCCTCTTCCCCCCCGCCCCTCCCCCTCTTCTGCTTCGTCGACGTCGCTGGTGAAACGGTTGGGGTCTTTTCTGTGTTCTTTTGGGCCCTTGGGCCTCTCTGGAAGAAACTTTTTGGTGAAGTTGTTAAACTTATCGACCCGTTTTGGCTTGTTTTCGTCAAGCCATTTCTGGGCATCATTGAAATACTTTTCCATATCCTTTGTGTCTTCCTGTCCATTTTTCAGCTTTCTCGAGCGCTCCCACTTTCCATGTAGAGCTTCGCGATTCTCTTGAAACTTGTACAAAACTGGCTTCTTGTGGGGTACATTGGTGGTAGATGTCACTATCGGATCAGGGGCCCATGGCCGACACAGAATATCCAGTGCGCGTGTACCATCTGATCCTTTTGCGCCCTGAATGCAGAATGACACAAAGTCCTTACAGACGTCGCTGTATGGGCGGCTATAGTCGACTCTGAAAGGTTTCCGTTCCAGAAAGCTCGAGACCGTGGACATTATTGTAGCCTCCTCAGACCCATCCAGGGAGACAGTTCGCAACTCTGCAAATGGCGAGGTGTCTCGAGCAATTGCCAGCAACGAGTACACCGCGTCTCGGGGCTGCGAAGCCTCAAATACCGACAGGCTGGATACCAGATACTCGAGGCTGAGAAGTGGTCGCTGTGTGGTATACTCAAGTGGCTTGGGCTTGGTTGTTTTTTTCTGCCCCTTTGTCATTTTCGGACTCAAATTCGCTTTCGCTTTGGCGTTGAATCGCGAGCCCTCGATCATATGTCTCTTCAGCTGTGCAGCATATGTCCCATCCTGTCGGAACACCTTTCCCGTAGCTTGGACGAGAACACTGGCCCCCAACTCAGAGACGTGCTCGAACCATCGTGGCACATGTCCAAATGCCTCATCTTTTTGCATGACTTCAGACAGTCGGTGTGTTGCCGTCTCGACTTCCACAAAGAGCTCTACCGCGACAGCAAAGTGCTCCCATGATATCTGGTCGCTGCCACAGTATACAGTAGCCGCACGAGCCAGAGCAATTTCCTGGACAACCCATCGCCGCGAAAACCAAGGGCGCTGCATGAGAAGCAACAGGGACTGCCACTTCGGCGCATTTTCCCTCTTTTCCGAGATAGAGTCGAAGTTCTCCAGCTTCATAATTTCAGAGATAAATGAGATAGCTGTGGCACTGTCGTCATTGTTCTCACCTAGCCATACGCAAACCTGCTTTGAGCAGTTGTAGATCCGCGACATCATTTGCACTTGATGGTTGCGCTCTTCGTGATTCGCTTGGTCGATCCACAAAGCGTCGATCCACAAGAATCGACTGTCCCTGGGGTGCCGCAAATATTTGAGAGCAAGTATGAGTTCACGGGTGATTGCCAAGCGATGATGCTCAGTACCGATGCTGCTGGTGCTGCCGGTGATGATCCTGATGCCGCAGTCCTTGCTCTCCATACCCCAACACCATGACAATGCTTCATACTCAACAACATCATCATCATACAACATGCTCTCATTTTCATCTTGGCCTCCATTCTCCGATCGATCTTTAAATTTGTTCGATCCTGTGCCAACCTTTCGAATTATGTTGTTTTGATCATATTCAACCTCGAAGAGCTCGCAGGTGATCTCCGGGTTGTTCAGACCGCCAGGCACAAGCCGAAGAAGTCTGATGCGTCGCCGCATCGAATGAAGAGGTTTATATTCGTATACTGGCAGTCCATGTAAATCATTGAACTTAGAGACTCTCGATCTCTGTTCTCTTCCCTTCTGAACAGTATTTGCCGCTATGTAGGTGATGCCATCGATTTCGAAGGATCTCGGCACCGAGGACTCCATGTCCGCGCCTGCCTGCATCGAAAGTGTCGGTGCCATTTCCCTGGAATGGCCAATTGAATATATGAGTACTTTGATGAGAGAGGCTGATGCGCATAAGAGCAACTCAGAGAGATGCGATTGGAGCCGGTTTATGATATAGAAACAAGGAATTGGCCTTGGCTGGCTGTACTGCAGATTACCAGCCTTTGAGGGTCTACTAAATTGCCAGTTATCTCTAACGAGATCATCTTCACCAGAAATGATCAGACTCTGTGGTATAAAAAGCTTCACACCCGAATCTGCCGTTAATTCGTGATTGGTTCAGCCTGGCTTACAGCTGCAGCTGCAGCTGTAAGTTCTATAGCCAAAAGCCCAACCAATGATTTTGAGATCTTTATCGCATGGATGTTAAATTAAGTGGCTATCCATTGGCCAAGATGCATTCACAGGACGCCAAAGCTCGGGAACAACTACCTATTGTGTCTCAAGGGTGTGGAAGGTTATCAGCCGTTTTATGCCACGGCGGCAACACAACCCAATTGTTTCACTCAAATTTTCAGCAGAAAATAGAACATGACAATTCGGCTCACACTCCCCCGAGCATTGTCAACTGTAATGTAACCCACCTTCAATCGCTGGGTACAGTCCCGGCTAAGACGGGTACGACCAACCTGCAACTGAAAGCCATTCCATCTCACATCGGGTTAAAAATGGTTAAACTCTTGGAGATTTCACGGCATTATAATGAATGAAAGAAACATTGCACTATAAACACAGGCACATGAATTTGTACTTTTGCTATATCAATCTAGAGCATGGAGGCATATATATGCAGAAGATACAGGGGTCCTGGGGACACCACCACGGGGTCCCGGCGCCTCTACCAACAGTACGCCTAGGGGCCGCTACGTCGGCGATCTCTTGGAGGTTTTGGATGACCCAATCGATCGCCTGATCTAGCTCTGTTCTCGTCTCAGCCGGTAAATAGTTCATGAATCACTGGCCCGACTCGGCTACGATTAGCCACTTATCTGCCATTGTCCAATTCCACCCCTCGGTGTTACGGCGGCCTTCATTCGCTGCCTCCTCGTTAGATATTACCCTGATTACTTGCGCCCTATGGTCCGATCCTTCTAGGCCCGGGTCCCCTTCGTCGCCCATGCAAGGTCAATAATTGAGTGCGGACAATGCTGAAGGGGTGTGTCAGATAGGGCACCTGGTTCCTAGGTTCAGAAATAATATGGCACTAGAGAAGACTATTGTCACTTGAAGTTCAGAAGGCGAAAGGAACCCCTTTCCCAAAAGTAACACCAAAGTTACTGTCCACTTAGGGGTCAGACACCTGAACAACGTACCTCCGACATGTTCTAAAGAATCTATAAAAGGCATCCTTTCCCAATACAACAATTCACACCCCATATGCACTCGCATCAAATGGTAGCATCTCCTCAAGATTGAGTAAATCCACCAAACCAAATAAACCATCCATCCATCGATCAAGATCACCATCATGGCTACGATCCTATCGCCGCCAGCGTTTCGCACGCACCAAAACCAGCCAGATCGGCCCCAGATCTATCAAGATCACCATCGCGTCACGCACCTATCACGCACACCTTCATTAAGAGGACCCTTTCATTAGGCCAGTCTTCTACCAGCACCTAAGCATTACGATCGCAGATATTACGAAGCGATCACTATCACAGTCTATCGAGGGACCCTTCCACTCGGCCAGTCCAGCACTAGATCTATCAAGATCACCAGAATCATCAAGGGACCCTTTCACTAGGCCAGTCTCTACCAGAATAACCGTCCCGGAGTCGATCCACAACATCAAGCGCCCACAGCCGCCGGCCGTCAAGATCTCTCTGACTTCGTTTCCTTTCATCGAGTCGAGTCCATCGCCGTCGCCTTCCGATCATACGATTCCCCATACTAAGCGCACCAGAGCGAACACATCGTCAAGAGCACTGCCCCGAACACAGTCAAAGGTATCGGCATCCGTAGCCCCGTCAAGGTCAGATATACAGCAGCGGGCAACATGATGCAACAGTACTTTGGCCTAGCTATCGACACAAAGCCTTCGGAGACCCCGCTATACAGAACTTGGCTTGAGCAGTCTCCTCCGAATACAGCGATTTGGCCAACTTAGCAGCTCTACACCCTGGCAAGTACCCCTGCACCAAACGTACTGAGGACAGTACCATTTTCCGTGTAGCCCGGCATTTTGATACGTGACCCCATGGGGGGTTACCCTATAGCTATAGATAAGATAGATAAGAGCTATAAAAGAGCTCTGCCAGGCCAGAATAGCTGACCTGGTGATCCTTTCCCAATACAACAATTCACACCCCATATGCACTCGCATCAGTAAATTAATAGGTGGAATTTCAAGAAAACTTTACAGATGTAGGCATGTTTTGCCTACTTAATATAGCTTACGAGAAACATTTGGCACATACGACCAGAGGTTGCAGAGAACTCAGGATCCCGTCCGCTCTCCTATAGATAAACTGGAAACCGCTAGATTAGTAGTTGGGCGGGTGACCACCAGCGAATCCCTAGTGTTGTATGTTTTACTATTTTTGACATATTTTACCTCCTTTGTAAGGAGATATTAACGTAATTTCTTTCCCTCCCTCGCTTGAACGAAGTTGAAAGTTACCTATAGTTAGTGCCTCTTATTTGTCTTAGAAATCATGCGAGGCTTAACTACTTAAGATTAGAGAAAGTATTTAAAATGGAGGATCTTAGCCTCTGCTATCTGTTACTCTTTGTGCAGAGCAACTAGATTTCAATTATTTCCTCAAGCAACCAACCTAGGCATTCCTTTTGACTAATTTGCACCATGGTCTTGAGCCGAAGTCCCGCTATTTCAAAATGGAATACATTACTCCTACTCATATGTTTCTCCCTTCTGGCTGGTGCTGCAGATGTCAGTGGTGTGAATGCCGACCTCAGGTCTTTTCTCACTGATCCTGTCCGAGCTTGGGCAGCCAACACAACCATCTCATTTCCAAGCTCTACAGAATTCTTCGATGCTACAGAGCGATGGACAATCTTCCGCTCCCCAACCTATCGTGCTGCCATCAGTCCGGGAACAGAAGAAGATGTTATAAAGGCCGTACGTGAAGAACAGCTGGATATATCCCTGTCCAACTAGCGAGGGCTAATATACTCTAGGTTAAACTTGCGACATCACTGAAGATCCCGTTCCTTGTCACCGGACACCATCACGAATACACCACGACCCTTGGGAACCTTAGAAATGGTATTGCTATCGATTTGAGCCACTTCATATTCATCGAATTGGACGTAGCTGCCGAGACTGTCACCATTGGTCCTGGCGTTACCGCAGGTGACGTCTTCGACCCTTTATATGAGGCAGGCTTCGAAATTCGTAAGCTCCCAGCCCTGATTCTACCACATCGTTTGTCCTAACCAATTTTCTTCTTCAACAGAAACCGGCAGTGCCTCCTGTCCCGCCCTAATCGGCGTCACGCTCGGTGGTGGTCTTGGGCGATTCACGGGTGTTCACGGCTTGCTGTTGGACGCATTAGTTTCCGTAAGGTTGATAACAGCCGATGGTAAATTGAGGGAGGTATTGAAGAATAAACATCCGGACTTGCTCTGGGCCATCCGTGGAGCGGGTGCAAACTTTGGCGTCGTCACGTCTGCTACTTACAAATTAAGCCCACTGAGGAACAACGGGGATATTCTCAACGCCGACTTCATCTTTCCGGCCGAGAAGAGCTCCGGATATTTCCGTGCTCTGGAGGCCTTGGAGAGATTCAACAGGATATATGTGAGTATAGTCTCTATGTTCTCACTTTGCCCCGGCCCCAGCAATCGCTCAACCTTAAGGGTTTGATTCAACAAAGGCTAACATAGTACGCGCCTGGTAGAAACCCAAACATGATATGGAACAAAGGAGACAATGTCACTGCGCAAGCCGCAAGCGCTCTCGGGCGAGAGCTCCGCGATGACCTCCGGTTCACATCGGGATACTCGGAGCCCTCTGTGTTCATCAATTATGCCCGTGGTGATGAGACCTTGGAGCGGATCTACAGCAGAGATAATCTACCACGCCTAGCAAGCCTGAAGAAAAAGTGGGATCCGAATCATGTTTTCAGTTTCAATAACATATTTCCTACGGAATACCCTGCCAACTAATCATAAAGGGCTGGCAAGGGAGACAGCGGGGATGCTTTGGAGTTTCTTTTCCTATAGAGTGCTGGCGCTAGTGTACTTGCTATTGTTTCGTTAGACGGATAGAAGGCGGGGCCCCTGTTTCTAGACACCGAGGACTTCATATGTCAATCAGCGTTGTATCGTATTTTCTGTTTTACTTCGAGAGTCGGATTTTGGTATCTAAAACCGCAGTAATAGTCCAATATTACTGTATTTCCAACTATATACTGCAAAATACCGGGTAAAGAGCTTTAGTGCTGTTGGCGTCCGAGTATCATACTGTGCTTCCACCCGTACTTGACCACTCTTCACACTCTTCTCCTTCTGTTACACACAAAGGTGGTCAAAGATTTGTGAGGTTGTAAAAGCATGACATTCTATCTAGTCCTATGGAGCACGAAGGTTGGACTTAGTCCCGAAGGGCTAAGTCACGTGGTAACCTTGGTGGTCTTGGCAAAGCCCACCAAGGTTGCCTAACACCTTCTCTCTTCTCTTCCTCTTGTATGCTAAAGTATATGCAATAAATCTCTATAAGTATCATTTCATCTCAAATACGCTGCGCTTTCTATTCTCCAAAGATGATATTACTATACCATTCTACAGTGCGTTTACCGCGCCTGACTGAAACTTGAATGAATCGTTAAATATACTCTATAAAATATTGACATAGGTTGTCTTGGTTACCACGCCGGCTTCGATTAGCACGCCGATACCCATCCAGAAGCTCGTCAGGGTTGTGCTGTAAACAGCCTCCAGCGTGCTCGATGCTTGGGCTGTGTCCGTGGGCGTCGCTATTGGTGCAACGCTCCCTAGTATATTCAGGATGGATGCCGCATCTGTCACTCCGTCCAGAAGGCTGCCGACATTACCCAACAAACCCCTGACTCAACCTGGTAGAAGTTGCCTCTCTCCAACGATGGTAACATCGACTGCGGTAGCTGGCACGCTTGACTCCGCATAGCAGAAGGCCGGTGATGGCGGTTGCGACAGCCTCGAAAGGCATTATTACGGTTTCTGAGTCCACTCGAATTACCCAAATGCAAACCCTCTCAATTCCAAAAGTTCTCGGGAACAGCGGGGAACAAGCCATGTTATACTGCTCTACCCTCTCGGCAGCACCTCATGAGCTTTCTCGTGACATCAAGCTGCCATCAACTTAGTCTTCAGAGTTCTTGATCGCCCGCAGACGACTTCGAGACCTCTCTCGATTTATGTTCAATTAATATAGATCGTTCTCGGACCGCTGAACTCCCGTACAGTCTGGTGCTGTGCTAAGCGCCGTGCTAGCGAAGTAGAGATCCCTAAAGACGGCGTGGCTTGCGCCGCCTTTGAAGCCCGAATATCTGTATATACTTAAGGATCAACCAATCCCCAAACAAGACTGATATTGAACCACTTATGTCTTCCTAGATATATCATAGGGATCGAAGACAACGAGAAGTAGCGCTTGAAATGCCTCATACAAAATCGTATTAATGATATTGATCCTGCAAGCCAAACAAGTGCCGGTGATTCGGTTATTCATTCATTAGCGCTTAGTAGTTTTAGCAAAGCAATGGCGGAACAAAATGTTCTCCATTTCCAACGACCAGAGTAACCTATCGATCGGATACCGGTCCGGACCGGTCCGATATTCCGATATCGATACCGATCGGTAGCACATTTTGTTCATTAGATCGATACCGGTGGCAGTTTGCGCCACCGGTATCGATCGTTCGATCTGACCGGACCGGTTATATGGAGGATTCTGAGGGCATCGTGACCCTTGTTGTTGACCCTGGTTTTATCTAACCTAATACGGTTAGGCGTTGTTTTAGGTAGGAAAAGTGAAGAGCTGAGTTGGCGTGAGCATTATATGGCTAGGTTGAGGAAGCGTTGGGAAGGTGACTATAAAAATAGGTAAGTATAGTATCTAGATAACTGTTCATCTCTGTCACGACCTGGGTTGCATCGCATTGGTAGAGACCTCGATTAGGTGCTATCGACGAAGATTCTACTCTAAGGAGCGAAGGAAAGAAGATCACAAACTTAGGTTTGAGGGAGCGCGACTAAGTCGTCCACGCTTGGCGGGGCTCCTGCAGGGGTTATGATTGGCTTCCCATCTGGCACTGCCATAGCAGGTGTTCCAGCTGTAAGTCACCTGGTTGTAGTGAGTCTGCGAGGGTTGACCTTCACAATCTCTAACTGACCCTCGTCTAGGCCCCTTCCTGAGACCAACCCTTTAGCTGAAGTGAGAACCAGCCAGTCCTTACGATGCTTCAACGCCGCGAGCGTTTTTATATGAGCGACGCCGACTCCGAGGTCCTTGATTCGCAAAGTACACAAGATACACAGCCAATAGCAAAGAGAAGGAAAGGAAAGGGCAGAAACACAAAGCCGGTGCCGATTAGGCAGGAAGAATCACAACAAGACGAGCTTGACCTCTACCTGGCAGAACCTGTGGTTAACGTGGACCAATATTTAAAGGACCCAGTAGCTTGGTGGCGTGATATTGGCGCAAAACGTTTCACCAAACTGTCTTATATGGCTGTTGACTTCCTTACGATACCTTCAGCCCAAGCATAAACAGAACGCCAGTTTAACAGCGTAGGAGAGATGGTATCAGCACGAAGATCTCGCCTAAAACGCCACGTTATTGGGGCATCACAATGTATCAGGTCATGGAGTTTAGCAGGCGTTTATCAGGCTGAGTTGCCACTCCATCTGCTTGACAAGGTATCAAACGTTGAATTGGATGGTGAGGTTTCACGCGAATTAGCTAATTGGGCGCAAAACCGTTAAAAATAAACAACTCCGTATAACCGCTATTGATCGATCCGACCTCTATCTGACCGGACCGGTTATATATGTGATTGATACCGATCGATACAGGTTGCTTAGTAATATGTACCGGTACCGATCGGGTGAATATGATGTTGATCGATACCGGACCGGTATCGGTATCGGTGAAGAATCATGATCGATATCGATCGATTGGTCACTCTGCCAACGACGCATGTTAACGATCTTGGTGATGCCTTCCTCTTTTCGAAAGGGTCACTGATAGCTTGGGGCAACATAGCAATTTTCTTCAGAGCTAGATTTAGCACACACTCCCATGACTGACTTCTGCCAAGTGTAAGTAGCTATACGAAGCATGATAGTAGGAATGACATATCAAAAAAAAAAACATAGAAACATACAACACCGGGTATTCGCTGGTGGTCACCCACCCAACTACTAATCCGGCCCTTTCCAGTTTATCTAGGGCAGAGCGGACGGGATACCGAGTTTTCTAGAAGGTATGGTCGTATGCGCTGGTCTATTGCTTTGAACAAATCTGTAACCTTTGCTTTGCGCACAACTCTCAGCTTTGTTTTCGCTTAGTTGTGGTTGTCGAATGCAGCTCGTTAAACAGAGAAGAGAAATGGTGCATTTCTTGGAAAATAGTGACATAAGATAGTAAAGGTGCGCGAGAAAACCATCAGTCGAAGTTCCCCCATTATGATACATTGTCGGCTTCGTGGGAGATGCATCGTTGCATGCTTGAAGGCGACGGTGTCTTCATTGTCCGCACCATTTACTCTCGAATGCATATTACTCATGGGCATGAAGAAGGTCCACCTATTATACAGACTGCCATAGCGTGACAACATCTTTTGAAAATGACGCTTAACGGGCAAATACGGCCCAATAAGGAACTGAAGAAATGATCTGTGGTTGCACCATTCCGTAAAGCGCAACACCAAGTTCAACTCGCGTTGACTTATATTCGAAGACAATTTATTGAGCTGTACACTTTTGTGGTTTCATTTTACTGCAAGCAGAAGCGGTTGTACGGGAAGAGAGAAGTCAACATCTGAACTCGCCTGTCTGATATGCAGTAGAATTGCACCCTGGTGTGGCCTTCAATATGACGCAGCCATTTACGCATGCCCCAGATCAACCTCTAAATTCTATCTGCTTCATCTTTCCACCGTCTAGTTGTTAGTAAGCCAATTGCAATAGTCAGGTGATCCGAGGTGTCCTTGATCAAGACAGAAATCGAGTTGCATGGAAGGGCTCCACGCTGTGGCTGCCAAGTTGAAGGTTTGAAGTAAGTAATTATTGTTTATGCACTGATTTTCGTGCAGTAGTTTCCGGTCTATGAAGTATAGGTCTCTTCCGCACTTATTGTTGAATCATGTAAGGACTTGTCTGGTTTTGGTAATATCCCAGCTCGTTCGCAGGATCTCAATAACCCTGAATTTCACCTTCAAGCAATCCAAGAGTGGCGATCAGGAGCTTTCATCTTTTAGTCATGCAGACTGAACCCCGGTCGTAGTGTCAAAAGTTCTACGCGTCATTGGATTCAACGTCTGAATCATCTGAGTAGAGGCGCAACCCACATTGCGTAACTTCAATAGTCAGCCTGGCGACCTCATCTCGACGGTGCAGTGCGATATTAACTCACAAGTCATCTTGCTGAAAGCACTCTCTAAATTGTCAGTATCGTCATCGACGTATTTGACTGCATCGGCCAGTGCCGACGTCCTCTGGGTGGCTGTTGCTAAACCGGATATGGTGAAATTGCTCAAAGCGGGCAAAATGCTATCTAGACAGGCCATTCCAGTTCCAATGATCAACAATCTCAGCTTTTGTCACTTCCCATAGGCAGACATACTCGTCCACGTAGTATTGGTTCGAGTTTAATTAAGGGTTGGTGATTTCATTATAGCTCATCTCTATCCCGACATCAAGTATGGGCAGCCAGGTGTCCAGCCACGGTAGTTCAGATGGCTTGCCAAGCAGGCTCTTCCATAACAAGAGATGCGACAAAAATAATCTAATACAGCTATTGATTCGAATTCCAGTATTTAAGTGCCATGAGCGGAAGTGGCACAAGATAGGCTCTCATTGGTAATCTCGTAGCGTTATGCCAGTTTTCGACTGGGACGAGGTAGGTGTGACGAATCTAATCCTAATTTCACAACCAGGCGAACGCTCTACGGTTGCGCAGCTGG